CCCCCGAAATAATAAAATCATAACAATAATAATTTCAAAAAAAAATAAAAAAAAATCAATATTAAATAATCCTCCTAATAATTAAAATGACAGTAATAATAATAACACCTAATCATCATCAGCATCATCAGCATCATCATCATCCATTCCCAACTGCCACTAAGCCTGGGACCACTCGTGGCCAGAGCCACCCTCCCTCCTCCGACCTTCTCTTACCTCAGAGGCTGCGGCCGTCCAAGTCGAATCATCGCCTCAAACCGCCCGACCATTCAGAACCCCCCGATGCCTCCCCGTCGGCCAGTGTACTCATAATCCCCTATGTAACTTCCCCGTTACATCTTCAGCCTGCAGCGGGATCCGCCACTGGATTGGCCGAGACGCGACACGGTGGAGTGGAGGGCCCACCCGACTAACATGTATGATGCTTAGACTAGTTTAGGGTCCAGCTACAAATAGGAAAGGAATGGAACGGACCAACCCCACCGACCGACAAGGCCGCGGCCTCAACAAACCCAGATGGCGAACAGGACAACCACCCGCGTAAGCTGAGCAAGAGTGGAATGGAAGCCTGGGAGGATCCATGATTCAACCCTCATCACACCCACTGGGTCCTGGGTCCTGGCTAGGAACGGCCACCGCCGCCCACCCACGATCGAACTGGGGGACAAAGTCCACGGTCTGGCAAGGCGAAACCTCCTTACTACCACCAACTAGTCGGGTGGATCTTCACGACGGAGGGGAGGGGAGCCAAATGGGCACGAGTGCGTGGAGGGAAACTCTAGCACCCCCTTAGTAGGGGTCACAAGGCCGCGCAGACTTGGATGCCTGGAACCGTAGACCTGCTTTGACTTAGTCTTCTCAACTCAACTCAACTCAACTCAACTTCAACTTTCTGCTCAATGAATGATCAATAGGAAATCATAATCAATCAGGAGGGAGGGAAAAATAACGAAGAAGGCTCCGCGCAGACCCGATGGCGACGGCCAATGCCGCCGCCGTCGTGGCTGTACCGGTTTAGTGGCCCTCTCCAGTTTACGGGACTGACTGGGCTTGGATCGACGAGGAGGAGAAACCGAATTGCCAGGAGGCGGTGTGGGTGTGACAGGTCTTTCGGGTGCAGATGCCCCACCCACACTGCATCCAGGCTGGCCCGGGCGGATCCCCCCCATTGGTTGCAAGCGGACGCGCAGGGAAGATAAATCCGCCCCCCGTGGGTGTGATTGGAGAGTCATCTGAGCAGGCACGTCTGGATGGGCGGCATTTTCCTTCGTCAAGAACCGCCCGATAGGTCCTGGTCGGCTGGTCCGGGGGGGGGGCTTGGTCGCCTTCCAGACTTCCAGCCGCTGGGACTTTGAACTGGAAGAAGGAAGGGGCGCACAAATGAGCTCATGGCACAATCCCCCCCCTCTTCCCCCCGTCGATTGTATCAGTGCCCGGATGCCCTGTTGGGTGGTAGGAATGAGGCTGGAGGGAAGGATGACTGGTTGAAAGGGGAGGGGGAGGGTTCCTTGCCCCACCGTCCGTGTCTGAAGTTCTGAACTCTGAATGCAGGACGGGAGGAGATTGATTGATTGATTGATTGATTGTCTCGCCCGGTTTTATTATTACTATCATGATTCTGGAGTTTTGACAGGGCACGACCGATCTCCATCTCCAGGATCTCTTATCCACAGTACAACGCGCTGGATCTTCGGGTCATCGGTGTAGTAGTGAAACCTGAGGACACCACCGGGGTTCAGCCGGAAAGTCAGAACTCAGCGGTGTCATTGCTTGTACACTCTACTCCTAGGACCAGAGAGTATAATGGCCGTCTGTACTGCCAGCTCACGACTCCACCACATAGATGCCTACAGTTGGTTACTCAAAATGGTGATGCTGGGACAAGGTTTGAGGAGGCCACCATTGTTAATCTGCCCACAGATTCCAGGTCCAGGGCCTCATGGACCGGCTATGACTAACGGGGGGGGGAGGGGGGCGGGTGGTGGTGGATGGAGGATTCGACGACGAAACGAATGGATGTCTATACGAAACATTGAGCCAAACGGAGCAGGCTGGATGGGGCCCGGCCACCAAAATGACGGGCATGTCTGCCTGAGACCTGAGTCTCCCCCCCTCTATTCCTCGCCTCGCCTCGCAGCCAACGGTGCAAACGTTTGTCAATTGCCAGAGAAGTACGGAGTAGTAGATCCCATGGACTGACACTCTGGACAGACCTCACCGTCTTTTTGGCAATGACAACCCGTTGGCGATGTGATGATGATGATGATGATTCCTTCTCCCCCATCAGGAGGTTATCCAACACAGCAACTAGTAGATAAATTCCCAAACTAAAGGGACCAGCGACAACATCCGTTCCAGCAGACGCCTTCTGAATCAACCCGACACCACCACCAACAACGACCAAAACCTACCCTGCCGCCAGTGCAACCGAACTCAATAAAGTGAGGCAAGGGCGCCGGGGCCAATGACGGCGCAGTTCGTCCGCTTCGAGAATATCGGATGACAGCCATGGCGCGTGATGATTGGCTGCTTTGCTGCCACGTTTGCTGTCCGAGGGGTCGGCAGTGGGTCTCGGGCAGCCAGGCCTGCTGGCCATTGGCTGGCGGTAACGCATTGTCCATGTTGCCATGCATGAGCGCGTCGACGAATCGAGGCTGGTCGTGCACGGACCAGTCTGCCTTTTGTATAGTATTATTATTGTGTATACACCCTCCCAGCTGCATCATGCACTATATAAAGCAGTCCGATCCACCCAGCCCCATCACCATCCCCTTCCGAGCCAAAGACATTGTTATAAACAACAGTCAAACAAGTAGGTACTAGATACACACTTGTGGACATCATAGGTAGGTAGTAGGTAGGTAGAAACTGTACCACCTCGGAGAATTCTCAATTGGCCCAATCGACAGTTTATTCAGCCTACCTACTCAATCTTAGGTACCTAGCTGAGGTTTTTTCTTCTTCTTTTCGCCCTACCTACCTACCGCCCAAACCCTGTCCAGCCCTCTCCGTAGTCCGTACTATCTATAACCTATGAGCTACCTATAAATTGCTTTTGACAGTTTGCCTGGCCCCCCCCCGCCCCCCCTCTTCACAGCCAATGGCACACTACACTGAGATTGGGATCTGCGGTGACTGAACTTATTGGTAATACCTACTACTTCCACACTACTCCTACCTACTATCTACATAAGTAGTATATACCTATGTAGACTAAGAGACTAAGTATGATATCTACCTGCGGGCAGTTCATGTACGGCGTGGCTATGTACATGAGAGCAGCCTAGCAGTAGCAGTATGGAGTACATATACATGCCGAAGCATAATAGCGGGCTGTGCTGTAACAGACACACACCCATATGATTATACTTTTAAGAATGGAGTACATGTATGTCGGTATGTGTATGTATGTGATGTGATGTGATGGGAAGGGGAAGGAAGAAGGTATGCATGCTATGCATATTTGCCTTGTTCACAGCCTTCTGGGTGGGTATGTATGTATGTATGTATCCACTTATTCAGCTATTCGTGGGTTTGTTCTGCTTACTTCTTATATACTCTGTGTCATAGTAGATGTTAGGTATATGTATATGATTAAGGTAGTATAGAGGAATGATGATATAAGAAATAGGTAGCACAAAACACGAATCATCCACTCTTTCCATCATCATTTAGATACCTATTCCGAGTATGAGCACATAGTGTTAGTACTACATACGGAATACTCCGTAGTATATCACATAAAAAGAAGCAAGTATCCCGAAGCCGAACCCCCCATAACATCAATCACATGCTACACATACTTATACCAGTATGATCCATCTACCCCTAATAACAAAATACACAGTAACAAGATACATAGACAGAATAGATCGATCGATATTAAAAGGTAGATTATTTCAAAGTAAACAAACCAACCAACATACCTATCCTATTCTACCTTACATTCGAACACCCGCACAACTATCCCCAATGCCAAGAAACTACACCCTGCAAATCCTTAACCCCATCTCCAAAGAATCTTCATGATCTCATTAATTCTCCGACCTACACACTACACTACACAGTACTCACAGTAACCCACCTATTCCTAATCACAATTACCAGGATGAGTAGAGATCACCCACCACCACACCAACCTTACTTTCTTTCACAGTACACAAGCATGCGGGAACAGCATCCGCAAATCGTTCCGATGTTGGATGGGGGCGAATCTGATCGGATCTAATGGGGTTGGATTGTGGAGCATTGTCCACTGTCAAAGGATTGGGGCGGGATGATGACGGACAGCAGCCTTGAGCTTTCATCGGAGGATAGTGGGCAGACACGTACTACTATGGTATACTGTACTGTGTAGTGTGGGTGTGGATAGGGCTGGGTCGCTGCCTAGAGCTGAGCCTCATTCATCATCATCATCATCATCGACTGATCGATCAATGGATGCATTCTAGAAAGTACGACTTCGCCTCCCGAGCGGCGGCTCATGGACCCGGTTTTTCGCCCCGTTTGCCACTGCGCGCCCCGGTCGGATTCATCCGCCCTTTGTTTGTCCGTCGAGTCATTCTGTCATACGCTACCTACAGTGGCGACCGGGGAATCCTACGGGGGCAGATAGGCCTACTCTACCGTGGCTGTGGAGACCCGATTCATATTATTGAGAAAGAGATGCAGTCCTACTATGACATAATATGTACAACGGGTGGCCTGCCAGGAAGCGTCCATGAATTATTACACTTTGGACCGGCAAAGGAAGGGATGCTTCAACGCCTCCGTGGGTGTGCACCGCTTCTCTGGGTTCAGACTCAAGCACCGGTCCAGTAGATCCACGAACTGGGCCAGCTCTTTCGCCTCACTGTCCGTCATGCCCCGCGTCTCCTTGCCTCCCATCAGTCGTGTCTTCAGATCCCGCGTAGGCTTCTTGAAGTCTAGCACTCGCGTGACCGGTCGGCCGGTGATCTTGTCCTCTTCCATGCTGAGGAAGTTGAGCATGTCATCGAAGTGCATCGGCGTCAGCGATCCTCGCCGCAGAAGCTTCGGTGGGTATTTGCCACGGCATTCCATGATGGAACGTAGCATCTGGTTGTTGTTGCGGCCCGTAAACAGTATCTTGCCCGTATACAGCTCGAACAGGGTGCATCCTATCGACCACACATCGATGGCGTGATCATAAGGGATTCCCAAAATGATTTCCGGTGCCCGATAGAACCGACTTACGAGATACGGGGTGATCTCGTTGTCCGACGCCGGGGACGCGGATCCCAGGTCGCAGACCTTGAGGATGTTGCGCTGCTCGTTGACCAGAAGATTGTCCGGCTTCAGGTCCGCGTGGAGGATATTACATTTCCGGAGTAAGCTGAGCCCGAGGAACATCTGCTGGGCGTAGGCCCGGATGGCCCGCAAGTTCAAGCCGACATCGCGTCCGAATTTCTTCAGGACTTCGCGCAGGTTCATGCTCAGGTTTTCAAAGACCATGCAAAGATGCCCCTTGTGGTCGAAATACCGCTCAAACTTGATAATATGCTTCTTGTCTTCGGGGTCGGCCTCGTGGAGCTGCTCCAGGATGCCGATCTCCTTCATGCCCGCCTTTCTCATCGTATCATTTTGTCGGATGATTTTAATCGCAACCAAGCCGCCAGTCTTGGAGTCGGTGGCGCGGACGACCGATGAAAACATGCCCTTGCCAAGGTTCTGCTGAACATGGTATCGTCCGTTGATCAACTCCCCGAGCCGTACATTGTAATATCCTTCCGGGTCATCCCAGTTGTCCATCATGCTGATGTCGAGCTCCTTCGGTTGCGGGACAGCCGACTTGGCCGATGCATGCGTCGGCTGTGCTGTGTCTTGCGTGTCTTCAGCGAACATATCGTCGTCATCCTCCGCGAACATGTCATATGGGTCCTTCGCTTTGGGCTCGGGGGGCTGGACAGCGTTAGGCAGCAGAATATCCTGGCGGGAGGTCTGCGTTTCATCGTAAGACGCCGCAGACAGCTCCTCGTTAACACCGTCAGTACCATGTCTCTCCGTTTCGGCTTTCATATCCAGAGTAGGGTCGTAGTCTGCTGCAGACGGTTCGTCTTTATCTACACCGTCTACCGGTGCACCGTTATTCATTAGATCGGCATCTTTGCCTATTTTGAAATCAGAGAACGACTCCCCTGGACTATCAGCAGGTGTCTGGGGTGCTGACACCGGTGCTGCTTCTGTTGATGAACATAACATTAGCCTCCAAACTATAGCATCCAACCTGGACTTCACGGATCAAGCAAGTAGGGCAAGCTTACCAGAAACAGCGCCAGCCGATGCAGCAGTATCCACGCTTGGAGTGGATGAATCTCGGCTACCACCAATATGTAGCGCCTGCAGCCGCATCGGGGTGGCCTGGCCTCGGTATTTGGCACGAATGGCTTCACGTCGTTTGCGACGGGCCTCTAATTGAGCTGCTTCGTCCACGGGCTCGGCGGGAATGTGCTCTTCTTGAGGCTCGGGGGTTTCATTCATGCTGGAAACCAAGTTAGCCCGGTCAAGGGATCGACAGGCGTCAACACACACCTATCAACATGGGGATGCGAGGTTGCAGAAGCTGGCTGCACCTGACGTTTTTGAGTTTCAGCATTTTGTTTAACACCTGGAGCGACGACTGGAGTGTTCCCTCGCTCGCTCACTGACTGTTCAATAGAAGGCCTCCTCCTGTGACCCCGAGAGGCAGTTCTCTCATCTCTCTGAGCTTCCCCCTCGTCCCCTGAATACCGTTTAGGCTTCCGAACTTCGCGATATGGCGACCGGCTCCGCGTGCGAGCGCGCTTCTCTCTACGGCGATCCGAGTCGTCACTGTACCGGAGGAAATCATTGTAGTTCTCTTCGCGGTCGTAGTCATGATACGGCCTAGCTCGTCTGTCGGATTGACCTCGTCTGTAGTATTGGCTATCATCGTATCGGGAGCCGACGCGTGGGGGCGGGGCGTGTCGGTATCGCCGCTCGTCATGGTCAAATTCAGAGTCGCGATCATGGTCATAATCATCGTCCCGGCGACGCTTGTAGCCTCTCTGATCTCGGTAGGGAGAGCGGGACCGCGTACGCGATGTTGACCTGGTCCTGGTCCTGGATCGCCGACGGCGTGGCGATCTGCTCAAGTCGGGCGGAGACCGAGTCGCGGATGCAGTACTAGCTCTGGTGGGACGGTCAACTATGCTGCCATTAAGAGGAAGTTTCGACGTAGTTGCCTTCGTCTCTGAACCTGATTCGATGATCTCACCCTCCGAAGGGCTCGATAGAGACCTCGACCTGCGTGATGCCATGGCTGCGATGCACACCAGCAGGGACCCGGGGTGAACTAGAAATGCGGCTGGCTCTTCGAGCAGCTTCAGAGACCGAACAAGTGAGGTCCGGTTAGCAAGAACGTTTCCGATGACGCGTGATGTGGGAGAGTATATTGAGAAAGTCCAACCGGCTGAAGATGCCACGGCCCTTGTCCTTGACTAAGTACTGTCTCAGGAAAGTACAAGACAGTTCTGTGGGTTTTTGATATGATTTATTATAATGTTTTTCTTCTTTATTGAATGGGGGAAGTTCTGGTGGTCCTTTCGGATTTCAAAAAATAGACCGAACCGCGTGTGACGATTTGAACCAGGATGGCTAGGTGGGTGAAGGATGGAACGACGGCGGAGGACTTGCTTGGCTGCGAAAACGGGGCAGCGATGCGAGCGATGGGATGATGGAGGAGAGCCTGAGGTGTTGCCGGGCGGTGAGGTGAGCCCATCGCCGAGATTTCCTTCCCTATCTAACCTCTTCCGCGCTAGTGGCTCCCCGCGGGACAATCGCTGATAAGCAGCCGATTTTTTGCGCCGCCCGTTTCTTCCCCTCCTCACGCTGCAACGCCACTTTCATTCATTTCCCTGTCCAACACTCCACTGTTTATCAAACTACTACACAATGGGCGGTGCAAGCAGAGAAGGTATGAGACCCGTGCCCACCTCCAAATATGCCCGACCATATACTAACCACCTTGTACAGGCGGCAAGGTCAAGCCCCTCAAGGCGGCCAAGAAGGACAAGAAGGAGCTCGACGATGATGACCTCGCCCACCAGGCCAAGCTCAGAGCCGGTATGTCCCCACGTTTTGCCGGTCCGAATCTTGTCCTTCCTCCAAAGCTAATCACCCCCGGTTTTACACAGATGCCAAGGCCAAGAAGGAACTGATGGAGAAGGCCAAGGGCAAGGGTCCCCTGAACACCGGTGCTCAGGGTATCAAGAAGTCGGGCAAGAAATAGTCGGGCCATGGGGATCTCTCAAGCATATCCTCACGAGACACAACGAGCTACGATCCACGAACACAGAGTGGAGGATTCGCATTGGCATGGAGCACTATTTCCCTGAGCAACCATTTTTCTTGATACTTATTTCTTTTCAATAATGCACCTTTCGTCATCCACAAAGTAACATCCATAAAAGAACAGAACAGAACAGAAGATCCGTTGGCTTCCATCCTACAACACGCAGAATCATCCATATCATCAATCACCAGCATCAGCTTCAGGATAAAGAGCCTCCCAACAAGCGGAAAGGGTATCATTGCGCACTGCACAGTAAGAAAACAAGATGCCCCACCGGCATCGTTAGAAAGAAGTAAACATGAACCTGCTGTATGCTGCCCAAGGGTATTCGCAACGCTGAAAGACACGACCCGGCCACTATCCAGCAGCAGGACATCTGACCAAAGAATAGCGCAAAGAAAATAACATGGCAATGACAAGAGAGGGGAAGTGGAAGGAAAGATGGGTTAAAGGAATACCCAGAAAGAGAGTCCAAGAAGCCATGGCTGATGTTCAACTGGTCACCCGTTTGACCCATAGGCTGGAGCCCCCACCGAACCCAAGATCGTCACGCCTCTTCCAAGCCCGGAACAGCTTCAGACCAATCTCGTGCTCCTCTCTCTTGATTTCAGCGAGTTCGGATTCAAGACTGGCTACGGTCAGCTTCACTTCGTCTCTGGCAGCCATGTCGTAAGCAACGGAGCTAGGCTGGATCACTTGAGTTAATTCATAGATTATCGTGTTGATATTCGCTTTGCGGCGCGCCAGGGTGTCTTTGCGAGCCTCCAGCGTGTCTATGCGGTTCTGAACTTGTTCCTGCGGCGTGACTTGTAATTGATCCTTGGGAGCCTCGGCTTCAGTGGCCTGAGAAGGTGTGGGCTTCCTGGTAGGCTTTTTTCCAGGCGCAACAACGCTGGGTACCGGGCGTTTCCGAGACATGATTGATGGAAGATGATCGGTGGACTGGGATGCTGCATCCACGCTACCGCGCGCGCTTCCGATGGAGCTGCCTGTTTCCGTGGCATCATATGTAGTTGCACTGAACCGGCTCGCGGGCTCTTCGGCCAACTCATCGGTTGTTAGTTTCAGGTCAGCCAGCGATGACTCCCAGTCAGGCTCTGGAAAATCAACACGAGGTGGCTCAGCACTGCTGATGCTAGTGGTCGGAGCGGGTTCCTCGGGTGTTCGTGTTCGGATATTATCCCTGCTCGTTGCGTGCTTAACTTTCTCTGAGGTCTTCGGTTTAGGGTCACCTGCCGTAATAGTGGTCACGACAGTCGGCACAAAAGCGCAGGCAGCAGCGTAATCGAGAGTCATGCTGTTCGCTTCTCTCATTCTGTCGTTGCTTCGTGACATATGCACCCGTGCTGGAGATTTAGCTCTCGGCCTTTCCTGGATGGGCGTTACTATCGGAGATCGTCCACTAGGTCCCTTCCAAGGCTCGCGCACGCCGGGCGGAAGCGTGTTCTCGGGTTTCGATAGGCGCGTGCGTGGTTCCGATGGTTTCTTTTTGGCATTGAGATGATCCTTGCCCCAGCCGAAAATATTCGAACTATGGGACGATGGAGGCTTTGCTGTGATCTCCGTGCGGAAAGAAACACTGCCAGGGGTATTCTGGGCAGATCTGCTCAGGTCGCCGGGCGACAGCTCGCCTGAAAAGTTGTCCCATCTGGTCGCGTAGCCTCTGGAGGACTTTGGCGTCTGTAGCCGGTCTGCCTGGGAGTCGGCGCGTTTGCGCAAGACGGGCAGCTGACTGGCAAACCTGGTATTCTCCTTGTTCTCCATTGATACGGCGCTTGGATCGTAATTAGGTTCGTCCTCTATAGGCGAAACACGCGAGCTGTCGCGACTAGCCGGCGGGCGACCGAAAGAAATGGGCGAGTCCGGAGGTGAAATGCTTGCACTGTCGGGTCGGCCTAGGTCGTGACTGAAGGTGGCTGGATCCAGAAGATAATTATGTGACAAACTGATAGAGCGCTGGTGATACGGGTCACCACTCGCAATGTCCAGAGCATGGGAGGAGGAGGTGACCCGTCGACCCGTATCGGGGCGTTGTGCAGGAAGGAGCGAGTCCGTAGGATTGCTGGAAGAAGTCAGAGAGTCCAGTTATAGTCACGACTGGAAGAAGGAAGGAACGACTGACCGTGCGATTGCCGGGCGAGTCCTGGAATGGGCCAGGTTGTCGCTGCTCTGGCTGCCAGGAGCGGGGGACAGAGACCGGTAGACACTATCATCCAAGGTCTTGTCGATCAGGGTGGGATTCCCGATCACCGGCTTGCGCGATCGGTGGAAAGACATTTTCCCCCACATCTTGTCGATGTACACAGGGTGGATTTTGCGAGTAAAGTCTGCGGCCAAATGATGCACCAGGTAAGTATAGACCCCGCGAGGCTAGACTTGAGTCGAATTGTCCGGAATGTGACCAGTATCAGCACATACCTCAATGGGTATTTCTAGAAAGGAATGAAAGGGTCAAGCAAGGAGTGACACAACAACGGTCGAGGATTAACATAGAAAAAGCAAACTTGGTGAAGATAAGTGGGCTTCATGCAGCTGACATGCCGGCACGTCATCCAAATGAAGCAAAAATGAAGCAAAGATCGATCAAGCTCAACAAGACGAGGGAAGGGGAGAGAAAGAAGAAAGGGACCAGCTGATGGGAATGAGCGGGTGATTAAAAGCGGCCGTGGATTGTGATAACAACTACTACAGGCATTGAACAAAAGACAAAGCGAGGGGAAACAATGGGGAGAAAGGAAGCACACGACCAACGGCTATCTGCCCCTCCTCAAAAGCTCAAACAAACCGGTTTGCCTGCTGGAGGCGGAGAAGAGAACAATAATAATGAATGAATGGAGCAGGATGGATCCGAATGGGCACGGAGGGAAACAACTGACAGCAGCACCTGGCGCCGGGGGGGTCCTGTTTCAGAATCATTCGGTTAGTTGAGGCCGGTCCTCCATTCTAATTTTAACTGTGCCATGGTCGAGAGCAGTCCAAACCCCCATCGCAATTAGACGATCCCCATGATTGAGGTCTTAAATATAGTAGCAATTAGCAATTGGCAATTAGCCATCCTCCGTCGCACGATCTGGCACCTCCGAGTGGTTCGGTTCAGGATTGTTTGATGATCGTTTTCTTTGGGCTAATCATCCGAGCGTAACTTACGGAGTCCTAAGCAGTCAGTAAACAAACCCGCCATCCGGCATCCACACTATATAGATACCTGACCCTCCAGGCATCCACGGCACGTGCCGATAAACCTCCCGTACCGGTATCTGTACCGTACCGACTGTGTCTCCGCATGCATTCCCCCATTTCTGATTGGCCAGTCTTCTCAACGTCGTCATAATCACGATTCCCGCCGTCTCTCCGACACCAGCGTCATCATCTTAATTTCATCTCCATCACCTCCTCTCCCAGGTCCTACAACACCACCCATCTACGAAACAACCATCCATCCACCATGTCCTCCCCAGGTACTCCCATCTCCCCACATCTCCAAATTCCAAGCTAACATTCACTTGCCCTAAAGACAATGCGGTCCCGCCGCCCGCCGAAGTGTCAGTTCCCACCACCACCACCTACCTCCATCCCATCCCAACCCATCCCATCAAACAAACCACCACTAACCCCCACCAGCATGACGATCGCCTCCCCTATCAACCTCATCCTCCTTTCCCTCTTCGTCATAGTAGTATACCTCCAACTCCGCCCCAAAGCCCCCGTCTGCCTACCCAAGGGCCCTGCCCCCGTCGTCTTCCGCACCTTCACCCCAACCACCCTCCTCCCCTACAACGGCGAGGGAGACCAACCCGTCTACCTTGCCGTTCGCGGCCGTGTATTCGACGTCACTCCGGGCAAGAACTTCTATGGACCGGTATGTTGCCTATTCCTCCAACCTCGGTATCCGGCCACGGCGGAACGGAAGCAAAATGACTAACGGGGAAAATGTCGCAGGGCGGACCGTACGAGAACTTCGCTGGTCGGGACGCGTCCCGGGGTCTGGCTTGTCAGAGCTTCGATGAGGAGATGCTCACCAAGGACCTGAAGGCTCCGTTGGATGACTTGAAGGATTTGGATTCGGAGCAGTTGGAGAACCTGCAGTCTTGGGAGGAGCGGTTCTCTGAGAAGTATTTGGTTGTTGGGAAGTTGGTGGCAGAGAGGGATCCGGAGGCAGCTAATGCGTGAAGTGGTGGCTTATGACGGTGTGTATGATGTTGGTTGTTAGAGTGGGGGTTGTTGATTGAGTAGGGTAGATGTAGGTTTGAATGCGGGTTTGATATGGTTGACCTGAGCGGGTTTGTCACGTGCAATTGCTGTTTCAAAAGCGTTCGGTTTGAATGGTGAATGGGACATGGCCCGGTGGTTTAAGAGGTTTCGGGATCTTGGGTGTTTGGACGTCTTCTACGGAGTATAGCTACCTAGATTTCAGGATGATTGTACCATTGTACAATTATAACGGATCATTTGAAACTTCTCAAATACTAATGCATTAAGTCACAATTCAACCCCCCGGCCCAATTTTTGCACCCCTCAACTAGAAGCAAGTATCATAGACCGTCTCAACCGCATATTGCAGTCATTATGTGATGTCATAAAGTCGTATCCCACGAACAACGCCCAGCCGGCAACATGAACATCAAAAAATCAAATTGATTTACAGTTCAACCCGAAGGCTCTCGGCGGCGTCGGAACCCTTGGCCTGTGCTTTCTCGGCGGCTTCCTGGCCTTTAGTCTGTGCTTTCTCGGCAGCCTCCTGGCCCTTGGCCTTAGCCTTCTCAGCGGCTTCCTGGCCTTGGGCTCTGCCACTGGACGCGCCAATCTTCAGCTGGTCCAGGACCCACTGGCTGACACCCTGCAACTTAGCAAAGATGGTTCCCTGGGGGCTCGAGGTACCGTATCGGAAATATTGGGAGTTCCGACGAGCAGCCGCGCGTAGTTCATTGAGTCCAGAACCCTGATAGACCGGGATGCCGTACGAGTCAAGATACGTCTTGAGGTCGGAATGGGTCCAGGTATCGAATGCGGAATCCTTGGCTGCGTCGGTGGCCTGCGCCATGTAAGAGGTAGCAGATGCGAGATTTGTTCCTCCGGTCTTGGAAGCCTTGGCGTAGGTGTCCTGGGCTTGCTTTACAAGCTCGTCGCGGGTGATATCGGCGCGGTGAGATGCTTTGGCATTCATGGATGACAGGTACTTCCTGAAACGATATTAGACCACTACTTTGATGATTATGAGTCGTAGACTGGGATCTTACTTCAAGTGCTCGGTATCCCAGGTATCAAACGTCCAGGCAGTCCAGCCAGTGGCTGCCTTGTGGCTGTTGAGCCTCACCTTAGCGAGGAGCTCATCGCGCTTGTTGCTCTGAGGCACAGGAACACCACGCGCATCGAGGAATGCCTTCAGACGCGAGTCGGACCAGCTATCAACAGTGGCATCGAATGAATTCTGAGCCTTGAGCTGTGCGTCATCAGTGGCTTGGGCGTACTGGTTGCCAGCCTTAGACGTAGCGGCACCGATGATCTCAGTAGCAGTAGAAGAGATGGTGGCAGAAGCCTCGGACGCCTGGCTGACCAGAGAGGCGCGATGTTTTCTAGCTAGAGCTACCAGTTCGTTGCGTCTAGAACCTTGTGGCACTTTGACACCGTGTTCATCGAGGAAGTTCTTCAAGTCCGAATCAGACCAAGCTTTGAACAGAGCATCACTCAGGGTAGCCTGTGCAGCTTCTGCGGAGGCCGACGCAGATGCAGCGATGTTCTTCGCATGTAGACTGGCCAATCGAGCGTTCCGGCGTACTGACGCAATAAGCCTGTCCCGCGTTGTGGGTTGCGGGACCGGCCAGCCACGCTCATCAAGCCATTCCTTCAGATCAGACTCGGTCCATTGCTCATAAACCCAGTTACCGGGGTAAGCGACAGCCTCCCCAAGCTTGTGGGCGATATTCTCATAGTTTTCACGAGCAGTCTTCAGAAGAACATCACGCTTGCGTGGCTGAGGAGCAGGAACGCCATGACGATCGAGGAATGCCTTCAACTGAGAGTCCGACCACCTGTTTGTAGGCAATTAGCACATATGCGGTTATATGAGGTATGACCTTGCGTCGACTCACGTGTCAAAGAGCCATTCTTTGGCATCATGCCAGTGATCAGTGGAGTGCGCTGCAGCGTGTCCCAAGGGCTTCTGCACTTTCGAATCCCAATTGGACTTCACTAGGGTCTCCAGATCTTTGCGATCGGCAGGCGAAGGGTATGGGATGTCTGTAGGTTTTGTCAATGCTATGCATCGAGGAGATGGTGAGAAGGTCTTCTATCGTACCATGATCGGAAAGCCATCGTTCTAATTCTGTTTCATGCCACTTATTGTAAACTAGAACGTGTTAGCAAATGACGCGGACTCTAACGAATGTCCCCATGGGATGGCATTGCTTGTAGAGGTATGGAAGTAGACATACCAGCTTTGCTGAACCAGCTGGATGCTCCAACCGCCTCGGCGGTTGCCAGAGCAAATACCAAGCACGAAGCCAAATGGAGCTTCATCCTGGCGAACTATGAAACCTATGTCGAGCTGCTTGGTTATTGTTTGCCTCTCACGCCGATGTTAGCTTCTGTGGCTCTAGCTCCCGGTTGCAAGAATAGGCAACTCACAATGGCAGTTTATGGTGATATGGAGAAATTTAGCAGGAAGGATTAAGAGGAAGACATCCAGGGATGAAGATATTTATTGGTAGCCGTAGAAAGGAATCAGGGAGGCGGCGCGGGATGAGCATCGAGTGACGTATTGCTGAAGAGGAGCTGGCCATCCTCCGTTCTGGCGTCATCGATGATTGAGTGGCCCATGGTCGGTCTCCCCGCTGGATTGTGTAAGCGTAGAGTTTCCCCGCTACCGCGTGAATGGACGACGACGTGTTCGCTGCCAGAGTTGCACCCGGTGCTTTGTCCCCCACGAGAATAATGATGCAGAGAAAGAGATACATCGATACATCGATCCATCGATCCATCGATCCTTCCAAACCAACGCGGATGCAAGGCACATGATCTACCGCTAACTCTTTAGGGCGAGCGGGCCCGCCTTGCCAAATTGGGGGATGCGGAGACGGCGATAAGGAGAGCCAACAACAACACCGCCGGCCAGTCCATCGACAATCCTCCGGCACCATCCTATTGCCTCTTGAAGCAATTCAGCCGTGACAAGTCATCCTCATCCACTCGTCATCGGGCCCAATCAACGCGCATGTGTGTTGGTATGAGAATGCTGTTTTAGAATCCAATAACCCACTGCTGTCTCTGGCCTCCTCCGCCGCCCGTCCTTAACCGCCCCCTATGCACGGGGCATAAAAGTCCAGCTGTGCTCGACGACCCCGTTCGCAGAATAAGTGACTGTGTTTATCTGCCTGGAACAGTACCTCTTTCTGGAGACAGGAATCTCTCGATATAGACGTGACTTTGAATACCTCCCTCTCAACATGGAATCCTTGAACCCGCAATGCGAGCATCTGGCCTCGCCGGAATATAAGAACTTCATCCTCTCCATGTATGCTCCCTCCTATTGCCTTTAATGGATCCACATAAGTACTAATCAAAGCAGTCTCATCGTTTTTGGGATTCTCCTCTCTTACACCCCCCAGCATGTTCGCATCATCACGATGAAGAGCTCCTTCGGAATCTCACCGTACTTCGTCCTCCTAGGAACAACTTCCGGTTCGTCCTCTCTGGCGAATGTCATCTCACAACAGCAGAGTCTACAGGACATGGCCTGTTGCAGGGTTGTCAATGGTATGGGTTGCTTTTCAGGAATACTAGGTATCCTGCAAGTTGGGACGCAATGCCTCTGTTTCTTCGTCATGTAAGCCCCCCACCCCCAACAAAAGACCATCAGCAATCACGCATTCAGAACTAACCGGGAAACCCCTTCTCCTTCAAATAGCCTGTTTCTCTTCGTTCTGTTCTACCCCAGAAACACTTCCCACCTCCCCAAGAATAGCCCAACATATCGCACCGCCCTAATCGTAGCCGGTGTCTGCATCGTTCATGCGCTAGTGATGCTCATCATCACCATAGCAGTCGGCTACACACGGGCATCTTCGCTCCAAGAATGGTCCAACTTCTGTGGCGTCCTGTCCGCCCTTCTCGCTTCAATTCAATACTTCCCCCAGATCTACACCACCCTTCGACTGCGCTGCGTGGGAAGTCTCAGCATCCCAATGATGTGCATCCAGACCCCCGGCAGTCTCGTCTGGGCAGGCAGTCTGGCTGCCCGATTGGGTCCAAAGGGCTGGAGCACCTGGGGTGTCTTGATCGTGACAGCATGCCTACAGGGCACGCTTCTATGCTTGGGCGTCTTCTTCGAGTTCCTGGGACCCAACCGGGGCCACAGCCATGAGCATGACAAGGACGTCACTGCAAATGGTTCTGTGGAGGAGCACGGACAACAGGAGGACTTTGATCAGGATCAGCCTTCCGAGGAGACTCCGCTGCTTCGGGACCAGTGATGTCCGTGCCGATTCGGGATTGACAAATCGGCATTCATTCAATATGCCAAGAATGTGATTGGTAAACCTTGCCATGCTGCGGATGGATATTCTCCGCTTGAAAGGTTCTGTTTCAACGCTTTGTATACCTACCTACTTACCTAGACTATATATCTTGGCCACAATATGACAGCCGCTGCTGGTGCAGCCATTCAAGACAAACTCTACTGACGCAAACCCCAAAAGGGTGAAGTAGTAAAATTAGTAGTTGTTTTCTCTAATCCAGCTGTAAATCGCGGCTCAATCCCACTAGACGGATCGAACTATATTCAAGCACATGGTATAGTATACTAAGTAAGAGCGAAAAGAAAGTCACAAAAATGGGGAATAAATGTAGATGACAGCAACCAACAGCATGTCAATCCTCTTGAATTCATTATCTTCATCTCGGGAACTGCCTACTATATAGGCCTTTCGGCCCAACCAACCAGCGCAGGTTCATCTCACCAAGCCTCAACATCCGTTGTAGTACATTTAACCCAGGATCAGACGGAAGATGTCGTTGAAGACGAAGTAGCTGCCAGCACCGTCGGGCTTGAGGGTGAAGGTCTGGGTGTAGTTCATGGGGCGCTGCTCCTCGTCGATCTAGATAAAAAGGAACCCAGTCAGTTCCATATAATGATATATCCAAGAAGAAAATATCCCTAAAACGGGCTTAGTGTTTCCCGAGACGGACGGAGACATACCAGAAGAGCACCGGTGACCATGACGATGATGCTACCTTCGATGGAGGGCTGAGCGTCCAAAGTCGAGATCTGGTGCTGGACCTTCTGGAAAGCAAGGCTCTGTATGGTTGGATCGCCGGGGTTAGTAAAGGAGGTCTGGTTTGATACTCTATTAGGCGGGAAATACTAACCAGCAGCTTCTCCATGATGGGCGCAACACCCAGGTGGGAGGAGGTCTCGAAGGTGAGCATGGACTCATCGCGCTGTGGTGGGGATGCATTAGTTATTGTGAACGTAGGGATTGCGGGGCGCTGATCAAGCGTACGTAGAGGCCGGCCAGCTGCTCACGGCTGCTGTCGAAGGTGTTGTAGTAGAACTGCACAAACTGCTCTGTTCCGGTCGATGTATGTTAGATTGGGGATGAGTTGTTTGGGGTTGGGTTTGCTTGGGCATCTAGGATGCAGGATGGGGGGTTGACAATGCGACGACGCAGGAAGCCATCCCCTGGTTGATGAAGCAGGTGGCTTGAGGGAAGTGACACGTACGTGCGATGTTCGAGAAGTCTAAGCGTAGGAGGCATTGCGTTAGCATTAATCATGGCAATTGTATAAGGATGGTAATGTGTGGTTGCCGTCGAGGGGCGCCCAAGAGCCTCACGGAGGGGCAGCAAAACATCAGATGGGAGGGACAGGCGTCGTGTGGGTGTGAGCGGCGGCGCAAGAGGGCACTTACCGGCCATTTTGATGGATGAGGGATTTGCGGGATCTAATAGGGATAGAAGGAGAGGAGACCAGGCAATGGAAGTGGGATAGACAGGAAGGGAAGAGTCGAGGTTGACATCAACATCAAAAGTATTTCCGTCGCGAGGGGAATTGTGGGGCTGTCGGCAGGTCGCTGCCTTACAGGTTAAGGCAGCGAGCCTGTCACTTCGTCAGGTTATTAATCAAGATTATTCAGGAGAACTACGGTTCTACCTCCTGAGCCATTAATAATAATCTTAATGCCGCGCGATTCACAGCATCTGAAGTCTGCACTGTACGGGAAAGGGATTGCACCCAAGCATAATCACCAAATAATATAGACAAGATCATTCGACTTCATCATCCATATCTGAACAGTGTTCTCATTCCGAGTCCGAGTCTGCAAACATGTCTTCTGCTCTAGGCCGGGGCTTGCGGGCTGGTGGTTGGGGTTCTGGTTGGGGTTCTGGTTGGGCTGAGGGCTCGGCTGGTTTCTCGGGCTGCTCCTTCAGGCCACTATCGTCCTCGAGGATTTCCTCTTCCAATGGGTCCTCATCCGGCCCTTCCAGGTCACTGTCCTCCATTGGCTCCCCATCAATATCGCTCATGGACTCTCCATCGAAGTCCTCGGTCCCTGCCGGCGCAACATTCTCCTGGTCAACATCCATCCGTTGAGGATCAATGTCCGGAGCTCGTCCGGGATCAAACTTGCCGGAAGTATCTTCGTCAACTGTCTTCCAGCGGCTCTTGTTCTTGGAAAATGCACTCGCAGCCCGTTCGGCCTCAGCCTTCTCTCTTTCCTCCCGCAGTTCCGCTTCCGTGAGTGGTGGTTTGTCAAAAATCTGGAAGAAGTGTTCTTGGCTTGATTGCGGGAACACACACCAGCCTTCCCACAAGTGCAGAAGAGAGCCAACGCTGCGTTTCCACTTTTCAGCCCTCAGCCGTCCCCACTGCAGGTCTTTCTCGAGTCTCCCAAGATGCTCGAATACCTGGTGTGTTTTCAAGGAAGACTCAAAAAGCTGCCGGTAACGCCACGCATGACGCACGCCACTCGTGGCAGAAGAGGAAAGGATATCGGATACAAGGTAGAGACCAACCAACTTGGCAGAAGATAGATCCAGAGTCTCTTTTGTAGACAACCGCCCTTCATCGGCCGGGTTATCATTGGCCAGGTCTCCTGCTTGTTCTCGTCGAGTAAGACCTTTTTCTGCTTCACGATCAGGATTAGCCCCAGTGTAGGCGAATGGGTTGATGATGTTTGAGACAATCATTTCCACAACTTCGTCGGCTCCTGCACCAGCGTGCTCGATGGCAAAAGCAGTAACTCGTGCAACATCGCCTTTCCGCAACTTGGCATGCGTAGTCGGAAGTCGAGCAAGTAAATGGGTTAGCTTGGCCTTTTGCAATGGATTCATATACCCTAAGCCTTCATTGCTTGCGCCAGACCCCTCTGCTGGTGGTGCACCACCAAGGTTTCGTCTTTCCTCCTCATAATCAGACATTTCTTCATCGGAAGAGTCGTAGTCATCATCCGTCACAAACTCGTCCATGCGGGTTGTATATTCGAACTTTATATGCGCCTCCGGTGGAGCCCAGCTTGCACCACCCTCGAAAATAGTTGATGAAGGCTGAGGCCTGCCTCGTCGGTTTGCGACTGGGCGGTTGTTCGTGAGAATCTCCCATATTTTCCACCTGTAGTATACCCCACCAGCACTTCTTGCATTCCATAGCCATGCCCATTTTTCTTCCCTTTGAACCTCCGGTCTGCTCATTAGTAGTGCCTCAAACTCCGGTCCATAATTCAATAGATTCTCCATTGTCTTGTGGATCAGCTTCAGCTGTTTCAAGTCTGACGGTGCTTTCACCTCGACCTGCGTGGAAGGACCCCTCCCGTGTGCTGGCCCATACGACGATGGTGGCGCAAATCCTCCACGATGCAAACCTGGTGGCGGAGCGCGATTCAATCTTCCTGGGATATCCGGCGCTATCGACTTGGCGCCAAAGGGGAGAGAGCATGTCGAAGACAGGCCGACAGTGACTGGTATCGTCGAACCAATAGCGGCGGAGGAAAGGTGTCTCGAGATTGTCAAATAATATCCCCATCCTAGGTATCTGTTCTGAAGAGCGCTAACAGTGCTGTCAATATCCGAGGCCGCGGATTCGTTTGCGAGGGTCACAATGGCGGCTACTGATTTCCGGTCGGTTATAGGCTGGCCTAGAGGGCGCAGGATCTTGACATTGTCGACAGTGAGCACGGAGGGTATCAGAGACTTAAGCACTGAGGGTGAAGTTCCCGGCGGTAGGGATGCTAGGTATAATGTAGGTTTAGCAGCAGCTCTTTCAGCCTCTTTCGCATCACCAGCGCCTTCATCGTCATCGTCTGAAGCACGGAAAGCCGACACCGCGGCAGCCGAACTGGGCGCGGTGTTGTCAAAACCCAGTATGCCTTGTGCCGTATCCCGATTTCGGTGAAGTGGCTGGAGACCTTCGTGTGTGCGTTTTCGAGAAATAGATTGGGGGGGAGGGCCCAGAGTACCAGGGCCGCTCATGCGCGGGTTAGAGCTTGTAAAATGCCGCTTTCCAGGGCCTCCTCCAAAACCCGGGTTCTTGGGCGGGAACCTGCTCAGTCTTCCATCACCAGAATGCCGATCGGGGCCGTGAGAGTCATCTTCAAATGACTTGACAAAGTCCTCATAAACCGCGGCGGTCTCGGCTTGCTCTCGGGCACGTTTGGCTTCGGCTTCGGCTTTCTGACGTTCGAAGAGGGATTTCTTGGGGATTGCAGACAGTTTGGCCGATATGTCCGGGAAGCCTTTGGGCTTCGACTCGTCCGACATGGCGACCAAGCTTCAGCGGCAAGAAGCTTTCTGTTGGGGGAGTGGCTATGAGAGACGGAGGAGCGATCGGGGAAGCTGGTCGGTCGGACTTGGGCGCGGAGGCGGAGATTAGAGCGGTCGTAGCCTGAGGCAGGTTTGCGTCACGCATCCATCTTACTTGGCACTTCGTCTACACATTATCTACTCTCTTTACTCCGTAGTTTTAAGGTCACTTGCATCTGCACCGGTCGGCATTTTCGCCTACGGTTGGGAAAGCACGAACTCACTATCAGATCTATAACATAGCTTACAAAGTTTACCTGATTGATTAGTCTTCAAGATATATCTTGGCCCAGATGCATATAGTACGGTTGTCGATCTCAACGCCATTTTATCGACTGCAGATTACCGTTCAACTATTATATTCCTGCTTCAAAAAAGTTCGTAAACGGCTCACGCATGGAGAAGGAAAGCAAGCATTTCATTCAACGTGGACCATACGAAAACTGATCGACATAGACATCGAGCTCATCGGGCCATCATGCTGGAAACAACAGATGGAAGGAATCGCCCGCATACCAAACAATGATCCCATCGAGGGTTGTCAGACTATAAGGCTTTGCGATGCGGATGAAAGCTATATATCCCACGGTGGGCGTTCAAATACCTCTCCTGCGTTAAAGATCAGTCATGAGACGAACAAGCATCTTGGACAACCATCCAACGTACAAAGAGCCAACCCGGGAGGAGCCTGTTCGCCCACTTGACTATTCCAGCTAACCCTCCCCTCCATATCTGCCCTGACTGTCCATTCAGTACATCCGAGACGACATGCCTCGCGCACACCTCCGCTGACTCCGTTTTGATGATAAATTTGCCAGCAGCACCATCAAAGATAGATTCCCTCACTTGCTGGTAATAGGAGCTGGCTGGGATCTCCAGAGCCGGGCCATTGCTATAAATATTCGACTCGACTTCACCCAGCAGGACAGAATGAACTCGCACCCCGAGCGGCTCCAATTCAATGCGCAGGACCTCCGACATCGACAGCTGGGCTGCCTTTGAGCTATGGTATGTACCTGTTCATGTGGATAAATATGGTTTCTATATAGAGAGGTATTAGACGCACCTTGCCAGGCCACATACAATGTTGCAGCGATCGAAGTGATATTCACTACCATACCCGATGTTTCTACCAGCAACGGAACAAATCCCTGCGTGACTGCTAATGTCCCCCACACATTTACGTCGTATACTTCCTTCGCCTCTGGAATGGACACATCCAACATGGGGGCAACCAGCATTACTCCGGCATTGTTCACCAGCACATCCAGCCGGCCCCCTGTTATGGATCGGACAGATTTCACACAATCTGCGATCGAATCGGGGGATGTGACATCCAGAGGCAGAATCTCAAGGTTGTCTCTCTTCATTGATTCGGCTTTGATGGGATTGCGCGCGGTAGCGAACACATGAAAGCCGCGTTCTAGGAATGCGAGAGCCAGTGCAGCTCCAATACCCCCTTCAGTGCAGCCAGTTATCAGTGCTGTCTTGTTTGATGACATTATTCGGAGCTTTCTGTTGCTCATCCCTCAAGTTGGGGTAAGTGCTGAAGAAAGACTATGCACAGGCCGATGGGGAGGGTCGGTAATAGAGATGGTCAAAGGCCCGGTTTGGCAATCCTTAAACTTTGGTTCATACAGGTTTAAATTCTGTAACGAGATCTGTCTACCTGGAATCTCACTGGATATTCTTGGTACTTTTTCTACATTAACAATAACGCCCGCCCACTTAAAGCCACGCCCGAAAGGTTAAACATGCATGGCCCAGTCTATGGGATACGATCAGAGGAAACCTCGGCTAATCAAGGTTTTACTTCCCTTGTCAAGTCTCATTGAATGTCAGTCATGACATGTCTGACTTTAGTGAAAGAAGGAGGTGGGGATATTTCAAAATAACCACTTGTTAAAGATGAACCGGACCAGAGAAAGGTAGCGTATGTTTGCTATATTTTCAAAGTATTTCGACACGAGGAATATTCTGGGGTAGGAATTGGCTCCGCACCGCCCCAATCTTTTTCACCCAGTACAATTCTGATATTGTCCGGGTCTGATTCTTGATGAACTCCATATCTTGTAGTGGACAGACTGCAAGAGATATATCTGTCAGCAGCGGATAATCTTAAATGAAGGGGTGGCAATATTGAACGCATCCGCTCACCTCCATGACAGGTTTGCCGTGCAATAGTACTTGCATCCATCGATGAAACTCTCGAGGTCCTTCAGCACGTCCCGGTCTGTCGAGTACCTTATCCGAAGCCTCTCAGCGGTGCCATCAAACTCGGTTATGGTGTGCCGAATGCTGTCCACGATATGATTGACTGCTTCTTGCGGTGATCCCAGTTTAGCGTACAGGATGGTTACCAGGTTCTCTCCACCTCCTTGGGCCTGTACATTCGGTCAGATAGTGATGCTCTCACGCTCTTAAAGGGCAGACATGGTGGTGATCCTAACGGACAATTTCCTTTTTAACTGACAGCAAATCATTGACACTGTGTTATAATTGTCGTGGTGTTAGCTGTCTTCGTCGCACTCATCTGGCCGGGGAGACTTGGGCAAATGACAGGAAGACAGCCTACCTGCAAATGTTCACATTGATCAGGTCCCACAAAGCGATAAAGTCAGCATCCTCGTTGACATACGCTGGAAGATCGGTGCAATTGCAGAACCTGCCAGGTTTCTAAATCAGCACTACCTAACTGTGCAGGCAGTTTCATGGGGGTCACACTGGCTGATGGCGAGCACCACTCGCACCGCGCCGGTGCCGAGACGATAGCGGGAGTATTTGTCCACCATCACCAAACTTTCTTCCAAACGTAGGCGCTGTTCGGTTTCCGATGTTTCCATAAAAAACTGGACTTCCTTCAAAAAGGTTTGCCGTTGATCTGTGCTCTTTATAAATTGATGTTATACGCCCTGGGAGGGAGGGGAGGCATGGACATACCCTTGCTGCAAGACTCTTGCAACGCATCTCCAATGAAGTCAAAGCTATTGATCACCTCATTGCTGCTAACCGTGAGATCCTTAGGATCATCAAAACCGAGCCGGTTCCGGACAAAAGCAAGAGTCTCCGCTCGATATTCCTGTGCCATGTCAAAGTCGCCTGCAAGGCTTCCCACGTCTGAGTCGAGCTCTAGAAGCGGTTATCAAATGCATTGACAAGGGGCTGCGGAATGAGATACCATCGTCCCACATGAAGAGCTACATGCACATTAGACTTATCCTGTAAGATCCTCGGAGTACAAAGGATTTGCTCACCCACAAAGAAAGATAGGTGGCAACTCGAAGCTGATCATACTCAACACACGGAAACCATGCAGCGCCGAAAAGCCCAAAGTCGCTACCGAGCAGTCTCTCTAGCCTGGGGTGGTGCGGGAAGCGACTACATGTCCAATTTAGCATGAGTCGCGGGCAACATATACCGAACTGGCAAGTGATATATGACCGTACGGATTGGGTCACATACTTTGTCAACATATATGTGACATCCTGGCGGAGTCTGTTCAAATGAGGGCTCACTTCAAAGGGCCAGTTGGCAAAAGCTGTGTGAAGCCCGCGGATAGTCAACGTTTGGTTTTGGAGACTCTTGATCACTTCAATCCGAGAGGTGGGCGCCATGATATGTCGGTCTGAAACTTTCGTCTGTATGAAGAATCAAGTTTCTCGACACTTCAAACTCGTCAATGGCCATCTTATATAACGCCATAGAGGTTGGAAACGGGCTAGTTCATTCTTTATCATCGATCGGGAGATAAGGCCGCAGGCCTTAAGACAGCACCATTCGCTTTTCCGTGGAATCGCAAAACTCTCCACGATGATCTACATTCCCAAGGTTCGGGACAACAAACCACGTTGGCAGGTGGCTTATGATTGTGGCGGTCAATGCTAATGTACGTCGATCACCCTTCAGGTCAATTATCATGCAAGATTCAGGTATTAGTTGACCACAGCCACAGTCATTTGGCACCATTCCAGATATCTTCTTGCAGCGCACGCCATCCAACAGTGGCGAGTGTACCGTGCATCCAACCAGGCAACCTTCACCAGCAATGCGCACATCTTCCTCCTCACTGCCTATTTGATCTTTGAATATGCTTCAGCACAGCAGAAAAACCCAGGATTGAGCGACTGCTTGGTTTAGCCCCACTATGGCTATTGAAATCTCGCCAAATTCATTCTTAGGGGGGCTGAGTGCGATCACCGCCTTGTGCAATTTGATCAAGACAGTTGGTTGGGTCGAAGTACTATCCGATTGTCTGCCCGTCTCGGAGGTCACTGATATGGCGCCATCAATAATTTACAATAGGAGTACGTATGACGGACACACGGCTGATGCTGATCCGATCTAGATAGGTAGTGCTGCCCCGCTGCGGCTATGTGTCTGGCGATCGATGCAGACCCTTGGATTCCTTATTTTGCGCCGCACGCAGCAGATATGCCGGGATGGATTAGACAACCAAGTACGATCACATGTGCTCGGTGCCTCTAAAGATTCTAGATGATGTGATAGCGTACTGAAGCCGCCATTGCTTCGACTGATGAGGTATCCTTGGCTGTCAAGTACGAGACAGCGAGAAATTGTGGTGTGGCCATTCTCTACGCCATGTTCTCTACTTGTGATTCCTCTGTCTAGCTCACGGTGGCGCCACATGATATCAAATCTCACTCGCCACTTTCTGCACCATCTTAACCAACTCCTCCGGCCTACTCAAAAATGAACAGTGCCCGGAGTAAATTGTCACCGTTGTTAGCTTTGCTCTTGCATCCACTGCATCTTATACCATGCTTTTCTGCAGCGGGCGTTTGATGGCCAGTCCTGGACTGAGTAGATATAAACTGTTGGGGGGTCTTTCTACACCCCCGAGGCTGCCCCGCAGTTATGGGTGACATTTTCCTTGGCTAGCTCCTCGGCCCTGGCAGGTTCGATATCATTGTAGAAAGAGGCCAGTGAGTTTTTGGCATATAATATCCCATTCCCATTGTTGCCTAGATCCACGTCACATTGGAAGCCGTACTTCTCGATCACACCGGGGAGCAAGTCTCCCGGTGAAACGAGCCAGGCGCTTAGAAGGACCAGATTTGACGACGCCTTTGGTATTTTCGCTTGCAGGGGTGGTGGCTTCAGATGCAACAATACCGCCGTACGAGTGTACCAAAGCCAGAATAGTATGACCTGTCTTGAGGAGCTCTTGCGCAGCGTGGCGGACAGCCATCACGTCCTCGGTTAGGGTTGCAGTGGGCGGGCGCTCATCCTGACAGGACGGGAGGCGGGGACAGGCCACGGCGAACCCAGCCCCCGCGAGACGAGCGCTGAAATCATCCCAGATCTGGGGAAGGGAGTAAGCCCCGTGAACAATTAGGATAGCTGTAGGCTTTTGGTGCGTCATCTTGCGAGGTACGGAAGGAGGGTTTGAGAAACTAGGTCCTGGCCTGCGGGAAGCCCCCAGCCCAAGGCATTGCGAAGCGCCTTAGTAAGCAACATGCAACGCACTTTGACCGTATTTAAAGAGCTTCATCAAGCGCATATAAAGGGCTACTAAAGGGCTCCATCGAGCGCTACTAAAGGACTCCGTTGAGCGCTGCTAAAAGACTTCATCAAGCGCATTTAAAGAGCTACTAAAGAGCCCCATCAAGCACTACTAAAGGGCTACTAAAGGCCTTCGTCGAGCACTACTAAAGGGCTCCGTCGAGCGCTTTTAAAAGGCTCAGTCAAATACTTAAAAACGCAGTACTTGATTCAGACCGTAGGTCTGAATATAGACTGGGAGGCCTTCCCCCCCCCCAGACCCCCTCCGAGACTCTTGTTAGGCTGAAGCAGTAAGTACCGGCAATATAGTTTAAGTCACGTTACGAGTGAATAGAACAACCAAACAGGAAGCCAAAATTGTGCAACTTGTTGGACCAATGAGAAGCCTCGAAGCTGGAAACTTCCCTAGCAGGACCGAACCTAGTATTGCTCAGCGCTAGCGCGCTTCGCAAATGATGTAGCGAGGGAACTGAGAGGAGAGGAAGAGGGCGGACGAAAATATAGATAGCATAGGTAGCCTTGGGGCAAGGCTGACACTATGCGAGGTGTAAGCGCTAGCTGTTGGTCAACTACTGTACTTGGTTAAATAACTAGGTAGCAAGAGAGACGCTTAGTATCGGGACGATCTGATCATTGGAAGGAGGGTACATGGGGCAGCATCTCAGCCAGATTATACCACTTAGTCTGCAATGCACAGCTGCATGGTCATCCAGGACTACTAACTAGAGCCTTGCTACCAGGGATGGAGACTGGACAAAAAACAACTGTGATTTAAGACACTCCAACTAACGGCGACCTGGCTTGGGGGCATACTGTATTGCACGTTGTGGAACCAACGGGCCCAGCTTAGTACTGCTGCCTATAGCAGCTGGTTTGAACATTGTACCGTAAACTCGCCTATGCCTAAGATTTGATATAATATAGTACAAAGATTACATTTGGGAATCCTACTACTTAGCTTAGCAATATACTTTGGCAAAGCAGCCTCGCGGAATAAATATATATAATTTGCACATCATCTCCACCTAGTGGGCATAGTCCCATAAAACCAGATAATCTGAATGACAAGTCCATTCTCAAACGAGAAGAAATGCATCTACCTGATCACCTCACCCACTCAATCCCCATCCCCAAATCCAATCAACTAAGTCCCTATACACCCGACGAACCCGTATCTCGGGTGGACAGGAACGGAAGCACAAGTTCAACAGTACTTACATCACATCGCCTATCAAAAGACCACAAACATTCGGCCCAGATAAATCTCAGACTTGATTCTACAATAATTTATTATCATATGCAATAGCTGTAATATGCAAACAAACTAGAGCGTGCGATGTAATATATTCACTACTACACAACCCACCAGCACAATATATTTTCTTCCACCGGGTAGTTCCTTCAACAAATGGGCCTATGGCGCAATTGGTAGCGCGTACGACTCCAGATCGTAAGGTTGTCCGATCGAGCCGGGCTGGGCTCATCCCATCTTTTTTTCATATATTTTTTTGTTCTTTGTGCACATGGTTTCTTTTCTCTCTCTATCGTATCCTGTCTTTTCCTACTCGGGGTCTTGAGTCTTGCTTTTCCATGGCGCTATTTACACCATCTCACCAATAGTGGGATTGGACATCCCTGGTCGACTATTCTTGTAAATGTACGAAAATCCAGAACATGCTCTGCCTCCTGTATAGCTTTTCTTGTAACCAGAAAGGTTTGAGATATACATATGATGAGTAAAAATACGGAATGAATGCGAGACCAGGTTGCGCTTAGCCTGGCTCCATAGAAACGGCCATCATTAGCCACGAGCACAATTGTCTATCTGCTCTTATGGCGCTAGGTCCTAGCATCTTCCTGAGCCCTCAGAGCAATTGCCAGCAGGATACTACCTAGCTGTTTCACATCTCCAGCTCTGGTGGTATCCCAAGGTCCAAACACATGTAAAGTAAGGAATCCAGGCTTCTCATCCTTGCCTAGCGTATTGTTCAAGTATCTAATGTAGTTGGCATCGTACTCGGCGAAAGTAAGATATATCTCATGCCTGTCCTGGGAAATGAGAATACGACTGACTCATCAGTATACAGCATATCCAATCGACTCATGGTATGAGATTGACTTACAGGCCACAACCGCTCGTAAAGTCATCGGGATCAGGCTCACACTTGATCCAGGCAACTATTTCAGCGGCCTCTTGCATCGAAATGCGATTTGATTGCTTGAATCTCACCATTGGCTTCACCTCCACGATTGCAAAAGTCTTAGGACCTCCATCTTCTAGACACCCATCAGTGCGGGCCTCAAATGATGCACTTCTAAAATTAGCTACGAAGGGCTTGCGATATAGCGTCCAATGAGACTGAACATTCATGTGGATCGTAAAAGCATTCAAAAAGTCGATAAGCGCGGTATTCACGATTTGCTCATCTTTCGTTCTAGGAAAGTTCAGATCGAGGAGCTCCTGAGGTCCATAGGACCTCTTCTCAGGTGGTGTTTCCGGAGTGACTTCATCGTGCTCAAGCTCCGGCTTCAAGACTGGTGTACTTGGCGGCTTCGTAGGGGTTTCGAATGTGAGTTTCCTCACACCTTCCTCTACCCTCTTCAGTTGACCACGGGTCCGATGCGCAATTGGACTGATAGCAACATTGGGCCGAAACTCGGTATCATGTGGAATCCGAGCAACCTGCTTTTAATAGAATCGAGGCAAAGCAAATGTCCCCTCCCCCAACTCGCCAGAGAAGCTGCTCAGATACGTTTTCCAGGACAGAGACTTATCCAGCATATCGGCAGCTCTTGTTTCCCACTCCTCCAACCAAAATCTGCCAACTTAAGCTTGCTCGACAGCTGACTTTTTTGCAGGACCCGAAGCATCAAGTATTGCTCTAGCTGTATCGTCGAAGCCGAAGTAAGATCAATGTTGTGAATAGTCTTGTTTTCCACCTTTTCGAGCCGGGCAGCGACATCCCACTTGCTCGGGTTGACTGGCAGTTGTTCCGACATGATATGAGAGACCCACTAACAAATTCGGAATGTCATGCAACTTGAGGCAAAGGAACAGCGAGGGGACCGTAAAGAGGTACAAAGGAGGAACGGGGATAAAAGGATGGGGGAGGGGGGAAGGGGGATAGCCCCAAGGAAGGCCCAGGACAGGTCATAGTTGCTTTACTGATGGTGGTGTCCTTGCCGCCCATTCCCCTCCTCCAGCACCGTCGCAATTCGTTGCGATTATGCAGCAATCAGCCGACACCGACAAGGATCGGAAGAATCGATCCAATGCGTGTAGCTGTCCTTGCCGCCCAGAGGAGAGGGGGTGTCCATAATGGCGCATTGGCCTGTCAGATAGATAGCAGGGAGGGAGGGAGATACATAGGTAGAAGGAGAGAGAAGGTAGCTACCTACTTAGGCAGGCACTATCTAGGCAGACACTAGGCAGGCACTGGCCCCGAGCGGGGCACGGCGGTTAGTGGTGGAGGCCCGTGTTGCGGCGCAACGCCACTGATTCGCAGGCACAACAACACGCCAGCCTCCTCTCTCTGCTTCTTCCACCACCGTTATTAATAGGTCCCCGCTCAGTCCTTCGGATCCTTTGCAGGCCCTCACACTCCCAGGACCATCTTCTCTCATAAGTTCTGTTTCTACCATGTCCAAGACCCCAGATACATGAACAACACGCGAGAGCTACCGTGCCGCGCTCAGAGCAATCAGGGACCAAATCATCACCAGATTGAAGACGGACCAGATTGACGAGTCCCAGGCGATACATGCAGGCATCCAGCAGCGCAACCTGTGTCTAGATGGACCAGAAGCCCCCCTTTTCTTTCAACCATACCAGGAGGAACTCGAGCCACTAGACGAACTAGAATATGCAATCTACGATCCCAGCCTGGAGGATTATCAAAATATCAGAGACCTGCATATCACTATGCAAAACTGTCTGTCCCTAGCAAGCCCCAAACTACCCAAAAACCACAGGCATTGCCTATAAACCGTACGCCATCTCATAAGATGCCTGGTGCCTTATCCTACTAACCACTAGCCCAGATGGGGAGACTTCAATTTCGAAGCGATGTTCGAGAATGATTACTATTGGCATGTGTCTTTCACGGCTCGCACTCGAATGGACATAAACCTACCCCATATGAAGTGTCTGATCGCAAACGATATCACCGGGGATGATCGACTTACTCGGGGGGAGCTGATCAGCATCGTAAATATCATGGTTGGTCGATTGCATACTAGACATCTTCGACCCCATGTAATAGCTCCAGTAAGTGTGCTGTACTCTCGAACTCTAAGGCATTTGCTTTTGCACGCGCTAATCCAGCCCTGTCATATCTCTAGGTCATGTTATACTCCCTCATGGGCCCACATCATCTTCGTGTTCTGGAGGCGTATTATAATGGCGTCAACCTCGTGGTGCGAAAAACGAAGCTGTATGATATGAAGGAGTATGATGAGAAAACCCTAGAACTACTTACGCGGTGGTGGTTGGGCCATGCGGTTGGAGATACTACTAAGTTGATTACCCCGGAGACCCTTGTTTCTTGATATACCTACTTATAATGTATGCGTGCGAGTGAATCCATGGTGGTGGTATATATGTGTTTGTTAAGTAATTGGACTTTTTAATCAAAAGGGGTAGGTGTGCCGTATATTAACGGGCGTTTGGACACACCACCTGCACTATTTCACCACTACTATTGTTGGGTATTAGAATGAATTACACGCAGACAAGTCCGTTCATCTTATTTTACGTTGTCTGGTGTGAGATGATGGAAGGGGAGTAAGTACAGGTATTTACCGGAGAGATACGCCCTCTGTGGTGGCATTTCCCGCAAATGCCGGAGGTGAGTTCCTGCGATCAGAGTGTAATTACATCACCCAGTTCAAGACATACGAGTATCAATTCTTTTAAAATCCGAGGATAGATATGAAGTGTCTTCCAATGAATCTATTAATTGTTGATCGATATGATTCTACAACTGTGTTGTGTTCCCTGGGTAGGCATGGAGGTGTATCTCTTAACTGGTTACAGTGATGGCTGCAGAGGGTGATACTGGGGGTATTGGTATCTGGATGTGATTTCTGGGGGTATTGATAAAAGGTAGGCTGATAATAGACGTGGAGGTGCACTGACATGTCTATCTAGTTCTCGCAAGTCAGCTAGTCCCTGCACTTTGCAAAGCATGATAGGAGGAAATTAAGTTTAAGGGGATGAACAGCGGATACTGGTTTTATCGGAGATAGTCGCGATATATCAGAACTGCGCTGAATAATCGTATGATGGGGACAACACTTATATCAGGAGTGGATGATAAGCCATGAATGTTAAACAGTGTGCTAAGGAAAGCATTACACCTACTAGTACTGATATAGTATTCTAGAAGTGAGTGAAACAGCAGCACGACACACAGCCACGGTGTATTTATCCTGGAGAGCCTGTGTCCAGGGAGCATCAGGGGAAATCATTATTGGCCTCCCCACTTTTCATCTAGCTGTGCTACCAACCAGGTATAACAGCATAGATGAGATAATTAAGGGGATCAAAGACCGGACGGAGAAAGTTCGGGGTGACTTCTGATTATCCTAGAAGCGTTGGGTCGATTACGAATATCGAGCCAGTTCCTGGGTGATAACGACCCAGGGATTGATGTCAGTTGGCTAGTAGTAGCCTTATGGCCATCTAGGCCTGTCCCACAGTACAGCGTCGAGACCTGACTGGTCGGCTATAATTCACGATCCTGCTTGATGGACTGCAAGTGGACTAGCAGAGGGTCTGGCCATAGTGAAAGAGGGGAGAACTGGCGGACTCCGTCGGGGCGACTATAAGTTTGCTTGGTATCTGCCCCCACAGACACCAAGCATAGTATTTCGAACGGTGGGCCACATTGGGGTTTTGGTCCCTCTGCCCTCCCTCCAGGTAGATAGGATTTTTTGATTGTTGTGGCCTGGTTACTGCCGGGGGTCAGCAAATTGCAGCATGACTGGTGATTGCAGTCTCCACCCCTGGTCCACCGCTCCGTTGCATTTTCTCAGCCACAATGGTGAATGGTCAATTGACAGTCTGAACAACGGACATCTCCTTTTTGCACCAATCGGAGCAAGCCCCAGAACTGAGACAAAACGGGTGATTCCGCTTAATCAGCATTTCTTCCCGATAATCCAACAGCGAACTTGTCGATCATACACTTTATATTGTGCATACCAGAAAGACGATTTCCACAGGTGTCAGGGCAAAGGGATATGGATTAAGGCAGCACACGCTCTTGTCTGGGATACGGGAGCAAAGATGGCGGATGCTACCAGGCCTGCTGACGTGCTTCGTTTTCTACTACCCGGGAAACGCATCCATTGCAAAGAATCACCAGGTATAAAGTGACGGTGTCATCCCTACTTGCGAGTTTGGTTCCATGGCGCGTCTGCTGGGGAGACTATAGGTGCCATCATCCATTCCATCATGGGAAACTGTATATCTTTGCGACGGCGGCGATCGCCGCCAGAGGCCAAGAAGCCCCGAAAAACCCATGCACCTCTGGAAAGACTTCCCCCAACGGTCTTCTACCGTATCGCTAGGTACCTTGACCAGGCGGACTACAATAGTCTGTATTGCTGCTCGGAAGAGATGGCTGGCTTGGCCAAACCGTGCATCTGTGCTTCCCTACCCGCCGGGCTGCAGATCGGGCAGAATTCCAGTGAGAACGAAATTATGCACATGCTAGCGACTAACCCAGAGACCAATCACTTGCCCATGTCCTTGCATGTTATCCTGCCCTATATAGGGGATAAAGATGCACGTAACGTGAGTGAGGGGGGCCTCTCTTATGACCCGGAGGCTCTCCACAGCACTCCAGAGATGGGGACTGTGCGGCGGGACTTAAACAATCTAGTCAACTGCAAAGATCTTCATTTCACGCTTGCCAGAGCAGATCAGAGCACAGGTCTAAAATCGAACAACAAGGTCCTCTACATCGAAGATGCCTTGTATGCGGTCCTTGCTGATACCCCCGCACGGGTGGAGAAACTCACACTGGACAGCAGGGTGGTCAAGTCGTGGGAGTGTGGGAAGTCGGCCATGCATGAAAGCCTCGATAAGGCATGGAGTAATCTGAAGTCGCTTGAGGTCAGAGAAACGCTTTCTTCAGACTTCTCGAAAGGCACCGCTATTTCACACATCCTTCAGCACGCCCCGGAACTTCAAAGCCTTTCTCTTAACAGCCTAGCCGCTGACTCGAAGCGTTCCAAGATCTTCAGGGTAGCTAGCTCAGCTAGCATCAAAACCAATCGGCTCGAGAGTCTTGTACTCGCCGATCTCGCAGTTAAGCCGGAAGATCTGACTATGTGGCTGACCCGTTTTGGTAGCACCCTGAAAACACTGGAGCTTTACTCAGTTCTCCTGGCGGACGGAAGCTGGAAAGATGTCATCCAGACCATCCAGGACAAGTGCACCAACTTGCAGAAAGTTGTCGTGCAGTATCCACAAGGTGCTGCTCAGAGGGGGCCCTTTCTGGATGTCACATGCTCGGGATCAGATCTCCACTCCAAGCTGGAACAATTTAAGGGAAGCGTGGCCGAGGCCGGCATCTAACTTGTTGAAAGCGAGGTCTCCGTGAATGTCCAGATTGTCCCAGTCAGAAGTGCCAAATCATTCAGCCGTTGAGATATTTCCTATGTCAAATTGTTACGATTTATGATGCAACGGCGCGCGTCCATGGATCCCAAATTGATATCTTAACCCATGTGATGTGAGCTGTCCACTCTTTAATTTTCTTTTGTTCATTTTGCATCTTTCATTTTTCCTGCTTTGAACCAGAATGTCCATCTGAGATGGTTCCTGACAAGGCTGGCCCAATTGCCTTGGGTCAGTCACCATCTACCCGATAAGGCGCTGTTCATGGTACCGAGATAGTTTACCAATGCACTGACCATTGAACGCCACGAGGTCCCTCCACCATCAGCTCGTACGACGGCCGTAGAACGGAAACGGCGACGGGAGAGCCCTTTCATTCCGATGACATGGTAACGGGGGCTTGTATACGTCGGCAATCCTACCGCATGATGCGCGGATCGTCGTTGCGCGCATCCCGATCAAGGGATTGCGCCCGCCTTTCCGGATTCGGGAAGATAGAGTTTTCCGCGCCATGCAATGATGCACCGCTGCAATTAGATAACTAAACTAACCTCGACTAGTCCTCCGGGTTCCACCGGGCAGCACCTCGCGATCCCTTCTTCAGGCTCGGGCGGGTATGACTAGACCCCCGGCCCAGTAGTGGCCGCTAGTCTGGTTGGTCGTGACCTTTTGCGGCCTCGTTTTTGCCTCCATCCTGGCGTCCCTCAATGGACGTTGTCCGAATTCGAGGCGATTCTTACCCAATCGAGGCAAAGTAGCTGGGAACTTCCATGTCTTCGGTTCGTTTAGCTTTTCTGGCAGTTGGTGTGACTGGGGAGATGGGGGATCTGAAGGGACCAGCGACGAAGCAGATTGGATGGAAGAAGAAAGAAGCGCCCATGAAGACGAGAAACCCCACCGATGGGGATGAACCGTGAAGTAAGCCATGCTGCCAAGGAACGGGGGCTTTCCGGAGCACACCGACCATCGCCTCTGCTGCTGGCTGGCTGCGCTGCAGGCGCCTCTGACGACGATGGGGGTGGTGTGGTGTTTCAGGCCCGAGTTGCTTAGTACTTTGCAGGGAGGAGTTGCTTGGGTAGGTTGGCTGTCACGTCTCTCTATCGAGTACCTAGTAGTCTCCTCGCGGTGGTTTGTCGGGGATTCGCCTCGTCATTCAAATGGGGGGGAGTCAACGACAAAACGACTCCAGTGTTTCATGCCTGTCATTCTTTTTTGATCCTCCTCGCATGGACTGGGTCTGTATTTAGTATTACTGTATTAGACTGCTAGTGTGTTAAATGTTAATTGTTGAGAGTGTTCTAGGCTTCTAGTCCAGCACGGCAGACTGGAGGAGTTACGTTACCCCGTATCTACATTGATAGACTCGATGGGTAGACCGTAGTGGCGAGGCGCAGCAGCAGCTAAATGCCACAAATAGAACATCGACTCCCCGATGGATTTAATTTTGGTAGGCAAGTACGTAGGATGGGATTAGTACTAGTGGTATAGAACCGTGAATGCGGATTGATAAGAAATAGTCCCATTGTCTTCATTAGAAACCGAGGAATATCATCATCCTACATTCTTTGCAAGCAGCAGCCAGCGTCACTCGCCCGAATGAGAAGCCCCAGGCCACCCACTTTTTGTGCTGGATTTCCCACTTCCTGTCCGCGCTAAACCCGGTTCGGAGGCTGCTCGGGTGGCCCTGGCTTCTTCCTGAGGCAACCACTCACTGCTCGCTCGGCTCTTCTTCCCCTTCCCTTCTCCTCTTTCAACTAACAATCCCTCCCTCTCATTCAACATCCTCTCCTCCTCCACCCACTCACTCACTTACTCACTCACCACCCACTCCAACCCAACTGCCGCCTTTCTCACCCATCCACCCGACACCTTATCCTCCTATCCTCATCCCATCCTTTTTTTATTTCATCTACTCGGGGTTGTAGTTCCTTTTAATCATTCTTTCGCCTACATTCTCTCCTTCCCCTGTCACTCTTTCCTCTCTCTCTCCGTCGCTCTCTCCCTCTCTCTACCCGGTACCCCGGTCCTCAGTCGACTCAGGTGACTGGCCCGATTTCTCTGAGAGATTGATTGAATCAGACAGGTAGCCCGACAGGGCTGTGCAACGCCATGTCTGGGCATCTATCATCCGACCATACTCGCTCCCTCTCGCAGTCTTCGCGACCCTCGTCCCAACAAGTCGATCCGATGCATCATCGCTCAATGTCTGCTCGCTCTTCCAACCCCAATGTCTTTTCCGACGAGTATTCTTTAGAACCCATCGATCCCGAATACAACACTTTCATTCCTCGCAGTCCGTCTATCTCTTCTATTGCCTCCTCCAACACCCTCCGTGGGTCGGTACCCCAACAGCAGCAGCAGCAGCAGCAGCCCAAAGCCTACAACACCATTCCCCCCACTGACGCCGAGTTGAACGAGGACCCCTTCGGCGATGAAGCTCGAGTCTCCTTCGATGAGACTCCCCACCGATCCAGTCTCCCTCCGAAGGGGCTGGATTTAACGCATCGCAACTCGGTCGCGTCCACCGCTCCTTCCATCACCGGTCGCAGCCAAAGTGCTTCTTCGCGTTTCTCCATGCCCGTCCGGGCAATGAGCCCCTACACCGGAGCAACCGGTCCCAGCCATCCGTATGCGATGTACCCGCAGGTCGGCGTTAGTCGCTCTCCCAGTGTGGCCACGACGTCGACGTTACGGCCGATGGACCGACCGTTGGAGGATACGAGTGCACCACAGCATCCATATGCCATGTACTCGCAGAATGTGGTGGCTGAGGAGGACGGGATCGACAATTCGATGGTGCCTCTTGGCTTCCCCGGACACAACCAGCAAGCCTACCAGCGACCGCCTAACCGGGCGGATGACGACATTGGCGACCTGATCGGACCGGACGGCCACACCGAACAGCTTCCACCTTACTCTCGTTATCCCGAAAATGCTGTCCCTAAAGTGGAAGGCACATTTGCGACCGTCAATGATGCTGGCATCATGCAGGACGAAACCGTTCACCATGAGCGTGCTGGACCACCAATGTCGGAGGTTTCCTCGAATACACTAGTGGTGGAGGATACGCCAAGTAGAGAAGGTAACCGAGGGGTGGAAGAGCCCCCAGTCACTGGGGTAATGGCATTCGAAGAGAAATTGAAGAGCAAAGGCAAAAAAAAGGCCTGTTGTGGCCTCCCGGTCTGGACGCTTGTTTTGGTGGGGGTGGTGATGCTTGTGGGAGGATGCATTGGGGGTATCATTGGCGGCGTCTTAGGGGCCAGAAAGGCGGCCGAGCAAGAACACACCTCGCCAAGCCGTCCGCATATCGTGACGGTGACAGAGACTCCCAGGATGGACGCAACTCCGGTTACGGCTACGCCCACCAATCTGCTTACTCTTCCCACTGGGCAATACGCAATTCCTGCCTCTCCTAAGAATCAGTCGAAATTCTGTGTGGCCGACTCGGATTACCGGGTGTCGTGGGGTTGCCTCAATTCGGGAAAGATCCCCGTGGTGGTTGGGGGTACGGACGAGCAGCGCAACATTACGTTTGAAGACTCGTACGACTCGGCCTATACTTCATCGCTTACTTACGGCGCCCAGCAACCCGTCTTTTCTAACCCCACTCAAAATCTGACCATGATGATGGACTCCAATGATCTTAGTTTTGGTCCTGCTTTGACCTTCATGACGTTCTACGACAAGCTTGTCATTGTGCCGCAGGACAGCTTCCCGTCAAGCTCTTCCTCTAAACGGGACTATGTTACGGAGGACGAAGTCGTGGCGAGCATGCTGAGCCGCAAGGACACTGCGCAGGCCGGGGATAAGCCATGGTTCTGTTGGTGGAACAGTACGGTGATAGAGTTCTTCTTGTACATCAACGAGACGACCAAGGAGTACCAGTATAGCAGCAGCGCAATTGTGACGACGACGACCTCGTATGCTGCGCAAGCCACACAAGGGAGCTCGAATTCTTACTCCCGGGCTAAGAGAGACTCTAGCATACCGGACTACCCCCGTCGAATCAAGATGGAGGAGAAGCGCGACAACCCGTCGGCCGCGAATCCATACTGCCAGCAGATGCAGGTTCTTGATGATGGACAAGTGGGCCCGATATCCCAAGAGACGGTCCAGATCAAGGTGGTTCAACCCACGCCGACGACGACGATTGAAGCCGCCACCGGGACGTCGCAGACATATACGGCCAAGGCCGAGTATGAGAGTGTTTGCTACTGCGTCTCTCTGACTGACTGAAGCGAGATGAAGATGAACGAGAGCGACTTTTTTCAACGTGGCCTTGCGACCGCGGCGTCGGCGTTAACCCCGGTGGTGGGAACAATTTCTTTCTCGACTCACGTGCATACGAATGATTGTCTGGACTTGGTCTATTTCTTGGGTATGAAGGCTTCCGGTACTGTTTGCTGAGTACGGCGTGCATCTGTGTATTGAACCCCGATGTTTGGGTGGCTTTGTCTTCTTTTTTGGACCGACTGCGTTGACAAATGGTTGTCTGCGAGCAGTCCGGCGGCGTTTTGGGACTATACAGTGCGGACATCCTTGGTTGGACCGCTACCTTGTGGACATTTCCTTGCTGTTTTTCTTTCTGGCGGGCCATCGATGGGATGGCGTTTGGTCATTGGCATTTCGACATGTTCTGGCAATATTGTCCGAATCTACTTGGTTTGAGGCTGGATCAGCCGCGATAATATATGATGGGGTTCCAATGGGTGGTCTCGCGGGGCGAGAGTAATGAGCGGCACTGGTAAATTCTAAGAACTGGGGCTGGTCGGGTGCGATGACCGGTTGGCAACGTCATTGCACGGCCTCGGTAGCTATATAGGCGCCGTCTGCCATACTACTATAGTAGTTATCTGCTAGTCTATTATCTTACCATCTATGATTACCTACTAGACTGATATTTAGTTGAGATACAATTCCAGTCCCAGTATCTATTTACATTGAACACCATGAGCATGTTTCTCCGTAGCCGACTCGCCGTGAGAGCCATGCCCTCGGTCCGCCCGCTGGCCTACGCGCCCGGGCGCGGGCGTTTCTACGCCCACAGCTCTTATGGCGGCGAGGGCGAAACCCAGGCCGAGCAGCCCAACAATCAGCGCAACACTCCGACCCGCGATATCGAGCACCCAGGTATGCGGTCGTTTGCCGTCACGATTTGATCGAGAAGTAGACGCTGATATGGAACCTAGGCCCGCCTCCTCCGGACACGAGCAGCGCATCCACATCCAAGTCCAGCTCGTCCACACCCAGGTCTAACAACGAGAGCCAGCAAGTACCATCAAACAAGGCCCATGCGACTCTAGCAGATGGGGGTGACTCGCCGTACGTGGATGGCGATGGCAACATAACGGCGGATGCGCCGCGGGACGTGAAGCAACATAACGAGGACTTGGCGAAGCGATATGACCATCCGAAGGAGCATGCTTGAACCATGATGTGGGGTGGTTGTCATTTCTGTTGTATTTTGATATGTTTGTTTATTGTTAGTGTACTGTATACAATGATCAATGGATTGGGAGAGTAGATTCTACAGAGTAGGACTGTAGAAGAGTCCGTGCAGCCGATAGATACAAGCATCGATACAGGACTAGTGTCTAGCGGCCGTCTAGACTGGCCACGTTACATACGCCCGACTCCCGCGGATCTCCCGCGTCACCACCAACCAAACCTCACCTCTTCTCCTTCACCTCACCTCCTGATTCTGGTCCGGACTCTGTCTGTCTCTCACGCTCGCTACAACCAACTCAATCCACTCCCTCAATCAACCACCACCGACAGCCATTAATCAATCAATCAATCAATCAATCAATCACCATGGGCGTCCCCGAAAACAAATACTCGGTTATTCTACCGACCTACAACGAGCGCAAGAACCTCCCCATCATCGTCTGGCTCCTGGAGCGCACCTTTCGCGAGAAGTACATCTCCATACCCCAACACCTACCCTCCTCCCCCGCTTTCCTCTCAACCACTAACCACTAACCACCAAATACAAAAACAAACAGTAACCTAAACTGGGAAATCATCATCGTCGACGACGGCAGCCCCGACGGCACTCTCGAAATCGCCCAACAACTCCGCACGCACTACGGCGCCGACCACATCCTGCTCCACCCTCGCGCCGGAAAACTCGGCCTCGGAACCGCCTACGTCCATGGCCTCCAATACACCACCGGAAACTTCGTCATCATCATGGACGCCGATTTCTCGCACCACCCGAAATTCATCCCGCAGATGATTCGTATCCAGGCGGAGTCGGATGCGGATATTGTGACGGGGACTCGGTACGCGAGTCTGGATGGTGTGAAGGGGGGTGTGTATGGGTGGGATTTGTTCCGGAAGTTTACGTCGAGAACGGCGAATTTGATCGCGGATGTTATGCTTATGCCGGGGGTTAGTGATTTGACGGGCAGTTTTCGGTTGTATAAGAAGAGTGTGCTTGAGAAGGTTATTATGAGTACCCAGAGTAAGGGGTATAGTTTTCAGATGGAGATGATGGTTAGGGCCAAGGCGATGGGGTATAGGGTTAGGGAGTGTCCGATTACTTTTGTGGATCGGTTATATGGGGAGAGTAAGTTGGGGGGAAGTGAGATTGTGGAGTATTTGAAGGGAGTGGTGAATCTTTGGTTGAAGGTTTAGTTTAGTTTAGTTTTGTTAGGGACAGGGACAGGGACTTGGGGATTGATGGACGGTTTTCTTATACCCGAGGTTTTTCAGAATGTATATTATATTATCTTGCAATCATGTCTTGTTTGTCTATTGTCTGTCTACTGTCTAGCACAGCTAGTCTACAAGACCCGTGCCAAATACCCCCTCACGCGATCCACCAACTCTGCCTGTCCAACATCCTGAACATTATGAGTCGCCCCAGGAATCACCGCACTCCCCTCAGCATCCCACTTAACCTCCCCAGCCCCCGTATTCGTCGCATTCTCCCACCTCTTCAACATAACCTCCATATCCAACCCAGGCGCCGCATACTCATCATTCCCCGAATACAGCGTCATCAAGCGATACCCCAACAACCCCCTCTCCCCCACAACCCCAAACGTCTCCAACAGCCTCTGATCTGACAAATCCGAACTAAACAAATCATCCTGTCTCGGATGCTCGGGACTATCGGGACTCGCCAGACTCAAAAACCGCCACGCATTCACCGGCGTCTCAGGATCCAACCCCACCAATCCCGTCAAATTCAATGGCAACAATGTCCTCGGCTCTGCAATCCTCGCCATCCCCACTAACTGCTCATACGCGCCCACCGCCTCTGCATTCGTCAACGTCGTATCCAGCCCTTGTCGATCGGACATGGGCGCTTGCATGATCGCTCCGTCGACAGCAGGACGCGTGATGTATTTCAATCCATTCACGTCCGGGTTATAGGCTACTGGGTTGGGAGCGGAGAGGTAGTGAAGCACGTCTTGGGAGCCGGTCGAGTGGCCCATGATTACGATCTTGGCATTGGGGCCTTTGAGTTTGCGCACGTAGTTGACGCATTGTGCGATTTCTTCGACGTCGCGGTCGAGACTGTTGATGCCCCAGCCGAGGTAGGAGGTTGTGAGGAGGACGTTGAAGATGCTCCAGATGGGGGTGTTGGTGGAGGAGGTTAGGTTTGAGGCGAGGGTTTGGACGTAGGGGACGGTGAGGAGACCGTCGGTTAGACCGCCGATGAAGAGGAGGGCGTTGGTGGATTGGGGGGTTGTGTTGGGGGTGGTGAATTCGAAGGCGACGAGGCGGGGGGCCTGTAGTGTTGTGTTGCTGTTGTGTTAGTTGGGGCTGGCGGGTGAGGGGAGGTAGGGGAGGTGGACGTACGTATTCGTGGAGGATGCCGGGGTGGGCCATTGTTGTGGTGGTTTGGTTGCGTTTATGGAGGGAGTGTGAGTTTGGGGAATTGGAGTTGCGTTGGACTTGAGATATATGCGAAGATGTTGTTAAAGTATGGCCGTCAGTTGGATGCGCAGGCCGGCCCACTGCTGCATGGGCGGGGTCTGCAGTCACTAGTAGGCCTAGTAGTACTAGGCGGAGATACAACAAGTAGGCGAGGATGTGCTGGATAGCCATGGGGAGACGAGGAGAGGATGGGGGTCGATGTGCATCTACCATGAAGCTGGTGGCCATGTCGACCTTTTATACACATCTACGCTGTCGATCTACTGCTCCTTGCGTGGTTGAAGCTCTCAGGCCGTCCATAGTCAGGCCAATAGTTCCGGGAGACGAGGATGTATCTACGTATGATACGGTATCATGAAGTGGGGCATGTATGCCTTGGTGCCAGACGCCAAGGCCTCTTGACCCGATCGGGCAAACAGCATAGCTCCATCGATCCAGTCATTATTCATCTTCGCTGCTTCAATCTCCGCGCGCGGCTGGACCTCACGCAGATCCTTCCAAGACACAATACAATAGCTACATGCAGCATGGTGGATAGCTAGCGCAGCGACTGTCCTCAGCAGCCATCTATCAGATTCAGCCCAACCCCATTATTGCGCCATGCGACGACATCTCCACCTGAATACTGCACTAGTCTATCATGTCTCGCCCACGCAGATCCAATCGCGCCTCCGGTGCCAGGACGAAATACATCCATGACCCGTTTGAGGCGGCTGGGTTTCTCAGCGATGAAGAGGAGACGTCCTCCGCAGCTCCGCAGCCCAAGAAGGGAAAGGGGAAGGCTAAACGAGCCGTCGCGGACGAATCCTCGGATGACGATTTCAATATGGAAGACGCCAATGAAGACGATGACGATGACGACTACAATGATAATGATGTGGAAATGGCCATTGAGAATGAGGATGAGGATGAGGAAGAAGAACAAGAGGAAGCAGACGATGCTTCAGTGTCAGAAGTCGGCGAGGCCGTCCGTCGGCGCAAACAGCCCGCTACTGTCGCTACTGCCGCTACACCAAAGTCCGTCAAAAAACGACGGCCGGATGGTAGCTTGGCGGTGCAGGGAGAGGAAACACATTCGCGAGGGTCGTGGAATCCACTTGAGCATGTTGGGAAGGGGGTCCATTTGCGTGTGACGTTTGGGTCGGACGAGAGGGATATCCTTTCGATTATTAGTGCGAGGGATCGGTGGTATAGGGGAGGTGATTCGACGTTTCCGAGTCGGTCGTCATTGGATGAGTCGCAGGATATGCCGGATTACAGCTATGGGAAGTCGTTCGGCTTGGACCCGGAGGATGTGAAACGGGAGAGTTCCCGTGGCTGGGATTGGTACTATAGCGAGGATGTGGGCCAGCGGTTTAGGAAGAGGCAGTGGATCGAGAGGATTGACGAGCATGAGGCTCGTCGGGTATACTTTCCTAGGCCGAGGGGGGACCATAATGTGCTTGTGGGACCGGTTGATGGCCAGAAGGTGTTTGCCTTGGCCCAGCATGAAGTGCTTGATTTTGGTGAGGCGTGGGCAGAGAATACGCCCAAACAGGAGAAACAGGATGGGAAGCAAGCAAAGACGAAATCAGAGGGCAGGAAGAGGCGGAAACGAGAAGGATGGATATTCAACGTAGGGAGCAAAGTCCAGTGTATGGCGTGGGTGCCGAATCAGACTGGCCTCACGCAGTATCTGTCGGTTGTGGCTCCCATTCTACCGGACCAGAAAGAGCAGTATCCAGACCCATACAAGGACCAGGGTGCTCCAGCATTCAGACCATCCGCGCCTTACCCCTCTGCCCTGCAACTTTGGGCATTCAAGGCCGAAAGAGCCGAGTCTCTGACCAAGACCATCGATATGACCTTCAAGCCGCAACTACGTCTTGCTCTGTGTACAGAATGGGGAGATCTGAGGCGAATATCCTGGTGCCCGATGCCCCGAGACCCGCGGGAAGAAGACGATGACGATGCGCAGAAGAACGTTGGACTGCTGGCAGGTATATGGTCAGATGGCTGTGTGCGGGTCGTCGACGTCAAGTTGGGTCGTGGGCCAAACCAGACTGAATTCTGTAAGTTCAACCAAGCTACACCCTTGACCGTACTAACTGCTCAGACAAACTGCATTCCCCCGTCTTCGAGGCCAAGCCACCATCGACCGTATGCACATCCGTTACATGGCTCTCTCCGAGCGACATCGCGGTTGGCTGTGCCAACGGATTCGTTGCCATCTGGAGCATTGTCCCGTCGACATCCTCATCCTCACCCTCCCAGCCCACCCCCTACTTCTACCACCAATTACACTCGACATGGATCCTCAACCTCGCCTCCGCCTACCCAACCCACCCTTATATCATAAGCACCACGTCCATGGACGGAGAAACCCGACTCACATCAATCATCGACCACCAAAAAGACACCGTGAGCGCCAACCGCATGCGAGTCGGCACCCCTCATCTCTCCTACTCCCCAATCCTACACTCCTTCGTCTCCAGCGACGAAAACGACTTCGCACGTCTCCTCGCCGTTCGCCGCTTCTTCACCTCCACCGCGGTCGCCCGACTTCCAAGCATGATCTCCGCCATCAGCACATGCAGCTTCTGGCACCCAAGCATCCTCGTCGGCTGCACCGGCGGCACCGTGCAAGCCACGAATCCCCTCCGCCGCATGATGCACGCCAAGGAGAAACAATGGCAACAGACCTGGTTCCAGCACGAATGGGCGCGTGCCCCCGATGACCGAGGGTCAGGCACCAGTCGGTTCCACGACGGATACCGCGCCGAACACACCAGTCTAGTGCGCAACCTGGTCGGCGATCCCAAACTCGTCAACGGAACAGCGGTGATCACCGTCTACGACGAGGAAACCCACATCACCGTGCTCTCATGGAATCCGAACCAGTTATGTGCCGGATGGGCCGCTGCAGGCGTGGGATGTGGTCTGGTCCGCGTTGAGGATTTGGCTTTGTCTTGACCATACAGTGTGTACGTATATACCTACTACACACATCAATACCTCTTTTATATATTCCTTCTCTCTCGATAGTATGGTTGTAAAAATTCAGGACAGTCTGTCCACTCGACCGCTTGATGTATTACGCAGCCTAGATAGATAGATAGATAGATAGATAGGTCTGAGAAAATCATGCGTGCATGCATGCATCCATGCATAGGTAGTTCGTCGGTCAGTGGTATCCTGCCTTAGGGTTGCGGGATGCAGCCCCTGTTCCTTATTTCAATTTCACGCGAAGAAAAAGATAAGGATATATAAGACATAGTGGCCCGAGGGGGTTAGTAACACCCGTTGTGGGGAGGTTGCAGAACAGTAATGGATGGTTGTAGATAGTTTTATACAATTACTGACTAATCACAACCATTGCATACAATTCATAATGATTGTATAGTAGTAGTACAACCGTTAGAATCATTGAGAACTTGTGTTATGAACCATCTCAAAAGTATATAATAACCTACATACTATCTCACCTATCCTGATACAAGCCACAAGGCACACTGGCCTTTCTTATGCCGGAGCACTCATACCCAGCAAGCAACTATACGACTACACCTAACAACCGACTTGGGTGTTGGTAAGTCCTTGTATTGTATGGCCCAGAAGTAGAACATATAACACTAGATAAATTAAGATAAACAAAGAAGGTAAGAGTGAAGACCAATGTAGACAGGGGTGCATTCTTGGTTGAACAGGGCTAGACAAAACGATTCAAATTGATGACTAGATGTTGATGATAGGAGCAAACAAAAAAAAAAAAAAAAAAAAGGTCATCATATAGAAGACTCATCGCAATGATTAATACATGGTAGTGATTTTGTACTCGTGATGTAGTGACCATGTTGCCGTGGAGAATTTGGTTGAAGTTTGGTTTACACTTGTGCCATGACGATTGATGCATGATGAAAGGAATGGCATATCGTTGAAGGTAATGATTGAGCTATTTAGGGTGAATTCTTGACCTCGGGGGAATCAACACCAGTTGGCTTGTTATGGTTTGGGTCATGTAGATGTGAAGTACTGTCGGGACGACTGGATTGGCTGTGACTGGTTATGTCAGGAGTAGCCTTGTTATGGGCAAGTCTCATGTGTCTCTCGAGATGCTTCACCTGAGTGAATGATTTACCACACTCATCGACAGGGCATGGGTGAGGACCAAATGCATGGTACTTATTGATATGTTGTAGGAGATCCGCGGGTCTGCTGAATCTCTCACGGCTTTTGCAGCCCCTCCTTTTGCATGAAAGCACTGGTCGTTTTGTATAGGCTGGATCTTGCCCTAAGGAGCTTCCGGATCCAGGCAGTGATAGACTCACGCGGGAGTTGCTCGAAAAGCTGGCCAAATTTTGATTGAAATGGAACGTCAGGGGAAGGGCACGAAGAGCGAGTTCTTCTAGGTGGTGCGCCAGGTGAATAGTGTTAAGGCCTCTTCGATGACACAGAGGGAAACTAGATCCCATTCCTTGATTCATGAATCCGTGTTCAAGGACAAGATGCTGTTCCCACTGGAATAAATTCGCGAATGGTAAAAGGGCGTAAGAACATGGGGGGAATATGCACACATAGGGCAGCAAGTCCTCGTATACATGATATCTTCAACATGATAGCAAGTTAACATGCTGAATCGTGGTTGGGAACTCTCAAGGGAATGGCAGTCACTTACTTCCACGGCACTTGTTCCTTGATGACCACTTGCACCGTACACACCATGCACTGGAATAGCCGGCCCTCTCGTCCATCTTCCGGCAAAAGAAGCATTTCAAGGAGCTTGTCACTGCTATAGTCATCTAAAGAAGACCTGGGGATATTTTCTGAAAGGGTCTCTGGCCGCATACGATATCGCTTTTCTCCAATCACTACCTCATGGCCTGACTGGACTAAATTTGAGAGACGCAGGTTCTTCTCGCGCTCTGCCTGAACCCTCATGCAGCGTTTCAGGTCACATTGACTGAGGTATCGAACCAGTTCGGGGTCAGCGTTGGGGAACATCTGCTCAATGCAGGCAATGGTATCTTGGATGTAGGCCCCCCTCTGACCACTCACGTAATTCGAACGCAACTCATCTGCAGGAGATTCATCGAGTAAATCAAGGTCAAGCAGGCAGTCGACATCGGTGTTGAGGTCTGCTATTATTTCATCTAGGGAGTCTTCATCATCCGGGGGATCATCCTCATCGCTCGCCGAGGGTCCCAAGATACCCTGGATAACATGTTCCGATCTTTGGATCGAGGCGATCAAGGGCTGGTGTGATAGTGCTACTCCACGCTTGGTGAGAATCTTCAACGCTCGAGGTGCAAGTCCTAGACAGAGGGGTCAGAACCACGGGGGATGCACGGCAGCTGAGGGCAGACTTACTTCCAACCAGGGTCTTGCTAATGCTGACCAGCAGCTTGAGAGCCATGACCGAAGGGTCGCTCTTTCCTCCATTCAGGGTGCTCAGTCCCTGGGCCCAGAGGACCAGACTTCCATAATTCCTTTCGAATCCGCGATACTCGGATTGAGAGAAACTTGCTGAGGTACGAAGATGGCGCAAAATCGAGCGATAGTGCCGCATACATTCGGTATGAAGGTCCACCCAGATGCCTTTTTCTCCCTGCCACGGCCTGGTTGTCGTGGTGGGATCCATGGCCAGATCCATGGCCAGATTCACGGCTTCAAACAGTCGGATTTAACCTAATTCACGGGGTAGACTGATCGACCAACTGACTTCACCCCTCACAAGGGTGTGACAACCGTCAGCATGATTGTGATATGCGCCGCCAAGGCACATTTCAGCCTCTTTTCCAACAAATCTCCTCGACTCAGAATCAACCAGCGACAACCTACTGGTTGGCATATGCTAGAGCCGAACTCTCGGGGTCTGGCCTCCTTCGAGTGTCCTGCTACTTGAGAACGATGGATCCTGTCTCGCTAATTCTCGGTATCACGCCCCTGGTGATCGAAGCCATCAAGATCTACCGGGTGATACATTCAAAATGCAAAGCCTACCGACAATCCAGCAAGCTGTTGAAGCGCCTGCACACGCACGTGGATACTCAGAAGTGCTTGTTCCTCAATGAGTGTCACTTCCTTCTTCGACTAGTCATGGATGATGATGTGAGCATTCGAGCCATGCTTGCAGATGAGTTGCACGCAGGATGGAATGCTGGATGGTTGAATCAGCAATGGCGCCAACATCTGGACCTACACTATGACACCTGCACCCGGATCGTTGAAGAAGTGTGTGGAAGTCTTGAAGAACTACACCATGACCTACGGCAGTTGGACCCGATTCAAGAAGCACAAGATGAGGTGAGGCCCCCGACATAACCGGAGCTCAGTCATTGTACGTATAGACTGACTGGGTGGGATTGCTTGGAATCCAGGGCGGCAATGTACGAGGATCGATGAGAAGTATCGGAGGTCGCATCAAGATGGCCCTCGAAAACGAACGATATCTGAAAGCGATTGATGCTCTACGCACCTCCAACATGGACCTGAAATCCCTCCGCGAACAACTCAAAGAGTTCCAGGATCAGTCACAGCCGTCACCTGGGTACTGCACGAGCCTATCGATTACTTACGGCGTTCAAACCTGCCAATTATCAGGTTGTTCAAGAGGCATCTCAAGGGCTGTATGGTGCTTTGACGGCAGTATGGTCTTGTTCTTCAGCCACACATAAGAAGCACTTGGCTAAAATGTTGGTCGACGCTAAGATTGATGATGGTGTGCATCTGGATATGATCATCGCCTCTGATGGATATCCTTCAGCTCATATGTATCTCCTTCCCCTTCTGATCCTCTGCCCAGCGTGTACACTAACGCTCTCAAGGCTGGAGCCGATAGCCCAGTTGTCCGTGTGTTCGTACAGCCAGCCGCATATAGGGACAGGTCTTCGTACTTACATTCTATCTCCCTTTCAGCCCATGGTCCCAACCCAGGAACAAGACAGAAAAGTGAAGGGTAAATCTCCTTGTCGTGATCGCTTGTCAGATGATCACTCGTCAGTGTCATCCAGCGATATATCAGGTTACCATTACCAGCCTAACTCAATAAACCTTCTGCTGTCTCAAGATGTTTGCTCGGACCTTTCGCGAGGTGCACTCGCTTGCCAATCGAATAGTCAGCCAGCCTGCGTTGGTTATCTCGAAACTGGCACGGAGGACTATCGGCATTTGTTCTTTTCCGGATCTCTCTCTATTGTGTCACCATATTCAGACCTTCAGGGGACATTGTCCAAGGTGTCCGACCTCCTCGGACGAACACTGGAGAGCACAATTGGGATTGTCGACCAACTCAAGCTGGCACGGGCAATGGCCTCCACACTTCTGCAGTTCCACTCCACCTCCTGGCTAGATGAGTTCTGGCGCCTTCATGATATTGCCTTCTTTCATTAAGGAAACGACTTTACTGAGACATCGCTGCGGTCATTGCACCTGACCAAGGAGTTCACATCCTCGGACGATATGACAGGGGTAGAGAGCACCGACCGTCAAAATATATCGGTGAACAAGGATCTGCAGCAGCTCCATGGCATCCGCAGTCTACCACTTGGTTGTCTCGGGGTAGTTCTTCTTCAGATTGAGCGCTGGAAACAACTCGATGCCCAGGATGTCGCTTATGTGCGAAGAATGGCAAATGGCTCATCCCGGCTCGGTGCCAGATACAAGCGATTGACCCAGAAATGTCTGGGCTGCGACTTTGGGTTGGGAGCTGATTTAAACCAGCCCCAGCTCCAAGATGCGGTTAGGGATACGGTTATTGATGAGCTTACTGATATGATTGCCAGTCTGGATATCAGCGTCGAGTGAGGGATGTTCCTTTAACCTTTCAGTTGATATCACTATTTCCCAGAAAATGCTACTATGATATGTTTGACCAACAAATCAACCCCCAGAAACCCCCTTAAAACACTCGGAATCTACACAGATTCTGTGCCCCAGCATAGGATTTCTCCCTCTCTCTTCATTAAAGAGAATGCAACCTTCACCGAAGCGTGTTGATTCCCAGTCCCCCCCTCGGACATATTCTTACGCGTCCCACCACGCACCAACTGCAAGCTGACCACAAACTCACCCCATCCCATCTCCACGGCTGTGACTGTGGCTGTCCGCCTACTCCTGTCACACCGCAGCCCGGCACGTTGAGCTGTTCCCAAGGATCGACACCAGGGCCGCGGCGCTTGCATGGTCGATCAATGAACCGGCGAGGGTGTGTGTTAAGAAATGAGATTTGATTGAATGAGAGTTTGAAACATTAGACTATCTAGGTAGATACTACGTATGTACTTAGAACTAATCCTGGAGACGTAATATAATTTTTCTGTGGTATACAAGTCTGATATGTTAGATAGATTTGTCCAAGCTCCTACTCATTTTCGAGCCCCGAGAAGCTGGATATGCTTAGAGGGGCATCTTCGAGTACGGTCCGATATGTGTATTGCATGCGAATGCCACCAAACCATATCACGCAATTTCCATTCTCGTAAAAGGGTTTATCAAAAGGCTGATATCACTGCCCTTGGTCTCGCGGTGAACGCTGTTGATGATTCTGGCAAACTGTTGGACCTCCAGTAATCCATTAACGTCGATTTGGATCTTTTGGAAATCTATCTCCTCCGCTAGAGGAATTAGTAAGTGTCAGGATAACATTGATGTACCGTCTTACGTGAAGATATCTCCGACAGACGCGCTACCATCTCGGCGTCGTTTGGATCTCTTGGCTTAAGAGCAAGCAACATGGCGGCAAAGGGAACGACCCAGCGGCCTGTGAAGCTGCCTTGCGCAATCTCGATTGCCTTTTGGACCTCAGCGGGTGTTGTGGAAGGAGAGTATGTAAAGCTTTTTCGAAGCTTGAGGACTCGATTCGCCAAACTATTCCATTCGTCCTCGTTTCCGAGCCTGGGGTATAGTTCAAATAGTCCGAGGTCGATCATTTGCTGCATTGAGACGGTTGCGCATTTCCCTTGGATGTTTAGTTCGTCCTGTGTTAGATATTCACCGAAGTAGTGTCGTGGTTTGTTTCCTGGTCGTCCGTATCGGAGGCCCGAGAAGCTAGCTAGGTCATTTGTGGGTGTCTTAAAGAAGTTGATAATGTCCAGGTCTTTGATGAACGTGCCCTCTGCGAAGCCACGAGTGTCAAGAATAAATAGCAGGATTTCATCTAGGTCCGGTTTGCTTCTGTCCATTGTATGTCGATATAAGCCGTATTGCAGTGCAAAAAGCAAGGAGCTGGTCCAACTCATGAAGTTTCATCGGTCTCGACATTTCCAAGTAAGATGTTCGTATACAAGGGTTGCGGCCTCGGTCTGGTCAAGGCGGAAAATGTCTCCTGGGCAATCGCGTTCGGAGGTCATCAACGCTCGAGGAGTAACAGTAGACGTGGACGTGCTTCCGACAGTGTCTGGAGCGACGACACGGAAGAGGTAAGTAGGGATTAGGTGGCTGGCAAAGGATTCTAGATTAACTTTTTGAAAGGGGTTTGGACGGAACAGAGTCTGTGTAGCCACTGTGGGTACATTTTCGGATGATGCAGAGGCCATCTTGATGTCCAGACTATAGTACCCCGTGGGCCTAACTGTCTGGAGAGTGGAGATGAAAGCTGCCTAGATGAGAAAGGCGGGGCTAAGATACACCAGGGCAGTGCATTCTCAGAGAGTGATTGGGTCGTTGGGCATGAACATTCACGGGGAGCCATTATAAAAGCGGCGAGACTCGGAGCAAAACAGTTCACTTGTCCGGTGTGAATTAATGGTAGCAATTACCTAGCAAGGTGAACAGGCTATTAGATCTGAGGCTGTTTCATCCCACAGACCTGGACGCGTACACAGGAGGCCCGTTACGTTTATAGAATGCATATATTCACATGCATACGGAGTACTCCGTGCTAGATGTAGGCATCTTCAAAACCTGAGTTGGCATCAGTATAGATCTGGCAGATAACAGGGTACGGGAATGGAATCCCAAAGACCCTGCTTGAATGCGCAACGCGGCTGTGATGTGATGTGATATCCCACGATGGATTGCAGATCCCTGCAAAGCTGGGTGCTTTGCTAGCTGTCCTGGTTGAGATCCAGCCCGCTCATAGTACGTAAACGGTCTTGGTCTCCAGATAAGCCTTCGGTGGTAGCTCGGTTGTTGGTGGTGTGACGACTGTTTCCGATTGACTGGATCTACTGCTTTTAATATTCCGGCTATACAGCTGTTTTTTTCTTTGTGATACTGTATGTGCAGTTGAGATAAGGTGTAGAGAGGTAGGTAGCACACACACCGCCGACTTGGTAATGCTCCGAACTGCAACATGGAGGGTTGGTTCTTGGACATGACGTAGACAGAGAGGATCTACATTCGAGGCTCAGCCATTGCGTGATTCAGGCAGATGGAAGACGTATTCTATTGATAGAGAGGATCGAGATAGCAGATGTGGATGTGATGTTGTGATGGCCAAACCGGTTGGACGATCGGCGGTTACTGATCCTGGTGCTCAGAGCCAATCAGGACAGACGCCACAGCGTGGAGTGGGTCCCCAGCCACACTGACAGCCAGTCACGGGATCTTTACTTTATTTAGATCGAGCGTTGAGAGAAATCATAGAATCTCTCGCAACAGCCAGACGGAGTACCTTTCCTCCATTACCCCTTCATTGGACTGGCAATCATGTTGCCTGGCCAAGTTATAATTGGCACACATGCACTAATCCACCGCCAGGGTCTCTGCCGCGTTGGACGACGACGATCTCCAGGTTCTAGCTCGCTTCTTCCACGCCAGCGTGGCTGGCACAGGCTCCATCGGCGCATCCCAGCCTCCTTTGACAGCATCGTGATGCCCCAGCCTGCACCTTTTCTTCCCGACAATGGGTCTCCGTGCCGTCTATGATGGCATATACATATGTCGCAGTCGTGTAGATCTTCCTTGCCCGTCATCATCGTTTTTCTAGGCGCCAACTCAATTTCCATGGCTTGGTTGGTCGTGTGGTGGTTTTGTGGTTACGATCTGAATGATAAATTGAGGGCGCCTCTCGTCCGTTGTTGTTTCAATTCCAAACTCTTCTAGTCGGATTAACGATTGGAACACCTTTCTGTTCTTGCCTGATAGATTAATTGGCCTTATACTTTTCTTTTTCTTACCGGTCTTGTCTTACATCCAGCATCTACAGAGTACAGCATCACCATGCATCCCGCCGCGCTTCTCCTTGCTCTCACCCTCTCTGCCCACGCAGTGCCTGTCCTCAATTCTCGTGGGAACGACACCTACGAGCGCAGAGATGTCCCCTACAGAGTCGTCAACGTTGCAGGTCCTACCACCCCCATTGTCGAAACAATCACCGCGACAAGTCCACCGGCCACCATCACGGTCACCGAATACCCCTCGTCCACACCAGATGTCGTGCCTGGCCCTTCCTACTCGTCCTGGCCAGCTGGGTCGGTCGTGAGCGATGCTTCTCTTGAGCGCCGTGAATCCAACAACACCAAGAGGGCGTTCCGTCGGTTTGGTGCAGAGATCTCCGATGCCACCGCTATCAACAGCACGGAAACCCATGCAATTGCCGCTCGCAGTAACGACACCATTCCAGCCGTGGGCGAGCATGCTATAACGCCCGATCGTCGATCCGACTCACGCAATGAGACGGATTACGGTCTGAATGCTCGTAGCAACACCACTTCTGAGGTTTTCGCCCGGGGTAATGATACCATCTCCAAGGTGGTGGCTCGCCAACCCTCACTCCACGAATCTGAGGCGGCCAACAGCACTTCTGAGATTGTTGCTCGCAGCAACGATACTGTCTCCAAGATTGCAGCCCGTGGTGTGGACATTGCACAGCGAGCAGTGAACGACAGCAAGGTCACCTCCCACCCGGTTAGGGATTTGAATGGAACGGCCCTGCAGGTTCGAGAGCTCAATGCTACCAACGTTGATGCTGCCGCTGCCAGTCCTGTTGACAAACGTCGACTCAACACTACTGAAGCATCTCCCAAGGTTTTTGCGCGGAGCTCCAACGACACTGTGATTCAATCCCGACAAATACAGGATGCCGTTACTGATGATGCCGCTTGGACTTCCAAGCATGACAATGCCACCAAGCTTGCTATCGAGCCCAAGGCTCGGGCCCTAAATAAGACTAAGAAAGCCCCTATCCCACGTGTGGCCAGAAGCTCGAACGAGACGGTCTCACAGGGGAAGGATAAGAAGGTTGTTGAATGAATGCTTCCACGGGCCTTATCACATTTCTTTGCTTTAAAATGATGTTTCCAACGACTATTATGAAACACCGGATGGATCTGACGGACAGCGGACAAGCGACTCTCTATATTACATATTATTTCGATTTCGGGATATTACGACATGCCATGACTGTCATGATAAGGAATGCAGTCATGAAAACATGCATTTACGGGGGCGTTTTATGATTTCCTTTCTTTTCCTTGCTTTCCTTTGCTTCTACTTCCATTGGCGATTTGATGTTTTCTTTGAGATGGGTACTTTTTGTGGTCAGGAATAATTAGCTGTATTTTCTTCTGGGTACATACTAGATAGATTGTGGGGCTTTCTTGCTGAATATATTCTTTTATGCACTTGATAGATTGGATATTGTATAGTTCTAGCGAGCCTCGTGCGGGTGACGTACGGGCCGGGATTACATAACGGGTGCCCAGCCCCGGCCGACCTGGCGTTCTGATCGCATGTCCGCATTCACTTTCACGTTCACCTGCCACTTTCCCTTGTCCTTGCTGTCCTTTCTTTCTCTCCTGTCTATGGACCAGGAGCTGCCTGATTGTCCGCTCGCCCGTTCAGCGCACCGTCTGTCCCTGCTGCCTCCCTTCTTGCCTCCCCCTCTGGGCCCCTCCCCCTTTCCGACCAGGTGTTTACCGCCCGATTCGAGCCACTGAGTCCGACTCCCCTCACATCATCTCATCTTATCACATCCACCATGGCCACCCCGGTAGCGGCCCCCGAAGACCAGAGTCGTCTCCTCGAGGAGGCATTGGGAGTCGTGCGGCAACAGTCGCAGATGATGCGAAAATGCCTCGAGACGCCCGGAAAATTAATGGATGCGTTGAAATGCGGGTGAGCTCGAGCTTCGGATGCCCCCTCCAGGCAGCAGTGGAATTGGGGCCGAGATAACTGACGTCCTCTGCCAATTGCCCCAGGTCCACCTTGGTCTCCGAGCTCCGAACCCCTAGCCTCGGCCCGAAGCAATACTATGAACTGTACATGGCCGTCTTCGATGCCCTGCGACATCTCTCTGTCTACCTCAAAGAAAACCACCCGGTCAATCACCTGGCAGACCTGTACGAACTCGTTCAATATGCCGGAAACATTATCCCCCGACTCTATCTCATGATCACCGTTGGTACGGTATACATGTCCGTGGAGGATGCCCCGGTTAAAGAGATCATGAAGGACATGATGGAAATGAGTCGCGGCGTGCAGCATCCCATTCGCGGGTTGTTCCTGCGGTACTACCTGTCCGGACAAGCTAGGGATCATCTGCCTACGGGCTCCGGAGATGGTCCGGAGGGCAACTTGCAGGATTCGATCAACTTCGTTCTGACGAATTTCGTCGAGATGAACAAGCTGTGGGTGAGACTCCAGCACCAGGGCCCTTCGCGCGAGCGAGAGAAGCGGATGCAGGAGCGCCGGGAGCTCGAATTGCTTGTTGGTAGCAACGTCGTGCGACTCAGTCAGTTGGTCGATTTGGAGGGGTACAAGTCCGGTATACTACAGGCGCTGCTGGAGCAGGTCGTTCAATGCCGGGATGTGTTGGCGCAGGAGTATCTTCTCGAAGGTAAATGACTCTTACTTTGTTCCAGGGTGGGATGCTAAACTAGGATGCAGTGATCACCAAGGTGTTCCCCGATGAGTTCCACCTGCACACTCTTGATCTCCTGCTCTCCGCAATTTCTCGTCTCAACCCTCATGTGGATCTAAAGAAGATCGTCATCGGATTGATGGATCGTTTGTCGGCTTATGCAGCTCGTGAGACCGAATCGTCCGTTGACCCAGATGCAAGGAAACAGAGGGAAGAGGATGCTGTCACAAAGCTTCTCGGGAACCTTAAGATATCAGAAGAGAAAAAGGAGGACTCAACTGAAGAAGCAGCCCAGGAGAATGGCGCCGAGCAACCCTCGAAAGACAACGCCGAAACTACGACGGATGGCGAGTCCAAGGCCAATGGCGACAGTAAGGCTGGCATTCCTGTCGATGTTAAGTTGTACGACATCTTCTATGAGCAAGTGGTCAACCTGATCAAGAGCCGCGGCCTCCCTATCCAAGACACCATGGCGCTTCTAGTTTCGCTCGTCAATTTGGCACTCAACACCTACCCGGATCGCCTCGAATTTGTCGACCAGATCCTTGACTTTGCGACCCGGGAAACTGCGGCGTATACTGATCACGCCGACCTGCATTCCGCCCCAACACAGCAAAACCTCTTGCACCTCCTCACTGCACCTCTCCGTTCCTACGCCTCCATCTTCACAGCCCTAGCCTTGCCACACTACATCCCGCTTCTGACTTCTCAATCATACACTACCCGGCGATCTGTCGCAGGCGAAATCGCTCGCAATCTTCTCAAGAACCGAACTTTCATCGCAACAACCGAGAATCTTGATCGTGTCCTGCAAGCCCTGAGGGTTCTGATCAAGGAGGGCACACAGCAATCCATGGGCTATCCTGGGCTGCAGTCTCAGCGACGGGGGGAAACGGACGAAACCATCGAAGAGCAAGGATGGCTTGCCCGGCTGGTTCACCTGGTCCAGGCACCGGAGAACGACACTCAATTGAAGGTAACTGTCCCTTCTTATATGATATGTCCCTGGCTAACCCTTTTGTCAAGCTACTTCAAGCCACCCGGAAGGCCTACCTCGACGGCAATGAGCGGATCCGATACACAACGCCAGCCCTGGTTACAGCTTCGATACGTCTGGCACGCAACCTCAAGGCCCGCGAGCACTACGATGACAACTGGCAGTCTCAGTCCTCAGCGCTCTACCGGTTCATGCACCAGTGTGTCAACAACCTTTACCAGCGTGTGAACCCCGGCTGCGCTGATCTGTCCCTGCGCCTGTTCGTGATGTGCGGAGAAGTAGCAGACCAAACAGGCTTTGAGGAGTTCAGCTACGAATTCTTTGCCCAAGCCTTTACCATCTATGAAGACTCCATCAGCGACTCGCGTGCTCAGTTCCAGGCTGTCTGTGTCATTGCGGGAGCCCTCCACGGTACCCGCGGCTTCTCCAAGGAGAACTACGATACCCTCATCACCAAGGCCGCCCTGCACGGAAGCAAGCTACTCAAGAAGCCTGACCAATGTCGCGCTGTCTACCTAGCCAGCCACCTCTGGTGGGTTGTTGAGAATCCACAACGAGGCGAGGAAGATCCCAAGAACGTACGTCCACAACCCCCAATAGCCTCTCTTTCTCTTTACTCACACTAGGTAGCTTTACCGCGACGGCAAACGGGTCTTGGAATGCCTGCAACGTGCCCTCCGCGTCGCAGACGCCTGCATGGACACCGCAGTCTCCGTGGAACTCTTCGTCGAGATCCTCAACCGCTACGTATACTATTTCGACCAACAGAATGAAACGGTCACAACCAAGTACCTCAATGGACTCATCGAGCTCATCCACTCGAACTTGCAGACCGACGAAAACGAGCCCAACCCTAGCCTGGAGGGCCCGAAGCGTCATTTCCAGCGCACACTGGATTACATCCGAACCCGGGATTTCGAAGGTGTAATCACCGATCCCAGACAGTGAATGCATGACCAACCCTCCCCCGTATGAATGAGCGATGTTTTCAACTCTTGTACCCCACACTTGATTCTTTTTCATTTCCCAATTTCTTCAAGCCTTGTGCGTGTAAGATTCCCTTTCCTTCCTTCCCCTTTTCCGTTTCCTTACGACCCCCTTACCCGTCTTGTTCTACCTTCTTGAATCGAGTATATCAACCAGTGTATCATCATCATACCCTGTCTCTTTCTTTCTCCTTTTTCCAAGTTATTAGGGGGGAATTTGAACTCCGATAGAAAGTTTATCCATTTTATTCTCGTCTTCCTGATTTGACCCTCCGACCTAGCAACTACCATTTGACACTTAGCTTAGAGCCAACCGCTAGGAGAGAAGCGTAGACAAAAAAGCGGACCCAAAAGGATCAATCCATCTCAGTATCAGATAGGAAAACCATATATCATATCGTGTACCTTGAGAGTACTACAACAGGGATAGATACGTAGCAACCATAAAGTATTCGTGTATTCCGTATCAGAGCAGAGGACAAAGAATACACCTCAAACCGAAGAATACATACCTACAGACTACACAAACTACACAACCACCAACTACAAACCCGAATGAATAGAATCACAACCAGATAGATATATAGATCGACACGGCATAATAGTGAAGATCCTTGATCCGATTCAATCATGCAATTGTTAAACATGGGAGTCCAACGAACATGAATGGAAAATGTGAAGACGATGTTTGCTCCATGGGAATCGCTACATAAGTGGTTTCAGAGACACCGGAATGGTGGAGCGGTGCGCAGAGGAAAAAAAAAAAAAAAAGCGACAACATAACGTACATGACATGATTAATGTCCGTCATTGGGAAGAGATGAAAGGTGAAGAAATTGGAACTCGAACATGGATAAAAGGAAGACGGGTAAAAGGAAGAGGATACGATGGCAATGGTGTTGCATACGTAGATATCCAGCGTCAGGGAAGGACGAGCACAGGAACGAGACAGAAGAGGAGGATATTGGGATGCGCCTGGATGAATAGGGTGCTGTGAATAGGATGAAGGATGATGGGTACTGAGTAGAGGCATGTGTCCGTTCTCAGACGTTAAGGAAGACGTAAGTCAGGAGCCGTGAGGATTGAAACAAGCTGTGAGAGGTGTGATGACATCTGAGAATCAAGGGATGTGAGGATGGATGAAGCCACTGCGGCTAGAACCCCGTAGGAGACGAGAACTGCCGTAGCACTGACGGAGTCGATATTGACGTGCCAATGCCAAAGGCCGGAAGACTACTGCTAGGGACGGGGCTACCGATTTCACCAGGAACAATGCTAGCTCTGTGGCCTGAGGAGGCACTGTTGGTGTCGGGCTCAAACTTGACGTAGTCACCCGTCTCGTCGCTTCTGATCAAGAACGATCCGCCTCCATTCTGTGTGCTGCCTTCTGTGTCACAGATGTCGAGCATTTCCTTCAGGGTGATAGGGGGCTCATCTGAGGGCCGTAGCTGGTCTACTTGACGTAGAACGATCTTCACATCATGGTATCCACTTGCTCCCTTGGACGGGCTCATCATGTTGAGTTGTTTACAGGCTTGGATAACCAGAAGTCGTATCGTCACAGGCCGAGAGGCGTGAGCACGATGGTGACCTCCTGGGGCGAATGCATTGTTGGACCAGCCACTCCCTATAATTGTCGTCAGTTGATAGCACGGAGAAGACAGACGTCGCGGTAAAACTGACCAGGTCCGGTTCCCCATGGCTGAGCGGTGGGGAAGGGAGAGGCGCCAAAGGGAATTTGCGCACCCCATGTGCTGTTTCCGATACCATTCCCGATGGAGAAACTACTGTGTTTCCCTGCAGTAGAGCTGTCAGCGTCGGTGAGTATTGATTGCTTGGCAAGTAACTCACCGAGAGGGTCTGTGAACAAAGACGTCCCTGCAAAGCTAGCTCGTGCCGGTCCAGGTAGAGACCCCGGAGCAGTCGCGCCAGGAAGAGACTGGGAAAGATTGGAGGTGAAGGGAACATCGGTGTCATCCAGAAGAGCACTGCTACCCAGATGTGCACTCAGATCATCCACATCGCGCCGCGCAGGGCGGTTGTTTTGGTCTTGTTGAGTGCTGGATGGACGCTTGATAGGGCTAGGCCGGGCAATCGGGAGTGCCTCAAGAGGTGACCGGTCGAACGAGCTGGACGGCTGTCTAGAATGCGCATGAGAGAGCCCACTCGGCTGCGTCGAGAATACATTGGCTATGGGTTGATGGTGGAATGAAAGACCGTGTCCTGGGTCGAGCGGGAAGCCCCTTCCGGGTGGAATCGGACGAGTTCCATTCATGCCCGGAAGCACAGGAAGACCATTCGGCGCAGGGAACCCTCGCAGCTGGTTCATCAGAGGTCCGGAGTGAGGCGGGTATGAGGGCAAGTCATGGCCGATGGGTGGACGCGAGACCAGACCCAATCCAGGTGGGTTGGACGGAGAGAATCCGGGTGGGTGGGATCTGCTTAACGCTCCTAGGGGGGACAAAGGGGTCGACGGCTGGGGGTGGTGAAGCAATGGCGGCTGCGCATGGCCCTGCTTGGAGGTGATGCTGGATGCGCCCGACGACTGCGACGGCGCCATCGATCGCGGAGAAATGGAGACCTGCGATGGCTCCGTGCTAGCCGGCTGAGATCGCGGAGACGACGTGCGGGAGCCCTGCTGAGACGGCTGCCGCGGTCTGGCAGGAGTCGGAGCCTTGGGGACGACAGGCGTGGCGACTTGGAAATGCGGCGACTGGAAATGTGCCAAAAGGCCCTGTGCGTGTTGATGCAGGTTGGGGGGGATTGGTACCGGTCCATGCGACACTCGTTTTGACACTTCAGGTTCTCTGGGGGTAGTATCGCGATCTCTCCGCGTCTGCTCATCCTTGACCTTGCGCTCTCGTTCGTCTTTCTGCCGTGCTTCTTCTCGTCTCTTCTTCTCCAGCTCCTTCTGCTCCCGCTGCCTTCTTTCAATCTCCGCCTGTCGCTCTCTCTCTTCGCGCAGTCGCTTTTGCTTCTCAGCCTCTTTGCGAACACGCTCCGCTTCCTGGGCCTTTCGCTCTGCCTCGCGCTTTTTTCTTTGTTCCTCTCTCTTCTTCTTCTGCTCTTCAAGTTTCTTCTCCTGTTCCGCTTTAGCTGCAGCTTCCTCAGCCGCCTTCTCCGCCTCCCTCCGCGCCTTTTCTTCCTCCTTTGCCTGCTTCTGGAGCCTCTTCTTATCCTTGCGCTTCTGTGCTTCGCGAGCCTTCTTGGCATTCCGTTGCTCATTCCGAGTTTGCTCCTCCATGAGCTCTTCAATGAGTTTCTGCTGGCGTTGCTCGGCGACCTTTTCTCGATAGGCTGTCAAAACGCGCTGTTCGAACATTCGGGCCGCAAATATTTGAAACATCCGCCGTCCTTCTTCCATACGTTGTTCTTCCGTCATGGCGTCCTGCAGAAACGTGTCAGCTTGCACTGCTTCACCACCCGGCCAGTTCCCGGAGCTGACCATTTCATCTTCCTCGTAGTCTTCGTCCTCCTGACTATCATAGTCCTCATCCTCCTCGTCGTCATAGTCTTCGTCATCAAGGGGACCGTGATTATGACCGCTATGGAGCGATTGATGTGCTGCTGCAATGCCATATTGGGTGTCTTCTTCACGCTGCATTCGGCGCTCAGCTAATTGTTCCATCATGTCAATGAAATGCTTTCCATCGTTCTTCAAAAGATCGTCCGCAACGGTAAGGATGCCATCTGCCAGTGGTGGACAAGAATTAGTACTAGCTCAAAACGAGGCTGAAAAGCCTAGGGATTCACCCACCTTTGACAGTTAGACTATTTCCAAAGGCGAAGAAATCTGCACGGGCGGCACGGGTATCGTCGTCTTCGTATTCTTCGTCGCTGTACGGCTCATCGTCCTCGTCATCCTCATCGTAGTCATCGTCCAGGTCGTCCTCGTCTTCCTGCAATTCATGGATGCGGCCTCGAGAGGGATGAAACTGGCCTTGTGTCCGTGTATGTTGGCCGGGCGATCGTAGAGGTGGGTGGTATAGACGAGGAGGCGGGATCATTGGCGGGCCCTTCTCGAACGAGCCTTGGTTGTTGTTGGCGTACTGTTCCAGCTCCTCATAGTAAGCATCGTACAGCACCTCCAGTTCTTCTTCGATGGCGGTCCTCTTCCTCCCACACACAGTACAGCTGCACGAGTGTTTTTGCTGCTCCTTCATCTTTTTCAAGACCGCATCCTTTTCGACCTTGACAAGCTGGCGTCTCTCCTCCTCTCCCAGTTCGAGCCAGAAAGTCTTGATGTTCTCGCGTTCTTCTTGTGTTGAAGTGTTCCAGATGCTGCGGTCCTTGCTCGACTTTAGAATCGTGTGAGGTCCCAGGTGCGGAGGTAAAGGCGGAGGAATAGGTTGTGACAAGTCGGAGAGTGTCGATATCGGAGTGGAGCTTTCATCGCCATGGCTCTGAGAGCCCGCATGAGCTTTCTTGCCTTTCTTCTTTTTGGTTTTCGAACTCGTGGGAATTTGTTGGCCGATCTGCCCGTTGGACAATTCCAGAGGATCGTCTTGTACATGCGTCGCGTCGTGGATCTCCTCGTAGTATATTTCGCCGTTCGGAGTGACCTCATCGATGTCATGATCGCCGGATACATGACTCTCGGGCGCAGTAGGACTTAAACCGTTTGGCGAGGTGATCTCCGCGGAGGCATGTCCATTTCCGAGCTCACGCTCCGCTGCCAAGCGGGCCGCCTGTTTTTGTCTGCGTTTTTGCTTCTTGCGGTTTACCGACATGGGCTTTGAGTCTGATAGCGGAACTTGGGCGCGGTCGTTGGGCGCATGGGCCTCGCCATTTGTGGTGTGGGCTGGAAGCGTTGTCGATGCATGATGGGACATTGTGGAACCGGGATTCGGCCTAGGTGGTTGCGGCGGAGCCATGGAGAGTCTGTCTTATGAGGGCAAGACTCCGATTGATAGCAAGGTTGAAGGGGGTGGGATTCTCAGTCTCCTAGGTTCTTCCGACCCAAACACCATGCTAGGGAAGCGTTCCGGAGGAAAAAGTCAGCAGGAGGCCCGGCGGAGGTAGCCAGGTAGGAGAGCAGACGAAGCTCACCGGACAGCGGGCGGGGCGAAGAGGGGGAAGATATAAATCGAAAATCGGACAAGGGGCTGTCAACAAGGACGATGGGTGAATCACTCGAGACAAGCGAAAGGCTGCGAGTGGAGGCGCCGTGGTGAATTGGGGGGGGGGAATCCCAGCGTTCGACAAACGGGGAACGAGGGCGGAGAGGGGTGGAAAGGACCCGGACCGCACGACAAGAGGGGAGGGGGCACAGGCGTCAATCCCAGGCGATCGGGGCGACAGGACAAGGCGAGACCGAGGTGGCGTAGCGGGGGAAAGGACCGATCCGAGTTGAAGGAGCGTTGGCGACACGCGCAGGCAGGACAAGATGGACCAAATGGCTGGAGATGATGGGTTTGGATGGTGGTGGATCTTGACGCCGGGCGTTGGGCTCTCTGGATGGTTGCCGTGCCGCTGGCCGCAACTGGATTAGCCGCCGCAAGCGAGGTGCCAGCCTCCTTCTTACCTCAGTACTCTTCTTCTTCTTCTTCTTCTCCTTCTCCTTGTCTCTTCGCTGCTGCTAACTGTTAACTGCTAACTACCGCCTCCTCGCTGCCCATCAAGCGCCCGCCTCCTTCCCCAGCGTAAGCGCTTCCCCGGCCCGGAACTTCCAGCTGACTGGGCGCAATTTACCGACAGACCCCCCCAAGACATCGGAACCTCACTGGCTTGGCCTCTCCATTTCTCGGTCACTAGCTATGGTCTAACCTGCAGCAACTCGGACAACCGTCGGGGTTTGCAGCCTTTGCGGGTTATCTCGGCGTTGAGCGCCATGTGTCCATTTGGATGGGGAGGGGGGAGGGGGCTATAGCGCTAAGTTCCCTCCTGCGGGGTCTCAACGAGGGGATCTTATGATCGACCTTGTCTGGTTGCCACCCATTTTGACATGACGTCGGCCGACTCTACAGAGCTCAGCTGCTCATCAGATTAATTCCATCCATACTTGGGTGAGGACAACCGACCCTCTGTTGTTGAAGGGTCACATTTCCCCAGTGGAATGCCGGACAGACACAGGTCCATCCAGCACTACTGGTGATCCCAGGTCTCAAGTGCAGCGTAATCTCCTACCTCAGTATCCAAGGTCGGGTCAATGTGAAATCTCGAAACTGCAGACATCCTGCATGACTTTCGACTCTCACTAGGTGAACTTGGCTTGCAGGCAACCCGAGACATGACAGCCTTACAGTAAAGCGCAAGAGAACGCAGGAGATCAGATCAATTAATTATAAAAGCACAATGGCTGGAGAACCCGAATATTGACAGTGAAAGATTCACTCATTTCACCCTCCCTTCATCTGGAACATGGGGCAAGTGAACGATGTAGGTCTTGGATTGAACGAGAATCCTACGGGGAAAGCACATTGGCCGGGCCCATCTACATGTTCTACTGCGCAATCTAGTGAATAAGGCCAATTGGTTTTGATACTAACAACAAGGCCCGGTATTGGTCAAGACAGGAGAGGGAGACGGAGTAGAGTTTAGTGCAAACTGTGACCTTCCTGGCTGACATGACCTCGTTCCAGTCAAAAGCTGGTCTGCGCCAATTCCCCTACAACACCAGCTCTGACTGATATGCCTGCAACTGTCCGCGAATCTACCAATGAGAAGTTCGAACTACCACACATTGAGCAGCAGAAGGGAAAGCTTCGAACAAGGTAGGGTTCAGCGCATGTCGCCCAAGTCATCTAAACATCCAAGCGGTTTCCTCCAATTTACAAGGCTCCTGGTTTCCGGTACTCACAATTGTCACTCAACTCGGACTCGGCACGGCGTTGGTTATCCTCCTTCCTGGCACTTGCTTCCTTGAACCGGCTTATCCATGGAGGGGTGCTGGTGATACAAGCAACCTCGAAGTGCCTCCGGTAATGGCTAGCTGTGTGGCATGCATTGAAGCCATCGGTGTGTTGCAAAGTCCCCAGTCTCAAGCTGACACGTCCATAACGTCAAAAATCCAAGGCTCCTCTTTCGGCCCGCAAAATCTTTTCCATGGGTATAAGACATCTAGGTCGCAGCTAGAAGGCGATCTTCGCGCATTCCAACATCTGCTCGGTCACCGGAATATTCTTGCTCATCATCGCCACATTCATCTTCGTCTTCCTTGAATGTTGCAGATATGAGGTCCACATATAAGGACTCGGTCGGTTTCCTCATGACGGTCCCCTTAGGAGTCCTGAAAAAGCCGAGCTGGGGTGGGCACAAGATGATCCGCGACCGTTGTATTTGCGCATAGTCTGATGCAACAGAATTTGCTTCAACGACAGAAGACCAGATGGAATCCAGCAGGTTTTCTTTGCCCATCTCCGTGTAAGAGCTATGCCTGGGCTCAATGAGGAGGACTGGCTCTGGACGACCATTTCCCACAATCAAGGCCCCAACCACATGAGGATTCCCTCTCAGGATGGTCTCCATGGGGATTGGCCACACCTTGAGATTATTCTCCAGCATGATGATATCCTCGGTACGGGAGTGGAAGCGCCACAGCCCAGGTTTTGTGGGGTGAGGCATAAAGAGGTCTTTGGTGCGCCACGTGCTCACCTTGGGATAATTATGAGCAAATGACAGATGCGAGCGAGACTTTTCGTTTGAGTGCAGCACCAGCTCATACACCCCATCACCTACAGGCTGCATCTCGTATTCATCACACGGGAGGAATTCGAGATATTCCCATTCCCTGGGCTGAGGAATAAGCACCTGGATATGACAGGTTTCTATAGACCCATACATCTGACGCACGTCAGTTACCCGGCTCAGCTTATGTCCAACCCTAGGTGCCAGGGCCCCTCCACCGAAAAGTATGAACTCAAGGCGTCGTGCCTGGTCATAGGCTTCCGGCTCGAGCACCCACTGCTCAAGCAAAAATGGGGGAGCGTAAATGGCTCGGATCTGCGGCTGTTGTTGCAAAATCGCGCTCAGCAGGGACCCGCTTGGTGTGACGAAAAGAGGTCCCATGACAAAAGCGGCCGTTTGTGAAAAGAGAGGTAGAAGGGTGTAGGCATGCAGACCGGCTAACTGCCCATCCATGAGTTTGTGGGTCACCAATAACACATGTGGTAACTTACGTGATGAGGTGGGAAGGGCGAGTAGTAGCGGCCAGGTGGAGAGAAGTTGAACTGGTCCGCATTCTGCGCACGCCGTCCCTCGGGAACAGGCATAAACGTGTCACTGTCAGCGCAGGATAGGGTGCCGTGGGTGTAGTACACCAGCTTTGGTTGACCCGTTGTGCCGGAAGTGTGCAGAATCAGGCAACGTTTATCCTGGAGTTCTGCAAACGAGCCTGTCCAGTGATATGGAGGCGCCCGAGACTTAAAAAGCTCATTCAGTTCTGGCAGCTGCAAAACTGGCATAAATGGGTCGAATTGCTGCAGACTCCCTGCTAATGGGGACATGGCATCCGCGTAGATAAGGCCATGGACATCTGCCTCCTGCAACAGACCTAGATTTTGGATACCGGTGTTTTGAGGAGAGACGAACATGGCCTATTACAGATCAGTCTGTGAATCTTGCCTTTGGGAGGGATAACCACATACATTCCATCCACATTTCATGAGCGCCAACAGCATGATTGGGTAGCGGAGGTCAGAAGGGCCGACATAAGCCAGTGTTGTCTTTTTAGAGACTCCGTCAAAGGCGCGATCAACCCACCAAGCCATATGATCTACCGCCGTCGCCAAAGTTCTCATACTGATATCGCGGAAGCCATCTGCAACATTCCTTGACTTAGGAATGGCGGCAAAGATACGATCAGGCTCCTCATGGGCGTAATAGTCGACGATGTTGGGAAGCAGGCGCTGTCCTCTGAACTCCTCCCCACCTCGAACCCACGATTCAGTGCCATTACAACCAGCCATTGTGCGGGATGGTAAAGGCTGCCTGGTTTCCTAGCAGTTGGGATGAGAGGGTGCCGGGCCGGTGTCCGAGACCGTAATGGAGGACGAGGGAAGAATTGTCGTGGGGGGCTATTTCAACACTTTAGGTGGGTGGACAATTAGTACCCCATTTGCAGAGGAGCTTAGTTCAAGCAAATGCCACAGCCCGAATGCAAGTAAGCACCTTTTCACCCCCTCGTGGGCATCCCATAAAACTGTGTGTCTGCCTGTCTCGGTCTGCACTAGGTTGGTCCTTAGATAAATGGCTGATAGCTGGACGGACGACCCGTGCCTGCACCATACACGCCTAAGCCCGTGGGCCGGGACCAGGAACAGCGAGGGCCAACCTGCGCCGTGCAGAAGTGGTAACTAACCGGACGATTGCTGTACGGATTGTGTAATAATGGGATTAGCGGACCGGAGGAAGGTTCAGTTGGTGTCACTCTTCACTAGCAGCACTCCGAGTGGGCTCGCTCGGAAAAGGCCGCTGTCCCGCGCCCATGACGACTGGCGGGCCGTTTGGCACTTGGCCCGGCGCATTTGGTAGTCCATCCTGCATTGGTTTCAGTCCCCATTGTGCGGTCGTCGACGAGGGCTGGATTTTCTCCCAGCCGGCTTATCGTATGACATGAAGACATGCCCCGTCTCCGTACGGAGTAGATACATTCTCCCTAATCCCTATCTTCCATGCACCATGTGGCACGTGGGTGGCCGGCGTGCTCGTGGGACTCCGCAGTCGTCTCGACTATTTCGTTAGCGGAACGATAGAGAAGCACTAGAGAATGTCGATCAGCCTGCCTGGCCCAGGTGCGCCCGTGGAATTGAAGAAACCTGCTCCACAATCGCAGATGCGATTGTCGTTTCCAGATCAATTGCGCCCCGGTGTATCTTACACAGAGTTGGCACGTTCCGGCGGACTGGCCCAGATGGAATTTGAGATTGACGTCTTGACGGGCCGGCTCACCATGGTTGACGGTGGAGGCCACTGCATTCCTGCAACCTCATTGCCCGACTGGCGACACAGGATTCGTCTGGAAGCCGATACAGGGAATTCGGGGCACCCCATGACTTCATTGACCGACCGCTTCCTTCCTGAACCGTCAGACACGTCTCAATTTTGATGTTTCGGTGCCGTCGCTCTTGTTGACCTGTGCTTGGAAATAAGCGGTGACGGTTTCAGCGGATGCCGAAGGAAGCGATGCCCAGAGATGAAGGATCCCCATAAAAACTCTGTGGAGGCCGTCTAACAAGACCACCATTGGGAGATGGTGAAGGTGAAGACTAAAGCCCGCCGAGTCTCCAGTCCAATCGATGTTCTGATTCGCAGAACCGTCAATGGCTCACCCTCTTGCGCCCGAATAACCGACGGCGTGCGGAATAGGAGGAATCGCCAGACCCCTCCGAAATGATGCCTATTAAGCTTCCACTTCGTAACGGCTGCCAAACGCCCCCTTCGTTTCAAGACGGGTGGCTGCGAGAGCTTATCTGCAGAGCTTTCCTAGCAAACTTTTTCTGTGCCTAGCGTACGGAAGGAGGCAGACATTATATTAAGGGTCCAGCAACCAGAAATCCCTCAGGTTTTTGAAGCATCCGCGGTAACAGGTGTCACTTTGAGTACGATGTGTCCTGCATCGTTGTGGTATCGGAGGAGGACTTGTAGGCAGCTGGTAGAACGAGAGCATTAGACTTGGTACCTGGAGTGAGGGGCATTGCCAGACCTTGAGTTTATCATCTGATTGACCAAGTAGTGGTCTAGGCCTTTATCAGGGGGCGATTAAGATTATTCTCAGCCAGCAGATCCGTAATCGTTGCCTGAAGCATACGTGAAAGTAAAGGATGCGGCCCGTTCAGCCAACCCTCGTATCTAGGGAGTCTCTGCCTGTCAATTGGAGACCAAGGGGGAAATTAATGCCAATTTTCATCCGAGATAATCAAAGACCTCTGGAAATTATCAGTATGTGTGGCAGATATTGTGATGGTATTCACACGCCAACCTTTCACCGACGCGGTTTGTTAACATCAAGATCACGACTGTAATAGATCAGCTGCCAGCCCGATAAGAGTTCTTAAACCACCCGCCAGGCGACGCAGCTGACAGCAGCCATGACTTGGGGGAAATCCCATTGCAGGGGCAGGTGGTAGATACCCATGTCGAGTCCTTGACACTAAGTAAATAGTGCTCCGTAGCCACCGAGATTATGCAGGGAAGCTGCGCCGCGCCGTCAGTGGTACTGCCTAAACCAGTAGTATCTGGGCCGAGCGATAAGATGGTTGATTGGATTTTCAAAGAAACTGGCGAGAAATAAATACTGTGAGAAATGGGGATGATTGCGTTGGATTTGTGTCTTGGCCTGGACTCTTTCTTTGTGCGACACCTCCCCACCCTGTCAAAATGATATAAATAGTAGCCGCGGGTTTCATTCTACCAGAATCTGAGCGGAGACACCTGGAACATTCATGGGATTGGGTATTTATGAGGTCATTATCTAGGTGCGAATTGTTCATGTATTCCTTGACCGCCAGTCTTCGGCTTCACGCCTTTTGTCTCTACTGGCCGAGCCGGTCCTTATGTCATGGATTGGGCAGACTTAGTCAAGCTCAGCCGAAGATCAAATCCTTGATGGACTGTCCAATCTTCTTGTCTGTCCGACTCTGTGTCTCGTAGCCTACAGCCGCCCTTGCCCGGTCCTCTTCATCAAAAGCATGGGCGGCCGTGAAGTCCATATCTGCCGGGTGAACCAGCTTGGAGCGATAATAAATCTAGTGGAAAGGTCAGTCAATATCCCCAAGTCTTTCAGACGACGCATACTCACTTTGTATCCGAAGTAATCCAAGAAGAACAGCGGGGCAGCAATGTACGATGAGAACCAGGTCTTTGCAGATCCCTGCTCACCGAAGGGGAAACACGCCAAGTAGAATTCACAGCCTGCGATGAAAAGGACCACAAGGAGGCCCAGGTACTGGGCGTAGGGCGCCGTCCAGTCTCGGAAGGGAAGCGCCCGTGTGCTAATGCCTTGCGCGGCAAGACCCCGTCGGAATCGGATATGGGAGATGAAGATGCTGGACCATTGGAAGAGAGCCGAGACAGATACCTGGGAACAACGGGTCAGTTGAGAGACAATGACACTCGAATCGGGTAGCGTCGTACCAGAGAAGAGAACCAGTTATATACGGTAGCTCCCGTGGCGTTACAGTTCAGATAGCACAGGGCCCCTCCTAGAACGGTGCTGATGGTCAGAGAGACATATGGCCTCCCGGCAGAGTCTTTCCGGCCGAAAAAGGGGTGGAGGATAGCCATGTCAGACAATGCAGCAAGACTGCGACTAGCAATATATGCACTGGTAATTCCACAGCTGATGACGGTTAGAAAGATGAACCCATTGATGATATGTGCTAGCCACATCACGCCCGCTCGCTCAATGGCGATGACGAATGGACTCCCCATTGTGCCACTCCCATTGATGAGATTGTCATCGTTGTATGGAACGCACATGCCCACGAGCCAGATGTTGACCACAAAGAACGAAAACATGCGCCAAAAGACTGGATACACCGTCTTTCTGATGGTTCGGCGAGGATCCTTGGCTTCTCCGGCGATGACTGCGATGTGCTCTCCACCACCGAAGCTGAAAAGCGCTTGAACAAATGCTTTGGAGATCCCTTTGATGCCGTTGTTGAAGGCACCGGGATTGCGCCAGTAGCGGAACTCGATGGCACCATGCGTGCCTGGGATGCCTCCTGAAGTCATAATGATCATGAAGAAGATCATGACAATGATGGCCAGGCATTTAATAAACGACATGACATACTCAACATGCCCGTAGATCCGGACCCCAAACGCATTTGCCGCGGCAATGACAGCCAGGAAGATGGTGATATACGCGGCAAGAGGGATAACCTCTGTCTGCGGCCAGAATTCGAGCACAGAGACGGCCGCGGTAATCTCGGCGGGGATACAAAGCACCCACTATTGGCAATCATCAGTCAGACATCGTTTCGATTTGAGCAGAGCTGCTTACCGAGAACCAAAAGTTGATGCCGACCGCAAACCCGAAGGCGGGCTCCACGTACTCGATGCATTGACGGATAAATCCGCCATGGACCGGCTTAAAAGTTGTCATTTCTCCGATGGAGGTATACTGCAAGTATACCACGAACCTAACACCAGGTTAGTTGGCCAAGAAATGCGCAATTATCACGTATCAGGATAGACATACGCAGTGATCGTGTATGCAACGGCGATCCCACCAGGACCAGCTACATTGTTGTGTTTAGCGGCGTGTACTTTCTACTGTTTTCCCTCAGGTACTCATACCATACTTCAATGCAGTTCCAGTACCGACCCATCTGGATAGATAGGAGTAGTCAGTAAGTGAAGCTGATCAGGTATGAAGGGATGATCCTACAAGCCGGTCCCAACACCAGCACCAAAGGTCATCATCATGATCTGACGACGACCGAGCGATCGGTGATACCCAACATCCTCATTCGCTCCCAAGAGCTCACTCTCTCCCTTTGCGACATCGATGTTTTCGGGATCGACAACAGTGTCGGCAACAGTGACTTTCTTCGTCATGGTTACTATCGGTTATTCTCACCTATACATGGCTGCTGCAGAGAGGGCTTTTGGTGGCGCTTTATATGTTGATCCCGGTGGGCATGGTGAGGATATGATGGCAATATCATTGGCCATGCTGGCTGTCCTATCTGAAGGGCGGCAGAGTGATGATGATACTGCTTCGGAGATAAGCTAGACTGGTGGGAGTGATAGTGGCCTGCGGCGTTAACAGCCAGTTGCAGATAATCATGCGGAGTCGTCCGAATCTCCTCTCATTCCGTATGAGGAAAAGCTGAGGGCATAGGGAAGCAAGAGTGGGGTGGCCGATCGTCTGTGTTGAATGACGCACGTCCGCCAATCCTGAGTCAGGTGTATAAAGAGGGGAATCGTCTGTTCAAGCCCCAGAAGTCATGGACTTTCGAGCATCAAAACATTTATTTCTCTAACTCTCCTTATTTTGGGCCTACAACTGATCAGCGCTATGACTGGCAGCAAGAACGTGGTATTCGACATTGTCGGCACACTGGTGTCGTACGACGTCCTCTTCGATGCGATTGACACGCAACTAGGCGTCCGCCTACGTGCAGAGGGCGTCAAGTCTTCTCTGCTAGGATACACCTGGATCGAGGTCGCGGAACGAGAGTACACATATTTGAGCATGTCGGGTCAGTATAAGCCGTTCGCCACCTGCTTCGAGCTACTGTTCTACCGGATGCTTCATATGGCCGGCATTGAGAACCCACGGAGCTTTGCGACGGACAGCGATCTTGAATTTATCATGGGCGAGTACGCAAAACTAGGACTGCGTCCCGGAGCGATCGAATGCGTCACCAAGCTGCGTGATGCTGGGTTCACTGTCTGGGCGCTGACGGCGGGGGACATCGCGAGAGTGGGGGGATATTTCGCCAACGCAGGTCTTGCATGGCCCGCAGAGAACCTGAAATCCTGCGATACGCAGGGTATGGGCAAGCCCGACTTGCAGGTATACCAGCCGCTCCTCCAGCAGTTGTCTGAGAATGGACAGCCCTGGTTTGCTGCTGGCCACATGTGGGACGTTTCGGCGGCTCGCCGTGCGGGGTGAGTGCAGATGCGCTAAGTGATTCGTTATCGCGGCAGATACGGGAGTGGCTGACATGGAAATCATAGATACAAAGGAGCATATTGCTCCATCTGGGAGAAAGAGCCCATTGTGCAGTTATTTGGGGAGATGGAAGTCATGGCCGAGACGCTTCCCGAGATGGCCGACAAAATCATTGCTGCGGAAAATTCGTGAGTAAGGGATCACCAAGGAGAGCCCCGATATGAGTTGATAGGCACGTTGACTATAGCTTGGATACTGGAGGAGCGCGTCAAGCTAGGGGTCATCATGATAAGTTGCTAGCTCATAGTTCATAGGCAGGCGTCGCCGACTAATCTTATCTTTCCCCTCGGCGGATGTTTCTCCCTCTTTGGGGGCATGATCTTCTCGTGGCCCTCCGTAGAGGTGATAAGCAACAGTATGAAAGACCCACATTTTGATAAAGGACGATATCTCCTCATCTGCGCGAATGGGGTAGATGCGAGGGTGGTATTCCCCTCTTGGCCGGATATACTATGTTGTAGTAGTAGATAGTTCACGCACTTTATCGCTGCGGCAGGCAATGCGGGGACTCAACGGACACCAGCAATGATAGGAGAAAATCCGTACGGGAAAGCCATATTAGTGGATTAGTATCTTGGGGCTTCATCTGGCCTGGTAGAATCGCAGAGCAAACCGGTCGCAGTAGTTGCTCTGATTGGATGATGCCGGGCGTCGACTAAATCACGTGGTCTTTGCTCTTCAATCCATGCCTAACTGAATAGTAGCCAGAATATTCATTATTGACCGCCTTAGGGATTGACGAGGCTGGCCACTTGTCTTGAATCTGCACTGCCGTGGATCAGGAACGAGAGTTGCAACAGGAACCACAGGAACGGCGGTTGCTCCCATCCATGAATGTCGTCCCTGCCTAAACCCAATCTGGTAATTCCCTCCACGGGCGTCCGCGGAGCCTAAACCCAATTCTGTAGAGTGTTGCTGGCGAGTGTGAAGTATAAGATGGCACATCGCGCTGATCAGCCATCAGCTTGCCAGTCTCAAGCTCTCCCGCAAGTATGCCTGCTCTAACAAAGGTTCGTCTGGCTTCTTCGTCTAAAGGATTTGGCTGACACAATCCACCCAGGCTATCATCATTGGCGCAGGCCCTGCCGGCCTCGCTGCCGCACTCCAACTGCATCGCAACAACAACATTGCCATCACAGTATATGAACTACGCCCGGAACCATCTACTCTGGGCGGCGCCATCGGTATTTTTCCCAATGGAATGCGTCTACTCCATCGACTGGGCCTTGATAAGGCCCTTCTCGCACGCGGATTCCCCGTCACCCACATGGAGATTCACTCATTGCAAAACGGTGACATCGCCAAGGTCGACATGTCTTCCTGGGCCCAGCAGAAGACTGGCTTCGGATACCTGCGCATTTGTCGAAGAGACTTTCAGGAAGTTCTTCTCAACGCCGTTGCCGAGGAGGGCATCACTGTTTCCTTCAACAAGCGTATTGTTTCAGTCACCGAGTCGCCAACCGACGTGACCGTGACTTTCTCTGACGGCTCGACCGAGACAGCTGATATTCTGATCGGATGCGATGGCATTCATTCAAGCGTCCGTCGACTACATGTTGACCCGTCCATTGTGCCCGAGTACTCTGGAATTGCCGGAACCCAGTCTATCATCTCGTCAACCGGCCTTCCCGACGCGCTGAAAACACATGGAAACGCCTTTATGACATGCAATGGACTATTAGCGACAATGCCCTGCTCCGCATCTGGCGACAAGATCTTTTGGTTCTTCTCGCGGCAGACGCCCATCCCCCACTCAGAATCCGGCGATGCGCGAGACGGATGGGAGGTGCGGCGCCAGCGAGAGGTTGCGGAGTATGAAGATACCATTCTTCAGATGATAGACCCGGACAAGGGCGAGTGGCGGGAGACATTGGCAAACATAGTGGACCGGACGGAATCTGTTGGCCTTTACCCTATTTTCCGGCTCCCACTGGGCGGGAAATGGTCTACCTCTCGAACGATGCTGCTCGGAGATGCAGCGCATGCCATGCAGCCCCATGCAGGCCAGGGAGTGTCCATGGCTTTGGAAGATGTGTTTCTGCTTTCGCGGCTATTGCGAGACCATGAACGGGGCCTGGAAGATGTATTTGCTAAGTATGAGGCAATCCGGAGACCGCGCATCATGGAAATCTCCAATCTGGCGGCAAAGAATGGAAAGGCGCGACGAGACGTCAGCCCGTGGGGGTTGTGGATGAAGGAGTACATGGCCTGGGCTACTTATGGCCTGTACAATCGATTGGGATTGGAGTCCTGGGGGATTGGGCAGAAACATCTGGTTTACGACATTGACGAGGTTCCGGTATGAGTGCTGATGCTTGAGATTTGATCTCCAGGGCGCAATTGTTTTGTGGACGGGTGCTTTTCGGGGGTTCTCCGCTTGTTCCATTACCTTAATGCGGCGCTAGGCGCAATGTCTCAGTCTCTCAGAATAAATGATTATTTTGAACCAGTTGGAAGCTCTGAGAGTGGTGTAGTGCAAGTCTAGAACCGAGCCGGAAATATAGAGGGGTATAAGAAGCCGTGTTATAGACGCACCAGGGGGAGGGGAATAGGTAGAAGGGCAAGAAGAACGAGTACGGACGAGTACCGACACCTCAGGAAGCAGGGATGAATGCAGAAAGATGTCATGTCATGCATGCAAGGATCGGAGCTGAGAACAACCGACAAGGTCAAGGTCGACAACAGCTCTGCTCAACCATAGTCTAACCCCTGAAGTGGCTGTCTGCCAGGATTTAGGGCGCCGTGGCTAGTCCGGAGTAGCGACACTAAGCATATAGAGACTCGTAATGATCACCCCAGATAGGGATGGGGAAAGAAGAATGAATGGAAGGCAGGCAAGCGGTTGACAACTTGACGGTTGAGAATTGGGACTGCCTTTCTTTGCCTAGAACTAGTGGCAGTGGAGTCCACATGTCTCTGATCAACAACGGGCGTGGGGGGAATTAAAAAAAAAAAAAAAGAGGTGCCCTGACTCGCACACATTATTCCCCTCCGTTCTCACGCACCGTTACGTTGCTCCCTCACCTCAATCCTCAATAGTCGACAATTCAGCACGACGAACGGGGCCGGAGTTGCCCATCCATCGGCATTCTGACTGCCAGAGGATCCGGGGCTATAAATATCGCTCTGGGGAGGCTTGTCCAATGGTATGCAGCACATGCCCCTGGTCCTGGCTCGATCCCCCTCTCCTGGACCAACAGCCCTCTCCACCCTCATAATAGTAACAGCGACTATCGCGAAATAACCAGCGTCTAGCCTGCACCGTCTGAGACAAATCTCTAACCTTAGTAACAAGCGGCCGTGCGGTGACGATTCTTCAGCTGTGCCATTCACCGGGTCGATCCCATCCTTTCCTTTGATTACTATGGGGAGAGTCATTAGTCTCCAGCTTAGAGCTGGGCGGCCCTATTTCGATGGTGTTCCTGCCCATTCGTTGGGGTTATTTGGGGGGTAAGCAGTATTCTATATAATTAATGCGATGCCTGGATTATGAGGATGACATGTTTGTTGTGCATCTTTACTGAATTATTATTTTACTGAAACCAAGGACTACTACTAGTATCTACGTACTGGTTGTACTATTGAAGTACCGACAGACTCCATACCGTAACCACGGTTCTGCCTGTCGTACTAGTATGTAAGAATCTCCCCCGTCAGCCTCACCTGTGCCGACCGCCTTCCAGAAGGACTCGGGCGGTTCTCCTCCCCTCCCCCAAAGATATATCCAAATGATCCCAGACTCTCTCCTCGTTTCCCCGATCTCTACATCCTTCTTCTTGCCTCCTCAACCTGTATCTCTTAATCTTCGGGGGAGGGGCATCTTTACCATCCAATTTCTTCCCCTCCTTCCACCGTTGCCCTCGACTAATCTCCTCCATTGAGCCAGCCTTGCCAGCTGCTGCCTGATTCTTCGTCCCGGGTTCCGCCAGGGCTCATCAGCGCCCTCGCATTGCCTCGCCCATTCGTTTATTTCTTGCTTCATCGCTTCAGGGATCTGGAGATCCCACCCGGTCGTCGAAAATGGCTCAGCAACAGAGCGACAATGTAATGCGAAGGTACGTCCCGCCATGTCGCCGCCTCCCCGAGGCTGCAGAGGCCATCATGTTATCTGCCACCGGTCACTGGTTCCCGTTATCAGCCCACCCGCTGCCCCTTAACCCGGTTTCTCGTCCAGAGGGGCGCTCCTCGGTAACGAATGGGGCACTGATCTGACATGCATGCAGAAAGTTGGTTATCATCGGGGACGGTGCTTGCGGGAAGACCAGTCTGCTCAGTGTCTTCACCTTGGGTTACTTTCCAACTGTGAGTCTTCCATTGCGCTGCAATAATCGAATGATTTAAGGTCATAAGCTAACAGGTCTCTGATGTCTAGCATTATGTCCGTAACTATCACCTTCTTCGCTGACCACCCCCCGTGCATGCGTCTGACTGTCGCCGCGTTAACCAGGTCCCCACGGTATTTGAGAACTATGTGACGGATTGCAGAGTAGATGGTCGCTCGGTCCAATTGGCTTTATGGGATACTGCTGGTCAGGAAGATTACGAACGACTCCGCCCACTAGCCTACTCGAAGGCGCATGTGATCCTCATCGGGTTTTCCGTGGACACGCCCGATTCGCTCGAGAACGTCAAACATAAGGTTTGTCTGACCACCCTAGCCCTCTGCCAGCTGGACTGACAGCCTTGTCTCTAGTGGATCGAAGAAGCCAACGAGCGATGTCCGGGCGTCCCTATTATCCTGGTCGGATTGAAAAAAGATCTGCGGGAGGATCCTCTAGCGGTCGAGGAAATGAGAAAGAAGTCAATGAAGTTCGTGACGTCGAAAGAAGGAAGCGATATCTCCACGCAAATTGGAGCCCGCAAGTACCTGGAATGCTCGTCGTTAACCGGCGAGGGCGTCGACGATGTGTTTGAGGCGGCGACACGTGCCGCGCTCCTGACCTTCGACAAGCGGAAGAGCTCGTGCTGCATTGTGCTATGATGGGAAGATAACGACCTTGCGATATATATGTCGCCGACTCTGATGGTATTTCAGCGATCTTGCATGCCAGCCACGACGGGTTCATTTCGCTATGCGGTTATTGAGCATGTTACCACGCGTGCGGCGACGCGTGAAGCAGTCTGTTGAATTGGATTTCGAAAAAAGGGGAAGGTGGTCGACGGATGTTGATCGATATATCTTGCATTTGCGGCGTTTGGGAGGGCCTCTTCTTTGTGTCGAATATCGCACTCGCATGTTGACAACGATACCCTTGGTCCGGGGATCCAGCCCTCCGAGTTCTCTCCTTTGGGATGGGTTGCTGTTGGAACGTGCTACGAGATGTCTGTCATTACCTTTCTTGTGTTTCTACTGTTACTGCCTAGCGGTGATTTCCCTGTGTATGCGTGATAAATTGTATCATTCTTTGACTGTAGCCACCATTACCACTGCCACTGCCACCACTACCACCCCTGCCACTGAAGAACATATCAAGGACAATATATTATACACCAAAAAAACATAGATACATACATACATACATACATACACAAAGCAGCAAACACATCCAGCCTACCCTTCTCAATCATCCCCCCAAACCCCCACCCCCCTCCCCCAAACTCAAACCCAAATAAAAAAAAGACCATCTAATCCCTCTTCCAAGCATGATTCCACCCCTCCCTACCAGGCCCCTCCGTCTGCAACCTCGCATACTCAATCGGGACCAAATCCCTAAACACACCCGTCTTGATCATACTCTTCCGGAACAGTTTTCCTCCGTCCCCAGCCCCCGTGCGCAGCTCCTCGCACGCAGCCTGCATCGATTGCCATTGCCGCTGGAGCTCGAGTTCGTGGGCCCGACGCAGACTTCCCTGGTAGAGGTTCCAGGCGCGGTGGATCGTCCAGTGGCGGAGGAAACGCGTGCGGGAGAACCGGAGAGGACGGGGAGTGAGGGGGTGGTGGAGGAAGTAGCGGATTAAGGCTATTGATTAGATTTGTTAGTATGGGGGTGAAATTGGGTTTGGATTTCGGAGAGAGGGTTTGGGGAAGGGCAATTGGAAGGGGAATGGGTTGGACGCACTAATCCGACGATCGCCTCTAAAGCCACTTTCTTTTCTTTTCGAGAGGGCGGAGGTCGTGGAGAAGGTTCGCAGGGAGGAGGTGGAGGAAGAGGAAGTGAGGATTTCGTTGGTGAGGGTTGGGCGGACGGGGGCGCGGGTGATGGGGATGCGGAAGACGTTGGCCAAGGAGGCGAGGACGGGGGAGAGAGGGCGCATTTTGATTGTTGGTGCCCCGCGGTGCGTGGTGAGGGTGTGGGTTGTTGGTTGGTGAGTAGGGTGGTAGGGTGGTAGGTAGGAGTGGTTGTAGTAAGTAGGGCCTGGAGAAGTTCGGACTCGCGGAGCGGAACTTTGATTATCAGCCGCGCGCTAAGGGATAAGCGCGTTTGCTCTATACTTCATACTATTTCGATGTCGATTTTTGCTTTCTTCTGCGAAGGATTTATTCTTAGAGATATTTCGATTCAGTGGTATAGTATGTATTGTATGTCCATCACTTCTCATTTACTTTTGCCTATTAAGAACCCCAGGCTCATCGCTCGTCATATCGAAACGCAAAACCCAGCAAAGAGTGTATCTCAGTATCATCCGATCAACCAAATTAACGCCGGAAATGCATCGTTACACTGCGGTCATTAACCACCCCAGTCACACTTTACCAGTAGCCCGCTTCTTCGACCGATCGTAGTTCAGCACCTTGCGTCGTCGGTGTGTCTGCGCCAGTTTCCACCGACAGTACAACACCAGCGCATCCTTCAGAAGCACAAACGCACACCCTCCAACTACACTCCGGCCCCAGCGGGTCTGCAGCAGCCCCGGTTTGGCCTTGCCTAGCGTCGATGGTGTTGTCCACGAAGTCGGCAAGACGTACTTCAGCAGTCCGCCCATCGAGGCAGATATGGCTGGGAATGCAAGCGCCCCGAGGATAATGTCGGCCAAACTGCTTGTGTCGTGAATGAGGTCATCCCGTCGTCCCAAGCCCAACCCTTGGCCGTTTCCGCCCTGATTCTGCTCTTGTCCATCGTCCTGCGTGTTTCCGCCGTTGAACCCGAGCAACCCTTGTGGTCCATCATCACCGCCCATCCCAACCTGTAGTTCCAAATCGATTTCCATCAAAAGCCCATTGTCGTTGGGCGGGTCTGGCTCGGGGTGTTCTGGGGGCGCATTATCATCAAACTCATTGACATCCGACTGGCGCGGCTGCACCTCTGCAATCCACCTCCTCTCCAACTTGCCAAACATCCTCTCGTAGATGGTACCGTAGAAGCTCTTCAAGTACGGAAGAGCAGCAAATGTCATTGCCGCACTGGGCGGCCAAAGATCTAGTTCCAGCTCCTGTCCGGGTTGATGTGTGGCGAAAAACATGACGGGAATAGCAGGGAGAAGACCGTCTGCGTACCGAGTGCGCGAGAATATCAACACCAGGGGAATAAGAGGCAACCCGAGGTTAAGACCCGAATTCCACGCCCCGTCTGCCGTTTCCTCCAAGATCATTCTAGCTTCGTCCGTTCCAAAGACAAAGTACATCGAATATACTCCATGCGCACAGCACCCCGCCCAGACGGTACCCCCCAGAGTAAAAACCAGCCCTGGAAGGACCAGCCGGCCAGCGAGGCGCTCAAACAACCGTACAATGTCCACGATATAGCTTCGCGGACGCGAGACCACAATCTCCGACTTGCACTGCGGGCAAACCATCTTCGCGCTGTGGCCGTTGCGCCTCCGAGATCGGGGATTCTCGAGATCCGCTAGCCAGTCGAGCAGGCAATCTTCGTGAGCCGTCAAAGCGCAAGGACACGGGGAGCGCCATTGTGAGTTGAGGGGCGAATCTTCCGTCTCATCTGTGTAGCAGATCCAACACCTGCGTGGCTCGTAACTAGACGAATCGACGGGAGTCGGGCTTGTAGTTGGGGATCCATGGGTGGCTGTATCGGAGGTGCCGTTGAGTAAGACAGTGTCGTTGTCCTCAACCGATTCGGTAGAGGAAACGCGGCTGGTCACACTACTAGAGACCTCGCTCTCCTGGGGGGTGGATGCAGTATTATGGTCGGAAGGCTGTGGCCTGCCGGAGGCCGGGTAACCTGGGACCGAGGCCATGATGTGGTGGTGGAAGTAAGAGAGAGTGGATACAAGGTGATAAAGGCACTGGTCGGAGCTAAGCGGACAAGCGCAGCATCATGAGACGGTGGGAGAGAACTGGAGGCGAGAACAGAGGGGAAAGAGGAACAGCCCTATTAGGCAGCTCCGACGTCTGCCCTGCAACAGCAGCAGCCCTCTGGCAGTCTCAGAGTCACACAAGCTGCTATGTAATCCCTCCCTCACTAGTCTCAGATTAGTGCTTCGGATACGAACCGCGGCTGTTCGGCGGCGAAAAAAAAGGCGTGCTTCCGCCGGGTCAGGTGGTCCTCACGTGAGCCCGGACGGGCCCAACCAGAATCCCCAGCAATCACCTCACTTGGCCCCATCATGGCGGATGCACCTGATACTAATAACTAAGTAGGAGACCGGCCCAACTAGATCCCTAGGTATTTATGTGCTATATGCTAGGTAGATGACTAACCTACTGTACGACACACGCGTATCCCGGTCAGCACAAAGCATGGCCCCGGCGAAATTCCCCTTTTCAATGCCTCATGATATTTCCAAGGTCACACAGAAGATTACAGCAACATAAGAATTATATACAGCTGGGGCCTCGCAACAACAACCGACGAGGCAACTTTTCGGACGAGCCACAATGCAATCAATAGCATGCCAAAACGTGGAAAAAGAAAATTGGAAAGGACGATCTAGCCCAGCGTAATGTCCGAATCAGCGGAAACCATCCCGGTCCACTCGGCTAGGGGTACAGGTCTTAGTGGAGCCCACTGTAGAATGCTATTCTTTTCCCTGCATCTTTTAGTATAGTGCTCCCTGATAGGATTGGACGACTGGAGCTAGTCACTTCCTGGGCGCTGACCGGCACCCCGCTAGCGTTTTAGAACCTGCCAGAAACGCCATGGATATCAAGAGATAAGAAATGGGTGGGCACTTTTGCGGCTATCAAATAACAGGCATGGCAACTCATCGCTAGCGTCAGCGGCGTTGCTTAGACAATGCCGGGAACCTTCCGCTTCCTCATCAGAGCCTTTCTTTCTTGCTCCTTGGCTAAATCAAACTCTTATTAGCATTCATCCACCAAGCTAGGAGAAGATCAGCGCAACATACCTTCGTCATAAACAAGGAACTCGTGCAGGGCACAGCCAGCGGGCACCATGGGGAGCACAGGCACCTTACGGTCAGTGAAGACTTCCAGAAGAGCAGGGCCATCATGCTCAATCAGCCACTTCAGCTTCTCCTCAACCTCCGAGGGCTTGGTACAACGGTCCGCGGCAACACCCATGGCCTGGGCCATGGGAACAAAGTCGGGGTTCTTCTGGTGGGTGTGCGAGTAACGGTCCTCGTAGAACAGGTTCTGCCACTGCGTCACCATACCCTGTTCCTCGTTGTTCAGGAGAAGGACCTTGACACCAATGTTGAACTGAGCAGCAGTGGTGAGCTCGGTAAGGGTCATGTTGAAGGAGGCATCGCCATCGATGTCAATGACAAGGGCCTCAGGGCGAGCAACCTTGGCACCAATAGCAGCCGGGAGACCGTATCCCATGGTTCCAAGACCACCAGAGGTGATCATGGTACGAGGGTGGCGCCAGCGGAAGTGCTGGGCAGCCCACATCTGGTGTTGACCGACACCAGTCGTGATGACAGTGCGGTCCTTCATGTGTGCAGTGAGATCACTGAGTTTCTCAATCAAAGCCTGGGGCTTGATGGGTCCCTCAGCGGTTTGCTTCTCGTAAAGAGAGAAGGGGAACCGAGCCTTCCAGTCATTGATCTGCTCGAACCACTCCTTACGCTCAGGCACAGTCTCAAGCTGGGGGAGAAGGAGACGGATGTTTTCGGCGCAGTCACCCTCAACGGCCTCGTTGGCCTGGACGACCTTGTTGATGTTCTTGGGCATGATCTCGAAGTGGACGATACCACCACGGTTCTCGGACGCGGCGAGCTTGGCCTGGGGGGCGAACTTGGAGATGTTTCCGGTTACACGGTCATCGAAGCGAGCACCGATAGCGATGATCAGATCGGCTTCCTGCATGGCCATGTTGGCATACGCAGATCCGTGCATACCCAGCATGTGCAGCGCCTTGGAGTCGAGCTCATCGAATCCACCCAGACCCTGGAGAGTGGTGGTGACGGGAATGCAGGCCTTATCAGCCAGCTCCTTCAGGATCTGAGGACCATCTGGGCGAGCGAGAAGACCCTGACCAACATACAGGATGGGCTTCTTGGACATGTTCACGAGGCGGGCAACACGGTTAATGGAGCCCTTGAGCTGCTGCATGCTCACTTCGCGGGCGGCCATGGTCGCAGCGCTGGGAAGGGAGGGAAGGGTGCTGTTCATCGGAATGGGTTTACGGAGGATACCGGCGGTGATATCTTTCGGCAGGTCGACGAGAACAGGTCCGGGACGGCCGCTGGTGGCGATCTCGAAAGCCTCCTGGATGCGACGGGGAAGTTCGGCGACGGACTTGACCATCACGTTCCACTTGGTGCAAGCCCTGGAGATACCGATGACATCGGCTTCCTGGAAAGAATCGGTACCGATCAAGCTGGTGGGCACCTGACCGCAGAAAACGACCATGGGAGTACCATCCGAAAGGGCATCCTGCATGGGGGTGATAACGTTGGTGGCTCCCGGGCCGGAAGTGACAAGAACCACACCGGGCTTTCCTGAGGCACGGGCGTAACCCTCGGCCATGTGTCCGGCACCCTGCTCATGTCTAGGGAGAACGAACTCGAAGTGCTTGGAGTTGTAGATGGCATCGAAAACGGGGAGAATGGCGCCTCCGGGGTAACCGACTAAAGGTAGTGGGTCAACCTTACCGTCTTCAGAGATCGGTAAACCGAGGGAAAAAGGTAGCGTGACTCACAGACATGCTTGACGCCAAGACGCAGCATCATCTCATGGAAGATTTCTCCACCACTGAGTCCGACGAAACTGTTTGTACTCCAGGAACCAGGTCAGTTCTACTCCAGTCAGCTGTAGGGATCGTAGGGCTGCGTACGAGTCGTCCAGTTCGGGAACTTGGCGATTTTGAAGTGGCGACACCTCATTGCGGTGAGGTTCCTGGTTGAAGGCAGGGCTCGGGACCGGTCTCGAATTTCTGAGCAATTGGCAGACATGTTAGCAACCAAACCTGACGACGAGAGGCGGCTTGGATGCTGCCACAGAAAACACTCACGAGGCAGGAGCTGTTGCGGTGCTCTGGGATCTCTTCTGAGCAGCAAAGCGGTGGGGCGAGGCGGTCGCAGCGACGGAAGAGGTAGTAAAAGTCCTTCTGCCGGAGGCGAGGTATCTCTGGTAGTGCAGAGTGCGCAGAGCGCCTTGGGTAGGTCTCATAGGCATCATCTTGACGACGGATGACTGCCAGGCCTGGAGAAAGAGGATAGGGAGTGCTCACAACGGGAAAAGAACGGGACCAAGGAAAGTGAGCAAGAGATCCGTCCCTTAAGGCAGGAGCGAAGACTCAGACTTCGGGGACGGTTATGGTTGCACGCTAGCCCGCCCCGGCCTAGTGCCGTTGGAGTCGAATAATCTGGGCCCTCCCATTGGCCCCGGCCCACCCACTGCTCCGATCATCGGCGTCCGGACGCGAAAGCCGTCGCCTGATTGGGGTGCCAGTCACTCGGCTGGCCTTCTTCACCAGAGCAACAACTCAGGGCAAAATCCAATAGAACAGGCGAGGGATGCGCATTATCGTGGGCTCAAGTTGCACATGCACCGCTCTCGCCGGCCATTGGAGCGGTGCTGGCTCCTAGTCAGGGCTCCAATCGCTTCAACATACTATACCTAGCCAGCCCAGGTCAAGTGCTGACGTTCTACTCATCCTTATAGTAACCAAGTGCTTATGCTTATCCAGATAACAATAATCAAAGCCCATTGATTACTACAGTAATCAAAGTTTCTCTAGCTATGGGGTAGTCCGTAAGCCTTACTGTATTCTGGATCTTTGCAGCCCTTACTGGAATAACCCACCATTCAATGCTTATGGTGATCACGGGCCTTTTGATTTCTAGAGCCCACCCGCAGGCAAATCCCCGAATATAGCTCACCAATGCGTTGCGATCACATGCAGGTAACCGGCATTAAAAAAGCATGCACACAACCGATCACTAGTTCAGCAATTCCCCGTGGAGGGGGTGTTCATTGGTACTAGTTATCTACTGCATCTTTTAGACAGTGTCAGATATATCCTCAGCCATGCTTTCAGCTCTCCAAACCTACGATGCATGGATTGCGGCTTCGAATACGAGTTCTCACAGCCAAGAGATTCGTATAGCGCCCATGTGCTTACTGTGGAAGCTCTAGACCGAGGGAATTGGCAACCTGCAAGTTGTCTGACCTTGCGTCAGACATGCAGAGTTCCTACCACAGTAACAATCCGCGTTGGAATCGCGATGCCACCCACCCTGCTCAAACTGGATCTGTACCCTCAACTCCGAATGTAGGCATCGTGGGTATGGAGTACGGAGTAGAGTAAGTATATATGTCTTTTGGTATGAGCAAGATCTTCAAACCGTCTGAGTAGTTTGGGCCTAGGTGTCTGTAGGAGGAATGCTTAGGATTGATCGCTTGACAAGCAAACATAGGCGCCATTATTCTCCTGCATGAGCACGTCCGAGATCGGAACCCCATACACGTTATGAGGTAAATTTTGAGTATGGAGTGATTTCATTTATCGAACCATGACCGCTCCTTGCTGGGAGGGGTGTCCAACTATTCATCAAGAATGTAGGTCACTTCATCTCCAGTCTTGCGATAACATCCGGTATGATGATGGTCGATGTACCCCGCACTTGGTGTCAACCTTAGCTTTATCAGTAGACCAAGCTAACGAGAGCCCCAGAAGTTGACTAGGGGTAGGGCATAAGAATTCTACTGAGGCACCTAGGAATGGGCTGTCAGCCTGTTATACAACCGGTCCAGTCCACTCGGACGTCCAGAGCCGAGGCCATCTGGGTTCGGCTAAATTGGGTGGCTTGCGGGATTATTGGGTGGAGGGTCATTTCTTGTATTTTGTTGATTGGCCGGCAGCCATCAATATAATTCCCAGCAATGAAATGGTGGGGATACAAGAGTCCCGAAATAAAAAGAAACCGGGGGAAATGAGGACCAAATGGCTTGCATCGTCGATGGGATTTCCCGACCGAACAATAATATCCAGGACATCCCGAATCAGCCGAAACCACGGGGTCGGTTGAAAAGCCTGGAGAATGGAGCCCTGGAGAACGGAGCAGGAACCAGTCGGAGAAGCATGGCGAGTGTCATTTCCGGGCACTCCACTCTTTCCCCGGGCCTCCAGCAATCACGGGCATCATCCCATCCAGCATCCCGCCCGTGACTGCTTCCATCCGGTTCCCGATCAGGGTCTCTGCGGAGCACCAGCTGCTCGACTTTTTCCCCCCCCCCCCTCCTATTGATTTCTCCGGTAGGTAGAGTTAGTGGTGGTTCAGGAACGCTGACGGTGCCTTTTTTTATTTATTTATTAACTGCGACCTGCTGCTTTTTTTCTTTCTCCTGCCTCTTCCCCTCCTCTTGTTTCCCCCTCCGCCTGACTTGTCATCCGTGTTTTCTTTTTTTCTTGTCGCATCTTTTACCCCGCCATGGCAACCCCGCAGGAACTCGTTCCCCAGACGGAATCTATCGCTGAGGTCTACGCAACCGACGACGCTTCTGTCACCTCGATTGCCCCTCAGCACCAGGCCCGGTTCAATAATTTGGTCTCCCAATTTACCAAGTCATACAACCATCGCCCGGATTTCGTGGCCCGCAGTCCCGGCCGCGTCAACATTATCGGCGAGCATATCGACTACAACCTGTATGATGTCCTTCCCACTGCTGTGAGTGTGGACGTGATCATCGCTGTAAAAGTTGTCCCCTCGGCAGGCTCTGAATCCGTTGTCACGATCTCCAATGTTAACCCCGAGAAATTCCCCACCCGTGAGTTCACTGTGCCTCGTGACACGGACATTGAGATCGACCCTAAGAAACATGAATGGGTCAACTACTTTAAAGCTGGGCTTCTGGGCGCCCTGAAGTTCTTGCGCAAGCACAATGCAGATGGTTCCTTCGTACCCGCTAGTATGGAAGTCCTCCTAGATGGTAACGTTCCCCCGGGTGGTGGTATCTCTAGCAGTGCCGCTTTCGTGTGCGCCAGTGCCTTGGCAGTCATGAAGGCCAATAATCACGATGTCTCGAAGCAGGATCTACTTGATCTGGCAGTGGTGTCTGAGCGCGCAGTTGGCGTCTACTCGGGAGGGTAAGTGATCATTGATCACGCGATCTCTTTGTTTGGTCTTATTCTAACCCTGCTTGTTCCTGCTAGAATGGACCAGGCTGCTTCCATCTTCTCTCGTCGAGGATATCTGCTGTATACCCAATTCTACCCTAACTTCTCGGTTCAGCATGTTCCTATCCCCAAGGCAGAGGAGGAGATCACCTTCCTCATGGCACAGAGCTTTGTCACCTCCAACAAGGCCGAGACCGCGCCCCGTCATTACAACCTCCGCGTCGCCGAGTGCACGCTCGCCGCCGTGGTCCTGGCTGCCAGACATGGATTGACCCTTCCTAAGGACAATAGCTCCCTTGGATTTAGTCTTCGTAACTTTCACAATGCACTGATGAGCAAAGAGGGCCGCCTAGGGGATCCCCTGGAGTACCAAATTGACTCGGTGATCCAGAGTACCATGGAGCATTTGACGCAAGAGCAAGGATACACTCGCGAGGAGATCGCCAAGCTCCTTGGTATCACAGTTCCTGAGCTCGAAGCTACGTATCTCTCTTCGTTCCCCGTTCAAGCAGAACGCTTCCTCCTCCGGCAGCGTGCCCTGCATTGCTTCACCGAGGCTCGTAGGGTGCTGGACTTCAAGGCGTGCCTCGCTAAGGCGACAACCCTCGACGAGAAACGTATCCAGTACCTGGGTCAGCTTCTGAACGAATCCCAGGCCTCGTGCCGCAACCTCTATGAGTGCAGCGCTCCGGAAGTGGACGAGATCTGCGACATCGCACGCCGGGCGGGTACATTGGGTAGCCGGCTGACTGGCGCTGGATGGGGTGGTTGCACTGTTCACATGCTTCCCCAATCCAAGGTTGAGGTTGTTACCAAGGCCTTGAAGGAGGAGTACTACCTTAAGAGGTTCCCGGACATTAGTGAGGAGAAACTGACCGAAGCGATGGTAATCAGTAAGCCATCTAACGGCTCGTTCATGTACGTCCTTGATATCCCGAATCCTTTACACCTGAAGGTGATGCTAATATATGACAGGGTTACGGGCGCAGCCATTGCCCAGGTTGAGGTCTAAGGTGGGTTGTCTTGAATGTAATGTTTCATATAGTCGGTATGATGGCCTTGAATCTAGCGTTGGTTTATTCCCCTTGCAGACGGCAAGCACAGACGCGAAGTTCTGTGTTCATTGGGAATCAAGCACTTGTGTATATCGTGTCAAATTATCTGTACAAATGGGATCATCTTCAGTGACCACGAAATGCACGAATGTCCTCTTCAAGTGCCCATCTCTTATGATTAGAAGCATGAAGATAGCAATTTCAATCGCTGAACTCTTCGGCAGGAGAAGGCTTGGGGCACCACGCTCAGCTCCTTCAAGATATGCGACATCCCGGACGCATTTCTGAATATATGGGATCTATACTAGTCTAGACCCAAAAACGTCTTCAGAGACGCCAAATCACCCCAGTCATTAGGAATGGGCAGCGACCAATGCCTGCAATAGTATCCGTGTATCCAAACATCAAAAACAACCACCCTACGCCTTCTTCTTCGCAGCCGCCTTGCCGAAGAAATCACTCATCTTCTTCATGCCGACGGTATTCACCTTCTTCAAGTCACGAACACCCCTCGACTCGCCCGCCTTCTTCTTCTTCTCCTCTTCCTCCTGCCTCCGCTTCTTCTCCGCCCGCGATTCCGCGGCCTCCTGATCCTCTGCACTCCGCTTGCGGGTGAAATCCCCCAGTGACCGCGACGCGAGCGCCTCCGCGCGCAACTTCGCCGCGACCTCCAAATGATCTTTCATCGGCTTGAAATCTTTCGGGCTCTCCGGCGCAGCCAGCATCTCATCCATCCTGGCGCTCATCTGCTTCGACAAATAGCACTCCTTCATGAAGGCCAATGCCGTGGATATTCTCAGCAGATCCGCAACCCCATCAGGCGCACTTGGTCCCTTGGGAACTTGCTCCTTCGTTGTTGCAGACTCGTCCGCGGACTTCTTTTCTTGCTCTGCCTCGGCCTCGGCCTCATTCTCCTTATTCTCGCCCCCAGCAGCAACATTCTCCCTCTTCACCGCCATCAACGGCGTAGCGAGCGCCTGCCTCACAAACCGCTCCTCCAAGCTCGGTGGCAAGCCCATGGAAACCATCCGATCCGCCTTGTTAACAAGTTCCGTGAGAAGTTTCGTCTCATTAAACCGGAACATCTTCTCATCGCCGGCTTCTACAAAGTCACAGATAGCAGCTGCGCGGTCGTGCAGAGTCTCATGGAAGGTCTCGTCGTAAAGAACATGGCGGAAATGGGCGGAGAGCTCGTCCTGCGAGTCGATGATATCGTCTAGGGGTTGGAACAGGCCTTTGGTTTTCTGGGTTGCGGAGAGGAGGGGAACGAGGAAGAAGAGGATGTCAATGGGAGTGGCGACGAGGAGTTCGGCCTTTTTGGAGATGTGGGCTTGCGGGGATGTGTTGTTTGGGGTGGGCGCGAGTAGGGTGCTTCGGGGGGCGTTTGGTGGCGATGCGATTACGGTGAATTCGTAGACGCCGAGGTTGGGGCTGAAGAAGTAACGGGTGGGTTCGTTGGTTCGTGGGTTGGGGAGGGTGAGGAAGCGGGCGTCGGCGCTGGCTGAGGAGGGGAGGACGAAGGTTTTGCTTGGTGTTGTTTGGGTTGGTGGTGGTCGAGGTGCTTGTTCGGAGTCGGATTGGGGTTGGGGTTGCTCCGAGGGAGCGGCTGAGCGGCGGGTTCGCATTGTGATAGAGGAGAGGAGAGGAGAGGTGGATGTGGTGGTGGTGGAGGAGGGTTGGGTGGTTGATTATAGGCGGTTCATTGGGGTCAATTGATGATGTCGGAGTTGTGTGAATAGTTACTGCAGTCTATCGCCAAGGGATAAAGTCAGTTTCGTGATAATAACAAGTGGATAGGATAATAATAATTGGCAATGATCGGAACGCGTCTTTTTCACCAGTTGAACGCGACACGCGCTAGCCAATCAGGACTGTCGCAGCCCCGGGCCAGTCAGCGGGCAAGCATGCATGGGCCTCAGGCCGCGGGCGAGAAAGGAAACTAAAGGCGGTTGCGGTGCAGACACTTGCAGCTCACTTCCATTCCCTTGCGTTTCATCGCATGCAGGCTGACGGTCCCGATTCCCCCTTTATTTTGTCGAACTCGCCAGAGTCTTGCACGTCAGGTGGATGAAGTGTTGCTGGTCCTGATCCGATCCCAGACCCCCAGTCCAACAGCTTTCCCCGCATCCCTTCGTTCGAGCGAATATGGCAAGAAGGGTAGCACGATCGATGGATTAACGTATCGGGATCGGAATTTGACTACTACATTTTTCGACCGGACTAGAACAGAATTGATCCAGCGCATGCGATGACAAGCAGTGAGTGAGTGTCTTTTTTGTACTCCTTGATCTTTTTCTGCGCCATTGGTATGGCTGACGCGAGGCTGTTGTAGTGGCCGAAATCTCATGGCCGCCAAAATCCCCTCGGGAGGCCCTCTTGAGTACCCCGAATGGTCGTAAGAGGTATGAAGACATGCAGCGTCGGCGCGAAAACCTGGGCTCGCCTTTGAAACGCTCTCTCACGACTCCGGACTTACGATCCAAGGCATCACAACTTCTAAGCGATGGGGTAGACGACGGCGAGGAGGATGAGGATGAGGAAACTCTACAGTTGAAGCTGGCTGCCATTGAGGCTCGGCTCAAGCTCAAGCAACTTCAGAAAAGCCGCGCGAAGACGGGGACGCCAGGTCCTGACAGGCACGATGGTGATGCCTCCTCTAGACCTGCTTCGATGATCGGTTCCTCACAGGCCCATGACCAGTTGATGGGAAACAAAAATGAATACCGGACGAGCACAGACGCCTGTGTCGACGACGTACAGGTTCCGTTGTCACCGACAAGGCGTCCTGCTCCGCCAACGGATCCCGTGTCCCCGCGGCGGTATGTGTTAGGCATTGATAAAGGCCTCAGAAGCAGGGATGTATCGTTGAGGCGCCCACCAAGCTCAAAGGGAGCTGGTCAACCAGCAGGCAGACCCGGGACACGAGATGGTTTAGTCTCACATTCTGGTAATCTTCTGCAGGCGATAACTGTGGGTGAACGCAGCCGTCCTAAGAGCTTCAGTGAGCGAATGGCAGAGAGTCGATCCATTGAGGTGTCTCGGAGAGAACGAGCAGCTCGGGTAGAGCAGATCCAGGCGAATCGAAGCTCGGCTTTCCAGATTGACAAGGCGGAGGTGGAGGCCTTCAAGGCGGCCGCTGAGGCAAGGAAAGACGCCCCGAAATCGCCGACTAGAACTCGACGAACCGAGAGCTTTAGTCGGGAAGATGTCCTACGGTCATACAACAACCTCAAACCGTCGCTGAAAAGGAGCCAGAGCCAGATCACTCCTGGTGTACGGAGACATGACGACGAGAATGAACTCAAGGAATCAAGGCCATACTTTCATAGACGAAACCAGAAGTCTGAGTCAGAAGTGCCTGGTAGTTCTCAGCACAGTGCTACTGATGATTCTCAAGGCGAGAAAAGTGGCGACCCCTCAAAGTTCGAGGCCTTCTCTTCTTTACACCTGTCAAACCGCATCTTACCCCATTCGTTCTTGACTCGAACTCTGGAAGACAAGAAGGCCCTCAAGATTCCTGATCTACTCCGCACAGTAAAGGCGCCTGACTTCGAACTGCCGGAGGATATCGACACGGATTTTGTTGTATTTGGCATCGTCGCTTCGAAATCCGAGCCTCGGCAAATAAAGCAACCCGGAAATACTACTAAGAAGGAGGTCGATCCATTTGATGATGGGACGAACAACAACAGCCAATACATGGTGATTACCCTTACAGACCTGAAGTGGACGATTGACCTTTTCCTTTTCGATACTGCCTTTCCACGCTACTACAGAATCTCCGAAGGGATACTCATTGCCATCTTAAACCCTACCATCATGCCACCACCTAAGAACAAGACAGACACCAACAAATTCAGTCTCGCCATTTCCTCATCCGATGACAAAGTCCTAGAGGTTGGCTATGCACAAGACATTGGGTTCTGCAAGGCTGTCCGGAAGGATGGCAAGACATGCCACTCATGGGTTGATGGCCGGAAGACGGAGTTTTGCGACTTTCATGTTGACTTGCAGATCCGTCGAACGCAGGCACACCGGATGGGCGTGAATGGCGGCACAGGCATGTATGGACCAGGCGGTCGTTCAGGCTCTCGGACCGGCTTCTTCAGCGGGGACAAGAAAGGCCGTCCCCAGAACGGACTGAAGCCAGTCGGCGCCAGATACGACTTTCAATCCCAGTCCACTTACTACGTTGCACCGGCTCCAAAGTCCAGGGGCAGCGGTCCATCTTTTCATCAACTACCGAGTGGCCAGTCTGCCGCAAGTCTCATCGATGCCGATAACGAAGACCCATTCATCGCTGCTGGGATGATGGGTCGTGGCATGGAAAGCAAAGAGGAACGCTTCCGTAAACGCCTCGCAGAAAAGCAACGTGAACGCGACATCACACACAGGCTCATTTCCCGCCCGGGAGGCGTCGGGGCCGAGTATCTTCGATCTCGCGATACCGAGAACGTCTCATCACCGCGTCTCGATGCCAAATCCGAACAGGCAAAGGATCAAAAAGGCGCCGCGGACTCGCTTCCTGCTCATAACTTGGGCGTTTCAAGCTTCAGAAGAGCCGACACGGTGAAACTAAGCCCATTGAAACGCGCCCATGATGGCGACAGACCCCGCAGCAGCAGCATAAAAAAGACCCGGTTCATAACCTCCCATGGCATCAAAGAGGCCGGAAGAGATAGCCTGGGAGGAAAGTCCGACATGGTACCAACGAACAACGATGATGATGACGACGATGAACTAGACATCATCTGAAAGAAAAAGAAAAAAGTTTTCTCAGTGTTATGAAACATAGATACCCTCATTCTTGGGCAGATTCATATCTGCGACGGCGTTCCACCAGTGCAGCTGGTCAGTCATTCACAGTCCAATATCACCAGCCTCCCTTAGAAACCCCAAAGAAAAGAAACATTTACCAAGAAACCAAAAAAACGACCGATTTTCCCCAGCCACCTTCACTTAATCAAAAACAAGGAATGGCTTTGAAATTCACTCTCAATCACTCACTTCCCCCCCTTCTCTAATCCAAGCCATAACGAATGAATGACTGATCGATCCATTTTCCTCCCCCACCCACGAAATACATACTTACGATATCTCCCTCATTCTTTTTCCCTTTTATGTATGAATATCCTCCCTTCTTCTCTCCACAACCCCGTCTCTTTGCGGACTATGTGTGAGATACGAGTGTATTAGTAACTTTCTTTCTTTCTTTCTTTGAGATATCCATTGAATAATATTTGGGATAGGTTATCCTTCATTTGTTTATGTGATGGCTCTTGCGAGTGTGGGGTTGGGTTTCAGTACTAGTAGGAGTAGTAGGAGTAAAGGTGCTTGGTTTTTATTGTAGGTAGAAGGCACGTAGTTGGGCTGTGTTACGAAAATACCAGGCCCGAGATATCCAGTCTGACAAAAGTCGAAAGGACAGAAAGATAAAGGAGTAAAAATGACATGACAATCTCATATTCATTGGTATCTGGGTAGGTGAGAGTAGTCTCAAGCTAGCTAGCTAAGTTGACAAAGGCCGAGAAAGTCAGGTCATGATGGACCCGACCAGCCGAAGGGAGCAGAGTACACGCCGATCAAAGAGACAAAGCTTTGAAGCAGGATAACAAAAAGGGGGGAAAGAAAAGAAAAGAAAAGAAAAGAAAAGAAACAAAACTCCGTCCTTATGTGCCAGCCCAGTCATGGTACCCGATCCGTCCGTCCCATTTAGCAGTCATCAATTCGCGCCTGTTTCCTTTCCGACCGACCGAGTCATGTATGTTCAAGACAAAGATGTTGTCCTTGTAGGTGGTATCAAACAAACTAAAACTGAGGGCAGTCGGACACATTAAAAGCTTAAGACAGCCGACCTGAAGTTCAAGGACGCCAGTAAATATCAAATGAGAAGTTAAGAACGCTGTAGACAAAGACGCTCGTCAAGTTTCCTGATAGAATCCTTGACGGCGGTATCAAGAAAAGAAAGAAAACCCTCGGCTCCCGACGGCTTCAGGATCCCACCCTGAGATACGCGGGATCCTTGTACATATAAGGCGAATGGCTCACACTGACGCAGTCGTTTTGTTGCCTCGAGGCTTCTTGGGAGCAGGGCCACCGGGGCCACCGGGGCTGCCAGCAGCGTCGGCGTCTCGTTTCTTGGCTTTGGTCCCGGTCACGGCCGGGGTCTGCTTCCTGCGGAGCCAGCCGTCGAAGGGACTAACACGCTTTTTCTTACTCTCGGGGGCTGTGGGCGTGTCGCTATGATCCGGACCCTCTCGTTTGGTTTGAGAACGCAATGAGCGCATAGTAGCACCCGGAGACGCAGGAGTGTCAATGGTGGAATGTGGAGGAGGGGTGACTAGTCGCTGCTGCATACCAACATCGGCTGCAGGTTCTTCGACCTCTTCGGCCTCGTCGTGGAACAAGTGATCTTCAATATCAGTGGCTGCCTCCTCATCGATGTCACTCAAAGGAGTCTCTTGGGGAACCCGATCCTCTATAGTAGGAAAGAGCACACGAGGCTTGATCGATGAGCGAGTCAGAGGGCGCACATTGTCCATGATAGATGAATCAATCAGGTCCGGACGGGCAGCCAGCAAGCCCAAGTCATCATCATCATCACTGTCGCTCTCAAGGTCTTCGGTGAACTTGCGGAACATTTTCTTGCCCCGACTGCGAGATTTGTTAGAACACGAGACAAAGATAGGTCAGAAATAGATGGGAACTTACAAAACGTAAACCATGCCATCCTCACGGTCGATTGAGTCGTCGATTTCCTTGTCACGGCGGCTTTCTTTGCGTCTCGGGGCGCGAGAAGCCGTGGTGCTTGACATGGGCTTCTTGTAGAACGGATTTTCCTCGCTTTCGTCGACTTCTGGGATCCTGTCACGGGAATCGGTGTAAATCTGAATCTCAGACCCACCCCGAGTGTTATCCTCGCTGAAACTGTCTAGCGAGAAGCCCATGTGCTTCTTGGTCTTCTTGTTGGAACTGGGAGGAGGGAAGAGCACTCGTGCGGCGCTCCCAACATCAGCGACAGCCTTCTTCCGGGGCGTTTTTGCCGGCGTGGGCAGCATGCCGTCTGTCATGGTCGGTCGAAGTGATCGTGGTTGATGGCGGATGTAGGAAGGTTCAGGGCCGCTGAAGGGGTCCGAGTCATCTGTGTTAGAGGGGTCCTCGAGTGAATGTGTCGCGAACAACCCGGCACTTCGGGCCGACCTCTGCTTCCGGAGAGAGCTCTGGACGGAGCTAGGGGGGGATAAGGTCGCTGATTCATTGATGTCGTGTTTCTTCGCAGTCTTCGAGCCCGGGAAACTAGGCGGGGGGGTGGTACGAGACTCTCTATCTCTGGAGGTGCGTTGGCTAGCTAGCCTGGCCGAATATCGCGTCGAATATAGTTCGTACTGATCGTATTTAGCTCCAAGTCGCGGAGTAGGCGGCATTCGCAGCGTCGAGGGGGGAGGTGGTGTGGTCGCCATGGTGGATGATACGTTCGACACGACCGATATAGCTCCTCGGTGGTGGGGACAGCCTCAAAAGCTGCAGCTCCAAAAATTGGCAGCAGAAACCAGCTGGCCAGACAGATGAGGGTCCAAGAAGTTGGGATATATAAACGTTGTGGACGATAGGATGCAACCAGGGACGAGTTCAAGGGAGACACAAGGGAGCAAAACGCGCGACGAGCCAAAAGCCGACCGGAGAGCGGGTACCCGGAAGCAACGTGCTAACCAACGGAGGGAGAAATATAACGGAGCGCGTGGATATCAATTAGTAGTAGCTAGAACGAAGAGAACGAGACCAATGGAGTGGATGTCATAAACCAAGAAGGCGTAGTGGTAAAAGTGGATGTGGATGTGGATGTGGATGTGGACGTGAATGTGAGGGAGGAAAGACTGGGGAAGGGGAGAGAGAAGAAGTGGATGATGGATGGCCGACCGAAGCGAGGCGCGATTGGAATGCCCAGCCACACCTTTTTATCTTCCGCTGCCCGGCCTGTCTTGCTCTCTCCAAGCCTCTAGGATCCAACTAAGACGGCCTATCGCCCTCGGATTGTCGTTGGGTACCTTTTGTCCTTTCGTCATCCATTTATTCCAGTGGCTGAAATTGCCCCACGACACTTAGCGGTCGATCGGCATTCCCCCGTCTCTTTCTCCATTATTGGCTGCTTTCCCTCCGCCAGCTGTTGTTGTTCTTGCTGCCAGGTACTACTGTGTAGTACTTTGATTCCCCTCCAGGTTCTTTATCAAACATACAACCACCGTTCATTTCATTGTTTTCCACGGCCCCTCCCATCCCCATCGCCATCAGGTACCTACCTACCCACACCCACCCACCATGACACTCCGCAGCACCGCAGAAGAAATGGATAGGCTCCAACTTTCCGATGATGACACAGAAGACCTCTGGAATTCCCCTTCCAAACGCGGAAACAAAAAGCTACACCACAGGGTCGTCAAAGAAGAGAGTTTGTCGCCGGAACCCACCATTCCCCACGATGGAGGAGAAACGTTGTTTGACCGCCAGGAGGCACGGGAAGCTGCGTTGCGCAGTGAACTAGAGAGCGTCCGCAAGATTAACCAGGTCATCGAGGGTCTGTTAGGAAGCCTCGATTGTGCCAAGGGGAACATGGATGTATGTCTATCTCCACCTTCCTGCTACAGGGGCTTTCCATTGCGACTCATTGCTGACCGCTGATGATCTGTAGACTGTCTCGCGAACTCTAGACTCTGCGTCTACATTACTCAACACCTGGACTCGCATCCTTTCCCAAACCGAGCACAACCAGCGGCTAATCCTCAATCCCAACTGGCAAGGCGCGGTCCAAGATGTTGCCGAAATGGAGAATGAAGAGCTACTCCGGCAACAGGCTGCAGAAAGACGTGAACGGGAACTTCAGCAGCAAAGGGAAGCTGCTGTCCGAAAGGCTGAAGAGGACCAGCGCAAGAGGGCGCTCGCTGCGGGCACCCGCCCTACGCGTGGAACCACCCGCGGAAAGGTGGTGCGTAGCGGTCTGGGAAGGACCCCGAGTGTCTCATATTCAGGGACCAGCTCCAGCGCTACGAGAACGACGACATCGTCAACGGCTGGCAAATCATCAACGACCTCCACGACGCGTAGGCCGGTCAGTGGGATTGCGCGGGGCACAGGGATTGCGCGTGGACGCGGCAGGGCGTAGAGGCGGTGACCAAACAATGAACGAACCACCGGGTTCCATGTACAGTACGAGAGAATCTGGGACGAAAGCCAATGACAGTAATGATATGATGATACCCAAGCGAGGCGAAGCGAAGCCGGAAGTAAACAAATCTGAACGCTGAAGACGGCGGGGCAGTGGGCTGCCTGAGGCGACGAACTGCAGCGCCAAGGCGGAGGGCCGATAAAGCTACGGTTGGCCGATAAGCGCGTGTTTCGTGAAACGACGTTGCCTTCCTTCTCCTCACCTGCATTCGTCCTCATCTTCCTCCCCCGCACAAGATGAATTTTGCTCCCTACCAGGACGAATCACCCGAGGTTGAACGCGCCTTCTCGCCGTCGCTGGCCGACGCGCATCGCGTCAAGTCGCCCAATATCCGGTCCCCTCGCGGGTCTCCTCCCGTCCCCGGACTCGCTTCCCCGGGGCTCCCATCGCCCAGTCAGTTCGCCGGTGCTGGTCATATAGACACCAGTGGGCATGGAAACACAGGATTCGGCAATGATGTCGAGAGTGGACGCTGGAATCTTGGAGCCTTCGACACCAGTCTCCCCATTCGCATGGACGTCGAAGCTATGCTGGCATATCTGCTCCTGCCCCCGGCGGGTGGTGTCTTTCTCCTGTTGGTAGAGCACAAGAGCGACTATGTTCGGTAGGCTTCATCCACCAGCCCCAGAAACGTCCCCTCAGCAGACTCCCTGACTTCTCTTAGGTTCCACGCATGGCAATCAAGCATGCTTTTCACCGTCATGTTTGTAAGTCATGCAACACCCCCGACTGGGTCAATGACACCTCTAATGCCCTTCAGATCCTTCACTTGATCTTCTCTTGGTCCAGCTTCTTGTCCTGGGTTCTATTTATCTGCGATCTTGCAATGATGGGCTTTCTGAGCATGCGTGCCTATCGAGATGGTGAGTTGAGGTGGTTGCGCCGAGAAATAACGTGCTGACCAAATCCTCAGTCGACACACTCGAACACTTCGAAGTCCCGGTTTTCGGTCGCCTTGCCAATTCTTTTGTTGACGATGAATGATCTCACCTTAATATCGGCGCCCGATTCTGGCTTTGAAGCCACTTTGGCCGGATAATTCTGACCATGGATCGGTGAGCCCTCCATTGTACAGTGTCAGTTGAACATAATACGGAACCTTCTATATGTTTATAATATGCTGTCCAGCTGCTCAGCGTGCATAATGCTCTGCTATGTATTTTTGTTACTGTTCATTTTTTTACTGTCTTCACTTGAATTGTAATACCTCTTCAATGCTTTACCATCGCTGCTCAATCTTTGAATTGGCCTATTGTTGTCTGCATGATTGTGAAGACTTATCGGGCTCTCCATTCAGTAGTGATGCTGAGGATATTCACAGCGGTTTCTGGAACAACATCACACATGACGGCCGGCACTTTCCTATTCACCACTGCGTGTATAAAACTGCATCTAAGCCCAAAACAAACAAAGCCATACTCCTCAACTCATACATGGCGCCCTGCACTTTCCTATTCACCATTGCGTGTATGAAACTGCCTTTAAGCCTAGGACAAACAAAGTCATACTCCACGGCTCACACTCTTGCAGATCCAATGAGACACTATCTAAGATTTTTAAGAGCGTCCAAGGCCCCTTTTGAAACAGAGGAAGAAGCAGTACTTGAAACAAGAAGCTCTGCCACTGTCAAACAACCAATCCTCCTTGACCTATATCAACCCTAAGATGCCAATTGCGTCTTCTCTACATCAAATACGCAACTAGTTACGCCGCCTGCTCTCCCAATTGCAACCATGTGCCATGTCCAGCGCGTTCTCAATACCTGTGGGCATATCAACGACCATGTCTTCCTAGCCTGCCACATCGCAAAGGCGGCAGCAGCACTACTGGCCCCCTCTGATATCAACGGGGGCTGCGACTCCTTCCAGCCTCAATTCTTGAAGAATTTCCCAGCCGGGACAATCTGGGAGAGGATATCCACCACCGGATATCACGCCGTCACCCAACCCTACTGCACAGATGGAAGAGTGTATTGTCTCCGCAGTCCCCGTGGATTCAAGTGTATGGTAGATGGATGCGGTCGTGCCGATTAACTCGATATCTTGGAGCCACCAGCTTTGATCCTGTTAGGTAACTGCCATATGCGTATCGGAAGCATGGGTGATGGATGGCTTGCTGGATCCGAACTATCTCATTTTTTCTTTCTCTTCTACTCTGCGAAGGAGGTATTTCTGGATTCAAAATTTTGAGGGGTGGTGGAACTGTCTTCGGTTCCCTTTATTTCCTCATTGTACAATATATGTTACGGGCCGGTTTACAGCATCATTCATGTAGATTGGCGTTTCTTAGACGTTCTGAGGATTTTTATCATTTTCATTTTCATTTTCGTTTTCTTTTGTTAGGGGGAATACTGAATTTCATTGTCTTATACCATCCCTTTGTCCTTTAGTATTTCTTCTGTTACTACCATGCATTTCTTTCTCCGTTTTATTCTTTGCCTAGTAAGTAGTAGCCATACTAGTATGATGAGTAACTACAATGCAAGTTAAAAATAGATGTTCACCAGATAATCCCTTTGTAGTTACAAGGATCTTAATTTATACCTCTAGGTACTTAATCACCCGGGCTTACCAACTAGAAGCGCAGTTAGGGCAGGCAACCTATAGGTCACTTGGCAATAACCAATAACACGCAGACTTAGTACGTATACGCAAGAGATGATACTAAATGCACGCATACTCCAGAAGTTATTATTCAAATACCACAAGGCAGCTAAGAAGGCAAAAGATATCAAAAGGAAAAAGAGAAAAAAGAAACATGAAGCAAGATTCAGTATCTCCAAAGAAAGACATCATCAACGTATTAGACAAACAGATAGACAGGTATCGCAGACTCTCGTTAATGACCGAACTGAAACCAGGGGGCTGCTGTGTGGGGGGAGGGGGAGGGTGGGTTGACCAAGGTGAAAAACCAATTTTGACTAGGTGAAGGACGAGGGGTAATTTGTAAAGAATGTCCGGTGAAGAGAAGGGAATGACCCCAGAAAATTAGAGAGAGGGATGGACGGATGGTAGGGAAAGCAAATGAACACAATTTGGTATCATGATCATGAACGCGTGATTAGGTAGGACATGCTTGGGTCATAGGTGGTTTTGGTTGGTTCATGAGATGGGCGTTGGATATTGTTGTTACTGTTGTTGTTGTTGTTGTCGCTCAGATAATTTGGAGATAGTTGCTCGGGACCAAACCGGTTCGGCTCCGGGCAGTGGTGACTTCGGCTTCCCACCAGCCGTCGTCTTGAAGACGGATCACGGATAAGACGTCGCCTTTGCTGAAGCCTAGTTCTTCCGGAATGGCGGCGGTGTAGCTGTACATGGCTCGTGCTAGGAGGGGAGGTTAGCTGATATTGGTGGTTATAGGGTAGGGCGAGGTGTGCTTACCGAAATGTAGGATGGGTCGACCGTCGCGACTGAATTGCCGGCTGGGATCAGCAACTGCCACCGTCCGGCTCCTGGACCGGCTCCTCACACTCGCAGCATCGTCATAGTATGACATCGGTCTACCGCTGCCGCGTCGAGAGCCGTACCCGTCACGACTGCCAGCATACATGTCGGGTGGTCCGGACAGTTGAAGTTCCATGCCGCCAGCGCTGGAAGGCCGGACTTGTTGCCTGAATTGCAGCTGGGGCGAGACAGCACGTGGCATTGTGTTCTGGGCCTGCCTGTACTGTGGCTGCGGGGACACTGCGCGTGATGCCATGGTGGGGGATTGCCGGTATTGAGGTTGAGGAGACACGGCACGCGAAGACCCTCGTCTGGCGTATTCAGCGGATGAGGCCGCATCCACGGGACGTTGGGGGGCGTTGCGATGGTTGGGGATTGGCTGTACCGGTTCTTCATGCTATTTGACTGATAAGCGGATGGACTGGGGCTCGCTGCTCTACTGTACTGGCCCATGCGCGTGTCCACCCGAGGGCTCACATTGGGGCTTGCACTTCGTCTTGCAGCAGGCGACCGAGCACGCGGGGCCTCCTGGGACTGTCCACTGTGTCGGCTTGACAATGAGGGAGGTTTGCTCGAGCCCCGATGCGCACTCTGGCCCTGGCCGGTGTATCGTTGAGTCGTCTTTTGCATCTGTGCCGACGTAAAAGCGGGTTGGGGAGCGTCTAGGCGTTTGAGAGATGAATCATTATAAGCTGGCGGGGGAGTGGCAACAGAGCCGGGCACAGGAGCTACTGATGGCACTGGAGTAGCAATGCCATGATATCTGTCGGCTGACACGCGGGTGGTCGATTGCTTCCCTGCCACTTTCAGATCCGCTAGAGCTCGCGCGATGGGATCCAGCTCCTCTTCACCATTTTTGCCAGCCTGAGGCTGGGCCACCTTCTTATCCTTGTCCGGGGACTCGACGTCGAAAACGTTGTTTCCAACATTGAGCTGGAAATTTGCCCTAGGATCCGCGGGCTCAGGGCTGCCTGGGTCCGGCATAGCGATAGGTTGCTGCGGATGAGAAGCTTTGGTCGGGCTAATTTGCTTTGACGGAGACTCCCAGGTGCCGCGAGAAGGTGCCTGGGAGGGTCCAGAGTGGCGGTCCTTATCATGGCGACTCTTGCGTCGGAAGGGGCTGTTGCTGAAGAACGCGCTCCTCTTCTTCTGAACCTGCTTGTCTCCCCCGAGACCCGGAAGAGCTACACCGTTCGTGGGCTTCGTAGGAGATTGCCTGGCGCTTGATGGCTCTTGGCTTGACATCGACGTCGGGTTCGAGACCTCACTTTGGGAATCACGGCTTGATGGGCGATAGGCGCTGTTTGTTCCCGAACTGCGCTCCGACGGCGGACCTGTCCTGCAAAACATTGTCATGCCGTCTGTTGGGTACGCATTGTGTGGGACCTTTGTGATCTCGCCATGCTGAGAGGGGTCGTAATTTGGTGGAGGGTGACCACCGCGTCGTAGATCCAAGGGAGCGGGTTGCTGCATCGGCGGTTGCATTGGTTGCGGGGGCATCGCTTGCTGCACGGGTGGCTGCATTGGCGGTGGCATTGGTTGCATTGGTTGCATTGGCTGCTGCATTGGCGGCTGATGCACGGGCTGCTGTACCGGCTGTTGCGGCGGTTGCTGCATAGGCGGCTGTACATGTTTCTGGACGGGCTGCGGCATCGGTTGCTGCAGTGCCTTTTGCGGAGTGACGGTGGTTTCTCTGCTTGAAGGAGTCGGAGGGCCATTTATCTTAGCAGCAATTTCGGCGTCAGGGTCAATCTGCGGCTCATAAGATGAAGGTTGTGGCGATGAAGTGCGATATGCCGGGTTTATCGTCCGCTGGAACTGGGCTACAGAGTAGCCTTCTTCTTCGGAAGCTTCCGAGCTCGTATCGTTGATATCACCTCGACAAAAGTTGATGAACCTGGGTGGGTCGGGGATGTCCTGGCCAGTTCCTTTCTCTTTGATGAAGAAGATAATATCCTTCTCGACCTCGCAATCTTCTAGGGAAAGGCGGACTTTCTCGCAGGACTAGTAAACGTCAGTGGATGTCCGGCAGATATATGACCGTGAACATACCGCATCGTCGCTAACGCAGACAGTTGATGCAATATTTGCATATGTCCACAGGCTGCTCTTTGTAAAGTCAAGCCTTTCCTCTTCAAGATCTTGAAATTTCTGGCAAGGCATATCAGCTCTCATGCATCAGACACAGGGGTATGGTCTGTCCGTCACACATACATCGCAAGCTGACTTCCATTCTTTATTCCATCGCACAGTAGTCTCCTCAAGAACTTTGATAGCTGCTTCATACTCACTGCTGCTCGATGCAAGTTGTATTTGCGTCTTCTCCAATTTTGCTTTGTTCTTACGCTCTTCGTGGCCCATGACCATGTGGCCTTGTGCTAGATATCCCTTGATCCTCAAGCAATCTTGCTCATATCGATCTCTGGTCTGCAATAGCTCAGTATTCCCATTGATTTGTTCTTGGTGGCTGGGTAACTTACCTTATTCACTGTTTGAGTCTGTTGGATTTTAGTTTTGAGTAGACGTTCAATCCCTGTTTGTATGATCTTTCTTCGCTCCTTGGAACCGCCAGCAAAGGCAACCAATGGCTCCTCCAGCTCCCTCTTCATTTGGCCCGCAATTGCTGCGTGGGCCTTGGCAATAGCTTCAGTTTCCCCACGAACCGTATCGAATGATGTACGGAGCGAGCCTATCTCTGTTGACCCCAGTGGCTTGCGACACAGCGCCAGAAGCTTTCGCGCGTACTCATCTTCAATAGCAGCTCGAACTGTCGGGCTTGTTAGAGCCTGAACGCATCACCCATAGAACAACGACGATCGGATGACGTACTGTTGTAGAAAGTTTTCAACTCATCGCAAGACACTTTCGAAGTGTGCATTCGATCCAACATCGGCCCAACACCCGCGTCCTCTTTGCCCCAGAAATTATTGGCGACTGTAGAGACGAAGGCGTTAGCTCAGCATGACCCCGGTTAATACATCTTGATGAAACACCATACAGGACATGGCCACCGTTGGCCCCTCTGCAACTGTTCCTGGCATTTTGGCGGATTATACTCCAGTAATCGTGTAGAGCGTCGGCCAGCCTTTGCTCATCTAATTATGGGCATCAAGGGATTAAGACAATTTGAAGAACAACGCAGAGCCGGCGTGTCACAGCGCCGAACAATACGAGAACCCCACGGTGACTGAGGACCGAACGAAGACGGCAACCTAGATGCTCCCGGAGAACAAAGTGAAAGACCAGAATCCAGGGAAGGAATGGGGAAAGCAGTACGATTGAGCCGGATCTGGTGGAGTTGACCACAAGCTTCGCTCTGGAATGGAGATGGCTGACGCTGTCATGTTTACGGTGCCGTGTCTCTCGGGGCAACCGGCGGTAATATCACGGGGCGGCGTCAGGCAGCCCAATGACCAACTCATCTGCCGCGAGGCCCATCAAGGGATATCCGCCGGTGGCTATCATTCTCCGCGACTGAGCGGAACCAGACAAATGGCATGGATCGCTGTTCCGGTGACGCCTTTCGCACTCTATTTGGGCCCTTTCTTGATCCAAGGGTTAGCTACTGACTAGCGTTTCATTATTCATGGCTCTTGGCCTGCGGGGTGGCTGGTGGCTGGTGGCTGGTCTTCGCGGAGGGCGCACACGGGAAACCTCCGTCTCCCACCCTTCTCTTTATCTGAATCGCTACATATAGAGGTAGTCAATATCCTGCTGTTGGGGTGAAATTCGAGATCTAGTGCTGTGGATCGGATACGTGGTTTTGAAAGTGTTGGGGCTTTTGTTAGCACGAGGAGTACGTCCGTAGACTATAGTTAGACGACTCCATGGCGGTAGCTCCATCCATTAGGCCTACTGATGCGGAAAAGTCGGTGACCACGCTGGAATTTGGGCATCAAATGGCCAGCCTGGTCATTCAACCGACCGGGGGGTCCCATGTAAAGGTAATTGATCCTCCAGTGGCTTCTGATTGTCCTTGGGGGAACATAGATAACCAGGGGGCTCATTAGTTCGCACCTCGGATCCCAGAACCGCCTGCTGAGTCAGCCATTATATAAGCCACCGCATTGGCCCGTCAGGCTCACGTGCCAGGGTGCTTCCAGCCGCACTTGTTGGATTAAACATAGGTCGTCTCTATGCAGGAGGCAGCTGGACTCCAAGTCCGATCGGTCCCTACTTACCTAAAAGTATAATCGACCACTCCGTACCCCTAACCCAGCTGGACTTCCGAGTCGTCGCTGCCGGTCGGACTCCCGATATACGGTGTAACTCACCAAGAAAGAGAGAGAGACAGAGAAGACGAGAGGGAGCTGCCAAGTTCCCCTGCCCTGCCTAAGGCCGCCTAGTGTGGGCTCCTCAGGCATCTCCTCCCGCACGTCCACTCATCCTCGCTTTCTCTGCCCGTCATTCACACCCATCGGAACTTCCATCCTGTGCCACGAAGCAACATCCTCTTCATTGCCATCGGTCTCTGCTCTTCCGCTGCCAGAATCCGTCGCTTTGTTGCACGTCTCACGATTGTTTCCATCATTATTGGCTCCATCTACTCCTCTACTTTTGTTACAAATAATAAAAATTTGTCGCTCGCCCTCAGATCAAATGATCGCGTCTCCTAGATGACCTTCCCTCCCCCTCCTCCTTCCTCCCAATCGTCGATTGCTTCTGGCACCGATAAGTCCTCTTCGACCAGGCCGGCAAGGTCACAGCAATCTCCTTGGGGTCCGTCCGTGTCCCAGTCCAGTGTTCGGCGTGGGTTGACTCCACTTGCGACCAACAACCTCTCATCGCTCGCTTCAGCTTCTCGGGGGCCACCACAGTCCAGTAGCCCTGGGCCAGGCGGTTCGACCGCGTCTCCTCTCACCTCCTCCTTCTCCGCCGTTCTGAGTTCTGCTCGGAGCCATCCTGTTGGTCGAAACGTGCCCTCGCCAGCCTCCACACCCTCACCATTCGCCTCATTCCAATCTGGCTCGCAACAGCACCAGCAACCCGGACAGTCTCTCTCCTCACCCAAATTTAGAGCTCATACCCCGTCGTCAGGGTCACATCTGGCTTCCGCAGCGGGTTCTGTCGCGGGTGGTGGAGGCTCCGGGGGAGGCGGAGGTGGGACGGGATCTTCCAGAGGCGCCACCTTCTCTCCGTTGTTGTCCGGTACAACCGTGAACTCACCTACGGGCTTTCCCTCTGACAAGCCGGGCTCAGCAGCTTCAGGTTCTGCTGCTCACGCGAGCCAGTCGTCGTTGACGAAGATATCCATCGCACAGGTTTTCCTGCTTCTAGATTCCATTACAGAGAAAGAAGGCAGAGAAAAGTGGGAGACGAAAGCTGCTCAGATTCACAAGGTAAGCACATGTGATCCAAAAACAATAAACATAAACATCCCTGTTACATGATGACGGTTCTGACTTTGTACCAGCTCGTTGAGTCCAACGGAATGGAGGTCTTTTCGAAATACTTTCGTCGCTTGCTTACGGGCAATGCCCCGCAGATCTTTCCTGGGGTCAACAAGTCTGTGGAAAATGCTGGCAATTACCCTCTCCTAGTTCAAGAGATGCAGAAGGTGTCCCAGGATATAGAGCAGGCCCAGAAGATCGCAGAGACCGTGGATACTTCGGAGGGCGATATCTTCCGCGATTTTGATCTCTCTACCTTCCTGGACCATTTCAAGCTTGACCCCCTTGTGAAGGTTTCTCTCGCTCTGGCTTTCAAAACGGCCAATAAGTCAGACCTACGCGCCAAAGGTGAGTTGTTAATCGAGCTATCAGATGGTGTCGGTTAACTGACAATTACTGTCTGCCAGCTGATGCGATCCTTTCGAACACTATAAATCCGTTTCTGCAAAGCCTTGCAACACCATCCGACGTCACTAAAGAGTACAAGAACTCCTTCATCGGCATGACGATCGAACGTTTCATACTGTATCCGCCTAGAAACTTCACAGACGATGTGAAGGGCAAGCTGGTGTATGCGGCTAACTTACGGTATCAGAAGTTGGGCGTGGACATGCCATTTGAGATTGCGTCTGCCCTACAAATGTTCAATTTCATCAACCCCAGATACACCCTTGTCCGCCAACTTCACTCGAGAGGCCCGAAAGCAACGTCGAACCCCGACGCGGTAGCTGAGACAATCAACGCGACAGGCTCTGAGTGTTGGAGTGAAGAACATGTTGCCAGTGCGCTACTCTTCCTGGTGCTCTCGCAATACTGGCGTGAATTCTCGTTGCACACTTTCCTCGGGGCCGTGCAGGCGCACTATGGCGAGAAGCGAATCAGTTGGCCCCTCGTGTTCCGCAATTTTGACCGTGAGGGCCTGAGGTTAGATGCTCGGCAATTTGCAAAGCTGTACGCAGTCTTGTCCGCTGCGGCTGCGGATGACTCCAGCCTAGATGTTCAGAAGCTTTGGGGTGGCGATTGGGAGCATCGCGATACGCAGATGTCCTTCCTGACAGCCTTTGTTGCCTCCAGAACGGATGTGTCGCAGATACCCAACCTTCGCGCTACCTTCCCTTCGGATTTCTTCGCCGACGGGCCTGAGCTCGTTCGACTGCAGGGTGAGCGTGCCGCAAAGTCGCCTCTCCGGTCACTGGATGCCATGAGAGCTATATTTGATCTGGCTTTGTTTTCCCAGGCAGCCTGGGCCGCCGCTGAGAGCCAGCTACTGATCAAGGCTGTCGTACAGTATGATCTACCCGTTTTCCTGTGCTCGGCTCTATCTCTCCCTCAGCCGTGGACCAGTGTTCAGCAGAGCTTTGTTCTACGCACCTTGATCGTCTTCATCCTTAAACAAGAAGAGGGATATCATTTGGCGTTGCATGGGGCGTGGCACCAAGATCGGCAGTGGGTAGCGGAGCAGCTTTTCACGACTTTCACCCAGGATCCGACTTCTACAGCTGCCATCTATGAGCATGCTGTTGAGTTCAGTTGGTTGGAGTATCTCCTCGGATATACAAATGGCCTTGCCATGGATCTTGCATGCTACGCCCATCGTAAAGGACCTTTCGACTTGGAGCAATGGGTTCGCAATGCTGCACAGAAAGGTCCCATGGACATGGGAAGCTTACTATCCAAATTCCTAAGGATTAAGGCGGAAGATGAGCTTCACGTGCAAAGGAAAGAACAGCCCGCTCCCCAGATGGTCAGCCTTTCGGTCAAGACGGTCTACACTTTACTCTCGGTGCTGGAGGAATACGTCGGTGATCGTGAGAATCTCACCCCTGTGCAACGGATATGCATCCAGACCTATCCACGACTCATCAACTACGGTGAAGGTTTCGACGACATAATCGACGCCAACGGCGAGAACGGAAACGCGCTGCCTGAGGCTGTGGACAAGCAAATGCAGGAACTCTTTGGCAAGATGTATCACGAAGAATTGTCATTGAGAGAGATCCTCGAGTTGATGAGAAGATACAAGTCTTCTCGCGAACCAGCCGAACAGGACCTCTTCGCTTGCATGGTCCACGGGCTTATCGATGAATACCATTGTTACCATGAATATCCATTGGAAGCGTTGACTAAAACAGCTGTCATGTTTGGTGGTATCATCAACTTCCGGCTTGTGGATGGCATCACTCTAAAGGTCGGCCTGGGTATGATTCTGGAGGCAGTGCGTGATCATGAAATTCATGATCCAATGTACAAATTCGGTGTCGAAGCGATTGAGCAGTTGATTAACCGTCTTCCTGAGTGGGCTGGGTTTTGCCATCTGCTCTTGCAGATCCCGACATTGCAAGGCACAACAATCTACCAGAAGGCGGAGGACGTTTTACGTGAGCAAGGAAGTCAAGTCAGAGATGAGGCTGGAAGGGTGGACAGTGTTCCTGGCGCTGCCGTGAACGGGAACGTTGACGAAACCACCACTACAGATGGGTCAACTCGTAAATTCATTTCCGTTCATGTTGATTCGCCTATCCGGCCTGAAGTCTATCGCGAACCTGATGAAGATGTCCAAGACAAGATCCTCTTCGTGTTGAACAACGTGTCTGAACAGAACATTGATGAAAAGCTCCGTGACCTCACTGATGTTCTTCGCGATCAACATCATCAGTGGTTCGCTTCCTATCTTGTGGAAGAGCGTGCGAAACTTCAGCCGAACTTCCAACAGCTTTATCTTGACCTCCTTGACCGCATTAACGACAAGTTGTTGTGGGCAGAAGTCCTCAGAGAAACCTACGCCAGTGTATCTAAGCTCCTCAACTCTGAGGCGACGATTAACTCATCCACCGAGCGAGGTCATCTTAAGAACCTCGGTGCGTGGCTTGGCTCCTTGACCATAGCCAAGGACAAGCCTATCAAGCATAAGAACGTCTACTTCAGGGGGCTTCTCTTGGAGGGATTCGACAGCCAGCGGTTGACGATCGTGATTCCTTTCACTTGCAAAGTTCTTGTCCAGGCTACCAAGTCTACAGTGTTCAATCCTCCGAACCCTTGGCTGATGGATATTCTTGCGTTGTTAATGGAATTTTACCATTTCGCGGAACTCAAGTTGAACTTGAAGTTCGAGATTGAAGTTCTGTGCAAGGATCTCGATCTTGATCACAAGACTATTGAGCCTTCTGTTATGATTCGAGACCGTTCTGCACATATTGAGGATGCGCTGTCTACGGCCAACATCCCTGACGGTCTCGAAGCATTCGAAGACATGGCTCTCACAAGCATCAATCAGAGAATCCCCCATGAAAGACTATCGCCTGCTGCCATCATGTCGACACTCCCGAGCCTGGACAAGATTCTTGTTCTTCCGTCGTCTGCAAGCAGCATGGTTGACCCCAATGTTCTTCGGCAAATAGTGCACAGCGCCGTCGAGCGTGCCATTGCAGAGATCATCACACCCGTTGTGGAACGCTCTGTGACAATTGCCTCTATTTCTACCGTCCAACTGGTCTCGAAAGATTTTGCAATGGAACCCGATGAGGAAAGAGTGCGGCATGCAGCCGGCATAATGGTCAGACAACTTGCTGGTAGCCTGGCCCTTGTAACGTGCAAGGAGCCTCTTAAGGTGAGCATGACCAACTACATCCGGATGATCCAGCAGGAGTATTCCGACCAGCCAATGCCGGAGGGGTTGATCCTCATGTGCGTTAATGACAATCTTGACGCTGCTTGCGGTATCGTTGAGAAGGCTGCGGAGGAAAAGTCACTTCCTGAGATTGAGAAAGTCATTGAGCCCCAATTGGAAGCTCGCCGGCGTCACCGGGTGGCTCGACCAAATGAGCCTTTCATTGACCCTTCCATGAATCGCTGGGGCCTTTTCATCCCCGAGCCCTATCGGCAAGCTGCGGGAGGGTTGAACAAGGAGCAACTGGCTATTTATGAGGAATTTGCTCGTCAGGCCCGAGGCCCGGCCGCGGCTCACGTTCAAAATGTGTCCACCGATTCCGGTCGACAGCTTCCAGATGTCCTCCAGGAACCGTACTCGCCGATTCCTAATCTTTCTACTCCTGCCGAGCAGCCGGCTGTTCCCCACAGGACCCCACAAGCCCAGCAAGATGCTCGGTTACAGCAATCTGGTCTTGTGGGCGCACAGTCTCAGCTCAACGGGTTCCTCGAGGCCCAGAGCCCGCGTGAGAAGGTGGAAAGCATTGTTTCTGAGCTACAGCAGGCCGCTCGAAGCGCCCCTGAGGAACGTATCCGAGACCTTGGCAGGGAGAGTGCTGTTCTACAGGAGTACAACCAGGCACTGCGCACTATCCTTGCCTCTCCCAACGGTGAAGAACTCGCTAGGTTGACATGCCTCAGAATTTGCACCACGCTGTATTCGCAGACCCTCGGCACACTGGAGGTTGAGGTTCTTGTGCACTTGCTCGCAAAATTGTGCGATATGTCGACCCTCGTCGCTCGTTATACTTGGGCAGTTCTTTCTGAAGTTGATGATGAGCACATGTTCAACGTACCGGTTACAGTTGCACTCATTGATGCCGGCCTAATGGATATTCGCCGCGTTGACATGATTCTCACGCGCCTCATCCTTCAAAAGAACACTGCGTCTCTGGAGGTCCTTTCGAACTTGATGGACCGTGTTCTATTCAGCGAAGAACCTTCTGCACTGAGGTCTGATTTCTCGGGCAGCCTTGAGGCCATGAGCCAATGGCTAGCGGAAGATTCGGATGTTACCGTTGCCAACGACATCATCCGCAAGCTGCGTGAATCTGGCATCCCCGAGGTGGTCAACCCACTTCTCAGTGACAAAGCCAGGTCTAAGCGGGATCAGATGGAGTATATCTTCAGCGAGTGGATTGGAATCTACAAGGCTCCTGGTGCCATTGACCGCACTTATTACTCGTTCCTCAAGGATCTGCACCAGCGACAGGTCATGGACAATCAAGAAGACTCGGCGCTCTTCTTCCGCCTCAGCATTGACATTTCGGTTGCAATGTTCGATCACGAGTCGCAGAACCCCGGTGGCAGTCTCGACGAAGCGTTCCTCTATATCGACGCTCTTGGCAAACTAGTGGTTTTACTTGTCAAATTCCAAGGCGAATCGACGGGAGCTGCGAAGACAGGCAAAGCGGCCTTCTTCAATTCCATTCTCTCCCTCCTTGTACTTGTCTTGAACCATCACCACGTCATGAGGGGCGAGGCCTTCAATCAGCGCGTCTTCTTCAGGCTGTTCTCGAGCATCCTTTGTGAATACTCCATGAACGGACTCCAGCGTAGCGATCAACATCAGGACATGATGTTCGCCTTTGCTAACAAGTTCCTCTCTCTGCAGCCCAAGTACTGTCCTGGATTTGTTTACGGATGGCTGTCTTTGGTGTCTCACAGATTCTTCATGTCTGGTATGCTGAATATGCCTGACCGGGCCGGCTGGGGACCGTACTGTGAGATCATGCAGGCTTTGCTTTCTTACATCGGCGAGCAGCTCAAGCCAGCCTCTATTTCTTATGTTGCCAAGGACCTGTACAAGGGTGTTCTTCGCATCTTGCTGATCTTGCATCATGACTTCCCCGAGTTCGTGGCGGAGAATCATTTCCAGTTCTGCAATGTCATCCCCGCCCATTGCGCTCAGCTTCGAAACCTCGTTCTGAGTGCGTATCCATCGTCCTTCCATAAACTTCCAGACCCCTTCAGAGAGGGTCTCAAGGTCGAACGTTTGGAAGAAATGCGGGAAGCCCCTAGAATTGCCGGCGATACTGCTGGTCCGTTGGAGCAGGCCAACATCAAGGGGGTCGTCGACAGCTCGTTGCAGAGCAGCAGCGCCTCGGAAACGGTCATTCAACAGATCTGCGAAGCCGTCTACAATCCCCTCACTAAGGAAACCGGCCTTTTCTACACCCCGATCAATGTCAACGTGGTCCTTCTGAACGCACTTGTCCTTTACGTCGGCCAGAGTGCTGTTTCCGCCAATGCGTCCAAGGGCAACATTCGCGCGGCCTTTGACAATTCGCCTCACTCGGCTCTTCTGGAGAAGCTAGCGAAGGCACTGAGGCCTGAGGCGCGCTACTATCTGCTGAGCGCGATGGCCAATCAGCTCCGTTACCCGAACAGCCACACGTACTTTTTCAGCTTTGCCATCACTCGTCTTTTCGGCACGGATTACTCGGAGCAGGATGAGTCCGATATCCGCCAGCAGATCATCCGGGTGCTTCTCGAGAGACTTATTGTCCACCGTCCTCATCCTTGGGGTCTAATCATTACGCTGCAGGAGCTGCTTCAAAACCGGAGCTACACTTTCTTCCGTCTCCCGTTTATTCAGGCTGCGCCTGAGGTAAGTTGATTGTCGTTCAACCTCTTTTTCGACGTGCTGCTGACATGGTTTTCTAGATCGGACGTCTGTTTGATGCTCTCCTGCAGCACATTCAGCAGCAAAGCCCGCGGGCAATGCCCTGAGCGCTCCCCGAGATATACTCTCTCCTATTTTCTCCGCATTATATTAATACGAAGTATTTGATCATGTCTCAATGCCTTGCATCCTGCCGAGTTGACCGACTGTGATGGTGATCTGTCGCTGCCGCTCATGACCATGCAGCGCGAAAATACGGGTCTTAACCGGGGTGTATGATTTGAAGGGGTTCTTTCCTAGTTTTATTTTCCTATCTTCCGTTGGCATGCTGTACTGTTCCACGTCATTTCTCATTGTTTCGGTTGGGTTTCTGGGAGGGGTATGCATATTAGGACGTGTCAGCATGGTCCATCGCTACATGGTGCTTATATCTTGTTCCTTTTTGCCTGTCTCTTACGCTTCATGTTGGTGTTTTTCCATTCCACCTACCTTGCCGGTAGTCTGTAACGATAAGCTGAGCTATAAAAAGACGAGTCCATGAGTATTTGTGCGCCTCCAGCCCGTAGGTAATAGCGGCCCTCCCGCCCGGAGTATGTGAAGATTTGAATAACTATTGTGTGGTTTATCTGACTCAGGGCTGCCCGAGGAGCGTCGGTGTCGGGGAGAATCTCCGCTTTGCGATCTGCCGGTGACGTCGATCCGTCCCTCGTTCCTCTTGACGACCGTTGCGCTGCCCCTTCCACCTGCACCACCACCCATCCTCCCAAACGCGCCCAGGCACAATGGACGCTGCGTACGCATCTGAGGATGAGGCAGAGCCCCGCAGCGGGATTGCATCAACGGCAATGGTGATCATTCCTCCCGCATTCATTCAGCTGAATCAGGGACTAATGAGCTTCCCAAACACAGCACTCAATGGCAGTTACCTTACGTCCCTTCATATCGAAGCGAGCTCAAAAGGCTTACTTGGGCATCTTTCTCTTCATTTCTACGGCCATAGCCATGATCTTCATCTCGACATTCGCGTACGGGATCTTTTATTACCGGTTCATCCCCCAGGTCGGCCTTGAACGCCTTGTACACTTGCAATTTGGGTGAGTCGGAAACCGCAGAGGCAAACATCAATGTCCAAGTGAATGTTTGATGCTGTCATTGGGATATTGGTCAAAGCTAACATTTCGTGCTCTTACCAAACAGCGACGGACATCCCTGGGGCATCGCATCACTGGGGACCGGCCTGGTTGCGTCCCAACCATACGATGTGCAGGTGGAGCTGGAATTACCACGGACGCCCTCCAACCTCGCCGCGGGAAATTTCATGCTTGATCTGGCCTTACTCCCCCATCCTTCCACGTTCGCTGAGACTGGCTCGAATGCATCAGTCACCGCCCTCTCCAAATCGCGCCGTCCTGCTATCCTTACATACGCGTCGCCCTTGGTGGACACGGCTAGTAAAATATCGTTCTTGCCTCTTTACGTGCTGGGATGGAACCGAGAAGCGGAGAAACTGCAGGTGCCGATGATGGAACGGGTCCAATTTGCGCGCGGATGGCGTAATCTACCGGATAGCTTGCGCTTGGAGATCCACAGCTCTGAGAAGATGCATGTGTACAAGGCGAAAGTGATGTTCAAGGCCCGTTTCACGGGATTACGGTATGGCTCTGGTTGCTGGTCCACTACGGGTCGTTTTTCTGGTTCGTCTGAAGCTAACAGGAAGGTTAGGTGGATAATGTATAATTGGAGACTCACGTCATTTGTCGTCTTCGGATTCTTGTTCTGGAGCGTCTCGATGGCTTCTGCTGGATTCGTGTGGGTTGTCCTAGCTGCGCTTCTCAGCGGCGGCGGTGGAACGCCTCGGGCTGTTATCAAGGCAGAGGATCGCAGTGAAACGCTCACTAACATTAAGACGGAGTACGAAGAGCCGGTCTTTCCTCGAGATGTTCCGGAATCCTCGAGCAAAGGCAAAGCACCCATGATCAAGAGGGAGGAAGACTCTGAGGATGAGGAAGTAGTAAAGGAGGAGGAGACTGAGGAGGAGGGGTTAAAAGAAGAGGGAGATAAGGAGGAGGCAGAAGAGGAGTTGCAGGAGGACCGAGGCGAAGCGCCTTCGGAGGCTGTTGGCGCTGGCACGGGAATGGAGAGTGCTCAAGGCCGAGGAGTGCAGCGACGACGAAGAAGCCATCTATTCCGAGACCATCAGACATAGGGGCGCGGCTGGGAGGCCAAGTAGTAGTTGTTGTTGTTAGTTCTTTAGAAATACCCAATGTTGTTGTACTCACTCAGCGCGGCCAAATGACGAGCGACATAGCGTGGATGAGCCAGCGTCAGACCAGTCCGATGTAGGAGTTATCGATAACAGGCGGAGGCAGCCAAAAAGAGCGGGGAACTCAGCCGCCCAACTCTTCCTTTGCCCGCTCTGCCCCTCCGCCAACCTTCTCTCCTCACGTCCCCCTCGCTCCAGCCAGAGCATCCAAACACTATGCATATCTTAGTAAGTCGACTGCAATCCCCTCCAAAGCTCCCATGCTGATGGCCCTCCGCTCCTCATAGGTGGTCAACGACGACGGTCCGCCGTCCAACCAGTCCTCCCCATACATTCATTCCCTCGTCCAATCGCTGCAATCCGCCGGACACACGGTGTCGGTGGTCCTTCCACACCAGCAGCGATCATGGATCGGTAAAGCCCACCTGATCGGGGCCGCCGTGAGGCCGACCTATTTCCGTCCGGGCACTCTCCACAAGGACGATGGCACCACGCACGAATTTCCCCATGGCATGAACGAGGGCGACGATGAGAACTATGATGGGGATGAATGGATTCTCGTCGACTCAACGCCGGCCAGCTGTGTCCAAATCGGCCTCTACCACTACTTCCAGGATCGTGGCCCGGTTGACCTCGTAGTGTCCGGTCCCAACTATGGCCGGAATACAACGGCTCTGTTCGCCATGTCGAGTGGCACCATCGGTGGCGCTATGGAGGCGGCGGTCTGCGGGAAACATGCCATTGCCCTATCCTACGCCTTTAGCTCTCGAGACCATGACCCCATTGTCATCGCAGAGGCATCTCGTCATTCCGTTCGGTTGATCGAGTACCTTCACAACAACTGGGTGGACGGTGTGGATCTGTACAGCGTCAATGTCCCGCTCGAGCCCGGAGTGAGCGAAAGCAAGGTGTTGTACACCAACATGCTTGACAACCGGTGGTCATCGGGCAGCTGCTTCCGCGCGGTCGATGCCTCTTCGTCAACCAGTACGCCAGGGGAGCACGAACATGATGTCCGCCACCAGGCTGTGGATGGAGCAGCTCCGGTAAAGAGGTCTCGCATCCCTCACAAGCACTTTGAGTGGTCACCAAACTTCACGGATGTGTACCGAAGTGTTGAGGAGAGTGCCCCTGGAAACGACGGCTGGACTGTGAAAGAGGGAATGACCAGGTTTGTCGCAACCCTATCACTTTGCGACCCTTCCTTGCTAATGCACCGCAGTGTCACGCCGCTGAAGGCCAATTTCATGCATACACCCGGCATCCAAGGGGAGATTACGCTGTGAGTGGAATGATGCTGAGTCTACAACGTGGTTGCATATAACATAGAATTTGCGCGTCTGTCAGATATCCAAGCTAGTTTATGCATCGCGCGCGTTGCTGTTCTCCCCTCTGATTGTTTGCTCTTGGTCTGTCTGTGATGGCTGGTATTCTGATAGATCCATCTCATGTAGACCGGATAATAATACTGAGCCTACATTCTATACTCTTGTGGACAGCGACGACTCTTATGTCCAGAGTCTGATGAAGCGGGCGCTCCAACGACGCCTTGGAAATGGTCAATGTCGAGCAATATCCTCTCTGTCCGACCTCCCCTCTCGCACCACGCCTGTCTTCCAGTATCGTGAATACGAACGCCTGGAGTTCGAACACATCATGGTACACTCCTCGACCTCTCTCGCCAACGCCTACATTATCCGCAAAGCCCTGATCCGCAAGCACTACCTCTCCAACACGGTCACCAACTGGGTCACCAAACACCCGGAGAGCGTTCTCGCCAAGCACTTCAAATTCGCCTTCGACTTCGAACTCGACTACGCCGAATTCCTCGACGACGCCCTCCTCGAAGCATACGAGCTCCGCGACAGCCTCGACAAGAACGAGACCCGTCCGGACGAAGAGAAAGAATGGTGGATCCTCAAGCCCGGCATGAGCGACCGCGGCCAAGGCATCCGCCTCTTTAACAGCGAAGACGGCCTGCGCGAGATCTTCGAGGAATGGGAAGTCGACGACTCGGACGACGAGAGCGGCTCCGAGCGCCCCGAGCCCGAGAACGACGACCCCGAAGACAACGGCGTCGTCACCTCACAACTCCGCCACTTCATCGCCCAGCCCTACATCGACCCTCCCTTGCTCATCCCCTCCTCCCACAACCGCAAGTTCCACATCCGCACCTACGTCCTCGCCGTCGGCTCCCTCAAAGTCTACGTCTTCAAGGAAATGCTCGCCCTCTTCGCCGCCAAACCCTACTGCCCGCCCTACGAAGACGAAGACGAAGTCAAAGACCTCGCCCGCCACCTCACCAACACCTGCTTCCAGGAAGGCGGCAGCTCCAACAAAGACAGCGTCCGTCGCTTCTGGCAACTAGAGGACTACGTCCCTGGCCTCACCTGTTCCTGGAAACAGAATGTCTTTGACCAGATCTGCGCTGTCACGGGAGAGATCTTCGAAGCCGCGGCCCGTGGCATGATGGTGCATTTCCAAACCCTGCCCAACGCATTCGAGCTCTTTGGCGTCGATTTCCTCGTCGACAAGTCCGGAAACGCCTGGCTGTTGGAATTAAACGCCTATCCGGACTTTGCACAGACAGGTGAGGACCTCAAGGAGGAAGTCGTGGGTCGGTTATTTGAGGAGACGGTTGATGTAGCCGTGAAGCCGTTCTTTGGACTTGGGGATGCGGAGACTAAGGGGACGGAGATGTTGAAGTTGGTGGCTGATTTGGATTTGGGAAGGAAGAATTAGGTGATCTGTACTAGGTGAATGGGTGGGATGGGTTTAGAGGGCGTTTTGAGTAGGTTTTCCTTTGGGGGTTTATGTTTGGTAGATGTAGAAGATGGCTATAAAAGTTGGGAGTTTGTGTAGGGAGAGAGGGCATATGGAAAAGAGAATAGTCGTTGGTATTTTATACAGTACAGTACACTAAATCTGATCTCGATCTGTGTGAAGTGAGAGTTGATAGAGGTGTAGCTTGTTTGTGTAAGAAAAGTTTTCTACATTCAATGAATGCTTTGCTACCTGCTTGAATAAAAAGCTACGAGAACATCATGCAGTGTCGCTTTTTTATGAATTCAAGGCCCTATGTGGGATCTCTATAACCGTTGATAACACTACAGAGGATGAGGCATTAGATTCTTCAAGTATCCGTCTGCCACCCTAGATATAATTTCTATTCTAGTCATATCACTTGACAGCTGCCTGAGAAGAGGCTTCACCCATATAACCAAAGGTTGTGTAGACCTAGGTCCATTTGCCATCCACATTTCCTGGCATGAACGACTCTTCCCTTGGTGGAACAAGACAAAGGGAGGAGAAGAGCGCCATAGAGTGCGTTGACAACAAAGTGCTTGGATCACCCCCTCACCCCTGCCTTTCAGATGTTGTATTATACCGTCGCCCTGTTAATTGGGAGTCCACGTCCAAATCGTCCAGTATAGCCATGTGTATGATAGTATATATATATCAGTCGAATGGCCAATAACGCTCGTATTCAGCCTTTTCCTCGTCAGTTTCAGCCAATTGCTCCAAGATCTGGGCTTTGATTTCGTTGAGGGCAGCTTTGCAATCCTCGTATTGCTCATGCTCAATCAATCCCTTGTCGGGCCATAAATCGCCCAGTTGCTCTTTGACCTCCGCAACAAGGTCAGTACCTGCTACTGCACCGTCGCTATCTGACCTGATCCGCTCGATATCCGCTTCTGAAAATTGGTATGGGAATGGGACATCGCTGGTGACGGCAGGTAGGTCTGCCCATGTGTCCTCCAGATCGACCAGAAGTGATTGGAAGTGCGCTTCGCCGTATTCGAACATGCGGTGGGCGACGAATATCAGCCCGTATGCTGGCGTCTTTCGGAAATTGACGATTTGATACAGGTCGGGGTTTTTGGCATGCATGAGTTTACGCCAGCCGATGAACACATTTTGTATAGTATACTCAAGCACTGCCGCGGACCTTTCTTCCGGTGAGAGCCCAGAGAGGTTCGGTCGTGGTACCAGGTCGAGCGTTTCGGGCTCAAGGCCATCCCAGTGGAGGAAGGCTGGATCGGGATTGTGGTTAAAGAGTGGCGAGATGTGGCAGGACTGCCAGTCGATGATTCCCGTGATTTTTTCGGGGTTATGCGGGTCCACGAAAATGTTGTCATCATGCAGATCATTATGCCAGAGACGCGGATTGATGATGGCGGTGTCCTTTGGGATAAGAGTATCGACGATTTGTTGATACCATGCTAAGGCAGCAAGCTTCTTTTCGGTGTCTGGTTGGTAGAGCTTTGGACCGCAGAATAGGGCTATTTGTTTGGGGGGGTTGAGGGATTGGATTGCTTTCGTCTCTCGCGTGCCAATTGCTTGCAGGTACTGCTTCAAAGAAGTCCCTACGAATCTGTTAGCAGTTGTAGGGGAAAGGAAAGAAACAAGAAAAGACACGAACATGGCTCTCTCTCGATATCCAATGTCGATCTATCCGCATCAAACCAGTCCCGACCTGTAGCAGGTCCAATGGCGAACTTTGAATCATAGACAACCTTGCCATCCTTCACGTAGTGGTTTCCTGGGGATATCTGCACGTCTCGCACGTAGTACAAGCCACCGTAATGCGAGAAAGAAACGCTCAGCCATTGCTTCTGAAGACGCGTCATGGCAAGAAGCACCTGGAGCTTCTGGGGTAGTTTCAGCGTATCCCAGACTTGAGACAGTGGAACGCCCTCGCTTTTCTCCATGATGATGAACTCAGCCCCAACAGGGTGCGATTCCGCACGTAAGTTCCATGAATACACACGGGGTGCTGGTGTGTCTAGAACTGTTCTGGCCTATGAATTATTCAGTCGGGTTAGAAAGACAACGTAAGGGAGATCAGGATGGACGTACAAAGTCCATCGTGGCGACTTCACTGGCCGTAGTGAAATATGGAACGCCAGCGTTTGGGTTGGGCACCTTGGCTACGACTTCTCGGCCATCGTCCATGGTCATCAGGAATGCTTTGTTGAACATCCCGTCGGGGTACTTTGTGATAGAGATGCATTGGGTAGCGCCGATCGACTCGGCCGCGACCCTTGCGAGTTGGTTCATGTCGAATCGGATTTCTCGGGCTCGAAGATTTTCTGCTTCGGAGACGAGAAAGCGACCACGGGTGAATTTGAAGAAGTCATCGTTGGAGTTCCAGTCTGGTATGGGTGAGTGATGGGTTGTTGGGATGTGCAGGATGGGCTTGCTTACTGGTCTGGGAAGGGATGTTGTTGGGATGGTCAGGGTAGGATAGTGTGGAAGCTTTTGATATTGAGCGGCAGTGCTGCTTCAGGATTGGAGTTGTAGTCTGAATAGAGCACCAAAGACGTGTGGATGGGGGTCGGTACATGACTGATACCAGGTGTGATGGGGGAAGAGGATGTGATGATGGATGCAGCGCCCCTGCGATGTGACGGCTGAACGCGGCTGGATTCCGCTGGATCTAGAACTACACCAACCAAGCCAAACCAAAAATCTATCCAAACCTCTGCTTCGCCAACGTCTTCAACCACCCAATCGTCTCCTCCTCCTTCTGTCTATACTGCTGCAATCTCTCCTCGCGCTCCGCCGCCCGCGCCCGAAGCAGCTCCTCCCTCCGAATCTCGCGCTCATTCTTCTTCCGCTGCTCCCGTTCCCTGGCCTTCTTGAACCCCTCTAAATCATTCTCCCCTGACCCCATCAACTCCTCCTCCGGCGCTCCCTCCGGCGACCCTCCGCGCTTCGCCTCTGCAAAAGCCCGATTGCTCGCCGCCGCCTCCTGCCGCTTCTCCATGCGCCGTTCATGAGTGCCCGGTTCCGCGCGCGGCGCCACCTCCTCCTGCATATGTCGAACCTCGGACTTATGGGAGCGCAGTTCGCTGCGATATTGGGCGCGCGAGTCATGGCGTTCCGCGATAGCGTCTTCAGCTGCTAGTTCTGTTCATTGTTAGCCCCATCCCATCCTTCCCCCCATCATAACAGAGAACCCTAGTAGGTAGGCAACATACCCTTCCGCAGCTCCAAATCCTGCATAGTAGGTATCGTAGGTCCCGAAGACATCCCTCCGCCTCGACCAGTAGGAAGAACAGGTCCGTATTCATCTTCCTCATCCTCTCCTTCTTCCTCAGGACCCCCCTCATTCACATCCGCATTCCTATCCCCTTGAGATTCGTCCCGGCGAGTACTTGTCTGCATCTGCGCCACACTATTCCTCGCCTTTTCCAACGTAGCGGGATCATACCACCCCTCTGCTAGTTCTCCCTGATTCCTAATGACCATGTCAGCACCTTCCCTTCCTTCCTTCCTACCTACCCACCTCCCCACCCTATATGAACCTAAACCCATATAGAAAAGCCAGCCATAGAATGAATAACCTACCACTTCCTCATGAAACTCTTCCACCTCCCCTTCACTTCATCCTCCGCCAACTCATCCAAAACAATCCCCTTCTGAATATCCAAATACATATCGAACATGGGGGCATAATACTCGAGATCACGTTTCCTGAGTTCGCGCGCTTGAAACGGGAGGATCACGGGGGCTGGTGGTGGTGCTGATGAGGGTTCTGGTTGTTGGCGCGAGGTGTGGCGGTCGCGACGGTGGCGATCATGATCTCGACTGCGGTCGTGGCGGTGATAGCGATGGTGGTGATGTTTGCTTCGGTGTCTGTCGGATCTGGAGGTGGTGGTGTTGGGGGAGCGAGAGCGTGTGCGGTCTCGGTGGGAGTGGGAGTGGGGGTGGGAGTCGGGATGGCGGTCGCGGGTGGACATTCTTTCTGTTCGATCTCTGTCCATTGGAATTGGATTTGGTGGGGGTTAGGGAGTGGTGAGTTGGAATCGGAGGTGGGTTGGAGAGAACGGAGAAAGTAAGTAGGGACTGACGTCGGCGATGGTTCGGGATGCCAGTGCCAAGCTTTTGGTTGCGGCGCATGGGCGATCTATTGATCTAGGGCCATCTGCTCATTCCATTGTGGATGATTTTAGGCGCTTTGAGGCCTGTACTATTTAGGCCTTACTATGGAGTAGCAAGGCCACTGCCTGCGCATACCCTTAAACCATATGTTCGGTAGCCTTGTGATATAATTGCATTCACGTGCTATATAATATACATCCTCCACTCCATCAGACCGCCGAGACATGTATCATGCATAAGTTCGTTTTATCACATCCAGCTAATTACATTGACACAGGAGAATGTAGTCAACGAAGAAAATCTACAGAGCATCTAGAAGATTCAGCTGGCCGGGGCGCTCTGCTCAGTAGCCGCGCTAGCCGTGTTGTCCGGAGTGCTGGTGGAAGGTGTCGAGGGAGATGCAGTCTTGGACCGGTTAGAAGCAGCCATCTGCCAGGCTGGGATGGACGCAGAACGGCCAAAGTGCGACAGAGGGCTGTTGCTCAGCGACGTGGTGCTGGCGTTTGGGCTCGGCTGTGCCGATTGAGTCTGCTCAGTGGACGCGGGCACTGCGGGCGCCGAAGCGGCGGGAATCGACTCCTCCGCGGGTCGAGAAGCACTGGGCAGAGGAACACCACTGAACCTTCCAGGAGCAGGAGAGCTGGCGCCGTTGCCGCTGCCTCCAAGTCTGTTGCCCAGCAAGACCTTCAGGCTCTTCAGCTCAGCGCCAAGTTCCTTCAACCGTGTCTCGTTGCCCTCCCGAGCACCTTCCAGGGCCTTAGGGATCGCATCCTTCAAGGACTTGACCTCGTCGCTGATGCGACGGGTCTCGTCGTCTCGTCGTCGGGAAGCATTCTTCATGTCCGAGACGAGGTTCTCAACCTCCCTCAGGGCTCCATCCAGCCGTTCGGTGCGCGCTTCTTCTGCCGACTTCAGGGTCGCGGTATCTGTGGAGAGCTGCTCGATCAGGGCAAACGCACGATTGAACTGCTCATCAATGTGTTCCTTGTCCTGCTCTAATTGGGGCGGAGTCGGGGGTGCGATTAAAGGTGAGATGTATCGCTAGATTATAAGTCAGTATAATGACCAACGAAGAGATAGATGCAACGACCTTGGTAATATTGTATAGTCCGTATCCTACTCCTCCCATCACTGTGGCCATGATGAACCAATCACGCCAGTCCCGTTTCGGGGGCCTGTGCGACGCAGCATTAGTTCATTATCCTGTGGCTGGGCAAGAAATGAACTCACTCTGGCGGGGGCTGCCATTGACCATACGGAGGATAGCCATAGCCTGGGGCAGGTGGGGGAGGTCGGTAAATGGCTTGTTGAGGAGCTGGCTGATAGCTAGATGTTGCGGTTACAACCGCCGCCGCAGACGGATCTTCACCTGTCCGGGATAGAGCGACATCGATCTCTTCTTTCGTCAGGTTCTTTGATTGGAGGAATGCGAGTCGCTTTTCAATCGGAGAAGCAGCCACTGATGGGTCTCGAAGAACTGCCAAAGTATTAGACGGATACATGGATCAATAAAATCGGGGATGCATTGAGCACGCACAAGTGACCTACAGATCAATCATAAAGGTCAGCTCCGACTCCGGCGCCAGGATATCACAGATAAACGCAAGACTTACAGCAGAGGAGATAAGCTCCTCGCGAACCATGATGACGGGTTCCCCAGGAGCACTGGCTCTGACTAGGTAGGGGAAGGTCAGATCAAACGCGGAGAGCTGTAGGGAGAAGAATCACGGGAGAGGGGAGACGATGAGGAGAAGGAGAGGAGGATGAGGAGGCGATGGAGAGCATCGGCCGCGAGCGTTGGACCTCGGAACTTCCGCTGGTAATTACGTGGTTTCGTACCGCGGCGGAGGCTTCCCCAGAGTCTCGTGATTCCGAGTGCCCGATCCGGCAAGTGGCTGCCCCTCGGCCCATCTGTTGTTCCCAGACCCTCACCGCCTGCTGCTTTGGGGTCCGAAGGTGGCATGCCCGTCTTGTTTACATTATTATTATTATTATGATGATGGCCCGCTCGGTTGCTACTGCCATCCAAACTCTCCCGTTTCCTATTGCGACCCGATCTTCAGCTTTGCGCTGCATCTGATTCTTTCTGTTTTGGATACAAGGAACATACCTGCTGTAACACGGAATTTGCCTGAGGGTTTGCGCCTGCTAAGGTTGAGTTTTGGCAGCCGCAGTCGCGGCTTCTCCGTCATCATGTCGCAGGATACAGGATTGTTTAGTATCAGGCGCCCCCGAGAGGTATGTACCTTGCTTTCTTCTGACCGGCGCATCCTGAATGGTTCTAACTCGGTCGGTACAGTCTATGGCAATGGGTAGCCAGAATTACTCCGCTCTTCCGCAGCCCTCCTCCGCCCTGAAGCGCACCAGCTCGATCGGATATCAGAATCCTCCTTTCTCTTCTCAGCACCGCATGTCACTTCTCAACTCAGCCAGTCGCCCTCAACAGCCGAATTTCAAGCGGTCTTCTTCCGGTGGAGGACTAGGGGCCGATGCCGGTCTCTCGTCAGTTAGGCGCTCCGTATCTAGTAACATCTTTCAGGGGCCTAGTGTCGGGCGTCCAAGCTTTGCTCCAGGGTCCATGTCGTCGTCAAATGCAGCATCGCAAGGGCTGCAGCGGAGGAGTAGCGTTTTCTCAAGACCTTCCACGGGCGGCGCTATGGGTCACCAATCTTTCTTCACCCAGGTCCCTACAGTGGCTGGTGTACCGAGAGATCCACGCCCACTCAGGGATAGGTCCTTTCAAGCCCGCATTGGACAAGAACTCTTGGAATACTTGACCCACAATAACTTCGAGCTGGAAATGAAGCATTCCCTAGGCCAGAATACTTTGAGGTCCCCAACTCAGAAGGACTTCAACTTCATCTTCCAGTGGCTATACCATCGCATTGATCCTGGTTACCGGTTCTTGAAGGCCATGGATGCGGAAGTCCCACCAATTCTCAAACAACTACGCTATCCCTATGAGAAAGGTATTACTAAATCACAGATAGCGGCCGTTGGTGGCCAGAACTGGCCAACCTTCCTCGGTATGCTGCATTGGTTGATGCAACTGGCGCAGATGATGGATAGATACGTGCTTGGGGACTATGACGAGGCTTGTGCGGAGATGGGAGTAGACGTGTCAGGCGATCGTATTATCTACCGGTTTCTCACAAGTGCCTACCATGACTGGCTACAAGGCGGGGAGGATGAAGACGACGAGACAGCCGGGAGGAGGCTAGTCCCTCATGTTGAAATGATGGCCCAGGAATTTGAGAAAGGCAATGAAAAGTACGTGCACGAAATGGAGGCTCTAGAAGCAGAGAACCGAGCACTACGCGATCAGATCGAAGAGATGGAGAAAAACGCTCCGGACATGGCTAAGCTCGACAAGCATTTCAGAATTCTGGAAGACGACAAAAGAAAATTTGAGGACTATAACCAGAATGTTCAGGGCAAGATCGAAAAATATGATCATCGCATCAAGTTTCTGGATGACGAGCTCAAGAAGACCGAGGCAGACCTGCTAGCCGCCGAAGAGGAGCGGTCTGGGCTTCAGGCCAGCGTGGATCAGCAGGGACTAACTATCCAGGATATTGATCGTATGAACACGGAACGTGAACGCCTGCAGAGAAGTCTTGACGACACTGTCATTCGGTTGGAAGAAACGCACGCGCGGGTCATGGCGAAAGAAGCCGAAGCCAGCCAGAAACTCGAGGATTTGGAAGAAATCGTCAAGGCCTACAACACGCTCGGATACCAAAACAGCTTGATTCCCTCGTCGGCGGTCAATGCCAAGGGCGATGAGTTCGAACTCAGTCTCAACGTCAACGAAAGCAATTTCTCTGCATCGCAGATCGGCGGTCTACCAAACCGGATTTCTCCGGAGGGAGACCGACTGTTAGCAGATCCATTCACCGGTTATCACCCAGCACATCTGCTGAACCTAGACCTCCGGGGCATCGTGCGCAGCAATCTCCAGTCTCTCAGGAAGGAGATCAACGAACGCCGGAAACGTGCCATTGATGATGACTTGGAGCGTCGCAATCTTCTGGACAACATCAAAGAAGCAATGGATGAGAAGCGAAGCGAGGTTGAGGCTCTGGAGCATAAGCGACGTGCTGCTGAAGAGGAATTCGAACGACTCAAGGAGATTACCACAACACAGAAGCTTGCTTCTGATGCACAGATTGAGAAGATGGAGAAGGAGCTGGCTAAAATGCGAGCTACGTTAAGCGAAAGCGTCCAGTTGATGGAACAGCGCGAGATGAATACGAACATCGAGTACGAACAACTGACGCTCCGCGCCAATGCGTTGCGGGAAGAGCTGCACACGAATGTGGAAAGCATGCTGAACGACGTAATCCGTTTCAAGGTCCATGTCCAGAAGGGCCTTGAGGACTACGAGAGCTTTGTGGTCGATGAAGTGGAGCAGGAGCTAGGAGGTGACTCGCAGTTTGCTGATGAGGATGTTGATATGGAAGCTGAAGAGCTTTGAATCAACAGAGGCACGACAGGCTTGTGTCTATTATAATGCGACATGTCCATATGTTCTTCGCTGCGCTATAACGATGGCCCGAGTATGATAATTGATGATTGTGGTTAGGAGTTTGGTATAACCGGCAGACATTTCTCCTATCCTGGCCAAATCGCAATGGCTAGAGAAAGGACGCATATCTTCAGGCTCTAGAGAGGCATTTCTTTGGACCTTGCGTTCAATCTACTGGTGTCAGTTGTCTATTACTGGGGCGCTATTTGGAGCTAGCTGGTTGGGCATTCTTGTTATGGTTATTTTAGTTGTCGGATCGTGGTTCTTATTTTGTTGATGATACCTTTGTCGTTGAAATGCTAGATGTGAAGTGTACATAAGTTGCCTTTCACCGGCATGTTTCATTTGCGAAGCGCGCTAGCGCTGAGCAATACTAGGTTCGGTCCTGCTAGGGAAGTTTCCAACTCCAAGACTTCTCATTGGTCCGATAGTTTGCACAATCTCAGCTTCCTGATTAATTGTTCGATTCACTCGTAACGTGACTTAAACTATATTGCCAGTACTCACCGCTTCAGCCCAACAAGGGTCTCGGAGGGGATCTGGGGGGGAAAGGCCCCCCAGTCTATATTCAGACTATAGGTCTGAACCAGGTCTTTACGTAGATTCAGGCTGTAGGTCTGAATTAAGTACTGCGTTTCTAAGTGCTTAACTGAGCCGTGCTTGACTAAGCCTTTTAAAAGCGCTCAACGGAGCCCTTTAGTAGCGCTCGATAAAGACCTTTAGTAGTCCTTTAAATGCGCTCGATGAAGCCCTTTAGGAGCGCTTAAGAGAGCCCTTTAGTAGTCCTTTACATGCGCTTAACAAAGCTCTTTAAATGTAGTCAAAGTGCGTTGCATGTTGCTTACTAAGGCGCTTCGCAATGCCTTGGGCTGGGGCTTCCCGCAGGCCAGGACCTAGTATATCCAGCCCTACTATCCCTTGTTGAGATTATTATACCCGTTTACCGCCGTGGGCACGGAAAATCATGGCCCCTCTCCGATCCCCGGTTTCAGGGCAGCCTGGTAGTGGTAGATGGTTCACAGAGCAGAGCTGGACGCAATTTCTCCTTCCAATGCCCCTCAATCTTAATGTCGGCTTATCGTCGAGCTCCTGCTATACTTGCACGGGTTTTCTCGTCAATTTCCAATCAGGGATCGGCGCCACGAACCATGTCATCCCCCTTCATCCGGGAGGAGAATCAAAGTCCGTATTATGATCCGGAGAGATACTATCCTGCTCGTGTCGGAGAGACCATCGGCAACCGTTACCGCATCATCTCAAAGCTTGGCTGGGGTACCAGCTCTACAGTTTGGTTGGCCAAAGACACGACTCGGTTAGTTTAGGTATCTCTCAGTGGCATCTCTAGTAACATGATGAAGCTGGGCGTGGCAGTCGAATCGATATGTGACCTTGAAGATCACGAACTGTGGCAAAGTAGAACAAAACTCCGCCTATGACGAAGTAGAGATGTCGCAACAAATATCTCGTTTGCGATCTAACCACGAGGGTAGAAGATATATCCGACTCGTGAAGGAATCCTTTGAAATCCAAGGTCGGCTGGGAAATCATCTATGCTTGGTGTTTGAACCATTAAGGGAACCACTCTGGTTTCTGGGAAAGCACCTGGGGTGCAATGGCGTGCCTCCGGCCGTTCTGAAGCCCCCTTTAAAATCACTGCTCCTAGGTCTGGATTGTCTCCACTCTGAGTGCCACATCATACACACAGGTAGACTTGGAGGTTCTTCTCACCCAGTGATTTCTCTTCTAACCAAGGCCAGATCTCAAGTCAGATAACTTTCTTCTGGGATTCGAAGACCCTAACGTTCTTGAGAGCTACGTCCGTCAGCAGGAAAGTGACCCCGCTGCGTTCAAAGATGGCAGTGGCCGTCCTATATATCAGTCTCGACCTGATTTCGGGCCGCTGTAAAAAGGGGTTGGGCTGGTTCAGATCAGCGATTTCAGCTCTGCTGTTTCTGGTAGAGTTTCAGTACCTCATAATCATGATATCCAACCTCAACCCTTCTGCGCACCCGAGGTACTTTTAAAAGCAACATGGACATATAGCGCGGATATATGGAACCTGGGCATCATGGTAAATGCATCGAGAAAGCCGTATGCACAAGATACTAACATTTGGTCTCCGCGAAGCTATGGGAGCTCCTTGCAGATGATGTTCTTTTCAATGGACTGGACCCAACAAGCAACACATATTCTCGGACAACCCACATCGCGCAAATGATCCGGCTGCTGGGCCCGCCTCCCCAACAGTTACTGGAGAGGGCTGACGAAGGCGTTTGTTCCCAGCTTTTCTCCAGTCGAGGTATGATTTTATGTAGCTTCCATATCACAAGTACTAACTGTTGGCCCAGGAGATTCCAAGTTCCCGAGTCTCATCCCATTAGAGGAGTTCAATCTTCTAAATGTCACGCCATTTCTCCGTGAGGAGGATCAAAGACTTTTCCTGGACTTTGCGAGGAGAATGCTTCGCTGGGAACCAGAAGAGCGTCCAACAGCTAGAGAACTCTACAATGACCCATGGCTAGATTTTCGGCCTTGACTAGAACAGACACTGTTGCTCATACTTGCTTGCCATAGTAAACATCACAGTATTGTCTGGTATATAGAGCATATTTATAGCCATAGTAGTAGTAGTCGGTCATCCGTATCTAAATAGCGGCTCTCTGATTGGTGGTGAGCTAACTGCTGACTCAGCAGAATCATTTTCTCGGCGAAGCTTTTCGATCAGCAGAATCCAGAGCTTCCTTCCAACAGCCCCCAGTCACTGGTTTTCGCCAGGTTACGCTCTGTCTGCCCAGCTCGAGGAATGCGGAACTACCTCAACGATTAGACATGCGCCACAGAACGTCCGTCCGACGGTCATATCGAGATTTGGATTTCCTCCGCCCGCAGGTCTCCGCCAGGTCCTCCGTCGTGTCATGAAAAGGTGCCTGTGTCCAGCTCGTCTGCCGTGCCTGGACCGCGGGTCTTCCTTGATCCATCCTCCTCCTTCGATTCTTCGTCGCCTACCGTTTCGTGTTCCCCTTCGCGCCGGGTTCTCGAGTCGGGGACCCTTCCCCGAAAGGCGACAATGGAGTCGCCAGTTCTCCGTCGGGGCTGGTCCCCCGATCAGTCGTCAGTTGCTACAAGACTATGTTAGGATGGAAATGAAGAGATGCCCTGTCTCTGGACCAGAGTTGGGCAACCCGGAGGCTTGGGTCGCGTTATTGGAACAGTACCTGCCTCCATCGCTGCGGAGATGCGCCGACGACGATGTTTCGGACCCTCAGTCCCACGCCACGTTACCGTCCGACCCAGCATATTTTGCGCAGACCATTGAATTGTCCAACTTGCTACTACATGCACGAGACTCGGGCAAGATTGACCTTCTTGCCTATGTCGGGTTCCGGTTGAACAATTGGCCTGCTGTACAATTCTTGATCGACCGGCTCCTTGATGCCGCGGACTATCTCAAGGAGGTTTCACTCCCCCTCCAGCCTTTGTCTAACTATGACTGGGGCCTGGATTCTGGGCTTTCGCTTGACGATCTCACTAATAGGTCTGTGAACTCGGCTTCGAAACTTCCGCACGTTTCCAATACGCCACAGCTATCGGACATGACGAGCCTAGATGCCTTCACCGAGCGGCCATTCGCAGACGATCATTCGAGACGTTTCATGGCCGAGGTGTGGCAGGGCTTGGGGTCCATCGTGCTTGAGGCTGCCGATGTCTCTCCTAATGAGTCAAAGTTAGCTATGTCTCGCGTGTTCCAAATTCTTGCCCGTCTGCACCACTCTGGGGCCATTTCGGATAGGGTATACAAGTACGTCCCTCCGGACGGTTACCAAGCTACCTTTCGACCCCCCGGGATGCACCTCCTTTCCAACCATATTATGAGCGTTCTGTCAGATGCCGCGTGGTTGATGCACGAAGCAGATGTTGCTGCTAAAGCGGCTGCTGCAGGGGAGGACTCGCCCTATCTTCCCTTCAAGATGGGCGTGCGTGAGCTTGGACCCGAGGTCTGGCTTGAATTCATTCTGTGGTGCTGCGTGGAACATGGTCATATTGAAGAAGGGGTATGGATTATTGACAGGTTGGCAGCAAAGACCGGAGATCTGGCCTGGAAATTCCAGAGCTGGAAGCCGATACTAGATGGATCTGGGTCGGTCTGGCAGACCAAAATCGACCAGGAAGAAATTTGGCGACAGCCTGGTCACCACGAGCGCTCTACGATGTTGCGAAAACGCCATAATCCCACGCCCTTCCACGGCCTGGGGGAGCGAACCATGAGCACCGAAGTCGCCTCGGCATTGTTGGATAACCTTCCAAATCAGGTCTATCTAGGGCTAGGCTTCCGGGGTATGTCACCAAGTGCGCTTCTGCGCCATGTTTCGAGTCTCAAGTTCGCCATTGCTCCATCAACGGCCGATGAAAAGTTACTGCCGACCAGCAGAGCCTCGAACTGGTTCGTTGTTCGAGTCGTGGAATCAGGAGGCCTCAGACCGGACGCCGACCCCCGGGTCTTTGAAGACTTTCTCAGGGTCACGCCGTGTGTGGTTCCGCCTTGGGATGCAGACACACACCACGTAGATGAGGACGACTTGGCCCAGTGGAGTTTGTCGCAGCTGTACGATGACACCTCCGCGCTAGTCGGCCTCATCGAGTACAACATCCGGTTCTACTCAAAGAAGCGCCTCGCCGGTGACGCACTGAATGCGTTTGCCTGGCTGCAAGCCATCATCGATACCAGCAAGATGCAGCGCATCGACGACTTTTTCTCGTCTCGAGTAGATCAATCTGACATCACCCTCCCCACCTTGGATGTCGATGACCCGGACTCCGCGAAATCGTTCGAATCATCCATGCCGCAATTATCGAGCATCACACTGGCCGATTTGATCGATTTGATCACTGTGTCGCGATCGTTCACATTTGGCGACTGGCTCTTCTTCTCTAACGACGTCGATGGTCCTCCGGTCCCACCGAGCTCATACGGCAATCAAGCCCTAGCTCCGTCCATCCTCCGTTATGCTACTGCGACCAAGAACTCGGCGCTCTGCGACGCTGTCATCCAGTCCCTCACTCAACCACTCTCCTCAAATACTATACGCGCGCTGCTAAACTTCCGCATTTCCATGCACCAGTGGGACTCGGTGATCATGCTGCTCGAGTATATCCGTGACCACCGCACCAAATCCTGGGGCCACAGTAACGTCACCGCACTCGCAGGAGAGATCATCCGTCTGGAGGCGAACACCAAACCGCAACCCGACTCAGCAGCGCCAGAAGAACAAAACGAGTCCCTGACTCAAGCGAAAGACATCCTTCTCCGCCTCCTCCGTGGAGAGTTCAATGAACCCACCCGTTTCGCACAAGCCCACTTCCAGGATCGCGCCCTCTGGGGCCTGCATCGCGTCTTCCTCTCCGTCCCCGGCGCCCTTCACGACGTCGCCGCCGCCGCCACCAATACCCTCCCATACAACGTCACCCCTCGAACCGCCGTCCCCTACATCCCCGCAACAGCCTTCCACTCCCTCCTCTCCGCCGTCGTCGACACCAGGGGCAGCGCAGCCGGCCAACGCTTCTGGAAAGAATGGTGTCTCGACAGCAAGTCCCCGACCTTCCGTCGTCTCCAAGAAGGTGGCATCGTGCGTATGTTCCTAAACAAAGAGCGCGTCCCAGCCAAAGGCGATCCCCACTTCGACTTCAAATACTTCAGGCAATTCCAAAAGAAAGCCACCATTCCCAACCCCAACACCGTCCGAATCATCTCCCAGGCCGCCTTGCAGGAGTACAATGATCACGAAGCCCAGATGGCACAAGCCGCCCAGTCAGAACCAGAGACCGACTCCCCGACCCAACTACAACAACCCTCTCCTACCAACCCAGCCGAAGAAGTCCTAGACTTCTGCATCGAGCGATTCGAGACCTTCGGCGTGCGTCGTCGAGAAATCAATCGTGAAGTCGGGGGTCTATTATACCGCAGACGTCGAGAATTGAGCAAGATGAAAAGAGAACGGACGAGGATGGAGACTGCTGCTGCTGCTGCTGCCACTGTGGCATCATAGCATGGTCACCCACTCCACCATCCATCCCTTCAGAATCATATGTATTATATAAATAGCTAAATACGGCCTGTTCATAGAAGGAAAGCATTGTAAAACTTACCATATATATAATAATTCCCAGGGAAGATGTACGTATGTCTCGATTACATGACCTACATGAAGCCTACATGACTTCTTTTTCCCAAAAATAATAATACTAATACTAGTAATTATAATAGAGGAAAGGGATAGAAGATGAGGTATATCAATCATCGTAATAGTTCAACTAAGACCGAAATGAACTATTCCTAGTCCTAAGGGGGGGAAAGCAAACAAATACAAAAAACATACAGAACCCCCAAGCACCATCCATCTATCCCATCTCGTTATCCAAGGTTACCAGTACCAGCCTGTATCATCCCATTCTACCTACCCCCATTGAACTCCTGCGTTACATCGTTGACGTGAATAAATATATGCATACATAATTGCGAGATAGAGATAAAGATATCAAAAGTCAAGAAGAATCATAGGTATAGAGCATCGCTCACAGAGAAGGAGAAGGAAGAGTATGGGTGGGAAATAAATACAACGAATGGGAATGGATCTGAGATTTTGAGAGAGAAGTAGGTATGCTCATACTCCACCCCATGGGACCTCGTCAGTGGAAGAGGGGAAGAATGAGCGGATAAATTCGCCGCTGATTGGATCGTAGGGGAAGTAGGAGTCACCTCCGGGGTTTGACTCCGAATTTGTGGGCAATGAATTGTTGGATGGCATCCCTAGCCCCAAGAATGGTTGCTCGTCCTGAGTGAATGACATGGCGGTATCCTGAGGTACCTGAGAGGAGGAAATTGACGCTGTGTGGTTTATATCAGCGGCTGCGGGGTTGTAAAAGGTTGGGCACGTGTTTACGGTCTCTCCAGGATGAACATGCTGTGTAGAGTTGAACACTGGAGCCTGGGACTGGTTCTGGGCCTCAAAGCCAATCGCTGGCAAATCACTAATGTCGTAGTTCATACCGGTAGCAATCTGTCGAAGGCTGCCGTAACACAACTCCCATGCGCGTCGTGATGCAAGACTATTCTCAGCCATGGCAAATAGCCAGCGAATGGCCTTTTTAGCCGAACTCAAAAGGCCCATCTCTTCCTCCGGCATGTGGATGCTGCCAAATGACAACTCAAGAAGCAGCACGGTTGTTGTTTGCATTAGATAGTGCAAAATGCACCACCACGGGCAGATATCGTAGAGACGGACAGCGTCAGGCACATCAGGAATCAAGTCGAGCATCTGCCGAGCAGATTCCAGCGTGATTACCGCCATCTCGTGACTGAACGTTGGCTTTTTGTTGGACGCGGTCTGCCGTGCGTCGCGACGACACAAGCAGGGTCGTCCTAAGGTAATTCGCGCACTGTAGTAGTGGAAGGCGAGTAAGAGCTTGCTACGGACCATGATTGCTGACAGGTCGTCCATCCGAGTAAAGTCAAATGACTCATGGAGATTGGTGTACCACACGTCGATTCGGGCTCGCAGTTCACCAATGCGGTTCTCAATATGACTCCAGGGTATCGAAACACAGTCTAACGAGTAGACACGGTTGACAATCTCCTGCGCGATCACTGCGAGATCGACGTAATAAAGGAAGCCGAGAGCGCTACTGGCAGGGAGGCTTCTTAGCCACGTCACGTCACGCGGCTTATCGGTTAACTGCGCGTTTCGGCCCCCTTTAGGATTGGATGGCATTAGTCGTACAGAAATACAGGCGAGTGCCGTCTCTATGTACTCCTGGCGCAGTTCGGGCTCGTTCAGAAGCCTAAACGCGGCGGGCTCCAGTAGTTGGTCCTCCTCGAAGGGGATAGGAAACGGTGTGGTGCAGATGCCGTCGCTGATGCACGAGGCCCGTCCCGTCATGATTCCAAGCATGTGTTCAAACGTATAGAGGCACCACCAGACCCTATAGCGCGCCTCCTTGGCGACGCTGGCGGTCCCTTCGCTAGAATTCTTCATGTTGAGTCCGAGAGTGACCGCGGAACGAACAGCTAAAGCGGCAATTCGCCAGGCCCTATGAAGAGTCGGGTTAGAGAAAGTGCATTGGCGAGGCAATTACTATAAGCTGCTTACCTGTTAATCTGATCTGTTGCCAGAAGATAGTAGGCGATCAGGCCTTCGACCTGCACCTGTTGCAGATCAGGATGGCTGAATAGCACATCGCCGTTCATACTCAATATCCGGGCTCGCGTCAGATACACCAGGTGGTCATTTTCATCGCCACGCCATGGAGCCCGCGTGAGGTGGGCATGCTTGGCGGAAATGGCAAAGATCATGTTCAATATAGCCAGCCACTTGTCCCCTGGTCGTGCGGCGCTCTCGAAGAATGTCTTATATTGTGTACGGAAAAGCGTACGGCTGATTATAGGGTAAAATGGATGCACTGTGTCCAAGTAGTCTTCGAAAAGTTTATCCGCCACCTTCCGCGGCGGCATCCAGTATACATGCACAGGGCCAGGTACGGATATATCCATGTCGTCAAGGTGGTAATTGACAGAATGAATGGCAAACTCGCCTTCTTGGTCTGCCTCGTAGGGGCCGGGAAGTTTGCGAGAACGTTGCTCGGCCTCCATTCGGACTCGCTGCATCCAAGTGACTTCGGAGTTCTTTCCCATATAACCTGTTGCTCTGGAGCTCGGGCTGCGGTTCACGTCCTCCTCGACCCGGTCAATTGCATCCAAAGATCCGATGGATGAAGGGGACGACACCGCATCATCATTATCGTCGTCCCGAGGGGTTACTGAGCTAGATTGGGTGTATTCTCCGCTATCAGAATGCTATTTGACGTTAGTGATTCCAAACTACTGGACAGGTACTAAAGGGGCGTCAGAAAGGACAGCTCTAACCTTGTCCAGCATCACCTTGATACGCTCAGCAGCTCGACCATCGACAAAATTACCAATATCTCGCAGTAGATTCTCGTAGTCGGTAACCTTGACAGCAAGTTTATCCAGTTCCCTGCCAACCTCAAGTCAATTGTCTATCAGGAAACACCAGTGGCAAAACTGCAGAACAGTCAACATACCCTTTCGTCTTCTCCCGCCATGAGACCGGATAGTTGCAGGTTATTCTCAGCTCCTTGCACTGTCGACAAATGGGTGTATCGCCACTGCATTTCGTTTTCCGCTGCCTACACGACTCGCATGCTAAGGGGACCCGTCGACTGTAACGCGGGGCGGCGGTGGATCGCTGTCGGGGAATAGCCACCTTTTTGCTAGGCGCAGTGCCGGTGGAGGGCAGTTGCTTTTCGGTGTGTGCGGTTCGGGTTGCCGACTTGGATTTCTGAGGCATATGCGACGAGTTGCCTGGGAGAGCTGGCGGATGCGCCATGGGAAGGACTACAGAAGGCTCCTCGGTATGAGGACGGAGAGAAATATCCCCCTGCGACAGGCCTTCGTCCAGCTGGGGGAATCCAGAAGGCGTCTCCATACCTTCTAGTGTATCAACCGAGAGGTGGTTCCTGAGGGGCAACGCCACCGCGACACAAGTCGAATCGCAGCCTGAACCCAGAATTGGTCACGTGTGTTCGGGTTGATGAATATGCTTTTGAGGGAGATCGCGGGGATCCTTTGCGATGTGAAGGACGGTCCACGCTTTGTTAAAACTTGGGCCGGCTGTACGAGGACGATACGAGGGAAGAATAAAGCATAATGCCAAAAACTAGCTCTGAACCGGGCTAGGGACCCGGGATCAAGGGCAGGAGACAAGGCACAAGGAAAGAGCTACAAATGAGCAAACGAAGGGAGGAGGAATTGATACGTCGACAGAAGCGAGTCAGTCGCGCCCTGGGACAAATTGCGGACAAAACGCAGAACCGCGCAAGGATGGAAGAGAACAGGAGGGGTGCCGGGGGGGAAAGGGAATCAGAAGAAGCACGGCACGGGAGATGGCATGGGCACAATGGGCAGAACGCGAAGTATAGAAACCGGGCAGCCAACCAGAACCTTCCAGACCCGGCGACCGCCCGATTAGGTCAGCATGACATAGTGGCGTCATCGCGCGGCCGCCGGTATGACAGCCTGAGGAACCAAGACGGCAGCGACAGCCTCAGGCTGGAAGGAAGGGTGCAGATGCCCGATGCACCCCTGGGGTTAGTTAGTTAGTTAGTTAGTCAGTTAGGGGGAAGGAAAGTAGTGGCTCGAAGGGCCCATCCCACGACCCAAGCCCACCTATGGTCCCAATGTTCCGGCGCGTCTAGCCCATCCGGCCCATCCAACCCATCCCAACTCATAGCATGGTCCCCCGTATTCTTGCAACCTTCAGATGCTCGTCAGTTGAAGGTCAGTGAGTCAGAATCCCAACCCATCAAAGAGACAATTGGAGTCATCCTTCATCTCTCCGCAATGCTGCGAGGCACCGAGGCACGCACATTCCACGGGATGCGGGAGGCCGTGCGTCGCATCAGGCCAGTAGACGTCATCTATCGGGGGCTGGCAACGCCGCGGTTCCCCCGGTTTCTACACACACACTACGGAGTGCAACAGAATGAAAGACTTGGTTTATCTTCAGATCTAACCCTTGCGGGGGTTTTTGGATTCAAGGCCACAGGCGCTAAGCATACATAGTCAGACATCAAGCATACCGGTTTTCTTTCTCCCGTTTTCCTTTTTCCTTTTTCTTTTTCCCATCGGCCGTTCTCGTCATAAAACTGCTTCATTCTCCATCTCGCCATGCCAGTCGTCGAGAAGAAACTGCAAAACAACCCCCCAGAAAACGATCAAACGGACACATCACAGACAGCCAGGGGATATTAGAAATCAAGAGGGTCACAGAGAGGTGGAAGGTAAAAATATATATGTACAGGCACGGCAGGCGCAGGGACCTCGCCCGTCATGGGCCGGGTCCAACACCGCACAAGGTGCAGCAGGGGGTTGCGAAACATGCATTAAACGGATAGGAACTGTACAAGATTAGGTCAAACGGAGTGTCGAGGTGGAGGTGGACAGCCAGTTCAGCGAACTAGCCAGAGCGGGAGTGGAGAGGAAGGAGTCCTGTGGTGGAAAGACGTCCCGAACTAAAGAGTGAAGAGGCCTTGCGAGAAAGAACACACGACCCAAACGCCTCTAGTCTATCGCTGCGTGGGAGAGTAGTGCCATGACTATCATGTTCAGATCTCCCCGAACATCTCGTCGAGCTCGTCCACCTCCACGGTCTCGGGACTCTGTAGCTCTCGCCAAGAATCGAAGACCATCTCGACGTCCTGGTGGGAGAAGGCACTGGCTCCCAACGACAGTTTGTCCTCCTGATCATTGAAGTCGGACATTTTCATGTCCAGATCGGGAAGTCCACTGTTCAGCATGTCGATGGAACGCTTGAGGGCAGACACAGGGACAACGGTGGGGTCCTCCGGGAGGCTAATCAGCGGAGTGCGTCCAACGGTCTCGGATTGAGTGTCGACGTCCAACCCATCATCGGAAGCCACGCTCGTGCCAGACGAGAAGGATGAGGCCACAGATGTGAGGGAGGGAGAAGGGGATGTGCCGAAGAGGGTAGCCACAGCAGCCTCGTCGAGATCCCGTTGCTGGAAATGGTCTTGCAGAGGGGACTGCTCCTGGTAGCCGCCATGGGAGAAGTAGTCGCCATCCTGGTCGTCCGACATCCGATCGCCGCTAATGGAAGAAAGAGGGCCGTCCTCCAAAACGGGATCAGATATGCTCATAGTTCCATCATGCAACTCGTTCAGACCTTCCGAGAGGGCAGAGAAGCCAGCTCCCAACGACTGGGGCTGGCTTGTAAGCTTCTCAGAGGCCCGCTCGCGAACAGCGCTGGCAGTTTGTGTGAACTCCTTCTCATCGCCTTCCAATGGTGGGGAAGCAGCACGAGTAGAGTGCATCAACCGCGCGTGGTGATGGTCGGTGAAGTCGGTTCCGGATCTAGATGCACCGCCGGGACCAGTGCGACCGTCCAGGTCAATGGTCTCTTCGTCGAAATCAGGCGAAGACAAGTCCACTTCTGGACTGGGACTGAGGCGCGACCGCTCCCGCGCCAGCGCATCCTCTTCATCTAGATCGGCACTGGAAACGCTAGGAGTGAGGTCCTTTCCTTCCACACCTGGGATAATGACATCGTCCGAGTTCTCTGGAAGAGGCTGACGGGGTAATGTCGTCAGGTAGTAGTACACTTTGCGTGGGTGAATGGGGACCAGTTCCTTTGCCAGGGGACACGGCGCCAGAGCAGTCCAGGGGCGCTTCATGTAGGCACTTAACCGGGAAGACAGAAGAGCCGCGGGGTTCGCAGAGCTATTAAACAAAACATGTTAGCATGACCAGCGACATAGAAACGGGGAAGTGAAGGGGCGAAATCGAAAAGGGGACGTACTTTGCGACATTCTCATTCAAGGCGATAAGAACGGCGGCCAACTCCTTGACCAAGTGAGGGCGATTCCCCGTCTTCTCCAACTGTTCGATCACACCAACCACGATGTCGTCGTTAATTCCCTCGGTGTCGATCTTGGGCGAGACATTACCGTCCGTGGGGGATGGCGGTGGCGTATGTTCCAGAGGGCCGCGCCGCCCGCTCTGACGTAGAGGGGCGGCGTGTTCCTTGCCATCGGAGGTGCGCGCAGTGGAAGACGAGGAAGGCTCCGGCGATAGGGAATGCCCCGAGTCGTGCGACCGCTTTACTTTCTTCGAGAGAGGCAGCTGGTCGTCGGTCGCGTGAGGCGTTTTTGTGGCGGACGGAGAGCGGCGGGATGTGTTGGGGAGATGAATTCCCAGTGAGGGGAGCGACAGTGACTTGCGACGTGTATTATAAGGCATGGTTGAATAGCGGCGGGTAGAAAGGACGGCGAAGTGTAGTGTAGAGTAAATGTGTAGAGTGTAGAGTGTAAATGTAGGGTACAGAGGAATAGGAGAACGATAGGCGATAATGGAAGTAGTAGTAAGTATACCGATAATCAACCACACAAAAACACGAGGGAGAGAACAATACAGTATAGAACACAAGTAAAGTAGAACTAATGAATAACGCGATACGAGTCTAGTAACACAGAGACAGAGACACAGACAGACACAGAAGACAAGATAGATAGACAGACACAAGATGGAAAGGAGAAGATGATGAGATGATGATGAATGGGGGGAGAGAGAAGGGAAGAGGGAAGTGTTACAGGACCAGAAGTATGGGCAGGGGGGGGAAGAGGGAATGGGATGGGGATGGGAGAGTTAGTAGTTAGTTAGTAGGGTAGGGGAGGGAGGGAGGGAGGGATGGGCGGCGGTGATGATGATGAGATGCCGACCGGCTGCACGGAAAAGAGGACGAGGGAGGGAAAGATGGAAAGGCGAGGGAATGGGAATGGAATAATCACCGGAACGGTCGTTGGCCAGTGAGGGACCACCAAACTCACTGACCGTCGGAACTGGAAGCAACGGCGATGGTCCTTTTCGTCCCTTTGCGACCAATTCCCAGGACCAAGCGTAATCGTAATAGTAATGGAAATAATAATAACTGCCCTCTGAAGCCTGAGGAATCCGTCCGTTGTGTGGATGGTTTCCACCTCGATTTTTCCTGCTGGCTCGCACCCGGCTGAAAATTAAAATGGGCAAAACAGGTGGATGTTTTACGGTGGCGATTATTGGTCCGACTCACGATGGGGTGTTTTATTGGGGTTTCCAGGAATGCCGGGAAGGGAACTTTACTACCATCCATCCGTGTTCCTTCCCACCCCCCCTTCTGCTAGAGTGAGAAAGGGAAAAGGAAAGAAAAAAAAAAAAAAAAAGAATATTTTTGGTTGTTTTTGTTATTCCATTCTAGGGATTATGGTCGTTGCTCTCTTGGATCTATCTATTTCTCCCCCACCTCTGGATACAATACTAAGAAGAGACTAAAGAGATACATCTACACCGCTTTCTCCTCCTAAATGAAAATGGACGTCCGTGTGTTTCAACAAAGCAGTGGACAATAACAGAGGGCAAGAATCAACTGGACACCGGCCGGGGCCAGAGGACGGCGAGATGGGCGAGAAGCGACACTAACAGGCCGACGGACTGAAGGGGCAAAAAGTACGGTGGAGCCAACCATGTGTCTATGACGACCAGAATGAATGGCTGGCTTTATGATTGGTGGGGGAAACCGCGATCAACTGAGGTTCTGCATGGGCTCCATGATGGAGTATGCTCCGTGGAGTCAATCCAGGAGAGCGAATCGGGTAGCTACTGCTACTGCAGCTTAGAGCACTTGGACCTGGTTGCTGCGCAGAAATTTTCTGATAGATAGAGAAACAAACAAGCCTGGCAGGCGCATCCCTCCCGCGATCAAGGCGACCTATACCTTGTATTTACTCCGTACAGTCCAGCTCTGACCTCCCCAAGCTAACCGCTTCTCTACCGGGGACGTTCTGTTCCGCTTTCTCACCGACAAACCATCCATATCAGACCATTTTCGGGACCGACGATGTTTCTCTTTAGTCTCTAACAAGTCTCTTGTTCGCGTTTAGACTAGATAACTATATCCCATCATGACGGCAAAACGGCGGCAACCTCTACGGGTAAGTGCATCATAGCTCTGGGGACACCCACGGTACGACGCAATTTAGCTCGCCAGGATGGTTTAGTCCATGACAAGTGGGAGTGCTGGGCTGAGGGCTCAGGACTCTTGGTGTGCTGGCCATGCCATGGGCGCGCCTGAGACTCGAAAACCAAAGGACAAAAAAAGGGTCACCAAAAAGAAAAAGAGAGAAGGGAAAAAAAAAAAAAAACACCAAGAGCCTTACACTAGCGCATAGCGCTGCTGCAGGCGCTAGCCTTCCAAGTTACTGACTTATGCACTAACTCATAGGAGAAATGGAGGCAGGCAAAATCTCGGCGAATCAGAGCACCTGCCCGGCCCCATCTACCAGAGCAGTCCCAAGGACAATCGTTCCTAGCGTCACCGTTTAAGGCCTATGGCGAATCAGATCGGCGACAGTGGAGTAGATGCCGGTCGTCTAGAAGATTGGCATAGGGCCCAATCGGATGGATTCGAGGCGGCGCTAAGGCCAGAGCTGGACAAAGGGCACAGCGCGAATCTGCATGGAACCAGGCCTCGCCACTTGGACTTCCGACAGATGGGAGCCTGGGAGGCCATCATCCGTCGCTGGTCGCCCGGTCTGTCTGTATGGGGTATACTTTATACACAAAATAATGGCCTGTACAATGTACGCGGTACACTTTTGCATGCAGGACGGATGTGCTCCTGGCAGATGCCTCCTGGATCGGGAGAGGGGGTGATGTATCACATCTCAGCAAGGGATCAACCTTATGCAACATGTGATGGGACAGACCCCAGTCGAGATCATTCCGGGTTAACAGTATCTTCATACCTGTCTTGTTGCCTTCTACAACTCGTTGCCTAGAGACGACTCACGGAGTCCTTTTCCAGACATGTTCTCGACGACAGACAATCAGACAAACGGACACACAATAGGTAAAGACAATAGGACCCGCCCTCAGCCACCCGACACCATGCATGTACGTACGTATGTAGAATTGTAGATAATTGTCATAGTTCCTGCAGTTTAGAGAATGTACATGATAACAACAACTCACATGCTTCAAGTAGATACATACTACATACTACTATAGATGTATCGTCGGACATGCACATCTCCACTCCCGTGGCGGCGTGCATCTGCAGCTGGATAAGTACTACTAGTAGATGGGGATGTATGAATCGTCATCATCCCACCTCTTCAGCTGCACATAGGTAGATATGATGAGTCGCTGTCCCACTTGCTCGTATTTCCAATCCATCAGGTATGTATCTATTTACTCAATTAGATACCTAGTAGGAGTCATAGATAGATAGATGTAGTGTGTACCCCGGTGCTCCGTACTCCGTACTAATCCGACCTAGACTAATCTTAGACCTAGATACGTACCTAAAAAAGTAGAACCAATAATAGATCGGAGGGACCTACGTCAACATCGTCACCTTGTACCTATACCTACCTAGTATACAGCACTACCTCCCTACAGCAAAATAAATAGATTCCTACCATCACCCTCCACCCAAACCCCCAAAAAAATAAAACTTCAATACCTGCAAGTTCCGTCGTATAACCACCTACAAGTATCTAAACCTCAAAAATTCTCCGATCAATACATACTACTACATACCTACATACATAATATATAAACTAAGTAAGCAGTAATGTATGTAAGTACCCTGTGAGGGGTCCCAGGTACAGGTACAGGTACATAAGTACTAGATAGGAAAGGCAAACTAATCCCCATTAGGACAACATATACTAGTATACTACCCCGCATGCATAACGCCATGTTGACTTCATCTGGATCGGTATCGGTTCATCATGGACCATGGATCATGGTTGGGGGAAGAGATTTGTTGCCCAGGTGATTGATTAATTGATTGATTGGGGGTTGGGTTGGGTGTGACGATGGTGGTGATGCGATGCCTTGTTTCTGCGTGGTCGCGTGATTACTTATTATTGACTGGGCTGGATGTTAGTACTTACTTGGATGGGAAGAGGAGGGGGCTAGGTAGATAGATAAATAAGACAGACTTCTTCACATGCTTATTTATCTGGTGGAAATTATTGGTGTAGGTTGGGGGATACTTGGGGGCCTAATCTATCTTAGATAAGGTAGTAGTTGTCGAGTTAGTGTTCGATCTATACGAGGTGTCAACTGTCAAGTTGGTCATGCTTTTAGGGTTTGCTTTTTTGGGGTTGGGGTTGGGTTTTCTTTCGTGTTTGGTGAACTGTAGGTAGTAACTTCATTTATTGAGATGCCTAATGTAATGTTACGTAGTAGGTTGGTTTATAAGATTGAATATATATTCTTTCGTAGGGCTGGTGTTCTGATAGATTCAGGGAATTATGCGAGGTAACTTGTCTCTGTCTAAGAAATATTATATATTGATTTATTTGGGATTTGATACTATCGGTATATATTCTTAAGGACACTGCCATCTCAGGCTACGAGCTAAGTCTAAGAGGTGGTTGTAGGTGGAAGCCTGTGTGGCTGAATCTGGTTCTATACTCCGTACCAATCTATCCATGACCATTCATCTTTCAATGCTATCTAAACACCCGCTATGCAATACATCCAGTCATCCAAATCTATCAAAATAATATACAAGATCCTCTCCATCACTTCTCAGCCTTGATTTCCGTCCTCGGCCGGAGAACATACTTCCACGTGGTCCCAAAATGCCACCGTTTCTCCTCGACCACCTCCAACCCGCTGTCGCGCACAATCTGCCCAATATCCCGATTCCACCAACACCCATGTCTGTCCGCATGCGCCGGAGCCAAATTATCCAACGCGCGATTCAACCAATCATAATGCGACCTCCCGTGTTCCAGCAACAAGATCTCTCCCCGACGCGGCTCAACGATTGTCCCCAGATGGCGCAACGTACCGGCCGGATCCGGCATCGAGCACAACCCCATCGTCTGCACCACCGTATCATAGTATCCCTCATCATCTTTCCGTAAAGGATCAATAGGACGCCTCGACACCTCCCCCGCATTCTGCACCCGAAAATCCACAGGCACCTTGGGCTCCGGAAACAGTTTCCCAAACTTTGCCCTCGTAATCTCCACCATCTCCGCACTCAGATCTACAAACGTCACAGACCGACACCCTCGGATGTCTGCGCGTCCCTGATGGTCCTGACCCCTCCGCTGTCCGAGCTCATAGTATTTGAGGTTGCGTCCCGTGCCGCAGCTGACTTCTAGAACATCGCCGCGCGCGCGATTGATCAGCTCTGCGCGCTTCGCGGCCATGCGCATAAGCCGCTCGGACATTTCGACGTCGGCATCAAATGTGCGCGCGGTGTGGTTGTAGCGGTCTGAGACATCGTGGGGTACGGAGAGGGTTTGAGATTGGGTGACTTCGCGGCGGTATGAGGCGTAGAGGTAGCCGATGTAGGTGCTTAAGGTGAGGGCGCTGACGCCCAAAATGGTCATGACTTTGGGGGACATGGGAGGAGTATTAGATGTGGAGGAGCTGGAGGGGAGATTTGCGAGATGAGGGTTGGCGCGTTTGGGGAGGATCTTGGGTCTGTATACCGGTGTGTTAGTATGTTAGTATGTGTCGGAGTTGATACTGATGAAGGGGACACGGTGATGCAAAATGGTACAGGCATTGCGATGTGGCATGATGCTGGGGGACAGGCTGTGTGACTGACCCTGTGCCATCGGCGATTGGATATCTGGGCGCCGGCTTGGAAGCATGGCCCTGAGCAGGCATCCTGGCCTTTTTCAGTGCGGCTCGTCCGACCCGAGATGCGCTCATGGTTGCGGATGATGTCGGCGGTGCAGCAGGGATGCGAGTCGTTCCAACGAGTCTGATAGAATACGGGAACCGCGTCGTCAAGTCATTGAGCGGCAGATATGCGAATGGTAGGCGGGGATGGCAGAAGAGAAGCCGAGTGAAACGGATGAAATGAAGCCGACGCGGAAGAAGATCGGAGACGCAGTGCCAAGAGGGGAAAGGCGCGCTTGTCATTTCGATTGCCAACCGCCTTTATCGGCCCTGCGCCATCTATATAGCCTCGTTCTTTTCCATGATTCCCCACCTCTTCAATTCCCCTATTCCCCCTCATCCTCGTTGAGAGACGTCCTCCTCTCTATCTTGTACATACCCCCAGGAACACTCCCTACCCCCCCCTGCCATTCCTCACACGATGTCTCTCCCCCCCAACATCCTAATTGTCGGAGGAGGGGTCTTCGGCCGTAAGTCACATCGCACCCACACTTCCCCGGATTTCCCCCACGAGCCCAATTGCTCATCAACTCAGTATCCACGGCTCTGGCCCTCTCGCACCGTCATCCCAACTCCCAAATCACCCTCCTCGAAGCCTCCCCTACAATCCCCAACCCACACGGCTCCTCCGTCGACACCTCCCGCATCGTCCGCGCCGACTACTCCCAACCCACCTATGCCCAACTCGCCGCCGATGCCCTCGACCTCTGGCGCAACACCGACTGGGGAAAAGAAGGCCGCTACACCCAAAATGGTCTCCTCCTTGTCTATCCCCCGGGTAGCACCAACGCCCGCGACTACGCAACCAAGAGCTACCACAACGTGAAGCAAATCCCCGGCCAGGACGTTGAGCTCCTCCCCACAAAGGCCGATGTCACGCGAGTCGCCCCCGCCTACGGAGTCGATCTCAAAGTCGCAGGCGGCTACGTGAACTGGGGTTCAGGCTGGTCCGACGCCGAAGCCGGCGTCCGGTACGCCAAGCAGCGCCTCGACCAGGAAGGCAAGGTCATCTTCAAGACCGGCGAGGTCAGCAGTCTCCAGTACAGCAACGACAGAGTCACAGGTGTAAACCTCGCCGATGGATCCTCCCTCACAGCCGACCTGGTCATCCTAGCAACAGGAGCCTGGACCGCGAAGCTCGTCGACCTGCGGGGCCGCACAGTCCAAACGGGCCAGGCATTGGCCTACATGCGCATCTCCGACGAAGAACAGAAGCAATTGGAACATATGCCAACGATTCTCAACTTCGCGACAGGCATGTTCATCATCCCGCCGCGCAACAACCTACTGAAAATCGCACGACATGCGTACGGCTACGTCAACCCAGTCCAGGTCGCCGTGCCTCGCACCAAGAGCGAGAAGATGGAAATCAGTCTACCAGAGAACGGCGTTCCTATTCCCGCAGAAGGAGAACAGGCATTCCGGGAAGCATTGAAGGAGTTGATCCCCAGCTTTGCAGACAGACCGTTCGTCCAGACTCGGGTCTGCTGGTATACCGATACGTGAGTCCCCTTACCTCCCCATCCCATCCCCCACTCAACTAACAAGCAAAACCCTCCAGCCCCAAAGGCGACTTCATAATCACCTACCACCCCAACCATCCGGGTCTCTTCCTCGCCACCGGCGGCAGCGGCCACGGCTACAAGTTCTTCCCCGTGCTCGGGGAGAAGATCGTAGACGCACTAGAACGCAAATTGGACCCCGAGTTGCAAGAGCTGTGGAGTTGGCCTGCGGCCGTTCCTGAGAGTGAGTTCGACGGGACCGAGGATGGGAGTCGTTCAGGCCCGAAGGGATTGCGACTGATGGATGAGTTGGCGAAGACGAAGAAGGCTCAGCGGAGTAGTGCTCTGTGATGGTTGATGTCTTCGCGGATAGACATTCGCATGATAGTATATTCCTACCTAAATTAGACTAGATTTGTATATAAGTGAATGGTTTGCATGGGTTGGGTATATACTATGTCTCATGTCTTGGGTGGATACTGTTGATAAGATATAGATAGGAGAGAAAGATGGAAAGAGTCCCACAGCTGCAAGGCACAGATTAGGGTTAGGATTAGACTACGAGATAAAATCGACGTCTACGTTATGAAAGATGGCTGATAGATGCATGTTTCATTGCCATTTCTACCCACGAACCAGGGATCTCATGATTATGCCACCATCGAACAAGGGCAGAGCCCTTCCCTTCATTCTCCCGGTGTATTCATCCACTTCCGTAACAAAGCGTAGCGATCTAGAACAGTAACATAAATTTTTTTGTGCTTGGGTATGCAGAAAACCTTCCGACCCCAAAGCAAATCATCGAGGTCGATCCACCTCGGCGCTGGCCAGGCCCATGCGCGAGGGTCACAGCCAATAGGCAGAGAACATAAAGCCAGTAATTAGAAGGAGGCAACCATTCGACCAGCGCACAGTACCGCCCCCTTGAATCTGCGGTGTGCGACTATCTAAGATGGTGAGACACTTTGATGATGTTTGTTGAAACAAGAAGCAAGGAAAAGAAAATGAACAGCCCGAATCGCTATAACGCCGTACAAATGCTAGCATGAAGATCGTGATGTGCAAGTGTAGAAGAGAAAAGGGAACAGAAAAATGCATCAGCCGTGCTGGGTTGAAGCGTGTTGTCCGTCCATAGTACAACCTCGCGGGCCAGTGCAAGGGGGGAAAAGCCGTGTTAATACAAGTTGGTGAAGGTGGAAGGGACACATGGTCGAGATCCTCCTGTCGAGCGTGATGCTCTTTTAGACTTTACGGAAATCTTTTACAACTGGTTAGCAAGATATCACCTCATGGAGGAAGTGCAGAGAGCAATGCATACCCGAAAGCACAGGATAGATCAGTTCAAACGCCTGGTAGATTTCCTCACGGACCTTGGCACCGGTGAGGACAATCTTGCCACTGACGAAGATGAGAAGCACGATCTTGGGCTTCATCATACGGTAGATAAGACCGGGGAACAACTCAGGCTCGTAAGAACTGAAGTTGTGATGGCGACTGGCCAGACCCTCCAGACGGATGGGGAACTTGATGTCACAGGAGCCCACAATATTCTGGATCTTGAAATCCGTGAACTTGGCGTTGAAACCAAGCTTCTGGATGATACGCGCGTACTTTCTGGAAGCCAGTTTGGAGTCATCCTCCGACTTGGCACCAGTCACCACCATCTTGCCTGAGGCGAAGATCAAAGCGGTCGTCTTTGGCTCTCGGATACGCATGATCACGGCCGCGAAACGCTATTGGAAGAGAAAAACAGTTCAGCCACACTGCGCCCTGACATATCAAGCTCAGGGAGGTGTGGAAGATAATACCTTAGGGTTGTACTCCGCATTTCTTGCGTGGAGCGCGATCGTCTTCAAGTCCAAACGGCAGTCAAGATTGACCGTCGCGACAATGTTTCTTCAAAGATAGATCATTGTTCAGTAATCTGGTGAACCAGAATGGAACAGCAAGAGTATACTCACTGCAACGTAGGCACGATGCCACTTCCCGGGGTGTTGGCACTAGGGGTCGCAGCTGGAGTCGCGGGCGCCACCCCGTTGCCATTCGCGGCATTTGCTCCCTGCTGCTGACCGTTCACCATCCCGTTCATACCCTGGGCCATCGCCATGTTTCCGTCTTTATCGGAAGGCGGGGTCAGATCGCCGGCACCACCGGGGAAGGACAGAGACGCAGGGGACGTGAATGCCCGAGCCTGCTGAGCAGTAGAAGGATGGGTCGTAAGAGAATCCATCGCGACGAGAGTAGATGATACTCGAGCCGTAAACCAGCCGACGCTGAGGAGATAGAAAAGCTTTCAGATAGCAGTCTGTGCCCGCGCAACCCGAGGTCAGTCAAGTCAAGATAGACAGACGATAAGGTAGAGATGATATGAGCGCGATAGGTTTGCGCGTGATGATTGCCCCAGAGAAGAGGCAAGGAAAGAGAGAGACATGAGGTCAGGATGACCAGGTTAAGGTAGAAGATAACGTACCCTTTTGCGGGAGATGGACAAGTCAATGTCTCCCCTACAGCACCACTGCCCTGGGATCCAGCGATAAACCGTTTCTTATAGAAAACGGAATGAACTCAAGGTAGAGTGCAGTGGAAGGAAGAAGAAGGGAAGGGAAGGGGAATAGGAGGGAGGGGAGAGGAAGATGGCGACGACAAGAAGGAACTAGAAAAGCACAGTGAAGTGTTTTCTAGGAGATTATCTCCAGAAGCCGACTTTCACAACTATTAAGCAAGTAGTGAACAGGTGCGGGACGAGGTGTATGTAGTGTAGGGAATGTGAAGAGTGAAAAAAGCACGATGTTTTTTTTTGGGTGGGAAATGTGTTGTTTGCTTTTTTTTGGTTTGTATGAATTGGGAATGTCTATCTGCGTTTGGAGAGAGAGAGTGGCGAAGATGCGTGCCTGAGGCTGCAAGCTTCCTGTTTCAGTAACTGAATCTGAAACTGTGGAGTATAAGAAGAATAAATAAGAGGGAAAGATCTTTTCCTCTTTTTGATTCTGTCTGTAACTTCCTTAAAAAACCTTCGGGAGATCACGAGATTCTCAGACCAGCAGGCGAATGCAGCAATATAGCCGGTATCAGCAGATATCTGTAGTCGTCCTGGTGGAGAGAGAGAAGGGGGGAGGAAGGCGGGCGGGAAGAGGAGTGTATGGCTTTCCGGGCGGTGCCAAGACCAGGATCAAAAATTCCAACATCGACAGAAAGTGGGAGGTTGGGCCTTTATATAGGCTGACTCACAGCGCCCGGGACTGCTGGCGTCAGGGGGGCTGGGCCTGGCGGCGGCGGCAAAAGCAGCGATGAGCGGTCGCTCCCACCCATGGGTTTGGCTGCTCTGGCACTGCTCGCTGCGTGCTAGCGCTCCACTAGCGGCTCTTGGGTGGCCAACCCCCCCAGCAAGCGCCATTCCGTCATCTCTGGTTTGTTGATCGGCGGGTCCACTCAACACACATTGTCTGGGAGCCCCACCGCCGTGCACCCGCTCTCGTTGGCTGTCGCCCCCTTACTCTTTTTTCCCGGCCAGCGCCATGGTTGCAGCCACTCATTTCAGTCCAGTCCGCGTCGCTCCTGCAACTGATAGCCCGACCCACCCCTCAAGCCTATCCATTCTTCTGCCTTCCAATCATGCCCCGTTGCTGTTCTCGGCGTCCCCTTCACAACGCGCCTTCCGTCCCCTCGGCCTTGCCGCTTTAGCGGTCGCCAACTGAACAAAAATTTCATCGATCCTTTCACTCCCTTCCCGTTTTTTATTTCCCTGTCTTTCTTCCGGGGGGTGTGTGCCTGGGGAACTTTTTTTTTGTTGACCCCATGGATGGATGATCACCAACGATTCCAAAACATTCGATGCACTAGAACAATGACACGGCTTCTTTCTTTCACTAACGCCATGAAGGGCTGGTTGATGATCCCATCTTTGAGTCAGAGTCTTTCTGTGGCTTTCTGTGGCCCCTAAATTCAAGAGATGATGAGTCGCCGGGTCCAACCCGCGTACCTGTCAGGGATGATGGGTTTCATCCCGGTCGCGCCGGTCGCGTTCGGTCGCGTCATGGGGTTCCTCCTCGGGGGTTCTTGCCTCTCATTTGGCGTTGCTTGCCGCCTGGCCATACCCCAGATCTCAGCCCATTTGTGATCCACCAATGTCCGATCGTAGCTTCGCGCTGTCGGTGTTCTTTTAAAAGAAATAGATGAGATCCAAAGCATAACCTGGACGTATCCATCCTCCAAGGCGCCAACAAGCTCAGCCAAACTCCCGCGTCGCGCATGCAACATGGGGTCCGGACAGCGGCTACATCCGTGCCCGTACGTAATCCGGCCAGCTGTCCTCTATTCCTGCGCCCATTTTCGGTCTTTTCAGTTTCACATACCATGGTAGGATGTTGAATGTTAAATGCCGAACGGAGGACATCATGACTACCTATCTAGATATCTACTCCGAACACCTCCGACGGGATATCATGGTGGTGTACTCCATATGCTGGTTATTGGTAGAACCCACCTGTCAGGCTGTTCAAGATCCGGAATCTGTACATGCAGCACATGGAGGCTACAGTAGTAGATACATCCTGGCGCCTGGAAAAGTCTGTGGTATCACATGGCTGTCAGCGTTGTAGAGAGCCATTCAGTGTAATCCACAGCCTTGGTCTGGTGTCGTCATCGGGTTGTTGGCGCCCCGTTTGCCTTCATGTGATCATCGGTCACGTTGCCTCTTGTGCTGCATAGAGATGCATCTTTCTCTCCCATCTTAAGTATCTACCTTTATCTTTGTCGCACGGAGTACTTTGTCTTATCTTCCTTATCCTTATGATATTCTATATAAACATAATGATCTAATGATTATCCCAGCCCAGCATAATAGATATTTAGGGTGCAACCCATGTTGAACCTACCTAAATGACATCTAGTAATACTGCTGGATCAAGAGAACTGCCGCCTAGAAGTATCCCCAGAATCCGCCTGGATAATTTAGGCTGTAGCAGCAGTTCCGACGGGAAAAGCACGGGGTCCAACGGGCGGAACAGCGAGAGGAGGATGATTCCCATCGCCGGGCTTCCTATTGGCCGACGTAGCCTCGGGTACTGCCAGATGCCCCAGGCCGACCGCCAATTTTTCTCCCACGGCCCATTAGTCACTCTCCTCATTTCTCGTGGCTCCGAGGGCCGGTGACGGAGACGATAGACCGACACGCTTCTTAAACTGGTTTCCACTTCCTTCCTCCGGACTTCTATCCGCTGGCTTTCATTCTTCTTCGCTGTCCTCGCGCGCTGTCCTCCACCGCCGCTTGCTCCCATCCTACCATGCAGTTGACCCAATTATAGGTGTCCAACCAACTCAACGCTATTGTGACCTCTCCCCTCCCCCTAGTTCCGCCATGGCTTCGAAAGGAGCCGTCTTGCCTCTTCTGAGGCGCGAAATGCGACCCTCTTTCTCGCGTCTGTCAAGAGCTTCCGCCTCTCTCGCCTCCCTCAGCAACCCCGCACGGATCTCCAATAGCTCCCTGGCAGCATCAGGCCGGAGGACTGTCCGCCGCACATCACTCTTCCCGCCAATCCAGACCCGAGCCTTTTCGCAGTCACTATCGAGAAAACTGACAGACGAGCATGGAAACTTCGATCCTCGACAACTGGACCGAGAGTCGGACGAGGTCGATGTCTGCATTGTCGGTGGTGGTAAGCTGAATTGATTTGCCCGATTCGCTCTTCCGCAAAAGAGGAAGAAGTAGTGGAGGACCAAGTGGCTGACCGACCTTCTTCACCGCAAACTAGGCCCTGCTGGTCTGGCTGCTGCCATTCGACTGAAGCAGCTTGCGAACGAAGCTGGCAATGAGGAATTCCGTGTCATTGTACTGGAAAAGGCCGCCGAACTGGGTGCACATGTTCTTTCTGGTAACGTTCTGGAACCTACCGCAATGAATGAGCTGTTGCCGGACTGGCTATCGGAGGACAACCCCTCGCGGTTCGAGAATGTGACTCCTGCCAAGGAGGATAAGATGCGTTTCTTGACTCAAAACTCGTCGATCCCGATCCCCGCCCCGCCCCAGATGAACAACCACGGCAACTACATCATCAGCTTGAATGAACTTACGAAATGGATGGGGGAGAGAGCTGAGGAACTGGGCGTCGAAGTTTACCCGGGATTCGCGGCCAGCGAACTGGTCTACAAGAAATCCGATGGTTCAGTGATGGGTGTGGCAACTAACGACCTCGGTATTGGTCGGGACGGCAAGGCGAAGGATAGCTTTGAGCGGGGAATGGAGTTTCACGCTCGTGTCACCCTCCTTGCAGAGGGCTGTCACGGTAGTCTGACCAAGCAGGTGACCAAGAAGTACGACTTGAGGCGTGATAGCCAGCCGCAGACCTATGGACTGGGAGTGAAGGAAATTTGGGAGATCCAACCCGAAAAATTTAAGCCGGGAGAGATTACGCATTCCTTGGGGTACCCCCTTCCCAAGGATACCTATGGTGGAGCCTGGATGTACCACTTTGGCGACAACATGGTTAGCATCGGTTTGGTGGTCGGTCTGGACTACCCGAACCCATGGCTGTCGCCCTATGGCGAGTTCCAGAAGCTTAAACACCACCCTCTTTACAAAGAAGTCTTGGAGGGCGGAAAGTGCATTTCGTATGGCGCAAGGGCGCTGAACGAGGGCGGCTTCCAGTCGATCCCGAAATGCGCTTTCCCGGGAGGCGCCTTGATTGGCGATAGTGCCGGTTTTTTGAACGTCCCGAAGATCAAGGGTACTCATTCCGCGATGAAATCGGCCATGCTTGCCGCCGAATCCGCGTATGCGGCCCTTCAGGGTAGCTCCGATGGCTCTGTTTTCCTGTTCGACTATGAAGAATCTCTGCGGAAGTCGTCGATCTGGAAAGAGCTGTACGAGGTGCGTAACATGCGGCCTTCTTTCGGCACTCCCCTTGGGCTCTACGGCGGCATCCTGTACTCTGGACTCGAAGCCTACGTCCTCAAGGGTAGGACGCCGTGGACTCTCAAGCATCACGGTACGGACGCTTCTGCTACCAAGCTGGCATCCGAATGCAACAAGATCGAGTATCCCAAGCCGGACGGGGTGATCAGCTTCGACATCCTCACCAGCGTCAGCCGGACGGGTACCAACCACGAGGAAGACCAACCAGTGCACTTGCAGGTGGCCGATTGGGACAAGCACACCGATGCGGCCTGGCCCAAGTACCAGGGTGTTGAGAACCGCTTCTGCCCTGCGGGCGTCTACGAGTACGTGGAGGATCCCAGCAAGGAGCATGGCGTTCGCTTCCAGATCAACGCTCAGAAGTAAGTGCATTTTAGAACTTCCGCTTGGTATTATACTGACCACCTGTAGCTGCATTCACTGCAAGACCTGCGACATCAAGGTGCCCACCCAGGATATCAACTGGCAGACTCCCCAAGGTGGAGAGGGCCCGAAATACTTCATGACCTAGTTCGGCCCGACGGGCCTTTGTCCTTTGTCTTTTTACTCTTCACCAGGGAATAGACGGGAATTGGATGGCTGTATCCACTGAGACGTTACTTACTAATGCTTGATCATGCGTTTTGAGGCTGGTATGCCTGCGATAAGGGATCATTATGTGCGCTTATACTATAAAAGCAACCGGACTGGCCGGAATGGGTCCATTTATGTATATATAGTTCTGTATTTTTGGCGATATCCCATTGGAACCACCACCGCGTCGTGCTTACATGGGACGAAAAATGTTCAACACAGTATTCCATGCCATTTTGCCCCTTCCCCTGCGCCCTGTGGCAATTTGCCTCACTGTATTCACTAGATATTATGACATGGTAGCTGAACCGGCCCACCTCCAGCTTTGTGCTTTGCAAACTGCAGTCTTCACAGCCCTGCCAAGTAACTTGGGTTGGCGTGACTAAACCCGGCGCAGCCTAGTGCGAATCCCCACTAGATATGCACCATGACTATCTATACCTAGTAATTAGGGTGGCTGAGCAGGCAGTCCTACCTTGAAAATTACCAGGCAAGTGGACTAACTACTTACTACTCTTGGGCTGGGGTGGCAAACCACAAAGCCAGAGAGTCCTATGGCAGCCGAGGATCTATACCCCATCTACACAGTATGTATCTATGTGAATTAACTTACATAGGGTACGTATAGGGTATATAGTATATGTGTGGACCTCGACTTGTTAGTAGACAAGGATTGGACCTTGCCAGTTGAGGGGTTTGTCTAGTGAGTGTTGCCATACAAAGACTGACTATCGCCTAGATATGGTTTTTGGCCTTCTTAGCAAGGTGTAGGACTACCTAAGGAATGCATAAAAGGTATGGTAGGGTACCAGTTCTCTGTACTATACGCATACTACTAGTATTTTTGATGACGGGAAGTTGTTCAAATATTCACGGGTATGTGGAGTGTTTGTCGTATTTGATTGATGTATGGGAGATTGTCATCCTCGTGATCATCCTCTATACCGATCTCTCTACTTCGTGGGCCCTCCGCCAGTACTGCAGTATGCTGACCTGTAGTGCAATGATCCATGGAACCCTAGATGAAAGCAAAATCAGATATGGATCTGAGAGGGAAATAGGACATGGGGATGACGGAAGCCTAGTGGATTTGACGAGATATGGAGGACAGGGATATCCCATCCAATGGCATCCCTCTTTATCCTATTCTTCCCCCGCCCCCCGGGTTGGATTAATATAATCGGAATCCGAGCGCAACCCCACCACCACCGCCGTTCTCCCTTCCAGACCTCGAGGCTCTCACAGCCTGGCCTCAATGTCGACTAGCATGTCCGGAGTCCGTGACGTCCGATGTTAGTGTCGTTACATTGCATATGCAGCATGGGTGCTTCTTTTCCTTATCGTCCAAGTACTCTGATTCCCATTCGGCGTGGTTGCCTAGTCACTTCTTTTCTTGGTTTCAGTTCGCTAATCGGCCTCGCGATAGTTTCACTTCCTACTAGCTTTCAGCCACAAGAAGCACTTCTGATAACGAACTAACCAGGCCACAACTTTTCTGCCAGTTTGCTCAAAGGACACTTGTTTCTAACGGAGTATCGGGGCTTACAAAGGGCCTCATTTTGCGCTTCTTGCCAAAAGGAAGTTCCCTCTACACCGCCATCTCCTCACCTTAGCCGAAACAGCTCCAAGTCAACACTGCATTCACCATGGCACCACTCGAAAAGCCGGGATTCCGGGTAAGCCCTGTACCCGCAACGGAGGAAGGCGCTCGCACCATCTGGGACATCGAGATGGCCGCGCAGAACGATAGCAACAGGAAGAACAACAGCGTAATCGGGGCCTTGCTCTGGCCACCCCACCTTCAGCCCAAGGTCGAGGCCCCAACTAGAGCATCGGATGGACAAGACGACGAGATCCGCCGCATGATCCCGATGCTCGGCGAATCCAAGAATACTTACCTGCTGGTCACCGATGAGGCCACCAATAAGCCAGTCGCGTATACCTGGTGGGCTCATAACAAGGGCCAGACTAAGGCTCAGTGGGATGAGGGATATGCCAACCGATATCGTCCGCCTACGATGAATGGCGCGCTGATGGATGCTACCGGGGGAGCCCGTTATCTGAAACGGGCGGCATTATTGGGGGACAAGGACTTCTTTCGTAAGTTATTCACTTAGCTTTTCCTTTGTAGGTGGGCATTATTATTAATGTTGAGCCTTGAACTGGGTAGAATTGAAAGAACTATATGTTCTTCCAGAATTTCAGCGTCAGGGTCTCGGAGGCCTGCTGGTAGGATGGGGGGTTCGGAAAGCAGATGAACTTGGCTTGCCTGCCTACACCGAGGCCTCTCCGGAAGGGTTGGGACTATATCTGAAGCATGGATTCCAGGAAGTTGATCGAGTGACGGTTGACTTGGAGGAATGGGGTGGCCCAAAGGGGGATATTAGCTCCTATGGGATTTTGTACCGAGAGCCCCAGCCGGTTAACTGATGCTGCTGCAAAGGAGATCTGTGACTTATAGTCGTCCAATAACAAAGGATAAAAGGGGGTTTCGGTGTCGTCATTTGTGACTTTTCTCTCTGTGGCTCTCGTAAGCTAACAAGTGGCAGGGCTACCTATGAGAGAACGGCAGTGTCCAGATCTACACCAGCCGTGAGCACTTTGACTCCTATCCCGCCACCGGGGCTTTGAATGCAGTTTGTGCCGCGCACCTCCTGAAATAAAACAGGAACCAGATGATCAGCTCCAGGATCATCCGAGCAGCAGACTGGAGATGGCCGAGGCTCTGATTAATCTGTCTCAGCAGGAGCGGTCATACAAGCCACTTGGCATTGCTTGTCAAGCTGCAGCCTTGGCTTTCTGCGTAGGATAGCGTTGGAATATCATCAAGTATGCAAGGCTGGGTGTCGAATTGATGATGGGATTTTGCAAAGCAGCTGAAAGGTGTTGGATGCATAGGGTTGCCTAATTGGACCACAGCCGGGAGGTGAAGTATATACTGGGGTATAATTCTCCGTATACTCTGTTCGTATGGAAGGAATCGGCTGCAGGCTCAAGAAGGCTATATTCAATGCCGGATGGATTGTGGTTCTGCTCCACCAGCCATGCCGGCTGGAATCCCCACTAAGCCAAGCACCAGGGCTCCTGAGGGTGTAATTGCAACGAACCTGTTCGCCTCTGCCTTTTCTATATATATAAAGCAGAGCACTGCCCGCCTTCCATAGGGACCTGGATTAGATAGAGGCTTCCCCGACGGCCAGCAGTTGGCCAGGAAGTGAAGTCTGGGCAGGGCAGGCGGGGCCACGTGGATCCCGCCGAGCAGCAAAAGTGAGGCGATTTGCAGCCGGGGGGGGGAAGTCGAGGGCGGCCCATCATTGGATGCCCTCCACCGCCAGCGCCTCGCGACTCGTCGACGGCCGGCAAACTGAACTGAACTTGCTGCTGGGCGGTCAGCCTCAATCAGTCAATCCGCTGCTGTTGCTGTTGCTGCTGCTGCTGCTGCTCGCCTGCTCCTCTTTTCCCTCCCGCGACCTGACGATCTCCTCCTCCCTCCATCTCCCCCCATCTCCTGCGCCTCCTCTCTCTTCCTTTCTCTCTTGACCTCGTTTCCCTTTAACCGACCTCTTCCCCTCCTCCTCCGTCGCCAGAAAATTCTCTTCTAATCCGACTGGGTGTGCGCCAGAGCCGGGAACTGCCTGCTAGCCGCGCTCCGTCCATCCATCCATCCATCCATCCATCTCCTTGCTTCTCTAACCCGCCAGGCCCACCGTCACCTTCTGGAACCGTTCTATGGTCTCGCACCTCTTCCCGGACACCAGGAACTGTCTCTGCCACCACCATCACTAGATTCCCAGGAGTTCGACCCAGTTGACCATCCAGGCCCTATTTCCATCGGTCGCCGTGCCGCCATTGAATTGGATATTCCCGAGGCCAAGCGTGTTGAGAGTGAATTGATTTGATTGTTACCCGCCGGGACTTAATCGTCGACCGTTGTGTGCACTTCTAGTACTACCAGCTATCAGCTACCAGCTACCAGTCACCAGTCACCAGCCACCATGACTGAAGTCTCGTCCACCCGACTCTATCTCGGGAACCTCCCTCGCAATGGTATGAAGCCATCTACCAAGTCTCCTTGATAGGTCTCCTTGTTCTTTCTCCCACCCGATTCGGATATTGCCTTTCCTGTCCACGTCCATCCGCGCCACAGAAACGGGATGCTCCGCTGGATCGCCATGCGTCTGGATTGGCCCCCCTGAGTAACAGAGATACACTCTCCTGCACCTGTGGCTTGCCCTTCTCTTCCCACTCCGGGGAATGACAGCGGACTTTCCTTTGTTCCATTTCCTTTCTTGCGCACGGTAATCTCGGTTCCGGATACCGGGTTGGCAGCTTCGGAATCTAGATCCAGTTGTCTCAGTTGTTTGTCCATTATAGTCTGTTCGCAATATGCTGACATCTAGCTACGGCGCCCGATTCGGGCGCCGTGGTGTGCTTCTACAGTGACCAAACAGGATATCGAAGAGCATTTTAGCACCCATGGTTCCGGGAAAATCACAGAGATCAAACTCATGAATGGCTTCGGCTTTATCGAATATGAGGATGCAATGGATGCCAGAGATGTCGTTCCAGGTAAGGCTCCCCACTTTCCTGCGCTCTGTCGCGTTGCGCATGCTCATGTACTGACGGCCATTTAGCTTTCCGTATGTCTTGACATCAAATTGTATTCGAGGGACTTTCATATTGACTCACTTCCTCTGCAGACGGCAGTGATTTCAAAGGCGAGCGTCTCACCGTGCAATTTGCCCGTGGACCGCGCCGTAAGGAGAACTTCCCTGGCCCAATGGACCGTCCTAACATGCCACGCCCGCGTCGCACGATCTTTCGCATGTTGGTTTCTGGACTCCCGGAAACAAGTTGGCAGGTTAGCAGCCCAAGTCCCCTTTTCTCAGGATCCACCGGACGTCTTGCACCTCGGCCGATATGTGTTCCTTGGTTTGTTCTTTTCTTGTCTATTTTTGCGTGTCTCCACATCCCACGGTCCAAGGAAATTATGGCGACCATGATCGGCTCCTCTTGATGTACGGGTCGTCACAAACCACCTCCGGACCCCTTAAAGTGAAAGGAAGGCTGGATGGCTACCTCCCATTATCGAGCTCAGCTCTGAGAGTTGGGAACCGAAGCTGGACGACCCTATCCAGGATGGAAATCCCTGCGGCCATAGGATACCTTTCGCCGACGACCGTTTCATCTTTTCTTTTGGTTCATTCCCTGGCCTGCATTTCTCCGTGTTCTGTTCTTCTACTTTTGACACCTGGAAACACCGGACACCAATCTTTCACCTGGAAATGGACTCACACCATGGGACTATCTAGGATCTCAAAGACTTTGCACGCCAGTCTGGCCTGGACGTGGTTTATTCTGAAACCGGCCGTGAGCTCGGCAGAGGGTGGGTTAATCCCTTAACTTCCTAATCGGTCTAGCAGGTCTAGTTAACACATAGACCAAGGTTCGTTGAGTTCGAGACCGCCAACGATTTGAAGACAGCCATCGAGAAGCTGGATGGACGCGAATTCAAAGGTTCTCGCGTAACCTGCATTGCGGATGTAAGCACTTCTGGCACTTGAAGACCCGAGCGGAACGAGATCCTCATATACTGTCCCAGATCCAACCCCATCCGGAGGAACGTGCTGTCCGTGATCCATACCGGTCTCGGTCCCCGCGTCGGAGCTACCCCCCTATGGAAGAATACGACCGTCGGTTCCCTGCCCCGCGTGGTTACAGTCCCCGGGCTCACTATCGGGAACGGTCCCCCGTGCCGATCCGAAGGGACTACTACGAGCGGGATGGATATGGCCGCCGTAGTCCTCCCCGTCCTCGGATGGAAGACTACCCTCCGCCGCGTCGTCCCTATGAGGACCCGTATGATGTCCGACCCCCGCCGCCTCCTCGCCATTATGAGGACCCATACGCACCCCCCAGGCCTTATGGACGTCCTCGGAGCCCACCCCGGGGCGAATACATGCCTTACGACCGCCGCGGTTACTGGTAGTCGCCTGTAATTAGTTGATTGGTTGTTTTCCACTCAGCGCATGGCGGATACCCAATGTGCTTGCGTTCCCTTTGTACTCATGTGAATTTGTTCCCTATCCTGGCCATCCGGGGATGATTCGACTTACCCGACGCGAACTCACCATCTGGACCAAGACGGGCGAAAATACTATGCGTGTGTCGGGTTGAAACAGAAACGGAAACGGAAACGGAAGGACACTGGTGCTTACTTATCCCACTTGACGAGACCATGATTTGCTAGTTCCGCTGGTCCCGGGCTCCGACTGGAAGGTTTCCCGTGGTTCCAAAGCAGGCATCTGTGGACTGCACAAACCAACCGACGAGGCGCTCAGCGGATGTGGATGGTTCTGGCCTTTTCAACGTCCCCCACGATGTCGATCTTTTCTCCCTCCGGGATATTGTGTATATTGGATCAACTAAAATCTATTCCCACGTCTATTTATCGTGGAAGGACCATAGCTACCTTGTAAATGATAGGATGCCCAACCTCTAGGGAGCGATTGATAGTGTTTGGCATCGATAGGGATGGAAGGGATGCTTTGTACTGCTGACCGGCGTGGGGCCGCCCAGCTCCCCGCGCTAAGCCAAACCCCGCCATCGTCTCGTCATCCGTTCTCGAGCAAAATTTCCACCCACAGCTGGTCGTTGCGCAAAGGTTCTCGACCCCGTGGCATTGGATCCAAAGCCCAAAGTCCCATTGATCAATGCGCTTGTGTCATTAAACAGCTTGCAGTGTCCGGTCGGTGCTACGAAAGTTGCCTCTATTCTCCAACGCTACTGGTTGACGTCACTCCTGTTAGCTGTAGCTTGCTCCCCAGCAGCTTAATCTCAGCTTTCCTTCAGCTCCTCCCGGCAGTCTCCCATCCCCAGCCACCATGGCCGACCAACGCGTCAATGTCCACATCCCCTCCCATCCCCCGGTGCTTGATAGCGTGCGCCTGCGCAACATCCAGCTGCCCCTCCCGGCTGCCCCGGACCCATGGCATCGTCCCGGCAAATCGCAGCCCTGCACCGCATCGCTGAAGCTCTCCTACTCATCTGCCGTTGCAGCAGCCATTGCTGACGATGTTTCCCTCTCTTTGGACTACGGCAAGCTCTACCGTCGCCTCGAGGAGGATATCCGCAACATGGGGAAGCATGCCGAGAACCCGGGACACCGAATGATTAGTGTTGATGGCAGCCGCCGGGATGAGATGATGCGGAGCGATCTCGGAGAGGACGTGCGACTGACGGCTGGAATTGTTGCCAACTGTGGTCTGGGGCTTTTGGACGAGACCGCCGCGGGGGTCCGAAGGATGTCGCACGTGCACAACACCCAGAGACGAAGCAGTGCGTCGGCGAGCTCCCAGGCACAGGCACAGGCGGCTATCTTTAGCCCTTCGTCTTCCCCCGCAATTGACGGGGTCTTTGGCCAATGCGAGGTGTCCTTGCACCTTCCCAAGGCACTGCTACGTGCAGATGAAGGCCTCAAGTACCGCAGCGTGACAGTGTGGGGATACAGACAGGGCAACGAAGCGATTTTGGAGAACCTGGGGGAGTCGGAGCGGTGCCCTGTGGTGCTGGAAGAGGAGTTCCGCATTGATGGGATCCGGTGCTACTGTATTTTGGGGGTCAATTCGCACGAGAGAGTGGAAAAGCAGGCGGTCATTGTCTCCCTAGAGTTCAAGGGACCCGGGCAGCTGCCGTGGGGGTCTACGGTGGTCAACACATACCAAGCGATGACACGGGCTGTCGCAGAGGTAGGTTATTCCTGGTATTCGTGTTTCTGTTTGAGAAAGCATGGCTAATCCGGTTTCGCATCATCTAGCGAGTTGAGGCCACCTCGTACCAGACTGTCGAGGCACTCGCGACGTTCATCGCTCGCATCGTCACGGTGGAATTCGGCAACGAACGGGTGACGGTGAGAGTCGAGAAGCCCAGCGCAATGGCCTTTGTGGAGGGATCGGGGGTGGAAATCACCCGGTCGCAGGCGTTCTTCGAGGGCCGAGATGCATGAGCCATGAGGCAACACGCAGGGTTCCATCGGAGTAGTGTGTTTAACCCGGTGGAGTATAGCCCGCCGGGTGCTGATTAGTGCACCGTCGGTAGTTCTACATATCTCATATCTAGTACTTAGTAGTCAGTACATGCCATGTCGGAATATTGTAACCACCTGGGGACTCTGATTTCCTTTACCCTTCGTCTGCCCAGCCCAGCCCAGTTTCTCCAGCCAGCCCAATGAGCATCATCATCATCAGGTGCATCCATCCAATGACCGGAACACGTGAAGTCATCCTGCCTGACCCGGTCTAGCGTCGCTTAGCACCGGCGCCTGCTGATTGGCCCGCGGGCCGGGAAAAAACAGCGCGGAGGCCGGGCAGCATCATTCACCTCGGCGGCATTTCTTCTTTTCCCCCCCTCTTTAAAGGGATCAACACCCGGCTTCACCCTCGCTGTGCCTCTTGTGCCGTCTTTTTGGACATTCATCCATCCATCGTCTGGTTCATTGCCTCATTGTCGCTCCTCTATGTGCCTGTCTGCGCTGCCCACGCTTTCGTCGTCCGTTCTTCTCCGCTCCGCTGGCTGCCTTACTCCCGGCTCTCGTTCGCTGATCTTCGACTCGAATTTTGCATCGCCGACGTCTCTCTATACTTCCCCCTCGACTGGCTCCCAGGCCGTGTCGTCCGTTCGTTCTACTACTTCTGACGACAAGGTGATCTGGCTTAGGGTCCATGGTCCGTCCTGAACAAGGGCGGACGGTAAATTGGTGCTATACCCGAGGGATTTTTCAGGCCTCCAGGTAGCTTTCCCTGCTGGGCAGGTGGCCATCTCGGGTTGTGTGCTAGATACGAAGTGTACGTTGGTCCAATAAGTCCTTGGCCCCTTGCTTGAGGTTTAGTGCTTGTTGTGGATACCCCGCCCTGGTGCATGTGTTTGTGTGTGCGGGCGTGAGGAAACGAGAGCTAATTTCTTCCGTGTGTTATTAGATTTACAGCAAGGTCTCAACAAGTCTAGTGCCTCTTGTTGTCGATGCCTGGGTGCATTTGATCGCCCTTGGCTTACGCATCGTGCTGTTGCCGTTCGCTGCTGGATAGTGCTCAGCCAAATACGAGGGGAGAATTCTGACATTTAACTTAACAATGGATTCCTCAGCCACTACCGGTCAGGACGACATTTGTGTCGGGGATGTGTTTAGCCCTCAAGCCGACATGTCGCATTCCAACAAAGAGATCATTATGGGCGACACTCCCGAAGCCGGCTTTCGCATGAGCGCCCGCAGTCCCCAGCGTCAGCAGGCTCCGATGATCAAGGGGACTGGGGCCCACGGAGTCAATCCTTTCCCGGCGCCGGAGTTGAACGCGCACCCGCTCGTCGCCAAGGCCGACCGACGGAAGAAGAAGAAAAAGCAGGCGGTCCACCAGGTAGCTCCGGCCCTTTCCACTGTGCGTGGGTTCACCCCTCGCGGCTCCGGTGATGAAGACTCGGATCTATCGGCGGCCAGTTCTCGTGCTCCCAGCTCGCATCCGCGCGCCCGTGCGGGGACTAATGGGGGCAGTCCGATGGTTCAGCCAGCGGCCGGCTGCGGGGTGAGCGCCCTTAAACTTCAGCTTGATTCAATGAACCTGTCAGGCAATGGGTCTCGAGCTGGCCCTACGGAGCTCTGCGCTGAGACCCCTAGCAACGCCAGTGTTTGCTCCGATAGCGACCAGACCGAAGTCTTGACCAGCTACGAGGTGCCCTTGGAGCACGACTATGTCAGCGCGGATGCCGCCGCAGAGGAAAACTCGCAGAACACGTCGAGTGTGCGGGATATGCGCACCCAGCTGTGCCGGAAGATGACCACCGATGACTTTGAGCCTCTGCTTTGTCTGGGTAAAGGGTCGTTTGGGACTGTGTTGCTGGTCCGTCATGTACTCACGGGGAAGTTGTATGCGCAGAAACAGTTTCGCAAGGCGTCGCTTACCGTCCACAAGAAACTCGTGGAGCAAACCAAGACGGAGCGTATGATTCTGGAGAGCGTCAACCGCCACCCGTTCGTGGTCAAACTGTTTTATGCGTTCCAAGATCACGAGAAGCTGTATCTTATTCTGGAATATGCGCAGGGTGGGGAGTTGTTCACGCACCTTGCCTTGGAACGCATGTTCGACGAGGATGCGGCCGCGTTCTACATGGCGGAGATGGTGCTTGCGCTCGAACATCTCCACCAAAATGTGGGAGTCATCTACCGCGACCTGAAGCCAGAGAACTGCCTGCTGGACCACGAGGGTCATCTGCTGCTGACCGACTTTGGACTCAGTAAAATTGCCCTCAACGATGACGATCGCTGCAACTCCTCGCTAGGCACAATTGAGTACATGGCCCCGGAGGTCGTCCAAGGAAAGCCGTATGGGAAAGCATGTGACTGGTGGTCGCTGGGTGCCCTGGGCTATGACCTGCTCACGGGATCCCCTCCGTTCAAAGCCAATAATAATGCCAAGCTGCAGGAAAAGATTGTGAAGCAGAAGCTGACCTTGCCCTATTTCCTGGGACCCGATGCCAAGGACCTGTTGATCCGGCTGCTCCGCAAGGAACCCTCGAAGCGACTAGGGTACCACATGGCCAAGGACCTGCAAACAATCAAGAACCACCGCTTCTTCCGCAAGATCGACTGGAAGGCTTTGGAGCGCCGTGAGGTGGCGCCTCCGATCAACCCGGTGGTGACAGATCCAGCCTTGGCCGAGAACTTTTCGGTAGATTTCACGCAGTTGCCACTGAGTCCGATTGTACACGCATTCGACGAGCACTACGCGGCTAACCAGGGAAGCTTGCGGACAGGCCACACCGATGGAATGGGGGAGAGTGACTTGTTTGGAGGGTTCAGCTTTGTGGCGTCGAGCAGTTTGCTGGACAATGGGATGATTGGGGTGTAAATCGCTGCATATTCAGTTCACGAATTGAACGTGCTTATGCTCTGTGTATATTCTTCGGGACTGCAGTGCTGTAGCGCCAACACCGATCTTGCTTTTATTCTTGTACATTGAGGGCATCCGCGTCTGCGGCGTCGAGAAGTCCCGGGCCGGTCCCGGCCTCAGGCAGATAGACATACCGCACAAACCAATCCACTGTAGCAAACATTGACTGGCCATTGCCATCGCCATCTCTCCCATCACTTCGCCTGCGTTCACTCTTATTGCGTATGCCATGCACCTGAATGGCTTCTGGTCAAGCTTCAACGCGGACACTCTCTACAACTTAAGCCCGAGACGCGCCTGCAATGGCATAGGTATGTCGATGTGTGGGCTAGGCTGAGGGTTGAGGCAACGGCTTACGGTGACACGAGATGCAGCGCAGCGATCTATACTCGAAAGTCTATCTCCATCTCCAAAAGGACCACCCTAACCTCGGATTCGGACTTGGACTTGGCCCCTCCGCTGATTCAGCGTTGACGGTCTTCGGATTGGACCAGCCAGTGCCGATCAACCGCTCAGGCGTCACTCGCCAGTCACAATGCTGTCTCTGCTCCGCAGTAAATCGGGCATAATTCCAATATGATGACGAGAACGACCAGAATGACATCAGGATCAGGACCGAATGCGTCCCTTTATGCAGTCCTCGCCTCCTAATGGCCCCGGGCAGCATCCAGCCCGATGCAGACTGGGCACACCGGGACATCCATGGAAAGACAACGGCCCCTGGTGAGATCAACCGATCTATTTAACTTTAATCGTGATAATGGTTCTTCCTTTGCGGCGCACCACATTTGCCTCGGACCTTCAAATGCCAACGGGTCCCTCTGATCGACTGCGTGCCTGTCATTTTCCTCCTCGTGCATCCATCTTGCCCCGGTCATTCCTTATCGCATCCCTTGCCTCGTTGCTTTTTTTCTCGCCATTCCTTTAACAATTCTTTCCTTCCACCATCCCCTATGCCCACGTGGATCATTTGAAGCCAAGTGAACAGCTTCAGGCCATCATGGCCGAACAGACCGCGCAGGAATCCCCGGCCTGGTCGGATTCGGATAGTGCGCCCTCTGTCGTCGAGAAGAAACGCCGCTTACCCCCCTTTCTGAACCATTTCAATGGCCGCGATCTCAAGATCTTCTTCCGATGCTGGGTCGCCGTCTGGGTGGCTTGTCTGTTGATCTTCATCCATCCCTCGCTGGAAAGCATCGGCACCGCAACGTTCTTTGCCGCGTATGCACTTGCCCCAATTCAGATTTATTTTAATATGCTGAGTATGAGATAGACTTGTTTTGATGTTCTTGCCCCCATCCGGGGTCGTCTTCATCTACCTTCTGGGCGCGTTGTCCCTGTTTATTGGTATCTGTCTGGCTTGGGCATGGGGCGTCATCACCATGAAGGCTGCCCAAGCGGCCAGGCCAGCGGCCGAGACGCAGGCCAAAGTGGCCTCGCTGCAGCAATTAGCCGTTTCGCAGGCTCAAAATTCGACGTATACCCCGACCGAAATAGCGCAGCGATTGGTTTATGATGGATACATGCTGGATGCGCGCGTCACCGCCGTCACGTTCTGTCTCATCTGCACCTTTGTCTATTTCATGGTTGGTAATTCTCCGAGCCCCGTAGCGGATCATACTGAATCATTAGGCGCGTCTCCGAGCCAGTAATCCCAAAGCTGCTTTGACATCAGTCTTTGGGATCATCATCTCCGACCTGTTTCTCAATTACACTCCCCTTTTGCCCTCATTCTCCGGCACTCTGCCCCTCACTCTCGTCAAACCCGCCGCCATCGGAGTCGGACTTGGCCTGGCATGCTCGGTACTCTTCTTCCCTCAGTCGACGTCGCACGTGGTCTTGGATAACATGGAGGATATCGTCCGACTTCTCCAACCGCCCCTGGCTATCACAGCAAACACCCTCGGCAAGGAGGAACAACCGGACCCGGGCCAGCTGCGTGTGACACAGGCACAAATCATCCAGAAGTATCGAGGCATGTTGCCTGCGTTGGCATTCTTGCCTCTCGACTTTTCCGTTGGGTGCTGGGGGGCGGAGGATGTTGCGTCATTCCAGGGCCCTTTGCGAGACGCCCTGGTTGCGGTTTTGGCGCTTTTGGATTTCAACATTGCCCGCATTGCGGGCCAGGCTCGTTCTGAGGACATTCTGCGTAAGTATGTCGATCAGAAAGTTGCAGACGGGGAGGAAAAGCCCACGCGCGAGGTCGGCGCGCATCAGCTCACTCAGCTTGCTGAGCTACTGAATGGGTTCCGCAGCCCGGATAGCCAACCGCTGCGCAAGGAGGTCGTCCAGGAGCTGGTCCGGACAAGCGCAGCGGCCATTGATGCCTGCACGGAAGGGCTGGGCGTTGTTCAAGAGTGTATTCACCTTGTGAACTGTCGACGTTGGTTCCGACAGCCATCCCAGGCTGAACGCGAGCGGCTGCAGCAACGCAGTGACAGTGCACTTGAAACCCTGCGCAAGGCGCGTTCCGCCTTTATCAATGACATGAGTGAGATCCTGATCGGGGAGCATGACCAACGGATGGCGGATCAGGCCCAGCAGTTTCGGCCGCTCATGTTCGTTCTGGTATTCGAGGAGCATATCTCCAACACCGTGGAGAAGACCGAGGCCCTGCTCGCGCGGGTATCCACAGTCTTTCAAGGATCCACCAGAGTCCGCATCTACTTGCCAACACGACTCCGATACGCCGCTTCCTGGGCATCCGCTAAGGAGGTCAAAGCTCCGGGGTCGCAGACGACCGAAGACGATCCTGATAGCGTCAGTGTCGACGACGTAGCCAAATCTGCGCAAGAGAAGCTGCGTGCCACCCGCGGATACCGCACTAAGCAACGCCATCCGTTCAGTCGAGCTGTCCTCGGAATCTATCACTGGTTCACATGCGACCAGGGCCTATACGCCCTGCGGATGGTCGTGGTCACGATTGCCCTGGGCATCCCCGGCGTGATTCCTCACAGTGCGAGCTTTTACTACCGTGAAAAGGGGCTTTGGGCGCTGATCATGGGGCAGACGGGGTTGCTCGTGTACATGGCGGATTTTGCGTTCGCCCTGATGGCGAGGGTCATTGGGACCGTGATTGGGGGAGTTTTAGGGCTGCTGGCGTGGTACATCGGGTCCGCAAATGGACCGGGCAATCCGTATGGGTTGGCGGCCATCACCGCCGTGGTGCTGGCGATTCTCGTCTGGGTGCGACTGTATTTGCACCCGAGCATGATGCAGGGCGGAATCATCGGGGCAGCTACATTTCTGCTGGTGATCGCGTATAGCTACGATGATACGTGAGTTCAACACCCTCGACGAGTTACCGATCACTAACAGTCTATAGACATATTCCCCAGTATGGCAACCCGGGAGTCGGCTACAGCGTCTTCTGGAGACGGCTCGTGCTGGTGCTGGTAGGCGTCGCCGCGTCGGCCATCCTGCAGCTCCTCCCACGCCCTCCTTCCGCATCTCGTCATGTCTGCAAGACACTCTCCCGCACCGTGCGAACGCTGTCTACTCACTACGCACTCCTTCTCTCAGTCTGGGCACAAGGGTCCAGCGAGGGCAAAGCGCTCGCCGAACCATTGTCCCTGCAGTTGGCCGAATCCCTGGTCGCCCTCGAGGGACCCATCAAGCTACTCAAGTTCGAGTTCTCCAGCTCCCGCTTCGACAGCGAATCGCTAGGCAGGGTGAACACCCTCTGCCGCAGCCTGAACCGACAACTCGCTCGACTCCTGCTTCTATCTTCGTCCCTCTCGCCAGAGTTCCAGGAACAGCTGGCGCGACAGACAGGGCTCCTGGACCACCGACTAATCGGACAGGTCATGGCGGTGATGGGGATTTGCGAGCAGGCGCTGAAAACGGGCGATGCACTGCCGGAGATTCTCCCGACACCGTTGTTCAAGCAGGCGGTGGACCAGTGGTCGCGGGGGCGACGGGGGGAACTGATCTCGGGGGAAATGATGCGGGACGAGGGATATCGCAAGTTCTGTGTGGCGGCCAGCGCATACTTTGGGTTCTTGCTGACGGTGGATGAGCTGGTTCTGGTAGTAAAGGGAGTGTTGGGAGAGGCTCATTTAGTGGGTAGAGAGGGGAAATGGCTATTGGGAGATGTCGAGGATGGAGTGGCGACGAGTACGGAGGAATAGAGTAGATGCTACTGCATAGACAGCATAGATATAATAATTATATGGTGAGCATATATCCGCCTTTTACATTGGAAATGCTATTCTTTCTATACATTACCAGAACCCTTATATAACCAGCCCGAACGACCCTGAGAGTATCCATGACAATTTCCTTCATCTTTTCCCGTCAACAAGACCCAACCCCATCCTCTATACAACTATATCCAGGCAGTGAGTATCATCCATGTCGCTATTTCAAATTCATTTCGCTATAGTTTATAGTATACACTCAGACTACACACAAACCCCATTTAACTCAAGACCAAGAAAAATCCCAAACATCAGCAAAGAACACCACCATCTCATCACATACATGAAACCATCCAACTCATATTATCAAAAGTGAAATGGGCAACAACTGACACATCCCCTCTCGCAACCAGACCACAGACCATAACTACAAACAACCCCATACTACAAAAGGTCAACAACACCCAATATCTAATTATAATAATGACATTTGGAACCCCCACCCCGGTGGGGTTTCAATCCAAACAAACCTTGACATAGAAAACTAAGTCCCTTGTCTTCAATCTAGTTAGTAAAGTAAAGTAAAGTAAGTAAAGTAATCTGAATCCACAATTCCAAATTTCAATTACATTTTTTCCTTTTTGAATTACCTACCTACCTAACGCTACTATCACTCAATCAAGAAATCAAAGCAAACATTTTAATCGATCCCACTACTCCTCCTCCAAATAAATAAATAAATACACACTCTCAACCACCCCATGTCACATGTCACATTAGATGATAGATCACTTACTAGTTACTTTATCTCGCATACTAACACCGTTATTTACTTCTTTCCAAACAGGAAAGTACTACTTCTTTTGAAGACTCTTATTTGCCTTTTCTTACAAGAGTGGTGGGTGTTGTTTGGCATTCATTCATTGGTTATATAGAGTATTCTATATTTCATATCTATATGCAATTGATGCACAGGTACTTTATTACTTTATTAGGAGTCGTTGAGGGGAGGGAGGATATGATATGATGATTTGAGTATATGATGTATGCAGTAGGATTGATCTAAAGTGGTAATTCTATATCTAGTAGCTAGTAGTTAGTTGTGTATGGATTAGATACCGCGACCATCATGATGGTGGTCGTCGTGGATGCTAGTAGTTGATTTGATGGGGATGGTTCGTACTAAAGCTTTGTCGTTTATATAGTATACTCTGGGGTTATATTACTGGCTGGAGTAGTCGGTATATAATCAATAAACCCAGTAAGCAGTGTGTAGTAGTAGTTTATGCCTCAGAAGAAATGGCTTGCAGCATTCAGTATACACTACAATCTATATCTAGCTAGAGGGATTATACTGATTATAACTGTCGGCATCAATTAATCTAATATAGACACAGAACTAATATGATATACAAGACATTCATGAATCATAACGCTACCTGATTATAATTAAGAATAGGTTGCTAATGGATAATCATCCAACACCCTCCCGTCACACAGCACGACATCCAGTGGTAGAATCATAGGAGCGGTGGTGGAGAATGGTCCTCAAGAGGAACCAACCTAGGGACAAAGGTATAACAGGTCCAGAGTATCCCGAGAGGGTCGGGTTCTCCTCCCCATAGCAAACGAATCAACAAATCCAGGTACGTGGTCGGGAAGATGCCTCCGTCAACATCCATAATCCCGCGTCCCCTCATGGAGTATGCTCTCAACCCAAAACACCTCCACTGAGCATTCCAGGTCTCCGGTGAGACCGATACAAAGGTTCATCATAACCCTCTGTCTATATGCCAATGCAATGGTCATTAAAAGCATTGAATCCTTGAAACACAGCGAGTGAGTGCAACAAGTCGGGCGCCTCAATTCACTTTTCATTGGGTCCCAATCCCAGGCGCCAGTTGTGTGAGCGATCGACACGAATAAAAATATGTACCTGGCCGAGCAAAGGAAATGAAGATAAAGGCTCGACCAGCGGAGAATAGCGAAAGACTAAAGTAGGAGTAAACGAGTGTGGTCGTCCTGGGTCAGCAGGCGAAATTCATCAAGCGAACGTCTCAGCGGGCTGCAGTCGTCGCAGGACTGAGCCCGGTATTAATATTATCGACGGAGCTTCGGGGTCGGGCTGAGGATCGTGCGGCAACGCAGCCCGGATAAGTGCGGTATGATGTACAGTAGGTCAAGAGGAGAGGTAAAACAAGCAGTATCCAGGGTGACCAATCCAAAACGGAGATCGAAACCATCCGACCTGGTCTGCGAAGAAAAGCAGTATTAAAGATATATGTGTCGAAATCTGCTCAATGCAATAAACCCAGCATGTCGTCAAATGTGCTAACGCCGTTCGTAAATAGATGCAAGAAGTGGATGCTGTATATGCAGTGAAGTCGGTGCAAGGTGGGCGGTTCAGGAACTGATCATATGTCTGCCGGACTCGACATCGACGATGGGCGAAGCCAGGGACTCGCCCTCCCAGGTGTAGTGGTCGTCAACCGGGCTCAAGGAGCCGGAAGAGACGGAGGAGGATGATCCAACCGTCCACTCATCGCTGTCGAGGTTGAAGTCGCCATCGTAGGCCAAGTCGTAGCCATATTCACGCGAGGAATCGCCAATCTCCACATAGTCGTAGTCCCAGCGGAACGTCTTGTCGCTCTGCACGCGGGGGAGGAATCGGGTCTTGGCGAAGTAGAAGGCGACGGTCGCCAAGAGACCACCACCGACCAAATCCACTGCATAGTGGTGCGACAGGTACATGGTTGCCCACCACATCCAAAGGGTGTAGGTGACGAACAAAGGCTTCAACCGGGGGAAGACGTGGCTCATGAACAAAGCGGCCAGCGTCGAATCCGCGGCGTGAAGAGAAGGGAAGGCCCCGAACACGACGGGTGACTGCCGGAAGCCCGAGGTGTACAGATCGATGCCAAAGAGCTTGTCAATGCGAGCGAGGCCCGCAGGGTTACCCGGCATGGAGTAGTCGGCCGGTGCCAGGCCGTACAGGTTCTCGTACCACGGAGGGGAGCAGGGGAAAAACAGCTGGATGGTGACGGCAGTCATGCTGATGTAACCGAAAGTCCGTGCGAAGAGAGGAACCGTGCCGGGAGGACCGAAGATGAACATGATGCCGGAGCAGACAAATGGCGCGCCGTAGTGGCAGATGCCGTAGGGCAGCCACGCCAGCACGTCCAAGACAACGTTCTGATGAGCAGACAGAATGTTGCTGATATTGGCTCCGTAGAGGATGTTTTCCAGGGCCGGAAGCACGCGGACCCAGATGGCGGGGCGCCAATCGCTGGGGACGAATCTAATTCCAAGAGTGTGAGTGACGTGCAATCCGGGGGTTCCGGGTCAAGGCGTGGTTCACTTACTGGCAAGCATAGAAGAAGATAAGCCATCCCGCAATCGGAAGAAACGGCAAGAAGAATTGGCGGGTGATCGGGAGTAGAAGAGAAAGGAGGAGCATCGTGAACATGGCCGTCTTCGCCAGAGGTCCGGGAGATCCCATCACGCTGAGGGAAAAGATCCCGATAATCAACAGAAGCAGGTATTGGAAGTCATAGAGCGTCCAACGATGGCTCTGAAGCGATCGGAGCGTATCCATGGGCGAAAATGAAGTCTGCAGAGACGATATCGAGGACGTCGGAGAAAGCCTGCTGCGCAGCTTGGAGCGAATCTTCCGTCGCATGCGATGCGGAACCAGAAGCTGAATCGACCGCCATGGTACCTGAATTTGGAGCTTGCCGAACTGGTTTTGCGTGCGATCCTTCCATGAGGGAAGGGAGGTATTCATCTCGGCGGCTAGTCTCGCAGGAGACTCCGTAGAATCGTGTGTTCAGGAAGAGTCCCAGCAACACCGGCGAAGTTGAAAAAGGGAAGAATTGTCGCCAGAATGGGGTCGAGGAAGTCAAAGAAAACGCCAGGCGGAGTCGGCGGAAAGGGGGATTCTGGGCGTCAACGTGACAGGCCGTGAAAGGGGCGGCGTCTGGAACAAAACGTTTCGATCGCTGGCTGGCTCAAGCCGGCAGGTGTGTTGCAAGGCGGAGAAATACCAGATTGGGGATCCAGTAATGAAGTGGAAGCGCAGGCTCCGGTCTCCAGCGGCCAAACGAGGATATTCGGGGGGGTCACGTTGCAAGGGTCTCTCTGACGCAAGGCGGACAGGACAGTAAGGGCGCGAGAGGAAACCAAGAACGAGGAGAGGTCGCGAGGGGGCGCAGATGGCCACGGAGCCGGAGGGCCGGGGGGATGGAGGAAGGAGGAGGTTGAGGTTGAGGTTGAGGTTGAGGTTGAGGCGGAGGAACTGGAGGAAAGAAAAAAAGAAGAAGAGAAGAAGAGGTGAAGGAAACAATGGAATATGAGGATTTTGCAGGTGCTTGGATCAGCCCGAGAGCGACGGGGCGACGGACGGCGGCGGGTACGGCTTACGGGGCCTGACTGGATCCCCGTACTCGTATTACCCGTTTGGCCCCGTATCATGTCGTCACTGCCATCCCGAATCAGGGTCGTCCGGGTAAGACCGCTAAGCCTCTTTGGGGCTAGCTGGCATCGGCAGTGCCTCGGTGCGCTGGACACGCTTGATCCGAGGTGCCTGAGGGAACCAAGGTCCTGCCATCAATTTGCAGAAATTTTCTTCATGGTCGGGCAACGGAGTCCGCAACAACCGAACTGCGGGTGCGTTGAGGCTAGAAAGCAGCCGCCCAGACATCTGCCCAGATATCTGCCCAGTAAGGCATATCAATGTTATGTAAACGCTGGCGACTTGGTCGACGGATGAGCCGGGAATACCACTGCGGAGAGATATAGACTACGGAAGTTGGCAGACCCCGAGCAGCAGAACCCCTCTCTTTCCGAAGTGACCTATGAGACATGCTTGCTGCTGACACGCAGTCAAGGGAAACTACCTACCTACATTGTAGGAAAACGGCATAAGCAGGAAAAACAAATCAAATCTCCAAAGATGCGCCCAATTCAGTCCGTCCAAGCAATTCATTGGGTTGTGGACTGCCCCTGATGATTGGCCGTCTTGGCCCCTCCAGTCAGCCTCCGCAGCCAATTGGAAGCGGTGGATCTCCAGAACCAATTTCGCTTAACCCACAACGGTCTCAGTCAGCATCGGCCGGCCAAAGAAATCGCCGATTTCCCTGCAGCCAAGCCCCGCTGTCCCTGAATAGTGTGGTTGGTCACAATTTCCTCCTGCGCATTATCAAACCTCCTCCTTCTCCTCTCGCCTTGCGGAAGCTAGGCACGATCGGGCCCGGCATCGATAGGACGTGATGCGAAGCTTGCAAGGCTTGTACATTGCCGGAATAGCCGTGAAGCATTTAAACCACCATCGGGGTTGAAGACTGAAGACACCCCGGATCTGAATCGGAAATCTAACTTCCGGATCCCGTGCCTAGTTTGGACTCGAATATTTGAAGGACTGTGTAGGTAGTAACTAAATATCTGCACCGTACCACCTTTGGCAAGCAGCTCGGACAATAGCCGCGTGCCCAGACGGACTGATATTTGCTATACAGCGATCAGCCAACAGCTACTTGGTTGGGATTGACCACTGGCGGCCGTCGAGTCAAAGTCTAACAAGGTTAGTGTCCCAACCAGCCTTCGTCTTTAACACGAAACGGGCCTGCGCCTGTCATATGCCCGACCAACGCTCGAGACATCTCGACTCATTAAGCTGAGGGAGAGGGGGACAGGGACCACGCATGCCCCTCATCTGCTAGCTCAAGGGACACGGATGTATAAGCAATCCTCCGTCGGCTATCCCTTGTTCTTTTTAGGAGGTGACAGTTAGGGTCAAGGATAGGCAGTGATGTGCAGGTCTATAGGAGTCTAAGTAGCAGTCTAGTCGAGAATGATGGATGGTATTGGGCACACGAGAGACGTGGAAGCGCCGGCCAATATTACGGTCCGGTATGGTTACCCTCCGTACCATACCGAGGGAGGGCCCGGGCCATACACAGATACCTCTGGATGGTGGGAAGATCACGGCAACCCGCGCCGGACAAAGTGATCAGAATGCATCCGAGTAATGCATGGCAGCTGACCAGTTTCATCTGGTGTTGTGTCTCTGTCAGTACTACCTACATAGGTAGGTAGGTAGCGTAATGTTGGGACCGAATCGATAAATTATGGTTTCAGAAAGCGGCGTCATCACAGCTTTGGCCCCAAATTAATCGTGATAGATAGCCTCATTAAGCCCGCTGAATCAGCATCAGACGATAACTATCACTAGTTACTAGTGTACTAGTTTATAATCTGGAGCTGGTTACGAGAGACACGGGTCCCAAAACTCAGCGTGGCACAGCTTTTTCTTACGAATCAATCGGGCAGTGCTTTCAATAGTGGCTGATAGAGTCGTGCTGGATTGATGGGGTTAAGATTAAAGGACGACGAAGGAATGTCGCGGTGAATCCCAGCCTCATAGGCAGCAAGCTATTACCGCTTGGCATGGCATACTGGAAGCTGTACTCCGTAGTGAGTTGTCAGACTCATCTAAGTTACTAAGATCAGTATTTGATGCGAACCCCTAATCCAGGGATTCTCGAAGCCCGCTCGCTCGTATTCGTCTTGCTCCGGGATGATGGAGTTTACGGTTGCCTGGCCGTGAGTGGATCGGCAGGAGCTGAGCTTGGGCCAGAACAACGCGACCATCACCGCCGAGCCGTGGCTTGGACCAGATCATCATCAGGATGACTGTCTACTACAGAGTTATAGTAGATAAATAGATAGATAGATACATGGTCGATAGGAGAGCCACTTCGTACTGACACAAAGGCAAGAAAAGAAAAACCCCCCGAGGCAGCCGGGTCCCCGCTTCAGTTGCATCATGAACATGGGGTTACCACGTCGTATACATCATAGGACATCATGGAAGCCGAGACAACCGTGGGCGGAGTTCCAGCCCATCAGCCACATTTGTTCAAACTGGTTCTTTCAACTGCAACTGACATCAGGTAGATGCTTACTTACATTTTTACATACCATGATACAAAATCATACAATCTATGATAGTATTCATGATGATGTGTTGACCGCCGTGGCTGCAGGGCGGCAGGGCCCCATCCCATCACCTGATGCTCTGGCCCTCGTGCCATCAAGGCACGAATCAGCTCCCATGATCATCTGCACGATGGTCAGGGCATGAGGTCATGCCGCATGCCATGAGCATACCACACGCCCTGTCTGCCTTTCTTTTAACTCGGAGCTCGGGATCGTCTTGATCGCCTCGATCGCCTCTAGGATTAGTGCGGATGGAATAATCTGCGATAGTGATGAACTCAATAACACCATCCAGATAGCAGAATTATACTATTTGGATACATGTGAGCTACAACCGCTATACCCGACAACACAAGCAAACTACTTACAGAGTACATACTACACTAGTATCCACCCACATAACCAAAAGTTAGATTCAACTCAAGGCACTCACAACTACTACCTACTTACCTAGCTAGCAGTACCTACAAGGCATCCCCAATCAACAATCTTCACATCCAATCCAGCCCAGCCCTGCACTCCCACCCCCACCAGATTCACAACGCGGCTCGCATACTACATATTAAAAACAAGTATAGACCACAGCACAGCCCCCTCACAAAACACGCTCGAATTAATTACTACCTACTATGTACTAACCCACCCCTAGCCCTACCATTGACTGGAATGCTTACCAACAACCTGCAACGAATCCCTAAAAGCCAGACTGGTACAGAATAATGGTATGTGTTTCACCTTCACTGGAATGTATACTAATTACTGGTTTTAGATACTGGGTATGCACGAACGGTTGTCGATCTGGGGTTGGCACAGCCACCAAGTGGCACGGTAATGGATCTGCCTAAACGGTTATTTGGGGCTATGTCGGTGTGGTATGAAGGATTTTACTTTAGTTTATTTATGGAGTATAGATTTTTCATATCCATATCCATACCCATAGATATTATAGGCACTGGGTGGAGTAGAGTACAGTGTATGGCTGATGTTGCATGGCATGTTCCTTGTATGTATGTGTGTATTGAGTATTGAGGGTGTATATAGTATGTATAGATTGTGACAGAATTCAATTTGCTTTGCTGTAGAATGAGGTGGTTGGGGTTGGTTTATTTATAGGATGAGCTATGCTACTGGGATGTGGTGAATGATAGATGGTAGATTGTATGCTTGTGGTTGACTAGATTGCATCTTTCTCAATCACTTGCTATGTGTGTGTGTTGGCGATGATGCCCTTAGAGAGATGGGTGAGGTTATTGCCTTATTTTGTAGGATGATTTATGAGGGCACTATGGAGGGTGTTGAGAGATCAGGGACATGACATGACATGTGATTGGGGTTAGAGACGAATCGACTGAGTGGCTTGATATACTCCATAGATATAGATTAGAAGAAAGCAGATCTGCATTCTTGATACGATAACTAGATTGTCTGGTTCAATGTAATCCTTTCAAATGCAGGAACCTTCCATGACTACATATTCAAGTAGTCACGCGCCTTGACCACTATTCAAGATCCAGCTAGGCCATAGTCGGTCCTTCATGTCAACATGCTTGGAGACATCATCCCTCGAGCATGCCACAAGATGAACACTGAATAATGTATCATAGCATGTATAAGTAAGTGAAAAATTTAACTGAATCAAGGTCTATTAACATGTCCCAATTTCAGACCTACAACTCCGATACAACACCTTTTTAGTCCCCGCCACAACTCCATGCATGACCAACCAAATATAAACTAATGCTCGTGACCATGAGAGTCAGCCAGCATCTGGAACCCCTTGACCAATCCCATCGCAGAACCAGCTGCAATGCCCCCCACGAGAATCATCTGCAAACCTCCGATGATACCTCGTCGAATGTTACGACGACCCTTCCATCCGCTCACAAAGCAGGTCTTGCCATAGCCGAACAGGAACAGGGCAACCGCCATCGTGGCAATCGACCAGCGCAAAGCAGAGAATGCATCGTGAGGACCGACGAAAAAGTATGGCAGCAGGGGCACGAAACCACCAATGAAGTATCCCAGTGCAATTGTCAAGGCGCAGACAAAGGCACGCGATCCCGATGGTTCTTGGACGGTGTGATGGAAGTTCATGAGAAAGGCGGGCAGGTTAGGGGAGGAGGAAAGGTGTCGCGTGAGCTCTCCCACGAGCTCAGAGGGCAGCTCATATGGCGCGAAGACATCGGAAATGGTCTCGGTCACCGAAGCCGGATCGCTGAGGATCTCTTGTTTGGTTTCTTTCAAAGTTGCACGGTAGGATTCCCTTAATGAGGGGTTAGTTTTAATTTTTCTCAGGGCAGTAGAGAGACTCACTCCTCGCTTTTTGCACCGAGATAACCGCCCAGCCCCATCGAGATGGCCCCCGCTATTAGTTCGGCCATTCCGCCAAACACCACCACTTTGGTGTCCCCCAGAGCTGATAAGCCAGCCGTCAGGGCAAACGGCACGGTCATGCCATCGGAAAGCCCGATGATAGCGTCCGACACAATGCGTCCATCGACCAATTTGGATTCCTTCTTCTCCGCTCGTTCCCGGCAGACGGATTGAGTCGAGCCGTCAGAGGACTCGCCATCATCGGGATTTCGAAGGGAAAGATGGTATTCCTTCTCGAGGTCGGGCTGAGTGAATTCCTCGGACACGGGAGAGTAATTCGAAAGAAGGCCTCGAAGAGAGGAGATCGACATGTTGACAATTTGACAGGTGTTGAAGTGTTTCAACCTAGTTCAGATGGGAGGGAGGCAAAGGTCTGCTGGGTGGAAGAAAGCAGTGGCGACCAAAGACTAAAAAATAAGCACGATGAACAAACCGCGCACTTTCGAAGGAACGTTTGGTGACCAGAAAGAAAAGCCGGGCAACAGAAGTAGAAATGAGAACCGCTGGGCCGGCAGCAATTGACCTATGGAGTCCGACGAACAAATCACAACAGCATCAGGATGATCTCAGGGCCGATAAGTCGGTCTACGGGTCCAGTGGGAATACATATGCGCTCTCCGACGGCCATGAGGAGAGAGTGAGGGGAGATTCCCTCCAGCCATACATCTCGTGCCCGACAAGGCCAGCTTATCAGCTGCCATGCGCTCCAGCCGAGGGCCTATCGAGAGGAGATGAGCGGCAACGTGCCTGAAGCGCTCGCAGTCATCTGCAGTCGCGGGGTTGCCATGGCCGCACGTGGCCTCCTGATTGGCTGGGGCCCGCGGGACAATGCAAGCCCGGGCCCCACCGTCTGCGGAGTCCCTGAAGCTTAGGCCATTTAAGGAAGGCGGCCTGCCCTGTCTGGGCTTAGTGCATCTGCCCGGCCTATCAGCACCCGCCATTTCCTAATCGGCGGTCTGGGCTGGCGATATCATCCCTGCAAATGGCTGCAACTGGCTGCAAATGAACTGCAATCGAAATGCACGATTGAGGCACGCTGCACCGGATGCGTCTGCTATCGTTGGCTTCGGAGGACGCCGTGTCACTCCGGCTGCCTATCTGACCTCTCACTGCGGCCTCTGCAGCAAGCGGGGAACGTATCTACCTGCTTCATCCGGCTAGACAGCCAGCCCTCTCCGTTTCTCTGCTTCAAGGCCAATCAATTCAGCAGCTGATGCACATCCACCGTCGGATTCCTCCGTGCTAGTCAGGTCGTGTCGCGTTCATCTGGCGAAAGCCCCTCACTCTCCCCTCATTGCGGAGTACATCCGGAAGCTGGCCTCCTCATTTTTGCCTTGATCGTGACAATGCCTCACGCGAGCAGCCTGTCCTCCCCACCACGTGGGATGGGTCGGATGGGCCGTCTCGCGTGCCATTGGACCATGGCTCGCTTTCACCGATAATCGCAACCGTTTCTTTTGCTTCTAGAGTGCCTGTGATGCAAGCCGGCTGCCGTGTGGATCCTCGCATGCTCCAAGGCGCCATTGTGCATCCGACCAGGTCCGAATCAGTTCGAGTCATGCGAGGAGAGATAAATATCGCCCAGGTCGGCCCGGCCTGAGGTTGATGCTCAGAGATCTCAAAGAAAAGTGGTTGCGAACGGTTGCAACATGAAGCTGAACGTGGCTACCATCTCGGCTCTGGCCACTGTGGCCTCGGCTCTTCCTCAGAGACGCAACAGTGAAACCTGGGGACAGATTCGCTCCAACGTAGGTGCCCAGCCTCCTGTGTTCATTGCGGAATTGACGTGAGCAGATCAAACATGTCGTCTACCTGATGATGGAGAACCATTCGTTCGACAACATTGCGGGCTACTGGGACTTTCACCCCGACATTGACAACCTGCGCAACATCAGCTACTGCAACGAATACACCAACCCCAATTGGACGGTCTGGGATGAGCCTCTCAACGTGTGCGCTGGGCCGTTTGAGACCGAGGTGCCCTTGACCGATCCGGATCACAACTTCGCCGGCACCACCTACGAGATCTTTCGCACGTGGTATCCCAACAAGACCGATGTTCCCAACATGGGAGGCTTCATCGAGCGCCAGTCGGAAAAGTACGAGGCCAGCCCGGGCGAGGCCAGCTTTGTGATCAAGGCGTATGACGAGAAGAAGACGGCGACTCTGATTGAGGTTGCGAAGAACTTTGCGTTCTGGGATAGCTACGTAAGTCGCATGCTGGGTTGACGAACATGACTAACGGAATAGTTTGCGGAACATCCTGGTCCTACCAACACCAACCGCCAATTTGCTACCTCGGGCTCGACCTGCGGTTTCGTGGACAACACCTACCAATCTGCCGGATGGTATGCGAACTACACCGGTACGACCTGTGCCACGTCGATCTTTGAGTCACTCAGCAACAAGAACATCACCTGGAAGAACGTAAGCATTCACTAGCATGGGGCGGATGATTCAAGTGATACTAAAGGATACAGTACTATGAGACGGACATTGTCGATGCCTACATGTACAAGGTAGGTCCAAACCCTTGCATCTTGCCGTTCCAGACTAATGAAAGAAACAGTGGGTGCAAGACAACGCCATGGACCGTCTAGTCCACTCCGACCAATTCTACCGTGATCTTGAAGAAGGCACACTCCCTCAGTTCTCATACTACAACCCGGAATGCTGCACCATCGACTCGATGCACCCGACCAGCAACATGGCCTCGGGCGAGCAGCTAATCAAGCATCTGTACGATGCGGTGCGCAAGTCGAAGTACTGGGATAACATGTAAGCCCCTCCCCCTTCTCCCATATCCAGGTACCGGCAAGCTAATGAATCAGTCTGATCATTCTCAACTTTGACGAGCACGGTGGTTTCGCCGACCACGTCCCTACACCTATCAATGTTCCCCAGCCAGAGGACGGCATCACCTTCTCTGGTCTATCGGACGGCCACAACGTGACCTACGACTTTACTCGTCTTGGTATTCGGTGAGTACTTATCCCGTTCGAGATGTCATGACAAAACTAATGGACTGAACAGGGTACCCGCATTCATCATCTCGCCATACGTACCGGCCAACCACCTGATCCACGACCAGGGCACCATGTACGCCAACAACTCGGAATACACGCACACGTCGATCCTGCACTTTCTGCAGGAACTGTGGGAACTGGACGGATTGAACAACCGGGTGCAGTGGGCCAAGACGTTCGAGCATGTGTTTACGAATGAGAAGCGAGAGGACACGCCGGAGAAGTTGACCACGCCGACTTGGTATGGCAGCAGCTGGGAACCGAAGCCGGATCCGTTCTACAAGCTGAACCAGGATTACGACTATTACGAGAATCTGGACTGATCGAGTGCTGGATAACGATATTATGATGATGATGTTCAAACATACAGTTGTTTTGTTTCGTTGATTCGTGTCTCATCAGCATACAAGCAAGCATACAGAGCATAAGCAAAAGCAAATAGACAGACAGACGCAATGCATAGCATCATACAATAACTCCATCCATCCATCCATCCATCCATCCATCCCAAATGAATATATCACCCACCCCACCCTACTTACTGATTCTTCTTCCCCTCTCCCTCCACAGTACCAGCCCCTCCTCCCACCCCCTCCCACCCATCCACCCCGCCAACCTCCCCGACACCCCAGCCGACACATTCCCCGCCACATCAGCAACATCGCCCGCGACCTCCCAAAACCGACTCTTCTGTTCCTCCTCACTCCAATTCGTCGGTTTCGTCATATTCCAAATCCGACTTTTATACGCGGGGAAGGCGGTATGATTCCACATGCTGACGAGGACACTACCAACACACAAGCATAACACATTAGCTGACCTTCTTCTTGGAACCCAACACCACAAATACATAAAAAGGGAAAGGAAAAAGGGAAGGTATACCTCTGAGACCTATCCCTATACTCCTCATCCTCCAAATCCTTCACCCCGACTTTCATCCCATCCCTGGAAAACACCACGTTTTTGGCTTCCATTTTGGTGCGCGTGTTGCGCGTCACGTCGCGGACGATACTGTAGGTTATGTAGCCGATTATGCTGAGGATGAGGAGGATGGCGAGGAGGATGAAGAGGGGGGTTAGTCTCGTTGTTGTCATTTTGGGTTTCTTTGTTGTTGTGGTGATTGGGGGTAAGTTGGAGGTTGTGGTGGTGGTGGTGGTGGTTGTTGTCCGGAAAAGAATACTGGTGATAGGATATGTAAGGAGACAGGTTGGTAGACAAGAGAAGTGGATTGGGAGGAGAGAGTAGGTGGTTATTATGAGGAAGAGGGTGGTTGTGGTGGTGAGGAGGAGGCGGAAGTCGAGGGGGAAGGGGAAGGGGAAGGAGTTGGAATTGGAGGGCATGCGTAGGGCTGAGCCGGTGTTGTTCCGCTCTTTTTTTTTTCCTTTGGTCTTTGTAGATTGGTTGGTGTGGACTGGTCACACTGGTTTGGTTATGCCAAGTGGATTGTGGATGGTGGTGGAGATGGATCCGGGGATGAGAGGTGATTTTATGTATTCTTTCCCGTGGGCACTTTCCGAATTATTCAAGGTTCAAATTGGATATTGTCACTGTGAATCAAGAAGAATGGATTGTATTTATTTATATTATTGACAGCCACGAGCACATATCTCAGACAGCAGCAAAAAAAGAAAAAAGAATGATAGGAGAAAGCCACTTTGTAACAGAATCATTCCACTCATAAGTAAAGTAACTGTGGCTTTGACTGCCAAGCATCGGCGGAGACTCGCTCCCCTCCCCATCCAAGGCTGGGAATTCGGGTGCCTAAGAGTTAGTATGGAACTTGTACGGCGGAGGCGCAGCAGACGGGCGGTTATTTTTCTTGGTATTTAGTAATTGGTGGGAATAGAACTGGGTAGATTTATTCTGTTTACCTAGGTGTGTTATGTTTGTGTGACTTGAGGATATGAAGGACGACATATTTATTATTTATAGTGTCATGCGAAGCTGTGATACCGACTATGTAGGGCCTAGATATGCAAAAGGTGCAGGGTTACCCTGCTTACTGCTTACTGCTTAGTGGGACTGGGATTTCGTCACACTACTTGAGTCTATTGTTTAGTGACTGATTGATTACCCGGTCTTTATCTCTGTGTGTACGGAGTACGGTTAGCATGTAAAGTACAGTGCACCCAATTATTACAGCATATGATAATAACTACATAGAACAAGAACAAGAACAAAAACAATCATAAAACTACTGATCAGTCTATCTATCCATTCCAGAATAAATCAGTAGCAATTATTCCATCTCCTTGGCAATCACAACCAAGAAATCTCACTGTCGTCATCATGAATCATCCATGCACCAAGTAACAAGCAGCATGCAACACCAACTGTCACCAACAACTGCAATAATAATACCAGTCTATCCCAGTGTAAATAATTTGTAGTTACCTCCATAGTTGATCTTCATTTACACACTACCTAGTCTAAAAGTAAAATGTGCGACATTCCCTTCCTCCCCATCTTCCCCATCTGCTTTCAATGCGGAACGGATCAGAATCCGTGTCGCTGTAAGGTGGTTGGTCCGACCCTAGGTATGTATGTCCCTGTCTACTCCATGGAACAATACTCATGCACTGTATAGGGTTTGTGTGTACGGTCGTGGCAGCTGTATGTCCATCTGATCTGGTTCATACCATATACTAATAAACCAGGTCATCTGCTATCCTGCATCCATCTTCTGCGGTTGCTGTCTCACCCAGACTGGAAAAGAGTATGCCTTCCATCCCATCCGTCCATCTCCAACTAACCATACAGTGTCCTCGGCTACCCCGTCAAAGTAAACGGCATCGTCAGCAACGCAATACCCATTTAGCTAGCAATGCAATCATAATCAACATTAACATTATCATACTAGCTATCGATGCTCCTGGAGCAGCAATAAACCAAGCAGCCGTAGCAACAATACGAGCCATGCAATCAGGTATCCAGTCGAGTAAGCACTTAATCCTTCCCCCCATTATACACCATAATCATTATCATAGCAGCGTGTCTTAAACCGATTTCAACTTGTCCTTGATCCGCGAGAAAAGACCCTTCTTCTTCTTTTTCTCCTCCTTGCCGTTGCTGCCGGCCGTGTTGGTCTTCGATGCAGCTCCATTGGTGGCTCCAGTCGAGGCTGCCTCTCCGCTTGTACCAGTCTCCGCCGAGTCGGCCGTTTTCGTCGCACTGGTACCCGTCGCTCCAGCAGTGGGAGCAGTTGGCTCTTCCGCAGTAGGCCCACTCTCCACTCCAGAGTCGACAGTCTTGGTCGCGCTGGCGCCCGTCGCTCCAGCAGCGGGTGTAGTGGAAATATCATTCGAAGCATCTCCACGATCAGATGCAGGCCCAGACACTTCAGGAACCTTGGATGCTCCAACCCCAGTGGTCACCGTTGGTCCATCAGTGGGGGAAGTGGCCCGGGGGGATATCTGTTCCGACGCAGGTTCTTCACCAGTAGCCCGGGGTACTGTATCCGTAGTGACAGCCGTGCCAACCGTACCGGCAGTACCAGCAGTACCAGCAGTGCCCGCTGGCGCAGCTTCGCCAGTAGCTCGTGGTGCCGTCTCCGTAGTGGCAGCAGTAAGAGCCGGCGCGGGCGCCCCGGCGTGATTGTCCACCGGGACCTTCTGTTGAAGCTCCTCTTCCATCTCTCGCTTCTCTTCCACGGCCGCTTCATTGGTGGCTGCCTTAGGGTCCTCATGGGCTTCAGAAATCGACTGTTTCACCACGTCTGGAACATCCTCAGCAGGCAACCCGTCGGTTGTCTGTTTCTGCGACTCCAGCGAAGCAGCGGCACCTACCCCAGCAGCAGTGCCAAGTCCAGCGGCACCAAGTCCGGCACCAAGTCCAGTGGCAGTAGAGGCAGTGATAGCAGGTGCGGGTGTGCCTGGGGAATTATCCACTGGAACCTTCTGTTGAAGCTCCTCTTCCATCTCTCTCTTCTCTTCGACTGCCGCCTCACTAGTGGCTGCCTCAGGGCCCCTATAGCCCTCAGAGATCGATTGCTTTACCACATCCGGGACATCCCTAGCGGGCACGCCGGTTGCCTGTTTCTGCGATCCCAGTGGGGCAGCGGCAGTGATTGCAGGCGCTGGCGTGCCAGGAGAGTTGTCTACTGGAACCTTCTGTCGAAGCTCGTCTTCCATCTCCCTCTTCTCTTCGACTGCCGCCTCGCTGGTCGCTGCCTCAGGGTCCCGATGGGCTTCGGAAAGCGACTGTCGTACCACATCCGGAACATCTGTAGCTGGTAGTCCGCTCGCTGTTTGCTTCTGTGACTCCAAAGGAACAGCAGCAGCAAGTCCAGCAGTAGTGGACATGGGTGTGATCGACTGAATCGTGTAGATAGGTTTCGTAGCTTCCTGGCCTTCACCCATTGGGAGACTGGACTCTGGGATCATATTTTTTGAGACCGGAGGAACCGCAAAAGCGCTTTCATCGAAGTTGGAGCTTCCTGGAAAGGCACCGGCTCCCTGTTCATAGCCAGCCTTGTCGGTCCGCGCAGTCGAGTGAATTGTATTTTGGCCGAACGTGCTAGCATCGGGCACCTTCTCCCCAGGGTTAAGCTTGATCGGGTTGCCGATGCCACTGGAGGCCGGGATTGGGTTGACGGAGAATTTCTCGGTCTCGCTGGCCGGGGTAGCTGGATAGGAGCCCGGGACACTGGCCCTCTGCTCTAGTGGCACATCCTGGCCCAGTCCTGCGGTCGTTGACCCTGGAGCGGCCGACGAGATGGTGGGATAGTATCCGTTCTGACCATATCTGCTGCTGGATTCTTTAGGGACTCCGGCTGCCAATGCAACAGTAGTCGAGTCTGGCGTGACGCCGGCCATAGCTGTAGTGCCGTTCAGTAGAGGGCTTGTTGATTCTTCCTTAATCTGGTCAGGATAGAGAACGTTGTTGATGTTGTTACTGCCGTCGTCTTCCTCGGGGGCTCCGCTATCAGTGGTCCAGATGCCGTCAACGACGAACTGTGAACCAAAGAAAAACAATGTAAGTTTGTGGAACCAATGCAATGATGACGCTCAGAGGAGAGTCTTATAGTTTGGGAGGAGACAGTCATCGAGGAGGGGGGGAGGCACGCCTGCCCCAACTGGCGGCGACATGACGTCAGTGCCAGGCCGTAGCGTCATCGCGGATGCGATGATAAGCACGGCAGCCCGCCTCACGATGTCCACCTCCGAGGACGTAATCGAGGTGGAAAATCGAACAAGAACAAGTGCAAGCAAATCAAGATAGAGTAATGTCATGTGCAGAGTATCCAGTAGCAGTCTTACCTTGTAGTGCACCTTCTCATCAGTAGTTGGTAGCGGAACTTCCTTCTCGAACCCATCGCCTATCCGGTCCAGCTGAACAGTCTTCCCCCAGTCATCAAACGTCCCGGTGACAAACACTTCGTTCGCATTGTACGGCCTGTTCATGCGAGAAGCCGCATCAGTCAGCCATCAAATCACTCAAAGGTTAAGGCTTGAGCTGAGAGCTAGGCTTTGTTCCATTCACCCTCGTCACTTGGTACGGAAGGTGTCGGATAGAATAGAATTTCCACTCGAGGCCAGTGGAGCAGACAAACCCTTACAATTGGGGGTCCAGACATTGAAAAGGGGATATCTCTTACCATCGAAACGTGAAGCTCCCCATGTTGACGGTGGATTGTTTGGATCCTGCCGACTATCAATAGAAGCGGTGGGAGCAGTGACCTGTCCACAGCAGATATTCTAGGGAAAACGGAGAAAAAGAGAGCTAGAACGCTCGGAGCAAGAAAAATAAAGAGGCTGGGACAGCGATAAAGCTTGCTGAAAGATGGGGAGGATGAAGCGGGGTGGCGGTTGCACACAGACCGTCACCGGTCGGACGGTTTGGCAGGAAGTAAGTAGAGGCAGCCGCCTTGCACACATACAGGAACAGCAGAGGCAGGCCAGCGGAGCAGCAAGCATTCACACGCAGAAGTTTCTGTCTTGTCTCGACAATTTGGTAATGATGAAGCTAGTGATGCCCAATACACATACACCACAGTTGAGTCACTGTCCCAGACTTCCAGACGCTGCCAGCGACGCCGCCAGCCGATGTACAACTCAGAGGAGCGACAGCTGGCATCTTATCGCGTTGGCGTTCGTCACAACCTTGTTGGGAGCAAGGCCCATCGGAATGGAGGCTCGTGCCAGGCCGCATTCCTGCCCGTAGAGATAGCATTCTCCCTGGCCATTTGTCCAGCGTCCAAGTTCCAGGGGCGGGCGCCCTTGAAGGGCGTCTACTGGATCAGACACGTCGACGGTGCCTGACCTGGATCGCTACCTAGTACCTACATTACAGAGCATGCACATGCATTGAGTGAGAAATCTCGGACAACCTTATATTGTTCCGAGTCTCCTCCCAACCCCTTCCCTTCGAGTTTTCGGGCCTCAAATCGACCTGGTTCTGGGCGACAAAGAGCTGTCTCCAGCTGGCGATGATCTCAACACCAGACCGGGCCAACTACGACCCGGCGCTTAGCCCGATCTGGAAAAGCACGGGCCTTTGCTAGTCTTCAAGAGGAATAGTCGAGGTCGGCGATCCAGAAAGCGATAACGGCCAGCGAGCTAACCCCATCAGGCATAGATCAATGGTCAGTTCGGATGGCCAGAAGCAGCAACCTCATGATTCCATGGGAGTCGAACCCGCCTGGTAGCTCCTCCCATGGCCTGCCACACTGCAAAAGGAAACGTTACCTTGACCGCTAGTGGGGATGATGGAACTTTGACACCCAGGAGTGGCTGGCGGAGTACTCGTCCTGTCATAAACGATGGCTCCAGCCAACGTCAACGAACGGAGAGTCTACCAGGCTATGACCTCAGCAAGCAGATCATCCGAACCAAGAAAGACGCAAGCACCGTCTCGTTTGCCACACGCGTACGGCCTGGCAAATGGGCAATCGCCCGCATCGAGGTCGTCGCACATCGTCTGGAAGGAAGTGGATGATGCTTGGTCGGTCAGTCTCCCCTTTTTGCGTCGCCTGTCATTGACTAATGGTCCCGCCCCCTTTGTTGTTGGTCGGTTCAAGGGTCTGATGGCACTGCCATCACAGCTCCGATGGGTGGCGCAACGCAAACCAGTCTGCTGCTCTCCCTTTCCGGATATCGCAATGTTCTAGAAAACTTCTGGAAGCCCCTTAAACACCCGATCGAAGCTTCCACCGTTCCCGGTCGTCTGGGCTGAAGGATTCCGGGACTGAATCTACTTCTAGGGCCCATCGTCCACGTCTCCTTTTCGGTTTCACCTTCTAGAAACCGATGGGACGGTGTTAGTTCGATCGACTACGGCGGACTATGGATTCCATTTGATAATATCGGACGAGACTATTGACCCGGGCAATCAGCTATTGAAGTAGTGGACTTGGCTAGCGAGTGTCCGTGACGTCGATCGAGACATCGTCCAGCATTGCGTCCGTCCTGGGCAACCCTTAATTAAGGAGGTGAGAGTCTAGGAGTGTACTTGGGACTCTAGGTACGGAGGGTGGCCTGAGTGGTAGATAGGTAGGTAAGAGAAGGAAACGAAATGAGCTTTTTAAAATATACTTTCTTATTTTATTTTAATTTTTTTATTTTTGAAAAGCATGATTCTGTTTCTGAATGGATCCCCTAAACAAAGTAAGTCCGGTCGAACATCATGAGATATTAAATAAATGCAAGCTTTCCGGCTCATCCATGCAGCCTGCTTTGCTGCTCCCCGCCTTTTTCATGGTTCTCCCCCTCCTTTTTCTGCAACCCCTCCGGATCAAGTTCCCTACGTATCACCACCACCCCTTTTCTGGCGCCCGGCGTGCTTAAAACCAATCCTGTCATCTCTCTGGCCGTGTCTGCAATCTGCAGTCTGCAATCATTATCCTCCATCCTGTCGGGCAACCTCCCACGCGACCGAACACCCGCAACTCGAGTAACTTAACTACTAGTCGGATTGGTAAGTCGGAGGTCACCTCGAAGCTACTCCCCATTTTAAGTTCTGCCGTCTTGCCCCTCCAAAGCTTCCCTCGTCTGCCCCGGTGGCCGTTTCATCCCTTCTCGTTTTTCTCTACTTCCTCTCGTTCTGTCAGGCTCAGGATCTGGTTTCTCGTGGTGATTTTCTTGCTTCGAGTAATCTATCCTGCTGCAATTCCTCTCCTCGGGGACCCCCTTCGGTGCTGGTGAGCTCTCTCCGCGAGAAGCTTCAGAGGCTCCCGACGCAGAAAAACGGACCACGGCGGGCGTCCAATGAGGCCTGTTGGAGGCGATACCCACCGAGTCTGGCGGAGACCCCAATGATTGTGCTTCCCTGACTGGAGCCCATTCCAATCCACTGCTTCTGCTGCTGCTGCTGCTGCTGCTGCTACGACCTTCTGGTCGGTTTCTCTACCCGCCCCTCCCCTCCCTCCCTCGTTCTCTGTTGTGCTACCACATCCCCTCCCCCCCCTCCTTCTACTCTTCTCCGTTCTTCACCCTATTTTCTTCTGATGACTACTCCCCCCTCTTTTTTCTCCCCTTCTACTCCGCACATCCAATTTATTTCTTCATCTTCACGCTCGTCCGTGTCCTGCTTGGCGTCTGACCTCCTTCAGACCATTTCCGTCCTTACGTGCCGGCCGCCTCAGTCGCCGTCTTCCGAACTCCCATCTTCCCCGCTTCATTGTGGCCGGAGCAGTGCTCTCTCCGGTCCTTCCTTCGCCAGCATGGCTGAGAGTGCTTTCCCCAGCGCCCACCAACCTCTCCGGGTTGGCACAAAAGACGACAAACCCGCAACCTTTCAGAAGATCTCCGAGGATGAAGAATACGAGGTGACGTCACCAACCGACCCGACTTTTCGGACGGCCAACGCCGCCGCTGCATCCTCCTCGACCGGCAATCCATTCTTCGGGGGTGGTGGATACGGTGAATCCGGCGGGGCCATTCGCTTCAACAGGAGTCCTTTCGACGATGGGTCTAGGGAGGAAGACGAAGGTGCTGACGAGTTCCCTCCGGAAGACATCCGCCCCACGGGAGCTGCGAACCAGGGTTTCCCCAACAACTACGCGCTGGGACGTCGTACATCGGTGTCTGCAGAGTCCCTGAATCCTACCTCAGCCGGCTCAGATAGCTGGAGCCCCCCATTCCATGAAAAATCAGAGGAGCAGCTGTCCCGGCTAAAGACCGCGGTCAGCAGCAACTTCCTTTTCTCGCATCTGGATGATGACCAGTTCAAGACCGTGCTTGATGCCCTGGTCGAGAAGCCAATTCCCGCCAAGGGGATTAAGGTGATTAGCCAGGGCGACGCGGGTGACTACTTTTACATTGTCGAGAATGGCAACTTTGACATCCTGATTCACCCTTCGGGCTCGGTGCAACCTGGTCCGGAGGGCATGGGCAACAAGGTTAGCACTATTGGACCCGGAGGCTCATTCGGAGAGCTGGCTCTCATGTACAATGCGCCTCGCGCGGCGACCGTGGTGTCTATCGACCCGAAGAGTACCCTCTGGGCCTTGGACCGCATCACCTTCCGACGGATCCTCATGGACTCGGCCTTCCAGCGTCGTCGCATGTATGAGGCTTTCCTGGAGGAGGTGCCACTACTGTCTAGCCTGAAGCCGTATGAGCGTGCGAAGATTGCAGATGCACTGGATGCCATTAAATACCCCGCTGGCTCCACGATCATCACCGAGGGTGACCCAGGCGATGCATTCTACCTTCTCGAGTCAGGCGAAGCAGATGCATACAAGAATGGTGTAGAGGGCGCTGTGAAATCCTACCGACGAGGCGACTATTTCGGTGAGCTCGCCCTGTTGGATGACAAGCCGCGGGCTGCGAGCGTCGTTGCCACAACGGAGGTCAAGGTCGCGAAATTGGGCCGGGACGGCTTCAAGCGGTTACTGGGTCCTGTGGAAGAAATCATGCGACGAGCCGAGTATGAACAGAAACCCACGCCTTCTTGAGAGGCGTATTTGGACATGAATGCGCAGAACCTGCGATATGGGAACCTGGCGAAGAGGAGTGAGTTTGGCGTGGTTTGATGTGGTGACTATTTCTCTTTCTTGTCATTTGTTCACCCTTTCTGTGTACTTGGTTGGACGGCCAGCCAAGGGAGCATGTTTGTCTCGAGATCTACGACAGATGGGTTGAAAAGCTCCCCGTTTATCGGCGAAACATTGGTCGTGCTCTATTATCGGCATCGCGGGGTGTGTCTGGACTGTTTATACACGTGTCTTTCCCTGTCGATTTGCGCTGGAAACAGCCACATGGCGCTGTTCACATCATTCGTTTATCGAATGCTTGTCTCTCTGATAAACCACCTGGATTGTTCCTGCCTTTCCATTTATATGTTTATAATAGCTCGCTGGCTACGAAGGATACATATGGTTTGAGATGCACTCGACGTCGACTCGTAAGATGCTATATACTCAGGCCTGTCAGGCTGTACAAGATTAGACCTGAATCTGTAAATCAGATGGTAGGGTAATTGAGAATCAACCGCTCAACGCGCCACCACCAAGTCACTTCTCAACACCCATTTCTCCCCCTGTAGAACCTCCTTCCCCTCATGCAACATACAGCGATCCCCATGCCGATGCAGCAGCGCCATGCCCGGTACCGGAGCCACGGAGACAGGCTCAGGGTTGCGATTGGTGCGGGTGGGCTCCGGATAGAAGACGGTTTCGCCGCCCTCACAGCTGGTCAAGTAGATGAGGAGCGTCCAAGTCGTACGGGCGGCTCGGGGAGGGCGACCGGGGGAGGGGAATGTGATGGCATTGGAGTCGTCATCTACGGATCCATCAGCATACTACAGTACCTCCTCTACAGCACTGATACCGCTACACATATACAAAGGTACGGTACGGAGTACAAGGGTACACAGTATCCTCCTCTCCTCCCCTCTCCTCCCCACCCCGCCCTGACAAGCACCACCCACCACCACCCTACCAACCAACCACATACCATACAAAACCCCCAGAGATAGAAAAAGGAAAGGGGGGAAAAAAGACAGAAGAGGGAGAGGGGAAACTCACAATGCTGCGCAAAGAACTGCCCCTTCGAGTACCGATAAATGCGAATATTCCCATTCAGTCCGAGGGGTTCTCCGCCCCATGTCTCCTTCACATCAACACCTTCATCCTTGTTCCCAGCCCCAGTCCCAGCCCCCTCATCCAGGTATTCTTCCTCTTCCTCCTGCCCAACATTCATCACCAGATCCTTCAAAGCAGTCTGAGTCCATAGCGTCTCGGCAAAACGATCATCTTGGAGTTGGAAACGGTCGTTGACGCGCACGGCATCCCCCTTTTTGGGCTTCCCGGGGGTGGTGGTTAACGGTAAGGAGGAGAGGAAAGAAGTGTAGGTTTTGCAGAGGGTGGAGGGGAAGAAGTTTCGGATGAGGTAGATTTGGTCTGGGAGGATGGGGTCGAGGGTGAGGGAGGTGGAGGGAAGGAGGGGGCGGAGGGGGGCCAGTTGGGTTGGTGGGAGGGGAGTTGGAGTTGGAGGTTGAAGAGGAGGAGGAGGGAGGGGGTTGTTTGGAGGGTTTAGATGGTTTCTTTGGCATCTTGGTGGTGAGGGTGGTGACTAGGTGGGTGAAGTGTTAGTTGGGGGTGGTGGTAAAGTCCTAGGCAGTTGTAGTAGATTGGATGGGGGAAGGACTATGGGGTCAGGTACGGAAACAATGAATGAAGCAGCTGATACGTCCACAGGAAGCTGTGACACCGCCAATACGGTTAAAATCAATGCAATCCCGCAAGAGGATCAAAAATACCGTCACGAGCTGGCAGAAAATTTATGAAAAAAAGGCCGGGGCGTGACGGGGCGGACCAGTCACAGGGCAGGATGGACGGGGCCTCAGCCTCACCGCCCTTGACTTCCTCCTCTCCTCCTCCTCCTTCCCAGCCCGTCCTTCTCCAATCCCCCCCAAAGACCAGCCCGCCGGTCATGTCGTCGTCGCAGACCATGACAGCGTCTGCGGTGGGCCATCGTCCTCCGGATGCTGCGCCAAACATGTCGTCCGTGTACGACTACCCTCGCTCCCAGCAGCAACCTGGCGACCAACCGCACCCCTCCCCGCCCAGCGACTCCGCAATCCGCCCTCTGCACGATTCTGCCCCCGACTCTCCTCCCAATGGCCTGCCCTCCCTGCCTTCCACCACCCCTCTTGTCAAGTCCGAACCCGGCGACCACGATTCCCCCCATTCCCTGCCCGCCGCTCCAGACTCCCAGTCCGATTTCCGCCGCCAATCTGCCGCCAGTGCTCTGCTGGCCCAACTGCTCGGAAACCAGTCCTCGGCCGACGGTCTTGGACCCGAGGATCATCCAATGCCGCAAGCTCATGACGGGACGGATCATCCCCAAAACAACGGTCACGATATGAAGGGCCAATGGCACATCGATTCGACGTCAGTATCCCCGGCGATACCTGCGGATTCGACCAACGGAGGCTTGGATCAATTTCCGCCGGGATCGACTGAACCGCTGGCTCTTCACCAGCAAGATGAGAAAAACTCCGATCAACATCCCGTCTTGTCTTTTTCGCACCCAGATCACGATGAGGGTATGGCAATAAGGGAGACCGATGCTGTTGAAGGCCTGACAGACCCATTATTGTTCGCGAAATCGAGTCTAGACCACTCGGACCTCTTCTCCCCCTTCGATATCACGGCGGCTCCCAAGACCCCGTTCGAGGCATTACAACAAAATGAGATGCTCACCGCGGCTTATCTGTCGCAAGGCGCCGATTTATCCGCCCTTGGATATACTGGTGGACATTTATCTCACGATATCGCCGGCTCGGTCGCTGGGTCTGAGCCCCGGATCCAGGCATTTGCGAAATTGGAATTCGATGACGGTCACTTCTATTGCAATACATATTCTTTTATCCTTGGGCGTGATGTACGAGCTGCCCGGGCCGCGCATCAACGCGAAGTACAAGTCCGTCAGGCAATAAGGACGTCCCGGGCCAAGAGTTCGAGCGGTGGCAACACATCACATACACCCAACCGCGTAAAACACGAGGGCAGCGGGATTCTAGGGAGCGTCGTCAGTGATCGCGGTGGCATTATGGGGTTTGATCCGGATATCCCGCCACATCTGCCACATCATCTCAGTCGTCGCTCGTCCGTCTCGTCCCATGCTGAGTCAGGTGCTCCGCTGCATGCGACCCCAGCCCAATTACAATCGACCACCGACTACAATGCACTTGCGATGCAGTCTTTGAATGAAGGGAATGGAGATGCAAAGCCAGTCGATGCTTTGGCCTTGCTTCCTTCACCCGATGCGTGTCCGACCATCCCAATTCACCCCCCTGCGACGGTTGACGGGAGTGCCGCGGGACACCGAGGGATTTCTCGAAAACATGTCAAGATCGCGTACAATTTTGATCGCAATCTGTTCGAAATGGAAGTAATGGGACGGAACGGCGCCTTTATCGGGGCAGACTGGCTATCGCCAGGTCAAGTAAGACCTTTGCACAGTGGCGATTATATTCAGATTGGAGGCGTCCGCATCCGCTTCCTGCTTCCCGACGTGCCAATTGGAGAAACCGGTGCGGATAGAGAGGAGGAGCCGTATGCTGCCGAAGAAGAGAAGACGCAGGCTTCCACGACCGCCGAGAATGAGACGGCGGTTCAAAAACGCGGGCCTGATAGTTCGGAGAACAAGGAGGCCCCGAAGACCACGAAGATCATTCTGAAGACCCGGGAACCGGAATCGGCGCGGCCGGTGCAATCCGTTGAAGGATCCGGGGACATCACTCAGCAGCCTGTTCGACGTCGTGGCCCTGGACGGCCCCCGAAGGACGGCATCATGTCCAAACGCGAACGAGCCGAATTGGCCAGAGAACAGAAGTTGGCTGCGAAGCGCGAGGCGAATGGGGGCGTCACTCCTCCGCCTGTGAACCGATCCAAGGCCGGAAAGGCTCCGGCACCAACTGCGACTGCAACGACACCCAAAGACTCCATGGGCGGCGAGTCTCCTGGGTCCAAGCCCGAGAAGCGCAAGTACACCAAGAGGAAGAAGCCCGATGGCACGCCGATGGACTTTCCACTGCCATCCACGGAAGGCGGCCAGTTTCCCATGGAACACCGTCCGGAGGAGTTTATCAAGGCACCTCCAGTCAAGAAGCGCAAGCCGTCACGCTCGCCATCACCGAACTATCCGCCCGAGTCTGCGTACACGCCGGAGGATCTGGCCAAACCGCCGTACAACTATGCTGTCCTCATCTTCGATGCTCTCACAGAGGCTGGCACTCCGATGACGCTCAAGCAAATCTACCGCGCGCTGAAGTTGAAATACCCGTATTTCCGATTCAAGTGCGAAACGGAAGGCTGGACATCCAGTGTGCGACACAACCTCAATGGCAACAGCCATCTGTTCATGCATGCCGAGCGTGATGGTAAAGGATGGTCGTGGCAGCTGCGCCCCGGGGCATCGGTCGAGAAGGAGAAGAAGCGACGGCCTTCGCCTCCTCCGCCAGCATCGCAGCCCCCGTCTGCCCCGGCCGCTACTCCACAGTACATGCCTCAGCTGAATCCAACGTACGGCAGTCAGAATGGACAGCCTGGCATGGCCAACCCGCACTTCCAATTCCCGTCAATGCCGGCCAATCCTTATGCAGCGCCTCCCCCAGTCCCTACCCCCAATCCTCCTCCTGCGCCTCACCATACGAGCCCCTATCCACCTCCTACTCAAGCCGCCGCCTCTACCCCCTTCCCGATACCCAGTCCGCTCCGAAACAACCTCCCACCTGCGTTTGCACAAACTACACCCTCGACCTATACCTCGCCTTATGCCTCGGATCCGCCACCGCAGCTGGTTCAGCTGCAGCAGTCACAACAGACGCAGACGATGCCACCCCAACCGCAGCACCAGTCTCCCTATCCTCCACCCAATCCACCGTCTATGCCCCATATAAATGCACCGCATCAAGGTCATCCTCCACCGCCGCCACCGGGTCCTCCTATGCAGCACCCGCCCAATATGGGCATCGGCCACGATCCTGGGCCAAGTCCCATGGACAATTCGGAGGCGTCGTCGTTCAATGAGCGAGCCAACAAGGCCATTGACGACTTCGAAGCGGTGCTGATGGAAGACTATGAGGACAAGAACTACATCCGGGAAGTGCTCAAGAGTGCCCGCGCTCGTGTTCTGGGCAATGCCACGGACAGTTCGTTCCCCGGTGGTGAGCCAAAGGACGAGGCGGTCATTCTGGATGCGCTCCGCAACCTGATTGGGAGTCTGAAGGACGAATAGTTGCAAGCGACATATCAGGATAGACTAGCAGACTAGACTGACGAATTTACGACCTGGGATTTGCTTTTCATGTTTACGAACATCTGCACATGGAGACTGGGCCGGTGTTAAGAGATATCTGTGATCTGGGAACATGTGCGATCACAGCGATCTATGACATGAAACGGAGTCTGATTTATTGCGTTCTGCTTTTCTCATCGATGCTCATTTCATTTCCTTTTCCATTTCCATTTGCTCCATGGTGGGTGCGGTTCACCTGCCACTGCTTCTCGATGATATCCCCTCCGTTCTGGACCGAGGGTCCATTTCCTGTTTCCTGTTTTGTCTTACGTCCGCGACATCCCGGAGCGCATGGCTTAAGCGCCGGGCCGAGAGTCTTGCATTTGACCGGATTCTCTCATCTTGTGATTTACATTTCTTCCGGGGAGGTGGGAAGGGAGCCCCTTGCCAAAAAAAAGCTGGAGTTAGGTGCATAGACAAAATACGAACGGGGGTTGCATGCGGCGTGCTTGATTGAGGCATTTGATTCGACGCGATGGTGACCCCGATGGAGAGGCTATGACTTGTCTTGACTCTTAGTAGATCCAGTAGATAGATAGATACTATTCTGTACCTACCTAGTAGTAGGCCGATGGGCAGGCCCATTCATTACCCCTCCCCCACCATCGATCCGAATCTTCCCTACCTCGTTTCCACCTGGCACTTACAGGACCAGCGCAGCGCAGCGGGGTAGATTGACACCTGCATTGTCCATACCTAATCGAATGAATAAAAATCACTTTTTCCCTTCCCCTCTATTCTTTACTCCTCTATCTAAGTTTCCCTTACCAACCGGATTCACCCGTGGCAGCAGCAGCAGCAGTCACCGGGCCGGTGGTGCTGGTGACGGTGCATATCCGTCTGTCCGGAGGAGTCAGTCACCAAATCCTTTTAGTGGTAGGCCGTTTACTATCGTCGTGTATGTTATTTGCTCGTGAAGATGCCATACATATGTAGGTCAATGTAGATGTAGATGTAGGTGTCTGTATCTGTCAGTTGCCAGATGCGGATGACTACCTACTGTATATATTATTGGGCTGGATGTCGGTAATTATATGCATTGACCACCGGTCGGTCGGTCGGTTGTTATCGTTTAGCGAGATTATTGTCTGTGTAGATGGGTGCTTGCTTACATGATTAACTGACTACTGTCGGTGTGTGTGTGTGTGAGTAAGTAATTGAGTGAGTGAGTGGTTCAGATCGGGCAGCGATGATGATAGTGGTTATTGCCCCTCGTTCTCTCCCCACTTTCTTTGCCTTGGGTGCAGTGCAGTGCAGTCGGTACGTACCTAGTACCTACCAAGGTCTGTCTGTCTATCTTCTGTTGTGTGGCTGGTAAAAAAAACCTCATTACTGGTTATTTCCCTAGTACATCATCAGGTCCTACCGTCCTAGGTACCTGGTTGTTGGGGTTTTTGTGAGACAATCTTACGGTGTAAGGGTAATAGCAATAGTCTAGGTAATAATCTGGTGGTTGGGGTGGGTGTATTGTGAAACAGGAGATGTTTCTGCTTTCCGTCTGGATGATGTAGGTAGGTACCTAGGTAGGTTGTGCTTTGGCCGTTAGTTTGGGATTGGGTAGGTATTATATTATTTATTATTGTTGATCTGTCAATGTTAATATGAGATTAGTTAGTTAGTTAGTTAGTTATGTCATTGGGGTTGGATGGATGGTTGGGTTGCTGGGATACGGATGATACTACCCATGCTTGCTTTTAAGGAGAGCTGCGGGGTTGGTTTCTATTTGGAGTACGAGGTACAGAGTACCGAGTAGTGGTAGTGGTAGTGAGGGATATATCTATTATCGGTATTTGTTTAGGATACAGTAAATAGAGACTTAAAGTTGACACTAATCTGCCGACATATACTACTACTATCTAGGTAGGTAGGCATCTAAGAGCAGGCAGAACTCCGAATATCTCAGGTACCTACCTACGTCCCAATTGGATCCCTGCAGTCCGTGAGTCACAGCCTGAGAGGATGACTTGATTACAACAGCCTCAACTAAAAAGTCAGTTGGAGCACCTGATCGATCATCCCGCAGTATCTACCTAGTGATCGGACACCTCCGTTAGATTGAAGGAAGGGCTCAACTCAGTAAGGTGCTCTATCAGGCATCGACCTTACGTAGGTAGATACATACATACGTACATAGTAGGTAGGTAGTTGGTCGAGCAACGCAGGAATGTAGGCATGGAATGTTTCCGCTACCTGCCAAGCTGATTGCGATGATGTAGGTAGATGTCGGTGCAATGCGCTTCTGTACCTGTCGCGGGCTGCATGTCAGTGACCCTCCCTCGCCTTCCTCTGCCTGTTGTGTCATTGCGCTTATAGTTCAAAATGAGGCTGTCTGCATCTTCGGATTGGTCTGGAGGGGGTCCGCCTTGACAGTCTCGATCTTGGGATCCTGGCATTGCCACTCACTGACTGGGTCGAGTGCAGTAGGTAGTAGTAGATAGATGGTATTTTGTATTTTGTATCTTTGTATCCTCTACTATCCTCCTCTCCTGGCTATAAATAACGAATGATCACATTCCGACTTGACTTGCCTCCTCTTCCTGCAATAAGCCAAGCCACAGACCGACTAGTCCCAGTTCATGTACCACCCAGACACGTTTTTTGCCCTTTTTTTTGTCTTTTCTAATTTAGCACGGGGGCGCACGTCCCACCCATTCGTTGAGCAGTTCGAGGGGGGGTCTCCCACTAGCGTAGGTAGGTAACTGGAGAGTGGCTCCGGTATCTGGTATCTGGTATCTTCCCTGTATGGTTACACTGTACAGATACCGCCTGCCACTTCTCATCTTGCCAGTGCTTTTTTTTTCCCACGGTGTGACGCCTCTGCAGTTGCATTTGCCTCCATGTCCCTACACAGTACTCCCTACTAGTAGGGAGTAGTCTCTGTATCTGTACTGATGGTATCTCTTCTACCACTGAAATGATGGACTGCATCGCACCGCCTCCTGTTCCACCCCCCCTATTTGTCCGCCCCCAGCCAATCACAGGAATGACGATGCTGCCGGGGATTGATTGGGTCCATTCATCAGTTCGCGGGATGCATCACTTTAATCATGGGTTGGTATAGGTAGATTGAATCATCCCGTGGAAAGGAACGGAGTAATTAATAATAGTAATATTAAGAAGAATGATAATTTCAACGTCCAGACCACCACCATCTTCCATTAACCGGTGGATTATTCAAGGAATTTTCCTCAACGGCACCAGTAGTAGTGAACTACTAGAATCGCTAGACAAGGCCAAAAGGCCACAGGCACACTACGTAAGGCCAGTCACCAGTCCTAAACAGTTTGACCGGCCGACAGTAGTGAGTGGCCTTCTCTTCTTTTCCTTCCCGCCCAGGGGTCTGGTCCGGCTGGCCTGTCGGGTCTCCATAGTTGTCCATCCGCAGGTCGTGCAGTCGATTATTGGATGGATTTGCAGGCAGAGCCTACTCCATCCGTCCTGGATGAAGCATCTCCGCCATGCCACCCTCATCTGACACTTAATTACCATGCCCGCGGTACCTTGCTCGTATTGCACCGGCTGACTGGCCGGAGGTTGGGGATCCTGGGAAATTGTGTCGGTCCTTTCCCCTAGGCTGTCATCAGCATTCATCATCCTTCTGTTTCTTCTGCCAGGCTCCCTGCTTGCTCCATGTTCCATGCTCCATGCTCCATCTGGCGCTGTGCAAGATACTATATTAAGGGCCAGTAGTAGTACCTATCTAGTGGTGGTGAGTAAGCCAGTCAACCATGGACCCGGGCTTCTCTTTCCGTTCTGGCCGCGGGTTTTTGTGGGAATTGGACGCTGGGTCGATGATGGAAAGTAACCTGGCCGTTCAGCAGCGTTACGGTGGAGTAGCCCTCTGGGTGGTCGGTCAGTCTGAGTGGTCTCCTCCCTCTTCTCTCTTCTTTCTCAACGGGAGACATCCTTTTTCTTTTTCTTTTTTTTCCTTGCCCTTCCCTTCCCTTTTGGTTTTTATTAGATTTTTTTTAATTTTTTAATTTATTTTTATTTATTTATTTTTTTTTTTTTTTCACTACACCTACCGTAGTAAAGGCATTTCCCTGCTGCCGTTCCATCATCACTGGTTCATCCTTTTACTGTTAGCAGGCTCTAAGGGAAATAGTAGGGAAAATTTTTTCCAAACTCTAAACCTTCCAGGCCATGTACCTACTCTCTTCCTCCGTGGGAAGCCGTCTGCCTGGCTTCACCCGGGTGTTGCGGCTGGTGGTCTGCTTGGTTTGGTTGTCATCACTCCATCACTCCTTAAGTTAAGATCGTTCTGGTGGGTTCTTTGCTTCGATGGTTGTGATTCAAATTGGTACCTGTTCATCGTCATAAAGAACCTTTGCTTGGCTCTTATAGGCAGATGCCAACGGTCATCATAATTAAGATCAGTAATAAAAAAAAAAAATAAAATAAAATAAATAGAATAAACCAAATCGATGAAAACTATAACGAAGGAGAATTATGATTAATATTCTTCTACCTAAACCTGATACATTTCCTTTACACTTGACCTTTTTCCCTGGGTTCATTCCGGTGTGTACTCTGCTCCACGGAGGATGATGGAGAACAAGAAGGGGGTTCCTCCGGAAGGGCCAATGCAAAAGGCTGCAATCTGTACGGTAGGTAGACCAAAAACAAATTGAAACCAAAGAAAAAGGAGAAATAATGGAACAGAAGGGAATGAATGATCATGCCCATACGGCGGTGTTACTGACGGGGCGGTTTAGTCAGAGGTGAAGGAAGTGAGCCGGGGATCGTCAGTCGACTAGACTCGCTCTGACAGTCCCCTCGGACCACTAAGCAGCAATCCCTCCCTTTCTTCTCGCTCGCTTTTCCCTCTGGCTGGCTCGGGCTCTGTCTGTCTCTGTCTCTGGCTGGCTCTCTCTCGCTCTCTGGCTTTGGCTCCTGCTCGCCTTGCCTTTCGACTCTCTCCCTCCTCTGCTCTGTTCTTCTCTTCTCTTCCCCATCCCCCCCCCTCCCTCTCTCTTCCTCCTCTTCTCTCTCTGTCCTCTCTCTCCCCTCCACATCTTTCATCATACTCACTTCTTGCCCTTCAATTTCAACCCTCCTCAATCCTCTTTACTACCTACTCATACTCAACGAGCTTTTCACTAAGTGTCGTTGTCGCCGTGGATCGGAGCCATTCCACCAGACGCGAGAACTTGTTTTGCTTGATTTTTTTTTTCCTCTTAAAAATAAATTGAAAAAAAAAGTCAAAAGGAAAGAATTCGAACATCTCTCGCCTGTGCTCCGCTTCATACAACATCCTTTCCCGCCTTCATAATCGTCGAGCGTCTCTACACGTCCAGTGATTGCCGCACCCCGTCCCTTTTCGCCTCCAACCTCGAGTGCCTCGTGTTCGATCAATTGTCCGCTCGACCCGGAAGGAAAAGGATCACCAGACTCGTGCCCGCAAGAGGATCACTCTGTCCGGCAAGGAACTCACACATCCGAGACATCTACGTCGCGACCGCTTCTTCCGCTCCTTTCGACACACTGTGGAATTGCACCTCCATGTTATTCAACTAAGAGATCTATTCACCCCATAAAACAGAGCTGCGGCTCGCTGAGCAACCGCTCTACCCCCCAGGATCAGGGTGTGGCGAACGTGTAGACGGTTCGTATCTGTGTCTTTCTTGGTGTTTCGACTCCTTGCTCTGTGGGATCATTGTCCCATTGAAACCCATTCGCTGACTCGGGAATCTCGGCTACAGCCCCAGACCACCGTCTACCTTCCCGTCCTGAACTGGCCTTTTTTCTCTCTCTCTGTTTCTTTTCTTAATCCCCCCATTATGCCGTCCTTCTTTGCCCCCGGCCTCCAGGGCTTTCCTCCTACTCCCCCCCATGTCTTGAGCGGTGGCAGGATGGAGCACGATCAATCCTACTACCTCCTCGGCCACTCTGCCGCGTTCCCGCCTCGCTACCCCCAGAACGGCTGTGATTTCATCGAGCAGTACTCCCAGTCGACCTGCTACACAAAGCCCATGAACTCGCAGTCCGCTCTGGGTGTCCGCAATGGTAGGGAAATGGTCGCCGCTCACTCCGCGCTCAACCAGCCCATGTTCGGTCCCCTGGGTTCCGCCAATGTCCTGCCTCCCATCCGCAACAACGTTCAGTTGCCTCCGATGGAGAGCGCCATTCCGCCCCAATACCGACGACAAGACATGATGGTGCAGCAGGAGCCCCAGCGCAAGGAGGAAAAGGCTACTGGAGGTGTCGCCGCCCACTTGGATTATGAGATGGACCAGATGTCCGACTTTGTGGCTGAGATGGCCCAGGGAATGTATGCTTTGTACATCACCAAGATCAACCTAGCAGATATTGACTTCGCGCGAAGCGTCTACCCAGGAACGTCGGTCCCGCCCCAATTTCGGAAATACGTTTATCAGATTTTGTCGTCGACTCGTCTGCCAAGTTCAACGATTCTCCTGGGTCTCTACTATTTGGCTAGTAGGATGCGCATGCTTTCTTCCGCCAAGGTCTTTCATTCCGGCAGTGGCCAGGTCTACCGGATGCTCACGGTGGCCCTCCTTCTGGGAAGCAAGTTCTTGGATGACAATACCTTCCAGAACAAGTCTTGGGCGGAAGTTAGCAACATCCCCGTAGGCGAGCTGAACTCGATGGAGCTCGACTGGCTCTTTGCCTTCGAGTGGAAGATTCACGACCGTATCTACGATAAACAGGACGGCTTTGCGACCTGGCTTTCTCACTGGGAAACCTGGCGTAACAAGACTGCGGCCCGGGCGCAGGAATCCCGCCACGCATTGGTCCCCATCGACACGAACGTCCCCCGGAGCCATCGCGTGTCGAAGCCACTGCTCTCGCCCGAGGGACCGATCCCGCCGCAGTATCAGCGCAGCGCCAATTACGAGACCTCGTGGTTGAACCCTGCGGCCTCGGAGTATTCGCCCCCCTCTGCACCTCACACGGGACCGAACACTCCGGATTACTATGCTGCTGGGCCGTGGTACACGCAGCCTCCACCGCCCTACTCGCGCACCTGGGTTCCGCCGCCCCAGCAGTACATCCCCCCTGCCCCGCGATCCCAGCCGCCGTCCTACCATCATACCCCCGCATATGCGCTCCCATTCGCGCAGAGCGTGTGGACGGGCCACGGGTCGTCCTGTGGTTGCTTGTACTGTGCCAAGCATATGGAGCACTACATGTGTGCCAACCCGTTTGGCTCGATGCAACCGATCGTTGCTGGCTAGTCAGGGGATCAGCCTGACTGCCTCTTTTGATCACTGGAAAAACGTTTCTTATTAACTCTGTTCTTCTCCGCTTCTAGATCTTTTATTTTTGTTCTGATGATACCGTGTTTCCTTCGTGTTTCTGCATGGCTACCCGCTTTTTTCCGTCGGTTTCGGTTATGTCTGTTCGCTTGAAAAAGTACCATCGGTCGTCCCTTTTCTTTTTTTTTTCTTCTCTTTCAAGGCTCGAAAAGCAAAAACCTCCAAAAAAAGTGTCCGGCGAATCGGGGTCGCTTTCCTCGCATCTACCGCCCAGGGTTGCGCGTCCTTTCACGATGTGACACTATTTTCTGTCTCTCTTCCCCTTCGACACCACCCCATCGTGTCGAAAAGTTACCCCAGTGAATCCTTCGGCCGAAGCTGTGGAGTAAGATGTCACGACAATTACGATTGTTTCTTTTGCGTTCTCGCCTGTGTTTCGCCTGCGCCTTCTCCGCCTCTCTCTTTGACCTGTTCGATCTTTTCCTCATTTTCTCCGGATTTGGGCATTTTATCTGGCGATTGTTACTCATAGATTGTTTTGCTTGACTTTCGTCAAGTTGGTACATTGGTTTTTCTTCTCACCCACACTCCACTTGAGTCCCGTGGCGTTAATACCTCGATTTGTTTGGTTTTCCTTTAATCCGTGCTCTTGTTTTTCTTCTTCTTTCTGCACTAATCTGTTCCGGTCGACAGATCCATTTTCGTTTTCTTTTCAATGCGACCAGAGTTCTGCCTTGGTGCCACATGCATCGAGTTGTCGCTGTACTCTTGGTTGTACATTACTTTTGTCTGTTCGTTTTACCTTCCATGACCTTCATCTTGCATGTTTGTTTATCGATCGTCCCCCAATCATTGGTGAGGCATTTGAAAAGTGATACTCCCCCCTTATGCCCATTCTATCTACTCTTTGTCTTGTCTTATTCTCCTCGGGTGACCGCACTTCTTGTGAGGCTTTTTTTTCCCCTTCTCACTCTTCATTCCATGAATGTAAGTTAGATTCACTACTTTCATACCAACCACAAGAAATCTGGGCAAAGACATTTTGAGCTTCCCTAGACCGTCGAGGGATGTTCCTGACTTGACTTGACCTATATCTATTTCCGGTAGTTTGTTCACGATTCTTTTTTTGTATTTTCTCTTTCTTTCCTTCTTGGCGGGGAACCGTGCATGGATTGATTGACTTCATAACATCACCAAACAACCAAGATCAATACCTACCTATCCAAATATATTATATCCAATCCATGATAATGGAAAACAGAAGAAAGAAAAACTAACAAGCTATCTATTATATTATATCATATTATATACAGAAATCATAATACAAAAAAACAAATACAGATACAGTCAGAAACCAAAATAAACAATAAAACCCTCCCTGCCTACGTATGTATGTATCTGAAATGAAATGTAGTTGGTTCAGTTGGCGTATATGTACTAAGTTAGTAAGTTGCTAGTATCTTTTTCGGTTTTAGTAAGTGGTACGTATACGGTGGAGGGGAGGGGGGGAGGGGGGGACGGATTGAGAAGGGGAATAAGTAAGTCAAGGAAAGGAAAGCAAAGCAAAGGAAAACAGGATTATTAGAACATGAGGGGAGGAGGGGAGGGAGGAAATGCTAGGGTTTTGTCTGGAGGATTTGTGGTGTTTGCTGATTCGATTAGAAGGAGGGGTGGTTGTTGGTCTATGTGTATGTCATGATGAGGTTAACTATAAGGGTAGGAGGGAGGGAGGAATCTACCATGATGTATGTATGTGGTGGCCGGGTTGAATACATGGGATAGGCTTTATTATTGATGGTTGATTGATTAATTTGTCTTTTCGTGGTATGCTCGTGGTATCTGTCTGGTTGGGGGTTTTCTTTTTTTTTCTAGCTAGAGAGGGAGAAAGAGAGGGAGGAAGGGAGGAGAAGGAGGAGATGACCGCCTGCGGCTTGTCCTAGTAAACACTTCCTCTGATGCTTTGGTCATGACGTCTTTCGGCTTCGAGAGTGTCGTCGTCGTCTTCGTTGTAGTCCCCTTCCTCTCTATCGCCGTCGTCGTGATGGTGGTGATTGTGTTCGCATTCATAGTCATGGTCATGATCGTCGTCGTATTGATCGTCTTCATGGTCATGGGCGGGGTCGTATTCGTCCGTTTGGCCGAGATGATTATTCTCGGCTTTTGAAGTTGGAGTATCAGTGGGAATGGGTCCATCTTCTGACCTGTCCTGATTGGAGGGTCCCTGGTCAAGGACACTGGTCACTCGTTTGGTGAGAGTACGGCGCCCCGGGACCGGAAAGTGGCGATGATGGTGGTTATGTGATCGGGTGCGTCGGAGTCGCGCAGCCTGTTTGCTGCTGCTTTCATCGTCGCCGTCGTTGTCCAGGTCTTGAGATGGTCTGGATTGGTGGGAGCTCGAGATGGATCTGGGGCGGGTGTAGGCCTGGGCATGGCTATGAGTGTGGATGTGTGTGTTGGGGTAAGGTTTCTCGTCACGCTCGTCTTCTGACGGGGCGAGGCTGTTCACACCGCTTAGGGAGCCGCCGCCATCGCGGCCGACGAGGTGGATGTAGGCGTAGTTGGCGTGGGGAGGATGAAGGAGGTGATCTTCGCTGTCGCGGTGGAGATGCGCGAGGCCGGGACGGCGGGGAATTGTATTTGAGGTTGGGGTTGGGGTTAATGTTGAGAGATATCGGTTTGGAAGATTGGTGCTGTTGGATGTGGCGGGTGTTGGTAAAGTTGCTTGGGTGGAGGCAGAGGTGGATGTGGCTTCTAGCTGGACGCCTTGAAAGTCATACTGCGGGGATGGGGAGGGCACAGTTCTCTCCAAAGGCCTTGCATCAATTGAGCGATCTCCCAGGGCGGGCTCTGGAGCTCTAAGCATTTGTTGATCAACCTGAGAGGTGCTTGCCATTACTTTTGTGGACGGAGTGGGTAGGTTGTTTGGCTTCTCTTGAGAGGCGTGGCTGTGGGCGACGTCATTGATCGCTGTCTTTTTGGTGTGAGACTCATGGTGATGCTTCAGGTGCTCTGCTGTGTTCCCACGAGGTGCACGCAAGGAGCCCTTTCGTCGAACGCCATGATCGCACCCATCTGGACAGCCACCCCATTTGCGTCTAATAGGGACAGATGTCTCGGGCGGTGCTGGATGCGCTGGGCCCAGCCCCTTAACTGCCCGCTCTTGCTGCCGCTCTTGCTCTTTCTCCTTCCTCAGGTCGGACCATGTGCGTAGCTGGTTCTGGAGGACGTATTTCCCATTATCCGGGTTGAGCTTCATAATGACGAATTCGCAGTGGTTGATGTTACGGAGATCTTCGAAGTACTCGACGCTCCAGTGGTACCATTTCATAAGGAACACCCGGGTCATCAACCCATGCGTGACCAGTACGCAGACACTAGCGAAGTCATTCTCTCCGAACAGACGCCACAGCGACTCGTTGAACCCACTGACGCGGTCATAGGCGTCGGCAGCGGATTCCCCGTTGGGGATTCGGTAGAAGAAGTGACCGTAGTCTGCCCTTTCGAGCCACATCCGTTCCATCTCGGCCGAACATGGCTGGAAATTGCCAAAGTCTTGTTCCCGCAGCCGGGGTTCTTCGTAGACCTTGATTGTATGCCTCGGGAATGGAGAGGGGGCCGGAGAGTCTGAGGTCAGGGACTGGAGGATACCCTCGGTAGTCTCCCGGGTACGACGATACGGAGAGGTGAAGAAGTGGATGGTGTCATCGGGTCGTAGAAGCGCCCGTAGCTGGGAGCCTGCCTCCTGTGCCTGACGGTGTCCTTCGGGGGTGAGGTTGACGCGGTGGTCGGGGATGGTCTGGTGGATTTCCCGGTTCTTGTTTCCTTCGGATTGGGCATGGCGGATCAAGATGATCATCTGCTAGAGTGAGACACAGTACCCGGGATAGGAATGGATTCCAACAGCGGAGCACTCACCCGCGGTTTGCCCATGATTACTGTTGCATGCAGTAGTAGTTGGGTTGGAGTGGGGTTGAGGGGAAAAGACAAGCGCTAGATCGGACAACGATGGTAGGTTTCGAAATGCAGATCCACCGTGCTGACCACGTCGTAAGTACTACGTATACACCGTAGCTCCCAGAGAGGCGAAAACGACCGACGAGCAGGAGTCAGGCGCAGAGGAGACAGCGTCAAGGGGGAGGAGAAGCGATGAGAGGAGAAGCAGGAGAAGCACGAGGAGGGAGTGGGATTTGCAATGCGGGTCGGCCATTGGCGGGACGGACCTGGGGTTGGCTTGATGGGGTTAGCGCGTCGAATGATGTCAGTCGCCGCGGGTCCAGATGGTTTCCAATATTACCGTATACAACAGTATATTGACATATAAGGCTGGAGTTGTGGTCCTGTATGGAAACCACTATTCAAGGGAGATGATTTTGTCCATATAGACTTCCAGTTATCTCAGATAATCTTAGCTATAGACCCAAGAGAAACTATTGGAGGCCATGGTCTGGAAATGGCCTCCGGAAAGCCCGACTTCGCCAGTTGCCGCAAAGGCCGCCGTAGCCATCACGAACCGGCAACAAATCTGGCTTGTTTCTTCCTCCGGCACACTGACCGGCCATTTCACCCTCTCACTCTCCACTATCCCGGCTCCCAGCAAACCAGCAGGCCCCTTCAGCGATGACCGACTATCTTTATGAGCTACTTGCCCCTCATCTGGCTGCGACAAAGGCCTCCGCTGCCCTCTGCGACCCGGACCATGATTCCACCACGGCTCAATATCTCAACCGACTCCCTACACTCTCTCTCCAAGCATTACAGTTCACGGAACCCCAGTCGCTGACGCAGTCTTCTCATTCCACCCTTCTGTCGCTTCAAGCCCTGTCGAATCGCTCACACAAGACCTTTGTCACGTCCGCCGATCGCCTGTCTAACCTCCGCGCGTCCATCCCTCAGTTGACCCGGGACGCACAGCAACTCCGAGATGCAGTCCCGAAACTCGACGAAGAGGCCGTCCAGTTCTCGTCCAAATACAGCAGAGCTGCCGAAAATGTATCCCTCGAGCAACGAAAGAAGGTGATGCAGCTCGCTCGAAATGTCGACCGGCTGTCCGACATCTTAGAGCTACCTACGCTGCTCTCAACGGCCGTCTCCTCTGCAGCCGCCAGTTCGGGGACTACGGGCAGCTCGGTTTCAACGACGTATTCGACGGCATTGGATCTGTATGCACACATCAAGCGGCTGCAGACACTGTATCCCGACTCCCCGCTCATAAAAGACGTGGTTACCCAGGCCGAGGATGCCATGAAGGATATGACATCGAATCTGATCGCGGGTCTCCGGGCACAGAACCTGCGACTAGCCGCTGCCATGAGGACGGTAGGCTGGCTGCGAAGGGTGGCACCGGAGCTCGACCACCTTCACAACGAAGGCTCACCGGTGTCAGGGGAAGGCGCCTTGGGAGCTATCTTCCTGATCTGTAGGCTGGCGAACTTGATAACTATGCTGGAAGCTTTGGATCCTTTACGAGAGCTGGCCGACCAGGAGACGCACCGTAGGGCTCCGACAATGGACAAAAAGAACGGTGCAACGGGAGCATGGTCGGAAGGACATCAGACGGAGAAGTATCTGAAACGGTATATTGAAATCTTCCGCGAGCAGAGCTTTGCGATCGTGTCCTTATACAAGAACATCTTTACTCCGGACCAGTCCGAGTCCGAACTAGCAGTGGCAGGTTTACGGGGGATTGATGCGCGGATCAAAGCGGCCGCATCGCGACCGGCTCGCAAAGAAGATCCATTACAGTGCCTGCCACCTGCGCTGGCCACCTTTCCCATGCACCTGGTCCAATTACTAACGGACACCTTGCGCACGTATCTCCCTAACGTCCGGGACAAAAGCTCCCGGGAGAGTCTCCTAACCCAGGTGCTGTACTGCGCGGCCAGTCTGGGCCGGCTTGGAGGAGATTTTGGCATGATCCTGACCGAGCTGGGTGATGCCACGGACGACGCCGACGAGGACGAGGAGGATGACTTGGCCTACGAATGGGAGGACGTGACGCGGAAACACCGAGCCTTGGCAGGGCGATTGGAGCAGCTGACGGGGGAGGGGGAGGTGGTGGTGGTGGTGGTGCAGCAGCAGCAGGGTCCTCGGTCAAAGGAACCTTGCGAGTGGCATCGCCAGTGTAAGGGAATCAATCCTTGATGGAATATCGGGGGAATACACCGCCACGACGACCACTTACACAGTCCTACTTGATACTATTCTTGGAGCCCTCCGGGAAAGTAAAGATGGGCGCCTTTGTGCCTCGAAAGGGGAAGTCAGAACACCCGGGCGCACTAACCGGAAGGGGGAAGGCCTCCGCCGTCCAACGCTGTCGAGGCCTCTTCCCAGTCGGGGTCCGTCCCGTCATCTTCTCCTCAGCGCCCTCTCTTCCACTCTCCCTTCTCCACATCCCAACCAACCCACCCCTTGTGAAGTGTGATCACCTGGGTCTCGATCCTCGAGTGACCTATACAGCTTCTGCTAATTATCTTTATCTCCTGACCCCTCTTTATATAGCTGTTGCTTCATGACCGGTGCTGGTTCTCCGGTCGCTCTGGCCCCTTCGACTGCCGCCGCCGCTGTGTGACGTTCTCCCTTGCGTGCAGGGCCCTGTTGGCGTATAGACCTCCAAGCAATGAAATTTTCTCCCTGACTGTGTGCACCAAGGCCATATACAGAATAGCAGACGTTCTCTTCGACCTACACCATCCCCGCCCCTAACCTCGTCTTGATGGCGGCCCCCGCTTTATCGACCGGCGGATTGATCGATCCGACCAAACAAGCCGAGTACCCGGTCGTTCTGGGCGACAGATTGACCGGGAAAAATGGCTCGGCCCAGTCGCAACTGGTCAATATCCAGTATAATTATAAGACCAAATCTGCGACGGCACGGCAACGCATCACCCGATCCCGGCAGTCCCGAGATCGCTACAATCTTACGATTACCGATAAAGCCCCGAACGCCGACAATGTTCTGACATACTCGTACCAAGGAAGTGTGGACCCAGCACAAGCTGTCTCGGACTCTGGAGAGCACAATCTGGTCCTGGTCTTCGACGCGGCGCGGAAAGTGTTTGTGTTGGAGCCGGTCGCAACGCAGCTACACTTCAATCTGCGGTCCGCCCCTGCCAAATCCCAGAAGCAGGTACTTGAGCAGTATGAGCAGTTACGCACACTGCAGGAGGAAGACCATGGATCGGGCGATGACCGGGCCTCAGACAATGCCAGCGGAAACGATGACGGCCCGGCCGACGACAGTAACCCTTACGACTACCGCCATTTTCTTCCCAAGGAAAATGCGGACGATGACAAGTCGGTTTCGGACAAGACTCCGGAACACCCCTCCTATACAAGCAGGGTTGACACTCCCCTCATGTCTGCTACCAAGCCCACCCCTAGTCCCCGACCTCGCCCAGTGAGCCGTCCGAACCCGCTCCACTCGAAAAAGAAGTCGGATGGGGCTAGGCCCCCCAAGCCTGCGGCCGCCAGGCCACGGCCCAGGTCTCCAGCCCGTCCTGCGCAGAAAAGCGATGGAAGGAAGACGATTGTCGAAGAAGAGCCTCCGACGGAGCCGTCCAAGTTCTCACCTTCCGACACGGGGCTGGGTGCAGTATCTTCTCAGAAGGCCATTCCTTCACCGGGGTCGAATATCATAATCGACGGTGATCTGATCATCGATATGGGCTCGCCGCCACCGTCGCGTCCTTTTAGTATTAATCCAGCACACTTCTCTTCGAATAACACCCCTGCCGACGAGGATAATAATGAGGACGATGAGGACATCGAGGACCTGCGGCTTCCATCTCCGGCTGGCCACGGAGGGGCACCTGTGGCTTCGGGAGGCGTGAACCTTGAGCCCGGGGCCGGTGAAGACGAGGACGAGCTTGAGGATGACGATGCATTAGCCGCTGAAATGGAAGCCGCATTTGAGGAAAGCGCGCGGGAAGAGGAAGAGGCCCGAAGCCAGCAATCATACACGCATGCGCCGTCCCATCAGTATCATATGGCTAGCGAGGATGAGAGCGAAGTTAGTGAGGAAGAATGATGCGGATTTCTGGTCGATTTCTTCCGGGGGGGTTGCGAGTCGGGTTGTTCTAATATGTTTTCTTCCCTGTATCTATGTACATACAAGCAAGGCGCCGTTTGGAGTTTTGGCATTAGGAAGCAATGATACATACGCAGCTGGTGCACTGGCTGATGATGAGGATTGGAGAGTACGGCGGACTAGATAGATAAGTGTGACCGATCGTCCGGGGCGGAACAACGCAATGATCCGAGCGCGGATCGTCATTGGGCGGCTCGGCATCCCCAAAAAACGAGGGCTGGAAAGGAGCAGCTCCCAGTCAGTCCCTTCACCAACCAACTCTTGCCAGTCCCTCCATTCCCTCCTTTCCACCTCGCCTTTCACGCCGTGGACCACTCATTCCCATCCGGGCCCGGATTTTTTCCTCCCCCCAGGTCACCCCCGGAGTCCTCCGATGTGTATGGCTTCCCGCTAATCGATCACCTCCGATGCGATGAAGGGCATCTTCCGCAATGATTAACACCTGATCGATGCCGCACAGCAACCCGCCGAAGACCAATATCACGCTGCCTGCTTCAATGAGCATTCTCTTACCGTCAGCCCGACCAGATTTGATCGAGCATCAGCCTACCAAGAGAACCCCCGCCACGCTGCTACATTTCAATCTCAAGACACTGGGTGATCGGTACTAAAGTAGGACAGACCAGCAGGAAGGCCGCTTCACTTCGCGCGCGATCCGTCAGGCTGGGCGACTCTCGAGATCCTTCCCTCTTCTCTCACTTGCCGCATCTCCTGCCTGACCACCTCTCTCGCTCCGACATTCTACACCACGAGTACTCAATAGTCCCGACAGATCACTGTAACCGCAACATCATTACAACTTGGTTAGTTTCCGCCGTCCTCAATGGAATCTCCAGCAGATCATTTCGAAATCCCACCGGTTCCTGCGCCGTCGAATCCCGTCCTCCTGAAAACGCAGGCGCATTGGTATTTCACCGATGAGGAGCTCACACGGACGCCATCGCAGCTGGATGGCATGGCCATGGAGGCAGAGCACATGAGTCGCAGCAAGGGCGTCAACTTCATCAATCAGGTTGGTATTATGCTGAAGCTGCCGCAACTTACGCTCTCAACCGCCGCCGTTTATTTCCACCGGTTTTTCATGCGACACAGCATGGTCGACCTGCCACAACGACCCGGCACCCACCCCTATACGACTGCGGCGGCGGCGCTGTTTCTGGCTACAAAAGTGGAGGAAAATATCCGCAGGATGAAAGAGCTGGTGGTTGCTTGCTGCCGGGTGGGGCAGAAACAGCCCAACATGATCGTGGACGAGCAGTCCAAAGATTTCTGGCGATGGCGCGATACCATCCTGGTTAACGAAGACATTGTCCTGGAAGCGCTCTGTTTTGACCTGCAGCTCGAGCAACCATACCGCATCCTGTACGACTTTCTCGGCTTCTTCACCATGCAAGATAACAAGCCGCTCCGCAACGCCGCATGGGCCTTTGTCAATGATTCCGTATACACCGTCCTTTGCCTGCAGTTCCCAGCCCGTACCATTGCGGCCGCTGCTCTATACGCTGCCGCCCAGCACTGCGACGTCGGGTTCGAAGACGACGGGCTCGGCCGGCCGTGGTGGGAGCAGATCGATGTGGACCTGACCCAGGTGCGTCGTGCGTGCATGCGAATGGCAAAGCTGTATGAGACCAATGCCACGAATCGAAATAGCCCGTACTACTTGACCACCCCCATCAGCACAGACGAGGGTACTGAGAAGACCAGGATCCCGCGCGCGGGTGGCCCGACAGACACTACGCGTCAAACCGACAACGCACGTGAGACCGACGCCGTCAACGGTCGGAAGCGCTCCAGAGAACCCGACGAGGTGCTTCCTTCCGCCCTGACAACCGACTCGATACACTCGCAAGACCCAGGGCCGGCGCCGCAAAACGGTGGACGGTCCCCCAAGCGATCCCGGACGGACACGGAGGGGGCGTCCATCGTGAAGGCTCCGTCGTCACGCGTTCCCAAGGCTCATGCCCCCAGCAGTGTGTCATCCTTCTCCCATGACCGCCAGCATGCGAACGGCCACGGTCCCCCGGCTTCATATTCGCACGCATACCCAACACCGTCGCGGCATCCGCACCCCCTGCCACCGCCCCCTCGGCCTTTCCCCCGCCGGGACAGTACGAGCAGCCGGCCCGGGGGAGCGAACCCGGGGATGCCAGTCGATCCAATCCAGCAACGGATTGACGAGATTGTGCAACAGAACATGCCTTCGCAGGGCGGGCCCGGCAGGACGGACCGGCGGCCCCTGGAACGACCTCGGGGCGACAGGGCACCGGAACCCGAAGCGGGGCGACGACGACGGCCGTCTGGCTCGACGGATGGCAGGAAATCGTCGCTTGATGAGCAACAACCTTCACTGCCCCTGCCGTCACCACCTCCGCCGCCACCCCCAGAAGAGGAACCCCGTCCGCCGTCGCAGCCGGAGCCGCCCAAGGCGCCGGAACCCGAGGACGACGGGGGTGGCAGCGAGGAGGGCGAGCTATGATGGTTTCACCTGGATACCTTTTGGACCGAAACACCCACTTTCTTATCCCGCCCTACCACGTATATACTACAGTAGTGTGGACGAACGAGACGGAACATGAATGACCGACTGATACCTACATACATACCTTCCGCCGCGATGGCGTTGGAGGTGAACTCGCGCATTCCCCATTATCCTCCGAAGGACCCTAGAAGCAGGCCTGACTCCGAGGACGGAGGACTACGTAAGGTGGAGGGGAAGGGGGGGGGATATGAGACACAGGACCTGTAATTAAACTATACTACTTTTCTACCGTTGAATTAGAGCGCTCGTGCACGCAGGAGCCATTCGCCAGTGATTTCTTCAGACTTCAACAGCCGAAGATGTCAACCCCCGGGCTACCTGGCTAACTGCCGAGGGTGACAGGAGAGCGCATCCATGGATGCCGGCGATCCCTTGCAGCTTGGCTGGCCGTCACCCTTCCCATTGGAATCCCACTCGGGGCGCGAGGGTGTCACGGCGACAACCTTGATTGCCCAGTGGATCACGCACTAGGCCGGCTGGGAGTTAGCGGGAAGGTAACGGTGCGGTAAGTCTACCACTAGTCTACTCGGAGGATAGTCTAGGCCGGGGGCTGAGGCAGCTAAGCCAGACAGGGGCTGGCGTGGGCTGGCGTTGGCTGGCGGGGAGCTTGGCAGACATTACTGTTGCACATTTGCACATACTCGTTGTCTGCATACCGCCAGGATTCTTTCTCCGCCATGGCTGGCTGACACCTCCTCCGCTCGCATCCATCGCAAGAATGCTTGACATCACGATTCGATAGGGAATGTTGCCTCCAGGGAACAAAACCATCCGCCATGCCGCGCTCGAGGCCGCCGTCTCCCCTGCCGTGACAGTCCGCGGCCGTCAATGCAACTGGACCAGCCCATGGGCACCCCGGTATGGAAACAGCGCCTGGAAATCAAAGCCAACATGGACCCGGCTCCCGTCACGGACCGGCGACGCAGCTGTCGTTTCTGCCGCAGTCGCAAGTTGCGCTGCTCCGGCGCCAGTGTCTGCAGCGCCTGCAAGGACCGCCAGATCGAATGCCTTTATGACCAGGGTGGGCCCAAGGGTCGTCCCCGGGCCTCGGGTGCCCGCACCAGCAGCCGCCTGGTTGAGCCCGTCATGAAGAAGGCCCCCTGGACGTCGCCCCCGAGTCCGTCGGTGGCCGCGGCGACGGGTCAGCTCTTCTCGCCGCGCCTTAAGAGCGTTGCGGAGGCATTGGTGGAGGTGTCGGCGGAGATCCAGGAGAAGCTGCAGGGCCGTAGTATGGAGAGTATGCCGATGAGCCAAGCTGGGTCTCCCCGACTGCCCCCGGCCAAGCTTGGCTGTCGCGAGCTCATCATGGTGCTCACCCAGGATCTCGTCGACGCTACCGTGGCCCGCTTCAGCGGTCTCGACTGTCTCTCCTTCTTCCCCGACCAGGGCCATTTCTTCCGACAGGGATGGGCCTTGAGCTCCAATGGATCGCCCAAAGCCCTGGAGCCGGCGCCACTTGCCGCTTACAACAGTTACCGCATCACTCAACTCATTGACGTGTGGTTTGGCGCCCATCCGTTGGCCATGGCCCTCTCCAAGACGCTGCTGCTGCGTGACGTCCGAAGCAATGCCTACGACCCTCTGCTTCTTGCTGTCATTCTGGGAGGTGCGCTACTTGAGTTGGAGGATGCAGAAGCTCGAGTGGAATCTGAACAGCTCCTACAGTGGGCGTCATCACGATTACAATACATTTCAACCTCTTCGGCCGACCTGTCGACGGCACAGGCTCTGAGTTTGCTGGCATGGCATGAGACGTGTCAGGGGAACATCTTCCCGGCGATGGCATACAGCATCTACGCAAATCGCACGGTGACTCGATTGACGATGGATACCTTGGCGCGGTCCTCGCGGGACGTCCGCCAAATCAACGGGATCAATCTGGTGCAGATCGAGCTGGAGATGATGTATATTCTCGGGTGGATGACGCTCGCTCTGATGGTCTGGTCGTTCACGCATCTGAACATCGTTGACGACAGCTTGCCGGCGCTCGCGATGATGCACGAGCACCCGCCCATGAACAAGGACGCCTCGTTAGTACTCCAGCTCGATAAAGCCGCGGACAACCTGTCGACACTCCCGTATCAATGGGCCTGGATCCAGGAGATCTGGACCATCAGTCACATCACGTCGGCGGCCGTGCATCTCAACTCGATCTTCCCCCGACAGTCTAGCGGGCCGACGTCACCCTTATCCCAGCCCAACTCCTGGCAGACGCAGCTGCACCAACAACTCCGCAATATCCAACTCTACAAGGTCGACATTGGAAACCTCTGCAGCGAGGCCCGCGCCGTGCTGGCGCGGAACGTGCAGATCATCGAAGCCAACATGGAGGACCAGGTCGCACAGACATGGATCCTGACCGCGTACCGGACCTTGCTCATCCACCTCCTCTTTCCGCGAATGGAGACCTTGGCTGTCACCGCCGATATCGTCCAGAATCTTACTGACTGCCTCATGTTCTTTCTGCGCAGCTTTCCGGTTCTCGTCAACATCTCGACCACCCACGCGCTACCCCGGTCGAGCACCCAATCGTGTGTCCGGTCCTACATGGCGGGCCTGGCAGCGTGCGGCAGCGCCATCGACACGCTTCTTCTCTTGTCGCACAAACAGCTGCAATGCTGGGAGCCGGGGGTCCTCCAGGGGCTGGGGCGGCTGTTGGAGCAGACAACCCGGCTGGACTCGCTGTTCGCAGACGACACGCTGCTGACGGACTGGCGGTGGCGGAGAGTGCAAGAGCGGTTCCACCGACTGTCCAAGTACAAAACGGAGCTGACGGTGACGGAACCGGGGCCGATGGTACCGTTGTATACGGCGGCCGAGTTGCCGTATGTGCCGGGGTATATTTCCATCGAGCAGCCGACGTTTCATGAGATATAGAATTGTGACATAGGACTGGATATAGATTTTGCTTAGCTTTAACTAACATAATTGAATTGATTTAACCTTATTCAGTTTTGCTATACCCTTTATTTCATACTTCCTAAGCAGCATTCTAATCAGCCCCTGCTCCAACATCGAACCTACAGTCATCGACAGTATACAGTATGCATACAGACTATTCTTACATATTTACCTACAATCCCATTCGGAGTCCTCAGACACCCATCTCCATCTCATCCAGGGGCCATCTTATTTTGAGTAGAGAACATATTGTGCTGTTACTTTGTATTTACACCCCCCCCCCCCGGCTCAACTTCTTACGAACAATACACTATACACCCCCGATATAAATGATGTCATATAATCCCCATTCCCCTGATCACTTGACCAAACACACTACCTTCTTTCTGTTTTAATTCCCAACAAGGGACTGGTAAGTAGAGAAAAATCTAAACCAACACGCATGATATTTTCAACTCACAAGACTGGTGACTGTGTGTTCAAGTATCAAATCTGTGACTTGTCTATATACAGATTTGAAGGTAGACTCGAGCCATCATCCCATTATAGTACTAGTCATTATTCGTCGTAGAAGCCAGACAGTCATATAAACATAAGTTGAATCTCCACCGAATACATCAAACCATGCCGATCCCCTCCATTCCCCTGTACATCCACCAAACCAGAAACACAAAAACAAACACAACAGCATAACCCCCCCCCCTCCCTTTCTCCCCAAATACCAGCATCCATCATTTCTATCCAACAATACCACACACAGCACCACCACCACCAAAACCAAACACTACCCACCCCTCCCCTCCTAACCCAAGCGACATCTCTCCCAAACTAGACTCCTAACCCCCGACTGATAATCTACCTGCAGATCAAACATCGCTCACCATGGCATATCCCTCCATGATAGAATCCGGAGAATCAAGCCACGAGGAAAATAATTCGCCGAAACCTTGGACGTCTAGGGTAGGGGCTGCGAAACTGATCCTGGGGGGGGGGTTCTCGGAGCGGGAGGTTTCGGTTGTTTGGGGGTGTTTGAGGGTTAGGGTTACCTTCATGTTGTAGAGTAGGTAGGTAGGGGGTTTGGGTTTGGGTTTGAATGAATGGAGATGGGGATGTGGATATGTGGTGTTGGGTTGGGGGGGAGGGGGAGGGGGGTTGTCTGATAATGAGGGAGAAGGGAAGAGGGGGGAACTGGAGGGGCTTATCGAGGATCGTCTTAGTGCTTATGGTCTGTATGTATGTATGTATGTATGTATGGACTTGTGAATCTGGTTGCCTAGCTTATACTAGTGGACTATGCTAGATGCCCGTGTAGTATACCATCTAGATCAGAGGTATATAAAATATCCTATCTAGTAAGAAAAACCTACAAAAGCACTCTGCAGATATCTACAACTCTCTAATCATACTCATCAACTACATACACAGTCACCGAACACGCCACACCCCAACCCCACTAACAGTATACAATCCCGCCGCCAACAGAAACGGCAATCCCATAGCCATCCCCCCCGCCTGGATCCCCGCAGCCAGAGTATACGCCAACAGTGGTGCAGCAGCCAGGGATCCCAATGCATCCAGCACAGTGATGGAGGTATATAGCAATGTGATGTTCTCGGGGGGCACAGCGCCGGTTAGATACGATTGCACGGATTGGCGAAAGCCGGTGCCCATGATGAAGAGCATGAGACCTGATCAACGTTAGTTTCTCGGATGAAGATATAGGTGTTCAACGGGGAGAAGGGGGGAGGGGGGGTGTATACATACCAAGAACCAACATCCCAGGATGAGAAGCAAGGCCCATTATCAAAGGACCTGCTGCAAGAAATACAACACTTCCTTTCGCCAGGAGGAGATCAGCACTTGCTGCATTGTTGCGAGCATATATCGTCAGTAAGAATCGGTGAGTCCATGGTAGGATGGCACAGGCTAGGATGATATGCATGGCTGCGGAGAGGGAAAGTAGGTATCCGCTCTGTTTTATAATATGGTTAGTTTTCTGGAAAGCTGGTATTTTGAAGGCGTATATGTACCTGTGCAACCGTCCAACCGAATCGGACCGTCGTGTATTGAACGATAAGCTCTTCGATCTGACGACTGAGCTTGTGCACCATAAAAGCCAGTAGAAGAGGGAGAAGACCCGTGGGAGAGAGGAGGTAGGAGAAGACCTCTTTAGGATGCGTTGCTTTGCGCGCTCGTGGGGGTTGAGCTTCACTCTTGTCGCTCTCATTGCTGTTGCCATCGGACGGAGGGTCCGGGTTAGGGAGAATATAAATACCCAGATAGCCCACCATTTCGAGAGGCGTCCCCATAAGGTAGGGAATATCCGGCCCATATCGCGACAAGAGCAACGAGCTCAGCGGCGGAGATAGGAGATCAGCAACCATCTGAGAGACTGCCATGTAGAAGAAGACCCGGGTGCTAGCCAATCCACAATCAGTATTCAAGATCTATTGCTGACAGACAGGGATGAATACCGGCTATGCGAGGATGCAAACGATGAGACCAATGCAAATACCATCGACGACATCACCGAGGATCCGCCCCCAATGAAGCGAATGATAGCCGATATGGCGATGGCCCAGCTGGAGAACCGTGGAGTGTAGTGGCCTATGTTGATATCAGCGAGATGATAATGGGGACAGTGGGGTTGGGAATCTCACACGCGAGCCAGATCCAGAGACTAGCTAGGATCTCACCACTGAGCCCCAAGGCTGCCACCAGCTTGCGCCCATATCGTTGTGCCAGCAGTCCGTAGGGGATGGCGAGGAGAAGTCCTGATCTGGTCAGTTTCTCGGAAAGAGTCTAAGGGGGGAAGACATGGAGGCATACCAGGGAGTGCCTGTGCAAGCCCTAACCAGCCCCTCAACATAGCAACTTCTCTTTGAATCACATCGATCTTGCAGGTTTTGCCCAGGATAGTACCGTCGGGTGCTATATTGGAAGGGTCAAGGGAACGATAATAGGACCGACACACGGACAGTTCGAGGAGTTGATTCGTGGGCGCAAATTGCAATTCTGAAGCAAAGTCGACGATGAAGATGAATGCAGCACAGATCACTAGGGCGCGGATGTTGGAAATGTCTTTCTTTGGGGGCTGATCATCACCAAGTAGTGGAGTAGTTGAAGAGGGCTCTCCATCCTGTGGTGTTGATTCAACTCCCGACATGTTGCTGGGCAGGAATGACAATGCAGCAGCGAGCATGCGACTCTTAACTACACCCCAGCGGACCGTGCACAGATTCATTGCAGGGATACTACGGACTCCGGCGGGTATGGGCTCGCTCATCCAATGGGATCATAATGTGCTTATCTTCTACGTCTAGTCTATAGTGCGAAACTATCAGTCTAGGCTCCTATGTTTGCAAGTCGTGATACTGGGTAGATGAGAACTCCATGCGTAATTGGCTAACGCTTTCACCATCGCATGCTATATGCCATATGTGATGTGTTACTGCTCATCCCATAACTGCTTGAACAGACTCGGCCTACCAAGCAGGTCGGCTGGGTCTCCAGTTTCCACAATACAGCCATCCTGCATGATCACAATCTGGTCAAAGTCCCGGATACATCTCAGTCTATGGGTCACTGCAACCACTGTGACATGCTTGAAATGGTCCCGAATAATTTGGAACATCAATCGCTCCGTGGCGATATCCACATTGCCACTGATTTCATCAAGAACAAGAAGCTTTGTTTTACTGCGGCGGAGGAGAGCTCGTGCGAGACTCACAAGCTGACATTGACCGCGGGAAAAGGTCGCATCACTCACTTGGAGGTCGAGAGAATAGGGTTGGCGTGTACTAGGATCCTTCCCTAAGCCTACCATATCCAGAGCGGAAAGCATCGCGTCGTCTGGGGACTGGCCGCTGGGATCGAGATTGTAACGTAGCGTTCCTGGCAATAGAAAAGGGTCTTGAGGGATTACGGTCAGACGCTGTCGTAGATTGCTGCAGGGTATCTCGCGCAGATTGATCTCGTCAATGAATACAGAGCCAGATGTAGCTTCAAGAAGCCGGAAAAGAAGGAGCATGAGAGAGCTCTTGCCACTCCCGCTCCGGCCGCAAACTGCTACTTTCTGTCCCGAATGGATGGTCAATGTGACATCTCGAAGTATGCATCGATGGGGACTTGGGTTGTCCTCGTAGCTTGCATAGACGTGATCAAGTCTGATCGAGCCACGAGACGGCCAGTCCTCGGGAGGCGGCCGAACAATTTCCAAATTTAGGGCATCCTCCCTGGGAAGCGTATCTTCATAGTTTTTGATGCGAGCGATTGCGCCAAGAGTGGTCTCCAGCTGTGTCCACGAGGTAATGAGATACGATAGGCTGCTGCTAAAGCCCAGAATGTTTAGCAGAGACACGGCAATCGCACCAGTACTGACTGATGAGTGTAACTCGACCGCCACGGTCACCACCACAGTAGCCAACCCGGCAGCCATAAGGTCCAGGACAAGATTCAACCAAAGTTGTATGCAAAAAAGGGTATAGTATGGCTGGATCGCCCTGTCGACCAAATGATGACACCGCGTCGCCCACATGGCTTGCCAGCCAAATGTACGGATTGTGTCCGTACCCGAGGCGGTTTCGAGAAAGTGAGTATAAAGAGGGCTCTGCGCCTCCAATTCCAAGAGCCGAAGCTGACGCGAGGTGCGCAGATAGAAGTTCTGCAGGGCGTAGAATATTGTAATCACAAATGGCACTGTAATCGCGATATACTTGTTTCCCGCAGCAATAAGCATGACCTCGGCGATCAACAGGCATGCCCCAACAATGGTCATGAGAAGTGCGCCAGACAATTGGTTGTCGATCTGAGAGAGGTCTTGGCTGAATCTGTTCAGGATAGTCCCACTGTCATGCATGGTGAAAAATGAATATGGCGCATTCATCGTAGCGATCAACAACTGCCCATGCAAACGGCGAGCGCTCTTTGGCACTAAGAGCAAGATGAGGCAAAAAATACTGAGCATGGTGCCCACCAGCTGAATAACAGCACAAACTCCATACACGCCCAGATAAACCCCCAGGGAGTAGTTGAAGTCATGGTCCGACCAGTACTGGAGCCACAGAGTAGGAAATTTGGTCCCAAATATCTGCACCACTATAAGCCCGAAGAGGCCGACAGAAGGTTTCCAACCAATTGCTTTCAGGTAGTATTGATAGACCGAGAAATCACCAAGCCTGCGTGGCAGGTCCTGACGTGACTCAATCAGTTTGCTCTCCGTTCCTGTTGTCACGGGGTGCTGTTTATCATTAGGACTGGCTTCGGTATCACTCAGTATGGAGACAATTTTTTCAACAGGAACTTCGGGCGGGATTCCAGATGTGGCAGTGCCATCATTAAGGGTCACGACAGCATCAGCTGAGGAAATACGCTCAGGATCACTGCAGGCGAGAATAACTGCCACGTTGTGAGTTCTGCATAGACCTCGCGGCCCCAAAGCACGATCAAACACCTTTTTAGCAGTGATAATGTCTAATGCACTGAGTACGTCGTCAAGAACCAGGAGCTTTCTGCGCGAGTAAATGGCCCGCGCCATTGCCAGCCGTTGCTTTTGACCACCACTTAGGGCAGTACCCCCGGAGCCCACGCAGGTCCTGTCCCCTTCGGAAAAGGTAGAGATGTCTTCGTCTAGTGCACAGGCATGAAGAACAGCGGTATACCATTCTTCATCACAGTAAGAAGGACCGATGACGAGTTCCCGAACAGAGACATTCGGTAACCAAGGTTCTTGTGCACAATAAGCCATTGTCACATCTTTTGAGTAAGAACCAGCAATGCAGGGTACTGCTCCTATGAGTCCTTTGAGTAGGGAAGACTTTCCGGAGCCGGTAGGCCCGGTGACGATTGTCAATGTAGAGGGGTGTATCTCAATGTTAACTTTGGTCAAAATCGGTGTTGTAGCGTCTGCGTATTTGAAGCTGGCATTGCGTACCGACAGACATCTTGTGCCTTTCATTGGAAGGGTCTCAAGCTCGAACACACTACCACTTGAAACGGCCTTTTCCGTCGCGACACCGTTGTAAGGGTGATCATTCTCTACTTCTGGTATTAGAAGGTAGTCCTGGATTCGCTTGAAACAACCTAGAGCAACTCCTAGTTGGGTGATTCCGTGGACAAAGACTTGGATGGGCTGAATGACTAAAGCAATCAGGGCGAGGACGGTGAAAGAGTCTGTTGATGTAATCGCATCACTTCCTGAGACCATTGTGAAAATCGTGAAAGTAAGGATCGGTCCGGCAATTGAGGGTATATTTGCTAGAAGTACCAGATCAGTAAATAATTAGAAGTCTGAGCAGGGATATGTACCAACAACATTTCTCCACATGATGAGCATCCGGGCCCCCCGAGCGCTTTCAACCTCGGCGTTGCGGAGGTCACATATCCGCTGTTGCACAAAAGAAGATATACCGAGCAGCTTAATGCTTCTAATTGAACCGAGGACTGACGCGGTAGTCGCAATGCGCTTCTGGACCGCCTGATTCCATTTCCTCTGACGTGGGGGTGAACGGGCGGCCACAACATAGCTGAGGTGGATTGCTGCCAGGGCACATCCAACCGATGCCAGGCATGCCAATTTTACTTGTTTCCCAAGGAAGAACAAGGCAAGCCCCACCTCAATCGGAGAGGCAAATAAAGCATCTAAACGCATCAAATTGTTACAGATGCTTTCTGTGTCGGTGCTCATTAACGTCAGCGCTGCTGAGTTGCTCACCGTAGCCGTATCAAGATGTTGCGTCTTTTTATATAGTGCAACCACCAGCATGCTTCGCATTATAGCAATGACACGATTGATCCCATGCTTATAGAGCGATGTCGTAACCTGAACATGTCAGCATAGCTATGCCTCTGCTTGAAATTGAAGCATACCGCCGTGCCCACATAGATCAGGACTGTAGCTCCAATAAGTGCCCGTCCAACCGCATCGTCTTCAGAGGCGGCAGAAGAGAGGTATCGAATCACACGATTTAGTAGCAACGGCTGGGCAATTTTGAACCCAATCAAACCAATCCGAGGGATTGCTGTCCAGATCAGGGTTTGTCGAACACAAGACAATGTCGCCAGCAGCAACATGTGCTGACCTCCATGGTGATACTTTTGTGCTGAATAGAAAAGCAATTAGCCCGAAACATCCCCTTGGTTGGGAACAAAAGCAGGACTAAGAAAATCGTAACATACCAGATTGCCATTTCGCACTAAATCTCGTCTGCACAACCTCGGCCTCAAGATTAGAGTCAATAGGAAAGAGATGGCCGAGATCCAACAAGCCGCGAGCACCACGAGCCAACAGGGGATTCAGCCACCAAAAGACAACTCGATTCACCATGCCCCCCTTCACCTCTGGCGGATAAGCAGCGAATGGCGGCTTCAAATACTTCTGCTTTTCCTGTAACTCCGCAATGAGCATCAAAAAACGAATACTCAACCCTGCAGTAAAAGTCCCAGCAATAGTCGAAGTACCACGGAGCCATAATGTCCGGGCTTGGACACCATCAAACAACGTGCTGAAAAAGAGATAGGAGCATAGCAAATTAGAAGGCGAGATGGATCGCATATGCTCATTCCAGGAAAGCACCGGAATGCTCAGTGAGCACGTCAATGACAGGCAGAGCGACGCAATGGTGGCTTTATTGCGATAATGCGGGGCCATTGCCCAGAGCATCAGTAAGGCAAGTTGGCTGCAGATCAAGGCAAGGCTCAGAATGATTTTCACCCAAATGGAGACCTTGGCATGCTGGTTCGATGTCAATCTGATTTTCGTGGACTGTCTGAGGAGCTGGAGCAGTCTCCAGGCCACTGCTGGAAGAAAACATGCTGATGGGATGATGCCGAACACGACTTGCTCGAAGAGGAGAGTAAAATCTAAGTAGTGGCAACCGTGGATGGGAGGCCCAAATAATCGGTCAGCTGCTGGGCTGCAAGAGCTTGCCATACTGGGGGTATCGATACCTGGTCAGTTGCTTCAAGGTGAGGGATGGATGTGGATTAAGTCCGATGCTTAGCCATGTACATTGGTACGACAAGCATTCGGATTAGCTAAACGGGGGGATTCTAGGCAGCAACACGAGGCTAGATTCTGTTGTGTTAGCTGCATTAGCTCTATGTAGGTAGAACTCGACAATTCCTTATCAGGCCTCTGTTTCACCAGTAGAATGGACGGCGGGGAAATGAGATAAGGCATCCTTGCTAGCTTGGTGCCAATGACTGACTGCCCATGGACCGCCGTCGGCGGGCAGGTGATAGGACCTGATAACATGGAGGAAAGGTGCTGAGAGCAGCAGATCTTTGCATACAGTGCTGTGTCAAGGCTAAACAGATTTCAGGAACCGGTTTAATTTAAGCCACTTTGCCAGATATAATCCAGCATTAATATTAGATCTAAGATAAAGACGACAACCGCCACCACTCTATTAGACAGCTCCTCCCTTCCCACCAAGTTCACAGAAAGAGAAGAAAAGGAAATCCTCAGATCTAAGCATAAAAAAATATGAAGGCCAAAGGCACATCTCGCGTATGGAAAGTACTGCATAGTGTATAGTATATATGTACGGTAAGAGATAAGAAATAGAGAGCATTGGGAAAACAAAAGGAGAAATGAATTCCCAATCTAAATCTAATCATACTCACACACTGATCATTTCACATCATCATATTCATTCATCATCAGTAATCTGCACTCGGTCCGCATATTCCTTGATTCGGGAGACAAAGGTCTCCTCGATTTGGTCGCCTTGGCCGCCTGCGACGCGGAGGATGAGATCATTGAGGGAGGCGCGGCCGAGAATGTCGACGTGGTCGCCTTGGTTTTCATTTGTTAGGATGGTATGTTTTTGATTAAACGGTAGGGGTGGAGGGATGGTATACCTGTGTTTGGCCCACCACGGGGCGAGAACCGATCCGGTTCATGCGGCATCTCAAAGACCTTGATTTTGACGCCGGCGGGATTATACCGCTTCATGCGCCAGCCCTTGGCGCACATGTAGCCTGTGCTTAGGAGGTTGACGGTCCCGTCGCCCTCGCCCATGAGGACGCCATGGTCAACACCGTCGCCATTGGTCACGGTGGTGTCGATGCTGATGTTCAGATTCACCAGAGGGTTTAGTTCTTCTTGGTAGAAGTAGCTGCGTTCAGTAGGCTTTCCAACACCGTAGAAGCAGTAGATCTTTAGGTCCGGCGCGAGCGGGAGACGGGCTTCGAGCGGGTTGAGCCATGTGCGGGGGTTGTTTTCGTTCTCTTCAACCTCCTTCGCTGTGTGAGCGACGCCGTGCGAGTAGCTGCTCAGCACTTGGTCGCGGTACCAAGTCTCGGACTCGTCCAGGAGGTAGGAGAGACTTTCAGGAACAGTGAGGTTCTTGCTGGTGCGGGTGGAGTTGCTCTCGCGGAAGTTGAGCACCGTGCCGTAGGACTGGTGCTGGTCCGGTAGGTCGTCGGGTGCCCAGGTGGCATTGCCCCAGACGGCTTCGCCACCCTTAGGAAGCATGCTGCTGATGCCAGGCATGGCGCGGAAGATCTCGGCGCGTTCTTCCTTGGAGAGGAACTTTTCCAGGCCGTAGACGGCGAACGCGTTGAGTTGAGCCGTGTCGCGCATCTCGCCGGACAGGACAGCGGTGAGGCCCTTGACAGCCCCGAGCATGCATCCACTGATGTTAATCCAGTTGGCGATGTGGTTGTTGACCCAGTCGCTGCCGCCGCCGCCGTGGTCGGGGTGCTCGACCCATTTGAGGAAATACATAACCACCTGCGAGCCCATACTGTGGGACGCGATGGTGACCTTCTCCCCGCCGACCTGGACGGCCGTCTCGATGTAGGATTTCAGCCGGCTGAAGTACTGGTCACGAATCTCGAGGTTCGGGTATGAGAGACGCCAGTCGTAAGCGGCGGTGAAGGCATTAGTCGGGTCGTAGCCGATGGTCGCGAGGTTCTCGAGGATCTTATTCCAGATCCAGTATCCCGTGATGAAGAAGTCCGTGGCATCGAAGCCCTGTGCCGCGCGGAGTTTGATGCCAGGGGGGTCCAGGCCGGTGTCCTTGTCCAGCATGATGTGGTTCTTCCACTCAGTCTTGTCGAGAACCAGCGCGCGCATCATGCTCCAACTGCCCCAGAGCCTGCGACGGAAGTATTGGCGGGAGTTGGCATCGGTACCCCAGCTCTCGAGACCAGTAGAGATGACACCGGGGATCATGACGATGGGGTGTTTGGCGTGGACGCCCTCGGCTTGGAGGTGAAGGCCGACGGAGAACGAATCGTAGCTGACCGTGTCGCGTTCATGTTGCTGCGGGCGTCAGTAAATCTGCTCCCCATCTAGCCAGCATGCAATTGGAGCGTACCGTAAACTCCCTCACATCGGACAGTAATCCCTGGGGCATGACATCCATCAACGACTCAAGATTCAAATCCATCAAGCTATCTAGATTGATCACATCCTGTTGATTGGCGAAGAGAACAGCCACAAGGACACCGAACAGGCCACCCAAGACGAAGATCAGCCCATTGCGGCGTTTACTCCGAGGTTTTGTGACGAAGGACTCTTTCTTGGGCTTGGGAGGCGGCGACTGCGACTGCGACTGCGACTCGGAATGCGATTGGGAGACATCGCGGGCGTCGGACGGCTCGGACGCGCCGTCCTTGGCCAAACGACGGCGGAGCATAATTATAGAATCGATGGCATGCAAGAGACAATCGAACAGAGAAAGAGAGAAAAAGAGAAAGGAAGGAAAGGAGAAAGCAAGCTATGTAACTACCTACCAACCAACGGAGGAGCCACCGAAAGAGCCGACGAACCAAAAAAGAATCAGGCACCACCGGAAAATCACATGTGCGGGAAAACGGACGTCATCAGATCGGCCCGCGCATTTTCTCTCTTTCTCTCTCTCTCTCCACCATCAATCACAACAGAAACAGACATCAGACTGTCAATTCCTCTGATCAGACTTCCCATCTATGTCTTTTCCGATACCACCGGTACCTTTACAATGACCACAATGAATCCTCCTACCCCAGACCAAACTACATCCACATCCACATCCACCCCCACCCCACCCACCAAGACAACACCCAACAACCTCCGCTACATCCGTTACAATGCCGCCCAAGAAGATGCCTACGTCCCCGCCATGCGCCAATTAATCTCCAAAGACCTCTCCGAACCCTACAGCATCTACGTCTACCGCTATTTCCTCTACCAATGGGGCGAGCTCTGCTTCATGGCCATGGACGACTCCCTTCCTTCGCCTATGGTCGGTGTCGTGGTCTCGAAGCTCGAGCCGCATCGTGGCGGGCCCTTGCGCGGATATATTGCCATGTTGGCCGTGCGCGAGGAATATCGTGGTCAAGGCATCGCTACGAAATTAGCTCGTATGGCTATTGATGCCATGGTGGAGAGGGAGGCCGATGAGGTGGGTTTCTTCCCCAATCTCCACGGTGTGTGGGGGGATGGGTGACTGCTATTGCCTATTCACGGATGGGAACGGTCTGCGAAGACTGGACTGGAATTATCATTCACCGGAGTTTATGATGAACTAACGGAGTTCGTGTGTGTATACAGATCGTCCTCGAAACCGAAACCACCAACACAGCCGCGATCAAACTCTACGAGCGTCTTGGCTTTCTCCGAAGTAAACGTCTCCATCGGTACTATTTGAACGGAAACTCGGCGTATCGGTTGGTGCTGTATCTCAAGGACGGGGTGGGGTCGATGAGGACGAATATGGATGCTTATGCGCCGCCGCAGTCAGGCCCTCCTTATCCGGTGGTGGAGTCGAGGGCGGAGATGGCCGGGGGGTTGATGGCGCCGGAGCCGGCTTTGTTGCATGAGGGGAATGGCAGGGGGTGGTAGGTCGATTGATTGGGGGGTAGATAGGGTAAGGAGGAGGGTTGGGCATGAATGACTATAACGACTATGCTATGTTATGATGAAGATATCCATTTGTTGCATTGCGGTGGGTTGGTTATAGATGGAGGAGACAATGGATGAAGTTAGGAGTCTGGTCAGGTCCAAGGCCATACAGAGGGTGAGCCATGGACCGGAGGATGTAAGATAATATTGTACACAAGATGTAAGGTATATAACAGGGTCATGGATCAAGGCATTTAATAAGGGTCGGTCTAAGGTTGACCCAGTAGATCAAGGAGGCATCAGCGACTTCCTCACCGGCACGCGAATGGCATTCTGGACCAGCCAGAATACCGGCCGTGGCACCTTCCTCCACTCTTGATCCAAGACAAGAGCCGCCTCCAACATGATCATCAAGGGTAGCTGTGGGCGGTACCAGCCCCCGACTGCAATGTCATGCTGCGCGAGCGCCGATCCCACCCGGATCTGCTGCTCCCGCTCTTCGCCGGCTGGCTTGAAGCCCGAGCACAGGTACGCAAGTGGGTTGGTGCCGTATTCCGGAGGTATATTGTCGAGCACGTTCATCTCGAAAGTAGGGTCTGGGCGATGCAGGTCCAGTCCCACAATGACCTTGCCCGCGGTCGTATCCCACATCGTGTGGATATTGATCTCCGTCTTGCGGGGGACATTCCGAATCAAGGAGGTGACGACCGTACGCTTCATATTGTACGTCACATTTCCGGACATGCACGCGTACCGCCACAGGACCCGACAGATATTATAGTATTGGCCTTTGTAGGCAACCAGGAAGAGCCGCTCCCATGCGCGCCGCTCGAGCTTCGTTTCCGGACGCTCCAGGCACCGGAAGAGATACCCGAGAGCGGTGGGCACATCCGCTCGGAAAAGCGACATGATTTGGGTGACGGTGGCACTGTTGAAGGTCAGGTCCTGGTGTTTGCAGATCTGAAATAGCCGGTCCATAGCTGCAAAGTCTTTCAGTCGGACAATGACGCCGAACATTTGGCTGACCAACGACGGAGCAAAACAGCTGTCGCCGCAAGCCTCGGCCGTCTTCCTGATGAATGAGTCCACGCTTTGGCCGCTTTCCAAGTGTGCCCGGAATGAATTCGGCAGAGTCAGGTGCAGCGCGCTCCGCATCGCACCGGTGTTGTCCAGGTACCCCCGCTGCACCATATAGTCGACGAGATCCGTTTTCTCCTTCGTAGAAATAACGCAGTCTAGCAAGGCGAGCCACGTGTGCGCGTCTGGCCGGATCTTCAATCGAGACATGGCCAGCAAGAAATGACGAAAGAACAGGAGGTCCTGCCTCTTAGCCGAAGACTTTAGCAGGATATTGAAGGTGTCCACTGTCGCAAGATGCTCGGCCTTGAGAAAGATGGCACGGGCAGATCTCAAGAACTCGTGGTCGAGCAGGTAGGTAATCGCGCGATTCAACGCAGCCGTCGAGATGAAGCTGTAATATTCTTGGTGCCGAAAGAGTTGCACAAGCCTCTTGGCCACTTGCCTGTTGTGGGGGTAGTGGATGTCCGAGTCGTATGACGGTTTCGACCTTGTCAACTCCTCCACATGTTCAGCGAAATCCCTGACACAGGTCAAGGAGTTGCCCGCAGGAAGAAGCAGGTGAAACTTTGCGGGGTTTGTCACTGCCGACTGTATGTCCCATACGCCGCGAACCAGCGGCACTGGAATATTCTGGCGCTTCATCGCCTCAACGGAAGGGATCACGGGAACAACTGGTTTCTGGATCTCGACCATAGGGACATTGCGTTCTTGAAAACCCTTCGCCTCCTCGATCTTGTCGCTGACCATCTCGACGACCCGCTCGGAGCCAGACAAAATCACCTTACGGAATTGTCCCTGACTCTGAGCCGGAGGCAGCACATGAACCTTGCACCCGTTATGAACCGGCACATACCAGATGTTCTCCTTCAAAGCCATGTCCGTCACACCGGCTAGAATGGCAAGGGTCTCCTCCGGCAAAAGCAATTCCTTCTGCTTGACTGCCTCTTTCACAGACACGTCCATATCCTTATTCTGCAGATCCTCGATAATCTCGCGCATGTTGATCCATTTATTCCATTTTTCGTCTAGACAGGAACGGGGTCGGGACTCCGTCAAGAACAGTCGATATCTCAACTTCCGTCGATCCCGGGGCGATAGCCGCCTTACAGCGATTGCTGGCGGTTCATCAGAGTCTGCCGCTGCTGATCTCATACCTTTCCGGCTGGACGATAACTGCAAAGGTTGCATCGGTAGATCGGAGAAAACGTTGAAAACACGTCTTTGTCGTTCGCGTTGCACTTCGATTGGAGGTGGCTCTCCGTCGTCTATTGTTCTGTGGAGCGTCGTGCCTTGTTGACTCTGTTCGTCGCCATTCCCCTCCTGTGCTGTGTCAAGTTGCCCTTCCTCTTCCAATTCCTTTTTCTCTTCGAGCAAAGTATCCTCTTGACTTTGCGCTTCACCGTCCCCATCCTGCAAAGTCCGAGTCTGTCCATTCTCATTCCCACTCCCACTCTCCACCGAAACCCATCGTCTCGACTCAGCCCCAAAACAAACTCTCGGTACCGGGCCCGACCTCCCAATCAGACTCCCCCTAGCAGCAGAAGTATTATAGAGACTCTTCCCTTTCCCCGCATGCCGAACCGAGGAAAAAAGACTCCGTTGGCGAACAGCAGCTGTAGCCCAGCGCGGGTACAGAAAAAGGAGTGGCTCTTCCGTGACGTTGTCTAGGACAGTAGATATACTACGTCTTTTGAGACATGGACGGCCACGAGATAACATTGGGGCTTTATATCATGGAAGGAAGGGAGGGAGGTGCCGTCCGGGGGTCCGCGGTGAGGTGAGGTGAAATTGGGGATCTAGCTTCGTCGAAACTTATCGGTGGGAGGCGGTCGGAAGTGGCAGATCTGCTGCTACGGGGATGGGGTGCCAAGAATATAGTATAGATCAATCCACTTGGAGTTCTACTTATCTAGTCCGTACTAAAGTAGGTAATACCTACAGATCCCAGAAGCTATGTGACAAATCCAACAAAAGACACTCCTACCTATACCAAGCACTAAATATAAATTAAGTAATACTACGGAGTAATAACATATATCAATACATCCCCCCCAAACCCAAACCTCGACCCCATAACTCCACTCCCTCCCCCCCAAACTCAAGAAGAATACTGAAAAATATGCCCTTCCCTACCAACCTCCGCCTCCTTCGGAATACCCTTAATCTCCCCACCATCATCCATCGGCTTAAACGAGAATTTGCCCGAGTATCTCGCCAACAAACTACCTCTCTTCGGGGCGGGGGTCAAATCCAACATATCCATTTTCGAATCGCGATTCTCGGTTCGGAGGACTTCAGGTCCGGTGAGATGGCGTCGAGCTGCCTCGGTGGCTTTTTGGAGATGGTCTAATTTGCGTTGAAGCTCGGTGGCTTCGGTTCCGCTTGCTTGGGATGTTTTTTGGGAGAGGTCGTCGATGACCTCCGTTAGGTGGGTGAGGAATTGCCAGCGCGAGGCTTGGAAGACGAACATGGACATGATTTCGGGGATCTGGGGTTGTTAGTAAGTATTTGTTGGTTTGGATTGGTTTCATGGGGAGGGGGGAGATGGGTGGAAGGAAGCTTACCTGTTCATGCAAATAGAACAACTCCTCCCCACCTTCGTCCAAAAACCGATCCAATGCGTCCACCTTCTCCCGATCTACAATCGCAACCCTCAGCGCATGCATCAAAGCTGGTATATCTGCGATTTCCTCCACCGGCGCCTCTTCCTCATCATTCACCTTTGTTGTCGTTCGACTCAAACTTCCATTCGTATAATAACCGGCCGACGCAGTCGTCATTCCCGCCTCACTCGCCGCCCTCTTATTCTTCCCCGAGTGGATCGTAAAGTAATCCTCATTCAACCTATGCGCCATCTCCAGTCCCGTCCGACCCCTCCTATCCACCAACCTCTTCACCCGTACCCGGACCCATCTGCGCCGGCGCACAAAGGAATGAAACCACGGATGCGAGCCATGCCATGCCCTGGACGCGAACGAGAACGAGTACTGCCAGCCTTGATCGTCCACGTCCCCGGACATATCGACGTACCAGGATCGCCAGGCCCATACCCAGCTGGGGTCAGGGACCTGCGCGTTCGTGATATCCACGGGACTGTCGCGATGGTCGGCGGTCATCCACGCGGAGGGGTCAAAATTGAGGAGAGAGCTGTGGGAGTATAGTGGGATGCCGAAGAAGAACCATCCGCGTTGGTTCTCGTAGAGGATGTCCAGCTCGGTGTTGGGTTTTAGGCCTTTGAGGGTGGGTGGTTTGGGCGCGGTGTTGTTGGTCTCCTGGGGGGCGAAGTCTATAGCTTCTACTTCTTGGGATGGGGGTGTGGGATGTTGGCTAGGGCTTCGTGATGGGGTGTTGGTGGTTGCTGTTTCTGTTGCTGAGAGGTCTCGGCCGTCTGAAGGACGTCTGCTAGCCTCTGCTGCAGCGGCAAAATCCCCGTTATCATCGTCATCAGCGAGGCCCAGCCGATCTGGTTGCCATTTGGCATATTTGCGCTTTGCGAGCTCGCTGCGAATAGACACTCGAGTCCATTTTCGGGAGACGTGGCTGCCGCCTGCTGCAGTGGGGGTGTCGGATTGACGCCGCGGCGCGGTATTATCGATGAGGGCGATATTGCCCGTATTCGGATCCATTATGAGCCTTCGAGGCTGTTCTTGGTAGTACTGCTGCTCAAGAAACCAGTATATAGATAAAGATCATTGCAAGAACGGGGCCATTCTGCAGGGAGCTAGACAGTACGTAGCCCAGATTAAAGGAGCACCAGACCCCAATTGAAACCGAGAAATAAAAAAGGAGATTAAGAATAGCAGACCACGAGGGAGGCTATATAAAGCGACGCGCCGATGTAAAAAGAACGACTAAGACACGCCGATTGGCATTGTGCGACAACTCACCAGGAGATCGCCGAGCTGAAGAAAGAGGACGACCAGGCAAGCAGGCAGGCAGGCAGGCAAGCAAGGCACTTCCCCCGATCGATGACATCGTTTGCGGGGCGATCGACGCGCTTAACTCCTGCGTTCTATCTGAGCCTCCTGGTGTCTGCCTCAGGCATTCATTACCCGCTATCTCGTATCTCCGTATCACCACCTGCACCACCACCACTTTCACCTCCGGAGAGAGCGCAGCCAGGACATACCTACCTAGGTCCTCCCCGACGCGTCCCCTCACCACCCCACACACCCAACCCAAAAACAAAGGTCAAAGAAAAAGAATTACCAGCAAAAATGACAACCGACCACCACCGCAAAATCGAACTCCAATCCGCCGCCGACTTCACCTACCTCTACGCCAACACGGTCGCGCTCTCACGCCAAAAACTCGATTTGCATCTTCCTCCCTCCACGAACCCCAACGATGGGCCGGATCCAATGCGCGAACGTGTTCGCGAACTAGTCGATGAGGTTTGTTTCCTCCCCCTCATTTCCCTTCTCCATCCCCACCATCACTAACCCAACAACAGTACATAAACCGCACCTTCACCTCCGCCTCCTCCTCCATCAGCATCAACGGACTCGATTCCACATCACCCGAATTCCCCTTCCCGGGTGCTTTCACCGCCCCCACAGAGCAAGTCGAGTATGAGGCGTATGACGGGAAACTGGCGGCAAGAGTGACATCGTTATATGCGCAGTTGGAGTCGTTGACGACGACGGTGGCGCAGTTGAGGCGGGATGCGCCGGGGCGGGCGGCGAAGGCGTATGCGGAGCAGTTGAGGCGGGCGATTCAGGAGGATGAGAATGAGGAGGAGGAGGTTGAGGAAGGGCAGGGAGAAGGAGAGGTTCAGGAGGAGGGGTTGAAGGAGGAGAGTCGGCAGAGTGCGGAGGGTGAAGAAAATCGGGATACGGAGATGCCTGATGTGGATGCGAACGCAAATGCGAATGCGAATTCAAGGAAGATGGAGACGACGCGGAGAAGGCCGATGACGAGGTCGCGCGCGAAGTTGGAGGTTCCGCTTGGGACGGAGCATGAGGCGGAGCGGTGGCGGAGTGGGGAGATAGCAGAGGTCTATGAGGATGCGTTGCGGACGTTGTTGCGGCTTCAAGGCGAGCTGGATGCTAGTGCCGAAGGGCCGGACGGGAATGCCCTTGCTTCGACGCTGGGGAAGGCCGAGCGAGCTGGTCGGGCTGTCGATGTGGTGGAGAAGAGGAAGAAGAAATAAGCATCTCCTGGGTTTACATTTACATCTGGCTTTTCTTTACTGGTATGGGTTGGCGTCTGCAGTGGAGGTTTGGGATGATACCATTGATTTACGGTGGCTTTACAATAATGAAAGAACGGCATATCAGGGTTCTGATGAACAAACACGCTCTATATCGCTGTATAAGTATAGACCCGATTCTACCCAGAGCATGCGGTCCACATAACAATTTTATCATCTGCCCCATTACTGCCCCCGCTCCAATCTATAAAAGCACCTCGCGCCGCTCATATGGTGTTTGATATCTGACTTCAAAAAGCACGACCAAAAGCAAAGACAAACGACGATGACAGGCTCGCGGGAAAGGCCCTACAGCAACTCTCGATAGCCTCTCCTGCACAAACCTCGAAAGAAAATAGAGAAGACATCCGTGATGTATCCTCCCCCAGCAACACAGCTCTAAAAACAAAAGAAGGGATATAGATTGGCAAGATAGTGCCCGAAGCTTTTACCATATTGATCCAAAATATAGAACGAGAAAACCGACGGTAGAAGAAACAATGCCTTTATGCGGTGGGCTGAGCGGCCTCCTGAGCCTCAATCTCCTTCTCCACAGCGGCCTCAGTCTTGGTCTCCTCCTTCGGGGCAGCCCACTTGGGGGTCTTGGCCCACTCGGACTCCTGCCACGGGCCCATGTCGCTGAGCTCGCAGCCGCCAGCGCACGAGCAGCTACCGCCGAACTCAACGGGGAGGTTCTCAGCGGGAACCTGAGCCAGCAGGTCCTTCTTGTAGCCGGAGCCGAGAACGTGGATCTTGTTCACGGTCACGGGGTCCAGGAAGCCCTTGACCACGTTGAACACGCTGCTGAAACCCCAGGGGGCGTTGATCAGGTAGAGCTTGCCCAGACGTTCGGGGTAGTAGTTCTGAGAGATGGCAGATGCCTGCTTGACGTATCCGTACACGGAGGGAACGCTGGTGATACCGACGCCCTTGAGGTCCATGATGGTGCAGCAAGTCTCGAGCAACTTACCAGCCTTGCGCGAGCAGGCGGGCAGACGGGGGTCGGCAAGCTTCTCATACTCGGTCACGAGGTTCTGGAGCATGCGCTCGGCGGTGGTGATCTTGTACATGGCGTTAAGGTCGATCTTGCCCAACTTCTCAATGTAGACAGGTCTGCCATCCTATTTCAGACCCAGATCGTTAGCGTCTCGACCAGTCGAGCGATGGAGAAAAAGCGGTCTGTTGGAATCACAAACCTTGTCCGTCTTGTGGTAGTACTGGGGGTAGTATTGGAAGACCTGGGCCTTCTCGTTGTATTCGAAGGTGCGGACCAGCTCGTCCGTGTTGAAATCTTTCCGCCACTTCTCAGTGTCGACGAACCTTAATCCCGACAAGCGGATGTTAGCGCGCGCCTGCAAAGTTCGGGTTTTATGAAAAACGGAGATATTGAGCGGAAGAATCATGAAACACGTGGTAAAGATGAGCAGAAAATGCACCCCTAACCCTTTACAGCCCCCGTATGGCATAGACTCCAGCCAAAAATGCCAACCGCAAGACTAGGCAGAAAAAAAAACGTACATGGTCTTAGCAAGAGCCACATCGAACTTGCGGGCTCTGAGGAAACGCAACAGCGTCAAGGTATCCAGTCTCTCGGTGTAGCCAAGCTGTTCCAGCTCGGACCGGAGCTGCTGCACCTTCTCATCCTGCTCGGGGGTAGTGTGACCAGGGTGGCCGGGCTGAGCTTCCGGCGCAGTGGTCGGGAAGTCGTAGTCGTCGTACTTGGACTGAGGAGCGGCCATTGTGACGGTGATGAGGGAATGAAGAGGTTTAAAGGGGAGGAAAAGAGGAAGGATTAAGAAGAGTTAATGGTCAATATGCCCGTGAACGGGATGGATGGTTTGGAGTTCAGGAGGGAGGAGGTGGAGGAGAAGAGAGGAGAAATTGGGCGGTGCAGGGGGGAGGGAGAGGGAGGGAGTGGGGAGGGACAATTAAGCGGGATGTCGCAGATAGCGTTAAGGGGAAGGAGAGGAGGAGGAGGAAGACTTTCCAGAGGATCGGGAACTGGAATTCAACCAAGAGACAGATAGAAGGAGGAAAATCAAGGGAGAGGCCAGAAGAAAGAGAGAAAGACGACAGACAACAAGGCGGACAGAAACAGCAGGCTAGACGGGAATCCGCAGAGCAACTTTGGAACCGCCGGGCACTCACTTCCTCTCACTTCCTCACTTTCTCATACTACTACGATTCTAACTTGCTACGGAGGACTGCTGAGGGGGTGACCGGCCTGAATTCGTTGCCTGAGATCGGAGGGGCGGCGCCAAATGCGGTCAATCAATCATCCTTCAGAGATCCTGAAGGCTTAGTACTGTGTACTACTTCGTTACCCCGAGATCATGGATTTATTGGCGAGATTTAGCGCCCAGGTCGATACCGTCTGTTCCTCATCATTGGCATCACCTGGTCTTCCTCTGAACCCGTGAGAATCCATCTCGGGGGGCGCTTCTCCGGTCGCCATCGACGCCCCAGCCGGCAGTGACGTAGGTGTCCTTGTCTGCTGGTGGTTGCCGGGCAGGTTGGCCGAACACCAACAGATCCCCTCCCCGGAGATCCATCAGAAGCGACTAGTACTTGCCTAGTAGTACATAGGCCTGGTATCTGCACGGCAGTTACAAACAAGGGACAGACAGCTCGGTTTATCACATCACTCACTCCAAAATGTATTTCATAGAAATATTCTAATGGCCCGGGTTGCAGACTGCTCGCGGTCATCCCACCACCGAGCATCCTCATTAAAAGCCATGTATATTTCAGCAAAAACCACAACGCTAAATCCAAGACATATAGGTACATATAAACACAGTGCGGCATGACGGGCGGCCCAACCGAACCTATGAAACAACGCACGCACCCAATCTCATCAAACTGCACTGGTCAAACTCAAGCGCAAATCATTCAACGGGGTATAGCCGTCGCAAGGACAAACGAAAAGAACACTGCCATGGCCACTCGCCCCCCGAGCCAGCGAGGAAAGAGTCCGGGGCCACGCCCGGGATCGACAAGCCGGCCGGCCCACCAGATTACCGCCCCGCATAGGAGACCTATCTTCACATAAACCAAAGCCACTGAAACAAAACACAACTCATCTGATGCATCCATGATCGGCCTCCATCCCGTCCGGGTGGGGTGCCGCATCGGTCAAGTATACAATCAATCGTCCATTCCCAGGTCATAACGTAAGATGGACGATTCAAAACAGACCACCCTGCCACGGTCTTCTATGCATGTTGGCCTGTTCCCAGTGCCAACTGTCCATCAAACCAGCGGCTTGATAGCAAAGGCTTGGGGCTGGAACCCGGCCTTGCCGCTCACCGGTGATTCTCCGCTCCGTTTCATAGACATCGTGATAAAGTGTAGGAGAGATGCCCCATAAGCTTCTCTTTACCACCCTTTCTTTCGTGCAAATCGTTTGTTCAACAGTAAAAGCACCTTCGAGACGTTGAACTGGACATACTCCAGATCCAAGTCCTCCTGGTTGTCCTTTTGCATCTCGAGCAGATCATCGAGCTTAAGATCGAGCTCCAGCAGGCCACGCGCACGACCTGTTGCATTCCAAGTTAGCAAGGGAATGGAGGCGGCGACAACAGCCATATGTTTAGATCTGGGCTTACCCTTGTAATGCAGGCTGATGACAAAAGTGCCTGGCAAAGGACTCTTGAACATAAAGTAGATGTTGGCTCGTCGGTTTTCGGGAACGTTGCTCTTCCGAATGACACCTTCCTTTTCAAGCTGCTGGTGTGTGAACTTGTACGGTCCGAGCTCTTGGTGCTTTTGCTGTTTCCGCTGCTTGCCCTCCGACTGGCTGCGGACATTGTGTAGATACGACTTGTACGTTTCCAGCTGGCCCACCAAGTACGCATTGTGGTCGCGTATGGTCGCAAAAACTTCTTCCAGCTTCTTCGTCTCCTCCAAGACCTTTTCTTTCAAAGAGCCCAGATGCACCAATTCTTGTTCCACCTCGTCACGAAGGAGACTGAAGTCATCGGAACGGTCAATGACCCCCATCTCTTGTAGTTGGCTGAGCAGCTCCATGGTGCGGATGCCTTTCCTGACCATGACCGCATCGTTTTTCAGGGTCGCGGCAGTCTCTGCAATGCGATACAGCCGGAGGGGGCGACGAGCTACCAAGGAATTCGGAGGTAGAGACCGTAAGATTTGGACAAAGGTGGATTTAGCTTCCATAAAGAAGACTTCTTCTTGGGTGATGTCGAGGGCGGCGGTCAAGTCGTCCAGAGAAGTCTCCCATCGGCTAAACAAGGGCACTGTGATCGTCCTGTTTTCCTTCCGCGGGACCTGCGGTGGCGCGGAGCCGAGCTCCTGGAGGAGTTCGTTGAGATGAGAATGCTGGTCTTGGGCCAGAGCTAAACTGTGCTTCTCCAACAAGGCATGTGTGGCGTACATCTCGTTGAGGGTGATCTGCAACTCAAGGTCGCGCTTCGAGAGCGCTACATAGTTGTCCATCTCCAAACTTTCGTAGAAATCCTGCACCTCGCACAGATCAAGCATAAACTTGTTCACACGCTCTTTATTCTGCTGGATGAAAGGCTGAAGCTTCGCCATATAGGGCTCCTTTGCGTAAGAAGGTTTGTTTGCCAAGTTTTGAAGCATCTTCGCAATCAGAGTCAACGTGCGGCGGGGTTTCTCCGTGGGCGTCGACTCGATCAGCATATACGATCGGGGAGTGACAATAGCAGGGTTGATGAAACGCAGGAAGAAGAAGCCTCCAATCAGAGTACAAATGGTCTGATCCTGGGCGTCCGGGTACTTGCGCCGGGACAAACTTCTAATCTGCTTGCAAATCCAGCGAATACCGTATGGTGTCTCATCCACGGAGTCAATGATGGTTGACAAGAAACGGTTGGCATGGTCGGTCAGCATCTTCAAACGTGGCTCGATGATGGCCTGCACCTGCGCGTTTTCTGCTGCAGCTTCCGCCGTAACAGATCTGGCGAGATGTTCCGGCAATGACCCTTGTTCCTCTTCGATTTGCTTGACCATTGTTTCGTACACCTTGAGCGGGTTGATCTCCAAATCCACATCGCGCAACTCGATCAGGGCGTTGATCTGGTTGGCAAGGACTTGTTTCAGGTAGCTCTGACCAGGACCACGCCGGGTGTAGGTGGTCATCATGCGGGAGACCGGAGTGTTCTGGCGCAATAGCGACGAGTACTCCGGAGTGTTGTCGAACTGGTAAGTGAGGACCGACTGAAACATGGTGAGAAGCAGGTGTTCTTCGCGACTCTCGTACTGATTTCCGTAGATAGTGAACATCACCGTTTGCAGGAGTGAATCAATCTCGGACATGGAAACTAGGCGACACAGGTGGGCGATATGGCGGGGTTCGGACTGGAGAAGGAAGAGAAGATTGCCGTACTTTTGCGTTCTCTCATCGTTAGGAAAGAATCCCTCCTGGGGATCTATGGCGTCGTCAAGGTGGCTGGCAACTTCATTTTGCTGGAACTGTGTTAAAAGCGAGGCCAAACGGGTGCAAATAGAACGATCCTTACTTCTTCCAGGGCCATACGGTTCTGGATCAACAGGGCTATCCGTGAATCCAAATACCGAACATCTTTTTCCAGCACGAAATTCTTCTTAGACTGTGATGAAATCTTCGACTTCAATTCGCGCAAATATATTTGAGCTGTTGCAGACAGAGTTAGCGCCCATGCATCAAAGTAGCAGTCTCAATTCAACGCAGCGACTGACCTCTCGCCAAATCATCTGATATTTCCAAGTCTCTGTCCTTGGCATTCATCGACATGTACAGTGCGGTGACTGACAGCCGCTTCGACTGGCGGAGCGATCGAGTATCGTGGGAAGACATGGTGTTTTGACGTGTGACAGGCTGAAACGAAGAAGATGAGGAAGTCGAAGCTCTCGAGGCAGGTTGTAGCATCGTAGCAACGGACATTATGTGGAGAAAAGGAGCGTGGTGAAGTGTGCTGGAATCGAGCAGCACACAATTAGGCGTTCAGGCGCGATCAATGCGAACGAACACCAGCCACGACAAGATCCCACACCTCCGATATAGCAATTGTAACAGTCTGAGTACCGGTCGCAGGATCAAGTGTTAGAGCCCGCCGGTCATCTGGAATGAGACAATCGATGCAGCGACGTTACGCAACAGGCGAGCCGAAACCCCTTATCGCACGCGTGGAGCAACTGTAGCCGGGAGGCGAACGAGGGAGAATGATGTGCAAGTGGCAGACGAGTACGGTGGTGACGAGTTCTGAACAGTAGACGCCGGTAGTCGCGAAGGAAAGGGAGCAAAAATAGGATGGAGAAAAAAGCAACGGGCGATCGGGATGGAGGATTAACGAGAAGCGGAGCGCGATGGATGCGATCAACAGGAGGCGTCTCAGATACTCTCCGGGCGGTTAAGAGGTCGATTGGAGGCAACGAGATGAAGATGCGACTAATTCCGCGTTGAGAGGGACGGAAGAGGCGAACGGTGATTAAAGATATGGGAGCGGTATGGAAGAGGAAATTTCCACGGCCGAAGAAGGAAGGAGGCGCAAGGCAAGGATGAGAGGATTAATTAATGGATAGATGGCGAGAGACTGGAGGGGGGCAGGAGAAAGATGCCGGTCGGATCATGCAGAGAAGGAAAATCAATCAATCGGGGCCACCTCCCCAGGTTGGAAGCAATGCGGACGAACTCAGCAGGGGGAATCGGAATGATGGCACTGAGTGGATTGGAGTAAGAAATAATAATAATAGAGAAAAAAAATAAAAGGAGAGGGCACAGGAACAATCCGAATCAACTTTGAAGAATGGAAAAAAAAAAGGATATCAGAGGGAGGAGACAGACAATGATGATAAAGATGACGACGACGACCAGACAAAGATTGTAGGTGAGTAAGTAAGTAGAAAAGAAGAACAAGAGGAATCAAAAATAATGGGGATTGAGCCGGTGCTCCAGATCCAGGAGAGAGGGGATACTGGAAAGGCACAAGATGGTTCGCGAGTGGACAAGGAGGGGAGAAATAAATCCGTTAGGGGTGGAGTTGGTTTCCGTGACTTGCAGCGGACGGGATAGAAGCAGGTACCAGGAGTTGTTGCTGGTAAAATTCGTCAGGTTAAGTATCTAGTATTTAGTATATAGACATGCATCTAGTCTACAGCTGCAGTCATCTCAAGGTTTGATTATTATTATTTTATTTTTCTTGAACTTTGAACATTGTCCCCCATTCTGTGTTCACTGATAAATCGTCCTGTAGGTTCTATCCATGGATTTAATTTTCTGGGTTTGATTTTGCAATGCGCCTGAGAACAGCACTGCAGCATACACTAAATCCAGTGCATGAGAACCGAGGGGGGAGGGGACCGAGGGAGGAGAAGGAGGGGGGGCACAAGGGAACGGAGCACAGGGTGGTCCAACGGTAGAACAGATTACATGATGGCCTCTCCACCAGGCAGCCCCAGAAAGACCCAGCAAACAATTCCTGTTCCTGAATTTGGTCCCTACGACTCAAGTCACTCCAGTCAGTCCCCTCCGAATTTCCACCCACCCATCAGCCCTCCTGAGTTCTTCGCCAATAACAATGCAAACCAGGCCATCCGCATCCAGCTGACAGACAGACAGACGAGGTTGAATTAATCAATGCGTCATGACTGTCAATCCAAGACAAAGAATTTAGAGACATTCTCCAGGTCAGATGTTTTGGATACAATAGCCATGGATGGGGGAATAATTTAGCGGTCGTCCAATTCCATTTACCGTTTTGGGCCCTTTTCACCCCTCCTGCAAACCTTGCGAGCAGACCGACCGACTCCTTTAATTCCTCTAGGATTATCGCTAATCAAATAAAGAAAAAAAGAGAAAGAAGAAAAATTGATTATAATCATCATCATATCAGCCCATCCACACTTACCTCACTCACTCACTCACTCACTTACCTCACCCCTCATCCGGATCTACTCCGTACTCTGTCTTCCTTCAAATAATGATATCCGGATGATCGTCTGCCGAGCACTGGCAGCCCTCGACCGTCGGATGGTGACCATGCAAGACGACGCAAGGGGAATCCAGCGGAGCCACCGCTTGCACGTACCGGGGCAGATAGTCGGGCGTAGGCTCGGGGCTAAGACCCGACCCTAGATTAGAGGCGAGCATTGCACAGTGCAACCACTCGAGATGCTAGCTCGTAGGCGCTTAGCGGGCCTCTTAGCACCGCCATCGCATGGCACATTCCAAGGTTTGCAGGGAAATTTTTAGTTTCGCATTGAGTCCCGGTCAGTCCCCTGTCCCCATCCATCCGTCTTACCCCTGGCCCAATGCTCCTCAGTCCACGGGTACCTGAGTTGCCGTGGCCCCCCTCTCTAGTCTCTACTACGTAGTAGCAGTAGTCTCTCGGTCGGTCGGTCGGCCGGGAAGGGAGAGGGGAAGCGAGCACTTAAGAGAGATCTGCTGGACGCAACACTGCACTAGTCCATGCTACTGCTGCACACGCAACCGTGCAGATGAAGTGGAGGAGGAAGAGGAAGAGGAAGAAGAAGAAGAAGAAGAAGAAGAAGAAGAAGAAGAAGAAGAAGAAGAGACTGGCAAGCAAATCTTAAGTCGGCCGATCAGTACTTTCTCCGTAGATTCTTAATTTCACCTGGGATCCCGTCATGGGTGTAGGTAGACTGTAGTCACTGTGGTGGTTAGTACAACCATGTACTACTAGTACTAATTCTGGGGAGGGGAGGGGGGGCAAATTGCGGTAGTTCCTCCGTACCTGCAGCAAGCCATTCAATCTAACTTTAGCCACCTGTCTAATGTCTATATGAGTCGGTACCACCGGTTCACAGCCGTCTAATAAGATTCGTGGGAGTCAAATGCCGGGGGAAGGGGGCGGAGTGACTGAATCTTAAAAGGACCCAAGTTTCAGATTCGCACACACGAGACATCCATGGATGGGAACGGAGTGTAATAATTTGACGCCCGGGTGTTTGCTTTGCGGATTTGAAATCACTCGTGTGCCGGGATCTTGGCCTATCATTGGTGTTTTTTTATCTCCCACCCCTGTCTGCCTCAGGTATTTATAAAAGTTCAATCAAACAGGAACAGTCACGGGGGTATGTCGCTTTGGCCCACCGTTCTCCGGCTTTTTTTTTTTTTTTTTTGTTTTTGTTTCTTTTCTTATGCATCATATTCAGATACGATCAATGCATGGTTAAAGTAATGAATACGAGGAGATATATCGGAGCATGTATCCCAAATGAGGAGTTGAAGCAAGGTCATGACTCTGCAGCATAGCATAATAGCATAGCATTGCGATGCGAGACATTCGCGATGCACAGAGGTGGATAGGATAAGCCGGTGCGAGTCAGTAAGCGGGGTCCAAATACATACTAGATACCTACTACAATCGCCTGTCTTATCAGGATCGTCTATCTTGCACTCCTGCTTCTTGCATACCGGAGTTTCTGGGTACACAGTATCTATCACGGGGTTGCCACCCACCCGCCAACTCTGCAGCCAACGTCTTGGCCATGATATCTCTCAACAATAGATGCCGTAGGAAGCAACCCGTGAATGTCCTTGTGGCTTATCTACCTAAATAGGTAGGTTCTTGGTATTCGGGATGGATGTAGATCGACAAGGGAGTCATCATTCTCAGACCTTGGCGGGCTTGGAAGCAGTGCAGTCAAGTCTGCCATAGAGTGAAAAAGTGAAAAGAGTGCGGAGCATCCATACGATCCCAACACAGCACGAGTCATGAAGCAAACCTGAATTGAAACACTAGCATGATTACGCCCCGCGGTATACACGATAGTATGGAAGCTTATCATAATACATACACACTACATTATCCCCATATTGTGCACAACTGTCAAAAGCAAAGATAGATCGACGACCCTTCTACCCTGTTTATATCCAAAACAGAAATGAATATCATCATCATCATCATCATCATCATCATCATCATCAGCTCACCTCGCCATGCATGCATGCATATGCGCAATCCATCCTGCTCCTCGGACCATAGCGTTAGTACAAATCATACTTACTGTCAGAGACTGAAACGAAAATTTATACATACAGAGAAGACAAAAAATATAAACCAAAATACATAGAGTAAAAGAAACACACTCACAAAATGCACATACAACCAACCCAACTTTAATCTAGTAGAGTTCAATAGTAAGCAGCTGTCAAAAAGCAAGCATATCCCTATTATGCAAGTCAACCCGCAGTCTGATGTCATGGGTCCCCCTGGAATAGTGAACCAGATGTCAGCATTAGAGAGATGTATGCAGGTGAGAACCACCGTGTATCACCTTGGAGAGGTGGGGACTGGCAGGATACAGTGACACATATGCATGCACCTGCATCTGCATCTGCACCCCAAATTTCGATGCGCGCTGTCGGTGACTGAGGGAGATCCTGTCTATTAGTAAATCTTAGGGGGTAGAGGCAAGAAGATGGCACGCTCTTTTCCTTTATAGCTTGTTTGATGGAGGCGGGGGTCGGAAGGCACTTCCACGAAAGTAGGATCCGTATCAACGTCAGGTTGTGTTGACTGTGATGCTTCTCGATGGTTTGATGCTCAGGGTGTTGCGTTTCACTTGTCTAGTCTGACCAGTAGTCTGAGGATGCTTTCGTCCGGCTCATCACCAAGGTTTACGCTTTGGTTGGTTGGTTCCATCTGTGGTTTAAGAGTATAATGTAACGAAGACTACTAGGTCCTGGCCTGCAGAAAGCCCCCAGCCCAAGGCATTGTGAAGCTGTCGGAAGAATAGCTGATGTTGAAAGAGAGCGAGTCCTAATCTATGAGTACAATTACTTCAAAACTCCCGCCCCCCTCCCATATGGATCATACGACCAAAATAAATTCCGGGCATAATTCTCACAGCCAGGTATGAAGCCATGATCTCCGAAAAGGTTTACGATAAACCCCCAACGAGCGCCGAAGGCAACCCAGGCCCTCCCTCGCTCATTGACGGATTTTACCGCCTCGCACGTTTCCCTGTCATTTTGCAACGACAGGATTTTCCGGTGAAATGCCAGTCCATATTCGGTCTGCAAAAAGTCAAAACTACTCCAGTTACAAAATGGGGCATAGCAAGTACCAGATAGTCGGCCTGGTTTGTTTCACGAACGACTACATTGACGTGCGCCCCCAGAGGAGGAATTTCTGCTTCGTCGACGGTGTCTATTGCCCAGTCAGCACTTCTCCTCGGGTAGAAGCAGAAAGAAGTCGAGGGCTACCATCTCGATGGAGATACCAGTTGATGAGTCGGAACTGTATACGGACTGACTTTGACCAACTGAACAAGTAGCGTATACAGGCTTGTTCAGCGGTCTCCCGAGACCAATTGGGAGTCCGACATTGGGTGGCCGACGCTTGCAGTAGGATGTCATGCTGATAAAGGGCACGTTGAACGTGGAAAGCCTTTTCGGAAATCAACATGTTGTGACCGAGCATTTCAAGATTCTGGGTTGGTAGTTCGTTTCTAAAATCAGCAAGATACTTCGAGGCAAAGAATTCCACGTGTTTATAAAACCGCAGCATGTCCCGTGCCTGCCTCGAAGACGGAGTCGGGGTGTATATCATGTCACTAAAGCGCTCCCACATTTCATAAATGACATCTGCGCTCTCATTCTCCCACCAGTCTCTCTGGGATACTTCGTAGTGGAGATAGGCTAACGGCCAGAGACGGGCATCAACGGACTTTTCGAACATCTTTGCTAGCAACACCTCGCCATTGGCGACCCATGCCAGACAAGTTGCGTCCTTGACGGCAAGCAGACGGTGCAACGAGTCGATATCGAGGCCATATCCCAGGATCGCTCGCTGGATGTCGTCGGGGAGCGCATGGAATTTCGGCACCTCGCCCGGCCAAAATGGCCCCATCTGATGGATGGTATTTGAACAGTTGAGTGTGGGCAGGATTGTTCGAACAGTTATTCTGTTCTAGGTAGAGATGGTCTGATCAAATGACGACCTTCAACAAGGTAGCCTATAATGAATGCATGCCAAAGAGGTACAACGTAGATTCATCCACGTCGTCGAGATTCTTCTTCGCAAGTATACTTGGCAGGAGCTCGGCTAGCCGATCTGTAATAGGAAGGCACTGGGGAGCGCTGGCATCAACGCTCTACTTGGAATATGATCGTATGACTGCGATGGGCTAAACTGCCCATCAGCCCGACTTTGACCGGACTTGGGGCAACGCGAAGTATATAAGAGCCGATTTGCTGAAGAGAAAATATCTAACGATGAGTACGTCACGTCTACTTGGATCCTTGTCCAAGTTCCCTACTGGTACTTTAGAGAAGCCCCTCGAGTCTCCTCTCTTCTTCGCTCTCTTCCTATACTCTCACAGAGGATCCCTCGGGGCTCTACTCAGCGCATCAACATCGGAGGCATCGCAGAACCGATCCTCAAGGCCTGGTTGAATCAGATCGAATCATGGGATCATGCTGGTGTTGGGGATGTGTTGTTTCTGAATGCATGCTCTTTTGGGGGGGATGGGTCAATAATGCATGGACATTTCCCCATTATACTATCTTATGTACTTCATAGTATCCAAGGTGGGTCTGTGCATAAACGAGGAATAAATCCTCGGGCTGAAGAACCCCTGCGCATTCCTGCATGAACCCTAATTACATCTCAAAGCTTAAACCTATCTCAATATGGCAATTGACATGCCAAACCATAAGATAGATGCACATACACTTACATCAAAAAAAAATATTAAGAAACCCCCAAACACACCCATACTCTGTACTCCATAGCCTGCAATAACTTTAGCCGCAATCACATGCCAAATCCACACCAGTCCGGCCTATCCTATCCTCTTCTCCCCACTTTATTTCTTCCCCAGCATTTCAATTCAATCCAATCCAACCATCACCCCAAACATCTACTCCAATCCAACCATGCCCTCCCTCAAAGCCCCTACCTCCTAACCTACAACACCATCAACACCCTCCTCTGGTTCCGCATCCTCGTCCCCATCTGCCTCTCCCCTCTTCAATCCCCCAAACAACCTACACCACTCTCGAACCCTGGACAAGATGGACTCAAACTCTCGCCATTCTTGAGATCCTGCATGCAGCCACCGGTAAGCCAATCCCCTCTCCACCACCATCACCACCAAACAAAACCCATTAATATCAAACAGGCCTAACCCGCTCCCCCATCTTCACAACCTTCACCCAAATCTTCGCCCGCAGCGTCCAAGTCTGGGCCATAAATCACTCCTTCCCTGAACTAACCAGCCTCTCCCATCTCTACAAACCAATGCTATTTGCCTGGTCCCTGGCAGATACAATCCGGTATTTGTATTTCGTGGTGTTGATTTCCGGGTGTAAGGTACCACGGGGATTGAGGTGGTTGAGGTATATTTCCCCTCCCCCACCCCTCCCTTACCTATACTCTACTATACTATACTGTCTATACTTGACAAATATATGGAGGTAGCTAAGAACGATAACTGAATATCCGGCGGGGTGTATAGATACTCCCTCTTTTTGGTCCTCTACCCCATCGGAATCGGAAGTGAATGGTGGTTGATGTTTCGGGCTACCGTTGCGGTGGAGAATTGGGCCGTGAAGGCCCTGTTTGTTTTCTTTTTGGGACTTTATGGACCTGGTATGTTGTTACCTTTTTCTTTTCTTTGGGATTTTGTTGTTTGGGGGGAGGGGTGAAGGTGGTGAGCTGATTGGTGGTTTGTAGGATCTGTTATGATGTATTCGTATATGGTTAAGCAGCGGAAGAAGACGTTGGCTGTTCGTGCTTAGGCTTAGGCTTGGCCTTAGACTTAGAACGTGAAGATTGAAGATTGAGGGGAAGAGGATGGAGAAGAGAAATGGGTGCAGCTGGAGCTTAAAGAGACTGAAAATCATTGACTACTAGTCTTGCATCTTAATTCGGGTATCGCTATGCATTACAAAACTATGTCCATGCCCATGTTTTTGCGCACCAATCAATTGACAATACAACAAAATCCGCCATCCAACGTTCAACATCACCGGAAGGTCATGGCCTTTCCAGCCATCTCGCGTTTCTGCTTGCGCACCCCCGACGGCGCCTCCAGTGCCTTGGCGTACGGGTTGTAGCGACGCTTGGGCGGCAATCCCGAGGCACCCTGGGCGGGCTTGGGGTTGAACACGGATGCTGCCGACTCATAGTTGAATGGGGCTTCCTCCTCTTCTTCCTTGGCGTCTTGCTCAGACTGTGGGGTTCCAGAAGCCGACTTGTTCTTCTTGTCCTTGCGGCGCTGTTTCTTAGACGGCTTTTCTTCGATATCAAACGAAGAATCGGCATCGGTGGTGGGTGCCTCGATTTCGGAGGACGCGGACTGCTCTACAGGCGTAACCTTGCGCTTGCGCGGACCACCACGTTCCTTGACGGTAAAGTACTTGTTGTCCTCCTTTTCTTCTTCGACGGCCGGAGCAGGGGTGGCGGGCTTCGAGGGTGCAGGTTGGGCGGGAACAAGTTTCTCGCGGGCCTCGGAAACGGTTCGGGGCATAGGTGGTAGAGGGAGGGAGAGGCGGAGAGCCTCGGCCGATGCAACAGCAGAGTATTCGGGAATCGCAGGCGGTTCTTGCGAGTCCAGCATAGAACCCCAGAATTGAGAGACTTCGTAGCGGGAGGCAGTGGGAAAGTCGGTCTCCTCTGTGGTGGACGGGGTGGAAAGACCGGCAGCCTCTGCCGCTGGTGTGGCCGGAGTACTCTTGGTTGGCTTGACGTACACGTCACGCCATTCCGGGCCATCAGCACCTTCGAGCTTCGCAGTCTTAATGACTTCGAGGAGGTCTGCGGCGCGCTGCTGAACAATTGGCGTCACAGGCGACAATGTGCGGAATAAGGTGCCCAGATCGAGCGGCATGGTGTGAGCAACCCGGAAAAGAACGTGCTTCGGGAATACACATTGCACACCCTCATCTTCTTCTCTAGCGACCTCGTCGCGCCACTGGTGTACCGCCTTGAACACAGCAAACTGTTCCCTGCTGACCACAATCGAATTGCGCGACAGAAGGTCGTACCAGCCGCCGGGCCCTTGTCCAAGGGCAGAGTCGTAGACGGGACGCTCATATATCTGTAAAGCTTCCTTCTTGGACTGGTCGGAAACGTAGTCGACGAGGTTGTTGTCGGGAACGGAGTTTTCGACAAGCTCGTTGCGCAGGTGGTCGTAAACATAGAGGAGGTAATGAGTATCCGAGCGAGCATAATCAAACATGCCCTCCGGGATCGGCCGAATGCGCCAGTCGGCCATCTGGTATCTCTTGTCGGCTTCAAAGTTGACAAACTTCTGCAACAGGAACTTCAAACTGCGTTTCGGGTAGTTCAAAGCGCAAGCAGCATGATACGTATCGAACATGCCAACAACATAAAGGCCCAAGTCGCGCTGCAGCCAGATGATATCCATCGAAGAACCGTGAAGCACCTTGAGAATATTCGGATCGGCAAACACTTCGTTAAGAACCTGAAGCTCCTCCCTCCACGGCTTAAGCGTGTCGACAACCCAATCTTTATCGCGAGTGCTAATCTGCATCAAGGAAACCAGACCCTGATACGAGTGCACATCGTGATGTTCCAAATCGATCGCAATCTCCTTCGCGGCCTTCAATTCCTCCAGCATCTCCTTGACACCCTCCATTGTATCCACAAAAGTCGCCTTTGTCAACTCCCACGGCTGATAATCGGTAGGGGGCGAAACGCTGTAGGACGAAGCGGGGAATTTCGCAGCCCGAATCTCAGCTTCGTAGGGATTCACATACCCGACCGCGGAATCGGAAAACTTCAGCGAATCCTCCAATGAAACCGATGCATGCGGCTTGGTCTTCAACAAGGGCTTGAAAGGCGAAGTATCGGTATTATCGGCGGGGCGCTCAAACTGCAATTGAGGCTTGGGAATCTTCGACGGACCATAGTCGTACACGGTGGGAAATTTCGCAGCGGCCTTCTTCGTGGCCTTCGCGGCGGCCTGTTCCTGTTGCGAGGGGCTTAATTTCTTAATCACTCCGGTGAACTCATCCAAGCACGCGTCGGCCTTTTCCAAAAGCGCATCGATAACATCTACCACGCCGCGCCAGTTGTCTTCAATGGCATCTTCGTCGTCCAATGTCGGCGCAGACACATCCGTACCGGCGGTGGCGGCTTTCAGGATCGAGGAAGTGAGAGACAAAAGTCGGCTGTTCTGCTCATCCAGGGAATCGGAAACCTCTGCGTTCGAGGAGCGATGAAAGTCGATATCTTCGGCTGAAAGCTGACCGGCGGTGCGCGTCACTTGCATCAGGGACGACTGCACGCGTTGCTGGAACGGACCAAAATCTGCCGCGGAATCCATAGTGAAAATCAGAGCCTGGCAGACCCGTTGGACTCAACTGATCTGGCAGCAGCAATGGTAACTGGACTTCCAGGATAAGAAAAAAAAGCAGTCGGAGGTGGAGAAATCGTCCCGCCGGCGTGGTGACCGCCTGCCGGAAACAGACTAGTGATCATCACGGGGGATCTCAAAGATGGATTACATAAGGTTCGATGAAGATGATCTCAACAGCCAGCCAGGTTTCAGACAATCGTTGAATGCAGCATATATAGACGGACATAGATTCACCTATCTCGGGCCTTGCATGTTTGTGAACCACACTACCTGATTCCTTCAGACCAAGATGTCAGCTTCAATCGCCCCCGAGTGCAACGATATCAAAGAGTACGATTCACCAGAATACCTGGATCTTATATCCAATCAACCCAGCTGACCAAGAGCTTAGAAAGTATGACACATGTTTCTTGAAATGGTACAGTGAGAGTAAGTCCTATCATTGAATCACCAGTCACAGCCAAGTCAAGTTGTTAACCGGCACGACGCAGAATACCTCCGTGGCAACACCACCTCCAATGAATGCGAGGAGCTCTTCACCAAGTACAAGGCTTGCCTAAATGTACGTCTCAATCAGTCCAGAAGCCTATTACTCAAACCTATTTGCTGACCAACCCTAGCTCGCTCTGAAAGAAAAAGGCATCGACAACATGCTCGACGATGCACGAAAGAGTATGAAGGACAGCGAGGCCGGGAAGAGCTGATGCTGCCATCTTCACTTCTATTCTTTCCTGCATCGCTTCTCTTCTCACTCACAAATACATTATCTCAGGAGATGAGGATATGGCCATCTCCACTCCGACTAAGCGGTTTCAAAAAGGCCCCAATCCCGCCCTCAAGCAGCTATCTCATCTCTATGTTGTGGGATAATTCTGTCTCATCAGCTTCTGCAAATCCGAGCAAGAACGACTCATATGATTGTACTATATGTTGTTTTGGCGTTGTGGCTGCATCTTTCTAGATACTCCTGCTTTCACGACAGGATTATGGCATTGAGCAAATGTGGCTCGTTTGTGGCATAGAACACGAGCTATGTATCTAGTCTGTACTATATCTGATGTAACATTCGATATTGTTCTATCCACATTCATTCTCTATTAGAACTAGCTGGGTGCTCTATGTATCGTGCATCAACATTATTTACTATATGATGTAAGACGACATAAGTCATGTACTATCGATGTCCTCGCCGCCTCATATCACCCTGTCCGAAAGCCCCCGGGACCTTGAGGATCCCGTTCGCTGCAGTACCTATTCCTGCGCCCATGGACGAGGAGCTACTGCTGCTACTGCTAGTCTTGCGAGGCTGTGTTAACAACGACCACACCTCTGTCATTGTCGCTCGGCGTGCAGGGAGCATGCTGTACTGCATACCGTATAGGTTGCGCCGATGTATAGGAGGCACGAAGCGGCCAGTCACAAGGCAGAAGATGACCTGGGGCGCGAGGTAGTGTTTTCGTAGTCGGTGGCCCAGTTGGAAGTATTGATCGAACATGGCACGAAGAGTAAGAGGAATAGACTGTTGGGTCAATATTTAGCGATTCGATAGGACAAATGCGCTTACCTCAAGGTGGATATAAGGCACACTAGCGCTCGACTTGGTTGTCGAGCATTTATCGTACTCTTCACGAAGCTCAAAGTGGATTCCACCTGATCAAAGTTAGCTAGCCAGCCCTGGATCGGAGTAGTCAACGCACCTGGCAATCTCCGGGAGTCCTTGACTCGCAGCATCAAAGCAAAAAGCGGGAAATGGTTCAAGAAAGCCAAGCACGTATCAAGTGCCGCTTTAAGCGAGATGATCAACATCCGCGCGCTCGCAAAGGCGAGATAGAAGACGATAACGGTAGGTAAGAGGAAGAAGAGAACGGTAAACAAGATTGTTCCAAGAAGAAGTTGATCAAGATCGTAATCGCATGAGTCTATACGGTTGCGAAGCACGTTTCGCTTCTTGCCGCGGAAAAGATGGAAGAGAGATATGATGATCGTAAGCTGCCAGTTGAAAATCCGTGCAGATGCGATGTAGAAGGAATAGATATGGACTGTCAAAATCGACACAAGGTCAGAAAATAGGGCAATTGGCATGCTTGCCCCCGCGAAGCTGGAACAACCAACGACGTATATGACGTGTGGTAGGTAGGGTTGAAGATTCGCAATACAAGCTTCTAGAACGTCAGTCCAAGGTCCCGAATCGAAAGACTAGTAATCGAAGCATACCTGCCCAGTTTTCGATCACCCATAGGAAGAGATCACCCAGGAATGCAGCAAGCTCGTTGTTGAGCTTGAGACCAGCCGGCCAGTCCATCAGCCAGGAGATGGTACGTTGCAGCCCTTCCACGGTCCAGCCCGTCAGAACAGAATTGATTTGAAAGGCCACCCAGTTGGCGTTGTCGATGATGTACGATCCCAATGCAATGCCGATAATCACGTCGTTGGCGACGAGCCACAAGCTGTTGTAGAACCGAATGTAGTCTGGATGACTAGTCGTCACACTCTCCCAGTTGTCCTTTCTCTGGCGTAGTTTCACATACTGGATTGGCCAGTAACAGAACTGCTGGAGTCGAATATCCACCTGCTGAGCTGTCGCTGATATATCTTTCAGGGCAGCGGCGTCCGGGCGGGCACGCCACTCCAGGATTTGCAGCACTATCTCCGCAATTGTACGATGGAAGACGAGCCCAACGATGAATATGCGGGTAATCACCGGCCAGATCCATTGCCAGAAGACATAAGAAACCCCGAGAACGACTAGGTCCCACAGCGTAGTGGCGGACTCTACGACCCGTTCACCAACACTCATGCTTCTTTTGACACGGATTCCGACCAAATGGCTATTCTTCTCCATCAGCTTCCCCATTTCATATGCGCAGTTAACCTGGTTGATGATGAGGGGAAGTGCTTGTTCCTTGGAAGAGGGAACATGCTTGACAACCGTGTGAAGCTTCAGCTTTTCGACCAGCTTCACGGCTTGACTCTTACCCCGCTCCTCTTCGGTATTGATCTGATCAGACACATCATCGGATTTGTCCGCACCAAACACTTTGTCACCCAATGCCAGGGAAATCGGCTCCAGGGACATATACTCCATCCTGGTCGGATGAGGCCGATTAAACATGATGACCTGAACAGAGAGGTTCGTTTCGGGTGGACAGAAGATCCGAGGAACCTTGCCCGACGACTTTGTGGTGACATAGAGATGCGACGGATTGAAAGCCGTTGGCGGATCCGGTGAGTTGGTTGATCCTAGAACATGCATGGCCGATCGTCCACATAGGGCGAATATCCGCACAATAGGATGAGGGCTATTGCGGAATAGAATCCCTGCCCGTAAAGCGTTGTCGACATTTCGAGGCTATTGGCCAAACATTAGCTGCCAGCAACCTCTAGCATAGACGCATAGAACCAGCTGCTCACCTCCACATCCTCCAGCACAGTCAACACGAACAAATCCAACTCCGAGTTCCGCCATCCAACAATCACTCCCGGCGATGACGACCGAGGTAGATCGTATGGCCAGAATACCCGTAGCAACCCATCGCTCATGAGCATGTTGACATCCTCCAACCGCTATCAAAAGGAGCCTCGACGGCGGAGTTGTTCGCGAGCGGAGACGCCCAGGTGCACGTATCGGGGATGCTAATCACAAATCATCAGCCTCGGACCTGAGAGCAGTATATCTTCCCGACACCGCGAGAATCGGGCCAGTGTAATGTCGCGTACCAATTCACCTTCAGTCGCCGCAAGATGATTTATAGGAAGGACAAGAAGGAAGAAAAAGACCGATAAAAGGAGGAAGCCCTTGGCTGTCCGTGTCTATAGTTGAAGACGTGTTAGCTTGTCCGCAATTCATGAAACCGAATGTAACTGCGCGAGAGTGATCGAGCATACCACAACGCCGTGATCCCACGCAAATATAGCCAGTTCGTACAGGCGAGTAACAAGATCCCACCTCGCGGTGATGTAGCCCGCTACGAAGATACCGAGAGTGAGGATGGAAAAGGGGTGCATGAATCAAGCTGGCCAGCGGGAGGTCGCTTCAGTTTGCGCGCATTGCTGAGACTGGAGAGAATTGGAGAGCTGGAAGCGGGAGCGGAATTGCCGAAAAGGAGTGACGATCGCACTGGACAGGCTGACCGGTCATTCAAGAGAAATCGAAAACAACGAATGCTTCTAGAGTCAGCAGATTGAGTGTCTCAAGCACGGAGTCGGCAATGGGGAAGATGCGGACCGCAACCCTGAGGCGTCTAGACCTCCGCAGCTCCACGTGACTTGGTATACATCTATGTCACTACGATGAACTGTCGAACAGTTGTGCAGGCATTCTTCACATTGTGCGCCCTAACTAAGTGACGATAAGAGAATTTATCTATCCCGATACCCAGTGATCCATCATAACATACAAATAATATCCCTCCGAACTCCCAGCCGCTATAAACCCGAAATGACAGAAACCCATACCCATACCTACAAAGCCTGAATGCCCTGGAACACTTTGTTGGCCTGCAACTTCGGATCACTGTTGACGAGATCACGCATAATCTGGCGTTTCTCTTCGACCGTCAGGTTCTTGCCGGGTGATTCAATCGCCTCCTTCCATTTCAATAACATCTCCTTAAGAAGAGCACTGCCCTCTTCGACCTCTTCCTGCGAGTACTTGTCAAGCGCCATGTTCGACTCTTGTTCCTGTGCTCCGGAGGAGGTGAAATCCTCAAGCTCGTCTGCCTTTTGACGCGCCATGTTGACCACCTTCTCCGGGAAGCGGACCAACTCAGCGACGTGGATACCGAAGGACTGATCACAGATGCCCGGTTCGACACGGTACAGAAGAGTGACCTGGTCACGCTTCGAGTCTTTGTTCTCAGACCCATTGCCTGTGCCATCACCGATAAAGGCCACCACGTGGAGATTCTTGGCGGAGTTGGGATACCGATCAGCCAGGGCTGTCAACTCGTGGAAGTGGGTTGCGAAGAGGCCGAAACAACGGATCTCAGTGACAATGTGCTCCGAGATAGCCCATGCCAAACCAAAGCCGTCGTACGTACTGGTTCCACGGCCAAGTTCGTCGATGATGATCAAAGACTCCGACGTAGCCGACTTGAGGATGTTAGAGGTTTCAAGCATCTCGGCCATGAAAGTCGACACGCCCTTGAGCTGCGAATCACTCGCACCGACACGGGCAAGAATGCAGTCGAAAATCGTCAGCTCCGCCTCGGAGCACGGCACGAAGCAGCCCGTCTGGGCCATCAGCGCAATGACACCAATTTGGCGAATATAGGTCGATTTACCACCCATGTTCGGACCAGTAATGATCAGGAAAGACGAATCATCCCGGATAAGAGACACATCGTTCGTAATGAACGAGATGTCATCCTGCATCTCCATACACGGGTGTCGTGCCTCCTTCAAGATCGTGTTTCCGGTGCCCCGAGGGTGAATCTTCGGACGGACATATGGCGTAGGGGCATGCACGGCAGAATGGGAAAAGCTCACAACCACGTCAAGGTGAGCCAGGACACCAGCAAGCTGCTCCAAGACAGGACAGTAGGAGGCGGCCACATTGACCACCTCGCTCACCAGACCCGTCTGGGTGCGATTGTAGTTAGATGACAGCTGATCGTGCTCGCGGCGGAGCGCCTGCATTGTCGATGTCGTGAAATAGACGCCGTTCTTCTGGGTCGAGCACTCCTGGTACTCTCTCTTGTTGCGAATGCAGCCGGCCTCGTTGCGAGTCAGTCGGAAGCACCAGCCATGCACACGATGGTTCTCCAGGAACAGCTTCTTTTCCACCTCCTGGTCCAGATCGCGGCCAACGCGGCGGTGCTCTGTGTCCATATCATGGCGCAACTTGTCCAGCTTCTTGCGGATGATGCGCAAGCTCTCGTCAAACTCCGGCTTGATGATGAACTCGTGGTTCTCCAACGCATCAAGATCCACCGTCGTCTCGACCATCTCCTCCAGCTTCACCAAGCTATCCGAGTGACTGCGCAGCTTCGACGTATACTCCTGTTCCAGGGGCGTCTGATACTGCTCATCCATCACATTCTCCAACGACGCCACGAACCCCGGCAGACGAATAGCAACCTGATACACACGCACAACATCCTCCAGCGTCGCCTGCTTCCGCTGAAACCGCTTCGCCAGGCGATACAAATCCGGAATCGAGCGCAGATGCTCCTCCTGCATGGTCTGCCGCAGCTCCGTATCCACCACAAACGCCTCGACCAGCTGCTGCCTCTTCTCGATCTCCGCCAGATCCATCAACGGCTGCTTCAACCACTGCGCCAGCAGCCTGCTGCCCACCGGCGTCTTACAATGATTCAACAACCCAAACAGACTCATCGACTTAGATCCGTCCCGCGGACCAGGCATCAGATTCAACGCCCTCAGTGCCGACGAATCCAGCTTCATAAACTGCGACAAATCATGCTGATACAGCTGATACTGCCCAAAGTTGGACGAATCGGCCATAACCCCAAGATACTTAATCAACGCGGCCGCCGCCCCCATGGCCAACTTCAACTCCGTCTGCGGCAACGTCCCCGCGGACCTCTCATCCCTCAACAACCTCGTCAAATCCTGCTCAATATCCCTAACCCCAAACTCCCCCCCTTGCCTCTCGGAAATCGCAATCCCACAACTATCCGCAATATTTCTCACCTTCGCCAATTCCACATCCTTCCTCCCCACATCCATCTGCACCAAACACTCCTTCACCCCCAGCTGAATCACCAACGACTCCAAATTCGAATAAACATCATTATCCAAAAACTCACTCACCCCGAGCTCCCTGACACTCGCATCCGCAAAACAAACCCCCACACTCCTCGCCTCCCCGGCCTTGGCCGAAATCTTCACCGCAAGAATAATCGGCGCCCCGGCCTCCAAACTCAACCCACCCACACTCCCCAATTCCTCTTCCACTTCTTGTAGATTTCCGGGACTCGCCTGCTTCACCATCTTCCATTGTCCTCCACGGCCCGTCCCACTAGATGACGCCCAGATCTCCACCCGCTTGTTAAGTCGGAACAATGCCTCGCGGAGAAAGTTGCGGAACACGGTAACGCTCATAGTCACGGATGGGAGACCGCCGGTTTCACTTCTTCCGAGGTTTCTTAGCACGGAGGTTGTTTTGTATACGGTCCGCGCGATGAATTCGGCTTCGGTGCCGTGCGCGGAATACCAGTCTCCGCGGTCGAAGACTCGGATGGTTTCATTATTGTTGGTGGTGTTGTTGTCGGTGGAAATGGAGCGGTAGAAGCGGATGAAGCCGACTTCGTCGTCGACCTGGGTTAGATGAATTTGTGGTTAGTTTGGAAAGAGGTGGATGTGGAGGGGGATGATGGGATGAGATTCACTTTGAGATCTGGTCGAGATGACATTGTGCTCTGCGTCTGTCTTCTCCAACCGGGAAAGAGACTTATGAGCCAACTTGTCAATTTGGAGAATATAGCTTGGATGGATCGGGCTGGAGGACGTGTGATAGATTGGATTGGCAGGACGACGCGCCTGCGGAACGCGGTCACGTGGATACGCGTTCGCGCGTGGACTAATTAAGTAATTTGCCTGTCAACCTGTCAATACCGATTGTCTTAAAAGGGACTATCAGCAGAACGCTATTTTACGAGGGGAATGACGTAGTCTCAATCATCGTATCCATATTATACATAAATATGCGCTAAATGCTACATACCGCTGTCAATGCAATCATAATGCCGGAGCATGCCAGGCCGCCGGATGAGGTATCAAACAGAACATCCATCCAAAAGAAAGACACATGTACCCAACGTAGACATCATGCAGAAGCCACCGCCGTTGTGGGAGCATCCCATCCAATCTTCAACTGGGCCACCTTGGCCCCAATCTCCTTGGGCTGAACATCAGCGCAAGACTTGAGCACCACAGATCTCATATGATTCACCGTGACGAGGTTCACCCACCCCCCAGCAACATCCTCCCGGGCCAGGATCTCCACACAGATTTCCACCTCCTGCTGCGAGATGGGACTCCGCACGGAATCCCGCACATTCTGCGCAATCATCTCCATGCGGAACGGCGTCCGCTGCGCCGTCGTGACAGCCTTGGCCCCGGTGCCAACATACCCAGCCGGTCTCAACAAGGCCAACACCCCGGCAACCTCCTCCACCCGCTCCGCGGCCGCCCTCCGCAGCAACATTTCCTTCGACGGCGGCGGGGGCAACTTCGCCTGACGCAGCTGCTTATCTTTGATACGATCCAGCAGCCCCTTCCGACGGGTACTCGTCGCGTCGACCGGCTTCTCTGGCGCATCCTCCTTGGCATCAGCGCGCAGCTTCTCTGTCTTCAACCGAATCACCCCGCCCTTCAAGTCCTGCAACCGTTGCTGTCCCTTGTGAAACGTCGTAAACGGCGTCAACGATTCATGGATTATGGCCACGCCCAGCGTCCCGACGAAATCCACCCTCGTCTCATCGCCATCCACCGCATCCAACGCCTTCTCCCAGAGCAAATCCACACTTTGCTCAAACCGTTCCTGCAAATCACTCTCGCTCGTCCGCTCCTCGCCGTCCCGCAACACCCGCTCCAAGCATACCCTGCCCAGCCCGTAATTCGCGATCCGATACCCAGGGAATGCCGTCGCCTCCGACTCCTGTTCCAGAACCCAAAGAAGCCGCTGCAGGTCCTTGGCCACCACCTTACGCTTCTTCCATAGCCGTTCAATAGTGGGTAGCAGTTCTCTGAGGTCCGCAGGGGCAGTAACACCGTTATGCATAGCATGAAGAGCAACAGCCTTGAGGAAAGCCGAGTGCAGGTTCACGAGGTCGTCGACACATGCTGGACGGCGTTGTGCGGGGAGAACAGTAGCCGACGAAGGGTTCTTGGTAGCTCTGCGCTTCGAGGGCGAAGTGGGCGGACTCCCACTAGCACCGGTAGGAGTCCGGACAGTTGACCGCGCATAGTGACCGCTCCTTGGAGTGTTGAGAACCAATTCACCCAATCTCAGAGTCTTAGAAGGAGTAGCCGCCTCCGGGGCCGTGCTTTCCCCCTTGGCGGTATCCGGGCCGTGGGACTCGATGTTCTCGAGCTCATGCAGTTTGCGTTTCTTGGAAGGCGAGACCGGGAGACATGTCGTCGAGGGCTTCTTGATCTCGGAGATGGATTGACGGGTAGTTACGCCGGGTTTGGTCGTTCTTGCGAAACTCTGGATCCCGGGCTGCCCTCGGGGCAGGGGGGCTTGCCTTGTGGAAGTGCGCGGCATCGCGATTTCCGTAAATAATTGAGTAAGAGATAGATCCTAGATCCTATTGGTGTATCATAGACAATTAGGAAGGAGGTGACTCCGTATGGGGACACTAAATTAGGATAGGATTATGGGTCTGGGGAAAGAGGAATAGGGACAGAGGGCAGGGCAGGGCAGAGAAAATCGATTAATTCTCCTTGATGGTCTGGGCGGGTAGCGTGGGTTTTTGGGTGGAGCGCGTCGCGCGTCGCGTCTTGGCCGGATGGGGTAAGATTAGGGGCGGGTCATGATCCGTTGACTTAACAAGCTATCGAGTAGATGATGATGAATGCGATTATTCAATGATGAGTGTGATATTGTATTTGAGTGAATTCGAAAATATCATTTACTAGATGCTGAAGACTTAGTGATAAATTGTCAAAAGTGCTATCACTACAGTAATCATCCTAGGAATGTAGCATACCTAGCAGCTTTCCCCGCAGAAGCTGTGCAGAATGCAGATATGCTCTAGAACACTACCTTACCATCACCAACCACCACCACCCTACAACCTACTACACACCCTCTCTCCACCTCTCATACTACCACACCCAAGTCTCAATACCACCCAAAACGAACCCCATCTAGATACAACCTACAACTACCCACACAATCACGAAGAAATAAAGAAAAAGAATCCTGCATAATTCATTACCCTCCCCCTTCATCATCACCTACAACAGACATAGCCATGAACATACTCATAAAAAAAATAGCCATACTACTCCATATATAGATAATAATAAAGATAAGACAAGCCCAGCCCAGCTAAGCCATCCTCAATCTCCAAAACAAAAAGGGAACAAAGAAAAGAAGCAATCATTTCTTCCCAAACCACCCCGAAAGCGACCCCTTGGCTTCAGCTGCCTTCTCCTCCACCTTGCCTTCAATCTTCTCTGCCCCGGATCTCAACTCCGCTGTTGTGTCGCGAGTGATCTTCTCCAGACGGTTTAGGTTGTTTTTTGCTTCGTGGGTGGATGTGTCAATCTGAAACTCACATATACGCATTAGCATTGGTTACTGCGACTTTCACGTGTAGATGCAGGGAAGAAGTAAAGCCAAGTGAAAGGACGGCAAGGGGATAAGAAGTAAACATACCGCCTCATCAACATTCAACCTAGTCTCAAACGCCGCCTTTTCACCTGCTTTCTCGGCCTGGTTGCCCGTGGGGGCTTTAAGGCGGGCGAGGTGTGCGTCCTCTACATTCATCCATATATTCATTAGTCCACACAACCAAGAACAAAATAAAGAGGACATGTAGGGGGGTAAACATACGCTTCGCCTGCTCCTTCGCAGCCTTGGGATCGCCTCCCGCACGATACATATAGTATCCTCCTGCGCCGAGGGCAGCGATACCGAGGTAGAGGGCGGTAGGGTTCTTCGACATTTTGCTTGTGTGTGTGGGTGTGGGTGTATCAAGGTTTCAATTCCTGATTATAGACCAGTGAGATTCTGGGACTTGGGGATTGGATTCGGATCCAACGAGGTATTTATATAAGAGAAGAGAGGGGAAGGGAAAGGTCAAGTTGGAATAGCTGGGTGGGAACTTCAAGTTACTTGGCTGGTGTCACAGGGTATGACGTCTTTCGGCCGGAGCAAGCTATTAGCTTAACTAATTAACTACAGGGTGTTGTGGTACAGGGCTTTAGTAGCTCGGGTTTTTACTTTTACATATTTACTTACATGCATACTGGGTAGTACATATGTTTCGATCGGATGGTAAGGTTTGTTTGGTTGGTTGGTACTGAGAGAGGCTTTGTTTAACTATGTATACATTTATCGGCATAGGATGGTTGACTCTAGTTATGGGGTTGGGATAGCTGTACATACTGTGTGTGTAGTTGAGGGGGCGGCGAGTTCGGCTGTCGGAGCCATCGTGAAATACGTCACTGGGTGGTCATCGGGCCCGACGGCTTCCATGTTCCATGGGGATCGGGCCCACTGCCAAAAGGAATTGCTTGCTGGGGCTAGGTAAGTGCTACATTAAATCGTCACGTCATGATGGCTAGAAGCTTATGGCTGATCTCTGACATTTATCACTGACCCGCAACTAAGTGCTAATTGAAACCAACTTCGCAATTCGCAAAAACAAAACATCCGGAAACACAATGGCCGCATTGGACACCAACATGAGCGAGAATATAGACAAGCCGAACACATAATCGAAGCCATACCACGACCAGAGTAGGAAACTCCTTCCACAACCTCGTAGCTGAGCTCGAGATCAAGGCCGGGGGTATCTTCATGCACTATGGACAGCAGACCGGAGGGAAAACGCCAAAACATGCAAGCCGGACAAAATAAGGAAAAACACCCGAACGAAACTCGCAATTGTCAGAGAAGCCCATATATCGATCCATCCCACTGATGCATTATTCGTCAGTCATCACATCATAAAGATTCCCGCAGCCGAGCGGTGGTGTGCAGCTCCGAGTAACGAGAGGCTAAGGATCTAGCAATCCGCAGTTATATCCATAACAAAGAAAATGCAGAGGAACCCCACAAGGAAAAAGGCCGGGCGCCCCATACTATACAACTCCGGCTCGAAACAAAAGGAAATGGCAGGAGAACCGAGAAAGATCGACTTCGGAATTAGAACTCTGCTCCCATCACGGAGCAAATATACACCCCTATCCTTGGAATCCGAGCAAGACTCTCAGAGAAACAACTTCGCAGCACCCTTGTTCTCGCTCGTAGCAACCGCAACTAGCGCTTCCAGTCGACCCATTCCAGGTTCTCGCGCAGAGTGCGGAAGAAATTCGGTCCGTGGATCATGTTTGCCATGGTAACTATCAGACTGTGGAGGAAGAGGGGGACAAGCCTGCAGTTCAATCAGTCATCTGGCCCTCATCGATACTGCGGGTAACGGGTGCGTACTGCATGAGAGGTATCCGAGGAGAATGGAGGATGGTGCGGCTCCACGTATCCGTTGTTGTGCACAATAGCCGGATGGTATTCGAGAGAGGCCGTGGAGGGGGTGTGGACCCCTTCGCTGCTACTGGAGTCCTCGGGCGAAGTTCGCGTTGCCTGAGAGCTCGAGGTAGCATTACTATACGAGGGAGCGTGCCCATGCCCTCGGTACTCTTGAAACTGCTGTTGGTAGGAAGACGACGGTCGAGAGCCCACATTGTGAAGCTCGGCGATGGTTTGTTGGCTCCAGTTTGAGGCGTCCCGCTGTGCAGGCTTGTCTCTGATGTGCAGCCCGGTGAGGTTGGTGTGCAATGACATGTCCCAAGAGACATGGCCACGTCGGTGTCCAGGGCCAGAGATCGGCGGCGCCGGTCGTTTTGCGGGCTGGGTATAGTTGAAGCCACCCCCAAAGTTATAATTCGGAGGCGGTTTGTTGGGGTTGTCGATTTGCATCGGACTCGATCGCCGGACTGGAGGAGTCAAAGGTCGCTGAGCCACCACCTTGTCAAAGCTCTCAATGCCTGGCAGCCGCGGCGGCTGCTCGGTCGACCCGTTGCTAAACGATGGCTTGAACACCTCAGGTGTCTGGTAGTTGCTGAGGCCACTCGTAGCAGGTCGAGGAACCGCTGACCAAGTTGAAGGATGCCAAGTTCGTCTCCGGAGATCAGTATCGGTAGCACTGTGGCTTGTTTCGTCGCGGGCGAGTGAGTAGGTTGAGTTGACAGGGCTTGCGTAGACGCTCCCATGGGGAGCATACGCCTGCGTCGCGACATAACCAGGTGGGTAGACGTTGACATGCTGCGAGGCGAATGGGTTTGCACCCGTGGGAACAGATAGGCGCCGGGCGGCAGTCTTGCCTTCCCAAAAGCCCGATGCCTGCGACGCTGTAGAGATCGGCGAAGCTACATGCGGACTGCCGTTACCGCCGGCCGAGAAGACGTGATGGGATGGTGTGTAGGGAGATCCACCCGCTGTCGGACCAGGAAGCCCCCGGGCTGGAGGAGTGCTAGGGGCATCCATCTGCTCCATCAGACGCGCTCTGTCGTTTGCCATCATCAAGGGTGCAGGTCGACGGCGAAGCTCCTGGGGCTGACTGAATGTAGACGCAGTAGATGTGATGCTAGACGCGGATAGGTTTCGACTGTGACCTCTGCTATGGGTTCCCTGGCTGCCTGCCGTCCCTGCTCTGGCTCGCCCCTGGGGCCGTACACGATCGGTCCGGATTTGGCGCTGGAAGCGCGTCCCGGTGGCGGCGAGGGAATCGCCAGGGATCTCCTCGTTGACATGTACAGTTTGAGCATGCTGTCGTAGGTTATCGAGTCGAGAGAAGCGACGAGAACAGTGGCACTGAAACGGACGTTCCCCGGTGTGTTTGCGAATGTGACGGGCGAGATGTTCACTTCGAGTAAAGCTCAGGTTACATGGCGGAAAGTCTGTGCAGTAGAACCGTTGACCTTTCTTCTTCTTCGAGGGTGGCGCGCCTCCCTTAGTTTCCGCCTCATGGTCGGAGCCTTCGTCCGACTCACCGTGCATGGGATCCTCTGAGGTTAGCGATGCGCTCCCTTGGGAGTCGGCATGGTGAGAGTCATCGATGCTAATATTCCGAGGGGTACTCTCGTCATGGGCGGCACCCAGAGATTGTATAGTGTCTTGTGAGACTGATCCGGCTTTGGGATGAGGTCGAGGTGTGGAAGACGTTGTCGCTTCCTCCATGACGCGGTCTGGTGGCGAAGAGATATTATTCACAGGTAAGAATGAAGACATATTGACAACGAGGACAAGCCTCGTCCCAGCGAACAATCTATGTACTAATTCGATGACAGGGCAGTCGAGCGATCGTCGGGACGCAAGCTCGATCGGTTTCAAGGGAGAGGGATGGAGGTTTCAAAATGTCAAAAACGCGGTGTCGATCGCACGATGCTGACTACTGGACAGGTTTGCGCAGCAAAGTAAGCAGATGAACCATCGCATTTCTCACATTTTTTGTCATGAATTTTTTTTACCACCTCAAAAGGTCATAAACATCACGAGGAGCAAGGAAATCGTGGAGGGTGGTATTTTTTTTTTCGTGGTTGTCAAGAAAAAGTTTTGAAACTTACGAAAGAGGGGACGTGAATCAGATGTTTTGAAATCCGAGCGAGGGGTTGAAGATTGAGGAATGTTGGAGATGGATGGCGATGACCTGTTTAGCCGAATGCCCGACGGAGATGACGATGCAAGGGTAGCCAGGTTGTACACGATAGATGGAAGGGAACGACCATTAGGTGTGAGGACGCATCGCTCACGGATCGACTAAGCCGAGAGAGAGTAGGGACAGCTGGTTGATCGGCCGAAAGATAAGACTGAAGAGGAGGGCGAGACGGCAGAGGGATAGGATGACGAGGGAGGAGGTGAGGTAAGGTAAGGTAGGTAGTAGGTAGGTAGGCAGGTGAGTAGTTGGTGATAATCACTGTTGAGAAGGAGGGAGAGAAAGAAGCGGCGGCGACGGCGGCGGCGGAGGTGGTAATCGTGGTAGTAATGGCAGTGGTGGTGGTGGTTGAGGTTTGGCGGACTCGATCGAGTTTCCCGCTCGGCGTCGAGTCCTGGTTGTGGGTATGACAGTCAGGACACCGACCCAGCCAAGACCTGAACTAATGGCAATAAAAATAGGTGTATCGTGAACCGATCGGGCCCTGGTTTACGGATCGTCCGGGGAGAAACAAGGAATGCGCGACGGAAACAATAAACGAGGAAAAGGAAAAATAAAATAAGAATAAAATAAAATCACAAGCCAGAAACTAAAAGGGAAAATGTGATATGATGGAAGACACACCTCAACAGAAAAAAAAAGGATATAAATATAAATAGTATAGGAATTAAACCCACCAGGTCCAAGCTGGGCACTAGGAAATGATGTACAGGCACCAGGGCCACGAGGGTGGTTATTGATGGAGAGAAGAGGAGGGGGGGAGGAAGAAAGGGAAGAAGAATGGTGAGAGGTGAGACGGAAGTAGGCGACGAAGAAGAAGAACAACAAGAGAGGCTGATGGATCCAAACTTAGATTGGAGCAAGGGAAGGGCAAGAGTCCATACAAGTAGGCTGTAGCCGGGGTGTGGATGACGGCAACCCACCCACCCCAAACTGGTGAATGGTGACGACGATAGTACCGGGCGACAAGACGAGGAAGAGGCCGCCGCTGCTGCTGCTGCTGGAGGCTTATCGGAAACAACGGTCGTTCGGCAGCAGGCGGCGAAACGAGGGCAAGACAGGGAACTGAGGGAAGGGAAAACAGAGAAAGAAAGCAGCAGAGAAGGGAGGAGGAGGGGAAAACGGTGTGTGAACTGTGGAGGAGAGGATGTACTCCTACGACCTCTAGATACTTGTTGAGTGAGTACTGTACACGGCATTTACCTACGACCATCGCTCGACCACAAGGCTGAGTACCTCCGATCGGGGTACAGGGTACTTAGATAGAGGCGGCGACTGGGCCAGTCACCGCCGCGATGCTACGTATGCTCCCGATGAGTTTACGGTTTGATCAACATGATGATGGTGACGATGCGGATTTGTCTGCTACTATTAAGTTCGGGCGAATGAACTCACCGGAGGGTGAAACTGAAGGTTGATAGGTAAACTCTTTTAGCCCCAGGTACTGACGACTTGGTCCGGACCGACCGACACGAATCATCGACCGCCAGGCCGGTGGAGAGGCTCCAGCTGGATGAATTCATGGGCCACTCTTGGCGAAGGGGTGAGCCTTGGATGGGGGAAATCGTTTCATCGAGTCATCGGTCGAGCGCTTCCTTTCTATCTACCTAAGCAGATAGGATAGGTATATGTTGCGGAGTAGCGGATACCCCGATATCGCGAGATTGGAGGTATCTTCAAAGCATTCCCGGGCGGGTGAATATAATACCTCCCCGTACGTGCCGGTATGGCAGACGTATCAGGAACCCAGCGCTTAGCAATCGCCATCACCACCACGGGCGGGTGGCTCAGACAAGAGGGAAAAAAAGGGCACAAAAGGGATGCGAGGGGATTCCACTGGTAGACGCTCGGGAATCACCCGGGTGAATGGGCTTCTTCGATGTTTCGGTAAGGCTAGCGAACAGTGGCAGAGTCTCGGCCCAAGGCCTTCTGCCACGGTGCCATGGTCCAACGCCATCAAGGGTCCTGTCGACAGTTCATAAACGGAGGCCTCCCGGGCTGAGTGAGGCACCAGGCACTGCGGCCAGTGGGGCAGCGCAGAGGGGACCGATCGGCTACTTTTTCCAGGTCCCAGGGCTACCTGTCGAATGGATGTATGACTGGTTGATGATTCATGAATCGTTCTTAGCCGGCTGAGCCCAGGTGCTGACCAGAAAACCTCCGCGGCTGGTCCACGGGCGGCGACCTTCGGTGACGTTAACCACTCAACGCGACCAGGACCCTTTGTCCGGTAGGTTTGACCGGTGACAACCCCCAGGCCAGATCCTCCGTTCGCCTGTGGTCTGTTGGAGGGCCCGAGCCAAAGAGTCGCGGCAAGGTGTGCCCTTCTCGTGGCGTGGCACAGAAGGGGAGGGAGGGGGGTGTCCTGAGATCTAGGCTGCCATGCTGCATGGAAGGAGGCACAAGAAGTGCAACGACTGCGTAAGCCGGCCAACGCCTGACTGGATTACCAAACGGCCCAAGACAGCAGGATTCAGCATGGAATACGAACGGAATGTCGCACAATGGGTTCCGGGGCTTCCACACCTGCAGTCAGGTGGAATTCTCCGGGCCGAACTCTGCAGTACCTTACATCGGCGTCGTTACGGCCCTTACTCAGGTTTTCGACAGGCCCAGCAGCAGCACTCTATTCGCAACGCCCATCCCGTCTGATTTCCCCACCGCGATCATCATCATGTCAGCGTCAAGGGCCTCCGATATAACGTCAGGCCGCTCTGATGGATGATGGCAAAGCTTGTTCCTGGTCAACCCAGAGGACAGCACTAACCTCCAGCAGGATCCTTCATCGCCGCGTTCAGGACCCCGATAAGGTTCCTGCTCGAACTCAGAGGACGATGGACAATAGTAGATCATTTCAATTAGACTCTTTGACAAACCTGGAGCAAAGTCAAAGCTGGACAGCATGCGGCCTGCACTCTCCCCCACTGCAAACGGCGGGGAGCGATGGAAGCTTCTTCATCTTGTCGATGACATCTGGTTGATGCGGGACAAAGAGGAGCCCATCTGAGGCACGCGGACAGTTAACGCCACATGTTGGAGTGATGATGTGCTCTCGGTATGGAGAAGCGCGCCGATTGACGCCGACAGCCTGGTGTCCCCATATGCGTGGGGATCGTTAGTTTGAAGCATGGAAGAGATACCCAAGGAGGGCCGGAGTATATGCGCCCCTAGGGAACTCCTCTGAACAATGCATTAGTGTCCCGCATTGACATTATTGATCGGATCGTGGGAGGGGGGGGGTCCCTTCCCTGGTTAGTCCAGTCGAGTAGGTCACCTCCAGTTGCATTCGCAACACGCAATCCAACGGGGTTCTCATAACCCACCGTGCTCTTCAGCAACATATGTCAGTATGAAGCAACCATTCTGGTTGCCTGCGACGAATACATCGTACCAGACCAACGGCCGGAAGTGGCGGCAACGAGTCCAGCCTTGAGTCCAGGCAGTTCAGCAAGAATCAGTACATAGTATGGCACTCCGATGTCGCCTCCCGGGCCAGAATGGGTACTCATCTCGTAACGTGGGCGGGTAAGTTACCTTTTCTCCTCTCCTCGCCATAGATCCGGTCTGGGTGATCGACGTGGCACTGCCAGCTTAGGCGTCCACCAATGACCGGACCAGATAGCAGGTAAGGCACAGGAGCACGGGCTCCAGTACCGGTCAAGGTACCATGTCTCCCGACCACAGGGCTCCTCAAGCTAAGACAGTACTGCGTACAGTGGACGGAGTACAGTAGGTAATCATCCCACCACCGATTGACTATTGCTAGACTTCCTGCCCCTCATTCCCAAACCTGAAAAGCGCCCCCGGCACGCGCGCGCCACTGAGGGGCAAAAGAGTCAATCAGGTTTACTTCCCCTTGTGCCAAGATCATCTTTCATCAAGGGGGGCACTGACAGGTGACACGGGTATGTCCCATCCCTGCTCTATCTGAAACACACGACGATAATAGGAATTGGAAAATAAGGAATAAGAAAGATGGGTGGGGGAATGGTGGTGGAATAATGCCACCTCGTCCCCTCTCTTTTCCGTCGGGTCCTTATCAATGGGAAGCGGGGTTGATAAGTTAGTCCGGATTGATTGATTGATTATTTGGGATGGGTTCTGGGGCCGAGCGAGGGGGAGGGGAGAGAGGGGGTGCGTGCACACGCTGCTAGCCTTTCCAACTAGTCCGTCTGTGCTACCGATGGAGATGGAGTACAAAGCAGGTACCTGCGTTGCGGGTGGTGTACCTGGTGTACATCTACTACAGCATCCACAGATATGAACGGTATCAATCAGAGACCATCATCAAAATCCCATCGATCAACAATTACATATAGACCCCAATAATACTATGGTACATAGTAAAATCTCAGCGGGTCCCAATAATCAATCAACGCTGACGTCTTGCATTATGTATTTTTTTTCTCCAGCGGCGAAAAAAAAAACACCTATCACAGACAGAGTTAGGGTATACGTACTACCCCTGCCAAATCTGACAATAGAAACATCCACCCTGTCTATCTTTCTTTCATCCGCTGATTCCGGGGGCTGTTGTTTTTTCCACCACCTACCTATACCTCTACCTATACCTACACCTACCAACTAAGTACTACCTATGTACAACAACCAAGATATAACCAACTCCATCCTACAAAGAAAACAACAAACCCAACCCATCCCATCCCATCATCCACACCCCCGGAATCTATCCAACATCCATCTATGACTCACATACCATACTACCAACCAACTACCCAGCCAACCAACAGATTAATCAACCATCTACCCGGAAACTAGGTAACCCGCAGTGGCAAAAAAAAAAGTAACCAAAAACATGAAACCAGGTGTGACAAAATATTCCCCGAAACCCAACCCAACCACAACCCCTAGATAAAATATACTAGATATGGTAATCGGTAGGCAGAACAGGAAGGGGTGGGAATAGTGAGGCGAAAAGCAAGATATGGATGAAGGGGAAGGGGGGTTGCACGGGGGAAAAGTTAGTTGGCTGGATTGTACCTACATTACATAGCTTATGCCTGGGAGAAAAGGATTGGGTGAGATGCAGATACTACAGGTGAGCGGGTCGTCAGCTGATGGGTGTGTGTGCATGGTTGGTGCGGGTATGTATGTATGTATGTATGTATGTAAGTGTTGTATTAGATAGTCTGTGAGTGAGGGAGTGAGTGGTGGGGAATGTGTATGTGTACCTGGTAGGTACCTTTTCACATGAATGAATTTTATTATTTCTGTGCGGGTGGTGGTTGATGTGGGTTATTTCGAAGAATCAATTTGCGGGGTATTTCTTGTAATACATGCTCAAGATGACTGGTATGTTTATTTATCGGTCCAGTACACTGGCAATTGAACTAACCATCACCGCTGCTTCGCGCTCCCAGTTCCTCTCCGACCCCGAGTCAACTCCCAGTCGCTTCTCTGTCCCTAGTACTGATGTTGGGAGCTGCGATCCTCGCAGGACGCAGTCTTTGATTTCCTTCTTGATCCGGTCCCGGTTCGAGCGCAGTGTCCGAGCGGAGACGCCGCCGCGGTTGATAATCTCCTGTACACGGGTTGTGAGATATGAGGCGAGTGACCGCCAGAAATAGGAGGGGAGAGAGGATGTGTCCAGAACGCTGAGGAGTGGCTGCAGCAGGTTGTTCTTGCCGGGAGCTTGGGCTTGTGGATCTGTCTGTTCCCCATTGCGGGTGGTGGCAGCAGCAGGGAAGAGCGGATGGGATGGTGGTCGCAGATTGCTGAGAATGGCTTCCAAGGCGAAGATATCCTGGCAGCGGGCAGACAGGTCCGAGAGTGTGCGCTCGAGCGTGGGCAGCATTGACAGTGCGCGGGTCAGGTTACTCAGGGATGATGAGATAGCCGTGTGCATGTACCCTTGCAGGGTAGAGAGGAGCAAATCTGGTTGAAAGGTCGCGGAGCTCACGTTCTTTGGAACCGGCGATAATAGGTATAGGATGTTAACGGCGGAGACGAGGCGTGCGCGGGCATCGCGCGCCTGCTTGTAGCTCATTTGCGACTGAGAGCCTGAGCCGGCGCTTGCAATGGTGGACATGGTGAATCGACCAATGGCTTGCTGCGCTCTTGTCTTGACCATGTTCTCCGCCGGGATGACAAGCTCACTGCGCAGCGTTCGGATGACCTTGACGCGGTCCAATCCATGGCCTTCCTCGCCCACTGCCGTCTCAGAGAACATGCGACGTAGGCTCACAATCGTGGAAGCTGCCCGCTCCAATGTTCGGTAGTCATCCTTTGCGGGCGCCGTGGCATCAAGCCCCCCAATCTCCGCGAGCTGGCTCTCCAGCTGTCTACCGAGAGAAATGCAACGCGCAACGGCTCGCGCGAGTCGCACAGTGGCCAGCGACTTCTCTGCAGCCACCCTGGCCTCATTGGCGGCTTCCCATTTGCGGAGGACTTCCCTTTCCAGCCGTTCATACCCCTGCGTTACCGAAGAGATCTGCTCTTCGGCTTCTTTGAGGATGCGGCCGGCGGCGGCGGTCTGGTCGCGCGTATGCGTCAGTAAAGGGAGGGCTGACTTAGTGGTCAACGCATGGATGTGGGTGTCAATCTCCTGGAGGTCGAATAGCACCCGAGAAAGCGGGGTTGAGAGGTCCAGCGGTGTGTCTGTGGCATTGTTGGTGGCTACAACCAGGGAATTGGCAAATGAGGCGGGTGAAAAGTCCGGGTCTAGGAAGGCCTCATAGTCTATGTATGAGGGCTCGCCGTCTGCCATGGCTTGTGGCGGTCGATTGGGAGACAATCAAGGAGAAAGAGTAAAAGCAAAAGGAGCAGCAGATTGGAGAAGATGGAACTAAAACTCAAAGAGGCTTGGGTATCACCGTATCGAACAAAGCAAGAGGGATTACAGGTCAACTGGGGGGGTTTTCGCTGGATGGCCGCTTGACCGTAGGACAATCAAAGCTTAATGTGGCAGAGTCACCCATGTGATAGAGACGGTGGATTGGGGAATGCTGAGCCCAGCAGCCATCGTCAGCGCAATTGCTTGTGAAGATGATGGACAGCAATTGTCGTTGTTGTTCCGGATGCCATGTGGCTGCCGCGAGGTCGCTTTATGTCTTAGTCAGCTGCATAAGCCGTGCACAGTTATCCCCCCTACATCTGCCAGGTCAGTCTACCTCGACAGATCATCATTTGCCTTTTCTTGCTTGTGATTTACTGTATCTATCTACATGGAGGAGGTGGATATGGAACGACAACTTACAGGCACTGCAAGACGCTTTGTTGTAGTGGAAAATACTATAGAAAAACCCACATACAGGCAGTCACATTGGTGAGTATACGATCTACTTTCCGTGCGACATTGATAGAGGCATTTTGTGTTTACACGCCGGTCGGCTCAGGATTCCCTGTGCGCAACGACACAGGAAAAGATACACACAACAAGTCTAAGGTCCGCCATAACCGACTCAAATTTGGCTACAACTTTGCATCTTCACATATACCCGTGCAGTACAGTCTCTCTAGGGCATAATGTGACTACCACAGTATAAACTACTTAGTTACCACCTTTCTAAGTCTTCCATAAGACCTGGGCATCATAGAAAGCCTCTCCTCTTCACACTTCAACTCAACGACCTCCCAGTCGGCCGACTTCAACAGTATGTCAGGAATGCGGCGATCCAAGTGACATCCTCCTTTGATGTACGGCCAAAACAGGGTCCAAAATTCTAGCTTGATCAGCATGTGTCGCTAGGCATCAGACCACATCCAAAGGCTACTTACTCTGCGCCAACAACGTCCAACGATCCGAGCTCGCGCCATGCTCCCAGAAGATCAATTCGCCCCCTGGCTTCAATAGCTTCCAGATTTGGGCGGTTACCGCTGCCGGGTCCTGTGTGCAGCACAAAACCTGGAAGCTAGTCACGCAGTCCATGCTCTCTTCCACGATGCCATGTCTCTCGAGAGCATTTGCATCCAGAATGTCACAGAACACAGTGGTGTAGATGTCACCCAGATTGGTTTCGCCAATTCGAGCTTGCAGAACATCAGCAAACTCCAGGTTGGATTCGACCCCATAGATGTGGGTGACGGTGCTGGGGTTGAAGTAAGAGAGTTGATTGCCTGTTCCTGGTCCGAGCTCCAGGACGGTCCCCTTCACTGCGGAGGCGACGTGTGGCAATGAATCGGTAGTACTCTCATAGGCCATGAAGCATGGTGCTGGCATTGTTAGCTGGGGTTGGGATGGCGAAAGGGCAATCCATACAAACATCTTTATACCACTGGGAGAAGGCCCGGTCTTGGATGGAGGCCGTGGCTCCCTGGCGTGATTGGAAAGCATTCCAGAAGTCTGTGGGGGTGAGTTACCAGATTTCATATGTGGGGAGGGGAGGAACATACACTTCAAAGACTCGAGCAAAGGTTGGCACGGCTCGATATACTTGGTCAACCGCTCCTTGAGACTGGGGCCCATGGTGGCGGTGGAAATTTGTAGAGGACGTGTTATCTCACGGATGGCTGGGTCAGGCCCGGCTTTTATACGTGGGCTTGGGCAAGCTAGACGATATCAGGCGCAGGATTTGATGGTATCAATTAGGCGGACACGGGATTGTGGGGGGTGTGATTGCTGCCCCCTGTCCAATCAATTGGGGTGATGATGCCATGGGGCGTTTTGATATAAGCGATAGCTTAGATGACTTAGCTGGTTAGTCTCGGTGTGATATCGGGGGTTGATGTGTCTTGGTCTTCGTGCGTGACTAGAGGGAAATGTGGATGGCAAGGGGCGGGAGGGGGTTATATCCGGTGACAAATTGCCGGGCTATAAAAGACGGAGTTGGGACCTGCCATGGCAGCCGGCATGATGGAGGTACCACCTTTATGTAGTCAATTGAGTGTCCATGCTACGAAGCAATAACATTCCCCCCAATTAGACTATAGTAGATCATCACCATCATGATCATGTCCCGGTAACGACAGTCGAGCTTCCATCACCCCTCCAGCCAAATTGGCCCTAAAACACCATTAAAACAGACGGGGCCCAGCCGCAAGTAAGATTAGGAGACCTCAACCCCTAGCAGTGATGGATGAACGTGTGTGAGGATCCCCCGACAACCCGACGTTATGTCCTGGATATAGTACTGAAGTAGTCAAAGCAAGGCGTATACTTTAAAAACAAGAATCTTTCATCTATCAAGGCAAGATGGCCGAGTTGGTCTAAGGCGTCAGGTTAAGGTCCACCTTAATATTCAGCTTCACAGCTTCCTGATCATCGTTTGATGGCGTGGGTTCGAATCCCACTCTTGTCAGATCTTTTTGTTTTTTTCCGTGCTTCACATCCATTGACTATCTTTTGCCTCTTTGCATACATACACTGCTAGTACTAGATTTAATTAGGACATGCATGTCCTCGATGTCTAATTCCCATCCATGTATGCCGTATACCATCTCTATAACCCGATATGCCACCCCCGTCAGAACACCATCCTTATCCCATACCTACACATCAATAATACCCCAACTCCAACCACCCACACCACTAGCATCCCCCTCTCTCTAGCCACCATACCAGTCTAACACTCCGGTGTACTATTCACCCACCGCCGGCTCCCAAACCAAACTATAACGCATCTCACTTATCACCTCACCAGCACCACCAACCACCGCTGACAAATACCCAATCCTTTAACTAAATACTAGTCATCTAACCACTTCACCCCCTCACCAACCAACCAACCATCTATCCTATCCCCCACGTAACCAACCAACCCCAAAGCACCACAGTAAAAATGATCCCCAAACCCAAAGCCCTAATCTTCGACCTAATGGGCACATGCACAAACTGGCATCCAAGCATCCAAACCGCCCTCTCCACCACCCCATCTCTAACACACCTCCCAACCGAAACCATCGCCCAGCTTGCCTCTTCCTGGCGATCAAGCTTCTTTAATGAAATCCATCGTCGGTTTCATGCTGGACTCGGCACGGAGAGTATTGATGTGACGCATCGACGGGTGTTGGATGGGTTGTTGGATGGGATGGGGTTAAATGGTGGTGATGGTGGTGGTGTAGGGGAGGAGGAAAGGGAGAGGTTGGTTGCTGCGTGGCATTTTCAGGGGGGTGAGTTTTTCTTCTATCAATTTGGTTGGTTGCTTGGATTGAGGCTAATGACTATTGATTGGACGGGATGGTATAGCATGGGATGACTCCATTGATGCGATTAGACGGTTGAAGGAGAAGTTTATGGTGTTAGTACCATCCCTGTCCCAATTCTATCCACCATATGCCAATCTACACATGAAAACAGGAACTAAACAAGAAAAATGCAGCGTCGTCCTCGCAAACGGAACCACCAGACTCCAACTAGACTTGATCCAATCATCCGGATTACCCTTCCATGCACTATTTTCTTCCCAGTTGTTGGGATTAACCAAGGTTAGTTCTTCACTTTTTGCTTACTGTCATATCCATTGGGCGTGGTTTGTGGGTTGTCGTTGGCTGATGGTGATAGCCCGATCCTGCTATATATCGCAAAGCGTTGGAGTTGTTGCAGGTGGAGCCTGAAGAGGCGGTTATGGTTGCCGCGCATGCGTATGATCTTAGGGCTGCTAAGGGGGTGTATGTTATGTTCCCTTTCTCCCTTTTTCTTTTGGGTGGGGCTGGGGTGGGAGGCTAATGTGTGTAGGGGATTGAGGACGGTGTATATTTATCGGAATACGGAGGATTTGGATGAGGATATGGGGGTTGTTCAAGGGGAGGTGGATGTTTTTCTGGAAGGAGAGGGGCCGTTGGGGCAGTTGGCGGAATTGTTTTGTGGGGAGTAGTGGGTATATTTTGTGGGTGGGTGGTTTGGTTTCTGCTTGGGTGCAGGTGCAGGTGCAGGTGCAGGTGCATACTATATATTGAGGGTTGGTATAGAGTTTTGATTAAGATGGAGAAGTGGGTGAAAGTAATGCAGACTATATTTACTTTTGAAATGGCATCAAGCACTACTGCAGAACACGTCCGTTGGTTTCCTCCACAATCAGCTCATACTCGGGCTGGAACTCGGTGTAGAAGTTATGCTGTCCTTGTTAGTATCATTCCGTTTCTATAAAATGGATTACTCACATGGTTCTGTGCTACATTAGCAGTATACTGCGCCACCTCATGCGTAATAAGCCGCTTTGGAAGACCGTTCGCAGCCGCAGCCTCAGCCAACAACTGTGCCTGGCAGGCATTATCCAAACTGGAGTAGAGGAACGCTGCCTCGTCGACAGTGCGGCCCACAGTAAGGAGACTGGCACGTTAGCACATCCTAACCCATACAAAGATCTGGCTACTCACCCGTGGTTCTGCAAGATGCAGGCAATGTTGTCCTTGCCCAGGGCACGAGCGATCTGTTCTCCCTCCTCCTGCGCAAGGGCAATGCCACCGTGGTCCTCGTAGACACTCACCTTTCCGTAGAGGTTGCATGCATCTATAGCTCATTAGCCCTAATTCCCCGAAAGCAACAAGCAAGGACCTAACCCTGAGTAAGCATCTCAATCGGCTTTCCAAACGCACTCCAGGTCTTTCCATGGATGGAGTGCGTATGCGCAGCCGCAATCACATCTGGCCGGGCCTTGTGGATTTCCGAATGGATCATGAATCCAGCCTCGTTGATGGGAAGTTGGGCACCACCCTCGGTGACGTAGCCCTCAGAATCGACAAGTACAAGATCAGACGCCTTGATAGAGGAGAAGTGCTTGGCGAAGGGATTCATCCAGAAGTGGTCCTTCAGGATGGGGTCTAGACTGATCAGTATCGATTGTGTCCTATTGCTGGGATGTAGACTCACCTCTCATGGAAATATGGCCCGAGATACCCTCTCCGTATCCCTTCTTGCCAAAGTAGCGAAACGCAGCCGCCATGTGCTCCTTCATCCATTGCCGCTTGGCAACAGGGTCGGTGAAGGTGGGGATGCCCCGGAGCTTGAGCGTGCCGCTACGATTTCCCCGCGCCACGGACTGGAAGTTCTTATCGTTGGCGGCATCATCGATGTGGGCGTCGGCCACGACGACGGGGACGGGCTGGGCGGTGGTTTCGGTGACGGTGGTAGACATGGTGAGTTTGGTATGTACCGAGAAGGCTAGCTACGCAGGGGGAAAAGAATGCAGTGGAGGGCAAGAGAGGAAGTATAAGAGGGGCGATTTATCTGCTATCAATCAGTTTCTCCGGCTTATCGGCCGCCCCCCCGGTTTCCCCCTGTCATAGGCGCATATCGCCGAACTCACGGCTTCTGATTGGCGCTATCTCGATAAGCATTCCTGCGCCTTCTTGCAACATCTCGCCCTCCTTCCTTCAATTTCAGGCCTGTCGGATGGGGTACCACGGACTATGAGCCTATTCACTCAGCGTCATGTTCAACTCTCACACAAGCTCAGAGCAATGGACCGTCCTGCCCTTCAGCGGCCCCATCCGCGGAGGTCTTCTCTAAAGGCTTGGAATAACTGATATAAAGTTAGGACTGGATCCCGTATATATTACGTGCACTGTTGATCCCCACTTCGATAGGGTCTCTCTGTCTGGAGAGAAGCCTATGGCCAAACCACTTTGTCACTTTCCTGCCTTTGGTTACTATTGTGATTACGGCATATTTGAGATCTCGACTTCTGCCCATGCACACCCTACTGAATGTGATTTATCCCCGGCTGGGAGTTCTGTCTCGTTGAATATGGCATTGTATTTGCGTTGCAGCTTTACGGTGAGCCCATCCCTCTGATATAATGACGTATAGTATGCTGCTATGAACATGTCCGGTGATGTATTTCTGATACTATGAATCTTATGGACATCACACCCTGCTAAAAGTACATGACCACGTCCCACCCGTTAGGCTCAATCGCTCATAATATCAACATATATTCCACAGACACGAGGAGACAAAAAAAAGACAACGCCATCAATGCAATGTACCAGCCAGCTAGGGTATACATAAGAGAAGCAACGAAAAGTAGACACAGACATACCACGTCCCCCAGTCACATCCATCCCATCCATACAATCCACACCCAAAGCCCTCAACCAAACAACCGAGAAAAGAGAGAAAGAAAGGAAGAAGAAAGAGATCTATACCGCTCCCTCCCCCTTCACATCCACCATCTCATACTCATCCCCCCACTACTACTCCCACCACCATCCCTCAACCCCCGTCCCCGTCCCCTTCCACTCGACAACGAAAACGAAGATGACTCTTCCCCACCACTCGCACCGCCACCACCACCACCCTGCGTCTCCCGACCCGACCCCCCAGCAGTTCCACTACCCCCTACAACCCCCCCAAAACTAATCGGCTGCAACTCCCTCCACCGACACGCCCAAATCCCCAGGAAAGTCATAAACGCCGCACTCGCACCCTGCAATCCCCACCAGAGCCAGTTCGCGGGGACGGAATGCGAGTATAGTGTGGTTGCGATAAGATGGAGGAAGTGTAATGTGAGGGCGAAATCGGGGATGAGTTTTGAGCGGGAGACGAGGAGGAGGAGAAATATCACACTATCATATTCATAGTTAGATTGAGTTGAATAGGGTGTGTTGTGAGGGAGGATGATATCGGGGAAGTACTCACCCAATCCCACTACTCAATATCCAGACCAAACCCAGCATCCAGCCGATGGTGGTATCTCCGCGGACGGCATTCCAGCTAAACACAAGGTCGAGGGAGAAGGGCGTGCCGTAGACAACCGTCGTAAAGAGGATTAGGGCCGTCGCGGTGACATAGTATGCGAGTTGGAGAAGGAGGATCTTTAGGACGATTTTGAGGGGGGGAAGTTCGGTTCGTGAGCCCCCCCTTGGAGGGCGGCGGCGTGGGGGCATGAATTATTATTTGATGTATATGAATATATGGTGTTTAATGTATATTTGGAATAATGGATGGTGGGTGATTTGGGGGCCCCGAAGTGCGGAGGCTGGGGCGAGGTAGTTGTTGCTGCGAATATTGTATTGGATACGTGGTGTTGTGAAGAGCTCACAATTTGATGTGGTTCCTGAATAACGCCGATCCAGAAGAATATCTCAGGACAAAATGCTCCAGGGTATGACGTGATGCTGCACGGGTGATTGATGGATAATATCCAGACCGCAGCGTCGGCGATGTTGGAGCCAACTTGACCGGACAGGCTTAGCGCCACATGACCGACTTGCGGCGGCCGCGGCGGCGGAGCGGAGCACTACTGCATCATTATTTCCTTACTTTCTAGAGCATCATCCCATCTTCTCCCTCTCCCTCCTACTCTCTTCAACCACATACCCTCACACACAAACACAATGGGTTGGTTCTCCCGGTCCTCCGACTCCAACACCGCCTCCGACGGCGGCCGCATCGCCCCCGATCGATCCTCGCGCGAACAATGCTACCAAGGCCGCGACATGTTCTTTTCTTGCCTGGACCGGAATGATATTTTGGATGCGATCAAGGATGACAAGGAGGCGCGACGGAAGTGCGGGAAGGAGATCGCAGAGTTTGAGACGGCTTGCTCGAGGGCTTGGGTATGTGTTCCCTGGCGTTCCTGGGTTTTTGGGATCTGGAACTTGCTGGCTATGGCTCTGGCAACTGGATTGGACTTTCGGTGTGCTTGGATGATGGCTAATTGCATGCCTGTGATAGGTCAAATACTTCAAGGAGAAGCGCGTGATGGAGTACAACCGGGATAAGACCATTGAGCGGATCAAGAAGGAGGATGCTGCCCAGGTTCAAGATCTGAAAGCACAAGGATGGACTTCCCGGTAGGGACAAAGAGGATAGGAACAATGAAGTGATATGTATGAAAAAGGAGGATATGACTGCGCCCCTGAACGGGCGCTTTATTGTACTATATAACATTACGCTTACCAGTTTACAATGACTGCCGGACGGCATACTGGCAGGCGAGACGCTCTCCACTATATGCCGAACATTGGCCGGTTAGAATTATCATGCGCTCGCATTGTCTCAGCCAGGCCAATCACAGTATGGCCCTAACGTCGCAAGAATCTGTGATATATGTAGATACAATTGCTCCGCAACAAATCCCGACATCGCTGCCTGATGTCTATCCCTGTACCTCAAAACCAACTGACCCATTGCACTCCGGTAACGTTTACTCGCTGATTCGACCGATGCGAAAGAAAACAACCCAACAACCCAGCATCCTAACCCTTACTGATGGTAACGTTCCATATCCGATTCTCAATCGATCAATCAGTCAACGCCCGACTCCTCGAGATGTCGCTAACGACAGTGAAGCCAGAGAAGAAAAGGAGAAGAAGAGAAAGACAAGAGAAAACAAAGACTGTCATCAATCATTGTTTCCATTTTCCCAGCTGGTTCATGATATTCTGCACCTGGGAACCAACGGCAGCCTGGTTCTGAGGCTGCTGGCCCCCCAAGCCTTTGGCAAGCAGTGATATCAAGTTGGGATCGGACACCACCGGTGCATTGGGCGCTTGGAGAGGGAAGGGCTGCGAAGGCAGTTGCTGTTGCGGGTTAGCAGCAACTGGCGGGCGAGTGGCAGCGTTCAGCAGGCTAGCAAGATCGGCGGCGCCATGCGGGGTGCTGGCAGCAGGGAATGGTTGCGGTGCGCTTGGTATAGCCGGCGGCCGTTGCTGGAGGACGCCCAACAGAGATTGTAGCGTGGGCCCGTCGAGGGAGGTAATCAGATTCGCGATGTTGGGCTGATTGGCCATAGGTAGAGGCGCCTGAGGCACCTGAGGAACCTGAGGCACTGGAGGCACCGATGCGGCGGGAACAGGCAGTGGCGGAACCCCAAACGCCGCCGGGTTGGGAGGAAATGGCGCAGGCGGTGCGCCACGCTGCATCGATTGGGCATGAAACACAATCTCGGCGGCAATACTGGGTTCGACATCGGGATATTCTGCAAACGCGTTAGCGGGAAAGATCGCACGTAGTTCAAAGGAAAGAGGATGACGCTCACCGTTTGACCGAAAGTTGTCTGGACCCCCGCTTCGATCAAATAGTTGCAAGGGAATCTTTCGTGAGAACTGGCTTGGTCGTGACAGTCTCACCACGGCCAGGACGCCCTCCTGGACCTGTCGTTGGACAGCAGCGTTCAAGGGAATGCGAGGTCCGAGTACCAACACATCAACCCGGAGACCCCGGTTGCGGAAAGCGTTCTCCACGTGGAAAATGAAATTGCTGGAGAAGCATTAGATGATGGCCAACCAAAAAAAAACCCCCCCAAGAACATATCACTCACCGATCCACTTCCTCGAGCACAAGAATCTGCACTTCCGGGACATCTCTCGGAGCCCGTCGAGGGACAGGCAGATCCGCATCGCCTTCATATGCCCCACGACCCCGTGGGCTTGGACTGCGATATCTCCGATCCCTCGTATATGGCGATCGAGAACGCCGTCTTTCCCGTCGATCGTATCGCTCCGGAGTCCGATCTCGAGACCGATAACCATCCCTCGCGCGGAAGGCACGCGGAGACGGCGAGCGAGGGGGAGGGGGTGGTCGATAGTCGTCACGCCTACGGTGGGTCGGCTCATCCCTAAAGTCGCTGAATGGCACCCGTCCCGATTCGTAGGACCGATCATAACGATCGGCCGGTGCCCTCGCATTGCGACTGCCGGAAGGGCCACTTCTACTGAACTCTGGAGATCTCGAGCGTCTCGATGGAGGGGCCCGAGAAGCTTCTGCCGGGGCGGCCCCGGGTCTTGTACTTCGCTGTGGCTTCGATATTTCAAGGTCTGGTGCAACCCGAATCAGTCTCGAGCGATCAAGTCCCAAACATATATTGGGTGTACTTACGGACTTTCCGTCCTCTGACGACGGCCCCTTGCTCGGCATCGAGTGCCTCTTTACAGGCGGATGAATCGAGAAACTGGATGAATCCGTAGGCTTGTTTGATGGATATCTGGGCCAATTTTCCGAATTTGTGAAAGATGTGGAATAGATCTCGCTTCGTCACTCGTTCGGTGGGCAGATTGCCTGCGGCATCAGTCAGACGACTGCTGAGACCATTCCACGCCTAGTAGGGAGTTACTGACCAACAAACAATCTGGACCCCGGCGGGAAACGATCCCACAGGCCTTCGGTTACGTAGATTCTCTCATCATGGAGAAACTCATCGTATTTCTTCTGAACATCCGGGCCCCAGGGAGTATCTTCATCTGCACTCTTAGGCTGCCGAGCCGTCGGCCTTTCACTGCGACCATTCTTGTTATTCGCGGGTACTGGAGGATCTTGGGATTCCGAAGCAGACGGCGAAGACTGCTGGAAACTCGGAACAGGGGGAGGAGGCAAGGCGCTGGCACCCGAGGAGGTTCCCGGAGCGCCAGCCGCAGCCAATGATGGAAGCCCCAGACCGGACTGGTAATTACTTTGCTGGGCGGAGTAGGAGGCGGGGGGAGAGGGTTGTGCGTTGGACGAGTTAGGGGGAAGTTGGTGGTATGACCGGATGTCATCAGTGGCATTGTAGTTGGGGTGTATGGAAGGCTTCGCCTGGGGAGGGGGGCGAGGGGGCAGTCCCAGGGCAGACTGGAGCGCATCCTCGTCTGTTCCTGCTGGGGGAAGCGCAGAAACGTCCGCGAACAAAGGCGCCGTCTCTGAGACCGCAGGGGCAGAGGGCGCAGTGGAAGAAGGGGGTAGATTATCGAGGAGGTTCTGGAAATCGACACCATCCTCACCAGTGTTATCATCAGATTTGCTCTGGGAGTCTAGGCGATTCGGCGGCGCGGACGGGGCTGTCCAGCTGGCGACTGCGTGGTCTACCTCGCTCGCACTGGGAATGTTCTGAGCGGCATGGGAGGAAGAGGAATGGACATCGGGGAAAGGAGGAGCTAGGAGGGAGACAGGATCTGATGAAGGCAGAGTGGTTAGAGAAGAGTTTGCTGGCGCGTCCTGGACCGCGGAGGAGGGGCCGGTGGCCATGGGAGGCGCGGGCTGGTCGGATGCAAAGGATGTCTGGGCAGTGGTAGCCGTAGCAGACAGTGCGTTGGCAATTCCATTCATCGATCCATCCTTCCCCTGCGAAGATCCCGAGTGGGAGCTACCTTGAGTGTGTGGTGGTGGTTGGCGCGGTGGTGGTTGCTCCGGAACCTGCACGGCGCCAGTGGTTCCCCTCACTTCCCCGGGCCCTGCATATGGGCCACGAAAGGAGGTCGGGTCATTGGGATGCGCCTGGAGACTAGTATTCCCAAGGAAGGCCTCGGACTTCTCATAAGTCGACGTGTCGTTGAAAACGGGGTCCATTTGATTCTGAAGCACGGGGATCCTGGCCGGTTCCGCGACGTGAAGCGGACGAGGGCTCTCGGGAGTCAGAGTCTTGCCGCGAAAGTGAAGAGCTTCATCTGGGGAGCTGGGCGTCATGTAGACCAAGGAGAAGAGATCGATTCATCTACAGAAGCACGGCAAAAAGGTCCAGCAGAACCACTCGGGTGATGGGGATTTTGGAAAATCGACAAAGCTAAGGTGGGGCTATCTTGGAAAAAGAACCGGGCCGTTGGAGCCGGGGCGGTAAAAGGGATGGCAAATAGAAAAGACTTGGAGGGGGGGGGAAGGGAAGGGAAGGGAAGGGAACTGGGCGTGATCAGTTGTAAGTAGGTAGTGCCAGTGCCAGTAGGTGGGAGAGGGTGAGAGAAAGAGGGATGGCGAGGAGAGCGAGCCACACCACTGGATCCTGCCCGAGGGACAACAACACAGCGCAGGGTCAAAAAGAAAGAGGCGATAAGTGCAACCGGACAGATGTAATAGAGAAGTGAAGAGAAGAAAAATAAGATAGATAAAAAAAAGAAAAATAAATAAATAAATAAAACAAGTCTGTAAAGGCAACTGAAGAAAAGAAAAGAAATAATAGTACAGGTGGCTGCAACAAAGGGTGAAAGGAAAGAACCAACAAGGCGTATAGAAAGCTCTAGTAAGATGGAGTAGTAGCAGCAAATGGAGCAGGATGATGAAGATGGGGGAGGAGGAGACCGGATTATTTCATCCAGACCCAATAATCATAGCAGGAAATTGGGAAAACTGGACACCCGATCAGCAGACGCAAGATTGCGATGGCGGGATGAAACGAGGAAGACCAAAAGAGGTATGGAACAGGGAACGGGCAACAATCCACCAGATGGATGGATGAATGGATGAATGGATGGGATGGATGGAGGGGGGGAAAGGAACTCACTGAGAAGAGAAGGTTGAGAAGATTCCCAAGTCGCCCTTCCATCGCGGCGTAAAGTTACGGAATGGTCGAAGTTTGCGCAAGTCAGCGTCCGGCTCTTTCCAGCCGCCTTCCCCGATCGGGCAAGCCCTGGTGCTGCCGCTGCCCCGGCCATGCGGTCTGACTGGCCGGATCTCCGCCTAGAAGTGGATCATTGCGCGCCGGGCTTCTGCTCTCCTGGTATCTGTTAGTCAAGCAGTCACCACTCACCGCAGCTAGGTAGGTAGCTAAGAATAACTAACCTACATCCTCAGGTCCAGATCCTTTACTTGGTCCGACGGAGTTCTTCCGTCTAGTTGACTCGGTTGGGTAAGGCTCGGAGCACCTGGAACTGCTGGAAGTCAACTGACTGGTGGGTTACTGGAGAGTCGTTTGTCGGTACTTCTTCTTCAATCAAAAGTGACGACCATAACGACTCCCAACTCCCAAGTCCCAAGTCCCAAGGACTACTACCTACCTACCCGCCGACGAACCCCAACCCAACCCTGCCGGTCGCCTACCTTAAATTACCTGACCAGTGACCACTAGTAGCAAACCAAACGGGTCCTTGGGACCTCCGTCATACTAAACGCTACCTTGCTCTAGCTCGGCTTCTGGAAGATCCTCGTGCTTGTTACTCGTTAGCAGACCATCCTTAATTCAATGTCCCTGCTCCTACATGCATCTGCGCGGCACTATTTCCCTCTCCCCGGCTTTCCTGCGAACATGCTTCGGGCGAATCATGTAAGCAGCGGATTAGACTCCATCATGGCTCATGTCCGGCTCCCCTCCCGTAATTTTCACCGCGTTTCCCTCGCTTGCTCTTTGCCTTGGAGCCCCACTATCGCGACACGAGCCTTTGCGTCCAGGCGAGCCGCCGCCATCTCGAACCACCAAGGCCTAGATTCGGAGAATGACCTGACGGCGGCTAGAGAATGGGTCGCTAAGCTCAATTCGAAGATCATCACCATCCCGCGTGACATCTGCGAATTTTCCTTTAGTCGTTCGAGTGGCCCCGGAGGCCAGAACGTGAACAAGTCTGTATCCGCATCGAACCGAGTCATCTCCCATTGATTGGTGACTAACCCGTTGCTGTCAATGCGCCCCGTCTAGGGTGAATTCCAAAGCCACATTACGAGTCTCGCTCGAATCATTACTGCCTCTTGTCCCCCAAGTTCTACATTCTCCGCTGCTGGCGTCTCGCTACGTTGCCGCTAGAACCCAGAGCCTGGTCATCCAATCGGAGGAATCGCGGAGGCAGACCGCCAACTTGGAGTCCTGTTACGACAAGCTCCACCAGCTACTCAAGAGCCTAGCAGAGGACAATATACCGGGGGAGACATCGCAGGAACAACGTGATCGTGTACAAAAACTGTAAGTTTTCTGAATCCTAGGATCCCACTTTTGGGACCATGCGAACCTCGGGCTGATCTAGTGTAGAAAGAAAGCTGCCAACGAAGCCCGAATCAAGTCGAAGAAAATGCACAGCAGCAAAAAGAGCAGCAGACGGGGTAGTTATGACGATTAACAAACATGCTGACTTTTCATCATCCAATAACCAAGAGGAACTTCCTTATTCTCATTGCCCATAAAGCTTGCGACGGAAACGTCCGGTAAACGCCTGTGAATAACTCAAATGAAATGTAAGCTCTACGCTTCCTGTACAACTCGCTCCGCATTGCGGAGAGTGGCGACGATCGCCTTTTGGAGTGAGGCATCCGGGCCTTCGGTCTTCTCGAGAGGCTGTAGCCAGTTGACGATCTCCTTGGCGACCTTGGGGTTATTCCGGTGCTCCTTGAGCCGGGCAAACGACGCGCCAAACGCACGTGGGAAATCGGACGAAGTGACCTGGATTCCAGCGGTGGGGAATTTGATGTAGCAAATTTGCGTATGAGGACTGTTGGGCTTGGAGTTCCGCATCGTATCAACCACATGTTGGAGGATCTGGCGCAGACAGGGCAAGTCGTCAAAGTCGACAACCATGTCGTAGAATTCATGACCGAAACTGTCGTCGTTTTCAAAATTCTTCATTGCCGTGTCAAAGATGGCGAGAGGGATAGCGCCAGTCAGGGCAGGAGTCGATGCGAGATTTTCCAGAGCCACTTCGTCCACACCGCCATCCTCTCCAGCGTCGGGGTTGATGTCTTCTCCTGTGATCTTTGGCAGAGCGACCATGTCAGCATCTAGGTCGTCCTCCTGCGCCGGCTTGGGGGCTTCAATCGGCTTGTCGAGGCCCAATATGCGCTGTCGAGCCACGAGCTTGGCGATGTAAATCAACTCCAGCTTCGCATAGTGAAGCCACAATTTCTTGGAGCTCTTGCAGAATCTCAGGCCGCGCTGCATGTACCCCCTGGATTGAGTCATATCGGCATGTTCGTCGACGGAGTATTGCGCCGCATACAGCCACAAATCAACGTTGGCAGGGTGTAACCGCAAGGCGTCTGTAAGAATGGACGAAACCTTTTTGTAGGCTTTTTGCTGTTTGGCGTATTCGAGGTATTGAATCCACAGGCCTATATCGCCGTGAAATTTGCGAGTCGCACGGTCAAGAACGAAGAAGATCCTCCTCTGGCCGGTATATCCAGCGGACCGAATCCCCAAGCGCTTCACCCTCTTCCGGCGCAGGATGTCCAGGTTCATCTCGTATTGCGCATACCGAACGAAGTCAATGGGCAGAGCGCCACGTGCATTCAGCTTGTGCTCGAAATCGGACCGTTTCTTGATGATCGATGTGATTTCCTCCTGGAATCCGACAAGGGACTGGTTAGTTTCCTGGGCGCATCGACGTGGGGGAGGATAGAGCCTGAGAGACAATGAATTACCTTGGTGAAGATTTTCTTCCGCTCAAATTCCCTGAGCTCGGGAACCGACTTCTCCAGGAAGAAGCGGGCCTTGTCCGTAGCGGCCGACATGATGGGTCAGGGTGGACAGATGGGTAGCCAGCAGCAATAATGTCCGTTCCTATCATGAAGCAAAAAAAGTTGTCGGCATCCCGCACGAGATCTCCGGCCAGGGCCCTGGCCGCCTGCCGGATGGGGCTTAGTGGCATTGGGGCCCGCGTGTTGCCGAGCCTCGCTCCGAATGTCATCCCATCATCTCACCTCAGGGGAATCTCGGCCTTCTCGCTGTTGGATTCTTCGTACGACCCGCTCTTTCCTTCTCTTTTCCCTTTTTATTTCATTTCTCTTTCGTCGACGCTCATTTGGATCCCCCTTATCTTGTTTCATTGTTAGCTTATTCTTCTAATTGGCCCGGAGTCCGTGCTCGGTATCTCCTGTGCTGCCATGGCCCCCAGATATAAAGATGGGGATGCCGTCGTGGCGGTTAGTGTCCCTGCTTGTCGCGATTCGTCAAGCTAATTGAACCCTTTATCTCAGTTCAATGGCAAATGGATCTCGTGGACCCATACGATAGTGGCCTACACGGCCTTCTTCAGTGCCCTGGTCGTGGGAATGTCCTTGCACTTTCGCAAGATTGTCCAGAACGAACACTACGGCTACCCTGACGAATGGTTCCCATCCGTGTCGGCCACCATCGGTGACCGCTACCCTGAACGGTCCTTCTTCCAAGTCTTCATTGCCATCACCTCCGGCCCTCGTTTCGCTCTCGTCGCCCTCTGGTACCTCCTGACTGCCCGCCCTAATTCCGCCCTTCCAAAGTTGGTTGCCGGTGTGGGTTTATTCCGGACTTTCACATGTGGAGGCTGGACCTACGTTACCTCGACTGATGATCACGACTGGCACGATATTTTCATGATCTCGTACCTGGTGGCGACCTTGCCTTGGACTCTTGGCTGCCTCGCCCTCAGCCCAAACAACCGCCGCGCTGTCAAGTACCGCAAGATCTTGGCAAGCCTCTTCTTCGGTACTCTGGTGCCTTTGATTTACTTCTTCATCCAACATAAAGTGCACAAGGTTCCTGGGGGTAAGCCTGCGTGATCAAAGCTGTGGTAGATTGGATGACTGACCCCTTCTAGCTTACACAAAATACGCCTTCTTCGAGTGGTCGCTCATCCTGTTTGATGTGGGATTCGATGCCGTCACTGCTCTTGATTTTGACGCTTTCGAGATTGTTGTGAGGGATGTCAAGGGGGTCAGCAGAGGGTATGTACACTGGCTTCCAAAGTAAAGCAGGGCGAGAGAAAAGTGTACAGTTGCCAAGATTGGTTGTCGGTATTTTGAGAGACATGATCTAAGATCCCAAACTTCCAGACAGTTGAAGACTACTGCGGATTCGGTCCTTGAAAAAGAGTGTGTACATTCTGTTCTCCAGACATAACCTGAGCATGGCCGTTAACTCGTAGTCAGGAAGGGCAAGCCCGTTGGCAACACCTTTGGCGAAGGCTTTTTCTGGGCGGAGATCATCGATGCCGCCGCAGATGTCTATAATGGGGTACGCGCTAGGCTGAGCTTTCCCTTCCGAGTGTCATTGCTGACGAGCTGTAGTTTGTCTTTTGGACGCTCTGCACGTCCCTTCCCGTTCTCGTTTGGTGTAAGTAATGCGTCTGTTGGCCCCCAGGATCACATGTCTAATTGCTGTAGACTTCCCTCTCTGGCACATGGGTATCTCTGGATACGAAGCTGCCATTGTCTGCTACCTCTCGCCTTTGCTTCTCGGCATTCCGGCCATCAAATCTGCGGCCATCAAGAATCCCCGCCTTTTCCACTTGCTCTCGCTATCCGGACTCCTGGCATACAAGGTGCAGGATCCCGCCAACCGGCTCTTTGTGACTTCCTTCGCCGTCATTTGCAGCTGTGTGACATGGGCTGCTACCTTGTATGCGGAGAGGGCGAACACCATCAGGCTGGAGTCACGGATCCTCTCATGGACCATTGGATTGATCATGTCTAGCATTGCCAAGTTCGCATGCACGACCAACAACCCTCTGTGGCCAATCATGAATGCCCAGAATGGTGGATGGAACAAGCTCGGGCTTCTACTCGCCATTCTAGCCGTCCTTCGATCCTACAGGAGGCCTGCAACAAGCGGAGGAGATTATCTACCAACGAGTGGAAAGAAGGGGTCCTGGCTCCTGGCCGGTCTGGGCCTTGGGGGTGTGATGTTTGCCATGCACTACCTTCTGTCAGACTCGAGTACCATGATGTCTTGGGTCTGGGAGGGTTATCCTGTACGGGGCCCCATCGCAGCCCCCCACGGTGCGCTCACGATCTTCGCTATGGGCGCTGGCCTCGTCTACGGTCTCTTTTATCCGTCGGTGGCTGGAAGTTGGACGGCGTTCGGACTTGGCTCTCTGGGTGCAGCATTCCTTACCTGCTATAGCCACTGGACTGGATACTATGGCGGTCTTGTCCTCGCCTTCTACATTTTGGCAGTGACCCCCGTCTTGGTTGCCTCGGCCGTTAGACATTCCCCCGGCGCTACTTTCGGCGTAGGCTGCCTCTTGTACATCTTCCTGATCCTGTTCCACGTCTGGGTCGTGGCTTACGCTTTCGTTCCGGGTGGATATCTCGTAAGAGAGCACACGGATTGGGTCATGGCCACCATCATGTTGTCCATTGGTGCGGGTGTCTTCTCGGCCGGTGTTTCGAATGTGTCCACTCCGAAAAGCAAGACCATCAGCCCTAACGGCAGGAGACAGCGGTCCTACTTCATCTACGTGCTTGCTGTGTTGCAGCTGCTCTCCGTCTCCATTGCCTACCTCCGCTTCCCGACCAATGATTATACTCCCTATCACAAGGAAGACAAGGTTGCCACCCTCGGCATTTGGACGGTGCATTTCGGCCTTGATAATGACATGTGGGCGTCTGAGCGACGCATGCGCGATGTCATCCAGGAGCTGGAGCTTGACGTGATCGGCTTGCTTGAATCGGACAACCAGCGCATCATCATGGGCAACCGTGATATCACTCAGTTCTTGGCTGAGGACCTGGGGATGTATGCAGACTTTGGACCGGGCCCCGACAAGCACACGTGGGGATCGGCCTTGCTCTCCCGGTTCCCGATCGTCAATTCCACCCACCACCTGCTCCCTTCACCGGTTGGTGAACTTGCTCCTGCCATCCACGCCACTCTGGACATGTATGGCGAGCTGGTTGATGTTGTAGTCTTCCATTCGGGACAGGAGGAGGACCCAGAAGACCGTCGACTGCAAACGGAGTACTTGTCCAAGCTGATGGGTTCATCGTCCCGTCCGATGGTGCTGCTGAGCTACCTGGTTACCAAACCGCTTGAAGGAAATTACAACACATACGTGAGCGACATCAGTGGCATGAAGGACATTGACCCCACAGACTGGGACCGCTGGTGCGAGTACATCCTTTACAAGAACTTGAAGAGAACAGGTTACGCGCGAGTCAGCCGTGACTCGATCACCGACACAGAGATTCAGGTATGTTCCTCGTTCCATAAGAAGACTTTTCTCGCGCTGACAACTATATCCGATAGGTCGGTAAATTTGTGATTGGAGAGCCGGAACCGGAGAATGAAATGCGTATCCCGGAGGAAATGGTCCCTGAGGGCCGTCGATTCCCCGGATTGTTCCGCGGCCAGGGTGTCCGTGGCCATCGGTACCATGTCTTTGATGAACCCAGATACTGGCAATGAGTGCTCGCTCGTGATTGAAGGGGGATACCATTCCAGATAATTTCGAATAACGTCGAATGTCTTCCATATACTATTCTTGAGTATAGTTCATGCGACAAACATACCAGCATTGCGTGGCCCACTGCCAGCGAAGGTTGTTATGGTCAAATATTGTGGTTTTAATCGTACATAATGTCACGCATCCCTTACTGCTCCTTAGAGTCGATTGTTGGGCGGACTCTTTGGAGTTGACAGTCATGATATGTAATACTATCGAGTAGTCGATATACAGCGTAGGCCGCGGGATAAGGATGGCTGTTGCTGAGGGGTGCCCCTCATTCGGTGTCAGGAAGTCCATGTCCGACCTTCGCCTTTGCTGCATCCTCGCCTCATTGGACTGAAGCACCCTCCCAACTGGGCCGTGGAATGTGAAACGGCAGTCCAGCATGTCCGGCCGGTCGACGTGACATGATTTATATGACGGGGTACGCGATGCCGATGGTAGTGGCACTAAGTTGGCAAGCTAAGAGACGGCATAGATCCTCCTGACAAGGTCCTCCCAGTGACACTGGGAAAGGGATTGTTTCCTTCCACCCCGGCCAGCTTCTTAGTGACGTTCTACATTTCCTGGTGGATGTGCAGGATCGCCTGACTGGTTTTCACAAGCCATCAAGTTATCTAGAACGTTGCATTCCAACGATAGCAGATACAGCTGCTGAGCCAAGTAAGCCCCCTCCAGTGATTGATTGCCTACCGGCCATCCGGTACCCAGAGCGCTAGGAATCCCCCGAGGAATGTTTTCTTTGTTGATCTCCATCCAAGTTTTGCTCCCAGAAGCGGGGACCTGTGACTCCGACAAGGCAGCACTGAAGAGAAGAAGGTAAGTATGTTCGATCATCTTCTAGGGCGACAATGTGATGGGGGTAAAATTAGAAGAGGTAAGAGAATGGCAAGATAGGTAATCCACGGAGAGGGAACACCTGACGTTATCGCTGTCTTCACAGGCTTGCCCCCCTTCGATATTGAATGATGCGCCTCAAACTTAAAAGTATTGTGCCTTTATATCCAGGCTAGACTGGCTGGCCTCAAATCTTGCTTTATACCTGCTTTTATGGAGCGTCAAGTAGGTAGGTTCTCACTGTCGCTGCCCATTCTTGGTCGGGATACGAGAGCTGGGTGGGTAGTCATTTGGATCCCACTCGCTTTTGAAGGCGATGCTGACAATAGACCGAATCTTGTAGCAGCTTACACCTGGCCGGCTCCTTTGACAAGCAGTTGAGATTGGTCTTCTCGGTGATTTTTGGGACAAAGACCGAGTCAATAAAGGACGCAGAACGCCGCACCACGTCGTACTATTTTCGACTATGAATGGTTCTTTCAATAGATGAGGGTGAAAGAAATCCCCCCCATATAACAGGGTATCTCTTCGCCAGGGAACGTGGTGCTGACAATCTTTCAAGTTATACTGAACTATCGAACACCTACAACGAGGACTGAATCGGAGCGCACCCCAAAGCGCATTTGTACCCTTATAAACTTGTAATACGAGACAAACATCCAGTGCGTATGCTGACTGATTCCTACACCTCACTGGCCTGAGCAAAAGCTAACAATATTCCTGCTTCCACCTGCTCAGTAGGCGATGTCCGATCGACCATCCAAACGGATGAAGACTGGGCCGCATTATGCCTCACCAGTATTTATGCCAGATTCCCCGGAGGTTCAGCACGTGGAGGATGCCCCAGAAACTTCACTGTCAAGCCGGCTCCAGAACATGGCCGAAGCTGCGGCAGAGTTGCAACATGCCGCTGCTACGCAGTCAATCAGTCCGGCTGGCAACCCTCAACAACCTTCCCAGCCCAAAACGAGAAGAGCCCATCAAGATGCACGACCCAGTAATGCCGCAGTGCCTGGGAACCAGCCCAAGACTGGCAATTCACAGACACTACTCATCTATTTTGGAGAAGGACGTCCTACACCACGCTGGGTGATTGTGCTAAATCCTCAAGGAGATGGAAACCCTCGGGGCCCTCCACTTCTCTGGGAGTTTGAGCCCGGTCCTGCTGGTGCGGATTTGTTACGGGAACCTGGATTCTATCAATATGCCCTTAATTGGCTCAGAAGGTCGCTTGGTACGCCCCAGTTCAGGCAGATTGTGGCGCAATATGTGAATACAAGGCCAGATCTGGCGCAGCTCGTTAGAAGTGGTAATGACCCGGTGCCGTTTATCGCTGTGCGCGATCCTGCAGTACCCAAGGTGGCAAGCCCTTTTATACCAGCAGCGGAATGGTATTGGTTTATTGACGTTGGGCGACCGCAGGCAGTATCGCGACCAATACAGCAAGGGGGGGGAAGGGCATCTAATGAGGATGTCAACCAATTCTCAAGATCGCATATGCGCATCTACACTGGGGAACGCGAACTCTCTCCGAATCGTCCTGGGGACCCGGATATCGGTGAGTATAAATGGATTTGGTTTGTTGTCGCCCTTTTAGTCTTGAGCATGTTTCTATGTCTCTTTCTGTACGTGTTCAAGATTATCAAATGATGTAATTAGCCGTTAATGTGTCTGTTGTGATGCGCAAGCCTGCTCGGTGTTATCCTGCTGGCTATCGTTCAAGATGTCTGCCCACATTCTTTGCGAGCCCCTTGCATACCACATTCTCGAGCTTCTCAATGAGCTAACCCATGCCATGTGTTTAGACTTCGATGACTCTTCTCCGAATGACACTGAACCGTACGAGATATCTTATGATGAAGAAGATGGTAGGGTTTTGCGTTGCTCCCCCCCTTCCCCCCAACGATCGCCGTTTGATATATTCCCGTCTGCCCGGATATGACCAAATAATCAAGGAAGAGCTAACTTAAGTGGTGAGGATAGAAAATGAACCCGTGTCTGGCAATACCAGATCCAACCAGATGCCTCCACCTGCAGCGAGGCTGCCAAAGGTAGCCGCAGGGGGGGCTGCAGCACGAGTAGGGCCCGGGGGGCCATATATGAAACAAGGCGGACCATCCCAAGCAGGTCCGGCACCACAACGTCGACAGACGGCGCATGAAACCGGCCAACCACTACCAAGACAAAATACACCACCGGTTGAGAAGATAAAACGGAGGGCTGTGGAAGACCTTAAAGCCAACTTGACACGGCATTTCCCTAAACTAACGATCCGTCGGGTGAGATCTTGGGCCGGACAAGAAATCATTGATAGAGAAGAAATTGGGCTTCCGGGGCAGATCGATCAACTACCTAGATTCCCCGCGCCCCAGCCAGAAGCTCGCCCCGACCAAGCGCAACCAGCTCCAGATGAGGCTCCAAAACAGGTTCATAAACGGACTTCGAAACGGGCCTCAAAACGAGCTCTAGAAGAGGATTCAGAGGAAGGTTCGGAAGAGGCTTCAGAAGAGGTCCCGAAGCAGGCCCCGAAGCAGGCCCCGAAGCAGGCCCCGAAGCAGGCCCCGAAGAAGGCCCCGAAGAAGGCCCCGAAGAAGGCCCCGAAGAAGGCCCCTAAACAGACGTCAAAACGGGCCCCAAAACAAGCTCTGGAAGAGGATGTAGAAGAGGATTTAGAAGAGGTCCCAGAACAGGCGCAGCCAGTGAAGAGAGGGCAGGCAAAGAGAAAGGCAACAACCGCACCCGCACCAGCAGCACCGGCTAGTCGGATAACTCGGTCTAAGGCCAAGGGTAAGATTGCGGATAAATAGCATCTGCAACATATGAGTAGGACATGGGTAAAATGTATTTATGTACGTAGGTTTAGAGTGAATTGATGCTGTTCTTGTTTGTATATTGTGGCTGTATACTTCGGTGGACTACCCGATCGGGAAACGATGCAAACCAGGCAAACCCACCCCGTGATGTGATTTCCCGCCGCCGATACCGACAAAGCATCCTTCAATTCCATCCAAGCGTCTCAGCTGCCTATTCTTCAAGTGGTGAATTGTGATTGATCACCTGGATATGCTCCAATAATCCAAATTGACTCCATTTTGTTCGTCGTCAATCCTCCCGGATCGATGAGCTGAGTAGCGCTTCCCGAGTCTCCGCGACAGCTTCACTGCAGCTCTCCTGGTTTCGCCGCGCACGAGAAACCCAAGCCAAGATGTTCACCTTTACTCCTCTACTCGGTGCGCAATCGTCGTCTTCCAAGGCGTCGCAATCGATTCTTGAGCTTGACGGCGGAATCAAGATCCTCGTGGACGTTGGTTGGGATGACACCTTTGATCCCCTCGACCTCCAGGAACTGGAAAAGTGAGGACTTGCAACTGTACTTACCCCCGAGGAGTCTTCTAATCCTATGCCAGACATGTCCCGACCCTATCGTTGATTCTCCTCACACATTCTACGCCCGCCCATATCGGTGCCTTTGCCCATTGCTGCAAGACCTTTCCTCTTTTCACCCAGATTCCCGTCTACGCTACCAGTCCCGTCATTGCGCTCGGTCGCACCCTGTTACAGGACCTCTATGCCTCCGCCCCGCTGGCGGCCACCTTCTTACCCAAGGCCTCGATTTCCGAACCTGGAGCGTTCACATCGGCTGCGTCAGCTGCTGCATCGGTGGCGGAAGGTGACGAAAGCGCCGAACCTACTCATGCCGGACGAATCCTCCTCCAACCTCCGACGGCCGAAGAGATCGCCCGATACTTCTCCCTGATACACCCCTTGAAATACTCACAGCCACACCAACCCCTCCAGTCGCCATTCTCCCCACCCTTGAACGGCCTTACCCTGACTGCCTATAATGCTGGACACACGGTTGGCGGTACGATATGGCACGTGCAACATGGCATGGAGTCGATTGTCTATGCGGTTGACTGGAACCAAGCCCGAGAAAGCGTCGTGGCGGGCGCTGCGTGGTTTGGCGGATCCGGTGCCAGTGGAACGGAGGTCATCGAGCAGCTGCGCAAGCCTACGGCGCTGGTCTGCAGTACCCGGGGCGGCGAACGGTTCGCACTGCCCGGAGGCCGCAAGAAGCGCGATGACTTGCTGCTGGACATGATCCGGAGCACTATTGCCAAGGGAGGCACGGTTCTGATTCCCACAGATACTAGTGCTCGCGTGCTGGAGCTGGCGTACGCGCTTGAACACGCCTGGCGCGATGCGGCGGGCCAAGGCCAGGGGGATGATGTGTTGAAAGGCGCCGGACTGTATCTGGCTGGCCGGAAAGCCAACACTACGATGCGACTTGCGCGGAGTATGTTGGAGTGGATGGATGAGAATATCGTGCGGGAGTTTGAGGCAGCAGAGGGGGTGGATGCAGCGACCGGACAGTCTACGAATGCGGATAACCAACGGTCTGGTCCGAACCAGGGCAAGGCCGAAGGCAAGGGCGTGGGCCCCTTTACTTTCAAACATCTCCGAATTCTGGAGCGGAAAAAGCGACTGGAAAAGATCCTGACCGACCAGAAGCCCAAGGTTATCCTTGCCTCGGATACGTCGCTGGACTGGGGGTTCGCGAAAGAGTCTCTACGACTGGTGGCGGAGGGCGCCAACAACCTGCTGCTTCTGACGGAGCCGCTGCACAAGGAGCGGATCTCGGAAGTCCAGGAAGCCACCCGCCGGAAGACCCTCGGGGGTATGATCTGGCAGTGGTATGAGGAACGCAAAGATGGGGTTGCTCTGGAAAAGGCGTCGGATGGCGAGATGCTGGAACAAGTGCACAGTGGGGGACGGGAACTGTCCTGGACGGACGTGCGGCGCGCGCCTCTGGACGCGGGTGAGCAGCTGCTCTACCAGCAGTATCTGGCCACCAAACGCCAGCTCCAGGATACGTCGCAGGCACGAGGACAGGAAACCCTCGACAACGCAGCCGATGCACTCGACGACCGATCCAGCTCTACATCGGAAGACTCGGAGACGGAGCAGCAGGGCCGCGTGCTGAATTTTTCGACCTCATTAGCACACGCCAACCGCAACAAGCTCGGGCTCAGCGATGAAGACTTGGGCATCAATATTCTTCTCCGGCGCAAGAACGTCTACGACTACGATGTGCGTGGCAAGAAAGGCCGTGAGCGAATGTTTCCGTACGTGGCCCCGAGAAAGAAGGGGGACGAGTTTGGCGAGTTCATCCGGCCGGAGGAGTATCTCCGCGCGGAGGAACGCGAGGAAGCCGACATGCAGCAGCGCCGGACTGACTCCCAGACCAAACTGGGGCAGAAACGGCGATGGGATGAATCGGGGCCCCACGGACGGCGACTGTCCGGCAGTGGCGCCAAACGGCACGTGCTTGGCGATGTGCCGCGAAAGGACGCCAGTACGGCCGACGAGATGAGTCTCGCGGAAGACGGCGAGGGGGCGGATGCTGCGGTATCGTCCGAGGACGAGGTGGAAGGACAGACGTTCGAGGGACCGGCGAAGGCAGTGTACGAAAAGGCGGCGCTCACGATCAATGCCCGGCTGGCGTTTGTGGACTTTACGGGTCTCCACGACAAGCGCAGTTTGGAAATGCTCATTCCGCTGATCCAGCCACGGAAGCTGATCCTGGTCGGAGGGATGAAGCAGGAAACGATGGCGCTGGCGACGGAATGCCAGAAGCTGCTGGCGGCCAAATCTGGGATGGAAGTGTCGGCGGCGGATTCGGCGGTCATCTTCACGCCGGCCAATGGCGAGATGATTGATGCCAGCGTCGACACCAACGCATGGATGGTGAAACTGAGCAACAACCTGGTGCGGCGGTTGAAATGGCAGCATGTGCGCAGCCTGGGAGTGGTCACTCTGACGGCGCAGCTCCGGGGGCCAGAAGTGGCAGCCTTGGAGGATTCGACCGAAGGCCCCAGCAAGAAAGCCAAGCTGTTGGAGGAGGGCAGTGAGGCCGCGACGAGCACGGCGGAGGGGGCCAAACCGGGGGACAAATCGGACGGATACCCCTTGCTGGATGTGCTGCCGGCCAACATGGCGGCGGGAACGCGGTCGATGACCCGGCCGCTCCACGTGGGCGACCTGCGGCTGGCTGATTTACGGAAGATAATGCAAGGGGCCGGACATACCGCGGAATTCAGGGGAGAGGGAACGCTGTTGATTGACGGGATGGTGGCCGTGCGAAAGTCAGCGACGGGGCGGATCGAGATTGAGGCATCGGCGCAGTCATCGGCGGCGACGAGTCTGAGTCGGGGGGGCGGAAGTTTTCTTGCTGTGAAGCAAAAGATATACGAAGGATTGGCGGTGGTGTCAGGGAGTTAGTTGCAGTAGGATTGACTAATATTGATCTTATCTCCCGAACCATTGTCTATCACCTACCAGTACTTCTAGTCCATACAAATGATGCAATCATCTAACTAGTTACTATATACTCAGGATCAATGCGACAGTATCAATGCGACACTTTGGCCCCAGCTCAAATCCTCTCGCCCCCATCCCACAACCACACCCACCACCCATAGCTGTCAAAGTCAGACATGTAAAATGAAGGTTGGGGCTGATCCGTCACACGATTATAGATCGGATCTACCATATGCACTAGTTCCAGCCACCCCCATCCACACCCCCCTTTATTCCCTCCGATTCAATAGTTTGGTTTCTGGAAGGTCAGGGGGAGTAACTCGATACGTAGGCTAGTGTGCTATTTTGGTGAGTATGCATCGGATGCCTATATTACGTGTCTTATGAAACTAGGCTGGGGACTATTGATTGCTAGTGGGACATGTCTTGGGACGGAGTATAGAAGATAGATAGGTATCTAGGTAGGTAGTGTTTGGGTTTTCGAGAATGAAGAGGGAAGTGGTAATTGATGGATGATGTGTACTAGCCAATGGATGGATTAGGAAAAGTGTTGGAATTATGGAAGGATCTAGGAGATAGTACCTACTGTAGGTGTAGTGGAGATGGGTATGTAAGGCTGTATGTAGGTAGGTAGGTATATGTCAGGTGAGATGTCAGATGGGATGGATGGTCGTGATCTTGGGGGATTATATTGGATTGTATTGCATGATTGATAGTAGTTAGTGTACGGAGTGGTATAGGGGGGTGTTGGGGCTAGATGGATTGTTAGTGATTACTGGGGGACTTGGCTGTTGGTGCCTGAGGTGTCTATACTATTCACTCTGCTCAATACGGAGTAGAGGATATCATATTTATACAGAGTATGGAGTAGTATGCAGTATATCTACTTATGATTTATGTACTGTAGGATTATGTACAAGGAAAGTAAAAGCGTGTAGTTGTTACACAACCATCATGCTGTTGTACTCCCTAATCATTGGGGATATCTTACCCCCCACCAAGTGAAGCACCTACTCTACTCTGCCAATTCCGTGGAGTGTAGAGTCCAGACTGGACGACACAACCAAACCAAACCAACAAGGATCCCATCCTATGCCAGGTATGGGTAACCCACCACCAGTTACCCACCTCTCCAACTTCCAAGAAAGTAAAGCGACCATAACAAGGCAGACGTTCAACAATGGACAGGACTCGGATCCGGCGGATGCCACCACCTTCCACCTTCCACCTTCCACCTTCCACCCGCATCCATTCATCCATTCATCCATCTAATAAAGCACACCACCCACCATCCCCGCCCCAAATCCAAGACTCAACAAAAACTAGTGAGGGGTAGACACCACCACCACTGTAGATAGGTAGACAATCCAACTTTTAAAGTCAAGTCTCACCTGAAACACATCCCAAACATCCCACATCCCCCTTCTTCCTTCCTCCCCCACCTACGGCTAAGTAAGTAATGCGTCACGTCAAACCTGCCATTCGATCAAATCATGGTATTGATTGGATATTTCCCAAAATCATGACAACCGACATACGTAACCCCGACCAGTGGAGAAATCAAAAATGGATCTCGGCGACAATCGATCTGAATGGACAATGCGTGATGGTAGATGGACCAATAGGAGGAGGGGTTTAGGGATTGGGTTGAGGTAAGGTTCGGTGAACCAATCGGTGGGTATGCATTCTTTTCTTCGATTCCGTGCTCTGTACAGTTACCTAGTGATTAGTAAGTGATGTCAGGCGCTGACTGTACCTAGTAGGTAGTGTCCAGTCATACCTACATACATACGTAGTAGGTATCTACGTAGTGTGTGCAATAAAGGTATGAATGAAAGGAAATTCATTTCCGCACACGGCATGAAGAATTATTCCTGGGATTGGGCTGAGTCTAGATGTCCCATTGTTCTTTTTCTTCATGATGAGTAATCAATCATCTCTTGGGTTACGTATACGCCACTTTCTTTTCTTCTTTTTCTTTCCTTTCTTTTTTTTCTTCAAAAAAAAAAAATGAAAGTGATCATTGTTGCCTTGAGGGATGTACCTATCCATGGGTAAACGAACCTAAAATATAGCGAACCTAGATTCATCAACTATAGGGTAGTAGTAGACAGAGTTATACGTAGGGTAGATACGTGGAATGGATGTAGGCTGTAGGCTGTTGTATCCACCCACATGGAGGGATGTTAACCCCGCCCAATACCATCCCCTCCTCCTTCTCCTCAATCCTCCTACTGTACTTACTACTGTGTCACTCTACTTATTCGTATCTTGTAGATATGAAAACTACGAGTACGAATAACAGCATCACATAGGACAGTAATCAACCCCTATATACCTCCTCCCTCAAACAATAATCCCACCCGCAGTAAGACACTGATTCACCAAAAGAAAGACAAGAGGGAAAAAGAGACCAGCCCAGCCAATCTCCACTTCCACCAACCCAGATCGGATAAAGTGGGGGGCGCCCAGCCTAGTCCAGCCCAGCCCCACTGTGGCTGACTGTTCATTGCGTTTTTCTTTTTCTTTTTTTTTTTCCGTTTTCAATTTTTGCCGCTTACTAGGCTTTAGGTTTGGGATTATTGTTTGGTAGGTAGATGGGTGGTGGGTGGCTGATTTTGTGTGATGAGTAAGTACGGAGTACCTGCATGCGTTTTTGGGGGTTGATTTGACTTGTCAGAACTTAGTGGGAGGTTTGAGGTGGGATTTTTTGTAGGGGGTGAGGTTGGGTTGGGTGCGTGGTGTTAGTACATAGTAACTAGGAGGATGGGGATAAAGGAATGAATACTTCGAAAGTAGATACTTTTCCTAAGTACAAACAAGTCAAGTAACAAGTCTAGCATAATTCATGTGATATCAAATCACTACATCCATAACCGCATAGCACAGCAAGCAGATCATCGATTCGATTCATCTATCGAATTGAACCGAAGACAACGAAGAAAGAGAGTGTATATGTGCAACTCATCCAGGAGGCAAGTCCAATCCAATCCTATACAAAAAGCAACGAAGGTATCAAAATCACTGTACTTCCACATCTAACTCAACCCCACAAGAATGACGACAGTTTGGGGAGAGAACTTGGCTTAACCCAAAGTCAAAGTGAACCGAGTATCAATGGGGCAACCATGAGTAGCCTCGTTGTCATCAGGCTGGTTGTAAGCACCGGCACACTCAGTCTCGCCCGCAGCACAAGTGACAGTCGGGCAGTCGGTGTTTTCCTCGGAAGGCGAAACAGTAAAGCCATACTTGCTAAAGGCCGAGTCACTGCCCAGGTTGATGCAAGACATGTCCCAGAAGATGGTGCTGCCGGACTGAGTGTACTCGAATTGAAGCACATCAGACTGGCTTTCAGTGGTGGACAGCTTGATGGAGATACCACCGCCGTCGTCGTTGGTTTTCCAGGATTCGGAATAGCTACCACCGCCCGCAGAAAGGGTATGCATGTTACTGACTCTATCAGAAACAGACCACGCGTAGACGGTAGTAGAATCCATGTTGTTGAGAATGTCGACGCCGCCGGCAGAGGAGGTCTCGTTGCGACGGACGTGGAAGTTGTGGGGGAGGGCCGTGGCGACGGTGGCCAGAGCGGCGGTGAGGATGGTCTTGAAAAGCATTTTGATTGATGTTGTTGATTTGGAAGGATTGACTTCTTGAAAAGTAATCAAGATTGACTTGTGGTAGTAAAAAAGATGAGGATGAAAGATAGAGATAGCAAAGCAGATGCTTGTAAGTATGGTTTTATGTCAAAAGACAGCAAGGATGGTGAGACAAAAGTCCAAAAGAGAGAAGACGATTGTCCTAAAGGAAGGTCTGATCTACAGACGAGATCAAAGAGAGAATGACAGGTCAGACAAAGCTGAACAAGAGAGAGTGTGTGAGGCAGTGGAATGCTGGATGAGGAGGAAGCACAACGACGGGGAGCGAACCCGCCTTATATAGACATTTGGGCCCCAGCGGCAAGGCAAATCCATCCACTCCATCCACTCTCCACCACCATGTCATTCTTCTCCAACTGCACCACCCGGCAATCCTGTAACTCGGTTCCTGACCGTTCCAATCCAACGAACCCCCGCCAGAGGCGCAGGGGTAAAAACTCTGTCCAGCAGTCTCCAGCATTGCTCCACATGGCCACTGACGTGGATTGGGCCGTCCCTGACGAGCCCTTTGGGCCCGGGTGGAGAGCATCTGTTCCCGACGCCACGAGATGGATGGCCGAGCGTTGGTCTGTCAAGTTTCACCGGCATCTGGTCAGCTGTTGATGGATGCTGTTGCTGCTGTTGCTGCTGCTACTGATGCTGCTGAGGACTTGCTGACAGCGCCTGCATCACCATCGGATGCATCGGACTCGAGCTGTCGACTGGATGGGTACCTGACCGGTACTTGTGCCTCCCTTTTCTCCGGTTTGTTCTCTGTTTTCTCCTTGCACTGCACAGTATTCCGTCTTTACTCCGTATTGACAATAATCTCTCCTCCCCGTCATATTGATCCCAAAAATAGGCCCTCAATAATCCCCCTCATCCTCTCCCCTCTTCTGCTCCCCCCCCTCAACGGGCTGTTTCGGTCTGGCAGCTGGTTCTCCGTGACATCCTTTCTTTGCTTGCTCCACTCGATTTGCCTTCCCTGGGCGTGAAAAAGTCTATTCGGGGCCCCGTGGTCCGAAGCCGTGGCAATACCATCCACCACTTTGTCTAGTTGTATACAGTGCGTGGCCGGAAGACAACCGAAGTGGCGGACTGCGTGCTCCGAAGCCGAGTCCCGACCTCTGGATCCTGCCAAACCCTGTCATGGCTCAAAGAATGGCAAATGGAAAAGAACTCATGGAGCCATTCCATAGGTCAACTGCTGCTGGGCTCGCCGCCCCTCCGAAAGCCAGACTACTACTGTGTACTAATCCATTATCCGCTGCTCTTTGTGCCGCTCCACAACCCACAGCCCACAGCCAAAGCCATTGGCAGCGTCCACTAATTCTAGTCTCCGAGCCTAGTCCGACCTTATCCTCATCGCCCATGACGAGGCTCGAGTCTAGACTTCGAGACCGGCGCCCCTCGTCTGCCTCGCCCAACCCGGAAAGATATGCTTGCCCCGCCTCCAGTCTACGTTCTACGCTGTTACTCCGTTCGCGAATCCTGCCTGTTCCTGGGCGTTCATTGCAATTGCAAGACCCTCTGGGTTTCTGTTCAACGCTCAACCGTGGTATACTGTAAGTCACTGCCGCTTCTGGAACGTCTTGCTCCCTTTCCCCTCCCCTTCTCAGCGCCCCAAAGATCTCATCTCCTACCAATACGGCGCTCGCAGCCCGGCCAAGCTGGTCAATCCCCCCTCCCCCGCTGTGTCCTCGCGCTTCCGATGCCCCGCCAGCTCTAGGTTGATTTGCCGGTGGGTATGCACCAGCCAGTCGACATGGCTCTGTGCCTCGTTGTTGCGGTCCTCCACCAGCATCCGCGCAAACTCGTACTCGGCACCGTCCAGTCCCTGACGCGCCAGCTGGATTGTCACTGCCTTCGATCCCCGGATCGTCGACAGATATTGCAGTAAATTGCGCACCTGCGCGTTCAAATGTGTCTCCAGCACTGGGATCGCCGACGTCTGTGGGCTCAACCCCTGGAGCGACCCCTGCCCCTCCCCGAACAGGTCCTCGAGGAGGTTGGGTGAGACCTGCGAGTGCAACCACAGCAGGCATTGCTGCCCATTGTCCACCAGGTAGGCCCCGCCCTCCTCGATTTTCGAGAAGCTGGCCCGCAGCGACGGGGGCACTTGCAGCTGGCCCTGCTCATTGGGGAATCCGTCCGTCGGCTGCATGTTGTGGATCGGGATGATGCGGGGGTACAGGTACAGCGCTAGCTCCGTGCACCCGATGGACCGCAACATCCGCATGTCGTGAATGCGCCGGTCCGACGCCTCTTGGCCGCCTAGATGCAGTCAGTCGCCGTGTTTCCCCGACGGTGAGTCAACAGTAATCTTACCTTTGATAGCCCGCGACTTGATCAGACTAAGCATGTACATGGAGAACTCTTTCAGGTTCTCTGGCAGCACCAATTGTCCCGGAGGATGTGACCCAGAAAAGATCTTGCGGTATCCGCTGAAGATGTCCACCGTCTTCTCGGAAACGCTCGCCCGGATGTCCTTGAGGGACTTGTCCAGGGTCTTGGAAGCCGCTGTAGTCATGTTAGCATCGACCCACCCGACAGAGTAGCAAGTAGCAAACATACCCTCCTTGGCCACCATGCTGACCACTGCGTCCTGGTCTACAAACTTCATCGTCTCCATGCCGCCCTCATTGACCGCGGCCACGGAGTTGATGCACCGCACCCGACGCTGGCCATCGGCCGACGTATACAGTAGGGCGGCCTGGAAGTGAGCATCCAGCTTCGGGTCCAATTTCCCGTCGTAGCTGAACACCACCCCAATAGCCTTGTCGGCGTCGATCGTACCGATCTCGAGATCGGCCCCGAACGTATGCTGCACAAAGTTGCCGTGGTAGGCGGACACCTGCAGTCCGTTCGAACACCGGACCTTCATCAGGGCCTGATAGCCCGTCTCCCGCGTGACCGCGTGCGCCAATTCCTGCGAGAGCTTGCGAATATCGCGGGGTGCGTGGAAGTTCGGGTAGAAGAAGGTCTCACCGCCAGTTACCTCAGGGACGTGGCCTGCCAGCGTTAGCAGAAGTCAGGGATCGCGCGCGAACGACTCACCGATCGTAGCAACGTCCATGTACGTTCCGCTCGGTGCCGCAATGAACATGTCGACGCCGATGCCGGCTTCGGCCAAATGGCCGGCCGTCTCTCGCCATCCCGCATGCTCGGTGGTGAACAGCTTCCTCTCCGCCTCGGTCCCATGCACCTTGGGGTCGTCCCGCAGGGACAGAGCACCGGGACCCCAAGTGGGCAGGCTGGCGATGGTTCCCACAATCTTACCGCCCGTTGGCCGCAAAGCCGACAACGCTGCGTTCAAGGCGGGCAGCAAGGCTGGCTGTGGGTTCTTGACATGAGAGAAAATGGTCGGAATGCGCTTCAGCAGGGCGGAAATGACATTCCTGCATCATGTTAGTCGCATACCTCAATGTCGAGTAGAAAACGCACTTGGATTCGTAGGGGTCCACAAACAGTCCCTCACTGAGAGGGACGAACGGCTCCTCCAAATCGGTCATCACCATCATCTGGGCCTGGTCGAGTTGTGCCTGGAACTGTAAGCAGAGTATCATCATAGCGGAAATTCAGACCTACACTCAGATTGTAAAAGTGCACCTCCTTATCATAGGTGACAATACCGATCTTGGCGCCTTCCGGTATCCGCCTGGCCGGGGTCTCGCCATCGGCCTCCGATGGCTCCTCGCTGTACAGCGCTTCCGTGATCCCCTTGCACACGCCCTTCAGGAATCCCCTGTTCACCGACTCCTGACTGACATCAATCAGGAAGAGCCATTGGAGACCCACAGGCTCCTTATTCCAGTAATCCTTCGGCACCAGGAACTCCACGGTTCCCATCATCAGCTCCGGACGCTGCATGCGGTCGACGCGCGATCCGGACGGATCCAGCGGCGCAAAGTATTCCGCCGGCACATCGTTGGGGAATGTGCACATGTTACAAACAAACTTGTTTCCTCCCGAGCGGAATGACATGAACGGATTGATATATGCTCGGCACCGGCGGCATCGTGGAGGGCCGGCGTCACCGAAATCGAGCACGGGAATGGGCTGCTCGCCTGGGTCCAGGCGCGCCAGCGGCTGCAGAACCATCCCCAAGGGTAGTGCGGTTGAGGAGAGAAAGTCGGAGGTGGATGGGATGTTGTTCAAGGTGAGGCGCGCATATTTGGGGGACGAATTGCCCTGGTCGTGGGCGACGAACGGGATCGCCGCAGGTGGTGGAAGGTACCGCTCCATCGTCGGGTAAACATGGTTGAAATAGTACTGCGCAGGCACATCACGAGACCGGGGAATGCTTGGGATTTGCTCCGGATCGATCTTCCCATGTGTCGGAACTGCACCTTCGCCGCCTCCCAGGGCCGGGTTCACGGGGGCGGGGATGCCAGCGGCGGGGGAGATGGGACGGGGGGCCTGGTTCAAGCCGGTGTTCAGGAACTGCGAGATTGGCTGCATAGGATCCTGAGGTGCTGCCGCGAAGGGTTGCGGGGCTGAGGCCGAAGCACCGGCAATCTCGTGGTGCGCGTGTCGATGCTTCTTTTTCGTCGTCCGGGTTGCTCCTCCTTCACCTCCCATTATTCCCAATCCGCTCATCTGGGATGCTAATCCAGCCATCCCAGGGTCGACAGGAGCACCCATGGCAGCCTGCGGTTGCGTCTGGTATGCGAATTGTGCCGGTGGTTGTTGTAGAGGTTGTTGTGCCGGTGGAGAGCCGTAGGCCGGCCATTGTTGATTAGGGGCAGGGGCTCCGTACGCAGCTCCGGGCTGAGGAGAGGGACCGGGAGGGAGACCAGCAGCTGGATAGCCTTGCGGGGAGGCCTGATAGGCCATTCGATTGGGATCCGAGGGGTTCTCACCAGGCACCGGGGCCTGACCGTAGGAGTGATACATGTTCGGGTCGGCCATAGTGCTTCATAACGCGGGGGTAGCGAATCAACGGATGTGGACAGGGGGCAGAGGGATCGATTGGCGGCGGAGAAAGCCCAGTCAGCCGTGGACCATCACTGAATCCTCCTCGAGGACAACAGAGAGGGGTTGATCCAAGATAGGGGTATGTGAGGCTGTTTATCGCAACTGACCACCTCTCCAGTCCACGCTTCCGACGAGAAACCGTGGCCTTGGCCGCTTGCCCCTCTCGGCCTAGCGCGTGTTTATGTCATCAAGGTTGCGCTAATGGTTGTCTTCGCTCGCCGGACATCTCTATACATTTTCCGGATACTTCTTCCCGACTATCTTTGACGCTCGTAGCTATATTGGACGTTTGCTATAAGGCACTTCTACCTATCGATTGGTTCTAACTTATAGAATGTACGGATGGTGGAGAGCATCGTAAGCACTCGGTCTTCAATCAGGATCAGCTGTGAGGAGATAGATGATGAAATCAACCAGTTCCGTTGGCACTGGCGGATTCGCAACGGACCGCAGTTCATCGCGCAAGTTACCCACTTTGATAACCTTGCCGAATTCAGGACCAAAATCCATTGAAAGGAGCTGCTCAGCTAGCTCAAAATTCGGTGCGTATTGATCGGTAGGATCCCCGAGGGGCCCGATAAGGGCCATGAGTTTCGCTATACAGTATGCCTCGGGATATTCTTCAATGATCTTGTCGCGCGCTCCAAAAATATATCTCCAGGAAGCCCATTGCGCCAGCTGTTGGATTAGCCTAGCCGCCTAGACATGGGGTTGACTCACCATAACACCAACTGACCATACGTCTGAAGAATGAAAGCAGCCATGGCCTTGCCAAACCTCGGGTGCCCGGGACGGAAGGCTTTGAAGCCGCTGCTCATCAAATCCATCCTGCATCACTACAACAATAAGTTACATTCACGATAGGAATGTTGGAGGTCGTACCCATTCCTAGATCCCCGAGCTTGACTACGGGCGAATCCCCATTAAGATCGGAAATGAGTACATTGTTGATATTCACATCTTAACGATTAGCTAGAAGCTAAGTGGTGCGAAGGTGATTCTTACCAGTATGGACTCTCCGTTGTGACCTCATCACCTCGAGGGCCGAGAGGACGGATTGTGATATATTCCGGGGTAAGGTGGTGCCACGGACTTTATCTGATGGAACCTTTCGTAGAACAGTGTCCATGTATTCGAACACAAGATGCGACGATGCATCCAAATTGCTGGTTTCAATGGGGCCGATGGCTTCATACATGGTTCGGATGTATCGGTTCGAGGAAAAGGCGTTGATTTGATAAGTGTTGTACTCACGTCTCAAGGCAGCCCGCTCGAGATCCCCGATGGCTGTCTTGATCACTGCCCTTGGAAGATGTTGAAAACATTCAACCTTGCTGGAGATCATACCATTCTTGATTGATCTCCGATCCTGAAAGAATTTTGGCCTTGAAGACTGTTGGGCTCTTCAATGGCTCCATCACTTGATAACTTGCTCTCTTCCCGTAGATCACTTGACCGATGCGCAGCGACATGATTTAGCTGACTGCAGGTTAACTGCCCCAAGCTCCTCGACTCGTATCAAGATTGGAAGAGCTTATAAATGTCTGGGACTAGAATGTATCAGCCGAGCTGAGGCTGAAGTATCCCGGCATCCCCCTTACGGCATGCCGATCACCTGACCCCATTCTCCTGTTCTTCGGTACGATGGCTTCCTCTTCATCCTCTCGATTTCTTCACCTCAGCATCCCATGTTCTTCTTATCTGGATACTTTCAAAACCATGCCTTTCAGCACTTTGATAGAGGCTATCTCACGTGCAGGTTTCCACCCGAAAAGATGAAAGCCATCTCTCAATGAAATGAACAAGAAATGCCCCGAGTCTTATCTCCAAATGTTCGGGTCTTTTGCTGCATCTTTGGCTGTGTGTAACCTGCATGCTCGGATGGCCTCCCTTGCTGCACTTATCAGCCCGGCCCGATAAGGCTGGACGATGATTCCATTTCACCCCAGCCACTTCTTTCTTCCACGGTCCTTTCAATGCTGAATTCCTAGTCCCTTTTTTAATTTGATCATATAATTGGAGTACTTAGTCATCGTCTTCACAAAACTGCCATCCAAGAACGTCACGCAGCTGTTGGCAGTTCGCGTCGGACTTTGCGGGGTTTCTCACCGACTCTTTGACGGGATCTAGACAGGTGAGTCGCATGCGCTGAGTGACTTGGGGACGATCGACCATCTGACAACTAAAGATCTATCCTGGAAGATATTCCTCATCCATACCAGTTTATATAGTCTGCCTATACCCAGGGACGCAAAGACGGTGTTAGTGCGATGGCCACCATCCACGACAATGACGAGCTTCTCCTGGCCCGCATTGGCTACAAACAGGTATAGCCCGCGCGTGTGTATAAATCAGCAAGTCTGACAGCCCAGGAATTGAAACGGGAATTCTCCAAATGGTCCACCGTGTCCTATGCCATTTCCATCTTGGGCATATTAGGTTCAGTCCCCGCCACGTTCGGTGCTCCCCTGGCTGCAGGGGGACCAGCCACAGCAGTGTGGTGTTGGTTCGTGGGATCCTGCATGGCCTTGTGCATCGGAAGCTCAGTAGCGGAGCTGGTCTCTGCGTATCCTACGGCTGGGGGCATGTACTTTGTCACCAAGCATGTGGTCCCGGACGAGCATGCGCCCATCTTCTCCTGGGTACAGGGATGGTGTAATCTTCTCGGGCAGACTGCAGGTGTGTCGAGCGTCGCCTATACGGTCAGTCAAATGTTGCTTGCTTGCGCCAGCATGAACTCGGAGCTCGTGGATGGAAAATACTCGTACACACCGTAGGTCGCCCCTATGCTTTGCCTACTCAGCTGACAAGATCAGATCTGCGTCGGATACAGTGCTCTTGTCAGTGATATTGCTTTGCGTGTTGGGTGTGATCTGCTCTATGACGACGAAAGCGTTGCATCGGATAATCCTTTGGTTTGCCCCAATCAACAGTATGTCACCAAGCCATAAGCATTGAACGTACTGACCAGACAGTCGCTGCGACCTTTTGTATCTGCTTCGTGCTGTTATGGTTTACCCCCGACAAGCAGCCAGCTACATGGGTCTTCACCCGCTTCACTGATGGATCGGGATGGGGATCCAAGGTATTCTCATTTTTGCTGGGGTTTATTTCAGTTGCATGGACAATGACAGACTACGATGGAACCACACAGTGAGCCTGCGCCTCTCTACTAGATAGCCCACTCCTACTGACCACTGCACAGCATGTCCGAAGAAACCCACAACGCAGCCGCTCTAGGCCCCATGGCCATCCAGTCTGCCGTCATCGTGTCTGGAATCCTTGGCTGGATCTTGACTGTGTCCCTGTGCTTTTGTCTTACCGACTTTGAGGGTATCCTGAACACACCAACAGGCCTTCCAGCTGCTCAGATCTTCCTAAACGCTGGGGGTAAGCTAGGCGGTTCAACCATGTGGGGGTTAGCAATTCTCGTTCAATTCTTCACCGGCTGTTCCGCCATGCTGGCCGATACCCGAATGGCCTACGCCTTTGCTCGTGACGAAGCCCTGCCATTTTCTTCGTACGTTCCCCTATAACCAAGCAAACCAGACCACTAACAGGCCGATCCAGCTTCCTCTCTCAAATCAACCCCTACACCCAAACCCCCGTCAACGCTGTCTGGTTCGTCGTCCTCTTCAGCATCTGCCTGAATTGCATTGCCATCGGCTCGACTCAAACCGCCACCGCCATCTTCAGCATCACCGCACCCGCATTGGACCTATCCTACGTGTCTGTGATACTAGCGCACCAGATCTACCGAAAACAAGTCAAGTTTATTGAAGGACCATTCACCCTGGGACGATGGGGACCTTATATCAACTGGATCTCGGTGCTGTGGGTGTTGTTTATCAGTTCGGTGCTGTTCTTCCCGCCAACGGTGCCAGTGACAGTTTCCAACATGTACTTCACTACCTCCAGAACCCCATTCCCCACGGTTTAGAAGTTCTTCACTAATTGGCCACTCAGGAACTACGGCATCTGCGTCGGGACCTTCATCGCCGGCTTCGCATTAATCTGGTGGTGGGTTGCTGCGAGGGGGTGAGTACCTTCCCTACAATTACACTCACCAGAGAAGCATCCTAACCCAATTTCAAAAAACAGAAGATACACCGGCCCCCGAACAACAGACGACATCCAACCCGTTCCAACCGAGGAACCAGGTACCGGTTACGGAACCATGGAGTGACCAACCCTACAGAAGCGCCCCTCCTGCAAAACCAACCCATCCACCATCCCCAAGGGCCAACGAAAGTCCCCTCTGGCTCTAATTAACTCACCCGCCCTAACAACTCCAAACACTTGATCCTTAACGAATAGACCAAAAGACCCTCTCTATCTACCTTCTCTCTCCATCCCCTATTCCATGCAACCCACAAGAGCCAAACAATCGAAGTAGAAAGAGATAACCCCAACCCCAACCCCTACCCCCAACTACCATAGTCTGACCCCCTACCCAGATAGTCCCTAAATCAGGCACCCATCCTAAATCCCTAGATATCTACCCAACCCAACCCCCGACGATCTCAATCACCATTTCCCTTCCCAAAAAAGCAAAACTGTCTGTTATCTCCCAGATACATACCCAACCGAACACCAAGCGGCAAGGATTGACTGGTGTCTAGGAGGGGGAAAAAGTAATTACCGGATATATAAAAAAAAGAAAGGAATGAATGTCAGGTACACGGACAAGTGTGCCGGTGTCAATCCAAAGTTAAATTTGACATTTGGCGGGCAATAGTTTGATGCAGCTAGGGAAAGGGTCAGAGTATATATCTTTCTGCATATTCGTAGATAAGGAAATGGTGAATACTTAGGGAAGAGTATGATAGAGTGTGTAATTTGTGGTCACGATATGGATGTGATATGGTTTAGGATAAATTGAAAGATGTCATACTGATAGTATATACAATGCAAGTCCTATACATAGATGAATTGAATATCATCACGACTCATCATCACGTACTCCGTCATATATAAGTACATCGAAATCAATTCCAACCGGCCAGTGTCCCTTTTTGTAAATGGTATACGGTACTGTGCCCCTATCATGCCCGCTGACGCCATGCCCGTTCGTCTCTCGCGTTTGGGGCTGCTCACCCTCGGTCCTGTTGCCCTTTCGCCATTCGGTAGATGAAGAAAAAGAAAGAAATGGAAGAAAGAAGAAAGAAAAAGATACATACATCAAACGGCTCAGAGAACCAAGAAAAGACCACCAGGAACTGGTGAATATGCAACCGGAATAAGTAAGAAAGAAACATGCAAGGGTGCAAGAAGCAGCCTAGGTAATAAGGAAATCCATGTTCATGTCGTTAATAATCTTCTCCCAGTCCCAACTCTCTTCTATTTTCGTGTCCATCACATCCCATACCCGCTCTACCACTTTGAAGGCGGGCTCGATGTTGCGAAGGTTGGAGTAGGCCTTGAGCGTTTCAAAGCCCTTTTTTATCCGCTCCCGCTGACGGGGCACGAATGCAGAACATCCCAGGAGGAACAGCGGCATCAGCACAATACTGTAGGCACCTGCGTCTTGAGGTAACTGGTCCAGGAAAGATAGACCGTCATCTACAACCTGTGCGATCTTCTCACTAGGTCGTGACGGTCGAATGGTACGGTACAAATACACCCAAGTAGACTGGCGATACAGCTGCGCCAGGTAGTAATTCGGAGTGTTGGGCGCATACGACGTCTCCCAGGCTCGAATGGCAGAATCGATGGAGACAGCATCACCCAGAATCTGGTAGTCAACAGCGGGCTCATACCCTTCATTGGACCGTTGTCGGATCCGGTCCCGAATCCGAGTCACTTCGGAAATGTAGTTGAATAGGCCATCGAACACTCCCAGGAACATCCCTGCCTGTGCATGTGGCACAAAGTCAGGCAACCGCAGGCCACCTTGAAGGGCCGGGCGGCGATCCAGCGAAGTGATGGAGTTGGAGACATCATGGTACTGGAAGAACTCGACGATGAACTGCCGGAACTTCTCGTTCCGCGGGGCCTGCGTTGTGAGCAGGAACCGGGCGGCATCCATGTGTGGCCGGTATTCCCCGTTGACCTCCCCTTCGCAGATGGTGTTCAGGCTGAGAGCAATAGTGGATGCAATAATGGGATCCTCCACTAGAAGTTCAGGCTCCTGCACGGCCCCCGAGGATGTGGTGATGTTTTCCTTGAGGTCTCTGATGGCGCGATGGAAATGGTAATACTTCCGCTCTTTCAGCTTTGGTTCCGGATCGAGAGCCGATAGGTGGGACCCGGAGAGACACATGAGAGAGTGCATTAACCCCCGGTGCTGGGTGGCCATAGGAAGGAGGATCTCCTTGAACGGGTTGGAGTCATCGTTGATCAGGGTCAGGACGCGACTAAAGCTGTAAACGAAGTGATCCAGGAAACGCCGGTCGATCTCGGTTTCGATTCCGTCAATCAGCAGAGGCAGGGAGCGAGCAACCATGCTCTGGGTGCGGACTGCTGTGACACCAGGGAGTCAGAAACCTCGGACAGAGAGCCACGGTGATTGGATGGTGTGGGATGAACAACAGGAAAAAGTAAATACGCACGACAGCCACGTAGAACCAACGATGGTCCCACGGAAGACTTACCATCCTCAAGCTTCTGCTTGCCACTCTTCCAGATTTCTTTCGGCGGATAGCCCTCGCAGACGACGGCGTTCTTCTGACAGTTGAGACACCTGCGGAACGGAAAGAAAGTTAACCTCTGCGACCGTTGCGAGGGAGGACGGGGAGCTTTACGCTGGCTTGGTCTCGTCGCATTTCTTCTTTCGCCGGCGACAGGTAATACAACCCGTCTTGGATCGACCCTTGGTGATTTTGACCTGACCCCCGGGCGCTGGCAGCGGATGTTTGCGTGGCCGTCCACGTTTCCGTGGGACGTTGACGGGAGCAGCCGTGGAATCCGGATGGGTAGAACTCGCATGGGCCATCGTCTCCACTCCCACGGGCTTAATACTCTGCAACTCGTCCACATCGTCTATCTCCTCGATCTTGGGTGTCACCTCGCCCATGACGGCCTCCATCCCGTGGGATGCGATCACGTTGAAGCGAAAGGCTTTGGGTGAAGTTATTGCGGTCGTGGCAAACGGATGGTGCGACCCGTCCTGGATTTTGACGTCGACCTCGGCAGCGGGAGAATGATCGGAGGGGCCGTCGCCATCCCACGAGACAGGCGAATCGTTGGAAAAGCCGTCGGTGGTGCTGATGCTGTTGCGGTGGGAGAGAGATGAGTCGTCGACTAAAGGGCAGTCGGCGAGAGCGGGGATGTCCGCCAACATCACCGAGCGGGTGGAGTCGCGACGTTCCGCAGGTTGGTTGGTCGGCGGCATGGCATGAGGCAGGTGGTGGTGATGGTTCACGTTGTAGTTGTTGGAGGGAGGAAGCACATAGGTATGAGTCTTGTGCATGGACAACATTGGCCCATAAGCACCTCAACCTGAGGTGGAAGGTGGTTGTTGGAGTAGGCAGAAGAGGACGAGGAGGGAGGGGAGGAGGGGGGAGGAAAGGTGGTGGTGGTAGTGGAGGTGGAAGGAAGGTGAGCGAACAAGAGCGAAAGAGTTGGTTGGGGGGTGATGAGGGAGAAGACGAGGAGAAAGAGGAGGAGGAGAAAGAGGGAGGGGTAACCGGTGTTGATGGTTCCGCGACGGGGGGGTAGTGGTAGTGGTGGTATTGGTGAGAAGACCAGTGGCTTAAAAAGACGGTTGTCTGAGAGTAAGTAGTAGTGTAGTAGTGTAGTAGTAGTAGTAGTAGTTCAGCGGTGGTGGTGGTGGTGGTGGTGGTGGTGGTAGTAGTTGGGAGAGAGGATAATAAAATCTCCCTATAGAGTAATATTAGGTGGTGATTGGAGTGGGGGGCAGGCACAGACTTGGCTGTGCTTTAGTGGAAGACGGATTGGCCCCGAGAAGCACTGGGCAGTCAGTCAGTCAGTCAGTCTTCTGTCAAAACGAGGCTGAATGGGGGATCGGGGAAGGCAGGCGATTTAATAGCATCCGACGATGCCTATTCAGTCTTCAGATGATTCTGATTATTCAAGGGACGAGCCGGCCGTAGTCATAGGAATGAATAATAAGAATAATCCCGACAATCCGTATTGTATGGACGTCGTCGGTATGGATGGGATGGGGCAAGGTATTATTGTGCTGAATGGCCGGCCAGAGAGGGCAAGTCACCCCCCCCCCCCCAAAGTGGTACTTTCTGGCTGCGGAGTATTCTTTGGATTCTTTGAATTCTTTGGAATTCTGATTTCTGATTTCTGATTCTGACTTTCCTACGACACGGACCATTGGAGCAGTCAGACGGACGTGGGTGTCAATCCCCATCTCAGAACAATTACACCAACAATAATCTAATCAAATCACCATCCACAATTCCTTTGCGAGCAATCTCGTGGATTCCGTTGGTATGATCATAATAATAAATATTATTATTGTAATTATTATGTAGTATTATTATAATAATAATAATAATAATAATAATTCTTGCGAGTCACAGCTCCATCGGTCGGGAGCGATTGGAGGCATGGAAGTGGACCCCGTCAAGAGGGCATCCAAACTAGGCAAACTTTGTGATGGATGCATCGCAAGAAAATCCTCGCAATTAACCGGGACAACTAAGGCGTGACGGGGCCAAGCCTCGCCGTGCTTCCACTGCGCCGCACATACCAGCCTCGACGTCCGGTGCGTCATGACCTCACGGATAAAATGAGCAGGAGCATTGCCCCGAGAGAAGATGAGATCCCCAAACCGACCGGGAATGAGGAGCAGGAAGAGAAAGAGGAAGAGGATGCAGCAAAAGAGGAGCGACAGGGTCAGTAGGGCATCCATCCATCCCGTCCGGCCTGCGCTTTTTTTAAACTCTAACATGGATGCGGGGGGCCAGGAATGCCAAGCCTGTCCATTTCCCCAGCCTGATTGGCTGCTCGACAGACGGAGAAAAACGCCAGAGAAGCGAACGGAAAACCCATGCTAACCTTCACTAATCACTAGTAGAACCTGCACCTCCCTCTCGGTCCTGATTTTCGTTCCTACCGACTTGCCTAGTGCCTTCTACCTAGTGTCTAGTGTCTAGTGTCTGTCGACCTCTGGTGGATGCACAAAAGCAATGTGCCCGAATGAGAAATAGACCCTCGAACCTTCCTACGCATGGATGGTGCACCCGGGGCCACCGCCGACGGATGATCCTCGTTGCTCGCGAGTGCTGGGCGCACCTTTCGGTTGGCGACCGGCCGGTGGGTGATTCCCCAGACCCGTCCAGAATGCAATGGCGGCCCCTCCAGGGGCTGGCAGGGCCGGAAGAAGCGAAGGGCAAAGTGACTAACGACTGGCTTGCGTGGAGGATCTGCTCCATCCTGTGAGGCTATTGTCGACCCCATACCGGATTGACTGCCAACCTTCCCCGTCGTACAGGCCGCGTCGCTACGAGAGTTCGTCACCCTGATTGCGAACTGCAGCAGGAAACCCGATTCCGTCCTGATGACACAATGCCAACAGAAAGCAGGTCCAGAAGGAGTAGGCTCGCACTGGTTGCGCAGGTGGTGCTTGAATCTTGATCAAGGGAGGATGGATGCCTCGTATCGTTAACTTCATGGCCCTAAGGGGTGAAACCGGCCTCATCTACTGTAAACAGCCCGACTCCATGTACTTCGTACACACGATTGCGATCTATCGAAACGATCAGACCTGACTCCTTGTCTGCCATCATTGGACACGTTGAATCATGACCCATGGGATTTGCAAAGCCCCGGTGAACCTGGTGAACGGAAAAGCGATGACGGTGGTGATGACGGGGCGTAGCGTTCTAGTCGGTCTTATGTATTACTTGCATGCCGGGATGACACGGCTCGGGCTCAGCTGGACGCCACACCCCACGCTACGACAACCTTGGACGGTGGACTCAGTCTTGGGTCTCATCAGCCGGCGTGGGACAAGTGCGGAGATGGCCAGATGCTCGGGCAGTGACACCACAGGCCAAATTCCTCCCTGCATTCATCATTGTGATCCGTCTGACGCCTTTCAGGTCGCCCGATCGCTTCCCCGGACTGCTGAGGAGGGCTGATCGGATGATAATTAAGGAGGATTGTCGCCCCCGAGCATAATATTGTTGCGTTACGGAAGGGGCAGGAATGGACGGTCAGAAAAGGCCTCAGCGAACAATCTGGGGAAAGTGGGCCAGATCTTTTCCTATGCGCCAGCACGGACATTCGGACTGCAAAGAATCGTCCACAGACAGGCACGGAATGGATGGCCTGGAGGACTGCTGGCTGCTGGCTGCTGGCTGCTGTAGGTACGTATCCCCGTGATCAAATGCGACAAATTCAATCTGGCAGGTTTGTGATCTTGTCAGGACGGGCTGATGGTCGTGGAAGGTCATGGCGGACGGTCTGTTCCCTCCCCTTCCCTGTTTAGCGAAGTCCTCTTGTCTTAGTGCTGGTAGTACTACCTGTGCAGAGTATCGCGACCGACGGATGGCCGGGCTGGTCCTGGCAGATGGACTCCTCACGGGTTGCCAGTATCACTCGACCGAGAGCCATTGTTGTTATTGGGGGGCTTTGTTTCCGAGGGCTTGGACCTCACGGGCGACGGGGATTCCGCCCCATCTGCCAGGCGACCAATTCGGAAGTGGAGCTGAGCTGCTCGAGCTCCAGCTCCAGCTTCAGACTTCAGAGGCTCTGGCGCCGTATTCCTTCCACTAGGCTCCGGGTCCGACCGTGCCTCATTTCCCATCCTGTTAAAATATCCGCGACTCGCAGGGGGGGTGTTCGCTCTAGCGATTAAGCTTGCTGCTTGAGGATCATGAGGGTCAGATGGTCTGACCGATTGGAGAGGAGTAACAATACGGGTTGTGACGGCGGCGGCTGGGCTCGCATCAGGTGAGGGCGGCTAGTGGGGACACCTTCCGTACCGTATTACCGGTTTGGAGAGTTTGCGCTACACTCTCTCCTTCTGCTGGTTTCTCTTCCGTACGAGTCAAACGTCTGGCCAGGCACTCAGGCAGGTACACCACTAGCTCCATCAACCTCGTGCCAGTATCAGCATGAGGACAAACAGGACAGAGTGATAGGTACTACTCCAGCATTTCTCCCGGATAGATAATAACCAGCTGGGAAATAAGCATCACGATGGAGCGAGCCGGTTCAAACACGCCCCACCCCACGGAATGGCTTGAAGCCCCCCATCTGCACTCCATATCCTACCGCATCGGGTATACGTACATGCCATGGCAGAGGCATTACTATGATCCTTTTACTATTACTGTTACTGTTAGAAACCGCGGACAGAAACCAGCCCAACCAATGCACGCAAAAGTTAAAAGCGCCATCTTGAATCCGGGAGTGGAACTGACAAGTGGATCTACGGAAGGGTGTTCCCGTTATTCAGTGGAGGTTACTACTCTTCACTTATGATGTTCCTTGCTGGATGCTTGAATACTATGTGTGTCTGTCCACGTCGCTGCTTACCCCGCCATTTTGCCCTGATTCTATACAGTTGGCCTATACCTATACCTATACTATGTAGTCTCCGTTGCGACGATGCTCCTTGCGTAAATGCGGAGATGACACGGAGCGTGGACCATACCAGTAGTAGTCCAGTACATTCATACAAGTCTCCATACATTGTTTACCTTGCACCAACCATCACATCTCCACTATGAAGTATACAACTACAATTATAGTAAGTAGTAAGTACACTACGTACTCCATAAGTGATAAAAGTACCAACTGAAGCATCCGTATACTTCCGACCGTAGAACTCACTCCCACCACTACTACACATATAGCCCTACCATCCATCCCATCTATACCCATCCACTGCAGTATAAAGAATGAAACAGTACACGTACTGTATATTAACCACCACCTGACCGAACTGGACCTCTCCACTCCAATCAGAATAGGCAAGTCACCCGAACCCGGGCCTGCGCTGTAGGCAGCTACTTACCTACCTTAGTACTCCGTAGTTAAGTTACCTAGTAGCTAACACCTAAATAGCTATGCGACCCCAACTCTCAACAAGCACTCAGTACTAAATAAATCCTTAGTAGAGGAATAGTAAACATAACCAAGAAGCTATTTCAACAACACCATATTATAAAGCATAACCCACTAGAAGAATTAACCAACCCTCTCTCAATGATTCGATTCGTCAAAAGGTCATTCTACTTTCTAGGAACTTCGGTGGGGTACCGGGTGTGTTGGATGCACTAACGTATGTAGGTTACGTTACTTACTACCTAAGCCTAAGAAGGTTACTACTCCAGTTAAGTACTATGTACTAGGGTAGGTTAGGTTAGTAGCATGTGCAGAGCCGGATGCGGATGGGATGGGCGTGGGAATTACTGATTACCTACCTAGTACCTAGGTACATTCTCTTGGATTGTCTGTCTACCTGTATACCTATCTGTGTAAGAAATGCTAGAAGTGGAATATAATCAAGGTATGGGAATTCATTACTCCGTACTTCATACCGAGGTAGGAAATACCACTACTATTACTACTCATAGTAAGCAGCAAGTAAGTAGTTAGGTAGATAGGTAGTAGGTGTAGACTAAGCTAGTTAGTTAGTTAGTCCTTATTCTCGATTCACGATTTCCTGCATTAGGTAGACGGGCGGACACTGTCTTCTATCCATCCATCCATTCCCCACTGATTTAGTTTGTTCTTAGTACTAGCTTGGTAGTACTAGTTAATCACTACGTATCTTCAAAGAATCTTCAGTAAACAACAACAACAATAATAATATAATCTAAACAATCCTAACAATCCAACCATCCATCTACCCCAACCCAATAAACATAAACATAACCAGTAGCAAAAAATTAACTAATCCCTCACATTCCCATCCCATCCACAGCACGTATATGTACATGTACGTATATGTATCTATATGTACAAGTAATCCACCCATTGCGGGGTCCCAAATTTTAATAAAGTCTAGTGGGATATTGACACCAACCAATCAGAACCCAGAAGTTGCCAATTGCAATAGGTGTATCCTTGACTAATGGTATGACCGGTGGGTTCAGATTCGGAGGCACCGGTCGGAGAGTCCGATTTTGATGGTACGTACTGTATGACTTGCTTGGGTTGGGTTAGGGTATGGTACTATATACTAGTAAGTATGTAGAGTGGGTTTTGGTGTTGGGTATATTGTATTATGATATGATATAATATAATGGGTGTAGTGAATACCTATCGATGTATAGATCATTAAATATCATCCATACAAAACCATACTACCCAATAAGTATACTATAATAAATACATCAAATAAATACTCAAGACCCAAGCACATGGTATGACTCACCCACATCATCTCAATCTAGACCCATAAGGTAAAACGTAAGAATGCCTAATATAACCCCCTCGACCAATCCCGTGCGTCGTCGCCACCGGTACTTAGCCAAGGCGTGGCTTGGGCAGCAAGTAAGTTAAGTGGACAAAAGTACGGTGCTTGAGGCCATGCATTGCTGAGATCCGGTTTTGGGACGTGGAAGGGAAGAGAAGGTTCTTAGGAGTTATTATATGGTTTTATGGGGGGTGCTAGGCAGCGATGTGGGTGTCACCTGATCGAGGGGATCTATACAACTGAGGGGATAGTTTAAGTGTTTGGGGTTGTTGATGGGGGAGAATGGTGCTTGAGTAGGGGGTTATTTTAGTCGGTTTTGTAAGGTGTGAGTGAATACTATTGTTGTGTGTTTGTTGCTGATTTGAATTGATCTTTTGCATCATTGGGGTGATGGGGTGTTGCTATCTTATATGAATTATATAGAGTTGAATATACACTTTGTCTACTGAATCTTATCAAGTTCGCAAAACTACGCACTATTGCTTGCAATACCAGAATACTGACAAGGCTCATATGTAGATCAATTAATCAAGCAATAACAAGTAAAAGAGTGGCGATAAAATGTCAGAGCTCATACCAGTAGACCAAACCGGCTGATCTCTAGAGAACAGACAGAGAGAAATGTCCCAACATAAACTGAGAAGCAAGTCAAAGAACCATCACAGAACTATTCCAAACCTTCCCCCTTGGGCGCATCCTTGAGAGAACCACTATCATGTTTCTTAGCACTCTCCTCCTGGGACTCCTCCCCCAAGGACCCCTTCATTCCCCCCAGTTTCATTGAGGTCGCATCAATGAAATTCCTCTTAATAAGCTCAAAGTTCCCCTCCAACAATTTCTTGTACTCATTATCCAAATACTTCCCAACAGAAATCTCATAAGTCTGCCCCCCTCCCCTCCCAAACCAATCATCTTACCATCCTGCAACTTGAACAAAGTCAACTTATTCTCATACCACGCCCCAACAACAAACTCCAACGTCCCAGGTCGGTTTTTATCTTTCTTGAGAAACTCGACTTCTGCATTGAAGATCCTTTCGAACATTTCTCTGTCCTCGAACGGGCCCAAAAGCAGCGTGAGTATAACAAACCTGGGGAGTAAGGGGTCATATTCAGCAAGGCCAATGACTTCCACTCTCGGGTAATATGTCACTTTGGGGCCTCCGCCGATTTTCTCAATCACCTCGGGAGGGCCCTCGGGGGGATGTCGACTACCTCGGCTTTGAACCTATCCCGGACTTTGATGTGGGTGTTGGCACGCTGGGCTTGGAAGGTGGGACCTTCGAAGAAGGGGTAGATCCAGTCTAAGGCGGAGTCGATGTGCGGGACTGGGATTTCGGGTTTGTTTGTGGTGGTCATGTTGAGTAGAGAGGTTTATTTGGTTTGGTTTGAGAGAGAGATCAGATGAGTAGAGTGGATATTTGGGTGATGGGAGAAGAAGAAGAAGAAGAAGAAGAAGAAGAGAACTGTGCAGGATGATGAGGCCTTTTATATCTTTCCATGCTGTCAAGAGCTAGGAACTATACTGAGGTTATTAGGAAGACGTCGCTCTCTATTTCAAGAAGAACAAGTTCCTTACCGGAGTGAGGGCATCTTTTGAATGGAGAATGGAGATATGTCCTTCTGGAAGGTAGCATAAAAAAGCTTGAGTTTTAGAAAAGGCAGGACCCTTTCAGGGAGGTAACCGCTGGATATTAGGTTGGGACATTCTCTACCTTTTGTACATAGTAGCCATTAGGGATATATCTCGTTTTGTCTATGTAGTAGTAGCTTTGACATATCATGTCCTATCATAGAAGGAGACAATATATATTACCTTGGGAAGATGCTAGAAGAGTATCACAAAATCTGCAAAACTTGTTCCTACTCTGTCATCTTATATTTTGGTTCGAGCAGTGAAGGTCCTGATAATTGTTAAACTAAGTCTTTCATAATAAGAAGACGGAGTAGACGGAAAGCGTGGTTGTAGACTGACCGGTGTGTCCATATATCATCCTCTTGAGATATCTTGATCCAGCCATGATAATACTAATTGCTGAGCGAGCAAGATGGTTGAGTGCAGGGGTGATGTGACCCCAGTTTTGCAAGGTGTGTGGGTCAATACTGTCTGCTTATTACTGATATAAACTGATCCTTTTCATTGTATGTATGGGATATGGGGATGTTTTCTTATATGAACGGTACAAATTGCAGGCTTAATTGTCTAACTTTATTATTATTATACTTGCAGTCCATGCTACATGTATTTGCAACATTCAAATAAGTTACGATACTATGTGAGATAAAAACGACTTGAATTAATCAACCAATCAAGTGATGTTTCAAATAAAGCCCAAGAGTGACAATAATCAGATATCAAACAGCAAGCAAAATACTTCCAGAAAGCCGGCAACAACTAGCAAACAAACCAGACCTATCTTTCCAATCCAGTCTCTGTAAGCTTCCCCTCCGGAGTAAAATCACAATCCATACCACTCACCCTATTGGTAGCAGGATTCAACTGCTCCTTGATACGGTAAGAGATACGATCCACCACAGCTTGCTGGGTGCCAGCAACTTCAACAGTATGATCTGGTTTGGAATATATATTGAAGTGTACTAAGTCGTATCCCCGTCCAAGCCTGAGTGGTTTAACTTTCTGGCCAGGGCCAGAGAATCTCCCCCTGTAGAAATAAAACCTGCCTCTGAGGCGCACGGCTCCCACCAGGTCAACCCGGCTAGGTGCATCCTTCCTAGTCCCCGACCAGTGTGTTTCCAGTATGGTTTCACATACCTCGAGCCAACATTTCGGTTCAATAAGGAGCGTGAAGAAGTTGTAGCTCACTAGATGTCGTGATGGGCCAAGTACCGGATCCATCACTTCATAATAATGATTGTCCGTGTAGACTTCAAATCTCAGAGACTCCCTCTTTGCGTTATTGTCTCCGGTAGATTCGATGGTGTAGCCTTCACTGTGGGGGAAATAGCCCGCGAGCCATGTGCTCCAGGCCTCTTCGTCGTGTTTCCAGATCTGGTTGGACATTGTGTAGCTATAGCTGGGTAGGGAAGGTATTGGATTATTGATGGTGGTTTTGTTTGGAGTAGAGAGTAAAAGTAGAGTGAAGACGGGTGGGTGATGAGAAGAGATCGAGCAGAGATGTGATGAAGAGGCCTTTTTATACCTTTTTGGGAACTGCCAATGTCAGGAATCATACTGATCGTGTTAGGAGGACTTCATTTTCTGTTCCTTTGGGTAAATTCCTATCTAGGGTGTAAATATTAACGAGGAGATAGGAGACAATGCATTTCTGGGAGATAGCGTTGGATGTGCACAAGACTTTGTGAGGGAAGAATTATCCACCTCCGAGGAAAGAGCCCCGGGGCAATGAAATATGGAGAGTATCAATTGATACTACACAGTTTTAGTATTTATTTAGTCTCTCGATCATGAATATACTACTGACCTTGTTGGAAGAATTTATTTTATAGTTCAGGAACGAGTTGAAGACTCTTAATTAAATTTAGACATTCATTTCTAGAATATACTGTTGGATCCTTCTCACTCGAATGGTTTAGATGTGAGGAGAGAATTTCTGGGTTTTATGCTATCTATCTATATAGAACAAGCATCCACATCTTCCCTTCAATACCACCATAATTTTCCAACCATCCTCCTTACCAGTCCTACATCTCCCCTTCACCAATGCATTCGTTGTGGAATAATTTACAATTGAACCAATTGGTCTAATGTACTGGTACGTTCTGTAACGCAACCGAGTTGTAACAGGTCCAAAGAACCCAGAAGATATAGAATGCGGTTCAGAGAGAGTTAGCCAATGGGCTCGAAGCTCAAAGCACGCAAATCCCAAGTTGTGCTATCCATGAAACATGAACCACACTCTGCGGGGGTTGTTTGACGAGGTTAACTCTTCCATACACCATGAGCTCAGATGCAATGGAAGGAACAGATAAATCGTATTGTTGAGTCGATTTGACGTTAAATAAATAGAGTGATAGATTAGAATTGTGTTAACTAGACCCATGTACAGCCATCTGTGGAGCCTTTGACTGTCTCAAGACAATGTATAGCAACACCTGGCCAGCACAGGCTTCAACATCTTGCTAGAATATGATCGAATTATTGTGAACAACATGTGTTCGGATCAAATATCCTTTTTGATCTGGGTCTTGGACCGGTAGACTAGGTTGCCTTGATTTCGAGGCACAGAACCCATCACAAGGTATTTCAGCATCAATACCATGGTTTCATTGCTTCGTCCATGTTTCAGGTCATCTTTCTGGGTTGATTTATTCGTTAGTCTAGAGACATAACGACGACCGGTTAGGAGAGGACATGAACGTGAATGCGGGCACTCTTCTATAAAGGAGTGTCATCTGTATGCTTGGTTGAAATGAGCTTGCTAAGTTCGAGGTAACCACTTCGTAAGTCGTCCTTGTTGGTATTGTTAGACCCAGTGGTAAGGGGCACTTGTAAGGAGGTCAAGACGCTGTCGAGCAGGACCTTGACCTAAGAGAACATGAGGCAATGTAGGACTGTGACTTTATTCTTTTTCTCATCGTGAGTCAATTGTATTATTCTCAGGTTCATCCTCATCCGGTGTCCTTCTTTGAGCTTGTTTGTAAGTGTCGATCGAAGGCCTTCTAGCCCGGTTCGTTTGACTGCGGTGGAGCGAGTTGCATAGCCTGTTTCAGGATAGATTTGTCCATCACCATCTCCTTTGTGGCTTTGGTCAGATACCTGTAGACGTGTCTTACTGATATGGCGATCTGCTTCATGTCATCCTCTTTTTCAGATATCGATGAGAGGAACGATTAGTAACCATTCCAGGTATGAATGGTCTGTCGGGGTTCACCCAGTTAATTGGGATATGATAAGACATAGCAGCCCCGATGACTAGGTCAGTCGGTAGATTTTGGTCTCCCTATTAAGATTTTCTGAGACCTCGATTTCCTTTCAGTGCATTTGGTGGGTATATCTGATTGACCCGAGGGAGACAGTGCAACTGATACCCATATCCCAGATTGTAAGATGAATTTTCTGCTAGTGAGAGTTTCGAGTCGGACATCTTTCAGTGTGCGACTTGAATCACGAGCCTCCACTTTAGGAGGAATGCAAGAAGTCAGTTCAAAATGATGATAAGATTGACTTCATTCGATAAGGTCTTGCTTTGAACGAAGTAGAGACTGAGATGTTGTAGGAAGAGTATAGTCGATAAAAGTCTTTGAGAAAGATACCCGAAAAAATCGAGAAGGAAAATATACGGAGATTCCGTGTCCACGAGACAGTCATTCCAAACCACCGTTCTGAAGTCCATTTAAAGCTTTTGCCCATGCATCGGGGCATGCAGTAATGAAGCCCCGAATGACGATGGCGAATCCCCCATGGTGTATGGATGAAGCATAACCATCAACTCGAACCGCTATATGCAAGTCCGCCAGCTCAACTTTCTCGCCCCATGAAGTCACTCATACACGTCGACCGTGGCAGTTACAAACTGAAAGAAGTCGCAATAGGACTGCTGCAGTAGATATCCTCAACAGTGTCCACTGGGAGGTATTTTATTCCACCCAGATAACATCCCGAACGTGTAGTAGATGTGGACCCTCAAGTGGCAGCATCGGGCGCAGAGGTTCGAGCCTCTGTTGCCTTCATATCGAGCGCAATTCGCACCCTGGGTATGAAAGAGAGTATGTGGGAATTCATGTTTTATTTAACCAGGGATAGTAGGGTTGTTGAGCTTTACAACTTCACAGAAGTTGCAGTCAAAGGTACCATTGTGCTCATTGGGAGGATTGACAGTATCAGAGGGTACCTCATAACTAGTGTTTCTTCGGACTGAAGACTGTACCAAGCAAGAGTCATCAGGTGAAGTCATTATGAAACGGACCTGAGTCCTCTTGAAGACCATGTAAGATGATAGAGTGTTCCGTAAGGTGAGTTTGATAGATAACTCAGCTCGAGGGGCGCCGACTTTCGACCCATATTCCATACTGTCATACCCAGTAGTTATTTGTCATCTGTTGACAGCGAATGCAAAAACAGATTCCCGCAATGGAACATTTTCCACCGATGACTGCGCTGCTGCGCTAATAGGCAGGGCATGGCAGAGGAATTGATGATCTCCTCTTGGGGGGCGCAACGCGATACTGCGTCCAGTTTCTAGATACCATCTGGCATAGTTAGTGGACTGCGAATAGTGCTCTCGGCACCATGGTCTTCCCGAATGTGACATTGACCATCGTCTCTCTCTTCCGCGTCGTATTCTTCCGGAGAAGGTGAAGTCGGAGACGGGCAGTGTTCTGCGCCAGGTAAATGACTATCTCAGTCGCGTCAATGGCAGGCAAACGCCAGCATATACAGTGAGTAGTAAAGAGCGAGTTTCTGCTCGGTGACTCCAGTTTCATGCCCAGCTTCGCGACGCGTGTTAATTCGCGTTGATTGCTATCAACCTGGGTACAAGCAAAGTGCCCCAATTTCGATAGAATCATGAATTCAAGGGGAGACTGAGAGGGATTGTAGATCTTCCAGTCATATTGGACTCAACCCTTGCTCCTCCTTTATATTTGTCGTTGGATGCCTTGTAATCGCCGAATCGGATATCAAAGCTCGATCGGCTGTGTATTGCATTGTATTGCGTCTGTCAACCTCTGGAGGCGATATTCAAGTTCAGTCTTGTTGCAACCACCTTGAAATCAATTGACCCGGATTTCCAGAAGTGTTCGATCTATCCATTTGTTTCCGAGTCTCCGATATATGCCAAGTTGGCTGCGGGATTGCACTTTTCAAGTAGAAGTGCTTTCTTCCTCTGCCGCTTAGGTGCATGACAAGGACAACATCGACTTGCCCCCATGAGCTTTCTATCCACTTGTCTACTTCTGCTCTAGACGCGTCATAAACTCGAATATTCCAGCCTCTGTAACCAGGTATGGTCCGCTATCCTCCCAAGCCAGATGTTGGATCCCTTCACCAGGGATAACTAGCATTCTAGACCAAGATAGAATATGCCGTTCGACGTTGCTAGACTTCATCAGAAGCAACACTGCTCGTATTGCTATCCCAGCCAAGATTTGTCGGACTGCAATCACTTTGATGCAAGGTATTGCTCGATAAACGATCCCAGCATTGTATTTCCTGTCTGTTGTCTTGACAGTCGATAGCTGGTCTGTAGGATTTGATCGCTAGACTCTGTTGACAGCTTGCTGCTATAGCAACTTGCGTTGTATTTGCCCATAACCTGGTGATATGGTAGTAGTTATAATATCGTTAATCGAAGCAGGATACAATGGGTTTGGTATCTCTTGAGATGCCACGGTGACACCACTGAGCCGAACTGATCCGGTGTGAATGTTCGGTCACTTTGCAGTGGTTGTATGGTTCAGGATTGAACCAGCGTGTTCTAGAGAAGAGAACATGTCATCTCAGATAACATAGATGATTATAGAGACAATGAGAGCGTGAGCCCCACGTCAATACGCCTAGTACTACACGTACTATATGTATCGGTATACAAAGGACTACTAAGGTCCAACTAATCCTTTTCGGTACAGTAATATACTTGTAGCCCTTGTCCAGAGTATGATTAGAGAGAAGATGATACCAGAGAGAAGAGGCTCAAGCAAGGTTTATATACTTCATCCTCGTGAATCATCTATTCCCCTTCACACGGTACCATTAACGTCCACTCCGTATATTAACGTCCACCCAACATCAATCGTGAATTGAAGATGCCCTCCGTCCCATCTATCAACCACTACCTTCAAGAAAATCATCTGCCGTGAATATAAATCCGACTCCCAATCCCATATTCATACAAATGAATGCAGACTTCTCTTCACGACACCAAAAAAGCAACCCTCACCGTCACTGTCACCCAAAACCCAAGCACAAAAAAGCAAAGACAAAGTAAGAGCGAGCAAAAGCAAATCCCGTCCTCATCTGCAAGCCCCATACATACACATACACATCCAAGATCATCCATCGATCCTAATCCCCACAGCCCATGCAATACCTGCATACCCCAACACCCCCATCACATCCCCACCCAGATAGATCATCATCAGATCCTTGTCCTAGGTAGGTAGGTAGGTAGGTAGTCCAAGAAGATACTATTCATAGTACATAGTACATAGCACAAGAAATTCACTAACTCAATACATAGGTAGTATCTACTCCATCCCCACTCATACAGTAAATCCCTCATCAGCTCAGCCCATCCCAGTCCACTTATCTGCAACCTAGTCGATCTTTATCCCCACATACCTACTTACATAGGTCATAGATAGAGAAATGCATATGACAAAGACTATTCCATGCATGTCATGCATATTGCCACGTAAAGCCTGCCTTCTTCAGTTGACTTTCTTCATCCTTCCGTGCTGAGATTTATGGGGAGATGGAATGGATCGGCGTTGGTGCTCGGATCTCATCTCAGTTCGTTTTATTCGTCAGGTTTTTGTTTCGTTTGTATTGGAGTTCGTATTATATGGTGTATTGTGGTGTACTGGTTCAGATGTGGATTCTTGACATACGTGTGTATGTCGATAATACCGGGAACGAAGCGTTGCTATATTAAGATGATGGGGTAACTCGGTGGTAAGATATTGAGTCGGGGTATGGGTATGGATACATGGAGAAGGGGAGGGGAGGGGAGGGAAGAAGATAGGACGAGAGCAAGGTCCCTGTCCATTAAAGAGGCCCATGCCATGTACCATGGTTGAGGACGCGTATGCCGTGCCAGGTGAGACAGCGTCTGGATACAGACTGTCGTGTGGCGGTGACTTGGCTGGGGATGAAATCCAAAAGCAGGGGGCAACGCAGAGATAAGATCAAGGCGTGAGCGAGGCTTTACAACCGGACCAGAGGGATAAGAATCATTGCGACGCTACGTGGACGAGTTGAAATCTGATCTGTTGTATTCAGGTGTATCATCCCACCCCAACCGCCGGCCGTGACCGATCCCAATGCAATTATCAACATCAATGCAGCACACGAAATCATACAACAAGCAGAATGACCCCACCCATGCTGTATAGCAATGCTCCTCTTGTACAACGCCGATCCAGTTCAAGCCAGACTGGGAATAACGGATCAAATCAAGGGAATAAACAGACAATGTCGTAAACATGACCATTCCAATCTGAACAGTGGCAAATCAAAGCAACATGCTAAATCGTATACAGCAACAGACGACGCAAGTAACGTGCCGGTACTGGCGTAAGAATCTAACTTCGTCAAACAGAATAAGATGAAAGGAATGAGCATCTCAGACTATGCGGTGAACACGCGGTCTAATTGCCGCAGGGCCCGCATATCTTCTCCTCCAAATCCGATCTTCTCGCTAGGAATATCCCGCGGTCCCTCGGCACGTCCAGCGGCCGGCACTGGAGGTGCGGTGATCGAAGGAAGTGAGCCAGATGGGGCACCGTTCATCAGTGCGCCGATGCTGGGCACGGTAGTGCCGGTGCTGGCCTCCAGAGGCTTGGGCACCACCGCACTCGGTGGGGGAATGTGTATGCTCGTAGATGGCGGTTGACTGAGGAGTCGCGGACTACGCGCCATCGAGGCAATCCCATTGCTGTGCGACACCACATGTGGTTGTGTGCGCGGAGACGTTCTGATAATTTCCCCTGGCGGTCCAAGCTCTGGAGGACTCGGGCGGTGCAGAAGCTCGTGAGCTCCTGGATGCACCCGTGGTGATCGACTTGCCAGGACCGGCACGTTCGACGGCTGGAGAGACGGAGCCATTGTAACTTCAGCTGCATGTACCGGCCGCTCGTGGGGCGCCGGTAGTCCCGGCGGCTGCGGAGGCGGCAAAGGCGTCCCAGGTGGCACGGCAGCTTGGTGGCCATGGCCATGGCCATGACCATACGGAACCTGGCCATTGGGCTGGGATACCGGAGGTAGATATGAGGGATAGTGAACTGGAACGGGTGGGGTTGCCAGCGGAGTTGGAGGCCATGTGTAAGAGGGCGTATAAGACGCCGGATGCGCAGCCGGGGAGCGTCCGTATGGCGCCATCGGGTGGGGAGGCACGTAGGCAGCACCGGCCATGGGCCCGCGGGTCACCACGGGGAGATTCTGTTGATCGTTTACCGTGGACTCTGGATAGAGCCCCTTTTGAGGGCGGACATGCCGCAAGTTGGGATCCGTCGACGGTTGTTGAAGGTTGGCCGCAGACGGATGCGATCTGGAGTAATAACTGATAAGGTGCAGGTGCTGACCGGTGGATGTAGTGATGCTGAAAGATTGTTTCATCAAGCCATCGGGCTTGTAGCGGTAGCCGTCTGGCCCTTCGTCTGCACCATCCGCACGGTCATCGTCACTGCCTCGCGTGCTCTCCGGTGTTTTGCCAGCTCTAGACATGGTAGACTGGGCAACACCAGTTCCTCCCCGCTTTCCTTCCATCTCGCGATATGTCAAGAAGCTTCCCGAGACCCGACTGGCACTCCAAGACTTGCCGTCGGTCCACCTTCGCATACCTGCCTCCCGTTCATCCCAGACAAAGACTGACCCGGAGCGGATCAGTTGGCGCTCTTTTTCGGATAGCCGTCGCTGTACGCGGGGAAGAAGACCAATGCGACACGCTTCAAAGAGGATGATAGCGTCCGCGGGAGTGCGGACGTGCCCGTGGTACGTCTCCATCCACCTCCGGTGATCTGTGTAGGGACCCGTAATGATTGTAGGTTTGAGTGCTAGGACCGGGGGTTTCGTCGGATGAAAAATGTTGAAAGATGTTTTGGACGGCGGACAAGATGAATAGGTCGGGAGTCAGGCAACGGCTCGTGGTAGCCGTTTACGAGTCAACGTGAAGCGTGAGATATTTCCGGAAAGGGAAACACCGGCGAGGTGGCAGGAGGCGAGAAGCTGTAAAAGAACCCACCGCGGAAGATAATCTGAAGAAACACGCCGCGACATTAATTTCCCATCTATGTATATTGGGAATGGGGGGTGTGGAGGGGAGGGAGGACAGAGGGGATGGAATGTAAAGAAACCAGGGCAGCAAGGAAGGGGAGAGCAAGCAGGGAGTGGGGAGGGCTGATAGGAGAATAAAGAAGAATGCAGGCGGCGGAGGGAGCGTTATACAAACGCCGCTGAGACAAGGAGCTACGACGTGCACAGGTGAGCAGGTACCGACTTACCGTGGTGAGTTGCGATGCAGGAAGCCGGTGGAATTGTGGTGATTGCAGTGGTTGTAGTGTGGTGGAGTGGAGTGAGTAGTGATAGTGAGGAATTGAAGTGGTTTGGGGGGATCGATCGTTGGTCGCAAGTGGCAGCAAGAGGAAAAGAAGAGGAAGAAGAAACAAACCCGAGAGGGATTGGAGGAGTAATAATAGTAATAATTAGTCGCGCCCGCTGCTCTTCCTACTAATCGGAAAGCTCAGAATAATAAATAGGATAATAATAAGAAACGAAAATAATAAAAGGGAATAATCCTCGAAGAATTAGCATCAGATGGGGTGGGGACCCGACTTAACTCTGAACCCCACAGGGTCAAGCAGTGGTTTTTATTGAAAGACCAGGTAATCATAATACTATTCCCAGACTAAGAATATTCGGATGTGGATTTCTTTTTTGTGCAGGGTTTGAATGGTGTATGTATTTGATTAAATTTAATTTAGCGACTGGCCCCGGAAAAAGATTGGATTACTATGACTGCCAGTATTTTGATTATCCTGATGATTCTGATTATTATTGATGTTTCTTTTTCTTATTTCTTTTCTTCTTATTATTCATCTTACACAATCCTCTGTTGCTTGGACCTCCTCTAGGCGCTGGCCATGCCGAAAATCAACCAGACGAACGAAACAACCCCCGAAAAAGTGGGTAAATAGCAGCCGCCCGCAGCAAATGATCTCATCCGGCTGATAGTTTAGTTGCTGGATTCATCACAAACAAATAGAACCTTGTTTTTAACCTTTTCTTTTTCGCCTGAGGGTTATCCATGGTTCTGGTGGCTCCGGTGGGCCTTTGCTCTCTTTTCTTTCTTCCTTTGGACTCTTTCTTTTTGCTGGTTGGATCCTTTGATCATGGATGGGGGTTAAGATTACTCCGTTGGTCTCATCCTTATGATTTGCTGCATTACGGTCAATCTTACCGTCAGAGGGTAATTTGATAGCCGAGCGCCCCGTTATTCTGGAAACAAAGGAACGGACAGGCTGGTTGAACTGGAGACACAATGAAAGATGAACAAAAGGAAAGGGGGAGACGGAATACCTACGGAGTAGAGGGGGGCATAAAATTATAAAAAGACTTCCGTGGTGGAGTCTAAACCAAGCTTAGCGATATGGCCGCCTGGCCGGTAGACTATGGAGTATGAGTATTCAGTATGGAGTATGGAGTACAGCATGGATATACGACATCAATATACAGATGGAGTAACTGGGAGCATACATGATGGGTAGGACAAACTCCTGCTTACAGGGCTGGAGGAATTCCCACTTCCCACATACCAGTCTGACCAGAGGAGGTTCATTCCGCAGCAAGGCATGCACCAGGCAGATTATGACGACGGCCAGATGCCATGTTTGGCTTCTCCGGTGACTGACAGTCGATCGACCATCTCTTGGCCAGACGGTTTGGCGGCTTGGAGGCTTCTTGGCCCAAGACTTTCCCCCCATGATTCAAAAAAATGGGAAAGATGGGCAGGAAGCAAATAATCCACCGGGCAAGCCCCGATGGTGACGGTATTACACTAGGAAGATACCAGTGGCGCTCTGATCGCTTGCTTCCAACCGGAAATTGATTAGTGCGCGACTTTCTGAAGCTTAAGCTTAATCCAACACGAGGAACCTTAAGCTCGCTTAGAGGGAGAGAGACATGGCCCCCCTCCCCTCCACTGTGGCTGAAGATCCACTTGTTCCATGGTCGCTTTGATTATTATTATGCCGGGCCTCCGTGTGCACAATTTATTACACTACCACCACTTACCAGTTAACTAGTAACTAGTCAATCTACTAGATTAATCAAAACCAAACCTGCTCCAGTCGTCTCCAGTTCTATCCGGCCTGTGTCTCACACCGTCTCCAAGTTCATCCTGGACCCCTACACGATCACCCGCCCTCTGGTTGGCTGGTGCAAAGCATCATCTAGAAGAACCTTAGCACAGACCTTGTTCCATACCCCCCCAATTCGTAATGGCTATCAGTATCAGCCCGGAATACGACTCGCTTTGGGAATGAATTACTTAGGGTTAGACTATCCCCGGGTTACGCAGCGGTTCCGCCCGAAACTGACCCTTTCTGGCCAAGGCTGACGACATAATCTTTTGCCGTTTTGCCGTTCGTTTAGGCTTCGCGACTGGATTTTCGGCTCGTTTTCACTTGCTGCCCCTCTGACCTTTCTTGACTCGTGAATCCCGTGCTGCTCGGATTTTCGGCTTCTCGGCAGCTGCCAACAGCCACTGTGGCGATTCGTGTTCGTATCGACGCGAGCCACCTGATCCGCTTGATTAGGCCTTTCTTTGTCACCGCAGCAAACCGAGCCTAGAGATAGGCTCATCTTAGTCGCTCTGACTAACGACTTTCTCGGACTTTAACTCCGTCGCCTGCATTTGAAACCAATCCTGGTCTCGAGCAGGGATATGCGCCAGGCAGATGTTCTCAGCTGAGAATTTATCCGCTGAACCTAACCCGGCGCAGTTTTTTTTCAGGGAAAAAGCTTGACAAATCTTATCCGGGGCGATGGTTCGCATGACATACTGTGATAAGTATGATAGTGGGGCCTAGTCCTTCAACTGTCTTTCTTTACTTTACTAGGCAGGTCTTTTACAACCATCATCATTAAACTTTAGGTTAAAGCGTACAGAGTACGGAGTACTCTACTTAGTACTCGATCCTACCATGTACAGAATTCAGCAGCAGCCAGCTTGAACCGAGCCTAGGATCAGTCAGATGCATACCAATCGGCCACGTAAGACCAGAACAGAGGGGATCTGCCCGCGACTTATCACACTCCAATCAGCGCCGTCGCCCCTCGCAGCGCTCGCCCGGGAAATTCGCCAGTCCATAGTCCGGAGCTTATTGTCCAGTAACGTTGATTAGACTCGATAAAGTTGCGGGCGCAATTCACCAGGATCGAGCTTTGTCCGTTGCTTCATTCAGATTAAATTAAGTCTTCCGTAGTCTGTTGACTGACTGAAGTGATGATCGTTTCTTCATGCACAGCCCTCTGCCAGCTTCAGGTTCAGCTTACTCTGTTTTCACATTTCAGGAATTATTCTGGGCATTGATTGCGCCTTGGCGCTAACGAAATCCACGATCGATTAAGAACACCAAACACCACACTAAATCAACATCCGACACAAGCCGATTAGGCTACCAGATTAACAATAATAATAAATCCCTCTGATTTTATTTACTCAGTAAGAGAAATCAAAAAAAAAGCAATACCGACTACTGAAGCGATCGATGAAAAGTAAAGTTTCACCCACCCACTTCTTGGGTAACTGTAGATACATACTAGATAGGCTGTAACATATGTCGCAACTACCAAGTAAACTACTGGAGCTATAGCGCCGCCCGTACGACCGACTAGCGCTCAGGATAAGCGTATCGCCAACAAAGTCGGTCGAATCCTGGCCGGTTTTCTTGGCCTCCTTGGCTGGCCCACTTTAGATGCGTAAATTATTCATTTGGGGAGGAGGGGTCAGGAGAGTTGTGCTGTTGCTGCTGACTTGAGACTAAGCTATACTAGTACTTACAGGGCTGGGTTGGGTCGCAGCTGATGTCTCACATGGAGCAAATAGGAGATAAACCGGATGTTCTTGGAAGGGATTAATTTAGATTTAGATTAATGGTTGTGCAGGTACGGTCATTTTATCTATTCCCACTTATAGAAACCTATACGTACTGCTTATGGGTTAATGACCACCAGTTTCTGAGTCTGTACTGCTAAGCACAAACCCGTAGCATCCAAACAAACACCGTCGTAGCTCTGCAGGTTGTGTTCTGTGCTACCTAATATTTACTTACTACAGAAGTAAAGTAACGGATCTATGTCCATGCTGTGGGACTCTAACTAACGTAGTAGCGTGTGTCACTATCGACTCGATTTAATTCCGGACGTCGCGCATAACACTCTGGCGCGTATGGCGGACAATAATACATTCGACTGTTAGCACCTACCTAGCACTTACATATCACCTGCATCGCCTTGTTTTCTCCTGCTGCTGCCCCCCATGTATGTATGTAAGGCGATGCGGAGTCTGGAGTACAACCACACAGCCTGAAATAGATCAGCGTGATACTCCGTAGGTAGGATTATCTATTCCCTTGACGATGCTGCGCAGCGAACCTGTCTATACTCTACACTCTCCATACTACAGAGTAGGTACATAATTGTTGAACAGTGATGTCAGAGGTAGATCCATATCACAATCACAATCACAATAATTTATTTTCTTTTTATTCTCAATTCGATTTACTTAATTCTGATTTTTTGTTCAGTTCAGTTCACATTCCCCAATTCCTCAAATAATGGATAGTCCCCCGTACCAGTGGACCAGCACCCCTCCTTTCCTCAAATCTATCGACCACTCCGGGTAAATGATGATAGTGGCGTAAGGCAAGCACCAGCTACCATCCAAATCCCACCACATCACACCACCCAAATATCTAAATCAATGCACAGAGATGGGAAACCGTTGTACCACCCGCCTTCAGTCCCCTCCACAATCAAGCTTTTTTTCTGTCTCTCTAGGCGAGGGATAACCCGTAAATGAACGAAACCTTGTTTGTGCAGGTACGTATCCCCCCTCATCTTTCTCCCCGACTAACACAAACCAAACCTTCAATAATCCACAACCATCCAAACCATAGATACTTTGCCTACAAGCTCAGACATATCCAGATGGGTAGATAGGTTCAACCCACGGACGGAGTAACTAAACCCCACCACCACATCCATCACACCTTACCAAACATCCAGCAACCATCCACACCCAAATAATACAATACCCGCGACAGTCTAAAATTCCAGACACTGTAGATCAATCACCATACCTAGTACCTAGTAAGTAGTCTTTCGATTCCCCTCTTATGCTCACAATCTGATAGGTCATCTACAATCACACTCACAAACCACCTTTGAGTCAACTTTAAGTGTGCCACCTCCTCCTCCCCCTCCTCGGTGGTGACTGGTAGGTATCGCCATCCATGGAGGTAACTTGGTTTGTACCTACGTATGTGTCTGTGTCTGTAGCTTAGCTTAGCTTACTTTGACTTTGACTATGACTTCTGGTTTAATTAGGTTCTGGCTCTGGTCTTGTTTCGCCAGTGCCAATTATCCAACCAATCTTAAGAATTACCTTCCCATCCTGGCAACATAACACAATCAACCATCATCTTGTTTCTATTATATCACTGGAATACATACATACATAGCTAGATAGATAGACAGATACGTGAACACTGTCTGTCCTACGCACACAAATTAACTCCTACCTACAGTATGATGTTTCCCTCCCCCCTGAACCTTTCCCCCATCTACCTACCGTACTCCCTATTCATCATTTTTATTTATTTTATTTTTTGATCCCCTTCCCTTGCATGATTCACGTCACACGAGAACCAAGTTCTTTCTTCCTGGAATTTGTGAGTCAGGATTTTGTTTTATAGTTAGTGGTACGTACCAACCAACCAACCAACCAACCAACCAACCAACCAATTAAATACCCACACACCCTACACAATGTATGGAAGTAGGTAGGTACGGGCGGGGGGCGGATTCAGGTTCAGGTTCTGTCATGCTTCAATGCAACCGCAACCCTTGATTTTGTGAAGGGGGAGGGGGCCAGGGAGGGGGGAAAGGGAAGGGAGAGAGAGACAGAGAGAGAGAGGTCCTTGTGAAACGTTGCACGGGCTTATCTCCACTAGCATAATTGGTTTAAGGTATTTTTATTTTTTCAATTTATTTTTTCTTATTTTTATTTAAATGTTTTTGCTTTGGGGGAGGTTACTATAGTAGGTCATGTTAGCTGTGCTAGTATGTAAAGATTATTTTATTCATTTGGTTTGGGTTTTGGTTTGATCGTTTGGTTTTTGTTTGGGGAGTGAGTGGCTTTGGTTTTGGTTTTGCTTATTTGGGTGTGGTTTGGCAATTGGCTATTGGCATTGGCATTGGAATTGGTATTGGCAGGCTGGCAGGCAGGTGGGTTTTTACTTTGGGAGGTTTAATTTAAGGTATTGTCGTTTGTTGTCTGTCTCAACAGTCTCTTCTTTTCTCGTTTAATCTGCTCTTGTCGCTAATGCTATTTGTATGCTGTTTATGTCTGCTATTGGTTTGTTATCGTCACTCGCAGATCAACACCCGACACAGACATTGCTGACGGATGGATTTTCCCCCTCCCCTCCTTTGCATAATGATCGATCATAGTCGGTGCGGTTTAGGTTAAGGTACGGAGAAGATAATGCTAGCAGGCTAGCAGCAGCAGCAGCAGACTGACCAGCAGACCAGGCGATAAGACAAACAACTGACTTCAATAACACCAATGCTCTAGGCGCCACCGTTGCAGCCCTAGTCGGGCGACTATTGCTTAGTTAGTGGAAGTGTCCCCCTCTTCCGCCACGCGGATGGAGATGAATTTCTCTTTTGGGTATTTCCATGACTGATTTGACTAATTGGCGCGCCTCCGTGGCAGCGTATCAGACCTTCAGAGCCGAGGATCGCTATCCCTGACCCAAGCCCAAGCGTCAAAGCGCTGCAGAGCCAAGCCATCCCCGCTGACTACTCGTTTGGGCCAGACGTCCTTGTAAATTGTAACACGAGTTTTCCGACTGGACCCTCGTCTGCCAGATAGCCAAGGCTTAGCCTTTAGCCTAGTGTCTGGCGTGGTGTATCTATTCCCCGACTGCCCCCCCCCCCTCTCAGCAGGGCAGGCGTTCATCGTCTTACCGATTACCCATTTGGGAGGTTAGAAATCAGCCTGATGTGAGTGCATTGATACAGAGCACTCCAGGTCATACTCATATCAGATCCTGTGTATGGCGTGAGTCTCAGTGGCTGTGAGCCACTGCCCATCTCCCTGCCCCTTTCCATCGGTGCAAAATCATCGATCGGTCCGCGGAAGTAACGGCCCGATTATGTAATGTCACGATGGAGTGCGCCAGAATTGAGAAAAAAACAGAAGAAGATCCAAAGCAGAAGGGAAGAGTACAGGTGTCCTCTTCTGAGTCAAGTTGCCGAGCAGCAGCCGATACGAGGGTCGCGTAGGCGATCCACGGTCCCAGTCTAGGCATTGGGCAAAGTCCTTCATCCTCCAGGTCGGTGTCGTGCTCCTGCTCCGAACGAGAGCCTGCTTGCTGGGTTGGCGCCGGACAAAGGCCGAGAGAATATGCTTAACACCAGTAAGGTTGGCAACTTGGCATTCCCCCCCGCGTGGTATTCCTCCGCAGTCGACCTAATGAGGTCAAAGGGTACGACAGGATTGAGCCATCAATCAGCCCGTCAGCCCCGTCTCATCCTGCCAACGCTTACGGTCCATCCTGGTCCTTTAGACTTCTCGAACAGACCCCGATGTCTTCCCAGTTCCCAGTGTTGTCTCATGCCAAGTTGCCAACCTAGGCAACGAGTTATCCGTCTGAAACCGCCCGCCGTGTCTTTCGCTCGCCAAATCGCACTGGATCGTACTGTGTAAACGAGGTGGATCGCTGCCAACCCGATTTGGGCAACCGGCGTAGCGAGGCTCCGCCCAGACCGCAGCTTGGAGGGAATAAAGTATCCGTTCGGGGTGGAGTCCGTTAGGCCCCCCTCTGTTCCTGATTCCTGGGTAGCAACCTGGTCGCGCTGGACTGTGGACGGTCTCACTTATCCGCCGCTCCCGAATCCAATCATGCCTCTCGTCCCTGGCCGCCGGATGGGTTCATCGCGGTGACCTTCCAGAAACCGAATCGTCGACGAAGGGAGGATTTGGGAAGAAGCCGTTCGGATTCCCGAGAAGCCGATTAGGATCCACTTGGAGGGGGACGACGCTGTTCTGTTCTGGTCGGCAGCCGAGGCAGGCAGCAGGTTCATCTCCAACTGCTCCCAAGGAAGTAAGTCGGATGTTGCTTCATCTATCCGATGGGGCGAGGATTTTGGCCCCTTTGGATTTTTGGAGAACTTTTTTTTGCCAGGCCATACATGATACATCATGATACAGCATGATACCAGGTATGGTAAGATTGGCACGTGAAAGACGGCCTGGCAGTATCTCACCGCTGATCCTGCCGCTCAGGGCCTCTCTCGTTCACGTGCCTTTCTTTCCCCTCCAACGTTCCTTCCAGATTGAGAGATTGTGTTGTAAGTACTAGTAATGATAGCACGCATGTCGCCCATTGGCTCTCTCCACTAGATCTGGCTGCTGCTTCATCCTCGTCATTCGGTTATCGCGCAATCCGCTGCTGTATCACGATGGAGGCCTACTTAATGCTCCGTCGCTCGATAACACGAATCACAACAACAGTCTGGAGGCACTAAACAAGTCTCGAGCATTCGACGACTGCGACCCTTGGCACTGGCTAGCCTCTTACGGTGTCCGCCATCATTGATTCATAGTGACTCATGATACGGTGGCACACAAGTCCTGACACATACTGATTCCCTCACCAGATCTCTATCCACCAGCACCCATTTAAACAAGATATTGCGAGCTCTACAAAATGGACGGGCCGGCACGAAGCATCCACCAAATAGAACTGGCTGTTCCTGTGCATCAGGCCAGCCATCTACCAAAAAGCCGACGCCCGTGCCCTGTTTCCGCGCCCTGAAAGGGTCATTTGCAAGACCTCAAGCCCCCCATGTCATCCTTCGAACCCTCCATCTGCTCTTCCGAGAGACTGTTTCCTAACCCGGAAACCAGCTCGGAACGGATCGCAGCCCTATCCTTACTGGATGCCATCACCGTCAATTTCTTGGATACCTGCGCGGTTTGGCTCTTCGAGCGTCCCCATCTGCAAACCCAGTTCGATCTGGTGGACCACCTCCGTCAGTCCCTCAGGGTCACGCTGGACGCCTATCCACAGTGGTGTGGCTTAGTCAAGATCATCAACACCGTGGACGGTCCTCCTGCCACTGGTGAGGATCACCTGGCACCTCATGCTCGCCGCTTTGGACGCGTGTATGCCCATCATGGCACGCGCTCCGATCCAGGCGTTGCATTTGTCGCCGCACGTTCAACTGCGACCCTCGATGAGCTCCATCCTTCTTCGCGCCCGACCTCTCAAGCCCTCTGGAACCAGGAGAAGGTGTCTCTGTCACAGTTTGTCCCAAAGACCCAATTAGTGAACCCGGCCAAAGTCAGCGATGCCGACATCATCCCTCCAATCATGGCCATCCAGGTCACAGAATTGGCCTGCGGGGGATTCGCCTTGGCGGTCAAGATAGCTCATACTCTCGCAGATGCGAGCGCTTTGGTCTATTTCGTCAAGGACTGGGCGAGCGTGAGCCGTTCTGTGTTACTGGGCGAGGCTACGCCGGTACTGAGTCCTGTGTTCGACCCCGAGCGATTGGATAACGCTGCAGCAGGGGATATCAACGCGGTCACGCCCGACGAGTCAATCATCCAACAGACGAAGAGCTTGCCGTTTCATCGCTATGACTGGTGGAATGTGCCAGCTGACTCGCCTCTGAAGATGCGCATCCCTGAAGTGTTCCGGAACCAGGAGCTCCCCCCTGCGGGGAAACAAATACCGTGGCCGGAATGGGACACGAAAGCGCCGGTGTCCCATTACATCGTACACCTGAGTCGGGACCAGGTCGAGGCCATCTGGAAACAAACTAGCAACGCGTCCTCCGCGGACACCAACGACAGCCGACTGAGTCGGCACGATGCCGTCCTGGCCCATATATGGGCGAGCATCAACCGAGCCCGGAACATGCACAACGACCCCGGGCCGGTCCACTGCGACCTGACGTACGGGTGCCGACCGGCGTTTCAGCTAGGCGATGCCTTTATGGGGTCGCTTGCCGTGATGGTCAATGTGGAGATGGCTGGGGCGGACGTGACGACGACGGCAAATTCGGACGGCAAGCAAAGCGCCGTCCTTCCGCCCATCGCGCAGCGCATCCGCCAAACTCTCTCTCAAGTGCGCGATCCGGCCCTCTTGGCAGCCCATCTCCACAGTCTGGCCTACGAAAAGTCCCCGCAGCGTATCTGGCAGGGCTTTCTCGGAAGTCGTCACGTCATGACCACGACGTGGGCACGCGCAGGGCTGTACGAGGTGGATTTCGGGCTGGGTCCGCAACCCACGGCTCGCTACGCGGACGGCATTCTGGCCAATCTGGACGGGCTCGTCTTGATTAAAGAGGCGCCACCCGATCGGACGTCGGATGTCAACGACGAAGCTCTGCCGACCTGGACGGATCACGGGGTCGATGTTCAGCTTCACTTGCAAACAGAGGATATGGAACGGTTGCTCCTGGATCCTTTGCTATTCCCGAACCAGCAATGAAGAACATAACCATAGAACTGCATAATAACGATACCCCCGACTACTGTGTACTAAGATTTCCTCAGTCCAAGAAGTACATCCATGTTCAACAACCTATAACCATTTACATATACCCCACCCAACCCCTATCCCAAACCCTCTACCCCTAATTACACCTATAATTTATAGTTTATAACCATAATCAATCCTACTAAGACTCCCACCCAAACCTAAGCTTTCACTATCTACAGATAATACTCCGTACTCCGTACTCCGTTCATACCCACTAATAAACCTAGGTAATCCACCCTAAGCAAACATAACTCCCCGATTGCATAACCCAGCTCATCCATCACCCAATCACTATCCCAGTATATACCTATACATACAAAGCACCTAGACAGAACTAGTAAAATAGTACTCTTATCACACCCCCAGGTATCTATCTACCTAGTAGTATTACTAGTACACCAATCCAACCACACACGGATAAATATACATCCAAAGCAAACACCAGCCATCAGCCATCAGCCATCAGCCACCAAACACCAATCAATCAAACAATCAACCATCAAACAGGACACACAAACATACTAGTACTAGTCCTAGTAGAATAATGCAATCATAAACCCCGAACATATACTCCGTATCTATCTACCAAAAACCCGAGATAATAACAATAAATCACCGACGAATCATACCTATCTATCCAAGGGCTGAGTAACGAATGAGGCTTGTGGCGTGATTTTGTTTTTATTACCCAGGTACTGTCCACATGACTGATTGAGTCTTGGGTGATTACGAGGCGGCGAGGCCAAGGTTTCTTTGTTTGGAGTGGGAGGGAACGGTGAGATTTTGGTCTGGGTTTAGATTTGGGTCTAGGCCTGGGCCTGGGCCTGTGTCTATTTACCTAGGTAGGGGATAAGGATAAGGAGAAGGAGAAGGAAGACTAGGTAAGACAGGAGGTTGTTTGTTATGTTACTTTGTGTGGAGAACCTAGGTTATCTATCTATTTAGGGGACGGTACTAGTTTGGTTTTGTCGAGAGAGGGAGAGGGAGTGTTATTTTTAGTCGTCGTGTGGATGAATGATCAGTGAGGTGAAAGGAATAAACATATGGTCTTAATGTAATGTACATTTTTTTGGGTAAGTAGGAGTAAGTGGGATAGTGGTGATAGTACAGGTCAGCAGTCTGCCCGACCGAAATATCTCGGAAAGGCGACAACGTCTCGAACGCTAGAGACCCCTGCCAAATAGCCTAGGAAACGGTCGAAGCCAAGACCGAATCCTCCGTGCGGGGCGGTTCCCCATCGTCGGAGGTCGGCGTACCATTGGAGGTGGCCTAGGTCTTCGCCGGGCAGGAGGTGAGGGTACAGCGATCCTTCGTCGGTGGCTGTGCCCTCGTCACCTGATGCGCGCTTGATCAGGCCGTGCTCGCGCATGTTCTGGATTATCTCCGGGAGGCGGTGCTCGCGCAGAGATCCGCCGGCTACTTCGCTGACCTCTGGGAGGAGGAGATCGAAGCAGGCGACGGTTTCGCCCTGAGTGGTGGCCCCCGAGGCGTGAGACGGGATCATGTAGAAGGGCTTGATTGGCTTGGGGTAGTCGGTCACGAAGACCGGGTGGCCGTTGTTGAGCACGTCCACGATATACTTCTCGTGTTCGAGTTGGAGTCCGCCCGTCCACGTTGGAGGGTACTCGAAGGAGGCGGAGTCCTTGGTGACGGCGTCCTGGAGCAACTCGATTGCTTCGGTGTAGGTCATGCGCCGCCATTTGGGTCCGTCAATCATGTCTTGCCAACGCTGGCGCAGGTCAGCAGGTGCTGCCGATTCTTCCGGACTGGATTCGCCCGGGCGTTTCGCGTCCAGAATCTCCTGTCCCACGGGGGTGTCGTAGAGGCGCCGGGTAAGATCGCGGAGGAGGTACTCGACGAGGTCGGTGAGGGAGTCGAGGTTGTCCATGAAGTTTGCCTCGGCTTCCAACATGTAAAATTCGCTCAGATGGCGCGGCGTGTCGCTCTTCTCGGCTCGAAACATGGGCGACATGGTCCATACGTTCCCAAGCTCCGCGGCGTAAGCTTCCAGATGCAGTTGCGATGATACCGTGAGGTATTTTGGTGCCCGGAAGAAGTGCTCGCCATCGGCTGGTGTTGTCCCAACTGCCTCTCGCGGCATCACAGTGAATGTCTCGCCAGCACCCTCGCAGTCCGATGAGGTGATGAGAGGCGGGTGCACCTGGATGAAGCCACCATTGGGGGCGTGTCGAAACACGTTTCCGAGCTGGTATAGACATTCGGATCGGAATCGCGAGAGGAGGGAGTTGAAGGGTGTTCGCACGCGGAGGTGGGGGATCTGCCGGAGGAATTCAGGACTGTGGTATTTCTTTTGAATTGGGTAGGTCTGTAGGCAGACGATTGAGAGTTAGCACGTTTCTGCGGTTGCCGCTTGAAACAACCTACCTCGGGGTCGGTTTTGCCCACGATATTGACGGCGGTGGTCTGAAGCTCATGGGTTTGCTCCTTGCCCGGGGGGCATGCCTTCCACAGGCCGGATATCTCTACAGCTGTTCCAGTGGATAAACTAGCGATGGTGGTAGCAATGTCAGTGCTGGGACTGGGCAAGACTGGGCAAGACTGGGAGAGAACCTACTCAGCGGCCTGCGACGGATTCAAGATCGCCTGCAAAGGCTTGACCGTCGAGCCATCGGAGATCTCGGCAAAGGCAAAGCGCTTCTGCTTGCGAACCGAGCGGATGAATCCGTTCAACTTGATTTCCTGGTCTTCCCAGCTAGATCCCTTCTGACTCTCGAGGAGCTGCGCGCAGCGGAGAAGCGTGGAACCGGCAGGCCTTGCTGCTGGCCTATGATTCAGCCGCGCAACCGATGTGGCGAATGTCCTCCGCCATGTCTGCATCTCTTGAGAATCTGGAGAGGTGGCGCTCGCACTCGCAAAAGAGGGTGGGTTGGGATCGGAAAGCGCGGGCGCGCATCGGCGAAGAACGGCGCCGCCGATCGATGATTCAGCGCCGCTCCGCAGCCGCGCCTCCCACGGTAGCGGTAGGTAGATAGACAGACAGATAGATAGCCGTAGATAGTCTGCTCCGACAGGTTATAAAGCTAGACTAGGTGGCATCTACTAAGACGGTGTCTACGCTGGATATCCTGGAGTAGGGAGAATTATAATAAACACAGGCATGCCAGTACTATCAATTCACAGCCCGCCTGAAAACAACAAATTAGGTCATCTCGAGTTGCAAAAAAGTATTACTACCAAGGTTGTCATCACATCGTCGATCCCTGTTGCTCGTAGGCCTTTCGTTCTTCCTCAATCATCTCAATCGCTTCCGAGAGACTGCCGTCCGCTGCCGCTGCATACACCGCGATTCTCTGAATTCCACCATCGCCTGCCCCTCCATATCCCAAACTTACCAGGGTGGACACGCACTCGTCAATGCTGTGTTGTCTCGCATCCGGATGAACATGCTGGATCTCGGGCGAAGGGCTCTCGAAGCTGTTGCGACGTCCGCCGCGATGACGATGGCGGCCTTCCGGTCTCCTGCCGGACATGCTGCGCGGGCTGTCCCTTCCCAAGAACCCAAAAAAACCAGGATCTCCCCAAGATGAACGAGGTGGCCTCTGGGTCTTTGAGCGTCGAACGTGACGGCGGGGACCGAAAGACCCCTCGTCAGGCATGTCATGCATCTGGCGTCTTCCTGAGACCTGTTCCAGCCGTGCCGACGAGTTCTCGCGGCCTTCATGCGGGAACGTACCGGGCAATCCCTGCAGCGCCGCATCGCTGCTCGCATTCTGCCCCTCGGTGCTACCCTCGGGTGTTTTGCCTTGAAACCTTGCCTGTGCAGCATATGATTCGGCTTCTCGATGCTGCTCAGCTAAAAAGTGCGCTTCGAGCTGTGAGACCGGGGGAAAGCGGCACTCTTCCAACTCACGGGTGAGATCAGGGATAGAATGAAAGGCGGGATTGTTGGACTCCGAGGGTCCCTGATCTGGGACGCCTTCAGGCAGGAGTGACGGATAGAGCGAATTGAGCCGTTCGGAATCTGACAAGGACGACCCTTCTAGGCCGGTAGTGGTAGACACTGCCTTGCCTAGGTTGCGGTTGTCGTTGGAACATAGATCCGCCACGGTCAGCGGGACGGAACGTTTTCCACTGGGAGATGCAGACCCCTTTTCTTCACCACCTTCTTTTGAGGAAGCCTTCTCTGACCCAGCGAGCGTAGCCGCTGAGCCTTGAAGCTCGGATAGCTTCGATTTATGATCTGTAACAGGAGGCACCCGGCTGCCTAATTCAGCCTGGGGTCGGGATTCTTCAGGGCGCAGCCTCGCAATCGGGCTGTGGTCACTGAATTCCAGGTTGATTGCATGCCCGTCGATATGTGTGCCCTGTAAGGCCTCCAGGGCCGCCTTTGCTGCAGGAACGGACGGGAAAGATAGGTAGCCAAATCCAGCATGCTTGTCGGTTCCGACGTCTAGTGGTAGATGCACATTCACCAAGAACCCCCTGGAGGCGAAAACGTCGCTGATCATCTTCTCGCTGACGTTGAATCCCACATTGCCGATGAACAACGATGTGTTCGTGGATGACTGTGCCTCGGAGATTGCAGCGCCATCTTCTTCAGTCAACACTGCATCATTCGTGGGCATCCCACGCGTTTCGTGATGGGCATGCTCGTGTATTGGTACTTTGGTCCAGAAATTGAGCCGACCCTGGGGTTGATATGGCTCTGCAAAAGTATCATGTGGGGGGTAAAGTATAGGTGGAGGATGAGGCACATGTGGAGGAGGCACAGGAGGGAACCGAGTTAAGTGGTTCAAACCCTCGGGCGTCGGCCAGTAACCAGGAGGACCTGGGGGTGGCGGAGGGCAGTGGTGAGGGGGCGGACCGAAGAAAGGCAGAGGAGGAGGAGGGTGGTGGCGATGAGAATGCGGAGAAAACGGCTGAGGTGGTAGGGGAGGGCAACAGTCTTGAGGGATGAAACCACCTCGATATCCACGATGAGAAAGAGGATGAGGTCGGAAAGGAAGTGAATTTGACTGCGTCTGGCCACGGCCGCTTGGTTGACCGGAACTGCCTGCCTTTGAGCTATTTTCGAAGCCAGAATCTTTCCTCAGGTCTTTTTCTTTGCGTTGAGTCTTTTCGCTACCCATATCTTGACTCTGGGATGACTGGTCGTCAGACGGTCTGGGGGTTTCCACGTAGTCGGGGTGGAGCACACCATGATGCTCTTCCGGGGAAGCCTGGGGCTGACCGCTAGTTCGATTGCACCCAAACTCAGACTCGAACGCCTCGAATAAGGTATGTCCAACATTGCCAAGTTCTGATGCCATCGCGCGCAGACTATCCACGGTGTTGGCAGCTGTGGGAAGTTCGCCTCGAAGGATGTTGCCTGTCGGCATACCAGCAACTGTCGAATTATTGATGGAGGTGGTTAACTGCCTCATGTGGGCTTCCAGGGCTGTAAGGGCACCCTGGACCGAGGTCCCGACATTTTCAGGAAGGGCCCTTTGGGCATTCTGCATATGACGCTCAATCTCGGGAATACTCGACCTCACCCCAGAACTGAGCCTTTCAGCCCCACTGATCAGGTTCTGTATGGCATGCGTGAATGCATCGGTGGGGTTTGGAGGCCTAGAGGCTTCGGTTCCGGTGGGTTCCTCTGCGGATGCTGGAGATCCTTCTGATGTATTACCATCGTTCACGGTCCTGGAAGCATCCATGATCTTGGCCATTTCGGCCTCGAAAGCAGCCAAAAGTGGTGCCGTCTCATCGTTACTAGTCTCTACAGGCTCATGCTCCACCCCTGACTGTACGTCTGCTGGGACGTCCGTGGTTGCTGACTTGGCCTGAACATTATCCGTATCCCGAACGGTCTGAACATCCCGCTTGATTTCAAACTTCTTCCACAACTCAGTTATCGAATTTGACCGTCGAATATCGAAAAGGTGCATCGGTTCAGGAATGACAGCTTGCGGTATCGGGACTGGTTCCGTTGCAGGGTCGACAGGTTCATCGAGGCGTTGGGAGAGTTCAAGAGATGATCCAACCTGCGACCATCTATCAGTATTGAAACAACCCAGGATTTACTATGGGACATACCGTGATGAGCTCGCCATCATCGTCGTCAACGTAAGTCAGCCGTGCCCGCGGATGCTTCGACGATAGGTTGTCGTACTCGGAGGCAGACAGCTGCACAATGCCCCGACGAGTCCTCAGCGATGCCAGTTCCCTCGACAAGGGCTTGGGGGATGATGTCAAGGACTCTTCTGCGGAGGTATGTGACGGAGATCCATGAAGATCCCTGATCTGGAAAGGTTTGAACATCTTCGGCGATAAAGAACGGTCGCGGAAGAGCAAAGTCCCGCTCCCAGGCCGTTAAGAGGCAAAATGAGGTCGATGAATGGAGAAGCCAAGCAGCACACGGGTGAGGTTGGTGCTACACGGCCAGGAGGAGGATGGAAAGGGACGGGGTTGCAGGCGATCAGGAAGAAAGAAAAGGGATCAAGCTTGACTGGAAGGAATCTAGGCCGTAGGATAAGGGCCTGAAACCCGGGGTCGATAAGGAGGAGACAAAGGCTGGCGGTGGTCGTCGTCACTATTGCTGCTGCCTATGGGCGCCAGCGCGGGTGATTAGCTCGCCGTGCGATCGTCTTTGCCTCAGCTCAGACAACAGGATTCCGCAGGAAGCCAACCATCGTCATACGAAGGTTAGCTGCGGTGTAACCAGAAGGGAAGGCGTTGGGTGGCACTCAAGAATCCAGGCAACCAGATAAGCAGCCTAGAGTTGAGATGTTGCAGGATGGAGAAGAGAAAGAAAGAATAAGTACGGAGTAGGTAGGCGGTTGATGACCAGCGGCCTCCGATACAACTGAAGTAACTGGTTCCAGTCAAGCTTGCCTTTTTTTCCCCGCCCATCTGGCCGCTGATTGGGTGGTGGAGGGTCAACTGACCCGTCAATTCCCTATTTTGTACTTAGTGTCCGGAGTTCTACTAGTAGTACTTAGATAGATACCGCGGACTCTTACTCGGTCAACGGAGGTTGTACCCGGTCTGCATGAAGAGGGACAGCTTAAGCGTACCGTACCTATCATAACCTACCGCTCCCCCGGGGAGAGAGCTGCACCTGAACGGGGAAAGCAAGCTGTCAGTTCCCGGTTTGCTTGTCCGTAATTTGTGATTTGTTCCTCATCTTGACCCTGCATCACGCGCCGAGCTTCTTACCGACTGTAGGATTAGGCACATTGTTCTCAGTGACATTCTCTTATTAACCTCAAGTAGTGCTAATCTCCATACGGGGATATTCCATCAGTAGAGACTTAGGTAGGTTATACATCGCTAGCTGTGTGACAGCAGATGCTCAATGTCTGCTAGTACTAGTTTCCCTTCTCCTTTGCTCCCTGTTATATGCCCATCTCTATTTGTAGTGGAAAGTGGCGTGTTATGTAAATTAAACAATAGTAACCATGTATGGATCACTAGTCGCCTAGATAATCAATTTGGAATGACAGTACGGCTCTATGAAATCCAAGCATCCCTACCTAGATACCAATATCCCACGCGAATAAAAGGGATGGCTCACCTACTCTTAGAAGTCCGACAAATTCCAATACCACACCATCCTGTCACGGAGAAGTGAATAGTAACTCCGAGGCTTGCAGGTTTACCCTACAACTTACGCAACTCGCACAACTCGCCCAATGACTATCGTTGGCTCCTAGAGCTAGTGACCCTCGACTCGAAAGAGATCATTCAGGGCCGCCACTACCAAATTACTCCGTATGTTGGTGCATGGGTATCCTGCTGCCTGTCATTTTACTTTCATGGATCTGAGACTAGTATTCCATCCCTAGACAGCAGTGACTTAGGCAGTAGCATGGTTCCATGGTGATCGCTCATGGTATTGCGCACGGTTGGAATTTCCTCAAGTGGATTGGGATTGATTAGAATATGCCGGGGGTAGTCATTAGCATGGGGTTCCGTATTGGCTGAGTACAATCTTGACCAAGGATGTTTTTTCTAACCGGTAGTCCAAATATGGAGCACCAAATGTTCTTTACATAACAGTCACATTACTCATCCATGCCGCCAGGTCCACCTTGCCGGCCCATCTGTCTGGCCTTCAGCAGTTCATCGCAAAGCAAGAGGTTCGAGGCAATACCCGTGCTGGATGCGATGCAGTTACGCAGCACACGGAAGGAGTCGAAGACACCCTCCTGGATGGGGTCCATCGGTTCGCCGGTGGTCAGGTCCAAGCCAACAGTGTTGCCGTTAGACTGCTCGTCTTGCAAAGCTGCCAATGAGTCCTGGACATCGTGGCCCGAGTTAGCCGCAAGGGTCTTGGGAATGACCAAAAGAGCATCGGCGAAGGCCTGGACACCCCACTTGGCCTTGCCCTTGACAGACTTGCGGAAGGCCTCGGAAGAAAGGTGAGCAGCGCAGGCAACTTGGAATGCACCGGCACCGGGGATGACACAACCGTCAACAATGGTGTTGTATACGGATCGCAGGCCGTCACGGACAGCATCCTTAACCTGTGCGATGGTGTGCTGGTTGGGTCCCTTAATGAGGATGGTGACGGACTTGGGGTCCTTGACCTCCTCAACGAAAGTGAACTTCTCTTCACCAAGCTGGTGCTCGTAAACCAGGCCAGCCCAACCAAGGACATCGGGCGTCAAGTCCTCAACACTATTCTGTGCAATACCGCCGCAGATAAGCTGGAGACGCTCCATGTTCCTCCGCTTAGCTCTCCGGAGAGCCAGGATACCGTTCTTGACCAGGACATCCAAGCTCAGGGGGTCAATGCCCTTCTGGTTGATGACAACGAAGCTCTTGTTCGGGTCAGTGCCACAAACCTGCTGCTTGAGCTCCACAATCTTCTTCAGCTTGGCATCCACGAACTTGCGCTCGCTCTCCACCAACTTATCCCTCTGCTCGGCAGAAGAGTAGTAGAAGCCGGAGTTGATTTCCGACTTCTCGTACTCCAGACTCACGTTCAAGGTCAGGATGAACGCGTTCTCTACACGCTTGGGCATATCGGGGTGTCTGGCGCCGTGGTCGAGGGCAAGACCACGGATGAGTCTAGTGTCGGAAGACGTCCGATGTTGCATGGTCATGATCTCAATCATGTGCAGATCCGGCTTCTCAGGAGCTCTGTGGATGGCGAGAACGGCATCAACGATATCAGGGGTGAGTTTCTCGGCGAGGGCGCTGTTCAACTTCGTGCTGAGGGACGTCCGGGCGACGGAAAGCAAGAGCTCACGGTCAATGGGCCGTTCAAGCTTGAACTGGTCGAGGAACTATATACCACCATGATTCAGTATTATAGAATTGTAGCCGCAAGTTTCAAGATACTAACCTTCAGGGCCTCGTTCTTGGCGATCTCATAACCATCCGTGATGACGCGAGGGTGCAGGCCCTCGGAGATGTGTCGGTTTGCCTGCTTCAGCAGCTCACCCACCAACAACACGACGGATGTTGTTCCATCACCAGTGATATCATCCTGTGCCGTCGCAGCTCTGGCGATCATGACCTTTCGTGTGTATTAGAGGATGACGCTTCGGAGAGGAGGAGAGAGGTAGCTTACAGCCGTGGGGTTTTGGATTTGCTATAACAGTTAGCCTTGGGTGCTTATAGTTCTGGGAAATACATCTCACTCACCATCTCACGCAGCAGAACATTGCCGTCCTTGGTCAATTTAATCTGTTTGCACCTTGGTCAGAAGAATCCTAAACTGCCGTACTTGAGGAAAGATTTCATACTCCGCCTGCACCATCCACCAACCTAAGATTGGTCAGCTCTGCATCAGTGCTATATTGCCTGGAAATAAGACATACATCTTCAGTGTCCCCGAGGGACCAAGGTTGGACTTCAAGACATCCTGAAGACCCTCACCAGCGCTGATGTTGACCTTCAAGGCTTCCGCTCTCCGCTGCGAACTGTTAGTCTCTGCTGGACCACTGAGGGGCTAAATGTCGGGGGGGGGAAGTGGGAGAGAGAAGGAAACCGGGTGCATACCCTCGACTCGGCCTTGGGATTGAGTAACTGCGTTGCAGACATTTCTGCAGCACGAATGAGCGACAAGCAACAAAGCCCAACGAAAGAACCGGGAACAGGATCGGCTGGCTGGTGCTGGAGGCCCCTAAGACGATGCCCGCGCGGTCACAAACCTGGTGGTGTTTGCCGTCGAATGCGGTGAGCCGTAGTTTTGGCAAAAAGCCCACATTCGGTGTTCGCACTAGCGCCGCCGCGAAAAAAAAGAGCTCCGACGGCTCGACTCTGCAAATCTACCCTCCAGGCTTTTCTTCAACTCCACGTCGGTCCCACGGCAGGTCTACGGTCGCATAACCCCGGGAAATTGAGAAGCGGGCTCCATCGCTCGCACGTAAAGGACCGTTTTGTCTGAATTTTTAGGGCCTTTCCCTCAATTTCGCAATGGCCGACTTTCTTCTGTTCGAGAGCCCTATGGGCTACTCGCTCTTCAAGGTCGCCCACCAGGGCGACAGCGTTGGAAACCGCTTGAAGGAGGTTCAGGAGGGTGTCAACGACTTGGCTACCTTCGGTAAGATGGTCGAACTCGCCAGTTTCCTGCCTTTCGAGTATGTGGTTCAATTTTTCCCCATGGATTTTCTACTCCAGGATCCTGACAACGTCCAGGAACAACAAGCAGGCCCTTGGTGAAATTAACGATGTCTCGGAAGGTGTCGCTTCGGACACTCTGATCTCTTTCCTCGAATTGAACCTGCCCAAGCCCAACAAGAAGAAGAAGGTTATTCTGGGACTTTCCGACAAGGCTCTGGCCGGAAGTATCAAGTCCGCCTTCTCTTTCGTTGACTGCGAGACCGGTGACACCAGCGAGGTTGTCCAGGATATGCTTCGTGGTGTCAGACTCCACGCTTCCAAGCTGCTGAAGCAGCTGCGCGAGGGTGACATGGACACTGCTCAGCTTGGTCTTGGTCACGCCTACTCCCGCGCCAAGGTCAAGTTCTCCGTCCAGCGCGATGACAACCACATCATCCAGGCCATTGCTATCCTCGACCAGCTCGACAAGGCCATCAACACCTTCTCCATGAGAGTGAGAGAATGGTACTCGTGGCACTTCCCTGAACTCTACAAGATCGTCTCCGAAAACCAACGCTACGCCCAGGTTGCCTTGTTCGTCCAGGATAAGAAGGACTTGACCGACGACAAGTTGCACGACCTTGCTGCCCTTGTGGAGGATGATGAGGGTGTCGCCCAGAGCATTATCGACGCTGCCAAGCACAGTATGGGTCAGGAGATCTCCGAGACTGACATGGAGAACGTTATCTCTTTCGCCCAACGCGTTGTCAGCCTGTCCAAGTACCGCAAGTCTCTCCACGCCTACTTGATCTCCAAGATGAGCGTCGTCGCCCCCAACCTTGCTGCCCTGATCGGAGAGATCGTTGGTGCTCGTTTGATCTCGCATGCCGGAAGCTTGACCAACCTGTCCAAGTACCCCGCTTCTACGGTTCAGATTCTTGGTGCGGAGAAGGCCCTTTTCAGAGCCTTGAAGACCAAGGGCAACACGCCCAAGTACGGTCTTCTGTACCACTCCTCTTTCATTGGAAGAGCGGGCCCCAAGAACAAGGGCCGCATCTCGCGCTTCCTCGCCAACAAGTGTTCCATCGCTTCTAGAATCGACAACTTCTCCGAGGAGCCCTCGACCAAGTTCGGAGAGGCCCTCAAGCAGCAGGTTGAGGAGCGTCTGGAGTTTTACGCTACCGGTGCCGCCCCTACCAAGAACGAAGTCGCCATGGTAAGTCAATGTGGCTAAATCTTTTTGCTACGCCACCGCTCTTGGTATTCTTTTTCTCCCGAACAAACATGCTGATGATTGCGCAGAAAAACGCCATGGACGCTGTCCTTGCCGACATTGATGTCGACGGTGGCGAGAGCGATGACGAAATGAAGGATGCCGATGCCGAGGAGGCCGAGAAGAAGGACAAGGAGAAGAAGAAGGAAAAGAAGGACAAGAAGGAAAAGAAGGAGAAGAAGGAGAAGAGCGAGAAGAAGGAGAAGGGTGAGAAGGAAGAGAAGAAGAAGAAGCGGAAGTCTGACGTCGGCGAGGGCGAGTCCGACAAGAAGAAGCGGAAGCACGATAGCGATGCTGAGCCGTCCAAAAAGAAGAAGAAGCTTTAAAAAAGCACTGAGTCTTGGGACAGGAGGGCGTCATTGTCGCGGCGTTGTTGGGTTTTCTTATTCTTGCCATCCATGTTCTGTTTTCTCCTTGAATGACTTGATGGGCTGGGTATTTGTAAATTATTCGATTGAGGCCTGTGTCATGCCAAAATTTGTGTGTAGTTCTTGCTGCCAATTCGATATGGCTTTTTTTGGTTTTTACAATTGCAAGGGCCGACCATTGACGCCGCTGACTATTATTTATAGAGTAGCGTAGCTAAATCCCTGTAACTCACTGACCACTAGATACACATCCGTTGAGTGATGTACTCGACTGCTTATTCACCCGTCGGGGCAAGGGCCGACGACAACCCAGACCACCACCTCCCCTTCCCCTCTCCCAGGGCGATCCAACCCCATTGCGCCTCCTCTTCTTTCAGCCATGATGATGATGGCCCGAGCACCAGGGCTCTCCACAGTTCTCTAGTTATCATGGCTTCGTTTACTGCCTCCCGTCTAGATCGTTAGAAGCTAACCTACCATTGAAGAGCCCACGTTCTGGCTCCTTCACACCCGGCCTGGTCGATGTGATGCCCCCACATCGTATTCAACTCCAGCCCCGCGATGATGCAAACAACCTTGCCGACGATGCCCTTTGAATCGCCCAAACGCAAACGTGCATCATCCGAAGAATCGGACTACTGCAGTCCTTCTGCCTCCCCGACATCATGCGTCTCAATCCCCAACCTCCAGGAAACTAGGGTACGGGAAGCAGAAGAATGGGGAAGATACAGCCCGCGTGCAGTAGTCGCTAGTCGCCTGGGACAATTGGCCATCCGCGGGGACCAATTTTCTACGTCACCCGTTCCGTATGGAGCAGATCCTTCTCTGCAGTTAGGAGACTGGCCTGCCACGTACGATGAACTCCATGGCACCCGCGACATACCTGGAACGAATCCCTCAATGGAGGGTAGTCCCAGTCCAGCTGGATTCACAGAGTTTGCAAAGGGTATCCAACCTTGCGACAGTGACAAGAGTGCATCGACGTCACCCAGCAAGAAACGGTCAACACCAAGCCCTAGAAAAAAACGAATCCCCTCGATTACCTCCAAGATGCGCTCCGTGAGATCATCACCACCTCTCATCAGCAATACAGCTGAGGACCCGCTTACATGGCATGACTCAGAGATTACTGGTCACAACCCGACTGACCCGACTGACGATGGATATGGCATGAATGGTATCGGATTCAAGCCGACTGCAGCAATGGCTTGGGCTCGGTCACAGAGGAGACAGAAGCAGGTTGCTGAATGGAAGAACCGTGAGGCAAGAGAAGCGCGCGAACGCCGACGGGAACGCCGCGATGGCGCTGATTTTGATAAGATACGGACCATCCAATCGGGCGCTATTCAGAAAAAGGTCAAATTCGACGTCTGAATGCAACCACCATGGAAGGCTAACAATAATTTGAGATAAGTCTTCTGGTTTTACAAGATTTCTACCCTCTTTGGAATTCATTGGTTGAGGACAATTAATGAAATGGGCGTTGGATTGGAGATATCGACGTGTGACATCGCGACGTCACAGCTTCAAGGTTGGATAGGGCAGCGGCCCATAACATAGAGGAATATGTACCTGGAACCCAACCTACTTTATACATAGTACTATACAATGAGATCCCATCAAACTCCAGTACTCCATGCAATGCGCAAACAGCCTACCAGAACTTGTAGTTCGATGGGTTGGTCCAGCTCTTCCGCTTTCTTTCTTCCTCGGCCAAGCGTGCGGCCTCCTCGATCTTCTGTTCCTTTTCTCGTTGTTTCTTAAGCTTGAGTTCCTTCATCAATTCCACCGCTTGTTTCATGCCATCCAATTCCTCCACCCGACGCCGCTGACAGAACTCGTGGGCTGCAAGTGCTGTAACAGCGAAGGCACCGACCGCCCAGTTACAAGCGGTCCACACCGAGCGCAGTCCTACATTAGATTACTCCATCAGCTACCATATACTGGATCAAGGTGGCAGCTGGTGACTCCTACCTCCGACCACACCCCTCACGCCACCTACACCGAACCCTGCGCCGATTCCGAGTAGAAGCGAGTCGCGCGCACAGGGTGCCTTATGGAATGACGTGACATTTTCAAGGGACATTGACTTCATAGCTTCAGTGACCGTGATATCCTTGGTGGTTCTTCCAGACTTGGCGCCCGCTGAGGGCAGCATATTCACGGGCTCTTCAGGATTTCCGAAAGCATCCCACAGCTTCCCGACTTGCGACTTGGGAAACTCATGTTTTGGCTTCCGTTCTTGCTGAATACCTTGTTGTTCAGGCTCCCTCACTTCCGGAGTGGGTGCAGTCGAGTCCCGCGCATCATCGGCCATGATGAGAGGTCCAATTGTGGGTTCAAGATACCTCGTCGGTGCTATACATTCAATTCCGACTGTATGCGGGCGTTTTCTCGACTAGGAAACAATGCGCGGGTGGCCGGAAGAACCTGTGCCCCGAAGCTTCCCCGGCAGGGGTGGCAGAAGCGGATAGTTTCCCCGAGCGGCTCACGATCGGCCAATGGCACGCGTAAAGTAGAAAACGCGAACGCGTCCGAATGGCGTAGGGCAAATCTGGGCTCCGCAGCATCGCAAGTGGATCAACTACTAATTCAGTTACATTGGAGCGCTCAATTGAGTCCGTTAGAAGCATACCTTTTGGAAGAACGGAAGCTAGCTTTCGTCAAATCAGCTATGCGCAGCTCTGTTCTGTGTTAAACCACCATTGCTTTCCATGTTTCACCCAACGTCTTGTCTTGCCCTGCAGTGATCTTCAGCCCCGGCCAGTGGGCGCGCCGTCGCGATGCCTTCAAGAAAACCCAGCAAGTTCGGGAACAAGTTTCGATCCAGTGCGGCTTCTTTCAATCCCAAACGAACAAAAACAATCGAGTTCTCGTCTCTTCGGTCGACGGAAGCAACCTCTCAAGATGAGAAATTCGAGTCGATCCGGCTGGCCAACAGCATCGATGAATCCTTGGGGTTCCCCCGTTTCGAGTCTGGCGAAAAGCGAGTGGGATGGCTCATCAATATGCACAGCACATCCATAGAAGATTCGAATGTTCCCGGAGGACGCGCCGGCGTGGATTACTATTTCCTCGAAGATGGCGGCGGAAGTTTCAAGGCGACCGTCGAATACGACCCATACTTCTTAATTGCAGTGAAAAAGGGCCGTGAGACCGAGGTTGAGGAATGGTGTCGGAGGACCTTTGAAGGGCTTATCAAGAAGGTGTCGCGAGTTGAGAAAGAGGACCTCGACCTGCCAAATCATTTGCTTGGGTACAAACGGAACTTTCTCCAACTCAACTTTGCCAATGTGGGCCATTTGTTGGAAGTCCGCAAGACCCTCCTTCCTCTGGCAGAGAAGAATAAGAAGAATGTAAATGTGATGGATACGTATATGGAGATCTCCAGGTGTGTCCATCAATTCGACGTTCGTTTGGTTGGAGTTGCGGCTGACTGGGTTCTAGCGCGAATGCTGGCTTTGACCTTTTTGATGATGAACTGATTAACGAATCACGATCTAATGGCACTACGAACGCGAGCGATTTTATTCTTGATATTCGAGAATATGATGTTCCCTATCATGTTCGAGTCTCGATTGACAAAGGTACGTGCGCCTCTCTACATCTGGTATCTGCGGTTTCTAACGTCTTGAAGACATCCGTATAGGGAAATGGTATACAGTGGAGGCAAGACACGGCGTTATTACATTGACATGTATAGAAGAACGACTCACGCGAGCCGACCCTGTCATTCTAGCATACGATATTGAGACAACCAAGCTACCGCTCAAATTTCCCGACTCGGTGATTGACCAAATCATGATGATATCTTACATGATCGATGGGCAAGGATTTCTCATCACTAACCGTGAGATCGTATCTGAGGACATAAATGATTTCGAATACACGCCGAAGGCAGAGTACAGCGGTCCCTTCATGATCTTCAACGAACCCGACGAACGAGCTGTCATAGAACGTTTTTTTGAACATATCAAAGAAGCGAAACCTACTGTCATTGCGACATACAACGGTGACTTTTTCGATTGGCCTTTCGTGGAAGCTAGGGCTAGTGTCTTGGGAATCGACATGTATAGAGAGATCGGCTTCCGCAAGAACAGTGAGGATATCTACCAGAGTGACCACTGCGTTCATATGGACTGCTTCGCTTGGGTAAGCCGTGATAGTTATCTACCTCAGGGAAGTCGTGGCTTGAAAGCCGTGACTGTTGCAAAGCTCGGATACGACCCCGACGAACTTGACCCCGAACTGATGACCCCATACGCGAGCGAGCGGCCTCAAACTTTGGCGGAATATTCCGTCTCCGATGCTGTCGCGACCTACTACCTGTACATGAAATACGTCCACCCTTTCATCTTTTCTCTTTGTACAATTCTCCCTATCAATCCAGACGACACGCTGAGAAAGGGAACCGGAACTCTGTGCGAGATGCTTCTAATGGTGCAAGCATATCAAGGAAACATCGTCCTGCCGAACAAGCACAAGGACCCCCCGGAATCTTTCTATGAGGGGCACCTACTCGAATCAGAAACTTACGTCGGAGGACACGTCGAAAGTATTGAGGCTGGTGTGTTTCGAAGCGATATCCCTGTCACATTCAGCGTGGAACCTGCTGCTATAGATGAGCTCCTTCGGGATTTGGACGCGGCCTTGAAATTCAGTATTGAAGTGGAAGAGAAAAGGTCAATGGACGATGTCACAAACTACGAGGAAGTCAAGAAACAGATTGCGGACAAGTTGATCGACCTGAAAGAGAAGCCACATCGGGATGAAGTGCCTTCCATCTACCACTTGGACGTTGCCTCCATGTATCCGAATATCATGATCACCAATCGACTACAGCCAGACTCGATGATCCAGGAGTCGAACTGTGCCGCCTGCGACTTCAACCGGCCAGGAAAGACATGTGATAGGCGACTACCATGGGCATGGCGAGGTGAATTCCTTCCCGCCAAGCGCGACGAATATAACATGATTCGTCAGGCAGTTGCAAATGAAAGATTCCCAGGAAAATACAAGAATAGCCCTATGAGATCTTTTGGTGACATGAGCGTTGAAGAACAAGCCGCCATCATCAAGAAACGACTCCAGGATTACAGCAAGAAGATTTACCACAAAATCCACGACAGCAAAACCATGGTCAGAGAGGCCATCATTTGTCAACGGGAGAATCCATTCTATGTGGACACAGTCCGTAGCTTTCGTGACCGAAGATACGATTTCAAGGGAAAACAGAAAGTCTGGAAAGGCAAGACCGAGTCTCTCAAATCTTCGGGTGCATCAGCCGCGGAGGTCGACGAGGCTAAAAAGATGATCATCCTTTACGATTCCTTGCAGCTTGCCCATAAAGTCATTCTGAACAGTTTCTATGGTTACGTCATGAGAAAAGGATCTCGGTGGTATTCCATGGAGATGGCTGGTGTGACATGTCTGACAGGCGCTCGAATCATTCAAATGGCAAGAGAGCTGGTTGAACGCATCGGTCGCCCCCTGGAACTCGACACTGATGGTATCTGGTGTATGCTTCCGGGCACATTTCCCGAGGATTTTTCCTTTACTCTGAAGAACGGCAAGAAGCTAGGTATCTCATATCCTTGTGTCATGCTGAACCACCTCGTCCACGGAAGTTATACCAATCACCAATATCAGACTCTCGTCGACCCGGCAACATTCAAATACGAGACGCACAGTGATAACTCAATCTTTTTCGAAGTCGATGGACCCTACAGAGCGATGATCTTGCCAACTTCAAAAGAGGAAGACAAGAATTTAAAGAAACGTTATGCGGTGTTTAACCATGACGGCTCGCTGGCAGAACTGAAAGGTTTCGAGGTCAAGCGTCGTGGAGAGTTGAAACTGATCAAAATTTTCCAAACACAGATCTTCCGGTTTTTCCTGGAAGGTTCGACTCTCACGGAGACCTATGCTGCAGTGGCCAAGGTAGCTGACCGATGGTTGGACGTGCTTTACGAACATGGTGCAACTTTGGCCGATGAGGAACTTATTGATCTCATTTCGGAGAACAGAAGTATGACAAAGACCCTTGAAGAATATGGAAACCAAAAGTCGACATCAATCACGACTGCACGGCGCCTAGCAGAGTTCCTGGGCGAGCAGATGGTAAAAGACAAGGGCTTGAACTGCAAATACATCATATCTTCAAGGCCACGGAACACGCCTGTCACTGAGCGAGCCATTCCAGTGGCGATCTTCTCGGCTGAGGAAAGCGTCAAACGATTCTTCTTGCGCAAGTGGCTGAAGGATGACCCTGGAGATATGGACCCCCGTACGGTGATCGACTGGGACTACTATCTGGAGCGGTTGGGTTCCGTTGTACAGAAGCTCATCACCATCCCAGCTGCGTTGCAAAAGATTCGTAACCCAGTTCCCAGAGTCGCTCACCCTGACTGGCTGCAAAGGCGGATCAACACCAAGGATGACAGATTCAAGCAGACCAAGATGACGGATATGTTCAATAAATCGGAAAAGAATCCACTAACAGATATCTCGACAAACATTCTCGACCATCGTGTCCAGCACACCGGCGATCTTGACGAAGTGATAGCGCACTCGACCCAGAAGCTGAAGTCATCTCCCGATGGCAAGATCTCGCAAAAGAGGAAGCACCCAGAAGGCCTGTCGAAAACGTCACTAGATCCGTTTGCTACCCTTCCTGCGAAAATGCCATCGGCAACAAATGATTACGTTGGGTTCCTGAAGTACCAGAAGCAGAAATGGAAGATTCAGAAACAAGCCCGCATCCGTCGCCGTCAGCTCTTCGGAGAAAGGGCAAACACAGGTGGCGACTCGTTAAGTAATCTCTTCAGGAATCAGGCTGAGTTATTGTACATCAAAACTTGGCAGATTCTGCAGCTTTCCGAGACCACGAGGCCTGGGGTCGTGCGAGCGTTTGTTTTGATCGACCGAAAGATCCACGCTCTCACGGTCAAGGTTCCCCGTCAGATTTACGTCAATCTCAAGCAGGACTCGCTTCCTGATGTCGACGTGCCAGATTGCGAGGTGGAGAAGGTCAACCATACGTTGCCCAACGGGCATCCTTCGGTCCATTTGTTCAAATTGACATTGTCCGAAGAAACTTATCTTCGTGAAGCGGACAAGATTGACGTTCTCTTTCAGCACCCTAGTGTTGAGGGTGTTTATGAAAAGAACATCCCACTCAATGTCCGCGCAGTGCTCAAACTGGGTAGCATATGCACATTCGATGAGGAGCAACGCGGAGTTCTTGGAGAAGGATTGGAGCGCGGCTTTGATCTCTCAACTCTATGTCGTACAACCACCGAGCAACCATATCTTTTGGACTCACCCATGGCCTACCATTATCTCTACCATGTCGCATCTGGAGACAGACAGATTTTCGCTCTTTTCTCGAGTACGAAGAATGAGGCCCATGTTGTGATTCTAAACCGCACGAGGGATGTTCAGGGTCTCCCGAACCTCGACAAAATCTACTCTGAACTTCTTGCGCGGAAAATGCAGAACCTGGAAGGAGACCAGTCACAAGCTGCCTTTGAGTACCAGGAAAAGATCCATTTCAAGACCACGCAAGTAACTACCAGGAGAAAAGCTCACCTGGAGGTTGGAGACTTGATCAAGAAGTTAAAATCCGAGGAGACCCAACCCGCCATTATGGTCATACAGTCGCAGCAAAGGAAGCGTCTTTGTCATGATATTCCGCTGTTGCGAGAATACCCTGTTCTACCAGTCAAGCCGGAAGTGTCGGATATGGACCTTCCACCCTTGGGCTGGCAGTCTTTCGTTGCCAGGAGATTGGTCACTCACTATCTCTATCTCTCTGCTTGGGTTCAGCACTTGACATTGCTGGCTAGATACGGTGATGTTCCTCTTTGCAACCTGGAAAACGATGACCCCCGGTTCCTCATCGACATCTCGTACGCCAGACGACTCCAGCAGAACAATGTTGTCCTCTGGTGGTCCTCGAACCCCCGGCCCGATCATGCAGGATACGAGAAGGACGATATTTCGGGTCCTCTCGAGAAGGTTGCTATGCCATCAGTGAATGTCCCCAGCGCGTATACCACGGTATGCATAGAGTTGGAGGTTCGCAATATTGCAATCAACACCATCTTAACCTCTTCCATAATCAACGAGATGGAGGGTGCAGATACTCTTTTGGCTTCGTCCGGGCAATCCGCAGACGCGAACGGAGGGGTCTTGTACTCCGAAAAGGCGTTCGCTTCAGCTGGAGCGGTTGTGTTGCGGGAAATGGTCAAGCACTGGTGGACGGAGGCTTGCGAAGGAAACAGCATGGCCGATATCATGGTGCAGCATCTGATTCGATGGGTAGAGAGCCCAGTTTCATGCCTTTACGATCGTTCCTTGCATCACTACGTGCGAATGCTGTCCAGGAAATCATTCCAGCGGCTGATGGCTGAGTTCAGACGTGTTGGGTCAAATGTCATCTTTGCCAGCTCCACTCGTCTGCTCCTCCAGACCTCCAAAACGGAGGTGGGCAATGCCTATGCCTACAGCCAGTACGTTCTCAAGTCCATCCGAGCCAATCCGTCGTTCCATTTCATCGACCTTGAGATCAAAGAGTACTGGGACTACCTGCTTTGGTATGATGAGTACAACTACGGTGGCAAAGGTTGCCAAGAAGTCACTGAATCCGATGAACAAGAACTCGAAACGGTTATGCACTGGCAGCTCAATCGATTCTTGCCTATACCCATGCAAACCATCTTCCATGACTGGGTTGTGGAGTATATCGAACTAATGCACGGTCTCAAACGGCCGGACACCAACGATTCATCTACACCTCGCATGACGCAGATTCCCATTGGACGTCCCAACGACGAGGACAGCGAAGAGGTCTCGGCTATCCTCGCAGAGAAATTCTCGAAACCATTGAAGAAGCAACTCACCGGTCTCATTCGCCGGCAGCGTGACGAACTTTTACACCCGGAGCTCGCATCTGATTACGCTTTCCCTGTCCTCCCTGGCGTGCTGTCGGACCCCAATGAAGAGAAGCGCAACCCTGTCTTGGAACTGGTGAAATTGCTTATGCAAGTTCTTAGTCTGTCGAAGACTACTACGATGGAGACGCGGTTGCTGCGTCGTGAGTTGCTGGCACTCTTCGAGGTGAGGGAATTCAGCAAGGAAGGTCGTTTCGAAAACCCCTGCACCAGCCTGAAACTTCCCGAGCTCACCTGCGGTGCATGCTGCTTGATCCGGGATCTGGACCTGTGCCGGGACGAGGATGTACTCCCTGACCCCGGCATGGACGCGAGCAAAGCTTCTACCAAACCATGGCGTTGTCCCTTCTGCCAAACCGAATACGACCGGTTGGCCCAGGAAGAAATCCTTATCGGTCAGGTGCAAGGGTTCATTGTCGGATGGCAGACCCAAGACCTGAAGTGCTCGAAATGCGGCAATCTCAAGGTTAGTGACTTCATGGAGCATTGCTCGTGTAGTGGAGTGTGGGTAGAAACGATGGATCGGAAGGAGATTGAGAAGCGGCTGCACATCTTGAACAGTGTGGCCAAATTCCACGGTCTCAAGTTGTTGGAGAGTGTTGTGGGAGAAGTTCTCGAACAGATGTAATCCTGTTTGTCCTTGCATTGCTTGTTATTTGAGCGTTGTTGGAGGCGATACCCGCGGGAACTATACACTTCTCCGGTTCGATATATACATCCAGCCGGGGACCACATTGGATCGGCGTTGGGGGAGGGAATGATTATTGATTGATTGATTGACGCATACGGAGTAGATAGATAGGTAGCATAGGTCTCACTGTTCGTCATTTATCCAATACATGGCATAGCGCATGCATAATGAGACCTGACTGGTGCAGCAAGACGAGACATGAAGAGGCAAAAGATAAGCGGCGCCAATAGCGATTCCATGGATCGGGGGCCTTGGCACGTGTGTGGCAGTCGCACCGCAATCTGTCAGGCAACAATCGATCTATCACCTCTGCCGATCCATCCCCTCCTGCCACTTTTCCAACTTCACCGAGCAGTGCATGGGCAGATTTCCCCTTCTGCTCGGCGTTCTACGATTCTAGCATCCATCTCTGCTGGTCCGGTCCCTCCCTGAGTTCTCCCAGGCAGCGACCGTCCGACGGCGAGTCCACCGCAAACCCCGCAGTCGGACTCCACCACATCGTCCGATTGCGACAGGACGACTGGTCCCCGTCCTGGCCACCACCCTTGCACATTTTAAATACTGGTGAGTCCCTCAAGCTACCTGCAGGCGCTCAAGTGATCTTCTGATTGGGCCCTGCGTGGTTAAGATTCGCCATCTTTTTATCCATCTGCTGACCGCGGGGCCGACAGACGCAGGCTTTCCCCAAACCCCCCCCTGTCCGTCCTTCCATACGAGCATCAACCGACTCTCCCTTACTCCTTCACCTTCACCTTCTCACCTCAACCCTATTTCTTTCTTAATCACTTCGATAAATGGCGTCACAACCGCAAGCAGGCCAGCGACCCAAGGTCCAGCCCTGCCGATACAAGACCGGAAAGACGCTAGGAGCCGGCTCCTACTCGGTCGTCAAAGAATGCGTGCACATCGACACGGGTCGTTACTATGCAGCGAAGGTGATCAATAAGCGCCTGATGGCGGGCCGTGAGCACATGGTACTTTTCCATCCAAGCCAGTCAGCTCTGGCTGGCGATAATCCGGACATAATGCAGGAGGGCTAATGATAAGGAATTTTGGGTATATCGATAGGTCCGGAATGAGATCGCGGTGCTGAAAAGAGTGTCCATGGGCCATCAGAACATCTTGACCCTGGTCGACTACTTTGAAACAATGAACAACCGTACGTGCCCCCTTGCAACGGACATGAGCAGATTTGTGAAACAGGGCCAACCATCTCCACATTTTGACAGTGTACCTGGTCACCGACCTCGCGCTTGGTGGTGAGCTTTTCGACCGCATTTGCCGTAAAGGCAGTTACTACGAATCCGACGCTGCGGACCTCATCCGTGCGATCCTGTCTGCTGTGGCGTACTTGCACGACCATGGAATCGTGCATCGGGATCTGAAGCCCGAGAACCTTCTATTCCGCACCCCAGAGGACAATGCGGATCTCCTGATCGCGGACTTTGGCTTGTCCAGAATCATGGATGAGGAGCAGTTCCACGTCCTTACTACGACGTGCGGCACGCCAGGATACATGGCCCCCGAGATCTTCAAGAAAAGCGGTCACGGAAAACCAGTGTACGTTGCTTTCCTCGTCTTACTTTCCCCATACGCTTCTGATCTATCTAACAATTTCCAACAGAGACATCTGGGCCATCGGCGTTATCACCTACTTCTTGCTATGCGGTTACACCCCCTTCGACCGCGAATCCAACCTGGAAGAGATGCAGGCCATCCTTGCAGCAGACTACTCCTTCACCCCCTTTGAATACTGGCGCGGCGTTTCCCACGACGCACGGGACTTTATCAAGCGGTGTCTAACCATCGATCCTAACGCTCGTATGACGGCTCACGAGGCCCTTCAACATGCCTGGGTCAACCCGCCCTACGACACTTCCGCCGACAAACTCGGCTCCGGCGCAGATCTCCTCCCCACAGTCAAGAAGAACTTCAACGCCCGTCGCACCCTACACAAGGCCATCGATACTGTGCGCGCCATCAACAAGCTCCGCGAAGGTGGCGGCCTGATGATGGACGGCATGATGAGCGTGGACCCGAAGCCGGAACGGGTCAACGGCAACGACGTCATCGAAGAACGTCGAGACCACGATGGACACATGGAAATCGACGGCCGTTCCAACGCCCGCGGCCAGACAGAAGAGCAGATTCGCGCCCAAGAGCGAAAAGTCCAGGAAATGGTCGCTGGGTTGTGGAGTCGGACGGTGAAGAAATAAGATTAAACTTCATGTTATATCCTTCAGTGGAATATTTCATTTCATACTTTATACACTTTACCCCCTTCGTATCTCGGGTGTCATTCGCTTCTTAGTCTATACTTCCCTGCTCTACCTCACCCTTGATGGGAATGAACTTTTTGTTCTGGTCCGATTAGTTTTGGAAAATTTCGGTCCGGTTGCTATGCCATTTATCCATCATATTATACTTTACTAGTTGCGTACCATGAGAATCGATATTGATCCAGTTTCTTCTGCATCTGTATCCCCACATACCTTAAGAGAGAGAACTGTTGCAATCATTTTCAGATCGTCGGTAATCATGCTGCGTATATTTATTTCACGATCCATAATATGGAGGCCCTGCATATAGGTACACCTCGTGGGCTTTACGAAATGATGTTTGTGCTCATGTCATGTCTTTGCCGTATGATTGACATATGTCCAGCCCAGGTTTCTGATTTATCCGGCTAAATTGTCATCAAGCCAGAGGAATGAAACTAACTCTTCATAGTCATGTAGCAGATGTATGCAATAGCCAAGAGAGGAGAAGAGAGAAAACGCCATTGTCCGTCTCATTGACGCCATCGTATCATAAAGTAGATCGTTGGTTCAATCGATTGTCGATGGCGAATTAACTCAAGAGCTGTTCGCTCCTGTCGTCCAACGAGAGAACCCATTGGCGCCAATCTTGCCAGTCCGCGTAACTGCTGCTGGCTTTAAGGCCCTGGTATTTGACAGCTCGGAAGTCGGAGACCTGCTCCCATGGCTTGGTTGCTCCGTGACTGGTACTGTTACTGTTGCTGCCTCGCAGGAACCGTCTGGCCATGCTCTCGGTCGGCCCGTCCCAGCCTGCTTTGTGCATCAGGCTAATGACGGTCTCTTCTTTGGTCCAGCCCTGCTCTACGGCGACGTCGGGGAGGTAGGTGGCTCCGTAGCGTCTCCCGCGGTGGATAAAGGAGATGCGGAGTCCATGCACGCCGAGGATCCAGTCCATGGCGTTGGTGCATGGCTCGAAGGACCCGAGGAGGGTCAATGAGCAAGATAGAGAGGGTAGAAGAGACTCGGGGATCGGGGAGAACCGAGTATCATCAAATGCGCTGTGGGCGGTTAGCATGTGCGAGCCTTACCAAGGTGTATGTGCAAGGCCCGTTCTCGTGAATAGTGAGGGGATACGTACGATGTGAGGGCGTAGGACTTCAGGCCCTCAGCAAGTTCTTGGGCTTCAAAGGTGCCAATGCATCCGCGGAGTGATTTGTGGCCATGTTTTGAGATGGTGTTCCATGTTACAAATAGGGGGTATTTCTCTTCTCGCGGCTTGCGGCTTGCTGTGTCGGACTGTGTTGATAGGGAACTGGGCGTTGTGACAGTGGTGGAGCTTGAGAGGATGGATTGTGATGAATTGGCGGAGGTGATGGAGGGTGTTGTAGACGAGCTTGAGCCAGACTGCAGTCGGCTGACCCTGGGGACTTTGATCTTCTGGGAGCGACTGCTGTTCCCAGCGGGTCCTCCGGTTACTTCGTCATCGTCTACGGATTGGGAATCACCATCGTCGTCCAACGCGGCGAGCTTTTTATATTGTTCATGCCGTTCCCAAAGCTCTTCGACGGACGCAAGGCTGATGGGTTCGTTGCGCCTATAAGAGGCAGCAAGGGTCTCGAAGCAGTAGTAGCATTGAGCTGGAGTGGCCATCTTGATTTATGTGTAGAATGGCTCAGAGAGGGTCAAATTGCCACGTCTCTCGACAATTTGGTGTCAAGGCAGCAATAATGAGATTTAAGACGGTGTGTGAACGCGTGTTTGTTTCTGACAGCCAGGTGATCCAGTCACCAGGCAAGAACGCGGTGGCTGATGGGCTTAACGGGGCAAAACCCGGGCTAGAAGGCTACTTGCAGCAGGTCCAGAGTGGAATTGAGCAGAGTTAGACCGAGGAGTGACCAAAGAAGCCCACAGCGTACAGTCCAGTGCCTGGGAGACTGCGGAAGGCAGGAGAGGGGCAATGAGGGGAAGAAAGAGGGGGAAGATGCCCAGAGACCAGCCCAGGCGGCGATAAAGAGCGGCCACGTGATGGCACAGATGGGGCTGGCGGATCCCGTCTCGGGCTTATCGCGGAGAATCACTGAACAATTGGCAACTCTTCTTGGAAGCTCCGTGGGTGCCTCGGCCCCAGCGGCCTCTTATGACATCAGGTTCAGGACGCTTCACATCCAGACCCAAGTGTCTAACAAAAGTCTAAATGATTGGCTCGTTGCATGTGGGCAACCTTTCCGCCAATAAGGACCTTGGGCCGGATATTATATCTACCTGGTAAGGAAGAACCATTCCTCAATCGCCGTGTGGGCTTCAGGCATAGCTGATCTGGCAGGAGTAGCTCACATCTTGAGAGCAAGACATCGAGTGAAACCTCTTCCTCCGCTTTTAATGACATCATAGGAGAGTTGCAGAAGGCACAAGTGTCGTGTCTTGAATAATGAGATGAGAATCTGGTACTGGAATATATACCGAGGAAGGTTGTCCCCGGGATTATCCGTAACCTTATTCCATCTGCTCGATATACAGCAGACAGTGCTACATCGGAAGCTGCTGGTTACTCCACAAGACCGGGGGCATGCTCCCTTGGACTCTCGCTGATTAGTTTCCGGGTCATTCTTCTTTCTCATATCGACCGCCAGGTGTTGTGAGTGAGAATCGTGCAAGTAGAAGAGCCTGGTTGGCTCTTCACAGCAGAGCGTGCATTGTGGACGCGGTGAACTATAACACTCAACACAGTCACGCAAAAGTGGCCCATCTTGATAGCGTCTCTGGCCTCGTAGGCCCCTAAGTTTAAGACGCTGCCGGTTGAGGAAAGTGACGTACAATTATCTGGCTTCCGCGTCAAGCCATCAAAGGCTCGAGGTTTGCTGTTTGCACAAAGCAAGATCAATGTAATGTTGCAAAACTATCGTTGCAGTCTCATCGGTGGCGATCGTCCTTGGGCATGGCCAAGTTCATCATTGAAAGCATGTTTCCGGCTGGACCTGCGGTACCAGCCTGTCCCTGAAGACTTTCGAGGAGATTCTTCGCGAAGTTGATGTCGATGTCTTCCTCTTCGAGCTCAGGCATATCTCCGTCCTCCCCTTCACCCGACTTTCCGTCGGCTAAAGCCTGCTTGTCACCCAATGCCTTGGCCTTGCGATTGAGGTCGAGAACTCCTGTGCCTCTCAGCTCTGCCTCCATTTGCTTCGACAGCTCCTTGATCTGCTCCGTGTCATCCTCGGATTCGCTGTCCAGCTCTTCCACTCGACTACGCGACGCTGAAGGCCGAGACGATCCCTGAAGACCGGCCTTTGAAGGCATCCCCATCATCTCCTTCATCATCCTGGAAAATTCCTCCTCATCGAAAGAAGCATCTTTATCCTCACCATCGCTGCTCATCTCCTCCTCGTCGTCAGTGTCGGAATCATAGTCGTCAATGAATTCCGCTCCTTCAAAGCCGGCCGAATCATCGTTCAAGAACTTCTCGAATTGAGCCACGATACGCTGCAGATTCTCTTGGGCGTTCGCATCCCCAAAGGTCCCTTCGGCGAGGGGTTCACCATCTTTGCCCTTTCCTTTCCCCTTGAGCTCCCGATCCAAGTCCTCGAAGCTTATGTCCAACCACTTCTCGTCGTCCTCCCTCCTATCCCAAGTCTCCATTTCCTTATCTGTAGGAAGTTGTTCATCGCCAGTGTCCAGATCTTCGAGAATGAGATTCATTTCTCTAACAGCCGCCTTGTCTTGATTCTGAGGATCCGTGAGAAGCATCTCAAATCCGCAAGCCAGCTTCATTCCTATCTCCGCCCGATCATATACTTTCTGGTTGTCAGTGGAAGGTAAATTATCGTTCCACGACTTCGGGACCGGGAAATCTTGACTCTTGAGCTGTGCGTATCCGACCCGAGTGAAGCGGACGCTCGCGGTGACAAAATCCTCAGGCTTGAAGATGAAGCTGTTGGAGTCCTTCGTTCGAAGCGGCCGTAGCGCGATGGGGTCTCGTAGGTAAAAGGCTTCGACAGCGGCGGAGATGTATGCTGGCTTCTGATGGAGCAGAAAAGCGACTTTGCGCGGGATAATCACGAGTGCGGAGTGAAGATTCTCGTTGATCTGATTCGGATAATTGCGCAAGCGATAGAATGCCTCCTCCTGGATAATGGTGGAACGCATAAGGCGTTCTGGCTCCTCCGAGATGATCTTCTTTGCATCCGATAGTGATATTTTCTCCGTCACTCGGTCCTTTTTATCCGCTTTCGGCTTAATGATGACCAGTTGGCCTTGATTGATCCACACCTGGAGAAGGTGAGTATACAAGGCAAGATACCAATGAAGGTTGGGGGATGACTGACTCTGTTGTCTGCTACCTCAGGTTCCAACCAAGCTGGCAATGTGGCGGCAGCCTCCACGAGCAGGAATTGACCGTCTCCATCTACCGCTTTAGCCCAGACATTATTGTGCTTCTTGGTCAACTCGCGCAACAAGTACACGATCACCCATTCATCCTCGATCGAATCTCCGAAGTTGGTGCGCCCATGCAACGAGGTGACTCCTAGGTATCCATCAGTAACCGCAAGAACTATTTGTAGAACTATTTGTATATGGGGGAGCTCCGCGCACCGTCATCTTTTGTAATTTCCAGTCGGAAGCTTTCCCGCTGCCAGATATGATCCTTCAGCAGATCCTTCACCAGTTCTGCAGACGTGCGTTGAACCTCCACCAGTCGCGCCCGCGTTTCTGCGACTTCATCGACGATAGCGGGGGCGGGGCTGGTAGGGATATAGTAGAGAGAATAGTCGACGCTATCGTCGGGGAGTTCCGGCTTGGGGATGGGGCGAAAAGTGGACTTGAACCACTCCAGATCTTCCTCCGACATGGGCACCATGATGTGAATTTCCGCGGCAAGCAAGCGATCGGACTGGTTGTGGCTGGCTGCAAGAAGTCCCGCGAAAAAAAAAGAGCACCCGGCGAGGCAAATAAATTACGGCATGACTTCATACTGAACGAGACGCGGCGGATGGCTTGGCCGAGCCCCGTGACTGGGCGCTAGGCCGGGTTGGGCTAGATGTCAACAAGAACGAGGGCTCGCCGTCTCACCGCCCAAAACACGTCCCAAGGCAAGCCCGTATCGCATCGCATCGGATGCTACCTTAAGTACTTCCGCCGCGTTCCCCCCGATTTTCTGCGGCGTTGTTGGCGATGGTCACCCGTTGAATGGCCTTCGCACCTTCCCTCCAAACATTAACACCAGTTCCCAGTACACTGGCCCCCGTGCCCCTTGTCGACCATGGCGTACCCGTACATCGACACGCCGCGCACCGAAATCGACGGAAACGCGACTTACCTGACCGGCTATCGCAGCGTCGGACGGCCCAACTTGACGGCCCTCGACTCGGTGGAAAATTCCTTTGCTACGCCATCTAAGGATGATGACGTTCTCAAGGGGTTTGGTGAGGGTCGAAGGCGTACTTCTGGCAGTTTCAAGATCAACACCCCCCGTGCCGGCTCCGGTCCCAAATCGACGAGGAGCGCGTTAAATAGTCGACATCAGCTTCCCACTGCACCACTTGCAAAGGGCGAATTCACACCGCTCATGAGAAGTGCAACGAAAAATAATTTCCTCAAAAACATGTCTACAACGCGCGGACCGAAGACCCCGGGATATATAGGAAGGAGCTATTTGAGCAATGGCAACACGCCTGGCTTGCCTGGCATGGAAATGACCGATATCGATGAGGAGGACGCAACAGATGATCAGACTACCCCTGTCCCGCAGGTTGCAAGCAGCAGTGTGCAGAGCACACCTCTTCCAGGGTTGTCCAGGAATGGTGGCGTCCTCAACGAGGGCAATAATATGACTCTGAAGGAACAAGAGAAGGTAAAGTTTATTCCATATTTTGAGACTTCACAAAGGTTGCTGACGACAGTAGATGATCGATCAATTGGACAAGGATAACTTCGGTCTAAAATTGAAGATTCACTTCTTACAGGAGCAACTAGAGAAAGCCGGCCCCGCCTATAATCAAGCAGCGCTTAAGGAAAACACGGAGCTAAAGGTCTCGAAATTAACGATGCAACGCGATATCTCACGCTATAAAAAGAACCTGCAACAAGCCGAACGCGACCTCGAATCATATCGCATACAATTTCAAGAGCTCAGGGAGAAAGCGCGGGGAAGACCTACGGACGATACGATACAGCGGGAGATGGACTTGATGCGGGAGGAAATAGAAGCGAGAGACAATCAGGTCAGGGAGCTCCAGGAGGAATTGAGAGATGCCAGGGATAGCCAGTCTCAAGAGATTGAGAAACTTCGAGACGAAATTGAGGACCTCGAGGCATCTGTGAGGGAGCGCGATCGGGCCCTCGAGGAACGCGACGAGGAGATCGAGGAGCTGAAGGACAGGGACGGCAAAGAACGCGATGCACTCACTGAGCTGGAATCAGAATTGCAACGTGCGAAGGAACAAATGGACGAGCTACAAGAGTCGCTTGACCAGGCCAAGTCGGAGGCACGAGAAGCGAGGGATGCCGCAGGCCAAGCTGTGATGGAGAAAGATCAGGCTCAAAAAGATCTCCAGGAGTTGCATGACGAGATGGCGAACAAGTCCATCAGTACAAGTGGGCTGACTCGTCAGCTAGAGGAAAAGGCTATGAAGTTAGAGGAGGAACTTCATGAACTCCAGCAAGAGAACAACACGCTGAAGAAGAATCTCGAGGCCCGGTCCCGCGACGAAACCCGGCTGGACGAGCAATACCAGGAAGCTCAGCGGAAAATGGAAGAGGCGGAGCGAAGGCTTCTAGACGATGTTGCGCAGGCAAGGCGCGAACGTGACTTAGCTCGACAGGAATGTGACAAGACATCCGCCCAGTTACAGGAGGCTCTTGATGAAGTCCAACGCAAAGCCGATGAGAAAGAACTTCTGCAAACCCGACACCATGCATTGACGGATGAGTCTGGTGGCCTGCAGCACGAGTTGGCCAGAGCCCAGGCTAAGATAAAGGACCTACAGCAGACAGTCGAGGAAGAGAAGCACCATGCACTAGATAGTGCGAATACTGTTCGTACTCACTATAAGGAAGAGCTTGAGAGACTGCAGGAAGAGATCGAGTCTCTCCATCACGAAATTGAAGATAAGGAGGGTCAATTCGCTCTCGAGCAAGACAGGTGGGAGAGCACCCGACGCACCTTGCAACTCCAGAAGGACAGAGCGGAAGACCAGGCAGCTGGGTTCAAGCGCACCATTGAGAAACTTGAACAAGTAGAGCATACTCTGTCAGGAAAGGAAATGAAACTGCAAGAGGTCATCGATAGCGAAAAATCACGACACTTCAACTCGGAGGCTGTTCTGAGCCGACAGGTCAAAGAATTGAACGATGATCTGACATCGAAGCGAGAGATAATTGATGAGCAGCGTAACGAGGTTCTTTCCCTTAAAGAAGAATTGAGGCTTGTCAGACGCTCCGAGGCGGCTCTCAGGGAGAAGATGCAGGCTCTGGAGGACGAGGTTGTCGTCTTACAGTCGAGCTTGGAGGAAGAACAGGAGTACACCAAGGGTCGATCGCAAAAAGGATCCACCGAACACGATGGTCAAATTCAGAAGCTTATCACGGAGAAGCAGAGACTTCGTGACCAGCTTGCCAATGCACACGTTGAATTGCACGATCTACGGACGTCTGCTGCTGAAATTGAGGCCGAACGCGATGAGCTTCAGGCCCAACTCGATCAAGTGCAAAACCAAGTTGACGATACCACACGGTTCGACAAGGAGAAAGTTGAGCTCCGGAAATCCACATTGCGGCTCGAAGGTGAGCTCAGGCGGCTTAAGGAAGACAAATCGTCCTTGTTGGAAGCAAAGGAGACTCTTGAAAAGCAACTCAGCACTGAAATTGAGCGGGCTACCCTGGAAGAGAACCGCCTATCGGCTGAAATCGACCAGCTTCAAGATAAAATGCACATGTCTTCAGGTGGAAGGGATCGCGAGCTGGCATTGTCAAAGAGCAAGATCCAACGACTTGAAAGACGCATACAGGAGCTCGAAACCCTTTTACACCAGCAGCCGCATACTGATAACGAGCACTCGACCGCGAACGCAGACCTTTCAATGCTCCGTCATAGCTTAGAAGAGGCACGGAAGCGCGAGAAGACGTTGCTCCAGCGCGAAGCCGACCAAAAGTCGTCCGTTCGCACCTCCAAGGCGCGGATCGCTGAACTTGAAAGAGAACTGCACGATACTATGATGAACAGATACGAAACCCGCTCACCCTCCTCGTCTCCCTCCAACAAACTCCATGATGAGCTCCGGAGCTTACGGAAACAGCTGTCCGACGCACACCGTACGCTACGAGAAGTAAAATCGAAGAACCGTGATCTTGAGCGAGCGGCGATGAGAGAAGAGGACCAGCGGGACCTTCACGAGCTGCTCAAATCATCCACGCTTGAGGCGGAATCCCTAGCACTCAAGGTATCGGAACGAGATGCCCGGATGAACGAGCTGAAGGCCCAAATGCGCAGAATCCGTGACGAGCGGTCATTCTGTGCAAGGAAGGCAGAGGCAGCGCTCAAGGAGCTCGAAGCCCTTCAAGACCGGTATGATCATCTCGTCGAGAAGATGGGGGCCAGGACAGAGAACAGCAAAACCAGACACGAGAAGGAAATTTTGGGTCTAGGCAAGGAAATTATCTGGCTTCGTGCGCGCATGAAGCGCGAGGAGAAGTTCCGCCGTGACTTGGCTTGGAGTAAGGGCTTGATGGAACTGGGCGAGCGTGTCCGGGTTGCTTGGTTCGTTGCCCTTGATATTACCTATTCTTTCCGTTGTATGGTTATACTAACATTCTTCTAACAGCAACGAAGCCGACCTCCGCATGATCTCCGACATGGGCGTCAAGCCCCGTGATCGCAACAAGCTCCGCACCCCCCAAGCGAAGCTCAAGACCGCAGTCTCCATGGTCAAGGCCATCGTTCGAATGCAACGAATGTCCCAAGACTGGAAGAAGACGAAGAAGCTTGGCGAGGGTCTCAAACGAGCAAAGAACGAGGTGCTGAAGAGGAGAGACGCTTCCCACAGCAAGAATTGATCACTTTCCCATCTAGAGTCTTATATCGAGCCTCTTTCTCTTTTTTGCTCTCGGAGGCTCCTTCCGTTACCTTTCAATGATCTTGAATTTCCTTTTTGGGTTTGTTGAGAAGATTCCCCGGCGTGTTTGATGGATGTCTTTGGGCGTTTGTTCTAGGTTGGATCAGATGGTTTGTCCTCGGTACTGTACCTACTACTACACTGCGTGCCTACTTGCTTAGTTGAGCTATGGGAGAATGATCCCTTACACACATATACGTTTATTCTTAGTGTTGTGGTTTGGATGGTTAGTTTGAATGGTTGATGAGATATGTCTGTGTCTATGTTGGCGTTGGAGGGTTTCGTGTTGTTGGATTGCTTGTAGTTTGGAATCAACCTGGTTTTACGTCATGAGTGTATAACTACAAGAAACTCGAATGCTATACGCATCCATCATACATTGCGAGCAAACTCTAGAGGTAGAAATTAAGTTCAACTGACATTCACACCAAGTCATGTAGTAAACAGAAACTATAACGCCTCGCCTTGCCGCACAATGATAACGTTCCTAACACCAGGTCGAGGGTGAAAGGGAGAGGGGAAATGAGTAGTGGAAAGCGTTAGTAAGTCGGAGGGAGCAAGGGTGTATGTATAGATAGAGAGATAGAAGAAGTAGAAGCAGCGCGGGGGGTCGTTCCATTCGTTCGTCCAATTCGACAGCCGGTCAAAGGCTGGTACCTAACCAAGATGGGAGTGTGGAAAATCATGAGGTTTTAGCTGTAGCTTGACTCTATTGAGGTTGAGGTTGGGTTCTGATTCGTGGCGAGGTATTGGGGGGGGGTTTCTTTCTAGAAGGGTTTGTTTAGGCACCCTCGCTGCCGAATTCCTTGGTCCATTCAGAGTTTCGTTGCAGGTCTTCTTGGCTGACGGTTGGTCGGGAGTTGCGGACAGCCTTGATGAAGTCTTTCAGGATGAGCGGGGGCTCCAGGAGCTGTTCGGCTTCGACAGTCGTCCATGACATTTCCATTGCGCCCTGGTCGCCCGGCGAGCAGGGAGTCAACTTTTCGGCGCCCTCCAAGATGACCTTCGTTCGGGTTAGAGGCAATTTCTTATGTTGGTACATTAGGGATGAGTGGGGCTTACCTTTTTGTAGTGCGTTGCTGTTTGGATCTTGCGGATTGGTTGCATCAGGGCATCCTGGACAGCAATGCTGATATCGCTACCGGAGTAGCCCTCGCTCATCTCTGCCAGAGTTCGGTAGTCGGCTTGCGTCAATTCGCAGGGCGTTGAGCCGACTGCTAGCATGAACATCTTCATTCGTGCGTTGATATCGGGGAGACTGATGTGGACTCTCCGCTGGAATCGACGACGAATGGCTGCATCCAGCTGCCAAGGGATATTCGTTGCGCCGAGAATCAGGACACCCTTTGAGTCTTTGCCAACACCGTCCATCTGAACCAGCAACTCCGTCTTGATACGACGAGATGCCTCCGATTCACCCTCCCCACGAGGACCGCAGAGGGCATCGACTTCATCAATGAAGATAATTGCTGGCTTGTTTTCTCGGGCCATGTTGAAGAGCTGTTTCACAAGTCTGCACGGCTATGTTAGGTCCGGAAACCAATGTCACAAATGAGCATAGTAAGCTCTGGCTAGCATACCTTTCACTCTCACCCATCCACTTCGACACCAAGTCACTACTGCTGACACTGAAGAATGTGCTGTTTGCTTCCGTCGCAACGGCCTTGGCGAGATATGACTTTCCGGTACCCGGAGGTCCATACAGGAGGATGCCCTTCCACGGTTGGCGTTTCCCCGTGAAGAGGTGTGGAAACTTGATGGGTAGAATAACCGCTTCTTTCAATGCCTCCTTTGCGCTCTCCAGACCCGCGACATCCTCCCACTGCACGTTGGGTTTGTCCGACAAGATAGCCCCAGCAAGGGCGGATCGTAGCTTCTTGGATTCGGCATCCTCACCATCCTCTTCCTGGTTTCTATATCAAACATCAGTAAGCAATGCCCCTGATCACAGTAATATGTTGAGCAATTGCAACAAGCACATACCCTCCCTTCCCACTTCCCTGCGCCACCTTGCCGTTAGCGCCAACCGCACTCGGCTTTTTTCGATTATCGAGGGAAGCTAGATGATTCTTGAGCTTCTCCGCACGATCCATATACTCGCCCGCCTTTGCGCGGATCATCTCCTTAGACTTGGGATTCTTCTCCCACTTGAGAGCCAGCATGAACAACTCCAGAGAGGAGTAGTACAGCTGATAAGCCTTCTCATACTCGCCCTCATTGTCGTGCTCGATGGCCTTCTTGACCGTGTCAATCGCCCTCCCTAGGAAGTCGGTATTGCTCATGTTGGAAGAATTTGACTCGTCACGGACCGATCGCCAGGATTGGACGCACGGAAGCAGGCAAGGATGAGGATCAAGGCGGGGAGCGAATGACGACGGACGGGTGCCTGGGTCGTCTGGGGCGTGGGACTAAGCTCGGATGCGGAGGGATAGGACTCAACAGTCGCAACACAATGTCGTAAGACAATTCAACGAAACAGGTTCTTTCGGAGGGGAATTCGGCTTTCTGGACTGGCGCAAGACTGAATGGGAGATGGGAATGGGGAAGGCCGAGAGGCACCAAAGGCGGGCGGCGGCCTTGTTTACCGGCTTTGGTTTTCTGCCGCTCCGCTCCTTTTTGCCCCTCCGATAACCCATTTCCCCGACGACCAACAACACCACTACCACCGTCTTTACAACCCCACGGCATCATGGCGGACGCACAGAAGCAGATGCAGGCTCTCACTGATGAGTTTCAGGCGTTGCAGACTGGTATGTTGATATGGAGCTTGAGAATGACCCCATGCGAGCTTACAGGCATCATCGACCTGGCTAGCTTGGCACTATGCGCACCATGAAAGCAAAGTACTGACGTATGTTCTATTAGAGCTCGATGGCCTTGTCGATGCGCGTCAGAAGCTCGAATCACAGCAGCAGGAAAACCTAGGTGTTCAGAAGGAATTCGATTCTCTTGATGACGAGGCGAACATCTACAAGTTGATCGGACCGGTTCTGCTGAAGCAAGACAAGAACGAGGCCTTGATGGCTGTCAAGGGTCGTCTCGAGTTTATTGAGAAGGAGATGTGCGCATTCTCCCCCCCCCCCCCCCCCCCCCCATCGAGTGCCAAATTGGAGCAAGAACTGATACCATGTGCAGCAAGCGGATTGAGGGACACATCCAGGAGAACCAGGACAAGGCTGATAACAAGCGCAGTGAGGTGAGCTTAAGCCATCGCTATAAGTCCTATGAAGTATAGTCTAACAGTTCAATCCAGATTGTCCAGTTCCAAACTCAACTCCAACAAGCGGCGGCTGCTTCTGCTTGAGCATAGACACATCACACCACCAGTACCATTGGTGGATGACGGTGCCTATCTTTTTTTCAAGCTAGGATGGCAAGATGTACTACGTGCTGGTGAATTTAAGCGCAGCCAATATGCCCGATGGGTCCCAGGCGATGATGAACGTCACCTCCGAGGTCATGCGGAAGAAGTCACCGATGATGAGGGGCTCACCAGTGGCGGAGCTACTTTGTGCGATGGGCCCCTGGGCCAACACAACAGGGTTAGGAGGCTCTAGGTACCCTTGTTAGTGATTGTTGCGAACATTTTAGATGACTATACAGATTTTGCGTAGTCAATCCGGCCCTCTGTGGACCCAGCATGGTTCCTACAATATGAGGATGCCGTACTTGATCGAAACATAATTGAATACATGTATGTAGTTCGGATGGAGCTTTGACACCTTCAAAAGTGTCTTGTGTATGAGATTGGAGACGTCTAATAAACCAAGCTATGTACTAAATCGCTTCAAGCTGCACCCCAGTATAGACACCGTAAATATTCATTTCTTCATTAATGGAACCGTATCCAGACAACACATGACATCTACTCTATACGCTAAATCTATGCCTTGACCAAAAGACTGCGTCCGGTCATCTCCTCGGGCTGTTCGATGCCCATGGCAGCAAGAACAGTGGGAGCAACATCTCCGAGGACACCCTCCTCCTTCTTGAGGCTCCAGCCCTCGGGGGCGTTGGCCATGACGAAAGGAACCTTGTTGGTGGTGTGGGAGGTCTTGGGGGTGCCCTTCTCAGTAAGCATCTCCTCGGCGTTTCTATGGGAGGAACAATGTCAGCGAACGCTTTATGCATATCAAGTTAGGAGTCGCAACTTACCCATGGTCGGCAGTGATGAACAGAGTGTAGCCGTGCTTCTTGCAGGCCTCGTAGATCACGCCAATTGCCTTGTCCGTGGCAGTAACACCCTGGATGGCAGCCTCGTAGACACCAGTGTGGCCAACCATGTCAGGGGGAGCGAAGTTGTTCATGACAAACTCAAAGTTGTCCTCGCCGATGCGCTCGGCGGTCTTGTCGCCGACAGCCGCCGCGCTCATCTTAGGGTCCAGGTCGTAGGTGGCAACCTTGGGGGACGGGATCATGTCACGGACCTCGCCGGGGAACTGCTTCTCGATGCCACCGTTGAAGAAGAAAGTAACGTGGGCGTATTTCTCAGTCTCCGCAACATGGCACTGCTTGACTTCCTTCTTGCCCAGCCACTCGGCCAGCACGTTACCCATGTGCTGAGGGGGGAAGGCAACGGGGAAGGTGTAGTCAGTCTTGTACTGGGTCATGGTAGTGATGTGGATGTTCTTGGGGTAAGGGAAGTCGGCCTTGGGGGAGCGGTCGTAGTCACCCAGCAGCTGAGTGATCTCACGAACACGGTCGGAACGGTAGTTGAAGAAGAAGAGGGTGTCATCATCTAGATCCCTGGTGAGTAATCCTAGTTTGGACTTTTAAGGACAAGGACGAACATACCCTGCACACGCCTCTCCTTGCCGCCAACAATGATGGGCTTCAGGAACTCGTCGGTCTCCTTGTTCTCGTAGCGTTCGTTAATGGTCTTGACGGGGTCGGAGCTCTCCTCGCCCTCTCCGGTGACGATACCCTTCATGGCAATCTCGACCCGGTCCCAGCGCTTGTCGCGGTCCATAGCCCAGTAACGTCCAACAACGGTGGCGATCTCACCAATACCAATCTCCTTGGTCTGGTCGAGCAGTTGCTGCATGTACTTGGTAGCACTCTTGGGCTCAGTATCACGACCATCACCGAAGAAGTGGATGAAGACCTGAGGGATCTCCATTTCCTTGGCGACCTTCAGCAGACCAACCAGGTGGGTGATGTTGGAATGGACACCACCGTCGGAAACCAGACCCAGCAGGTGCAGACGGCCATTGCCCTCCTTGGCACGCTTGAAGGACGTGACAATGCTGACCACCTTGTTCAACTCGCCCTTCTTGAGGGTCTGGTCAATGCGAACACTGTCCTGCCAGACGACACGGCCGGCACCGATGTTCAAGTGGCCAACCTCACTGTTGCCCATGAGACCCTCCGGCAGTCCGACAGCGAGCGACGAGGCATCGAGTTCAGTGTAGCCCTGAGCAGTCTTCGAGTCGGCCTCGGCAAAGCCGGACATGTAGGGGGTCTCGGCGGCAGCGATAGCATCGCCGTCAGCGCGGGAGTTAGGGCCCGCGACACCCCAGCCATCGATGACGACTAGACAGAGGAGGATCAGTGGATTGATCAGGGACGGGAAGCATCGAAAGATGTAGCTTACTGAGGACGACTTTCTGGTCAACCTTGGTCATTGTTGCAAGATACTGTGTTGTTGAACAACGCGGGTTAGCAGGTCAATTGCGGGGCCGAAAGTGGTCCAAGTATATATAGATAGTAGAAGCAGGAGGGGAACGGACAGGACTCACCAAGGATGGATGATTACGGATAAAAGGAGAATGGATGGAGGGAAAGAAAGAGGAGCAAGAGGAAAGAAGGAAAAGAGAGAAGACGAACAGGGCCGCAGTAGAAGACTAACTACTGACAGGTGGAGAACGAAAAGGCTGGCCGGTGAAGACACTCGCGGTGGGCTTTGGGGGAGGGGGAGGGGCTCCCGCTGCTTTTTGCTAGGGTTGCTGCTTTTTTTCCCGGTGACGCTTTGGGACTTGTTTTCTTTTCGCTCCGCCCGACGTCACCTTCTCGCCCTCCCTCCCGTTCTCGTCCGTTTCCCCCGGATCTTCCCTAAACAATTACCCAGTGGTCCGATCGTTCTTGTACCACGCGACCCATTCTCTTCTTCCACCTCTTTCTCGGCCTGTCTGCAGACCTGCCCTATTCGCAATGGCGTCCAGGTCGGCCACTCCCTTACCAAAGCCATCCGCCGCGCCCGAGACGCCTATGGTGAAGGATGCACCCGCAGCTCCCCAAGTCGTCCCTTTCCCTTCTCCGCAGACATTTGATATTGTCCCGCCATTGCATGGTCTCCTTCTCCGACTCTTGTCACCGCCAACAAATGCTGCCGGCGTCTCGAATGGCGTGAGATCTGCCGATGACCCGAACGGAGCTGTGGCCCCTACCAGCGCGTCAGGTCAATCTCAATCTCAACCCCATTCGTCCGCGATCGCGGGGGCCGAGAATAACAACAACACAGTGGTACTCGCGACGGTTCCCTCCGCCGGCCCAGGCCCCGTTCCCGCTGCCGCTGAGATTGCTGCTTTGGGCTCGAACGCTCCCCCACCGCTTGAAATCAAGGACCTTCCGACAGAGGCTAGCTCGATCAAGATCCGGATTCAAAAGGCGTATGCAGTGGTGGACAGCTTGCCGGATGTGGACCGTTCGGTTGCTGACCAGGAGGAGGAAATAAAGGAGCTTGAGAATCGGATTGCAAAGCTCAATTCAGTCATCTCCGACTTTGGCAAGAGGGCAAGACCCGAGAGTGCTAGAAAGCCGAAATTTCAGGGACCTTGAGGGTGGAGACGGCAGATGATGTGAATATGTGCATGCGATGGTGTCCGTTGCTCCGTGGCCGATCATGTTAGGTTTATGACAAGGATTTGGAGGTACAGTCGCTCAAAAGAGGGCCCAAACCACCTCCGCTTCGGACGAAATAAGAAATGGAAGTGTCGGGGTGGAAATCCGGGGAACAAATACTCATCGATTCGGTTGAGCAGGCCACTAGCTTTGCCCAACTCTCCTTTCCTCAGGATGCAGACGGACCTAAATGGCCCATACACTCAAGGCTTGAAATCCCATTGATGGTGAACCCAGGACACTGAAGCTTTTACGGGATTTTCTTGTCGGGTATTATTACCATGAGATCAGTACCATGGACAATAACTTGGCCGAAGGATACCATGCATCTTTTAGAGAAGAAACAGGCCTTGTGAGATTTCGGGATATCTCTGCTGTAGAAGCGGAATTCTTGGAGGGGTGTCTATCCGGTGGGATGTGTTCTCAAGCTGCTCTGACCCCTCCAAAGCCACCACGGTCCTCAGTGCGAGAAGCGGTCTTTCTGAGAGGCTGCATATGCTATTGAGGTAGCCATGGTGGGGCTGAACAATTCCAGGTCGAGGATATGGATCTGCGATCTGAAGCTACTAAGTCTTGGTGGAGTTGATGCTATGACTCATTGATCATTATAGCAATTAGCTCGGAACAGGACATTTTAGGATGAATGCAATGTGTGCTTTTCCTATAACAACGAGGATCTATAAACTCGAACCTATTCAGACGCGTACACAGTTCTAAGTTTCTTTCCGTGTAGAAGAAGAACTCTAAGCTGGAAAAGAGAGAGAGCCGTTGGAAGGGCAACTCTGTTTCATGGGTGGATTTGAAGCTTCACGCATCCTGATCAGCAGCAGTCCACCAATCGGAGCGGCGTTGGTAAGCTAAGCTGGATTGACTTTTTCTTGGAGTCTCCCGCCACCCGTTATATGAATTGTTTCAGACGTGATCCTGCTGGGGATTATTATCTGGGCAGGGTGTGAGTAATAGAGACCACTAAGTAAAAGCGTTTCCCCGAGCCGGTCGGGCTCCGATGTCGTCCCCCGGGCCCCGATGCGGTCAAGGCGGGCATTCCCCGTGACCGCCGCCAAACTCAGTCGGGACTAGTCCAGTCCAGGCGGGGTTCCTCTTTGCCATTCTGTCCTGAGGCAATCTTTTCCCTCCCCCACTTATCCCTAGCTTTTCCTCTTAATCCTCCTTCTTTCCTCCTCCCTCTCCCCTGCTTCTTCTTTTCGTTCCTCAACCTCATCGCTTTCTCTCTCCCTCCTTTCTTCCTCTTACATTCCCCTTGTCACACATCCTCACAATGGCCACCTACGCTCTCTCCCCCGCCCACCGGGACGTAAGTATACTCCGCTGCACCTTTTCCGGCGTTTCTTTCATTCACCACTGACTCATCTATCCAGCAAATGGAGGTCTCCCTCGTGGACAGCGATCCCGAGATCGCCCAGATCATGGTACGTTCAGCATCCTATTCTTTAAGGGTATTAGTTCAATGGTATCTAACTGTCCGCCTACAGGAGAAGGAAATTCAGCGTCAGCGTGAATCCATCGTCCTGATCGCCTCCGAGAACTTCACCTCCCACGCTGTCTTCGATGCCCTGGGTTCCCCCATGTGCAACAAGTACTCCGAGGGTTACCCCGGTGCTCGCTACTACGGTGGCAACCAGCACATCGATGCCGTTGAGCTTACCTGCCAGGCTCGTGCCCTCAAGGCCTTCAACCTTGACCCCGCCAAGTGGGGTGTCAACGTGCAGTGCCTCAGTGGTAGCCCTGCCAACCTTCAGGTCTACCAGGCCCTCATGCGCCCTCATGACCGCCTCATGGGTCTGGACCTCCCCCACGGAGGCCATCTGAGTCACGGTTACCAGACTCCCGCCAAGAAGTAAGTTGCTCCTTGCACTCGTGGCAAAAAAAAAAGAAAAAAAGTGGCAGTCGCTAACTCTAAGCTCCTCAGGATCTCCGCTGTCTCTACCTACTTCGAGACCCTCCCCTACCGTGTCAACCTCGAGACCGGCATCATTGACTACGATACCCTGGAGGCCAACGCTGAGCTGTACCGCCCCAAGTGCTTGGTCGCTGGTACCTCTGCCTACTGCCGCCTGATTGACTACGCTCGTATGCGTAAGATCGCTGACAAGGTCGGCGCCTACCTCATTGTCGACATGGCTCACATCTCCGGTCTGATTGCTGCCGGTGTCATCCCCTCCCCCTTCGAGTACGCCGACGTTGTCACTACCACCACCCACAAGTCCCTCCGTGGTCCCCGTGGTGCCATGATCTTCTTCCGCAAGGGTGTCCGCAGCACCGACCCCAAGACCGGCAAGGACATCCTGTATGACCTTGAGAACCCCATTAACTTCTCCGTCTTCCCTGGTCACCAGGGTGGTCCCCACAACCACACCATCACTGCTCTTGCTGTTGCCCTCAAGCAGGCTGCTTCCCCCGAGTTCAAGCAGTACCAGGAGCAGGTCATCAAGAACGCCAAGGCTCTTGAGAACGAGTTCAAGGCTCTGGGCCACAAGCTCGTCTCTGACGGTACCGACAGCCACATGGTCCTTGTCGACCTCCGCCAGAAGAGCCTGGACGGTGCTCGTGTTGAGGCTGTCCTGGAGCAGATCAACATTGCTTGCAACAAGAACTCCATCCCCGGTGACAAGTCTGCTTTGACCCCCTGCGGTATCCGTATCGGTGCCCCTGCCATGACCACCCGTGGTATGGGTGAGGAGGACTTCAAACGCATTGCCCGCTACATTGACCAGTCCATTAACCTCTGCAAGAAGGTCCAGGGCGAGCTCCCCAAGGAGGCTAACAAGCTCAAGGACTTCAAGGCCAAGGTTGCCTCCGAGTCCGTCCCTGAGATCCTTGCCCTCCGCCAGGAGGTCGCTCAGTGGGCCAGCACCTTCCCCCTTCCCGTCTAAGTTAGTCGGTCGGGTGATTTCGATATGATACCATAACATTGCTTTTCGTTTTATTTGTTTTCGGTCACGAGTTCAACATCATTGCGTGCAAAAAAGGGTTGCCGGTGCGTTCTAAGGGGTTTATACAGGTCTGCTTTTTCAACCTTACGCGGGTCATGGGATATGGATATGCATGAGCATGTGAATGAACAATAGCACTGGGATGGCTTCTTCAACACTTCTTCAACAGGGCAGGAAAAGTTCGTGGTTGCATGGAGGCTTACATGCCTGGTTGTTAGTCTACCTACTTATAGGTACTATGAACTAAATAGAAAAATAATAATTCCTGAGACGTCTTGAATGTAGCTGTGCCTTTCCGTAACATTTTAGGATAATGTTTCTTATAATTATATCTTCATTACACCACTCATGGCATATAATCTGAATGGGAGTGTGCATTCACAGTTCAATCATCTCGCCACGGAACGAATCTGCCCATTCCTCCTTTCGGTTGTCATTCTGGGCCTGCCAGTCCCTAGACATTAAAGCAGCTACATTCCTACCCATCAAAGCGCTCGTCTCCATTGTGGAGATGAGGCTCTCGATTCCACCCGTATACCAGATATGTGGGGCAAGGAGCGGGTCTTCGAACGTAACTCGAGGATAGACGAACGGGTACGGACGCCAGATCTTCTCGTGGAACCAGCTTATATCACGCTTAGAGAGATCGCCGATGGTGGTGTTGCGGTTGGGTGTCTGCTCGTGCTCGAGGCCGAGAATTGATTGTACGAAATCGGCTGTTAGTCGCTCTGGAGAGAAGACCTTGTAGACGTAGTGCGTCCCTTCAGTTGGGTCAGGCGCAACGACTGTTCGGAGAGTACTGATACTCCAGAATCCGGCTGGGCCGACGCCTTCTTCGTTTTGGCCTAGGTCTGTCCCGTGAGGCAAGGTGGTGAGAATTGTCTCTGGAGTGTGGGCATCGGGTTCTGTTAAGCCGAAGCGTTTAGGCGAAAGGCGATGGGGAGAGGAGAAGAGGGTGACGTGTAGTGTCACAAAGGGAATCTCATCAGGGGTTTTCTTGAGTGGTGGAGTGACGGTGATGTCGGAGAATTGCCAGGGACCGGCGACGACGACCTCGTCAAAGTCGAGTGTCTCTTCTGGCTTGTTATTTGCGCTGAAGGTTAGTTTTGAGGGGCCGTTGACATTCCAGTCAACGGATGTAACTGTGTGGTTTAGACGAATGTCAGCGTGGGAGGATTTGAGCATTCCATCAAATATGAGCCAGTTTCCCCCTTCAACGGACATTGCACCCTCAGTGGCCATGCAAACCATTGTCTCGAGGCCGTGGATCAGACCCAGATTCTGACCGTAGTTTACACGGGTGCTTGCTTGGATGACTTCACGAGAGAAGTCGGGTGATACGGAGTTCTTCTGGAGGAAAGTCTCTCCAGAGACAGCGGTTGTGTTGAGCAGCCCTACCGATTCCGTAGCCAAGGTGAGGGATTGGAAGGGGAAGATGGGTTCGTCGTAGAGTTGGAGGAAATTGTTGACAGTTGACTTCATCAAGCGATAGGTCCGGATCGGGGACCATCCGTACCTCCAAATCATCTTTGCAACATTCCACCAGGTGGAGGCGTCCTTCAGCACGAATACGAACTGTTCCCCGTCCCAGACGCCGAGAGTGTCTTCTGTTTCTTGGGGCTGGGCATGGCTGGCTCTGTTAACATGAAGGCCAAGTTCTTTGGATGCGTTGACAAGGTGATGGTTGACTTCGACGAAGATTGATGCCCCCAGCTCGACTGGAATTGCTGGGTTGTCAAGGACATTGACTGTTGTTGAGCGGCCGCCGACGTAGGAAGAGCGTTCGAAGACGGTGATGTTGACGGGGATTTGCGAGGCATCTGCATACTTGCGCAGAGAATATGCGGCGCTGGATCCTGCAGCTCCAGCTCCTATTCAAGTGTCAGCTGTAAGACCTGGGACAGCATGGGGAGTCTCACCGATCACGGCGACCCTCTTGGGTGGCGTGATGTCCAAGGGGCCCAGTGGGTGCTGTTCGGCAGCATTGCTGAGAGGGAAGAGACACAGAACAATAAGGTAGTATACTACATGGGCATGAAGAGAGTACCAAAAGTATTTGGAGCTAGAAAAGAGATCCATGGATATTGGAGTGTGAAGTGATTGCTTTCAGTTATCAGTGCTAGGATGGAATGCTATCGACAGTGAGCTCGAAGACCGCTTCTTCGCTGCTAGAAAATCTCAAGGCCACGACACCATGCTCAATCGCCTCTTACGTAGATGGCTGAGATGAGACAGGTCTAGAATTGAGCGAGGCAAGAGGATGTTTGGGAGAGTTGAGGTGACGATGGTTGGAGAGATGGCGCGATGGAGGGAACCTCGTATCGATACCGCCAGTACTGCCCTAGTCCCCATGCGGGCTAGTGGATTCTGGGGCGTATCGCATCCATCTTTTTTTCCGCTCGCTTTCCCCTCCATCGCAGGATTCCCCGCTGTTGCTGCGCAAAGAACTCTTCTCCCAGGTGGTTTTAAACCCTCGCCGTGATTTGCCTCGTTCCACCTAGTCAAAAACCAGTGTCATCACCATGGATCCCTATGACAGCGACTCCTCCGGCTCCGAAGACGAGGACTTTACTGAGACCAGCGTGCTGCTTGGCTACGCAGCAGACGAGATTGTAGAGGATACCATCAGCCATCTGGGAGGCTGGCCTGTACGTGCGATTTTCAACCACCAATTTTTACAATCCAAACTTGCACTCACTATTTTACCCTCAGACCTGGCTCGACGATGCTACCCCGCCTCCCGGCGACTTTGCCAAATGCAAAGTCTGCAACCAACCCATGCTCCTCCTCCTCGAACTCCACGGAGACCTCCCCAATGACTTTCCCCATGATGAACGGCGACTCTATATCTTCTCCTGCCCCAGAAAGGCCTGCAATCGCAAGCTAGGCAGTATCCGGGGTCTGCGCGCTACCCGAAAGCTGAAGATCGAGCAGCCGCCTCGGCAGAAGGAGGAGAAGCCAGAACCCATGGAGGAGAAGAAGGCCGACCCTCCGGTTCCCAAGCAGGATCTTGGAGCTAGTCTGTTCGGTTCTGCCTCTCTCACAGGCAGTATCTCCGCCAGCGCGAACCCTTTCTCGTCCGGTACCTCCTCCGCACTCCCCAGCAACCCATTCGCTGCCCCGGCTCCCTCCCCGGGCCTTTCATCGCAACCCGCCAAACCCGCAAAGGCGACACCTCCGTCGACAAATACACTCTCCGAAACCTTCGCCGACAAGGTCCGAGTTTCCTCCCCACCCCCGACAACCCAGGCCCCCGAAGACTCCGGCCCGAGTGCTCCCTGGCCCTCGCAGTCCGAGTTCCCAGCACCCTATACACAATTCTATCTGGATGCCGAGTACGAGGCCATGTCGCGGCCATCTACGCCCACGATCCCCGCCAATGTCACAATTGATAACACTGAGGAGGAAGGTGCTGGTGGCTCCGTGGAGTTGAAGGATGCCTTTGAGTCTGAGCTGGACAAGGCATTCATCCGCTTCTCAACCCGACTAGGCCACAACCCGGAGCAGGTCCTGCGATATGAATTCCGTGGAACTCCGCTGCTCTACTCCCACACTGACGCTATTGGAAAGCGTTTCCATGACCCGAAGGGCCCTAACCCTGGTGCTCGGGTGACGACCGTTGCTGCTGCGAACCGTATTCCCCGGTGCGAGTATTGCGGTAGCGAGCGTGTGTTTGAATTCCAACTCGTGCCACACGCGATCAGCGTGCTTGAGGACGGAAGAGACGGCGTCGGTCTCGGCTCCAAGGATGATGCCGGTATGGAATGGGGCACCATCATCCTGGGTGTCTGCAGCAAGGACTGCGGTCCCAAGGAAGTGGGCGTGGTCGGATACCGTGAGGAATGGGCCGGTGTGCAGTGGGAGGAACCCACAAAATAGATACGATGGTTTACGCTTTACCATAATGTTGATTTGATGTTGATGACCATATACATATACATAGACATGCGTTGAGCTTTTCGAATCAAAAGTCTATCCTATTTTTATCTTTACCTGGTCATGATCATCAAGTTGGTTTGCTTGGTGGTGGCACTGATTTTGCGTGTATACGAACATATGGATATCATGGGTGAAATTGCGTTATTTTCACGTGGAGAGAAATAAGGTGAGGATAATGGAGAAGGAAAGGAAGATGATGATGATAAAAACAACCTAGTCATGCAGAAGCAAAACTCAAAACGCCAATTGCGCCAGGTCCGGACTTCCCAACCCTCCCCATGCTGGTCTATCCCCCGTCATCATCATCTTTTTTTGGACTCCGAAGTGTTTTCGAAGCGGAACGATCATACTTCGTCCCGTTTTGCTTTTAGCGGTCGATCTCTTCTTCCAACAAACCGATACCGAAGTCTGGGTGGTTTTTGGAACCCCCCAGAGTTGATCGTTCGAGGCAAAATATTAGCAAGAATAGAAAAGGGAATCAAAGACGAGAAAGGCTGGTGCGATGGGCGGATATTTCTATCTCGCTCATGCGGCCTGCTCGAATCCCCGGCGGATGACACGGCCGAACATCTCGGCGTCGACACGCTCGCTCTTGACCTCGCTGCGGGCCTCGTTCTCTTTGTTGGTGGGCACCTTGATGACGGTGCCGTTGGGACCAGCCTTCTCAACCTCCCAGCTGCAGACCTCGGCGACGAACTTCTCGAGAGCCTCACGGCTGCGCAGGTCGAGCCACTGCTCCAGAACCTCGGCGGGGATCTCACGGAAGGTCTTGCCAACCTCGACGGCAATGCGGATGCGCACGAGCTCCTCAAATCCGGCAACGTCAGCAACCAGGTCGGCGTACAGGTCGTCCGAGTTCAGGGTGGACCAGAACTGGGTGTACTGGGCGGACTCGAGAAGGGTGGAGAGGCGCGCGAGCTTCTGGATGGACTCGACGAAGTCAGAGGTCTGGGCGGCGGCTTGGGCTTCGGCGTCAGAGGACTGGAAGGGCTGGGTGTGCGCGGGGAGCAGAGCAAGGCAAAGGGAGAAGGCGGGAGAAGGGAAGACGGTCAGGGCCTTGACGAGGATGTTGGTGACGACCTCGGGCTGGAGGAGGTGGGGGTTGAACTGGTAGCTGGTAGGAGGCGTGAGGGGGTTAGCACATTGTCAGATGAGAGGCATGTGCAATGGCTAGAAGATTGCATGGATGGCTTTATTTTCAGGAGAATTATAAGACTCGACATCCCCCAATATTAGGGTGTCAGGTAATAGGAAACGTGATAATGATAAGAATTCTTCATCATATAAAACCAAATCGGTTCCCCGCGTCGGAGCTCTTTCTTTTCGACTGATATAATCTGGGCTGGAGGAAGAGGCGCAAGCACTCACAGTTTCAGCAGGGCCAGGTTGGCGTAGCAGTCGAAGGTGCGGTCCTCACACTGCTGGGCGACATAATCCTGGAAGACAGTGGTGGTCTCGGGGTTGTAGCGGTCCAGGCCGTTCAGGATGACATCGATGTTGGCCGGGCGGGTCTCGCACTTGTCGAAGGTGACACCCATTTTGACGGAGGAGGGATGATTGAGGAGTCGGGGAAGAGGGGGAAGCGAGAGTGGAGGAGGAGGAGGAGGAGAGGAAGGGAGGGGAAAGGAAGAGCAGCGGAATGGAGTCGAGCGGATTGTCACTTGGCCGGCCGGCTTTTGGTGGGATTTTTCGATTGTGTCGCTGTGCGGCTGCCGGCCATCGGATCCCCCCAACTCGGCTAGTTTGTCCGGCACGCCTGAGGCAGCACATCATTCAGTCATTGTGTTCCATTCATGCTGTTAATCCATCCCCGGTAGACAGTCACGGTGTTGGGGGGTGTCCAGACTCTAGTAGATAGACAATATGGGGTGATCGTCTTGTCATATGATGGAAGGAAAGCACAGTTCAGCCCCTGAGCGAAAGGGATGCCCAACTCCCGGGGTCGTATCACTCCGGCCATGTAGGGAAAGGCCGTGTAGGGATTCCCCCGGTGGGTTTGGCCCGTGGTAGGGATAGCCCGCAGTAGGGATTCCCCGTATATAAGAAGATGGCAAGGCTACCGATCCTGTGGCGTTAGTGTCGATAATTGACATGCATAATAAAATAATCTCTTCTTTCCTCCAAGCCGACAGTCACAACATCAACGTTACCCTAACGATCCCTGGTATACATTTCCACGATGGATGTCGTGCTCGATATCGCCGACACCTTTGTCTTCGATCGAGTATATGCCTCGGTCCTGCCAGGCGGGAATAGTACCTCCGAGTTTGATATTCCAGTCCTCCTCAACCAACATGTCGGTCGTTACTATCCGCTCCAACCTTCTCAATGGGCGGATGCTAGCAGTTGGAAGCGAGATCACCTTCCAAGACAAGCAACGACCCTATTTTTCATCGGATGGTAGGTCGTACGAAACCATTCGAGTTCAGTCGGCCCACCCAGCTGACAACAACCCTGCTATTTGATAGGGCTTTCGCCATGGCCATATACTTCATCGGCAGCACTGTTTTCTACCACACATGGTGGGACAAGTCCCTCCTCAAACACCCCAAGTTCCTAAAGAACCAAATCCGTCTGGAAATAGAGCAAGCCCTCTTCTCCATCCCGATCATGTCTATCCTCACAGTTCCCTTCTTCCTGGCCGAGGTCCGGGGCTGGTCTAAGCTGTACGATCTCCCCAGCGAAGCTCCCTTTCCTGCGTACAACTGGCTCCAGTATCTATTCTTCCTGGCGTTCACGGATACGGGAATCTACTGGATTCATCGATATGAGCATCACCCATTGGTATATCGCTGGTTGCACAAGAGGCATCATAAGTGGCTGGTGCCGTCACCCTTTGCGAGTTTTGCCTTTAATCCGGTTGATGGATGGGCCCAGAGCGTCCCGTACCACGTATTCCCGTTGCTGTTTCCGTTGCAGAAGGGTGCGTATATAGGGCTGTTCATCATCGTGACACTGTGGACGGTTCTGATTCGTAAGTTATCCCCCCCTGTTGCATAGACTTGTCCTAATCGCAGATAGACGACGCGGACTGCCTTTCTCATTCCGCCATTATTAATGGCCCCGAATGCCACACCGTGCATCATCTGTTCTTCAACTATAATTACGGGCAGTTCACAACATTCTGGGATCGCGTGGGGGGAACTTATCGAAAAGCCCGCGGGGATGAGCTCAAAATGGTCAAGAACCAGTAGGACGGCTTTCGAGGCCAATTGTAAGATATCATGAGGAATTTTATCCCATAACTGTACATATCATTAGACATGACATATCTAATTATAGCCTCCCAGGGGCGTCAATATTCCGGATGAAGTCGTTCAAGTTCTCCAGATCATCAGTTGCAGCGTTCTCCAGATACCGAAAGTTCAAACCGCGCCCACTGGCGCGGTCAAGCGTAGCAGTCAGGAGCCACCAGAGTTCTTCGGCATGTTTGGGATACCCCAAGTGCTGTACTCTCTCCTTCTCCACAACACTGGAGATGGAATCCCAGATGCTTCGCCAATTCTCGGTGGCACGTTTGATCGGGTTCGTGGATACCCATCCAAACAAGCCCGTCCGTGCTTGAAAAGCAAGAGAGTGCATTGCTATTATGCTTAGCTCGATAATCATTGACGAAGTTGAAAGGCTACACATACCGTACATCAGAATCAACAGATGCTCGCCTACTAGTGAGCGACTCCATTGAATCAAGTCTTCAGAGGCGTTCTCATTGAGCAAGCGCGTGACGAATTCCCTCAAAGAAGGAAGCGAACGCTCCGTCGAAGAGGCGATCTCATTGAAAGTGGAAGCATTCTCGGCTTCGAAATGTGCGGACCCCAAGGGAAAATCGCAGTCCATCTCGAAAATTGACAGTATAGGGTGGTTATTGAAACAAACTGTGAGGAATCCGTCCGCGAGGAAAGCCCAACAGGCGATTCTGACTTGTGAGAGGTGTTCATCTTACTTATCAGACAGGGACATACCTGATACGAACTTCCTCTGCTATTGCTGCTTTCCAGGTTTCGTCGTCACATATGTCGGGATTCACGATCCTCTTAGATTGAAAGATCCCCAAGGACCGTATTGTAGAGATGACACAAGGGTGTCTAATTATACGAATGCGTCGCCTAGTGCCCGTTTCACCTTGTCCAAACTGAAGCATCTCGATTATCAGAGCTCCTTGGATTATTTCCAACGAGGGTACCAAATTTGGAGGACCATTGGGATAGGGTGTTGTCGATAAATTGGCTAGCTGACGAAAGATGTACTCTTCAGCTACGTCAAGTATCCCGCTGGCAAGGATTGGGCCGTCGTGCGACGTAGCGTACGTTGCTCCGGACAAAAATATTGCTAGAAGAAGTGGATTCGAAACTTTTCCGGGATCGAATGTCGGAAAGTGTACAATCGGAAGATGCCAATGGAGGGACTGGAAAAATGCTGAGATGAAGACGGAAAGGTTGGAAGTTGTGAATAGCGAGGCCAGGCCCGCCACATCCAGCGTCTGCTGGCTCGCGTTAGCTAGATCCATGGAGTTTGACGTTTCGACCAAATTGATCATGATGTGGCTGAGTTTATCGGAGATTCTAGAGGAGAATGCACTTTCAGGTAGAAACTCCATAGACAGAGGTCCACTCGGTATGGGAAGAGACTGGAGGAACAGGTCAGCGACTGAAAAGCCTGGCATATAGTTGGAGTCGATAGGCAGGAGTGGCTCGTCTTGGAAGTATAGCGGGTCAAGACTTCTCCTCGTAGAACGTTTTGCTGTCTCTGCAATTGCGAGCTTGTCTTGTTTGACTGAAGGATCGGAGAAGTGTGCAAGGAAGGAGAACGGCTCTTCTGCCCTTTGCGTCTGTGACAGAGACGTAGAGGGTGAGCCCGGTGAGCAGGTCTCTGTGGAAGGGGTCGATCGATCCCCAAAGGAACACTGCTTCCCGAGAGACTGGCAACGAGAGCATGGGGAGACTCTGTCACAGGCGGCTTTTGCAGAGAAGCATTCATCACAGGACTGCTTTTTCCGCCCAGGTTTAGCTGCTGCTGGAGGAGGCTGATTGTGCTTTCTGGCACATGTTTTACTATGTCTTCGTGCAACCTCTCTGTACGTATGTCAGTGATCCCACACTCCTCATGACTGGCTGGTTGCCGCCTACTTTTTCAAGAAGGTTTTGTTGCAAAAGGGGCAGCTTGAATAGGAGGCACCGGTATCTGTCGGCTGTCAGCCTAGTACCCCTTAGGGGTGCGCTCAGAATCCTGACGTGTCACCTCATGTCGGAGTAAATGACTCTTTCGCTGATAGGACTTGTTGCACTGCGAGCACTGAAACATGATGCTGTGGCCATGCTGTCGCTCTGATGGGCGAAGATGGAAGGATGACGAGGATCCTTCGACTCGAGTTGACTAGGGTCCCAGTTGCGAGGGGGTCAGAAATTAGTGCAAGGGTGTTAGAGAATTCCTGACACCGGATAAGCTTCATCGCATGAAAACCTTATTCAGTATTAGCTATTAAATTCTTGATACTGAATGAAAACCTTATTCAGTATTAAAAATTTAATAGGAATTTTTAATACCGGATAAGCTCTATTATATAAAGATAATCTTTTTATAAGTAATAAAATTATAGATCTGTATAATCTTAAAAATTAAATTCTTATAATTATATTTAAATATAATATAGTATATTTCCACGCTTATTAAAGGTAAAGTAAGTAACGTAATCGGTAAGCGAGCGGATCACGCAAGCGAGCGGATCACCTCTTACCATGGTTGAAATTTAAAAGCGATCTAAAGCCACCAAAACATGCATTTCTAGATAAAAACTAAATACGATCACGATTTAGACACTGGAACCTTCTATGCCCAATAACATAGCAATCACTACATCGCGGGGGCGCCCGTACGCGAGGTTACAATGTATCTGGTGCATCTGGTTCTTGTATAACAGGCCTGGTCTGTATAACCTCTTCTACCTGATTCCTGCTTTGTACGAGAGCATGCCCTTCTTTAATTGAGAGGTCTGTTACAGACCCCTGCTAGCTAAAGCGACTAGTGAGGCGGTTACGTCAGGCAGAAGGCTGCGCCCGGAAAGAAGACAACTCTTATCAGGTAGAACCCCGAGTTGAGCTGTCATGTGTCACACGTCACGTGAACATGGTATATAAATAAGTATATGGTATACAGCATACCATCATGGTCTATGATTACCACATGGGGATACGGCAGACCCGATGGTATATAGAATGGTATATGGAGAATAGGATATATAAGAACACTTCTTCCTGTATGTAGCTAGTTCTGTTTTTTGTGCTTAATAACACTGTCTTTAAGTAACCATATGTTTTGGTAAAGCTTAATGATAACACTTGTCTGCACTTACTTACGGATAGCTGCACGGCATTATCTGGCCTTACTTCTCTTCTCTTATCTAGGACCAGTCATCCTAGATAGTCATCAATCTGACTTACCTTGATTCAGTTTGAAGATATGTATTGGAACGGAAGCTAAGCTAACAGGAACAGGGAAAAGCGATCCTAGGGTTTGACACATTGAGCACCATCAGTATAAGTATTACCTAGTAATAATTATTTATTATATTAACTATATCAAACTCATCGCATATCCCACAGTAGCAGGGCCCGACAATGCAAGAATTAATGGGTATGGTTAGTTAGTTGCAAGAAAGTATCACTGTCTTAAAACAATAAAATCAGTTACTTAAAGATTGCTTAACAGTTAAATCTATTAAAGTCTGACTATCAGAATTATTTAACAGTAATTGAATGAAGCTCAGGGCTTTCTTAACCCAGTTAGACTCATATCTTAGTATGAATAAAGAATAGCTTAGAAATAAGATTAATAAGATTCTTTTTATATTTACTTACCTGACTAGAGCAGTATTTAATTAGTTTAAACTATATATCTACAAGTATTAAGAAAAGTTAATAAAGAATTAAAATAATAATATAAAGTAAATCTTTATTAGTTATATCAGATTTAAGCAATATCTTGAATAAATATTCAGAGATATGTTACGGACCCCTGCTAGCTGAACGAACTAGTAAGGCGGACTCGTTAGGCAGAAGGCTACGTCCGGAAGGCGAGGACTCTTATCAAGTAGAATCCTGATCTGAGTAACCTACAAACCAGGACGGTTACATAACACGTGACCACGACGGACATGTCACCGACACGCTATAACATGGCAGCGCTACGACAGGACATGGCAGCGCTATGACAGGGCATGGCAGCACTACGACATAACATATCGGCGACATGACATATCATGGCGATGCCATGACAAAGGATAGGATATAAGGACATTCTTTTATATATTTAGCTAGTTCTGTTCTTCATGCTCAATCTAATTATCTTTAAGTAACCATATATTTTAATAAAGCTTAGCAATAATACTCGTCCGCACTTACTTACGGATAGCTGTGCGGCATTATTTGGCCTTACTTCTCTTCTCTTGTTTAGATCAAGTCACCTTTAGATAATCATCGACCTGACTATCTTGATTCAGTTCACAGGTACGCATTGGAACGGGAGCTAAGCTAACAGGAACAGGGAGAAGCGATCCTAGGGTTTGATATATTGAGCACCAGTCAGTACGAGTGTTATCCAGTGATAACCAGTCATCATGTTGACTACATCGAACACATCGCGTGCGCCACAGCAGGGCCCGATAACCAAGGAACTAATAGATATGGTTAATTAGTTGTAAGAAAGTGTCACTGTCTTAAAACAACAGAACCAGCTACTTGAAGGTTGCTTAGCAGTCAAATCTGTTAAGGTCCGACTATCTGAGCCATTTGACAGCAAACAAGCAAGGCTCAGAGCTTTCTTGACCCAGTTAGATCTGTATCTCAACATGAATAAGAAAAAACTCAAGAATGAGAAGGACAAGATCTTTTTCACGTCTACTTATCTAACTAGAGCAGTATTTGATTGGTTTGAACTATATATCCGCGAGCGACAAGAGAAGTCAGTAAGTAATTAGAATAATAATATAAAGCAACTTTTTACCAGTTATACTAGATTCAAGTAGTGTCTTGAACAGATATTCAGAGATATTGATACAGCATGGAATGCTGAGTGAAAGTTATAGTAACTTAAACAGACTGGATTAGTATTTATATATGCTTCAGAGTTTCAGCAAGTCATTAGTTATCTGGACTGGGATGATGATGTCTATATTACACGATTTGAAGAAGGACTCAAGATAGAGATCCAAGAAAAGATTATTTAGCAAGAATGACTAAATATATTGATCAAGATGATTGAAGCAGTAGTCAAGATTGATAATAAGTTATATGATTTTAACATAAAATAATAAGAGGTGTTACAGACCCCTGCTAGCTGAACGAACTAGTAAGGCGGATACGTTAGGCAGAAGGCCACGTCCGGAAGGCAAGGACTCTTATCAAGTAGAATCCCGATCAGAGCAACCTACAAACCGGAACGGTTACACAACACGTGACCACGACGGACATGTCACTGACACGCTATAACATGGCAGCGCTACAACAAGACATGGCAGCACTACGACATAACATATCAGCGACATGACATATCATGGCGACGCTATAACAAAGGATAGGATATAAGGACACTCTTTCATGTACTTAGCTAGTTCTATTCTTCATGCTCAATAACACTGTCTTTAAGTAACCTATGTTTTGGTAGAGCTTAGCGACAACACTCGTCCGCACTTACTTACAGATAGCTACGCAGCACTATCTAGCCTTACTTCTCTTCTCTTGTTCAGATCAAGTCATCTTTAGATAGTCAACAGCCTGACTATCTTTGATTCAGTTCACAAGATATGTATCGGAACAGGAGCTAAGCTAACAGGAACAGGGAGAAGTAATCCTAGGATTTGACACATTGAGCACCAGTCAGTACGAGTGTTATTCAGTAATAACTAGTCATTATATTAATTACATTGAACACATTGCATACGCCTCAGCAGCAGGGCCCAACGACCAAGGAACTAATAGACATGGTTAGTCAGCTATAAGAAAGCATCACGGTCTTAAAACAAAAGAACCAGCTACTTGAAGATTACTTGTCAGTCAAATCTATCAAGATCTGACTATCCGAGTTATTTAACAGTAAACAAGTGAAGCTCAGAGCTTTCTTAATCCAGTTAGACTTATATCTTAACATAAACAAGAAAAAGCTCAAGAATGAGAAGAATAAGATCTTTTTTACATCTACTTATCTTACCAAAGCAGTATTTAATTAATTTAAACCATACATCCACGAGTGACAAGAAAAGTCAGTAAATAACTAGAATAATAATATAAAATAATTTTTTACCAGTTATACCAGATTTAAACAATATCTTAAATAGATATTTAGAGATATTAATATAGTATAGAATATTAAATAAAAGTTATAATAATTTAAGTAAACAGGATTAATATTTATATATATTTCAGAGTTTTAGTAAGTTATTAATTATCTAGACTAAAATGATAACACTTACATCTCACAATTCAAGAAAAGACTTAAGATAAAGATTCAAGAAAAGATCATTTAGTAAGAATAACTGGATACCTTGGCCAAGATGATTAAAACAGTAGTAAAGATCAATAATAAGCTGTATAACTTTAATATAAAATAATGAGAGGGTTGGTAGACCAGCAGGTCTATATCTTAATATAATAACCAGCCAGGTTATCAAGCCAATAACAGAAGGTCGGCACAACCTAGGAGCTTGGGATACGAAGATCCTTACAGGCTGAAGCTCATGAAGCTGGATGCAGCACAGCATCAGACTCAAGAGACTCAAGTGTTCAAGGAGGAACTCGAACAGCGTAAACGAGACTGCTTGTGCTTTAGCTGCGGCAAAGCAGGTCACTAGTTAAAGGACTGTAGTTAGAAACAGCCTCAGAAGTAATTGAGAGCTACAAATCAAGATCAAGGCAGAGGAGTCTATGATATCATCACTATTCAGCATGAGGTTTAGACGGAATCTGCAACGCAGACATTAAGTAATAAGAAGTTACATACTATTCAGCATGATCAGCTATCAGAGAACAGGATATACCGTGATTAGTTAAGATAATAAACCATCCTGGATAAGTTAACAGTACTACCTAGTTAACAAGAGAATCAATAATTATCTGTACTATTAGTTTGGACTATAGAAATTAATAATAATAATTATAAGCTAGTTTCAAGAAACAACTATCTCAGTATAGTTTAAAATAAAGATAAACTGTTAGATAAAGAATACAGTATACTGCTTAAAAGCCTTGAACCCAGTAAGAAAAGACTTAACAAGATATCCAATATCCTTAAAAAACCTTTATTAGAATTTAGTAAACTCTGTCCATCGCAGCAAGATAAGGATAAGAAAAATTAAAAAAATAATTAAGAAAATATTACTTATTAATTAGACCGCATTTTAAAGAAGATCTTGGA